AGATTGATGGCACCCAGCCGTAGATTGTTTGACGCAGGACACTGTATCTTTTTAGCCAATGTGAGGTTCAGCTCAACTGTTGCGACATTTCTTGGCTGCAATTGTTGTCGTATATGCCCTTATCTTCAGAAGGAGTGCCATGAGCCGATTGGGTGCGTGACTGGTCGCCCGACCTTGGCCCCCTCTTGTGTAAGGCTGTAACCGGGGTTTCCCTTGCACACATCTTGCCCTCTCCCCCAAAAGCCACATACATGTAAATCGCGGGTATTATTGCTAAAATAGAGACTGCTCGATCATGCACAATACGTCGGCCATATTCACTCTTTTTGCAAAGAAACGAAGTGGGCAGATTGCTTGCAACTACTATTCTAGACATCCTGATTGCACTGCCCGTCGCCCATCCAAGGATGTTGGGCATGGGAATGCACAGACGCAGGCAATCGCCCGGATACAGGCGGTGTGCCCGTTCAAGCATCATCGCAGCTGTAGTGTTCAGCCCGCGTTTCCCCAACTGTTGGCCGTTTTCAGGTAAGCAGATATGGATCCGTGCTCCCAACCTGGACCAAGCGCGCCAATCAATCCTGCTGGGTCTGCCAAGATGGCATTAGGGGGCAGTGTCGCAATGTCTTTACCTTTTCTGTTATTCAAAATTCCAAAAGTATGTTTGGGGGAATGCTGGCTACAAGCGGACATCTCAGCGCGGATGCAGTGTGCAGGGAAAACCTCATCGGCATTGTTTCCCATCAGGCTGTCCGCCTGAGCCATATGTGCCGCCGCTACCGCCTTATCGTGGACATAATCTTGGCATATGTGCCCCCGCCCTGCCCCAACGTCGAGTACCCAGGATTCACCAGCACAACATTCTTGTGGAGATGGGCAAAGTGCCGCAGCTTGGACGGCGTGATGAAGATATCCGGCATCACATGCATATGCAACTTGAATCATGGGATGCCAAGATCCCGGCATAGTTCTTTGGCCGCGGGTGTCAGCGGGAAGAAATGGCGCTGGGACACCATATGCCACGCCATACGCGGCAAGCGCTCAAATGAGATCGGCATGCGTGAGACTTCCGACGAATTAAAGAACGCTAGGGGTCTCAGTGTTGGCCACTGCGATGGACACACCGTTGATTGTTGAGCTGCGCAGGGTTGTCGAGGAACTGGGATGCCGGATGGGACGCCGAGGCGTGCCATCATGTCGCGATTAAGTGCGGCTGCGGATACGAGGCAAACGGGTGGCACATTTCGTCGGGAGATGGTGCCAAGAACACAGCGGTTTCAGCGGGCAGGCCATCACGCAGTGTCTTTAGCAGCGGACAATTTGAGACGCGAATATCTGCTCGGGGAGCATATCCACCATACCGCCCTTGATTAACGGGTGAGCTTCGCTGACAAAGGGACCAAGCAAGACATGCGCTGGGCGGGTCTTTCACGATACAGTCAATCAGGACTGGCTAAGGGCTCGTAGTCAAAGTTTGCAGACAGAGTGAATGGCCTGACGCGACAATCGCCGGTAAAGGGCGAAATACTGGTTCGCGCCTGTCAACACTCAGATGCGATTGCAGCGGCAGAGGGTGGAACTGCGACACAGCAAAGGCCGAGCCATCAAGTTCTTTCCCTCAGCAGCAACTATCTGGCCAGGGAACAGCGAGAACGACGCAGCTGAGCTAACATCGAGCTGCACCCGGCGGCCGTTTCCGAGTCGACGGGAGGTCTCCAGGTAAACCGTATCGTTGGCCAAGTGGCACTGGCAGCAGGGTCATCAGGGTTGAATCCAACGATGCGACCGACAGAGGTAACCAGGTCCTGATGCGCGTACGTCGGGTTTGCAAGGGCATCGATCTTGTAGTCTTTCTTGACAGCACTGGCCATGCGCTCGATGCGCCGGTTAAGCACGTCAGAACGCGTCCCGGGTTTCTCAAACATGTACCGCATCCGCTGCTTTGGACAGCTTCTGGTCCTCTTCTTCGCCTCCTTCATCCAGATCGCTATCATAAATCTGCTGTCGTCTTGGCGCTATCTGGCTCGATAGCCCCAATGTTCAACTGCTTGTTCGCAATCGCCTCCATCTTCAGCACCGGCAGCTCAGGGTTGACTATATTAACGCTCTCGCCAGCATTCGTGCGGTCGCGGAACCGAGCAGCCATCGGCGACGCTTCAATACCCGGCGACATGGGCGAAAACACGCCAGGGCGCTTTGCCGTCGACCCGTTCCCCCTCAAAAGCCCCACTCGCTTCGTGCTTTGCGGGTGTTGTCATCACGCTGCGCTGGCTCCCATTGACCATGTCCTGCATGAGTCCACCAACCGAGCTCATGTCGTAGTGTGCGGTGCGGTTTCTGTTGCGCGAGATCCGGTTCCGGGAGTCGCCGGCGAGCCCGCAGCACTGTGCCGCTGTGTCGCAGCCCTGCGGTCGTGGTCGCGTTGCATTGTGTGCCGTAGCTCTAGAAGGCGCTCGCGTGTGGGCTGGATGCTTGTGTCGCCGTTATACGTGTTGAGAACGACTGACTGCCACCGGAAGAAGAGCTCGCTTGCAGACTGGCCGAAGGTCTGGCAGATCGACTGCGCTTCGCTCAGGGCAGCCGAGTCAAGCCTGATGCCCTGGAACTGTTTTGTCAATTCGGCTGCGGTAGGAGCGGTCATGAGTATCAAAGCAAAATAGGCGCGAAGCAGGAACGAAGAATAGCCTGGTTTGAATTTCTCGGCAGCAAATGTCGGTTTCGTGTTTTTTCTTCTCGCGGGGTTTATGCGTGACTGTGATTTAATCAAATACTTGCAACAAAATCTATCCTACAACCCGATCGATGCTCCAGCGCGTGCCTTGGCGGCTCTCCTCGACCTTGACCATGGCAGCAGCCAGGACTTTGGTCCGAAGCGCGGCTCGACGTAGCACGTCATGTGGTCGCGCGCGTCGTTGTACTTTGGCAGCGGGTACGGCAGCGGGTTGCCGAACGAGCACAGCGGCTGGCCGATAGTGGCCAGCCACTTGGCGCTGACAATTGTGACAATCTTGGCCCACAGCCGCGTAGTGCGCTGCAGCTCAGAGAACACAATCGCTGTGGCATGGACCCGGCATTGCGCGCTGCCATGTACACCACACTCTCGGGATGCACAAACACGGGCTCCTCGCTCCACATGGTGACATATGGAACGGCATGCATGCCGCGCTTCTTCTTGTTTGACTCCTCGTCAGGGTCTGGTAGCCGGCGATATCACCGCGCACGGCGATGTGGTCCATGAATCCGGTCAGCAGGATTTGGCGGATCACCGATTGCTGCAGCTTGGACGGGGCGGCATCTGCGGATCCATGGCCAGGTCGACGCCTGGGCAGTACATCTGCACCAGGTTGGTTAGCTGGGCGCGCAGCTTGCGGATTTCAATCATGGCCTTTTGCCGGACGTAGTACTCTTCACACACTTCTTTGGTGCCGCCAGCATACTCAAAGGCACCGACCACGGTCAACCACTTGAGCACATCGCTGGAGGGGTCGGAGCCCGACAGCTTCGACTGCGTGCGCCAGTACTGCCGGCGCTTGAGTCGCCGGTGCTCCTTGGCCGCAACTTCTGCGTTGGTCAGGTTACGATTCTCTGCGGCAGTTGCCTGGTCCTCATCCGGAACCTCACCGCTGTCGAGCTCATCCGTCCAAATGGAACTCCTTCAGGAACGGGTCTCCGACAGACAAGGCTGCGACAATAGCAATGATATAGGGCAGGCACTCGTGCTGCTGGCCGACGATCAGCATCTTGGCGAACCGTGGAGCGACAGGGAACACCGACATCAACCGGCCGAGATCAGTAACCCGGCCCTTGGCGTCGAGAGCACCGAGCCATGTGAGCAGACGCTCGGCCTTGGTCAGCGCAGACTTGTTAGGCGGCGTCGGGAACGGGAAGTTGACGACGTTGTCCAGGTTCATGGCCTTCATCTGCAGCACGACACCCTCAATTGGCATCCGCATGATCTCGGGTACAGAGAACCGGGGGAACTGGTCGTTGAACACTGCGCTGGAGAACAGGCGGTAGCTGTGGCCAGGCCCAGTACGGCCAGCACGACCTGTGCGCTGGTTTGCCGATGCCTGGCTCGTCCAGCGCACGTCGAAATTCTGCACCTGTGTCTGCGCATCGTACGTCTTCTCCTTGGCCAGTCCGGCATCAACCACGTACCGGATTCCCGGAATTGTAATCGATGTCTCGGCAACATTGGTCGCTACCACGCACAGACGACTGCCAGCGGGGGGAGCGCAATACCTTGAGCTGCTGGTCGGCTGGCAGCAGCGAGTACAGCGGCAGGACGTACAGTGGCTCAGGATGGTTCTGCTCGTCCCCTCCCTCGGCCTTAGGCTTGGCAGCAGCATTGAAACAGGTTCTCACTGAGCAAGAGCTGCGGCCCTCATCGTCCTCGCCTTCACCGCCATGATGAGCTCGTCTTCCTCCTCCGAGTCCTCCTCCGAGTCAATCTCAAAGTCGTCCCTGAGTCACCATCCGCAGTGGCGAAATCAAACTCCTCTCCAAGGTCAACATCCTCATCCTCGACATCGCCCTCGAGCCCGCTGGCCACCAGCGCGTGTCCTCGTTCTTGGTGTGATGCGGCTTGCCATGCTTGCGCTTTTTGCCATGCTTAGCCTTCATCATCTGCTCATGCTCGCGCATTTTCCGCTCCTCCCGCGCTGCGCGCTCCTCAGCAGTTGGGAATTTCTCGCGCAGCTGCTTGCAGGCGTATGTGATCTCGGCTTGGCCAGTCCAAGAACATCAGAATACCACCCTCCGGCAGGCGGGTGTGGGATCTTGGCGACCTTGCGGATTGCCTCGTTGACGTGCTGGCCTGGCAGAGGCGTGCGGCGGTTTGAAGTGTATGCGTACTGGTGCTGGCGGGCTTGTACATTGATGACCGGCGGTGGAGTCGGGAACAGCCGTGTGTTCTTGACGAAATCATCGACGCGCAGCGTGGCGCTCATGATGACAAGCTTCAGTGGCCGGTGCTTCTTCGGATCCTCGCTGGCCAGCTTCTGCCGCAGGCGAACGACTCGCGACAGCACGCCCAGCAGGATGTCTGTGTTGAGCGACCGCTCGTGGGCCTCGTCAGTAATCAGCCACCGAGTACTTTGTCAGCAGGAAATCGGTGGCCAGCTCGCGCAGAAGCACTCCTCGGTCATGAACTTGACTCGTGTCTTGTCAGACACATTGGTATCGAAGCGCACCTGGTGTGCCACTGTGCTGCCGTAGTTGCCCAGCTCTTCGGCAACGCGGTGCGCCATGCTGACAGCCGCCACCCGCCGCGGCTGTGTGATCCGATCATGCCTGGGTTCTGCGAGTTCGGGTCGCCGTACCCGGCCTCAAACAGAAACTGTGGCACCTGTGTGGTCTTTCCCGAACCGGTTTCTCCGCTAAGCACGATGACTGGGTTCTCCGTGATAGCCTCCATGATCTGCTGCTCTTCAGCGTACACGGGCAGCTTCATGCGCTGTTCTGTGATCGCTTGCGGCCGCTCCACCGTGACGTAGAATGCGCCCGTGTTCTCTGACGCTTCGTTGGCAAGCTTGCCACGACTGACGAGCAGGGGCTTCAGCATGCTGCCGGTGTAATACTCCTTCTCTTTTTCGGGCTCAGCTGGCGTTACCGCAGGTTCTTCTGCACGAACAGCAGGAGCGTCGGTGGCGGCTTGGTCTTCATCTGAATCGCTCTCTGACGCAGAGCTGTCAAATTCGTCGGACTCATCACCAGCGTCTGCATTATCACCGACCACCATATTCGAATCCTCCTCCTCCTCCGCATCGCTTTCGCTGTCCTCTTCTTCGCTGCTCTCCTCGGCCTTCTTGGACAGACCCAGCTTGCTCAGAAGACGGCCCTTCTTTTGCCGCTTGCGTCTGACAATAGTGGTTGTCTTGGCCAGTGCGCTTCCCGCCACCACCGGCTTCTCCTCGGCCTTGGGCTTCTCCTCGGCATTAGACATCTCGATCAGCCCACCCTCTGCCTTCTCAACCACGTCCTCTTCGCGTGGCCGCTTGGCAGGACGGCTCTCCAGTTCATCCTTGTCGTTGTCTGAATCTGCGTCGCTGTCAGCCTCAGCGATCTTCTTATTCTTCTTATTCCTGCGCTTCTTTTTCCTCCGGTTCACCTCGCCAAGCGTCGGCAATGCTGTTAGATCGGGCGTTGGCAGGGGCGCCATCTGATCTGCCATTTCGCGCACCTCGTCAGCATCGCGCTCTGACACGTACAAGCGCACGCTGGGATCGGAACGCGCCATGCCCAGCTTCTCCTCAAGCACCGCACGCTGCAGTTTCTCGCGCTTGGTCTCCTTGGTGCGGCCCAGGTTCTTTGACGACTTCATCAGATCGCTTTTCCATGTCGACTGGCTGAGCTTCTCGATCAGCTGCGCACGCTGCTCCTTCTTCACCTGCTTCTCGACATACTTCTCGAACCGCTTCTGCTTGGTGGACTTGTTGGTTCCCATGGTCTTCAATAAGATAATAGTTAATGTGTGTGGGCGGAATGAGGCGAGTGTCCAAGGTGGTCGACGAGCACTCTGTTGGCTGATGCCCAGCTAGGCGACAAGCACCGGGGAAAAAGTTTCAACAAAAAAAGGACTGCTAATCCAATCGTGGAATATTGTGATCAACTGCACGTGAGCGGCTCTCCTATGCAATTGGCTGGTGTACATTCGTTTTTATGTTGAGACCGGTTTCCAATTTTAGAACCTCCGGTCCACAAGAACTGCAAAGCGGTAGTTGCACACAAGGGACAGACAATCCGTCCCTGTTTCTCTTTGCCTTCACACATACATCCTTCCCCTCTCTTCACCTCTATACTGACAATAATAATAATGAGTCTCGCCGATATCCTGTCTGCGTGCTTTGGCAGTGGTAGCAGCAACGCCCCCGGCTCGCGCCAAGCACCCTATCTGAGCGCTGACGAGGCTGCAAACATGCCGCTGGAGGCATTCCTTGAGCGCAGTCTCGAGAGTTCGCCCAGCGTTATGCAGCAGCAAAACGAGTTCGCCGAGATCTTCCGTCGCCACCTGCAGAACGGTGCCAACCTCTCGCATATTGCCAATGTCGTGAGGAACCAGACCACCCGGCTCGCGAGCAGCGGCACCGATCGCGCCACAGCCGACTGGGCAGGCCAGCTATTTGCCATGAGTATCGATGGCCAGTCTGGCGGCAACCGCCAGAATGGCGGCTACAAGCCGCCGCAGATGCAGCCAGGCTCTTATGCGGCAGCTGTTGGGTCGGACCAGAACGGATGGGAGATGCAGCAGAGCAACCATGGCCGGCAGAACAACCAGAAGCGCGATGACACGTACATCCGGTCGTACTTCTTCCCGTCAGAGCAGAGCTTCGAGCAGCTGATGAACTTTTTGGATTCGGCCAAGTCCACCTTGGATATCTGTGTGTTCAATATCACCGACAATGATGTGGCAAACGCGATCATTCGCGCCAAGAAGCGCGGCGTCGAGGTGCGCATTATCACCGATGACGGCCAGCTCGAGTCGAAGGGCAGCGATGTTATTCGCATGCAGCAGGACCACGGTATTCCGTTCAAGCACGACAACGACGAGAACAAGTTCATGCACTCAAAGTTTGCCGTTATTGACCGACGCGCTGTCTGGATGGGGTCGTACAACTGGACTGTTGGTGCCCGCCGCAGCAACAACGAGTCTGTCATTGTCACCAACGACAAGAGCACTGCCGACGCCTTCAGCCGTGAGTTCGAGAAGCTTTGGCGCCAGTTCTAGACATATAGAAGTATCGAATATATTCTTGTCCAAAAGAGGGAATAACAATAACAATAAAAAAGGGTCAGACATGACACTCAGTGGCAATATCAGGGGTGCTGGCATCTGCAACCTTGAAGAAAGAGTCGAGCGGCACTGCATTCCAGTCTAGGCCGCTGACCTTGGTCGCAGTGACGACCTCACCGTTATAGAGCAAGCGCACGACATAGCTGCCGTTTTTGTTGTTCTTCCATGCCTCAAAGACCAGGTTCGAACCGTAAACGGACCATCTTGACATATCTTCCTTTTGCAGCAGGCTCAGGAGATAATACACGGTGATATCGTGTGCCGAATGGAGCTCGAACTTGGCTTTGGCGTTGCCATTGACAGCGTTGGCAATAGGCCGACGGATCTCACCCAAGAATGGGCCAACAAACAGGCGCGCCACATTGCCTGTAGCCTGGATAATCTCGTTCTGCTTGCTGGAGTGCTCGTAGGCGGTCACAGCATCAGCAGCAGTCAGGCAGTCCGAGGGGTTTGCTGACGAGCAAGGAAGCGGTTTACCATGGCACACGGATAGCCACAGGTAGTCGTTGACATTCATACCAGCACGCCATGTTGGGATTGACGAGGGTTGGAGGATACTGAGAGTGCGGTTCGTGAACGCAGCGATTTGAGCGCTATATTTCGCATACTCGGGTGTGCTGAATGCCTTGCCAAATGCAGCGCTGGATGCCGGGCAGTTTTCTCCAGTGCTGATCAGCGTCTCCATTGACTTAGGCCGCATATGCATGACCACGTCTGGGTGCGGCTGGCAGTTGCTCAACCCAACCAGAACGCTACATCCGCTCTGCTGTGTGCATCAGATGTAGTCGGCGCGGAAGTAGATATCGTTGGCCCACAACCCTTGCGACATGAACCCGAGCTTGTCGATGTAGGTCGAGCGCAATGTCTTGCCCAGCCGTACCATTTTCTCCTTGCCGAGGTCCGTCAGCTGGCCCAACTCGCAGTTGCCGGACCAGAATATGTTGGCATAGGGCAAGGTGCTGTCGATTTCCATCTCAGTGCGACCGATAGGTACGCCGGGGACGTTGCGTTGACGCGTCAGGTCCGGGCACTTCCCACAGATATCCATGGCAGGACTAGCTGGTGAGTAGTAGGCGGGACGCGGTCGCCGTGGCGGTGCACGACTTGAAGATGAGCAAGCGTGTGTCCTGGCAGAGCCGTGTATGTGGTGGCCTGGGGACGTGGTGCTTCGTAGTAAAACTTGGGGTTGGCAGCTTGCAATAAGCTGGCAGCAGATGTAGCTGCAGCACTGACGGAAATGGCCCAAGTCGACAGGGTTTGGCTGGTTTCATACACGTGTTGTCGCGCAACACTCATTGTCCATCACCACACCTATCCTGTGAGGCAGGCTGGGAAGCCTTGTACAAGCCCGTGCATCAAACGGCTAGTGTGGCGATTCCTAGCGACCACATTCTGCCATGTCTTTATCGTGGTAAAATCAGCACCAGGCCAATCGCTCCGCATCTAAAATCCAGCTTGAGCTTTGGCTTTGGAAATAGGCAGAAATCGAAAAGCTGAAGTCGCTCTAGCCACCGAACCGGATCCCTGCCCGGTTCGGCTCGCACCAGTGAAAAAATTTCTGCATGCTTGCTGGTGAACAGGCGTATTTCAGGGTGCTATCGCAGTGCGACGAAGCCGCCGTCCTCTTTGTCTCTGCTTCGCGATGTTTTTCCTACTCTATTGCCGTGGTTAGTGGGGGAAGGTATGTTCCTGTCGGCTGGCACACGCTGCCTCGAGATCCCGATGATGACACAAATGTTTTTAACATGTATGGCTTTCATAGCAGGGCTGACACTCTGCCATTGATGATACAACTCTACGTCTGAGGGAAATAGCACACTTGTGTCTGACCTTGTGTCGACGACACGCAGTGAACTCTGTACTGACGAAAACAATTGCCGCTTTTGGTTGTCTTCTCCGTAGGTACGTATTTGCGTCAAGTAGGATCCATAGGCCCTGTTTTGTAAAAGAACCAGTTGTAAATAAATGCCGATTTTCCAAGTCTAAAGCGCCAGTGTGGGCCCGTGTGGAAAGCGGTGGAGCTTTCGAGCGTCCGAGAGGAGCAGCGCTCATTTTTTTAGTGACTGTGTGCAAATCACATGCAAGTGTTTGAGATTCTTGCGGGCAGAATACCTCCGCGCACGGAGTGTTATCGCGTGGCTACCCGCCGCCTGTCGCTGCTGCCGCCGCCGCTTGCCGCTTCGAGCTGCAACGGAAGCCCGGTCATGGCTGCTGGCCTGTGGGTGCTTGTGGCCACTTCTCCTTCGCTTTCCACTTATCAACCGCTGCTTGAGCATAAGATACTTTTCTTTTCATCTTTCCTTTGTATTCTATTAAACACGCCGCACACTCTGTTTCAGCAAATATGTCGGGCTTCTCAGACTTGGTTGGCAACGGCGCCGAATGCGGGCCGGGCAACTCCATGAACGGGCTTATGAAGCAATTCAACAAGGACCACTCGCTCGAGCAGGTAAGTTGCTAGTCTCCAGAAATACAAGCGTGGAGGAGAGATAGGCGCTGACACCCACCACGCACCTCCCACACATCGCCTGATAGGATCGGTTTGGACCGGCGCAAGCGTCGTCGTCGAAGCAGGCGTTCCGGCAGGCGTTCCGGCATAACGGGCCGGTGCAGTCGCCGAACATGATGGCCAACGAGTTCATGATGCAGCAAAACCGCACACAGGGCCCAGGCGCCTTCAACTTTGCCGAGATGCACCGCGAGCTCAACACGGTGCAGGGCAAGCAGCCGGCACCGGCCGACTGGGCAGCGGACTTCCAGCGGCACCAGGGCCCTGCTAACGCCGATTTCGAGCGCGCCTTTGCCAGGGCCGGCCCCGCGCCGATGGTGCCCGCTGGACCGATGCAGATGCGCCCGATGGCTGCCCAGCAAGGCTGGGCCGAGCAGTTCCACCACCAGCCGGCGGCGTCCCAGGCTGCTGCGGCTCCTGTGCAGCAGGAGCCCGTGGTGCGGCATGATCCGATGGCCATGGCGTTCAACGAGGCCCGCATGTACTCGATGATGCCCGGGCCGGGTATGATGATGCACAACATGATGCCCATGCAGCATCAGCAGCAGGTAGGTGGAACTGCTCAGCAGACCGAGGTCACCGCAGAACAGAAGCAGGCGGCCAGCGAGCCTGTGGAAAGGGCTGATGATGAGCTGGCGCGCACGGCAGCAAAGATCCTGGACTCAGTGAGTGACACAGCTAATCCTAAATTCAGAAACTCCGAATTCCTCTCTCTCATGCAACAACTCGCCGACGGACAGGCCACGATCAACGGCGACCAGGTCGTACAGACTGAAAAGGGCAAGCAGGCGGAGACCACGGCTGCGCAGGGCCCAACGTGGGCCACGGAGTTTGAGAAGCGTGCCGACGAACTGGTCAACCGCGAGGCCACCAAGGGATCGGAGCAGACGCCGCAAGACGGTAAGATCTTCTCGGAAGAGTTTGCGCGCGGAATGGAGCGCAACTGGGCCGAGGAATTCGAGTCGACGCTCGACGGTCCGCTCAACGAGACCTCTGTCAGCGGCCACCCGCAGGATATGGACTTCAAGCTGGAACAGCCCAGCAACGAGTTTGTCCACGGCGAAGCTAACAAGGACTGGCTGGAGCAGTTCAAGGACAACATTCAGCCGATGCTTAACGAGCAGGACAAGGAGTGGCTCGAGACGCAGAAGGAGTGGGAGTCGCTAAACACCATGGAGCCGGCGTACCGCGCAACCGATCCCGCGCTTAACATCTACCACTTTCAGCGCGAGAACTATTACTCGCAGATGTCGCCAGCCGAGCTCCAGAATACCCTGGAACACATTCGCCAGAACCCGCAGGACGCCAGCCTTGCTGACACCATCATGGCGCTCGAGACGAGCGTGACGCAGAACCCACAGGACGCACAGGCCTGGCTGGAGCTCGGCTTGAAGCAGCAGGAAAATGAGCGCGAGGAGTCTGCCATTGCGGCACTGCGCAAAGCCATCCAGCTCGATCCCAACGGACTCGACGCCCACCTGGCACTGGCTGTGTCGTACACCAACGAGGGATACCAGATGGATGCCTACGACGAACTGCACGAGTGGATTGCCCACCACGACCGCTACAAGTCGCTGATTCCCGCGACCGCACCCGAGAACATGACCAGCGCCAATACGCGCAAGGACTACGTGCAGGATCTGTACATCCAGGCAGCGCGCATGACACCCGGCCAGGACTGGGATCCCGATGTCCAGGTCGCACTTGGAGTTTTGTTCAACATCTCCACTGAGTACGACAAGGCCATCGACTGCTTCAAGGCCGCGCTGTCCAAGCGCCCCGACGACTATGTGCTGTGGAACCGCCTGGGCGCGACGCTGGCACACACCAACAATAACAAGGAGGCGACTGGTGCGTACTTCCGTGCTCTGGAGCTGCACCCGAGCTTCATCCGCGCCCGGTACAACATTGCACTCGCGTCGTCAAACCTGGGCCAGCACCGCGAGTCCGCCGAGAACTGCCTGACTGCACTGTCGCTGCAGCAGCGCGAGATGCAGACTCTGGACGAGAAGAGCCGCGAGGCTAATCTGTCGGGTACTGGCTACCGGCCTGAGAGCGGTATGAGCGCGACAATCTGGAATGCCCTGCAGCTCTCGATGTACTTGCTTGGCGAGCCCAAGCTGGCGGAAGCATGCGACCGCCAGGACCTGGATGCATTCCGCACCAAGTTCGACTTTTAACTGACAGTGTGCTGTCAATAAAATTTTGGTTGGGCTGTTGCATGAACTGGTGTTGTGACCTGGGCTGGCTGAGTGGCAATGTCCACAAGAACATGGATACATTTGCGCGACTACATGTTTATCGCTGTTGTGATCGATTTATAAATAACCATCTCTTGAAGAGTATGGAGCCATTGAATGGTTTGTAGGGTCAATAAACCGTATGATCTTCGAGGTTAGATGTTAACGGCACATATCCATATGCGTGCACGGGCTGTGCGACCAGACTGCCACCTACCAGAGGAACTACCCTGGGTCGTCGGCGCAGGATGCAGAATCCAGCGACTCGATGTGGACACCTCAGGTCCAGGCTTGGCGTGGAGTTTAGGGAAAAATGCATTTCTGGCTACCTGTAGTACATGGCTTAGAATGAACCCACAGTCAATGTGGAGCTGGGTCAGATCACGTCTAGAATGATTTCAGGTGAGCCAGTCGGGGCAGGTCATCATACAAGCCAGCAATTGTCAACTCAAGGACCACTGGGTTGGCAACCATTTTGTGCTGGTAATCCTGCTGCGCGTGGTTCCAAATTCACAGAATTTCAGGAGCCCATGGATCAAGGCCCCTAGGCCACAATGCCATCCATACTATTCTAGGCGAGTAATGCCAATACTCAGCCAGACACCCGCCCCCTCACCTGACAACTCCTCCTTCCTTCTTTCATGTAGCATACTGCATGCATTCAATATATCTGGTCCAGGGCAGAGCTCCTTCACTTTCTACTATTTTTCTCCTTAGTGCTTTCCCACGTTCTTTCATACTCTTCCAATATATATCTTTGGATGTCTCAGCCCGTTCCTCAATAGGCTACAAGTTCACAACCCTCTAACAGAATGAATGTGAGCACATTACAAAAATTATTCAAGGGTGCCTCCAGATACTAAAGCAAGTAGACGCTCTTCCATAGCTCTAAACGATGCATGCTGCCGAAGGTCACTGCGGTATATGACGCGTTTGTATTCCTTCATTCCCCAGTAGATCTGGTTGACGGTCGGGAACAGCAGTGCCAGATGAACAATGACCACACTGGCAACCACCAACGACTCACGAGCAGCAAACATGCAGTATCTGGTTGCCTCAAATGCGATCAGTCGCTCAGAAACCGGATGGTGCCTCCGGAACATCTCCTCGAGATAATCGTTCTGGGCACAAATCATATCCATGTGGTTGTCGATAAAGCACCTAACGTTTAGCTCAGGAAGCAGCACCTCGGTGTGCTCTGTTTCCTTCTCTGAATCAACAGTGCACCGCCCATAGCACTGGGCATGTTCGAGATACTGATCCAATTGCTCCTCGGGGAACACGATGTTTATGCCAAATTGGCGCAAGTGCGGTCTCGATTTGACGAACTCCAGTGCCTCATCAAATGTAGCGGCTATGCTTGACGTCTCAAATACCTGGAGCAGGGGGTTGGTGGCTTCGAGATCCTCCTTGACTTCGTTGTAGGCAAGAGTGTCGCCGCCCACCGACCTTAACACCGTTGCTGTGCTGCCCATGAGAAGAGATGCGTCAATAGTCTCCATAGAGTAGTCCTGGGTTGTGGTGTATGTGGCGTCAAAGTACTCCATTTCTGGATACTGGCAGTCATCGAATGTGTTTCCATAAAGGAGACTATAGCAGCATGCCGATGACATCTTGAGAACTGCACGCTTCAGTGTAGTGCTGGTGAGCTTGATGACCATGGTATGCACTTCAGGGGATTCAGTGCTGCATGACAAGTCTTCGAGCGCAGGGAACCAGTTTACAGTCCATATGGTGTTATCTATGTGCGAGTTTATGCCGTTGCCATCTTTTACTGACAGTTTGCGAAGCTGTGGGTAGATCACATCAACATCATCCATATCCTGCACTATATAGAACATGTACCTCTCGCAGAGGCATGTGATATCTAGTTCCTCCAGTGTACTAGCGTGCTTCCGGATAAGGTCGCATGCCGCAGAGCATGACCGGATGTCACGAATAGTGAGCTTAGTGAGCGGGGTGTCGATCTCAGGGATAATATAGTCAAAGTCGGTGGCACGGAACAGGGTGTCCCTCGGCCCTAGAGTCACACTGCCTTTGCCATCCAGGAGTTTGAGGTACATGGTTTCCATGAATTCGCCATAGAGGATGTCCCAGTGCCTGTCCACCAGCAGCAGTCTGATGGCACGGGCATTGGGGAACACATTGGAGATGATGCTGCAGAACTGATCGGATCTGTCGTCGCTATTCAGTGCGTTGTGGTCGATACCGACGCCAGCAACAAGGTTGATGTTGAGGGTCATGACTGTGTTGAATACCTTGCCGTAGACAGGGTTGTTTGGCCACTCCCTCAGAGATGCACCATTTACCAGTCGGCGGAGGTCAACGTCAACGCTCATCGACCGGACCTTGGCTCCGATGCCAAGGTGGAGGGCAGCAGCCAGGGACGACAGTACTTTGGATGGCCATATCCACTGCGGGTATCCAACATCGACTTTGGTTTTGGGAGAGTCCTCGAAGAAAGCGTCCTCAAACAGTATATTCAAGGCGATGTCTCGCCACGCTTGGCAGACACCAGTCAGGGAGAGGGCATGAGCAACGGCAGCAGGGCGGGGTGGAGGCTCATCGCTACTCAATCTTCTTTTTAGTGGGTCTCGTTTTTCCGTGATAGCGGGGTTATCGTGCAGGAGCATGCTGAATATATTCTCGAGAATGAGAACAGGCGGGTACTGGGCGGGCGAAGACATTTTTGAAATATGCTAGGCTTGAAAAAAAAAAAGTGGGGGCTGAGAGGAACAGGTGGCTGGCGATAACAGTGATTCTGCCCGGCAGGTCGGCCTTATACAGATGTGGAAAGGGTTGTCAATGTCTACGTGACAAAGACAAGAGAGCCCCGTGACCAATGTGCATATTCGCGCATATATTTGTTCATGCTCGAATTGAGTGCTTAGAATCTATCAAGCATACTCAGATTGAATCAAGGCAAGCTGTATTGCTACTGACGACGGCGGCGACAAGTGGCAGCTCATATCTGGTATGTTACAAGCTGTCCTGAGGTGTATCAAGCCGGTGGATCCCTTTCCTTGGCTGCCATGGTGCACACTGGCCATAATTTGGCGAATTCTATCCCAAATAGTACCACCGGGATTTTAGGCCAGGAGATGATCCGGAGGTGTAACCACATCTACTCTTTTTCACATCTTATCGACACTCTTGTGCCCCATTCCAGGACCACTCTCTAACCAGCTCGATAGAAGAATGACCGAGGCGAAGCCCTACGACATCAATTCGCTCAAAGTAAACCCAGCACAGGTGCTCGATTCGTGCAGCGCCCGGCAGGTGTGCGACGGGTGCGGGCGGCGGATGAAGTTCTTCTGCTACTACTGCTACAAGCCCGTGGCGGACATTGCCGGCAAGGTGCCGCAGATCCGGCTTCCGTTCAAGCTGACGGTGCTCAAGCACCCAGGTGAAAACGACGGCAAGTCCACGGCACTGCACGCCAAGGTGATTGCGCCTGAGGACGTGCAGGTCACGATTTACTCGGAGGACGTCCTGTCGGAGATTGACACGGAGCGCACGGTGCTGCTGTTCCCGGGACCCGACGCGACCGACATTAGCGAGGTAGACCCGGCGTCGTACGACCATGCAATTGTCATCGACGGTACGTGGCAGCAGGCGCGCGGTATGGTGCGCAAGGACTCAAAGTTGCACAAGATCCCCAAGGTCACGATCAAGCCACGCAAGACGCGGTTCTGGCGGTTCCAAAAGTATGACGAGAGCTATCTGGCAACGATCGAGGCGATTTACTTTTTGTACCGCGACAGCAAGGGAGAGGCGTACGAGGGCGAGTACGACGCACTGATGTACTTTTACAAGTACTTCTACGACCTGATCCAGAACGACTACGCGGCGAACACGCACAAGACGTTCACGCACCGGCACCAGGAAGGGTATATCTCGTACGAGACGGCCACACCACGGGCTATTCCGCGGACATCGGATGGGAAGCAGTGGGAGGGCAGTGGAATCCAACTTGAGGACGCTGGTGTCTCTCTGGGCGAAATGCTCCAAGATACCGGCGCAGAGTAACAGCTAAACGGGAAAATAAATGTTTATTTCACTCCAGAATGTAAAGCAGTCCCTTACTGCGGCACCAGGCCCTTGTCCAGCACCAGTTTGACGGCCTTGGGGAGGAGCTGGTGCTCGACAGCGTGGATCCGGTCCTCGAGGGTCTCCAGCGAATCGCCATCAACGCACGGTACTTCCTGGGTCAGGATCGGCTCGCCCTTGTCAACCTCGGGGATGACAAAGTGCACCATGACGCCGGTGCGCTGGCGCTTCCCCTGTTGGAACTCGTCAAATGCGCGGTCAATCGCATGGGCGCCCTCGAGCTCGCCGGGCAGCGCCGGATGCAGGTTGATGATCTTGCCGCGGAACCTGTCGATGAAGCCAGGCGACAGAATGTGCATCCAGCCGGCCAGCACCACCAGATCTGGGGAGTACTCGGCTGCAATGTACTCGGCCAGCTCACGGTCAAAGTCCTCGCGCGTCTTGCCCTGGTCCTTGTACGATTTGAGTGTGCGCGTGTGGGTCGGGATCGAGGCCTTGGCGGCGCGCTCGAGCCCGTAGGCAGACTTTTTGTTGCTGACGACTAGGGAGATGTGGCCGCCCAGCTGGCTCTGCTGCTCAGCATCGATGAGAGCCTGCAGGTTGGTGCCGCTGCCCGAAATTAGCACGACGATTTGCTTGACCATTGGCAGAGGGAGTGGGGAAAAAGAATAGCAAGGGGAACTAAAGAGCAGCAGCAAGGAGGGCGTGTGCGGGTTAGGTACCAGAGATGTTCACAGCCAGGCTGTTAGCAGACTCCCAACAGGAATTCCGGCTCGGCTCGAAGCGAGACTGGAAAGAGCTGATAAGGAACCAAGGCGAGCTGTGGTTGGATCAGACTCGCCTTTTTTGTCTCTTACACAAGCCCGAATTTCGCAATTGCACCACGCTTCAGTTCACAGCAAGAAAAAGAATGTCGTTTATCAGCCTCTCCGTACGCCGCAGCATCATCGCCCCGCGGCTACGTCCCACGGCGACACTCGCGCGTGCATACACAACAGCCAAGGTGGACATCAAGGCGCTGAAGAAGCTGCGCACACTGAACCCGGTGGCCATGAGCAAAGCCAAAGAGGCGCTGCTGAGCTGCGACAACGACATCACCCGGGCATTGGCGTGGCTGGAGGAGGACGCGCTCAAGGCGGGGGCCAAGAAGGCCGACAAGGTCAAGGATCGCGTGGCCTCGGAGGGAGCGGTGTCGGTGTTTGTGAACGAGTCGCTGACCGCAGCGACGATTGTGGAGCTTGGGTGCGAGACAGACTTTGTGGCTCGCAATGCGTCGTTTGTTGACTTGGCGGCAGAGATTGCACAGGCCGGCATGGGGTTCGCCAGCACGTCGGCGGAGGGGGCGGTGCTGGCAGGGATCGAGGCACATGACCTAGCCGCCAAAATGCTCGATGGCCGCACCGTGAGCGACACCATCACCGAGACGATCGGACGGCTGGGCGAAAACATCGTGCTGCGGCGGGCAGCGGTGGTGGGCGCACCGTCGGCGGCTGAAAGCATTGTGGTGAGCGGCTATGTGCATGGCAGCGTCAAGGGCAGCGCCGGTGGATCGGCGGGCAAGATCGGCGGGCTGGTGGCTGTGACCAGCAGCATCAAGAGCGACGCACACCGGAGCACGCTGAGCCAGCTGACGCGCCGGCTCGCGCAGCAGGTGGTTGGGTATGGGCCGCGGTTCACCACCATGGAGGAGTACCAGAAGGCTGGTGAGCAGGCCGAGGCGCCGGACGCAGTAGTGCTGGAGGAGCAGCAGTTTTTGTTTGGCGGCGGCTCGGTCAAGGAGGTGCTGGCCAAGATCTCAAAGGAGATCGGGGCGCCGGTTGAGATTCTGTCGTTTGTGCGGTACGAGCGCGGCGAGGGCGTGGAGAAGGCCGACAAGCCCGACTTTGCCGAGGAGGTCCGCCAGCAGCTGGCTTGAGGCAGGACGTCTACTATTGTAGTTCGATCCAGCCTCACGCTTACTGGAAAGGCATTGGACTAGAGCCCAACAACGTGATCGCCGAAATTTGGGGGCGTTCCTGATAGTTCGGGTGGTTTTGAAAAATGAATTTCTCTTTCCTTTCTCGATACTCTCGCTATAGTTTTTCTGTACTCTACCCATCTCCCAGCTTTGCGCTTGCATGATACAAGGACATGGTCTGTAGTGCTCGCTGATAATGCCGCTAGACCACGACGAAACCACACCCACCGCCAGCCCGGATGGGTCCCCGCGCAGCTCGCACGAGTGGGCCAGCGGCGAGCGGATAAGCCACGAGGACCCGGAGCCCTCGTACAGCGTCTTTGTGCCGATATTCTCACGCAAACGCACAGCGTCGACGCAGGCAATCCATGACTTTGACATAGTCGGCTCCGACTATGCGCCCAGCACCGCATCCGACGACAGCAGCGAGGCCGAGCACCAGCGCGCCAGCACACAGTGCGAAACCATCTCGGACGACCACAGCGGGTACGACAGCGGCTTTGCCAAGCAGCCGTGTAGTGTGCGGACCATGGCGCTGTCGGCGTCCGAGTCGGCCACGTTGGTACAGATAGGCTCACACCCGCCGTTCATTGGCGCGTCGGGTGACGGCTCCCTGGACGGTGGCGGGACGCGGGCGGCCCAGCTCGTGCCTGCGTCGGAGTCGGTTCCCCACGGTGCAACGGTGCTGTGGTTGCGGCGCCACGGGTTTGAGCGGCCGTGGGACCTGCTGTTCCTTATCCACTGGGCGGTGATTGGCGTGCTGCTGGGCGGGTTTTACTCGGCGATCCTGCTCTATCTGCGGGTGGCGGATCGTGCGGGCCCATGGTATGTGGTGCTGGCCGGTGCAGTAGTGCTGAGTGCTGCGACGGTTGTGCTGGATCTGTGGACATCGCTGAGTTGCACCGAGGCCTCTGAGGTGCGGCTAGTGCACGGCAGTCGCAACACCAACTATGTGTTTGAGCGCGGTGTGCCGGTGGTCGACGCCGTGACCAGCGTGTGCCAGGTGTGCTGCGTGCTGGTGAACCCAGGCACTCGCCACTGCAAGCGCTGCAACAAGTGCGTCGGCGGCTACGACCACCACTGTCGCTGGCTCAACACGTGCATTGCCGACACCAACTACCGCTTATTCTTCTCGTTCATAGGCCCTGGCCCTAGCGCACATCATGCTGCTGCTGGCGTGTGCTATCCGTGTCGTGTGCGTGTCAGTCGGCCGCCAAGCCGAGTTCAAGGATACGCTGTGGCGAGTGCTGGGCGGCTCCGGCAGCCCGTCGCAGTTTGTCGTTGTTCTGTGTCTGACACTGCTGGCTGCTTACATAATTATTGCCGTGGTCTCTGCGCTGGGCCTGGCTTTGTTACTGGGCTTCCACATTCGCCTGTGGTGGTTCGGTATGCGCACAATTGATTATCTGGCAAACCCGCGGGCGGCACGCAATGCAGCGTCCTGGCTCCATACGTCGCGGCGGTACCGTCATCTCAACACTGCGTCTCCCGACTCGACTCTGTCGGAGCCGGCCAGCGCCCATCGTGCTGTGCATTCGCCGGCGCTGTCGATGTTCTCGGCTGACAGCGCAGCGTCGGTTGTGCAGCCGCCGGCGTTTCCGGGCCTGGCGTGCATTCCGGCAGAGAGCGTCGCGCTGATTGTCGGGTCGGGCGAGTCTGTTATTGTCCCAGGCACACCCACTCCTGCATAAAAACTGCATCCTTCTACAATGATTGTAATTCTAATACAAGCATCCTCAAATACACATGCAGCAGCATGTCATGTCAGGGAGGAGTTTGGGGTAATGGCGTGTTCCCATTACATGCCCATATCCAGCATAGCTCTAATATCCCGAGATGGTGATGGTGCGCTATCAGTCCTGGCCAGCCCTCAGTCTTTTCTCTATTAAAAGTCATGTTACCAAACAGAAACCGTGTCAGAGCTCGGAAGCCACTGGGCAGCACAAGACCAGCCACGCTGTCCTGCTGAGCCAGTGCTCAACAAGCCCTCGGCGTCGGCCACCAAACAGCGACAGCATCCCCGGCACTCCGACATCGCCAGAACCCGCAGGCCAAGCCAGCCCCAGCAGAATCCACATTCCCACCAGCGCAAGGCGGCGATGCCAGCGAGCAGTACACGTATGTGACAGACGAGAGCGGCTACACATGGCTCTACAACACCTGTAAGCGGCCAATACTACTATTACGACTACACACAGAGCACGTATCTCCCGTACTCGGAGCAAGCCGCAGACAATGCCGAGCCAGCCAAGGATCATGAGACTGACGACAAGAAGCCGCGTAGCAAGCGGCGGCGAGTGGTCCGCATGGCCGGCGGCCAGGTCTGGGAGGACGAGACATTGGCCGAGTGGCCCGAGGACGACTACCGCCTGTTTGCCGGCAACCTGGGCCCAGACGTCACAACCGAGATGCTCGAGCAGGTATTTGGCAAGTTCCCGACCATGCAGAGGGCGCTGGTGGTGGTCGAGAAGAAATCGGGTAAGAGCAAGGGCTACGGCTTCCTGAGCTTTGCCAGCCCCGACGACTTTTTGGCCGCCTGGCGCGAATTCAACGGCAAGTACGTCGGAAGCCGCCCGATTATGCTGCGCAAGAGCACCTGGAAGAAGCGCGACGCTGACATCCGCAAGGTCAAGCGGTTGGACAAGCGCGCCTTCATCGAATTCAAGAGCCGCAGAAAGTAAGATAGTGGTTTGATTGCTAATTACAATTAAATAGAGACAGAGGAGGAGTTTAGCAGCATGACTCGCTGATGTGCGATGTCTTGGGCGGCATCCCGAACGACTCGGCCGAGCCGTCCAGCGCCTGGTGGGCCTTGGCGCGCTTGACCTGGCGCATCATCATCCAGTACCTGATCCCCTCGACACTGATCTGGCCCAGCGTCAGTCCAAGGCAGATAACGCAGAACATGGGGATATACACGTTCATGATCGCAATCATCAGCACGTAGCGGAACAGCGTCACCACAAAGTAGATGCATGCCCGCGGGAAGATGCGCCACGGCTGTCCAGGCTTGTCCTGGATGAGGTCAATGCTCAGCGAGAGCAGGCGCTCGGCAATTCCCAGCACAATGAGGAAAAAGTATGCCAGAGCAAAGTTTCCATCTGTCTTGAGATTGTATGCCTTGAAAACCAGGTTCAGGTAGATTGGGAACAGCTTATGGTCGGTGCTGCGGGCCACGAGTGTGTGGTGAGCCTGTGTGAACGCGTCAACGAGGGGAGTAGACATTTTACTAGAGCAAGTATAAAAAGAGAAAAAAGTTGAGGGCGGACGAGAGATAGAAAACAGCGACGTTTAATACTTTTTCAGCTCCCGTGGGGATAGGCTGTTGTTTTTGAAGTGCCGGGCAAGGGCTGCTCACTGTAGAACCAGCTTGGAAAATTGCTATTTTTGGAATACGCCCCTCGCGCAATGTGTGTGGGCAATCCCGCCTGACCGGAGCACGTTGGAGGACTTCACTGGCCAATGGGGCTGTTCGGGAGGGTTGTTCCATGCATCGTTCGAAGGACGTTCCCAAGACATTCCGGCATGCAAGAAACAAAAAAGGTCAACAATCAATTTACAGGGGTTCGCCACTCTTCCCCACCGCAGCACCATCATAGCAAGGTTTGCCGCACATGTATGGGCGGGTTGGGCCGGCGGAAGTATTGTCATATGCATTCTGGCCGCTCCAAGCAGACCTGCTTCATTTGGACGCACATCCTCCTAAATGCATGCCTTGGCAGGCAGCTGGCAGATCTGCCAGGTATGGTAAGGCGAAGGAGCTAGTAGCAATTCTGTAGTGCGGGTTTCTCCAAATTCCACTATTATATTTCCCATCACGATTTTGCCTGCAAGCGATAGCACCTTTGCAGCGCTACGCCTTTACTGCCAGCCCACCCGCATTCAAAGGCATGTCCATCTTGTAATGACATTCAAGCTACACACTGCAATGCTAGAATTGCATACATGAATATCACTGCTGTCGCTGACCTTGAGACATGCATTGACCAATATTGCCATGTACATTTTCTTTATGGCCATTGGAGGTGCTACTTCTAGCAGGCTCTTGATGATATCCATCCACTGCTATCTGGCATGAATGAAAAGCACCATGTAGCAGCAGCAACTCTTGTAAACACCATGGTTCTTTTAAAAAAACCACTCTCGTCCTTAATTTTCCTCAAACACAAGTGCCTCCCAGCTTCTTCCCGCTGCTGTCCTTGCTGCAAATACATCTTGCTGATGGCATTCGATAGCTACGGTAAAAACCCCTCAGCGTGGATCAAGGCTAACTGGGTCTCGGCCCAGGTTCGGTTATTGCGGGAGGCCAACATGAGGGAAGATGTGGTGAATGAAAAGTGGTCTCGGCTCTAGCCACCATTTTCCAATGTCAAGGGTATCTCAAAGAGTCATTGCAGAAGCAGAGGAAACCGCACGCTTTCTCTTCTCTGCATTGCATTCACTTTTACCCGCTCTCCATTGACAATATCCTGAACTGCGATGACTGCTCTTCTTGCTGACGCGTTCATGCATGCTCACCACGCGCTGATGGCCCGCAGTAGCAATCATGAGCAGTTCCCAATCTATCTGAACTTGGTTTTCAAGGCATACAGTCTCAAGACAGATGGCAAGCTTTGCTCTGGCATACTTCTTCCTCATTGTGCTGGGAATTGCCGAGCGCCTGCTCTCGCTGAGCATTGACCTCATCCAGGACAAGCCTGGACAGCCGTGGCGCATCTTCCCGCGGGCATGCATCTACTTTGTGGTGACGCTGTTCCGCTACGTGCTGATGATTGCGATCATGAACGTGTATATCCCCATGTTCTGCGTTATCTGCCTTGGGCTAACGCTGGGCCAGATCAGTGTCGAGGGGATCAGGTATAGGGCGATGATGCGTAGGCTGAAGCACCAAATTGGCCAAGGCTCGATCATCGATGGGTTCACTCAGATCAAGAATCCAGTCGAGGAGTCAACGCCGTTTAGCGTGGTGCCAATGTCACACACCAAGGACGGGTGCTGCTAAGATATGTTTACATTGTTTTAAGCGAATGCAATGTATATAAGTGCACGTATTCCAAATCCAGCTAGCTGAAGTCATAGCGAGACATAGGGGACAGAGCCCAAAAATCGGAATCAACTGATCTACTTCCTCTCCGAATGCCATACTATCCGCACGCATCCATTTGGCGATGAATCAGCCAAAGGCGGTTGACGACGTGCCGCCCCCACTTCCTACCTTTGCACACTTTTTGCAACCCTTCGCCTGCCACTATCTTCACATATTCGCCAGCTGCATAGACATGAAGGCAGAAGACGCGATCCTAGGGGTGTTTCTAGCCACATATTCGTCCAAGGGCGATCACCTGCCTCTTCGTTATCCGCTAACACAGTTCGACTACGAGTACGCCAAGTCAGTTTTAAGCGAAAATGAAGCGGCTGAAGCACGCAAGCGTAGCACCCGGCTCAGCAAGGAGGGCAGCATTGATGCTGGTGAATCGCACGACAAGAGCGCAGTCGAGACAGCGCACACAGACGGACGGATAAAAGACGGCATGGCGTCACGCAACGACAGCTATACATCGATTGCTACGGCAATGACACAGCCCAAGCCAGCACCAAAGGACGCAAGGACGAGCGAAAGCGCCAGTAGCGTGCGGCAGTTCACCGGCGGGGCACTGGCTGCCGAGCTTGGGAGCGAGGGCGATCGGAGACCATGCATGGAGCAATCGATGCACGGGTTCGAGACAAAGTTCCTAGCACAGCTGTTCTCGCCCAAGCCGTCGATGAGCGATCAGCGGTTCCAGGTGGCGATAGACAAGGTTCTGTTTGTGGGCCATCCTCTGCGCGACGACCCCAATGAGCGGGCACAGGATCCTGATTACTATGACACGGAGCAGGACGAAGCCGACTCGATGTCACGGTTTGCATCGATGACGGATTTTGACGGGTGGAAGGTCAAGTCCGATATGATGGTGGGGCGGGCGTCGCGACATCATGGCACAAAGCTGCTCGCGGATCTGGGGCTGTTGAATCTGATGATGCACCGGGAGCCGAGCGAGGCCGGAGACAGCGCGATATCAGAAGGGGAGTGGGCTGTACGTGACAGCAAAGAATGGAAGCGACGCGGGTACCGCAAACCGCGGTACGACTCGCTGTTCCATATCGTGTTCATGCTGGACAACACGGCCCCTGGGGTCGAGACACTGGCCAATCTGCTGTATGGGCATGTGTTGAAGCGGCTCACAAAGGCGCTGCAGATCGAGCAGAATGGTGCAAACTATGTGCTGACAGAGTCGCGGGTTATTCGCAGCCTCAATGACATGGCCCTGAAGGACAGGTACACGTCGGCCAGGTACATCCAGGAGTTGGTTGCAAGGTCCTCGCTAGCCTGCGATCTGATCAAGCTGTACAACGGCCTGCGCAACAGCGAGTTGGTCAACCTGCACATTCACAAGCGGATCATGGTGTCGCTGCAGATTCCCAGCGGACCGGGACTCAACCGGCCAGTGCCGACAGCACGGCCACGAGCATTCTTCAACTCGGGATACGGCCAGACTGGACACAACAGCAACAATCTTGTTGATCGCAGCAATGTTGTGTCCCTGGCTACCACACCGCGGCCAGCCACGCCGTCAGAAAGCACACCAGGCAGCGCGCTCGACATATCTGCTGCCAGCCAGCTGCAGCTAAGCCAGAGATTAGATGCATTGCGACAGGTATCCCAATCAGTGGCCCCACCAGTGCAGGAGTACTGGGGGCCAGCACTGTTTGCGCCGAGTCAGAGCGGCGACATCGGATTCAACTACGAGTCGAGCGGTGCAATGGCGCATGGCTTGCCAGCGAAGCCGTGGACACACACGCACCAGGGCAAGGGCATGGCACGTGGGGCGGTGGAACAGGCTGATGTCATTGTCACTGGACGCGAGCTGCGCGAGCACCAGCACGGGCTCTACCCACGGATCAAGCCGTACCATGCAATTTTGCTGCTTGGCGACACCAACACCCTTCGCCGACAGCTCTTGTTTGCCGATGCGTCGCCCACGCTAGTGGCGGTTATTGAGCGTGCAACGCCGAATAAGACGCTGGCAATGCTGCACACGCTGGTAGGACTGCTCGTTTGCGCAGCTGTGCCGGCTGGTTGCTCACCTGATCTATTGGAATGTCGCACGGGTCGTGTGCCCGGTCAATTTGGGCCACACGTACACTCCGACGCTCAAGCAGCTGACGCCTGCACTGATAAGCCAGTTCAACAGCCAAGGCTTCCACCTGTGCTCGCTGCCCAAGCTGCTGGCGCTGCTGCACTTGCCACGTCCAGCAATCCATGTGCTCGACGCACTGGGCTTGAATGACAAGCCAAAGCCGAGCAGCTCGGCCAAGGACGACGGCGGGCGGGACCAGATCCGGCACGAGCGACGGGCGGAGCTGCGGGAGATCGTTGTGTTTCTGTTACGGCAGGGCGCGATCGCCCAGTTCCATACATGGCCGGTGCTGCTGGTGCCCAACTATGTAAAGTTTGACCTCGACCAGGAGCAGTTTGTCAGCCTGGCTCTGGCCTGGTTCTCGACGCTGTATACCGAGCACCCTGACCTTCTAGGCGCCTTCCCGCAGTCCCTGCTAAACTGCAGCGAAATCGAAAAGTGGGATATCGGTGTACAGCACGACCGGGCAGCGGTGGACAATGTCAGTGCGGCATTCCGTGACGTCGAATATCAGGCGGTGATGTGTGAGGTGATGTGCAAAATAGCCCTCCGCCGCGTGCAGGACAAGTGGGCGGAGCATATGTGTGACAAGCACGGCCAGGAGCTGCGACGGATGGAGCGCGAGATGGCCGACGAGGAGCAGACCGTGCGCGACTTTTGTGCGCGCCTGGAGCAGCAGAAATTCGACATGTGGGGCCAGACCAAGGACAAGTTCCGCACTTTTGTCGACATGCAGAACCGCCAGCGCAAAAAGGTGCTGGACGAGGAAGGACCAAGAGTGTTTACTGCCAAGGACCCGGACATGGTGACGTTCACCAGAGAGGTGGTCGAAAAGTACGTCACGTTTGTGCCCACGGACGGCTATGAGCAGGGGACCGATGCCGAGAAGCGGTACATTACCAAGCTGCTGGACAAGAAGCGCGGCGACCTGCAGGACTGGTTCCTGAAGCACTCGCACTTCTTTGACGGAAAGCACCACCTGGTCGAGATTGCTGATTTCGGCCAGACGTCGCTGTCAAAGGTCGAGTACTACCTGGCCGAGCTCTCTGATCTTCTGCTGCTGCCGCGGCATATCTAGCCAGCCCCGAGGCCATATCGGACGCTGAGCCTATTCTCGTCTATTTTGACCAGCACTTTGTGGCTCAGAATAAAAAGTTTTGCTTGATCGTCGGAGTAGCAGTCAGCGCCAGGGGGTGTAAACAAACCTAGGGGGATGATGACTCGGCCGGATTTCTTGGTTTCAGCTGTCTTTCGCCTTCTTTCGCTCCATTTGTTCGCATTTCAGTAATAGGACTCCTCGAATCCAGCTTTTCAAATTTAGACCCCAGCCCGCTTTTACTTTTATTTTTTGCTTGAAGAAATGGAAAGAGCGCCCAGTAGAGCCAAGGCAACAAATATCCTGCGTCCCAGCAGTAGGGCGCAGGGCCCGGGGTTCGCTGATAGCGGCATGCAGCCGCAGGCGCGCGTCTTGCCCGGCGGAGCGCGGGTCATCACACCGTCGCATAGCAATGGGCAGCCGGTGCCTCCCGTGGGCGCACAGATGCGGCGGCCTCCCTCAGCAGCGCAGTTCCTCAACCACCAGCTCGACTACACGCACCAGGTCAGCTATGCGCACCAGCAGCAGGACGCGATGGGCCGCCAGCGGATGAACTCGTACTACGAGGGTATGGCCGGCGATCCGGCCAACATCGTCCGGTCCGGCAGCCGGGCTGAGCAGCAACCGCCGCAATCGCCGCACGGGCAGCAGCGGGCGCCGTCACGGTCGGGCCGGCCAAGCACGGTGACGGGGTTCTGGCCCGGCCACATGGCGCAGCAGAACCCGGTTCCTATGGGCATGGCTAACATGTTTGGCGGCGGCTTTGGCACCATGGGCATGGGCATGCCGGGTGCGATGGTGATGGCTGGTCAGCAGCCGATGCCGCCGCTGAGTGGTAGCCGTCCGAGCAGCGCACTGCAGGTGGTGCCGCCACCGCAGCAGCAGCAGCCAGGAGGCAGGCCAGGCACAGCCACTGGGCATCGGCCGCCGTCGTCGGCTGACCCGAATGCGCCAATGGTCGTCAATGTTGCGCGCGGTGGAGCGCGGGTGATTGGGCCGATGCGCGCAAAGACGCCGATGGGCGATACCATGTTCCTGAACCCCATCCCGCAGTCGCCATCATCGAACATCGGCTCACATCTGGTCAACCACGCCGCTGAGGTACAGAACGCACGGGATGCTGTCAAGTCCGCCCTGTCAAACGCCTCTCGGGAATCTGGTCGCAGCCGGTCCAACAGCACCGTGATGCAGCCCTCGGAGGAATCGATGGAGGCTGCCGAGGCGCGGGTCAGCCGGAAGGTACGTTGCAGTGCATAGGAATAAGCCGCGGGCGAACGCTAATTTCGGCGGAGTGACTTGCTTTTTTTTTTTTGCATGTGCAGTTGGCGGTGGTCGGGTGATTGTCTTTATCTCCACTGTCGTCATCTGGCTGCTGGTATATTGGCCTAGGAGAGTCAGGCCAGATGTGCCTTGCCTCCTATCGATATATGCATCGCTGATCAGCTTTTATTGATTACTCGCTGTGTAGATCCAGGACCTTGAGATCTCAAACAAGTCGCTGATGGCTGTCAATGCCCAGCTTGAAGCCCGCGTCAAGCAGCAGACCGAGAAGATCAGGGACCTGAACAAGCAGCTGAAGAACAGGGTGCCGTTTGACGCAGAGGCAGCCATTGATATCGAAATTAACGACGAGGTAAGTGCGGCGTTCTCTCTTTGCCTGTTGTGCAGTGAAATGTGGTCTTGTGTTGTCGTGGACATCATGGCAATGATGGTGATGATAGTGAGAACCGCACTTTCTCGTCACAGCCTCCGCACAACATTCATACATATATTGCGCACCTGTATATTCCCAACAACACAATCCAAGCTCCTCACCGCTCGCCAAATAGGCTCTGAGATCGGCGCTTATGGAGGACAAAGCATATGAACGCCTGATTTCTAATCTCGAACACCTAATACAGGATGCCAAAGAGGCAATCGAGTACAGGTCGATTATTAAGGCCGGCAAGGTCATCAGCGCAGCGGAGCTGGCAGAAGGTAAGTCCCAATCACCGAGACGCTGCGTTTGGCATCTGGCTCTTGCACTGAACCATTGCTTCGTCATCTGTAGAAGATGCGCAATCGACCGTTGGCAAGAACTCGGAGCGTCTGGGCGGACCAGACGAGGAGGCGGATCAGCAACAGGATGCCAAGGAATCGGATGGCACTGCTGAAGACGCCTTGGCTGATGAGGAGGCTGCCCAGGTCGACACAGAGGAGAAGGAGGCGCGTGAGGCTGAGGAGAAGAAGAAGGAGCAGCACTTGCAGGAGGCCCGCGAGCTGGTGGCCAAGCTGATGGTGCTGGCACTGGCATCGCATGATGCATCTGCGTCTGGTGAAAAGTCGGCAGCAGGCGCGCGCACGGGGATCCCTCGGCGGCCGGGGTCATCAGCAGCCATGCACATGGGCCTCGGCAAATCCGCGAGCCTGAGCAAAGCATCGGTGCGCACGCCAACAAAGTCTTCCAATGCGCGGATCAGCAGCTTTGGTGTTGCCTCGGCAAACAGCCCGGTGCGCTCATCGACTGCTAGCCCGTCACCGGCGACTAAGGTGGCCAAGGATGACACGCAGGGCGAGAAGGACCAGATCCTGGACATTTGCCGCCAGCTCCAGAACCTACTCTAATTCTGGCTGTTTTGTTCTGTAGGCCAGCTGGTGGCATTTTTTGATCCCGTTTTAACATCACTTTTGCTGAATGTACCCTCCCCCATTCTCTTCCGCTCTACACCATACGAGCTGAAGCCATTTTTAATGAATGATACGTGAAAAAAAAGCCGGGTGGGAAATGGGGTTAAGCAATGGCGCACGGGTGGTATACTACATGTGGAATTTCATCGAGACATGTGCAGAGACGGAGCTCAAACACATCAGTTGGTGCTGTAGAGCGAACTGCTGGCCTGCAAGAGCTGCCACATTGGGATCGCTAATTTTGGCTGTGTCCGCCGCTCGGTTGAGACAGGCACGCAGCGTTGCTGCTGAGGCTGTCAAGCAGAGAATCGGTTGATGAAGTGTTGGTGCTCTGCACCATGCCGCCAATAGCGACTCATTGCCTGTCAATATATTGGCTGACGGCGCCATCTGCTGCGGCGGCTGTTGCTGCTGTTGGCTGTTGCGGCTGCTGCTGCTTGGGAATATCAAGTAGGGCGAATGGGTCGCTGCTGCTTGTCTCAATTCCACCGTGCATTGCCTTCGTAGTAACTGAGCTGTTTGTAATAATCGCTGGCGTCGCGATCTTGGGGGACGGAGAGAAGATGTTGCTCAGCGCTCTGTCGATGGCGGCTGAGCTGCTGTTCAGTGTGCACAGCGACGCTGCTGCTGCTGTAGATGTCATATCGATCGGGGCGCTATTAGCAGAGGTCTGCAGCTCACTCATATTTTGCGGGATCGCAATTGAGAGCGGCCACATGCTTGCTGTTGTGAGCTGAGCAGGAAACGTTATCCCGAGGCTGCCGGGCGAGGCTGGGTCGAATCCACCCAGCGTTGACTTGCTGCTAGCCCGATCTGTTGGACGAGGGTGACGACGGAGGCATATTTGCACTCGTCAACGAAGCTATAGCTGAGCCAGCGGCAGCGGCAGCAGCAGCAGCAGCAGCATTGGGTGATGAAATCGAGCTGTCGAGGGACGGAAAGATGGCTGCAGGGAACTGCGTCGTCGAGTTGGCGTTGTACATGAGGCTCGAAGGCCCAAAGGAGCCCATCCCCCCAGTTACCTGCTGCTGTTGCTGAGACAGAGCAGATACCGACTGCGCCAATCCAGCTGTGGTGCGGAAGCTAGGCGCGTATCCATACACCCTCTGGTCGCTGAATCCAGCAGTTGTGTTGGCAGCAGCTAGAGGAGGTAGGTAGCTTGAGCGGTCATCAGAAACAAGCGTGTTGAAGCGGTTGCGGCCAGTGAACCCTGAGAACGGTGTGCGTCCTACAGCCGACTGCGACATGCCATGTGCTGACATATTGCATGCGTCGCCGATGATGCTGGCAGTCGTAGCACTGCGCATGCGACCACCATATTGGCGCTTGTGCGTGTGCACCTTGTAGTGCCGCCTCAAGTTGCTGAGCACCGAGAACCGCTTGGTGCAATTTGGGAAGTCGCATGCAAACGGTTTCTCGCCTGTATGTGTGTACACGTGCGATGTCAGTGAGCTTGGCCGTGTAAAGCGCTTCTTGCAGTGCGTGCACTCGTACTTGCGCTCGCGCTTCTCCTTCTCAGTGTACTGCACAGTCACCATCTGGATCTTGCGCATTGCCGCTTGTTGCTGCTGCTGAGCGGTGGAAGAGGGGGTGGGTGTGTGCACGTTGTTCATGGCACGTCGCTTTGGCGGTGGGGCATCGTTTTTATCACTGGAGGGAGAGACAGAATCATCAGGCGAACTTGTCAGTGACGGCATATCCGATGATAACGACGTACCAGCAGGTGGTCCTTGTGTGCTGTTTGTCTCGCAGGATGGAGAGCCGAGAAGTAGGCTGATAGCCGAAGCACTATCTGGAAACGACATCATGTCGATGCTTGTGGACCCAGGCATGGCTGATGATGAGTTGTCGAAGAATGACATTGGGTCAAGAAAAGATGCTGCGGATAAACTGGAATGAGAGTAAAGGGGGACGATGGGGGAAGAGGGAAGGTTAACGGATGTCAAAGAGGAAAGGTAGGGCAGAAAAAGAGAGGTAGGGGTAGCGAAGCGAAGTGTTAGGTGAAGAATTCAGGATCAACTGTGTGCGGGAGGCAATGGCTAATATGCGCTTCGCAGGGAGTCGGCCAGTGCTGGCTTGGTGGAATGCTTTGGAAATTCAATACACGAGCCTCTGAGGATCGAGCTAGTTTTAACGAATGGGACCAAGATAGCCTGGCTTGAGTGTCTAGAACGCCCGGCAATATACTTTTCGGCTGGTTATGTAAGTTAATGAAATGAAGCAAGGAATATGCCCGACCAGGACGAAAGGGCGCGAGGAATTAATTAAACAACACGGAGGGGCTGGTTTAATGAATTTGAGACCAGGGATCGGGAGTGTGCAAGCGGTAATGGCCGTTCGTTATAGTCGTAATAGCGATCTGCCGATATCGTGAAGAATAGCAATAAAAAGGCCCAAGAGGAGGAGAAAGGAGCTGAGGAGAAGAGGGCGCGGGCGAGGGCAGCCTTATTTTAAATTTTGGTAGGGCTCCTAGGGACGCCAAGGGAATTTGGCTGTTGCTCTCGTGGTAGGGGGAGGATAGTAATGCTGCTATTGCGATGTGACTTTGTTAATGTGCTGGGACACGGGATTCTGAGAGAAGGGCAAGCGACGGCGATGCAGGCTCTCAAACATGTCGCCAGCTTCCTTATTAGGCAGCATCCACTGTGGGCGACCAAAAAACGTAGGAAAGGGCATCTCGCTCAAGAGCCCCTATTGCTGGGTGGTGGATGGTCTAGTATCTACGTAATCTGCACATTTGCTGCAGCGGCTGCATATGTCGGCGTGCGTATACGTACTACAGACTGAAGAGTGCCGGCGGCACTATTACATGTCTCTGGAGATAATGTTTCTCCTGGCGTCTGCCTGTGATTGGCCATGTCCCCAAACCGACAGCACTAGCCTAGGATCGGCAGGCAAGAGTAGGCTGGTGACGGCTGTGGTGCTGGTTTGGCACTCGAGCCAGAAAAAACACCACTACCACCGCTTCCGCAGACAAAGGAAAAAGGGCACGCAGGGTCTAGGCAGAGGAATTCTCAGACACTTTTACGTGGCTGGTATCATTCGCAGCAACTGCTGGCTATGCTGCTATTGCTATAGTTTATCAACAAAAAGGCACCGATCTAGGCTGTCGTCTGTCGAGCAGCAAGAAACTCGCGGCGAAGAGCTAATAGCTCGGGCTTCCAGCCCAGGCGATCGGCGAGCAAAACACACGCCGCGTCGCAGTCGCCAAGCATCAGGGCATCACGGTGCACAGCGCTGGCAAATCTACCGTCGAAATCAAGCCCGACGCCGCGTGCTTTCGATTCGCCAACCCGCTCGCGGTTAATGAGCAGGCGTGGCACGCTCTTGCTGACGAGATTGACAAGCCCTGCGAACGGGTGGACGGCCAGAGAGGTGCCCATGACCATGAGTAGATCGCACTGGTCCAGGTCGTCGTGCATCAGGTCAAAGAAGCGCTTGGGCAGGCCCTCACCAAAGAAGGTGATGTCAGGCTTGACCAGGCTGCCGCATTGTCTGCAGTGTGGGATCTCATCACGGAATACCAGATCACGGACCCACTCCTTCGAGTGCTCCTCGCGGCAGTCCTCGTTGATGCAGTGCGCAGTCTTAAACGACCCGTGCGCTTCCACAACCAGATCGTCGCTAACACCGGCTATCGAATCTAGGCAGTCTATATTCTGCGTGTAATGCCGTAGCAGGACGCCCTTCGACTCCAGAAGCTTGACAAAGAAGTGACTCAGCGTCGGTATGTATAGGTCCGGATACAGCTCCTTGGCCAGCACAAAGAACGGCTTCGGGTTCTCTTCAAAGTAGTCCATAGTGAAAATTGCCTCGGGGTATGGCAGATCAAATTTGGCCAGGTTTGCATACAGACCGGTTCCAGGCGACCGGAAGTCTGGGATTCCTGCGGCAGTTGAAATTCCTGCACCAGCCATGACCACAATCTTCTTCACCTTGCCCTGGCTGACCATGTCGACTATGTGGTCCAATGACGACATGCTCTTGCCGAAAATCGTCTTCGTGCGACGGCCCAGTCTTGGCTCATAGACCCTGACATTGTCCACATCGGGTACGGCTTCATCTACAACCAATTCCTGGGATTCCTCTGGTTCCGACTCGTGGCTGTCGGGCACAACAGCGTCACCTGCCTGCGCAGTAGCTTCGCTCTCTCGCGTGTCCTTTTGTCGGACATTGGTGCCGATGTTGAGGCTCTGAACGATATCAGCTAGCTCGTCGACTGTAGTGGTGCTAGTAGTAATAGTGTTTTCTCCCTTCATTGTAGCGTGCATTTAGAGTATTAAGCCTGTATAATAAAAACAACCAAAAGCAAAAAAAACCTGTAGCAAGAGGAGCTGTAGACCAGAACAGCTGTGGCACCACAGCTGTCAATTTTTTCAGCCTTTGCCCTTGGCGCTGTTGATGCAGCTGAAGATCAAAAGATCATCAGCTGCGGCGCGAAAGCGGTTGGGCGTCGTCCTCGTCCTCGTCCGAGTCAAACAGCTGTGTCCGGATGTTGTACTCTTCAGAGTCCAGGCTGATGTCGCCACGACGGCGCACAGCGCCCCGCCGGCAAGTGACGACGTCAAACACAGTCAGAAAACAGGTGCTGAAGAAGACGTAGATTGCGTGCCACATTGCGTAGTTTGGCAACTGCTCGAGTCCACGCAGCCCACGGGACGAGTTGAACACGCGGTTGTACAGGAATCCGCCCAGCATATAGATGCTGCCGACCAGGAACACAGCGACAAATATAACCGAATTGCGGTCAGGCCCATCTAAAAGTCCTCCATCACCTCTACTGTTGTCGTCGTCATCATCTGCTGCGGGTAGTGGCTGCGGCGAGTCTGGTGCAGACTCAAGGTGTTCCACAGAACAGGCATGCGGCGTTCTCCACTCGAACAAAAAAGCGCACTGGTCCCATTCGGCGACAAACTCGGGATTGCCCGCACCATGGACTGCGTTATCACAAATGAACGATATGAGTGTCGACTGCTTCAAGTGCGAATTGCTTGGACACACGTCTCCATCGGTGTATTCGAGCAGCAGGCGCTTGCCGCGAAGAAACGGTTTTGTGTTCGCCATACCCATCAGCCCGCGCTCTCCGCTGCGCTGCCATTGCGCTGCACTTTCACCACTAGATACTGAAAGTGCGCTGCATACGTTAATGTCAAACGAGTAGCCTGTATCGAAGCCGTCAACACTATAAACACCATTAGCACGCCGCAGAGGCCGTAGGTCGTAGTAGCGGCCAGAACCATTGTCGCTCAGCGTGCAATCTGGTGTATTGTCAGCAGAGCCAGCTGCAGCTGCTAGTGTTGTGGATTCTAGTGCCAAAAACAGCGTAGAGAGGTTCGTCCAAGCGCATTGTCAATTTAGAAATAAAAAGTACAAAAAATATGTTAAAAAAGTTGTAGGGGAATGAAAGCGAAAATGCGCTGGCCGGTCTTGGCGTGATCAAGGAATCCGCCGGTGTTTACGGAGTGGGAGAATCTGGGTGGGCATCACTGTCACCCTCGCAGGATAGTCCCAAGAATGATGAACGCTACAGTGACCCAGAGCGAGTCGAAGAGGCCCACTGTACTAGTGGTCCTAGAGAAACTCCATGTGCTGTCTGGTTCCTTGAGGACGACGTGGCGAGCGGACCCAGGTCGCCAGCCATTACCGAATATGTAGTCTGAAGCGGTGAAGCAGGGCAGTTGTTGGCATGGCTATCTCCAATTTTAATGATGCAAGTGTGTAGGAGTGTGTGGATACAAAGGCGACAGAGATGATTATTGGCACATACACTCCCATTGTGCGCACCCGAAGTGCAGACCAAATTCCTGCTTAAAGGCATACACTGCTTAGGGGGACAGCATCATGTTCGAGCAGGGATCTACTTGGAGTATAGTCGTGTTCAATGTTCACAATATAAAACGGTATAATGGTTGAAAACAGTGCAGAAATGTGAAAACTATTAAAAGATTGGAGATGCCAGGATGTTAGATAATAATGGCAGTCTCGTCTGTACCAGCAATATTGTTGACGATGGGTAGCGATGTTGCTGGATAGGACTGCTCGTCATAGTAGTCGTACTCGATGGTAGTCGCTGATGTGGGCAAAACGTCTGTATATGGTAGTGATGGGATTTCCTTCATAGTAAGGAGGATTGCCTCCGTAGTAAGGGGGGTTTCCTCCGTAGTAAGGGGGGTTTCCTCCGTAGTAGGGAGGGTTACCTCCGTAGTAGGGAGGGTTTCCTCCATTGTATGGCTGCGCCAGAGTTGTGTATGTAGGCAAAGGCTGGCTACCGCCATTGTAGCCGTTATAACTATCGCTGTAACCACCGTTGTAGCCGTTGTAGCTATCGCTGTAGCCACCGTTGTAGCCGTTGTAGCTATCGCTGTAACCACCGTTGTAGCCGTTGTAGCTATCGCTGTAGCCACCGTTGTAGCCGTTGTAACTATCGCTGTAGCCACCGTTGTAGCCACCGTTGTAGCCACCGTTGTAACCATCGCTGTAACCGCCGCTGTAGACAGCGTTATATGCGCTATTGCCGCCGCCGTCGTAACCGCCGCTGTAACCATCGCTGTAGCCACTGCTATAGGTTGGTACAATCACAGGTATGTAGGGGGTTGGTGTAATCACAGGTATGTAAGGAGTTGGTGGAATCACAGGTATGTAAGGGGTTGTTGTAATCACAGGTATATAAGGGGTTGGTGCAATTACAGGTTTGTAAGGGGTTGTTGTAATCACAGGTATGTAGGGAGTTGTTGTAATCACAGGCTTGTAAGGGGTTGTTGTTGTTGTTGTTGTGGGAAGGACTCCATTCCAGGTGTAGGTCGGCAGTGGAATAGCGATGGAGATGCTCGGGCCAGGCGGCAGGCCACCTCCACATGGAATAATAACACCGTTGCTGTCGACACAGACAGTCGTCGTTGATGTTGCTAATGGCCGAAGTGAAGGCAGAGGCTGGGGCAGAGGCACAGGGGGAGGAGCTGTGATAGTGGCAGCAACGTAGTTGGGCGGGGGGACATAAGGATGTCCGTAGTTGGGCGGAGGGATATGAGGAGGTCCATAGCTGGGCAGAGGGACATGAGGATGTCCATAGCTGGGCGGAGGGACATGAGGATGTCCGTAGCTGGGCGGGGGGACATATATAGGACCATAGATGGCCGGTGGCGGCAGGGCAGACCCGTAGATGGGTGGACCGCCTCCTTGATAGGGTCCGTACGGGTCACCACCGGGATTAACCGTAATAGGCTATCGGCCCGGTACCGTAGCCTGCACGGTCCCTCCTGTGACCCTTGCCCTTCTTGGCAGGACCTTTGTTCGATTCGGCCGCATGCTCGACCAAGTATGAGGCCGCCCAGGCAAGGTTATTATCGTCGACGCCAGCGAGCTCCTCTGGCACATCGCGCTGTTTCGCCTTTAGCGGCTCCTGCTTCTCGAGCTCCAGGCAGTGAGCGGTGCCAGAAACCGCGAGGCATTGCATGTTCTTTGGGCAGTGTATCGGGATGTACTCGGTGTTCTTGCAGTGCAGGTAGACGTTGATGTTGTCCTTGTCGCAAGCACGCTGGCCATCAGCAGCGCAGTTGTCCCAGGCATGCGCACTGATGGCTGCCTGCTGGCTGCCTGACTGGGCTGATCTTGCAACCAGATGCTTGCCGATGCGTCGCGCGTTGGCGCCAAGCACTGCATCCGGAAAGACCCAGCTCTTATCCTGCAAAAGGTCCGAGTTCAGCGGGCGGGGGTGGATCGCTCCGCTGTCGGGCTGCTGCAGATCCAGCAGTTGCCGATGTGAGCTGGATCACCGTGTAGAGAGCCAAGAGCTGGCCGACATAGTTGAGTTTCAAGCCAACCATGGTGCAAGTCGTGTAGAATATAAAAATGCGAGCTGTCTAGTCTGGATGTCAAGGAGGAGAAACTGCAGACAAGTTTGAATGGTTATTTGGCATGGTTGATGGAGTGCAGTGCAGTATATGTAGTCGGCTGGAACAGTTGACTGCATGTAGCACTCGTACACCCGATTCAGCGCTGGCATGGCTGTCCTTTGGTCATCTGCGTCCTCTTTCCCCAGCCAACCAGCCTTGACGGCCGTTTTACCAAGCAGCTAGCCAGAGACAATGAGCAGCAGGAGTAACAGGGCGCTGGACCGTGTGTCACGTAGAAACAGTCGGTCTTGGATGTGGAGGAGTGAAAGAAGACGCGGGGCATAGATAGCTGGAGCTCTTATATTGGACAGAAGGGTTTGCATTCACAGCTGCACCAGTACCCCCACATTGTGTCTCTGTCTATCCCTCTCTCCGCCCCACATGTGCTAGTTTCAGCCATACCAAAAAAAATAATGATGTTGGGATTGCGAGGTTTAGAGAAAATAGAAGAGATACTGGTGGTTCTGGTTTACTCAGACTTTTGGATCGGACTCATCTCGATCTCATCGCTGGTCGACGACCGGGCATCACGGCGCGTACGGATACCGAAACGCATCCTCCTCGTCCTCGTCTCCGGCGTCGAACAGAACATGCACATCGCGGACCGGTCTCTTCACTGCCGTAGTTGCCATTGCGGATCTCTGCGACCTGACCCACGGTGTGGTACGCAATGCCATCATCGGTGACCGGCAGCGAGCCTGAGCCATGGCTACTGAGCTCTGAAAACAGCTGCATCAGGAAATACGCATAGAAAAAGAGAAGGAAGGTGATGGACAGGAAGCCCAGCGAGAAAGTGCCAATATCGATGCCGATGTTGATCATGGCGGCCACGTTCTCACGGTTGGCAGACATGAACATAACACCCGAGTGGCACAGGAAGAACACGGGGATGTACTGGAACGGGTTGGGCTCCTTGGAATCGGTCTTGATAAGACCAGTAGTGATCAGCATGATCTCGATACACCGCATCAAGCCCGCCAGCACCAGCGACAGACCAAAGACAAAGTGCACCTTGGTCGAGAACTCAGGTGTCCTGCTCGTGCGCGCCCATGGCGCAGCCCGTAAAGATCAGGATGATGCCCGGGAACATCGAGCGCTCGGACGGGCCAGCCCTGCGCAGCATGTACGTCGACAGCAGTCCGCCGCAGAACCAGATCACGCCCAGGCTGGTGTGTTGCAAGTCCTTGTGGGACCAGCCGTGCGCCTCTTCGACAAACCCATGCTCAGTAAAGGTATTGACCAGGCCCCACACCATGATCATCGCGCTGTCGTACAGTTCCGGGGACCGGCCAAACTTTGCCAGCCAGGGCGCAGCAAGACGCACCAGCAGCAGGAGCCACACGCCGTACGCCAGGAACGAGCTGCCCATGATCAGATGCGCCAGACACTGGCCGTAGAATCCCGTCGTAGCAGTAGCCAAGCCAGGCTACGGCGCCTAGCAGAACCTGCACATATGTCGAAACTATCATAACGATCGCCATGATCTTGTGTGCAATCTTGATGAACGGTCGCAGCCGGTCGTTGAACCGCCGCTCAGTGTGCAGCTTGAGGTAGATGCCAGCACCAAGCTGCCCGACCAGCAGCCACAGCATGAACCAGCTGAACTTGCTATGGGCGTTTTCCTTGAATGCCCGGCCCTTGTGCGAGTGGCCGAGGATGAACCCGATAATCGCCAGGACGCCGCCCAGAGACTGCACCGGGACGTGCCACCGGTTCTTGCGCAGACCGAGAATCATGCCAATTGGGAACAGGGCGCCAAAGGCCACCGACATGAGCAGGATGTGAGCCTTGAGTATGCCATCGATAGGCTCGCCTGTGTCAAAGTTCATGTTGGCGCCGTGGTGGTCGTGGGCGGTCGCGCCCAGGGTGTGCAGTAGCACCAGCTGGACTGCCACTGACAGAAGCGAGGCTGTTCGCGACATGTTTGCAGAGTGAGTGCACGGCAGCTAGAGTAAAAGGGAGGTGCGGAAAATAGCGACTAGAGCAAAGTGCGGAGCCAAGATGGAAAAATGCGAAGGATTTGCGATAGGACAGGCGACAACAAAATCTCTCTCATCTGTCGGCAGCCAGAAAGAGAGGCACGGCGAGGGAGAGCACGCCAGAATCCTTTCACATCATCAGCCAGACAACAATCGGCTATTGGCACCATGAGGCCACATGCCGGCTGGGCAATTCGGCAGAAGAGCCAAAAGCCATCGGCATGTTGGTTGGCCAAAAAGTGCGGGGCGAGGCCCAGGTCCGCTGCCTGCTATCTGCCGCAAAATAAGCACTGCGTTTCCTGGGCCGAGAAGGACTGCCAAGTGACTTGCGATTGAGTGGTATAGGCCGCAGTCTGCTACTGGCTAGTGGTTGCGGCAAGGTGACGCTTGGTAGCACCTGCTACAGACCATAAAAGCTGTGCTGAGGACCACAGCGGAATGCATATGCAGCAGAAACGAGCCGAATGTGGCCAGAGCTGGTGCGTTCAGCGAGCTTCATCGCAACTACGCGTCACTCTGCTTCTGAGAAGGCTATGAGAGAGAGACAGAGCAAAGAGGCAGGCAGGCATAACCCGGAGGAGGTTGAGCGCTGAGTAGTAACAGCTGGAATAAATCAATCGACCATAACACAGTTGCCATTAGCCTCACCAATATCATGCAAGGTACACCGGCTGCTGCAATATCCATCCACTTGGCACAGTATTAAAAAGCTTCAGACATGTTTAGACGCGCGCGGGCAGACGATATATCGGCCAAAGAGGGCGAGAAGCACCTGGTCAGCAACAGCGCCAAGCTGGCTGAGGAGCAGCTGAACAAGCGGCTAGACAGCGAGATCGAGCAGCTGATGAACTCGTTTGGCGAAATCCTGGCCATCAGCAAGATCCAGAACAGCGAAGGCACGGCGATTGCACGGCAACGACTTGGTGCCTCAGCCGGCATGGACGACGATGACCACCCGGGGTGGCGCGGGCAGTCGGACTCGCAGAGCAAAGACAAATACAGTGTTGCACAGGAGGCGTACAGTGCACAGACGCGTGTAGCGACCATGGTCCGGACCATCGAGGGACTGCTGGGCATGGTTACTGATATCAAGCGTGCGTATCTGGTCAACGATGCGACGGCCCTGACAGAGATGGCTACCCGGCGGCGCGGTAAGCTGGATGAGCGGAGGCACATCACTGAGCAGCGTGTCGAGGAGCTCAACTCGGCGCTGGATCTGGCAGTCCGGGACCTGGAAAAGGTGTACTACAGCTCAAAGTATATCGGGTAGAAGAGACGTGTGGTAGAAATAAACAGTGAGAGGGTATATGTATCGAGACTCTATTGTGCCTTTGCCGCGTGCTTCTTGCCCTTCCTGCCCATGACACGCAGCAGCGGCGTGTTGTCTTCATCCAGGTCGTCGTCAGCCTCCTCGCCATCGTTGCCGCCTGACTGTGTATAGTCAGAAACCCGATCTGCGTATGTAGAGGTGTTTCGACCAGCAGCGAATACATTGCGCTTTTGCAGTGTTGCTGCTTGTCGACCACCAGGGATGCTGACGCCGCTAGCAAACGAGCTTGGTGTCTCGCGCTCATAGATGTTCTTGACGCTGTTGGGGAAGGTTCTCCATGTCGTCGTCGCTGTCCGAGCTCTCATCAAAAGATCCAGGATCCTCGCCCTCGCTCTTGTCGTCACGACCGCTGTCGAAGAAGCCGGTCAGCATGCCTCCGTTCTGTTTGTTGTTGCCGACCTCACCACCACACTCCAGCGCGGCCGGATCCTGCGTCCTGTTGTACTGGCGAATCACCATCTCGCCGTCGTCGTCAATTTCAGAAATCACCTTGACGCCGTCGTTCTGGAACACGGTCCGCGACGAATCGCAGCCCTGCTTGACCTTGAGCGGATCACCGACCTCACGGTTGTATCCTGGTGGTGGCCAGTAAACAGGCGGCTTCAGGCCGTCGCGGATGGCAAAGTCTAGGCCAGTGCCTGACAGTTGCTTTGGCACCCACCACAGCAAGGGGCTGTCGCCAAACACCGACTTGAAGTTGCGCACAATGCCCAGGTTGTAAGGGTATGGCGTCGGCTGGCACTTGCGGCTCTGGACCAGTTTTGCGACGCGCTCCTTCTCACGGGCCTCGATCGTGGTTGTGTTGCCGCCGACCAAATACAGGTGGTAGCCGCTCAGAATGCCAACAAACAGCAGCACAAAGAACAGCAGCGTCATGTTGATGATCAGGAATGCCACCTCGGTCTGCGTCGGCTGCCGCACATAGTACGTGCCGTTCATCGAGTCGAGCACCAGCTCGTACATGCGCAGCGTGTGGATCGCCAAGGCCATAGCACAGGTGACGTCAACCGTATACACGAACCGCAAAAAATGCGGCTGGTTGTAGAACCCGACGCAGTTGTTGGTCCACGGGCAGTGGTGGTCCATTTTCAGTACACATCTATCGCAGTCCGAGCAGTGGTGCGTGCGCGGCGGTTTGTATCCCTTGCAGATCCGACAATACCGCGGCTTCAGCGTGTCGCGCTTCAGCTCGTAGACGTTGGCGCCGTCGCGCGGCGGCTCCCAGCCGATTGGAACGTGGCCCGGCGGAACAGACACTGCCAGATAGTAGTTGTAGAAGAGCAGGTGGAGCAAAATGTTGAATATGCCCAGTACGGCCACGGTCTTGGGCGAAAAGCCGCCCAGGTAGTTCCAGAACACAAATATCTGGCTCGAGTAGCCGATGAACCCGATCAGCAGCGACACGCCGTAGACGTACAGCTTCCCAACGTCGAATTCCGCGTACACGCCTTGCTCGTCTAGCGGACATTGAATTGAAGTGCAAACTAAAAATAGGTCAATTGGAGAGTCTTGATTCCTGAGAAGCAGAACAAGGCCTGGTGTGCAAGGCGGGAGGTGTGCAGAGCGCCTTCAAAAGATTTCCCTCGCCCTCCACGCCCCACGCACGCCCATCACAAGACTGGATGGGCCGTTGAGATCGGTGCTCCCGCGAAGTCGGCTTGGCTCGCCCCCACTCGTCTCCCGCACAGGAATCCTCCGCACGCATTCTTTGCAAGCCGATCCACCACACAACCTCGCGGTTTCTGCTTTGGCTTGCTGCTCTACTTCCGCACCCTCGCCTTTCTTTACAGATACCTTTTATACCTCCTCTCATCAGCAGCACCATGATTCCGGCAACTCGAAATGGGCTACTGCTCGTTGGCGTGCTGTTTCATGTCGTATACCTGGTGAGCATTTTCGACATTTACTTCCGCTCGCCTCTGGTCCACGGAATGACCCCGCACAAAGTGGAGCTGAAACCGCCAGCCAAGCGCCTGGTGCTGTTTGTAGCCGACGGGCTTCGTGCCGACAAGATCTACGAGCCCTACTATAACCAGACGTCCAACGCAACCGAGGTCCTGGCGCCGTTCCTCATGCAGAAGCTCAAGACCGAGGGATCTTGGGGTGTGTCGCACACACGTGTGCCGACCGAGAGCCGCCCGGGACACGTGGCAGTGATCGCTGGATTTTACGAGGACGTCAGTGCAGTTACCAAGGGATGGAAGATGAATCCAGTCGAGTTCGATTCGGTGTTCAACGAGAGCCGGCACACATGGTCGTTCGGATCGCCGGACATCCTGCCCATGTTTGCCCATGGCGCATCCGACAAGGACCGCGTCGATACATACATGTACCCGCCTGAGTTTGAAGACTTTTCGGGCAACGGAGACCGCTTGGATCGCTGGGTGTTTGACAAGACAGACGAGTTCTTTGCGGATGCCTCGGTCGTCGGATCGCAGCTCAATGCGCAGATGCACGAGGACCAGATTGTGTTCTTCTTCCATCTGCTTGGCATCGACACCAACGGCCACGGCTTCAAGCCGTATTCGCCAGAGTATCTGGGTAACATCCGGTATGTTGACCAGGGGATCCAGAAGCTGGTTGACAAGTTTGACAAGTTCTACGGCAACGACGGACAGACCGCGTATGTGTTCACGGCCGACCATGGCATGAATGACCGGGGCGCCCATGGCGACGGACATCCCGACAACACTCGCACCCCGCTGATTGCGTGGGGCGCTGGTGTCACCAACACTCGACCAGTGGCCGATGGCCAAGTCGCCCCTGGACACGACGGGTTCTCGGCGCCGTGGGGACTGGACCGGTACAGGCGCATGGATGTAAAGCAAGCCGATATTGCACCGCTGATGACATCGTTGATTGGTCTTAACTTCCCGCTCAATTCGGTTGGCACTCTTCCGGTGGATTATCTGGACACGAGCGGAGAGTTCCGCGCCCGCGCTGCACTGGCCAACTCGCTACAGATCCTGGAGCAGTACCGACGTCAAGCACGATCAGAAGCAGCAGACAGAGATGAATTTCACGCCCTACGCACCCATGCACGACACAAACAACTCGCCCGAACAGGCGCTGGCACGCATCAACCGCTTTATCGACATGCGCCGGTACCGGGATGCCGAGGCCGAGTGTGAGCTGCTCAACAACCGATGCCTCGAGGGCCTGCGGTACTTCCAGCGCTACGACTGGCTGCTGCTGCGCTCGATCGTGGCTATGGGGTACCTGGGGTGGATTCTGTTCAGCCTGCTGTTTATTTTCAAGGCGTACGTGCTGCCACGCCCAGTCACCATGCCCACGACTCCGGTGCACACCGCTCGGCCAATGCCTGGCTAATCGGTGTGCTGGGCCTGTGCATTTTCTTGCTGTTCTCGGCAGTGTTCTACCGCCAGCACTCGCCGGCCATGTACTACGCATACGTGGCATTCCCCACGTACTTTTGGACTGAAATTGCCATGCAGATACCGCTGATCGAGGAGGTGGTCATGCACTACTTGCGGATGAGCAAGCGCTGGCGCCCAGTTGCGTTTACGGCCATATACGTGCTGATCCTTGAGGGCCTGGTCTATGCATACTTTGACCGCCGTGTGTACTCGGTTGCCTTTGGGCTCTTGGCACTGGCTTTGCCATTGACTGTGTCAGCCAAGTTCCGCCGCCAACACGCCAAGCTGCTTGGCGCCTGGGTGGCATTCTGCCTGCTGACCTCGGTCTTCACTCTGCTGCCGGTCGAGCGCAACGACCATCTGGGCCTGGTGGTCGCTGGTGGCACCCTGATCACCATCAGCGGCGTCGTGGCCTGGTTCTACAGCGACTCGTTTGTGCTGCCGCCTGAGGGCGCTGCAAGCGGCCGGGCCCGCGACTCGATTGCCTTCGACAAGACCATGATCCTGTTTGAGACTCTGTTGGTTGGGGTGGCCACGTTCCTTGGCCCGATAACGTCGATCGAGACCGAGAAGCGCGAGCGCCTGCCGCGCATGCACCAGCTCGCATGCTGGGCCATACTGATTGCGGCCACCGGCATTCCGCTGCTACAGGGTACGCGCCTGAACCTGGGTGTCCGCGACCAGCACTTTGTGCACCGCCTGGTGACCATCTACCTGTCGTTTGCGACGCCGTTTGTTTTGCTGACCATCTCGTATGAAAGCATCTTCTACTTTTCATACTCGATCGTTCTGTTCCTGTGGCTATCGATCGAGCGTGCCCTATACTACGAGAAGGCCGAGAACCAGCTGCTGGCGCCCGAGGAGCAGACGCGGCTGTCGGAGCTGTCGCCGCGCAAGGGCATTTCAATGCACAAATCCTCGACGCCATTCGCTGCCGGACGCAACCTGGGCATCGACGACATGCGCACCGGCATCATGTTCCTGTTCTTTGTCAACGTCGCGTTCTTCGGCACTGGCAATGTAGCCTCGCTGGCCTCCTTCTCGATCGACTCGGTGTATCGCCTGATCACCGTGTTTGATCCCGTTCATGATGAGCACACTGCTGCTGTTCAAGATCGTCATCCCGTTCTTCATCGTGTCCGCAGTCTTTGGTGTGCTGAACCGCAGCTTGGAGCTACCGCCATTCAGCCTGTTCCTGTTTGTGCTTAGCACCACCGACGTCATGACAGTCAACTTCTTCTTCCTGGTCAGCGACGACGGCAGCTGGCTCGATATTGGCATGAGCATCAGCCATTTCTGCATCTCGGGACTGTTTGTGCTGTTCACCATCGTGCTGTTCGTCATGAGCCATGTGCTGGTCGGCCGTGTGCTGATCCCGACGGTGCCAGTGCGCAACACAAAGAAGGAGCGGTAGAAAAACATCACTGTTTTATCTCTAGAGCGTCTTCTCCATTGCCTTGCGTTTCTACATATGAGTTCTTTAAACAAACATAACAGCTACTAGGCGTCTATAAACCATTGTCACTCTGATGCGGCTGGTGTCGCCGGTGTGCTAATCACCATTTCCCGGATCGCAGAATCGACGTTCTCTCCGTTGGTGAACCGCTCAACCACGTCCTGACCGACCCGCTTTGTCAAGTGCCCGTGCTCGGCACTCCACTTATCCATCTCCTTGCCCAGCACCTTCTTCAGAACATCGGCCAGTGCTGCCGACTCTTGTGCAAGTCCATCGATCTCTCCTCTCAGCAAATCGCGCTCCTCCCTCAGCCTCTGAACCTCCTCTTTCGCCCCGGTACTCTCCATCTCCAGCTTGTCGAGCCTGTCATCGACGGCGTTGCGCTGCTTTCTCGCCTGGTTGCGGCTGCGCAGCTGCTCGGCGAAAATCAGCGATACGGCCACACTGAAGATGAATGCCTCGCCGAGAAAGTTTGCGCCAGCATCGACAGCCCGTGTATCGTTGAGCGGGCGGATTCGCTCGGGCTGGTAGCCCAGGACCTTCATCTTCCATGTCATCTCAATGCGATGCGTTGTTTGTGCGACGTTGATGCAGAGGGACCGGAAGATCTCACGATCCTTGGCCTGGGTCTTTAGCGCGTTGGCAACTAAATGGAAACACTGTGTTAAGTGGGTAGTGACCGCGGGTGCGACTACAATATCTGTGGTGCTATGGTGGGTGTGTACCTGGCTTGGACAGGGTGCGGAACAGCAGCGACGCAACTTTAAACGAGCTCATTTCAAACTAAAAGGCAATATGTTGGTTGCAGATAGAGGTGAGAAGTGCTGCGAGCCTTGGCATCCAAGTCTGAGGTCAGCGCATTGAGCAGCCGGATCAAAACAAAAGTCACGATTACCGCGGGTGGATTAGGATCACCACTATCTCGGATCGCGCCAGCGTGCCCAGGTGTGGAAATTTCAAGGCTTTGCCGAGTGCTATCAGCGCGGTCCAATACCTCGAAGCAGCCTTCGCATTTGCACTTTTCGCGCAATTAGCTCTTCCTCCTCCTTATTTTTCTTTTTTATTTCTCTCAATCGAAGGTGAGGATTCAGCTTTTTTGGACTATCTACTCGTCGGCCAGAAGCAACAAGCGCGCACGCACAGTGATTTCACGGATAGCACCCACTGATTCACACATAATCTTGTAGAAGGAACGCTGTAAAGGAAACGAAAACCATGTTTGCTCGCTCGGCTATCGCTACCCGCTCCGCGGCCCCCACTCTCAAGTAAGTTTGCAAGGGCGACGCTGAATTCAGCAAATTGCCGGACTCAATGCAGAGGCCAGTCGCACTCAGACCAATAACACATTTCGCATTTTTAGGGTCGCTGGTCAGTCTCGTAACATGGCCACGCTCAAGGAGATCCAGGTCCGCCTGAAGTCGGTCACCAACATCTCCAAGATCACGGCGTCGATGAAGATGATTGCGTCGACCAAGACGACCCGTGCCCAGCGTGCCATGAACGTTGCGCGCGCGTACGGACAGGTGTCGAACGACTTTGTGAAGCAGTCCGGTGTCGAGAAGGCTGAGGGTGCCAAGGAGCTGCTGGTGGTTGCGTCGTCGGACAAGGGTCTGTGCGGTGGTATTCACTCGTCGCTGTCGCGTGCCTCGCGCCGGTACCTGGCCGAGAACGCCGAGACTCCGGTGGTTATCCTCGGTGACAAGGCCAAGGTCCAGATCCAGCGTGCGTACGCAAACAACATCCGCTACAACTTCAACCAGCTGGGCTCGACCATCCCGACCTTTGACGAGACGTCGGCCATTGCCAGCACCATCCTTGCCGACAAGTCGATCGAGTTCGACAACGCCAAGATCCTGTACAACCAGTTTGTCAGCGCCATTGCCTTCGAGACCGGCTCGATCGAGTCGTTCCCGATTGCCCAGATCGTTGAGGCTCCCAACTTTGCCGCCTACGAGGTCCAGGACGAGATCCTCGAGAACCTGAACGAGTTCCTGTTCGCCAACAACCTGCACTGGGCTCTTGTCGAGGGCCACGCCTCCGAGATGGCTGCCAAGCGCACTGCCATGGAGAACGCGACCAAGAACGCCGGCGACATGATCCAGAGGCTCACTCTGCAGTACAACCGTGGTCGCCAGGCCGTCATTACCAACGAGCTCATCGACATTATCACTGGTGCCTCTGCTCTCTAAGCTCTGTGTGCGTGCGATGCATTGAATGTCTCCTTATCCTCTTTACGTCTCTGTTTTTCACTGTTGGAACATGGAGTCTCTTTTAAATCCGGAAATGCTCTATCTCCTCCCCCTGTATTTGCACTAGTTTATCCCTGCCAGGGTTTACCCCGGGTCAGTAGGTGATGGAGAGGCGGCATGCCCAGGCGGCACAATTGCGACTCCTGTTTCCGGGTACCCGTCCGATGCGGCCTGGCTGCCTATGCCGAAAAGTGCATCAGCGTACATTGGGGTTGGGCTGCGCGGTGAGTGGGCTGCAAGGACAATTGGAGGAGTTTATGCTGAGAGAAACCGTGTATATCAACATGCGTTACATTATCACTTTTTCGATTCAGCCCCGTGTAAAAAAACTGGCGTATAATGTAAATGCGACATGGAGCAGGGTGGTAGACTCGGCAGTGGTCACTGTGGCTTTCTTTGCCCCTAAACTCAGCCAGGCAGGCAGGCAAGCAGGCAGGCAGGCAGGCAGGGGTGGCGGAATGGCTGCCGCGCACTGAACAGCATGGAGTGGGCTGGCAGAAGAGGAGCAGGACAATAAGGTAAATACACGCAAAATGTGTTTGAGCGGTATGTGCATTTTATTCGAGGCAGCAAGTCAGGATTCGCTTACCCTGTATCTGCGGCTAGCAAAAAATTGGCCGGCCTTTTTTTTTGGCACGGGGGTTTGCAATGCTTTTCCACCTCACCGATGCATGTTGCTCTGTCGGCCAGCATCCTGTTGTCTATAAAGGGAGCCAGTTCTGCCTCTGTTTCCCCTTTTCCTCTTTCCATGCCAGCCCAACTTTTCCGTCTTTGCAAGTATTGTTTTATTACTCTATTTCTCCCGAGCAACAAGCGTCGACACGGCCTTCACACATACGTTTTCAGAAGGCAATTTGATGAGGATATCTGCCCCGTGTAAGAGCAAACCGCAGCCGATCAACTTTTATACCAGCGGCAGGACCTGCTTGCCAATATCCCATTCCTGTGGGACCGGATTTGCTACTCTGGACACTGGGAAAGTGCACACACGTAGAGTCTCCTCTCCTAGTAGACTCCCACATTGTGGAGCCTTTCTGCCTGCCCTCATCTGTGAGCAGCTCGATTGAGGGAACAAACAAGCTGCTACGCCTGTTTCTCGTTTGAACCTCAGCTTTTCACCATGACAACGAAATTCGACTACTACTCGTTGGGCCCGCGCTTCTACAGGCAAGTGTCCGATTTGTTCTCGGCAACTTTTTCCCAACTTTTTAGGCATATGCATGGCTCCCATGTACCTTGTGCATGTGCGGCACCGAGTCTGCCGTGCAATAGTGGTTATATGTTTGGGTTTTTTTGGGCTGCCTGTCAAACCGCGTTCATGGTTCTCACATCTCTGGGTTTCGTGTTTTCGGCACTTGTAGGCTCGAATTCGAGCGGCTGATAGCGATGCGTCGGCTGTCGTTGCAAAAGTATCCGCTGGACATATCCGAGGTCAATAAAGGCAAGTAATTAATGATCTGCACCCGGGCATATCTTCATCACACAGCCCGTCCCCTTCCTTTGTGCGGACCTTTAGTGCACAGTGACATGAGCAAAAACCACTATATCCTTATTTGGACGACAGGCGGCGCGTGTCTGCCGCTGCCCAGCCAATTGCAGCGCAATTAATAATGAGGGTGCAGAGGCACCGCTGGGACCCGGGGTGATGCAGCGTATTCAGATACCCGGGGGAATACATTACTTGGCCATACGACGCTTTCCCTCTCTATTTTGCCTGGTGGCAATTAATGCAAGCCAATGCATGCCGTTTATTTTCTGGCACTGCTCTTTTGCTCTTTGCATCCTGCTCAGCCAACCACCGACTGCACTCTGCGTGTAGATATTGTATTTGCTGTCGAGAGCGTCGTCAAGGCAACCATGGTTGTTTCGGAGGAGTTGGCGATCGAGGCGCGCAAGGTGTCGACATACCTAAAGTCTGTCGACACGATGACGTCGAGAAGCCGTGTGACACAGATCATCTCGTTCATGGAGCAGCTGGAGAACACGCTGCAGTGCCTAATTCGCTACGGCTGGCTTATCGAGCGCGAGTGGAATGTGTATGTCCGTCCCAACATGCCAGGATCCGATAACCCGCGGCGCAGCTCGCGCAACAGCGTGTTCCCGACAAACTACCTGCGTAGCCTAGGGCCATGGCACATGGCGATATCTGGTGCTATCACGCGTGCCCGGTTCCGCGCTAACGACATCAGCTATGGCAATGTCCAGCCGGCCGACAGCGGTATTTCCTGGCGCAATTTTGGGAATGTTGTTTTTGCGCCGAGCCCAACACACTGGTGCACTAGCTATGTGGTCGAGCGTGCTAAGACCGAGCGCACCAAGGGGAAAAAGCTGGATTCCTGGCTGGAGAATGTGCCCCCAGTCACGAGCCCCAAGCCGGGCCAGCGCTCATGCACGCAGGCTACCGATATCTGCCGCCGCAACGCGCTACATTATGCGGCTATCGCGCCTGTCGATCTGCTGTGGCTCAAGCGCATGAACTATCTGGACCGCCAGGACGTGCGTCCGCAGAGTGAGGCAACCCGGCTGCCGCCGCTGGCTACGCCCGATATTCTGGGACACACACCGCTGACCCTGGCTGCCCGCAGCGGCAACGTGGGCGCGGTGAAGTATATCGTTGACGAGTCTGGCATCGACGCTGTGTGCGAGTCTCTGGTGGATGCTGCGGCTCTGGCATCAGCAGGAAAGCACATCGAGTGCCTTGTCCCAATTGTCGACCGCATGATGCAGTTCCCTGACAAGCTGTCCCTGGCACTGCGCCTTGCAGTCTTCAATGGCTTCCTGCCCCTGCTGGACCTTTTATGTGCCAAGCTGGCCGTGGCCGATGGCGCTACCCGCAGCACGGCTGAGGAGGCACTGGAGCGCGATCTGGCCAGGTCTGGCGAGTGTTCACTATTCCATCTGGCGGCTTTCAACGACCAGGCTGAGGTCATTCGGCATTTGCTCAGCAACAATGCCGACAGTGCATCAGCAGCCTTCAAGGCAGGTGCAGCGGAACAATGGCGGGCTGACGCCTCTTGACATTTCAAATTACCTGGGGTTTGTCGAGTGTGCTGCAGTCCTCATTGGCGCAACAACTCCGGCCGCTGCGTTGTCTGATGCAGGAGATGCGGGCATGCAGATTCCCGCGATTGTGCCCGTGAATGGCGGGCCTGGGACGCCGCCCGAGACCCATGCGGTTTTTGTGACTCTGGGCACAAACGACACACGCAGATTCCCAGCCATGCCACCCATCACCTTCGACACCGAGGCACTGAACAGCCTGCTCGATGAGAATGATCTGCCGCGGTCGACACACCTTTTGCTGCGTGTCGATTCCGAGCAGGGCATGGAGAAGAACAACGACAATGGCTGGATTGTCGACGTTGATGCCATGCTTAGGAACCCAGCTGCTGCCAGTGCTGGTGCATGGCAGCCGTTTGCCCACTTTTACACTGTGTACCCGGACCGGTTTGTGCTGAAACTGGAGCTGATTGCACTGATTGACCAGGCGCTTCTGCCGTATTCGAGCGACCAAAAGGTGATTGCGCACAGCGCCGTGACAGTCCCGGCCAGCTGCCCGCCGGATGATTCCAAGACGCTAGCAAAGCAGCCTGCGCCAATGCGTGTCAGCAACAGCAGCGGCTACATGCACTCCCTGCTCCTGTCAACCACATCCAGCACCATTGTCGGCGAGGTGCACCTTGAGGTTGTGGTAGCGACTCCGTATTCGCATCCAAACTTTGGGCGCGAAGATGGGCATCTACAGCAGGTCAGTGCAGCTGGGAAACTGAATAGCAAGCGCAAAAACAAGCCCAGATCCCTGGGCAGCAGTAGCCGGACCAGCAGCGATGGCGACGAGCTCACCAGCGGACCTGGAGGGGCATCCCGGAGATCATCGCTGTCCGAGAGGGTGGCAGACTCTCTTTCATGGCGCCAGGATGGGGCTACGCTGGTTTACGGCCACCGTGGCTCAGGAAAGAACTTTTCTCCTGTCGACAACGCCTTCAGCCTCCAGTTGGGCGAGAACACTGTCCTGTCGATGCAGCAGGCAGTGCGTGATGGTGCAATGGCAGTCGAGTTTGACGTGCAGCTGACACGCGACATGGTGCCGGTCATATACCACGACTGGAACGTGACCGAGACTGGGCTTGACGTGCCTGTCAACTCGCTGACGCTGAAACAGTTCATGTCGTATGGCCCGCAGAGCAAGTCGCTGGCCCGCACACGCTCGCACAGCAATATTGATAGCCTTGGGCAGAGCTTGGCACTGCATGCAAACTCTAACGATACTGTGCGTGCACCGTTTGCTACGCTGGAGGATCTGTTCGAGTCGCTGCCAGAGAGCGTCGGGTTTGATATTGAGCTCAAATATCCGATGCCAGACGAGGCGGACGAGGCCGGGATTGACACCAACTTTGAGATGAACCAGTTTGTTGATCGCATCCTTGATATCGTGTTCAAGCACACGCCGTCGCTACCCAAGCAGTCGCTGGCCGAGTTCAGCGATGGCGAGAGGCCCGAGCGTCGCCCGATTGTGTTTACCTCGTTCCACCCCGACATCTGTCTGCTGCTGGCGCACAAGATCGACGGCGAGTTTCCCGATCATGTTCCTGACCGACGCCGGCCGTACAACGATGGCCGATGCCCGGTGCAACAGCCTGGTAGCCGCCGTCAGGCTGTGCCGCCGCATGGGTCTGGCTGGAATCGTCACCTACGCTGCGCCCATCGTCGAGTCGCCCAGGGTTGCGCACATGGTGCGTCGCAACAACCTGGCTCTGGCCACGTATGGGCGGCAGAACAACAGGCGCGAGATGGTACTGATCCAGAAGAGCGCGGGCGTCGACATCGTCATTACAGACAAGGTGCGACTGGCCGCTGCTGCTGTGCAGACGGCTTAGGAGTGCTTTGCCTGGGTGCCGCTGAATGTACTTTCCTTCCCACCAGTCAACATATGAACATCTAATTTCAGACATGTCTTTCTTTTCAGCGCCATAATTCCGGGCTGCCACTTCTGCATCCACGTCTGCGGCATATGGCCAGCGAACGTGCTTGCAGCGACTGGAGGGGGTGTGCGCACCTATAGTGCATGTTGGGCATGAGACCCGCTCGGCCCGGTGGGGCGCGGCTCGCTCTGCATGTGTGAGCCGGCCCGGTGGATGGCGGGATCAAAAGCCGTCACAAACGAGCCGCCAACAAAAAACTTGCCCCAAAATTTTCTGGTCGCTATCTTCGCTCCTCCGCGGCACAAGCGCGCACCAGTCAGAGAAATCGCTTCCGCCCCTTAAATATCTAGTAGCCGAGACTGCACGACTCGGCGTATCTCTACTCTCTACACCTCTTTTTCACCACCCTCCTATACCTCCTATTAGCCGGTAATAGACGTAAAAAGTAGAACCATGTTCCCTTCTGCCGAGACTCTCAGCGCCTTCAAGGCCACCCAGAAGCCCTTCATCGCCTCGTCCGTTGTCGAGAAGAAGCCCTTCGTTGCCCAGTCCACCATCGAGGTTAACTCGGCCAAGGTAAGCACACTTTTGAAGTCTGATTCAGATTCGCGGCAAGGACCTTGAGGCGAATTCAAAGCCCTATAGGGGTAACCAGAAGCGTGTGTCGCACAGCAACCACCTTAGACCAACAGTGTGGATATTACGATAATGCATGAAGCCAGTGCGCACGAGGAAATCGGACGAAAGATCGCTCTTACTGATATGCACCTTATCTCTACCGATAGTATTTCTACACCTGCGCCGCCGGTGGTGTCCTGGCCTGCGGTCTGACCCACTACACGATGACCCCGGTCGACATGCTCAAGTGCCGCATGCAGGTCAACAAGTCGATGTACAACGGTATCTTTGACGGCTTCAAGAAGGTCGCTGCTGCCAACGGTATCAAGGGTCTGTTCCTTGGCGGTGCCCCGACTCTGATCGGCTACTCGCTGCAGGGCATGGGCAAGTACGGTTTCTACGAGTACTTCAAGTACCTGTACGCTAACGTCGTTGGCGCCGAGAACGCTGCCAAGTACAAGACCTTCCTGTTCCTGGGTGCGTCCGCCTCGGCCGAGTTCATCGCCGACATCATGCTGTGCCCGATGGAGGCCCTCAAGGTCAAGATGCAGACCTCGGCCACTCCGTTCGCCACCAGCTTCCTGGGCGGTGTCCGCAAGATCCACGCCGCTGAGGGCATCAACGGCTTCTACAAGGGTCTCGCTCCTCTGTGGATGCGCCAGATCCCGTACACCATGGTCAAGTTCGCCACCTTCGAGAAGACCGTCGAGTTCATCTACAAGAACCTCCTCAGCAAGCCCAAGGAGCAGTACAGCAAGACCTGAGCAGCTCGGTGTCACCGCCGCCGCTGGCTACTTCGCCGGTATCTTCTGCGCCATCGTGTCGCACCCCGCCGACACCCTGGTGTCGAAGCTCAACAACGTTGCCAAGGCTGAGGGTGAGAGCACTGGTGCCATCGCCATGCGCATCCTCAAGGACCTGGGCTTCACCGGCGTCTGGGCTGGTCTCGGCCCGCGTATCTTCATGATCGGTACCCTCACTGCCCTCCAGTGGTTCATCTATGACTCGTTCAAGGTCCAGACTGGTCTGCCCACCACCGGTGGCGCCGCTGCCCCCAAGAAGGACGAGTAAATCGGCTTGATTGCGTCTGGCTTACTTTGTGAAATTCCGCAGCAGACGGTGTTTCTCCTTATTTTCATTAAACTCCAATCTCCCGCTATCAGCTGCTGCCGTATGCCATGCATTATGTACACAAATGGCCTGTGCCTTGTTGCAAAGCAACATGTCGGTCGATTTGTGATGCACGAGTGTACATTACGTGCTCACGTGTGGACCCTAAAATATACCGTCCCGTACAGACAGACACAAAAAGTGGCAAATCAAGGGCGCATCTTCTGGATCCACATAAATGTAGTTTCCATTCTGCCCCTGTTTCATACCACCCAGCTACACTCATGTCCGGCATTGGAGCAGAGTCGACAGTGCACCGTCGTAATACGCTTCTCCAGCGGATCAGGCGATTTACACATCAGCTTGCCCGAGAACACCACAATCAGCGCGCTCAAAGAGCAGATATGCCAGCAGCGGGCCGACGAACTTGCGGGCAAATACCTGCGCCTGATTTGCGCTGGACGCGTCCTGCAAGACCAGCTGACACTGCGACACTACAACATCACCGCCAACGACGGGTCAGAGGATGCAGTGCCGCATTTCGTACACTGCTTGGCCACAGACATTGCCCCAGAACCCAGCCCACCGCAGGGCAGCGATGAGGCTGTAATGGATGGTGCGGCCGACCCAGTGCGCGGGTTTGGCCGGCTGCGGGACGCCGGCTTCAGCGACGAAGACATTGAGAATCTGCGCGTGCAGTTTCACAGAGCCAACGGCACAAACATGGATGACACCGAGAACGCACGTGCGATTGAGGACTCGTGGATGGATAGCACGGCCCAGGATGCGCCGCAAGAAACACCTGCATTCGGATCGATGTACCACATGCTAGGTGGGCTACTGATGGGCTACTTTGGCGGAGTGCTGGTGCTGCCGTGGCTCAAGAACAGCAACGTGTTCAGCCGGCAGCACCAGATGGGCCTGCTGTGCGGGATAATCTTCAACTTTTCGTTTGGCATCGTGCACTGGCTGTACAGCTGAATACATGTCGGGCCTGTACCAGAATGCTGTGAGGGATGTATCTTGTACACTGCTGACATGCGCGCCAGATCGACCCGGAGGGATTGTCAGCAAGGCAGGATGTACTAAGAAGAAGTTCCTGAGTTTTCGTGCATTGCATAGCGAATTAGGTGCAGCGAATGGCGAACCATGGCCAATTGACGGCCTGTCGGTGGGCAGCGAGCAGCAGCGATATGCACTCGCTTTCACTCCCCCACATCAGCTGCCACTCCCGCCACCTGGATCCAAAGGCCCTCCTACCATAAAACCTTCCCTGCCCCAGAGTCCAATCCGGGGCGCCAAGCTCTTCTTTCCTCCTATTTGCAGTATTTCATTTTTCACCGACCCACCGACCCACCATCTTTTATTTCTACAGCCAAGATGGGCGCACTCGAATTTGCCCTGGTATCTACGCAGTCGCTGGCACCGATCTTTATCCTTACCGTGATCGGGTATGTGCTGGGGCTGAAAAAGGTTGATCTGAAGGCGCTGGCGAGTATCAACATCAACCTGCTGACGCCGGCCCTACTGTTTGCTAAAATCACCGACTCTCTCGACCGCAACACATTCCTGGAGCTGTGGTTCATCCCGGTTCTCTATGTTCTGACGGGGTTCCCGGCAATCTGGTGGACGCAGCTGGTGGGCGGTCGTGCGATGCGGCTGCCGGACGGATTCCTCAAGGTGTGCGGCATTGCAATTTACTTCACCAATGTTAACAACAGCATCATCCCGATCATCGAGAGTCTGGTGTACAGCCCCGGGGCCAAGTTCCTGAAGCGCAGCGAGGACGACACGCCCGAGCAGATTATCAAGCGTGGAGTCGGGTATCTGATGATGGTGTGTGTTGCAAGTAACCTTCTGCGCTGGTCGGTCGGCATGGGCATTTTGAAACCAAAGGCCACAGAGCACCGGTCGGCAGCTTCTGTTGGGGAAGACGCTGATGTGTCGTCGTCGATCAGCGACGAGCGCACATTGCTGTTGTCAGGCGTCAACACGCCGGTTCCCAAGGCCCAGACAGCTGCAGACACTAGCCTGTGGACAACGCTGAAGAAATACTACTCGCCACCAGTGATGGGTGCAGCGGTCGGTATTGCTGTGCTGTTTGTGCCGCCACTGCACCGCGCACTGCTGACCAAGGGCACGTTTGCGTACTCGTTCTGGTACTCAACCAACCTGTGCAGCATTGCGTGCATTCCGATGACTATGGTTGCTTTGGGCGGACAGCTGGCGCTGACTCGCTCCCAACAGCCACTTGCTCCAATTGGCGGTAGCACTGCTTCGATCGAGAGCGGCGAGGAACCCGGCGATATTGACCTAGAAGTCGTAACTCCGCGCAAGCAGTCGCAGGGAACACTGCTTGTGATTCTGGGTCGGTATGTGATAGTTCCACCGATTACGTGCCTGGCAATGCTTCTGGCTATCAAGCTGGCTGCAGGGTACTTCCCGCTGATATCCAGTGACCCGATCCTGTTCTTGACCATCGCAATTACCTCGGTTACACCCCCGGCCGTCAGTCTCCTCACCATTGCCCAGAACATTGGCATGTATGAGGATGAGTCGGCGCAGTTGCTGTTCCACTCGTATGTCGTTGGCGTGGTGGCTATGGCCGCTGAAATCTCAGTGTTCCTGTGGCTAACCAGTACGATCTTCTAGCACCTAATAAACCAGCATACTACCGACAGTTTGAAACGCGTGTTTAGCAAGGTCACAACGCGAGGGATTTGGCGCCAATCGCTTGCTAAGACAGAAATCGCATTGCCTTTTGTGGTTGGCTCGGTTTGTGCGGGAAATGTTGAGATAGTTTCACCATTACTGCGTGCCAAGACGAAATGAACAGGGGTAGAATAGTTGCGAGCGCTTAATTTTCGCACAAGCACCTATTTGTATTTGTCCACCCAGCGCAGACATTTCTACTTTTCTTTTTCGAGTCCAATTCCTCATTCTCTATACTTTGTCGTTGCTCTTCAGCACTGCTTTATGTATACATAGTCTACCAATTAGCTATCTTGCGAGCTGCGGCTATAGCGATACACCATGTCCTTTGTTGAGTATGCTATTGTTTCGACACAGGTATCGTAGACACAAAAATCTAAAAATAAATCTGCGTTTTGCTCAGGACGCTTCACTCTTGCCTGTCCCACGACTGAGCACTGAACCGTCGATTACAACCCCTCGATTACACATTACCACGTAGGCGTTGGCCAAGGTTCTGGTCATTGGATCCACGGGGTACATGCTAAAGCTGCGAAAACCCGACCTCAAGGTATGTCAATAGCAGCCGTTTCTCCTGCAACAGAGGATTGTTGCATGCTGAAAATTTTTGCGAGCTATTTTTCTGAACCGTCTCCGACCGATCTTTTCTGTGTAGATCTTGGCCCGGATCAACATCTCTTTGTTGACGCCGGCGCTCATGTTCTCAAAGATATCCGGGTCATTGGATCGCGACACGCTGTTCCGGCTCTGGCTCGTTCCTGTTCTTTATGGTCTCCTTGGGTATGCCGGGTACCTCTGGGTTCAGTATGCCGGGCGGAGAATAAAGCTTCCAGACGGGTATAAACGGCTGTGCGGCATTGCAGTGTTCTTCTCGAATGTGAACACGATAATGGTTCCAATTGTGCAGACCATTGCTGCCAGCCCTACCGCTGAATACCTATTGCGTGATGATGATGACACACCAGAGGAATTAGCTAACCGCTGCATTGCATATGGGATGTTGGTCAGCATCATCAACAACCTGCTGCGGTGGAGCGTAGGCGTTGCACTGATGTTGCCGGAGCAGCATGGCCCAATGGAGGAGATGCCAGGGACCCTGTCCCCAATACCAATGAGAGCGTCACCTGGTCGGGAGTCGGAGCAGAGTTCTCTGTCGGACTACTCGGATGAGCAGTTGGAGGTCGGAATGCTGTCATTGCGACCAGCCCATGGCGTGGTAGCGACAGCAGCAAATGCGTGCGTGCGTATCTGGGCAAGGATCCAGCCCTGCATGACACCGCCGCTAGTTGCAGTAATCACTGCAGTGCTCGTCGTACTGGTTCCGGCGGTGCAGGACATGCTTCTTGCCGAAGGAACCTACGCATTCACTCTATGGAAGGCCATTGATACGTGTGGCGAGGCATGTATTCCGCTAACATTGTTGGCATTGGGTGGGCAGTTGTATGTCATGGAGGACCGGGACGCTGAATTTGAGACCAGCAGTTCAACAGATGTCTCGAAGCGTACACAGGAACATGGCATCATGCTTGTGATGATGGGCCGGTTCCTGGTGGTGCCGACATTGATGTGTTTGTCGCTGTTTATAGTACACATGCTGTTTCCTATGTTGATGCCACTGCTGCAACAGGACCCGGTGCTGTTTCTGACGCTGGCGCTGGTTTCAGCTACTCCGCCCGCCGTGAATCTGCTGACAATGTCTCAAAAGATGGGGCTATATGAGAACGAGTCAGCACGCATCCTGACGTACTGCTATATCATGGGCATATTTGTTCTTTCTGTCGAGGTCTCCGTGTTTCTGTGGCTCACGTCGTTGCTGTAAAGTGGCATTTCAATATATTTATGATGTAGAGAAGCCATTGGTAATTTGGATAAAGGTCGTGTTGTCTACACATGTCGCCAAAAGCTGCTATGAGCAGGGCTGGATATAGGCGCCAACCCTTTAAGATGACTTCATGATAATAGCAAACTCCTCAAAGCTAACATGGCCATCACCATCAATGTCAGCCTCCTCGATCATCTTGTTAGCCTCCTCTTCAGTCACATCCTCTCCCAGTGAAAGCATAGCGCTGCGCAGTTCCTCTGCAGAGATCGCACCGTCACCATTCTTGTCATACTTGTTGAATGCCTCGCGAAGCTTGGTATCATCGCCTTTGTCTTCAGCATACTTATGAGCCATAAACTGGAGAAACTGCTCGAAGGTGAGGGTGCCATTGTCGTCCTGGCCAACCATGCCCACATGCTCCTGAATCTCAGCCTTGGTAAACTGGCAGCCAAGTGCCTCATACACGGCACCCAGCTCCTCGACGGCGACAGAGCCGCCTTTGTCTGCGTCAAATTGACCAAACTTTTCGCGCAGCTCATCAATCTGCCCTTGGGTGAAGCTGCTGCTCTACACAGATGGCCATACGATATGTTTATTTAGCATTAGTGCTCGGAAGTTCTGAAGCACATACATGTTAGTGCTCGGTGGTTACCATTGTTTTAGTTCAACAAAAGCAAGTATCGATGGTTGTAGAAATTTCAGTGGCGAGTAAAACAAAAGGTAGCAGGACAGGGATGCGGCGGGAATGGCATGCTTCAAGGGACATTGTGGATTGGTATAGTGTGGCATGCATGGCATCTCCGACTTGCAGATACCAGGATTGCTGGTGGCGACATGTGTGAAATGTGTGTAGATACTTGGGCAAACACATATTTGAAAACTGCAGCCGATACAATAGGATGGCACTGTGGAGGGACCCAGGAATAAGTCAGACACCAATACTAGCACTATGCCCCAAGCCAATAAAGGCGGCGAGCCAAGATGGCGTAAACGTCAGGATGTGGCCATGACGACCCATGGTTGGTGGAAAAGCAGTCGCTCCAAAATCCCCTTGCATCCGATAAAAGTGGACGATAAGGCACGGCCAGATTTGCCTCTTGATAGTAGCAGTCAACCGAGTGTTTTTTCTTTTATTTTTCGACACTAGTACTACTCTATTTTTTGGAGCCCTTCTGCACACGATCATGTCGTTTGTAGAGTATGCGGTCGTTTCTACACAGGTACGCCATTGCCCGGCAGTGAGGAGGCGGCACAGTCTGAACCAGCGGTGGTGGGGGTGCTCGGACAGTTATCAATTCCGTTCCTTGGTGCTTTTTTCTCTCCGAAATCAGTTGCTAGGTGTATGTTTCTAAAATGTAGGCTCTGGCCAAGGTGTTTGTTATCGGGTCGACGGGCTACATGCTTGGACTAGAGAAGCCCGAACTAAAGGTACGAGTGACATTCAAGCCAATTTTCCTCTTCTCAATATCGTGTGCAGATAACACATTATATACGCAGCTCTAGACGCTTGCAAAGCTCAACATCACTTTGCTAACGCCAGCACTGATGTTCTCCAAGATCTCAAAGTCGCTGGATCGCGAGACGCTGTTCCTGCTGTGGCTGGTGCCGGTCATCTACGGGGTCCTGGGGTTTGTCGGGTATCTGTGGGTGCAATACTCAGGGCGGCTGGTTCGGCTGCCAAACGGGTTCCGGCGGCTGTGCGGCATCGCGGTGTTCTTCTCGAATGTGAACACGATTATGATTCCGATTGTGCAGACAATTGCGGCAAGCCCGACTGCGCGGTACCTGCTGCGCGACGAGAACGACACGGCGGAGGCGATGGCGAACCGGTGCATTGCGTACGGCATGCTGATTGGCATTGCCAATAACCTTCTGCGGTGGAGCGTGGGCGTAGCGCTAATGGGGCCGGACAAAGGAGATGAGGGACGGCTGAGGCTGCCTGAGGATTCGCCCGAGCAGCCGTCGGCGTCGCTGGCGGACATGGGCTTGTCCGACCATGAGGGTGGGATAGCCACAGTAGCTGGGCGGTCTGGCCAGGCGCGAGGCAGCGCGGAGATGGTGGCCAGGATGGGCAGGCGGATGTGGGGGGCCGTGCAGCCATGCCTGACGCCGCCGCTTCTTGGGGTGCTGGCGGCGGTTTTTGTAGTGCTGGTGCCGCCGCTGCAGCAGGCACTGCTGGCCAAGGGCACATATGCATACACAGTGTGGCGGGCAGTGGAGACGTGCGGCGAGGCGTGCGTTCCGCTGACGCTGCTGGCGCTGGGCGGGCAATTGCACGTGATGGGCAGTGGGCAGGACGAGTCGGGCGATGTGCCGCAGCGCGCGCAGACGCACGGGATTGCGCTGGTCATGGCGGGGCGGTTCCTGGTGGTGCCGATTCTCACATGCGCGGTTTTGTTCGGCATTCATGCGTTCGTGCCGCAGGCAATGCCGCTGCTGACGAGTGACCCTGTGCTGTTCCTGACGCTGGCGCTGGTTTCGGCCACTCCGCCTGCTGTGAATCTGCTGACAATGTCGCAGAAGGTGGGGCTATATGAGAACGAGTCGGCGCGGATCCTGACCCACACGTATATTTCGGGTATCTTTGCGCTGTCGCTCGAGGTGTCGGTGTTTCTGTGGCTCACAACCACGCTGCGGGCATGAGGGTGTTTGTGGACTGAGGTCGTCGCGATCCTCCCCGCCAGCACAGGAGAACCAGCTCTCACTGGGTCAGCTCTGGGCTTGGCGCAGCCAGGAAAAGGAAGCGCAAGTGTTTGGGAGGGCAATCCCAGGGGAAAAAATCCCGAAGGCTTTGGGCCATCAGTTTTGTATTCGGCAAAAATCAGCATGGCTGTCAAGCAGTGTGTAGGTTTTTGGAACAGCGCGGCCTCCTCTCTCCTCACGCCAGCACCTTTTTTTCTTAAATTTTTCTTAGCTCTCAATTATTGCTTTTCCAGTTGGTCTACAATCCCTTCAAGAAAATACCTTTGCCTTGTTACGAGAGCATTGCTGGAAAAACAACAGGCGAGCAGACCTACATTCTGGTACATTAACATTGTTCGGCAGCCTTCTACTTGCCTGCGTCACTTTCCCTCCCTCCCTCCATTCCATTCAAGCTACGCTTTAGTCTCTTGTTTTTTTTTTATTGTATTTGAGGGCTTTCTATGAGTTGGCTCAACACGGCTCTTTGGAACCTGAGCATGTCGCTGCTCACGCACCGCAACACACGTGCGCTGCTGGTACCGTTAATATGTGTGCTTCTTCTTCTGCCGGCGGCCATGTGCGCAGAGGAGCGGCGGCAGGCGACGCAAAGCACGGGGTTTGTCGCGCATAGCACGGCAACGGTGGTACCGGTGCACACGGACATCAGCAAATACGATCGCGACGACAGCAGGGATAATTGCGCTGGCACAGAGCTCGAAGGGCTCAGAGCAGGCAACACAGACAGCGTTTGAGAGCCTGGCGACGCCAGGTCACCTATATTGTGGAAAACGATGAGGAGGACGCTGACGAATCGCCGCGGCGACCAGAGGCGCTGGAGGACGAGCGGCCGGCGTTTCTGGGGCAGAGCTCGCAAGCAACTGTGCCGCGCAAGTTCACGGTTCCGGACTCGGTGATAGTGGCCGAGGCGGACAGCAAGCACATTGCGATTCTGCCGGCGAAGCCGCTGGCGGCGGTGGCCAGGCAGCACGGGCTGCTGAAGCGCGACATGGTGGCGCGCAGCGGAGTCGGGCTGGTGGAAATGATGGTGGTGGTGACGGTGGACGGGCGGCTGTACGGAGTGAACCGGTATGACGGGTCGATCGTATGGCAGCGCGATGGGCTGGGCAGCGCGTGCTCGGAGACCACAGGGATATATGCGGGGCGGGGCAAGATCAGGTGCCCGCACGGCATGGTCTGGACCAGGACCAGCTCGGTAGACTTTGCGCAGGGCTCGCTGAACGCGTCGCAGTCGGCACTGGGCTTTGGCCACGGCAACGAAACACTGTGGGAGGAGGGGGAGGTCGATGCCGATGACGAGCGTGATTACGACGACGAGGACGACGACGAGGAGGAAGAGTGGCTGCTGGAGCAGGGCATTGACTGGCGGTCGGATCCGCAGGTGCTGGAGCGGCCAGCGGCAGCAGCGGCGCGAATGGCTGGCCAGGCAGCGCAAAAAGGCTCCGGGGACATCCGTCCGCCGTCGCAGCAGTTCACAGGCGTCCAGATGATGACGAAAAGCTAGAGCCAGAGGATGCACTGGAGATCCTGTACATTGCAGAGCCGGCGGGCAGCGGGATGCTGTTTCTGTATGACTCGGAGAACGGGCTGCAGCGGCTGCCGCTGACAATCCAGACGCTGGTAGACCAGTCGCCCGTGCAGTCGAACGGGGTCCTGTATACCGGCAACAAGGACTCGAACTTTGCGTCAATCGACCTGCTTACCGGGCAGCTGATTGGGATGTATGGCGACGAGCGCAGGGGAAAGAAGGGCAAGGCACAGATCCAGATCCTGCTTGGAGAGCGGATCAACCGTGTGCGGATTTACCCCTGTGAACGGCGGCGCGGGGCTCTACAACCGGGCGCCGCAGCACGAGCTGTACCACAAGCTTATCAGCACACCGTCGATAGACCCTGCGGTTGACGCGATTCTGACGGAGATTGGCGATGCAGTAGAGGCATCATACAGCGCAGATAACACCAGGTGGTGACAGCGATGATGACGAGGACGTAGTGATCCGGCCGCAGTCGCATGGGCCGACCAAGTTTGTCATGACACACGACGGCGGGCTGGTGATGGTCGAGGCAGCCACGGGCATTCCACTATGGGCGCAGGAGTTTGACGCGCCAGTGGTCAGCATGTTTGATGTGTTCAGCATTGGCAGTCCCGATGGCTTGGGCGACGATGGCATCAGCTATGTAGCGCGCAAGCGGAACCTGAACCCAGCAGCGCAGCAGAGCCGGTACCTGCGGTGGAAGCGGCTGTACGAGGTGGACGACGAGAGCATGGGTGGCATGGGATTCGGACGGTCGCGGACGGCGTCGCAGCAGAGCAAGTGGCGGACGGGGTCGGCGGGCGGGAACATCCTGGCGGGGTCCTTCTGGGATCGGTCGGCGACCAGCCAGGTGCACGTGGCATACGTGGGGCGGCTGCAGGACACGCTGTACACGCTGACGACCGACGAGTTCCCTCTGGTGGACCACCAGACGCTGACATCGTCGCTGCTGCTGGCGCTGGCGCAGGCAAAGCGCAACCAGCACCGCTACCCGGCATTCCAGAACAGCAAGTGGTGGGAGCGGTGGGGCTTCCTGACGCACGACGCGACGGTGCTACGAGTGCTGCAGGAGGCACGCGCGTGGTGGATGCAGCCAGCTGCAGCACCCACAGAGGCGTCGTCGTCGTCATCGGCAGTATCGGAGAACGGGCTGGTGGCGGACCCGCATGTGGGCGAGCTGATGGAGCTGGTGGCCAAGCATTTTGAGTCGGGCGAGGCTCCGGATGCTGGCAGCTATGTGGTGCCGCAGGACCGGCAGGTGTGCCTGGTTGGGCGCTGCAACGTCAACGGCATCATCGGCGTGCACCCGTTCCGGCCATACCCGACCCGGCTAGCGCCGACGTACAACCCGTACCTGCTCGATCCGAACGCGTATGGCGATGAGGACGAGCAGTACCGTGATGAGGAGGAGCTGGAGTCAGGGGCGGAACAGGAGCGGCAGGTGACGCAGCCGCAGGAGCATGAGGCCACAGGCAGCGACGGGCCGCCGGCATCAGGGGGCAAGGACCCCCGGTCGTGGTGGCAATGCATAGGTCACTACATGACGCGGGTAGCAGCGGTGATCGGATACGTGGTAACGATCGCGTTTCTGTTTGTGTTTGTGGGCATCATCTATCTGATGCGACCACGCAGCAAGCGGCGGCCGCGCATGTGGATCGACGCTGACGGCGAGCAGGATGCGCGGCTAAGGCGGCGGGACCGGCTGCGGATATCGTGGGCGTTGATGCACCGCATGTGGGACACGTTGAAGGAGGAGTGGCGACTGGCGGTGGACGAGGCCTGGCGCAACCCCAATGCGGCGGCAGTGCTGCGGCGGACCGGCGTCGAGCGGCGGGCGTCGCAGCGGGATGGTGACGAGGGCACCAGTGAGCCGGAGCGACCGACGTCGGCATCGGCGTCGGCGTCGGCGTCGGCATCGGCGTCAGAGCTCTCGCGCGAGGACAGCGAGCCGTCGTCGTTTGGCGGGCAGACGACGCCGCGACGCAACTCGACGGGCACTCTGCCGTCGATGACTCCGCTGAGTCGGCCGGTGAAGGACGGCGAGAGCATCGAGCGGGTGCGGGCGCTGTCGGGGCAGGCGGGGCCATCGGGGCAGCGGCTGGGAGCAATTACGCTGTCGGACCAGGTGTTGGGCTACGGCAGCCACGGCACAGTGGTGTATCGCGGCGAGTTCCAGGGCCGCGCGGTGGCTGTCAAGCGGCTTCTGCTGGACTTTTATGACGTGGCCGACCACGAGGTGCAGGTGCTGCAGGAGAGCGACACGCATCCGAACGTGATTCGCTACTTCTGCACCGAGCGCCACGACCATTTCATGTACATTGCGCTGGAGCTGTGCTGCGGGTCGCTGGCCGACGCGGTGATGCAGGCGCCCAAGGCTGCGCTGGCCCAGCAGCTGCTGGCAGCCATTCCGCGCAAGCAGGTGCTGCACCAGCTGGCCCGCGGGCTGTACCACCTGCACGCGCTGAAACTGGTCCATCGCGACATCAAGCCGCAGAACATCCTGATCGCTCCCCCGCCGCACCGCCGTCGCCGGGCAGCCGCCGGGCCAGCGTTTGCCGACTCCAATATTGTGGCCGGCGGCACACCGCGTGTGCTGATCAGCGACTTTGGGCTGTCGCGCATCCTGGACGACGACGAGAGCTCGTTTGCCAACACCTTTACTATGCGTGTGCCGCCCGGCCAGGCGCCGGCTGCCATGCCCGGAGCGCTGCCCGCCGGTATGATAGGCGGCATCGGCGGCGGAACCGTCGGCTGGCGCGCGCCCGAGTGCTTCGACTCGCCTGACGCTCGCAATGCGGCGATCAATGGCACGACGGTGGGAAGCGAAGCTGCCCACATGGCCATCTCTGCATGGGCCCAGCGACGAGCCCAGCCCGTATGTGAGCCGGGGCACGCGGACGCGGCTGCAGCAGCTGGCCATGACCCAGGTGGGCCGCGCAAACGGCGCCTGCGATGACGGTGAGGATAGCACCGGTACCAACCACACGTCGACGACCGACCGCGGGCTGCTTGTGGGCGGGTCGCGGCGACGCATGACGCGCGCGGTGGACATCTTCTCGATGGGCTGTGTGTTCCACTACGTGCTGATGGACGGCGAGCACCCGTTCGGCGACCGCCTGAGCCGCGAGCAGCGCATTCTGGCCGGCCGCCCAGACCTGCGAGCTCTGCAGGCCAGCAGCATACCGTCGGCGATCGAGGCGGCCGATCTGATCGCACATATGGTTGCGCGTGACGAGCGCAGCCGCCCGAGCGCCGCCAGCGTTCTGGTGCATCCGTACTTTTGGGATGCTGCCCAGCGCCTGGCGTTCCTGCAGGACGTGTCCGACTGCCTGGAGGCCGAGGCGCGTCTGATCAAGGCTGCGCGCGAGAGCGTGGCTGACCCGCCGCCGAAGAAGCCCAAGACGCCCAAGACGCCCAAGAAGAAGGGCGGCTCGCACGTGTTGCCGCCCGAGTCGGTCGAGGACATCACTGCGCAGCTGCCGACCGCCCAGGCCGCCGCTGTGCGCCGCGCGCTGGCGCTGCTGGATGCCTTCGAGGAGAGCAGCGAATTTGTCATGGGCGGCCCGCCGCCACCCATCGACGGCTTCCAGGTCGTGGGTGCTCCGGCAGCGGCGGCGGCGCTGGAGGCTATGGCTGAGGCGGTGGACGGCGGTGTTCCGGCGCGCCCGGTGTTCTGGGACCGGCGCCTGGACACGCACCTGCGCCGGGATCTGGGCAAGTTCCGCAAGTACGATGCCACGCGTCTGCGCGACCTGCTGCGCATCATCCGCAACAAGAAGAACCACTACCAGGACATGCCCGAGCCGCTGCGTCTGGCCCTGGGCGATATCCCTGACGGCTACCTGGCGTACTTTGAGTCGCGCTTCCCGTACCTGCTGCTGCACTGCTACTACTTTGTGCTGGAGGACGACTCTCTGCGCACCGCCACCATCTTCAGGCCCTATTTCCGCGCCCCGGCGCTGTAGAACCTGCGTGCTTTTATAATTACACATACACCGTTCCCCCCCCCCAGTTCTTGCCAAGCAACTTGTGAATTTCATTTTTCTTTTTGCATCCCGCCCACCCCATTTGCTCTAGCCCGAAGAAAGCTTCCGAACCTCTCTTTCTCTCTTCTGACCTCCTTTCCTACTCCACTCTGACCCTCTCCTCTCTTCCTCCCCCCTTTTGTTAGACAATGAGCTACGGACAGCAAAGCAGCAACTACAACATTGTCGTGGATGTGGACGATGATGAACCCACCCTTGAATTCCAGGATTATGCCACCACACAGCCAGTCCAGCAGGGACGCATGAACGCAGCCTCGTCCGCGCCCTACCAGGCGCCGGCGACAGGCGGATCGGACCGGCACCGGCTACTCAGTATGGCGGGTGGAGTACTGGGCGCAGTACTTCAACGTGGACTCGAGCGATGTGGTGCAGCGGGCGTGGCTGGCGGTGGTTCCAAAGGACAGCTTCCTGGATGTGTACAATGCGAATCCTGACCTGTGGGGCACGTTTTGGATTCCGACGTCGGCGGTGTTTTTCATATTCGTGACGTCGTCCCTGTCGCAGAGCATAGCAGAGATCCTGGCGGGCGGTTCGCGCGAGTACGACTTTTCGATGCTGACGTCGGCGGCCCTGGCGGTGTACATGTATGTACTGGCGGTGGGCGCGTTTGTGTATGGCGCGACCAAGTATTTTGGCAGCCAGCCGGGCCTGCTCGAGTGTCTGAGCGTGTACGGGTATGCGATGGCGGTGTGGATTCCGGCCGCCATCCTGTGTGTGCTGCCCATTGACTGGTTCCGCTGGGCGGTGGTTGCCGTGGGCTTTGCGTCGTCGGGCCTGTTCATCATGCGGTCGGTTAACCAGATCGTCGGCAGGTCCAACGGCAAGCTGCACAAGGCCATCATCCCGCTGCTGTTTGTTGCCCATGCCCTGCTGGTCGTTGTCTTCAAGCTCAGGTTCTTTAGCTACTCTGTCGCCACCGTCCCGACGTCACCGCCCCAGACCACTCCGACTCCCACACCAACCCCCACTCCCACTGCTTAAACATCGGCTGTTTCAAATACACTGTGATTCCGTCGTCATCCACCATTGCAACATACATGATGTGGTCTCCGCTTTTATGACATGGAAAGAAAGGCTTTATACAACCTAATGAACAAAAAACCTCCCCTCCCACACACTCAACGAAGGAGACAAAAAGGTGATTCAAGCACTTTTTACTTCTTGGCCTGAGCCTTGAGGACCTTCTTGACGATCTTCTGCTCCTCGATGAGGAAAGCGCGGACAATGCGAGCGCGCACGCAGGTGCTGCAGCGCGAACCGCCGTAGGCGCGCGACACCGACTTGGCGCTCTTGTTCAGGCGCGAGTACTCGCGCGGGCGCAGAGCCGGGATGCCAGCAAGCGCGGCACCGCAGTCACCGCAGCGCGGGCCCTTGGCCGGCTTCTTGACGTGCAGCACGCGGAGGTTGCCGCCGGGCGTCTTGCTCATGCGGACCCGGTTCGAGCGGGTGTTGTAGGAAAGGCGGCGCCTGTAAGTAACACGCTGGACCATGATTGATTATTTGTCTGCTCTACAAATGCCCAGAATACGCCCCAAATGCCCACATCCCCACAGAACATAGAGCGACCAGGTTTCCCAGAGCAAAGAAAAAGGTTCGGTTCGGTCCGAGTTCGAATCCACCCATTTGTCAAACGAACGACCCGCCAGCAGCGTCCCACCAGCAGACAGCCCACACGTGCGAGTTCCAATTGTCCGAATTTGTGCGTTTCCAAAAACCACCCCCAAATTGCCACGGTCGCCATGCAGATTCCATACAGAATGTAGATAAAGATATGTGTTTTTCGTTAGCACTGGCTGTCTCATAATTTTCGCGGGTCCCGCATCCATTCCCGTATCCATCAGTCGACGCGCGCCCTATGTCGCCCGGTGCTGCCGCATTTTTCCTAACCGTACCTCAAAAAAGTCGCAAGTTTAAAAGAAAGATCCAGTCGCGGTCGCCTCGCCGTAAAATCGCTTTTACTTTCTGGTGATTAATGGATGTGATCTTAGAAATGCACTTGATCTGAAATGCAAAATCTGATTAATCACGCTCGCCTGCTGATTCTGCCCGCCTCACTAAGAAATGCTGCGTGCTGGCTTGTAGCGCCAACGACATTGCCATCTGCAGTCCGCTGGCCCGTGTCTGCGCATATGCTGCTGGTGATATCGCTGTATAGCATATATGGACACATATGCTGCTTTGTTGAATGCTGGCAATGGCAGTTCTATGCTCTGTTCTTATATACTCAATTGCAAGCAGCGACGAAAACGCGGCAGCTGCTTGCCAATGCTGCGAGTCTAAAATGAGACGCGCGAATAATACTTGCCACCCTGGCCGCCGTACATGCCTGGGCCAACTCGTTAGTGATCTCTTTAGCCCACCCCTCCGTCTGTGCTACTGCTAGTGCGCTGGCGGTTTGGCGGTCTGGTTGGGGATTTATCCATTTTTACCCTTTAGGACTAGCTTGGCTCACAGTCCAGCACTTTTGCCCTATATGGCCTCTCAACAAACGTGGAATTTTCGGCGCGTGTGGAGTTCTCCATGGATTGACTGGTCACCTGTCTGACAAAGCACATTGAATGCGCAGGACTGCGGTGGGGAGTATGCGCTGAGATCGGCAATCGTGCTTTTGCCCCTGTATTGTGTTTGCGCAGAACCGGGTAGAAAGGCGCGTCGGAAGAACCGTCAAAAAAGAACGCCTGTTGGGTGGATGACCAGGTCAGTTGGCAGCAACACACTGGCTTCTTTCGTCCGAGGTTTGCTCTGCATAAATTTGCAGCTGCATTGTCCCCCTTCCTCACCAACAGGATGTGCGGTGACATAAATATTGCCGCTGCTTCTCTTCCCCTCCAACACGCAGACTTCATGTTCGCTTTTTAATCTTTCCGCATACTATACTCTCCACCTCCTCCGCAATGCCCAAACCATTTCGTTGTCCCCGACTCCCAGGAGCCAGGCTTCTCGCATATTGTCCGCCACCCAGACTTCATTGACGGCACCATCCCTGACATCCCTGATTGCGCACAGCAGACCTGTACGGCCTATTCCAGCGGTGCGTGAGCGAAAGCCCTGCTGACAACCTCTTTGGATCGCGCGCATTCGACCCAGACACCAAGACCCTCGGCGACCACTACACCTGGCTCTACCAAGAAGCAGGCGGCCGAGTTTGTCGACCACTACGGCAGCGGCCTCGACCACACCTTCGCGCAGTTCACTGACAAGAAGGCCGGCGAGCAGGCGCCTATTGGCGTCTACAGCTGCAACCGCGCCGAATGGCACTTGACTGAGTTCTCGACGTACCGTGGCAACCGCTACTTTGTCTCGCTATACGACACGCTGGGCGACAAGCTCCGTCGAGTACGTGCTGAACCATGCCGAAATCGAGGTACTGGTCTGCTCGGTGGACAAGATTGCCCGCCTGCTTGATCTGAAAAGAGCGTGTTCCCAGCCTTAAGGTGCTCGGTGTCGATGGATGCGCTCGACGGGCCGCCCAAGAACGTGATCGCGTCGGAAACATCAAATGAGACAATCAGTGCGCTGAAGGAGCGCGCCAAGGCGCTGGGTGTCGAGCTCACTGATATTGACACGCTTGTCGAGCAGGGACGCACAGCACCAACAGACGCCCATCCGCCAACGCCCACCAGACCTGTGCTCAATCAGCTACACCAGCGGCACATCGGGCAATCCCAAGGGCGTGCTAAGCACCCATGGGCAGTTCATGAAGTCTGCCAATGCCGTGCGCCTTGTCATCACTTTGGTGCGCCCGGTGACGATTCTCGCTGATCCCGCTCGCCCACTGCTTCGAGCGCCTGGTGTCGTACTTTACCCTGTCAAAGTTTGGCTGCATTGGGTACTACAGCGGCAAGGTGCCAAACTTCCTCGAGGACATCCAGGCGCTCAAGCCGACGCTGTTTGCCGCTGTGCCGCGCCTGCTAAACCGCGTCTACGACAAGGTCTCAGGTGCAATCGGCTCTGCCACAGGCATCAAGGGGTTCTTGGCACGTACTGCTGTCAGCCACAAGCTGGCCTCATTCGAGTCCAGCGGCTCCTACCGCCATGCGCTCTGGGATGCCCTGGTCTTCAACAAGGTCAGGGCTGTGCTCGGTGGGCGCATTGAGACCCTGGTTGTAGGCTCGGCGCCGATGGATCTCGAAGCTATCAAATTCCTGCAGATTGCCATGTGCTGCGTCGTTATCCAGGGATTTGGGATGACTGAGACCAACACCTGCGGCATGATTGAGACGGTCGAGGAGTCGGTTACCAACAGCGTGGGCCGCCCCAAGCCTGGTATGTCAGTGCGCTTGCGCGACTGCCCTGAAATGAACTACCAGTCGACCGATAAACCGTGCCCGCGCGGCGAGCTGCTACTCAAGGGGGATGCGATAATGACTGGATACTACAAGAACGACGAGCTGACTAAGGAATCATTCAAGGACGGCTGGCTGTACACCGGCGACATTGCCCAGATCAATCCGAACGGTACCATTTCGATCATCGACCGCTGCAAGAATATCTTCAAGCTGTCGCAAGGGCGAATACATTGCGCCAGACTATCTCCAGATTGTCTATGACAGGCACTCGCTGGTGCAGCAGACATTCGTCCACGGCGACTCCAACCGCTCTGCACTTGTAGCAATTGTTGTGCCTGATCCCGAGGCATTCGTGCCGTGGGCCCGCGAGATTGCAAAGGATTCGTCGGCTGAGCTGGAGGCGCTGAGCTCAAACCCGCAGGTAAACGAAGCTCTGCTCAAAGACACTGATCGGACATGGTCGGGACAAGAAGCTGCAAGGGTTTGAGATTATTCGTGCCATCCATATCGAGCCCACGCCTTTTGACATTGACAAGAACCAGCTGCTGTCCAACACGCTCAAGCTGAAGCGGCACTTTGCTGCACAGTACTACCGGGAGACTATTGACAAGCTGTACGACACCCTGTCTGCGTAATGTCCCTTCCTTTATTTATTTTTTTCGGCACAGCTGTGTTTTGTCTGTTTTGATAGCCACCTAATATACCCAGTTCACTGCAATATGAGTGGCAACATTATGTCCTGTGGTTTTGTTCAGGCTAGTTTATTCCAAGCTGTCTGCTGCCTGCTGCACTGGAGAGGCGCAGCTGCAGTCCATTCTGCCGAACAATTATCAGCGGAACTTGGCCATGAAATGCTTATCGCTGAGCTATGTAAGCCTCTATATTGTCAATAGAACTGGCACCCGCTAGTTGTTTGGTATCAGCTCAAAAATACTGGCCAAGTCGTAGCCAACGTGCCTCCTTGTCTTCGTCACTCCAGCAACAGCCCTTTTCCAGTCGAGCTACCTCTATAGTTAACAATTCCACATCGCCCGAATACACGCAGAATGGCCAAACCCTTTATCGTCCCCGACTCCCAGGAGCCAGGCTTCTCGTACGTGATCCGCCATCCAGACTACATGGACGGAGTAGTGCCAGACATCCCCAACTGCTGACCAGACGCTGTATGGTTTGTTCCAGCGCTGCATCAAGCACGATCCGCACGGCAACTTTTTTGGAACACGCTTATTTGACCCGGTTACTAGAAAGCTTGGGCATTACCAGTGGATGACCAAGTATGAGGCTGGGCAATTTGTCGACGAGTTTGGCAGCGGGATGGACTGGCTGTTTGAAAAGTTCACCGACAAGAAGGCTGGTCAGCAGGCTCCAGTTGGCATCTATGCCTCGAATCGCGCCGAGTGGCTACTAACTGAGTTTGCGGCGTACCGCAGTCGACACCTACTTTGTGTCGCTATATGATACGCTGGGCGCCGATTCGGTCGAGTATGTGCTCAACCAGACGCAGGTCGAGGTTCTGGTGTGCTCGATTGACAAGATCGGCAGCCTGCTGGACTTGAAGGCCCGGGTGCCGTCCCTGCAGGTCATCATATCGATGGACTCGCTTGATGGCCCGCGCAAAAACATAGTCTCTGCTGGGATCTCCAAGGACTCCGTTGCTGATGTGAAGAGCAGGGCAGAATCACTCGGCATCGCCCTAACGGATATTATCGTCGTTCTCCAGCTGGGTCCGTTCGAATCCAACGCCTTGGCTGCCTGCCATCCCCTGAAGACATATGCTCAATCAGCTACACTTCTGGCACATCCGGCCACCCCAAGGGTGTTGTCACCAAGCATTGCCAGTTTATGAAATCAGTGAACGCTGTGCGCCTCAACATCGACCTCGAAGCGCCGGTGCTGTTTTCGCTGATACCGTTGGCTCACTGCTTCGAACGGCTTGTGTCGTATTTTGTTATTTCTCGGTATGGATCGATTGGCTATTTCAGCGGCAAGGTAGCGACGTTCCTGGACGATATACAGGCACTCAAGCCAACTGCCATGGGGGCTGTGCCGCGTATATTGAACCGCATCTACGATAGCATCTGGACATCTATAAACTCCACCAGTGGCGTCAAAAAGTTCCTAGCAAAGACCGCTGTCACACACAAGATGGGCATTTTTGAGTCCAATGGCTCGTACAAACACACAGTCTGGGATGTGCTAGTGTTTAACCGCGTCAAGGCTGTGCTCGGCGGTCGCATGCGGGTAATAGTTGTCGGCAGCGCACCGATCGACGTCGACGCAGTAAAGTTTTTGCAGATCGCCATGTGCTGCACGGTCATCCAGGGGTATGCGATGACAGAAACAAACACGTGCGGTGCAATGGAGACGCCCGACGAAGCAGCCACCAACAGTGTCGGGCGACCAAAACCCGGCTTATCGATGCGCCTGCGCGACTGCCCCGAGCTCGGGTACCTGTCGACCGATAAGCCATGTCCGCGCGGCGAGCTACTAATGAAAGGCGACTCAATCATGGCTGGATATTGCAAGAACGATGCACTGACCGCTGAGACGATCAAGGACGGATGGCTGCACAGCGGCGACATTGCGCAGTTCAACGCCAACGGCACAGTCACAATAATTGACCGCTCCAAGGACATATTTAAGCTTGCGCAGGGCGAGTATGTCGCACCAGAGTACCTGCAGATTATATACGAAAGACACCCGCTTGTACAGCAGATATTCATCTACGGCGACCCGACCAGGTCAGCACTGGTCGCAATTGTTGTCCCTGATCCCGGCACGTTCACAAAGTGGGCTCGCTGGATCGCCAGCGATGACAACGCGGGTATGCATGGCTTGTGTGCGAATGCCCATGTCACTGCAGCGCTGCTCAATTCACTAGAAGAGTTTGGGCGGGAAAGAAAGCTGCAGGGGTTCGAGCTCGTCCGCGCGCTATACTGCGAGCTGACACCATTTGACATCACCAGCAACTGCCTGCTATCGAGTACGTTCAAGATCAAGCGCAACCTGGCTGTCCAGTTACTACCGAGTCACCATCGACGAGTTGTACAGCCAGCTTGATGTTTCGCACAGCCAGCATTGAATTTATTTTCTCGTGGTAAAGGGTGGTTGTGTAGCGGAGGCTTGCTGTTCAGTAACAAAAACAAAGAATCCATTGTTTGCGCATCATATGGGCAATGTGGCTTCAGTGCAAACATGCCAAGACAACCCTGGGGTTTCAGGTTAGGCAAGCACCATGCAAGAGCAAATTGACCTGCGAGCAGCGCCCCCTTGTTGCGACAAGGGGGTCAGATAAAAGTGCTCGCGTCTCGAAGAGCAGGAGCTGGTCGCTTCGTTCCTCACAGCATTTTTGAACTATTTTCACAACATGGCAAAACCATTTATCGTCCCCGACTCTCAAGAGCCAGGCTTCTCGTATGTTGTCCGCCACCCGGACTACCCCAGCGGAGTCCTGCCCGATATATCTGAGTGCGAGCGGCAGACACTGTACGACCTCTTCCTGCGCTGGGTACATGAGGACCCGAGCGGGAACTGCATGGGCACTCGCGCATTCGACCCGGATGCCAAGAAGCTCGGTGACCACTACACTTGGATTAGCAAGGCGGATGCCGAGATATTTGTCAACATCTACGGTAGTGGCCTGGACAGCATCTTTGGGAAGTACACGGATAAGTCTCCCGGGCAGCAGGCGCCCGTTGCAATCTACGCTGCCAACCGCGCCGAGTGGCATCTGACAGAATTTGCCATCTACCGTGGCAACCGCTACTTTGTCTCGCTTTACGATACGCTGGGTACAGACTCAGTCAAGTATGTTCTAAACCACTCTGAGATTGAGGTGCTGGTTTGTTCTATCGACAAGGTCGAGAGGCTGCTCAATTTGAAGGAACAAGCGCCGCTACTCAAGGTCATTATATCGATGGATCGATTGGATGGGCCGGCCAAGAACGTCATTGCCTCAGAAGTCTCGCAGGACATAGTCAGCAAGCTCAAAGACCGGGCAAACTCACTGGGCATCGTCCTTACCGACATTGACGCTGTGGTCGCCATCGGCAAAGAGAATCCAACCACGGCCCATCCGCCGATGCCCGAGGACACATGCTCCATCACCTACACCAGCGGAACGTCCGGAAACCCAAAGGGCGTGGTGACAGCGCACCAGCAGTTTACAAACACAGCAAACGGTGTTGCTAGAGCGGACCCCGTTGATCGGCCAGAGACCTTCTCTATTCTGCCGCTTGCCCACTGCTTCGAGCGTCTTGTCACGTATTTTACGCTGTACCAGTATGGCGCAATTGGGTACTACAGTGGCAAGGTCCCCAACCTGCTCGACGACCTGCAGGCTCGGAAGCCGACGTTCATGGGAGTCGTCCCCCGAATCCTCAACCGGGTCTACGACAAGATCTCGACCGGTATCAATTCTGCCACAGGCATCAAAGGGTTCCTGGCCCGACTCGCGCTGAGCCAGAAACTCAGGGCAAACGAGGGAACCAGCTCGCGCACCCACTTCTTGTGGGATATGCTGGTGTTTAACAAGGTCAAGGCCGTGCTTGGCGGCAGGCTGTATGCCATGGTTGTTGGCTCGGCGCCCATGGACATCCATGTCATAAAGTTCCTCCAGACGGTTCTTTGCGCCAGGATTGTTCAGGGATTCGGCATGACCGAGTCCAACACCTGCGGTATGATTGAGCTGATCGATGTACCGCCTTCGACTAGTTGCGGACCACCACGGCCTGGTATGTCGGTGCGTCTGCGCGACTGCCCCGAGATGAACTACCTGTCAACAGATCAGCCGTGCCCGCGCGGCGAGCTGCTGCTTAAGGGCAAGTCGATCATGTCTGGATATTACAAAGACGACGCTATGACTAGTGCGACGATCAAGGACGGCTGGCTGTACACGGGCGACATTGCCCAGATCAACCTGGACGGCACCATTTCGATAATTGACCGGCTGAAAAACATCTTCAAGCTGTCACAGGGCGAGTATATTGCGCCAGACTATCTCCAGGTTGTGTATGAGCGGCACCCGCTAATTTCGCAGTCATACATCCATGGTGATTCGGACAAGTCATCGCTCGTTGCTATCGTTGTTCCTGACCCGGATGCATTCGTGCCATGGGCCCGTGAGATCGCAGAGGACTCGTCGGCTGAGCTGGAAGCGCTGAGCTCAAACCCGCAGGTAAACGAGGCGCTCCTCAGCAAACTCAGCGAGCATGGACGTGCACAGAAGCTGCAGGGATTTGAGATTATCCGCGCCATCCACATCGAGCCAGAGGCATTCGATATCGACAAGAACCAGCTGCTGTCCAACACGCTCAAGCTCAAGCGGCACTTTGCTGCAACGCACTACAGAGAAGTAATCGACCGGCTCTACACCCAACTCGCCTCCAAGACCAACTAAACACGCTCGTTCGTTTTTAAATGACAATATGAAATTAATCTGATCCTTTTGAAGCCTCTTCACTCTCTGCTGCGTCCGCGGCGGAGGTAGTACTTGAAGGCCAGTGCGTGGAACTCTGGCGGATAAGGCGACGGCAGCTCGGTTGCGTTCGGCTTGGTAACAGGCTCGTGCAAGAACACGGTCGAGCAGGTGTTGTAGTTGACCTCGAGGTACTCGGGCACAAACATCCACGGCTGCATATAGGGGACTGGCACAAAGTCCAGCTCCTCCGATCCATTGGCAGGCTTCTTCAGAGTCACCACTGCCTCGGGATCAACCGCCACGACATCGCCATCCTTGACAGTGTGGCTCGGGTACGCAAGCTTCTTGCCATTGACCTTGACCTTGCCGTGGATCACCATCTGGCGCGCCATGTAGATCGACGAGGCAAAGTGGCTCCGGAACACGATAAAGTCCAGGCGCCGCTCCATACCTGCGTACAGCAGCGCGGCGGCGTTCGGGTGCGACGGCTTGTTGCCCATCTTGACGTTCAGGGTCGGCAGCCGCGGGTTGAACATGCGCAGCCACTGACGCTCGGTGATGTTGGCATCGTGGTAGCCGCGCGTGTCCCGCTTCGCCTTCCACATGTGCTGGAACAGCGTCTTCTGCTTCATGTTGAACAGCCGTGTCTTTGTCGCCAGCTGGTACAGGTTGCGCGGATTCCACGACAGGGAAATGATTTCCCGCGACAGCTTCAGCTTTTCCAGAATTTTGCGCGGCATGGTCTACTTTTGTTGGTCTTCCGCTTGTTTGCACGACTGCCAGTGAAATGCAAGAAAGGAAAACGAATTGGAAGCTGCAAGTTTAAAAGAGGTTGTGCTCAAGCACCAGGTGCTGATGGCTGTGGATCGGAAGCAAGGGCTGAGGGGGAATTTTCAAAGATATCGGCAAGAATCACAGGCGATTACGGATATGCAATCACTGGATCTGGTCTGGATCAGCAGCCTGCATGGGCTGCAAGTGACGTGACCCAGCATAAGCCGTGTTTCGACAGCATTTTTCTGCAGCCGCTGTATGTTTTTCAAGTCTACATTTCAGTGCATCATGGAATTCACTCTGCAACCAGTACCCGCTTCGTTTGACACAGCCCAGTGCAAGGCTGTTGTGCATGCTGGGATCAGTGAGCCCGCAGTTGGTCACGTCGACGCAGTGGGCAGCCACTACAAATCGTACCTCCGGCGGCGCGAGCACAACCTGACCGAGCTCGATGATTACGATACGCACATTCTCCCTGCGCAGCTGGAGAGGGCCCGACTCGATGCTGACTCGGCAGCTGCCGAGAAGTTCATAGTCGACCCGGCTGACCCGCAACTCCTGTACCTGGACCCGATTCGGTGGAAAGAGCAGGACCACTACCGCGTGCTGGGGCTGGGCTCGCTGCGTCACAGGGCGACGCCAGCGCAGATCAAGAAAGCGCATCACCAGCGTGCGCTCGAATTCCATCCGGATAAGCGCGCAGCTTTGGGCAATGCCCACGACGACAACTTCTTCAAGTGTGTGCAGAAGGCGTACGAGGTGCTGAGCGACCCAATCAAGCGCCGGCAGTACGACTCGGTCGACCCGGCGATATCCGATGAGCTCCCCAAGGCAAAGCTAGACGACGTACAGTCCTTCTTTGATACCTACGGTTCTGTGTTTGAGCGCGAAGGCCGGTTCTCGAAGCGGCAGCCCGTGCCTTCGCTCGGCGACTTTGACGCGCCGCGGGAGCAGGTCGAGGCGTTCTACCGGTTCTGGACTGGGTTTGACTCGTGGCGGTCGTACGAATATCTGGACAAGGAGAAGGAGGCGACCGAGAATCGCGAGGAAAAGCGGTGGCAGGACAAGAAGAACAAGGCCGAGCGCATGCGACTCAAGAAGGAAGGACAACAAGCGCATCACCACACTAGTGGAGCAGGCTATGGCAGCGGACCCACGGATCGAAAAGTACAAGGAGGAGGAGCGCAAGGAAAAGGAGCTCAAGCGCATTGCCCGCGAGACCGCGGCAAAGAAGGCCGAGATGGAGAAGCAGAAGGCCGAGGAAGAGAAGCGTCGGATCGCGCTGGCAAAGGAAGAGGAAGAGCGCAAGCAGGCCGCTGAGGAGAAGCGCATGCGTGGATCTGAAGAAGAAGGAGATGAGAGCAGACAAGAAGGCTGTGCGCGAGCTATACCAGGCTGTCAGCTATCTGGTCAACAACACGCAGCAGACGACGTCGATGACACGTACATCGCGCGAATCCGAAGTTGATATGCTTTTGGACAGCCTGTCGCATGAAGCTACCGTGAAGCTGCGTGACGCTCTCAGGGAATGCAAGAACGACCATAGCAAGATCCAGGCCCTGACTGCCACCGCGATCACCAGCATCATCGAGAAGAACCCGGCAGTGGCCATCAGCTTCTCGTCGTTTGTCCGTGGCAGCGAAATTGCTGAGCGCGGTCAAGCGCGACCGCCAACTAAAGCAGGCTGGGCAGGTTTCGGCGTCGAAGCAGCGCGAGTGGACAGCCGAGGAGCTTGAGCTGCTCATTAAGGCCACCAACAAGTTCCCTGGCGGCACATTGAACCGCTGGGAGACAATCGGCAAGTGGCTTTCGCAGCACGGCGGATTCCCACGACGCTCGGGCGATGAGCTCTTGCACAAGACGAACGAGCTGCGCAAGGGCAGCAGGACAGGAGGCGGCATGCTGGTCAAAGAGCTGCAGAACAAGAAAGCCAACCACGACGACGAGCGCATGGCCAACGAGGCATCGATCAGGTATGATGGACCGGTCCTGCAGAAGGCGGCTGAGAAGAAGGAGACGAAGCCTGAGCGGCCTTGGGCGCCCCAGGAGCAGACACAGCTGGAACGAGCACTCCAGGCGTACCCGCCTTCGTACAAAGCCCCGGACCGTTGGGACAAGATTGCCGAGGCTGTGGTGGGTCGGACCAAGAAGGAGTGCAAGCTGCGGGTCAAGTACCTGGCTGAGCAAGTCCGTGCAAAGAAGGCTGCTGCAGCAGGGGCCTAGGTATTCCACAGCTGCAAAACAACAGCCACCACATCCACTGAGCCAGCAGATATGTATCTGATGCTGTGCCAGTTCGGCATGCTGGCAAGAGTAGAGATAAGCAAACAAAGAGCATTTGGCAGCAGGCACTCTGGACAGTACATGCATGGCTTTACGTATTCATAGCATATACGCTAGCAATATTGCGAACAGCATGGGCCAGCAACGACGCACGCCCTGCTGTGTTTAATAATCAGCGGGCTTTCTAGAATAGCATAAAAGGGACAGGTCTTGTCAACAACACTCTCCCCTTTGTCTGCCCAAGAGCACAACAGCGGACCCGCTTTTCCGTATTCTTCGCCACCCGCTGCTCACATCTGCATATTGCCTGGGTCTATTTGCGTATATGCGCCTAGCCAAAACCCATGTCGGCTGAACTCCTTGGCTGGACTCCTCCACCATCCTTGTACCATGGTATCTGCTACAAGAGCTACAGGCCATCCTCGCTTGCCTCCAGCGCACACACCAGCCCCAAGGTGGTTGGGGGGGGAAGGTGTTGCAAATCCCAGTTGGCCTGCCGACTCTAGACCACTGGTTATCTACTAGCTGCGCTGCTCTTGGCGGAACTGGGACTAGCATTTCTGCAGCTAGAGCCATCGACTTGACGTGCTGACGCTATCACCATCCATCATCTCCTAGCGCATACGGCCGAGGGGAGCACACGTAAATAACCCGTGCGCGCAGCACGATTGGCTGCAGGCTGCGCGACACGAGACTGCACAATTTTGTGTCATTCTCCAGTTGCGATGCTGGCGAAGGGCACCGCTTTTCCCTCTTTTCTAAAAATACTCCCTTCTTTTCCACTTCACATACACTTTTTCTTTTTTCCCTCCTACCTTTTCAACCATGGACATGCTTGAAGTTGACATTGGCACGCTCGATTCGTGGATTGAGCAGCTGTTTGAGTGCAAGCAGCTGAGCGAGCTTAGCGTCAAGAATCTCTGCGACAAGGCAAGTGTCCAATTAATAACAAACAACACGAGAATGCTTGACGCGGTGAGGCCCTTGCGCAAGAAGGGGGAGGTGGAAATCAGATGGCTCGCTAAACACACATTCTGAATTAGGCCAAGGAGGTTCTCATGCAAGAGTCGAACGTGCAGCCCGTGCGCTGTCCGGTAACGGTGTGCGGTGACATCCACGGACAATTCCATGACCTTGTGGAACTGTTCAAAATCGGCGGCAATTCACCTGACACAAACTACCTGTTCATGGGCGACTATGTTGACCGCGGGTACTATTCGGTGGAGACAGTGACGCTGCTGGTGGCAATGAAGATTCGGTTCCCCGAGCGCATTACCATTCTGCGCGGCAATCACGAGAGCAGACAGATTACGCAGGTGTATGGCTTCTACGACGAGTGCCTGCGCAAATACGGCAACGCAGAGGTGTGGAAGCACTTTACGGACCTGTTTGACTACCTGCCGCTGACCGCCCTCATTGAGGAGCAGATTTTCTGCCTCCACGGCGGTCTGTCACCCAGCATCGACACGCTTGACCATATCCGCTCGCTGGACCGCGTGCAGGAGGTCCCGACACGAGGGCCCCATGTGCGACCTGCTGTGGTCAGACCCCGACGACCGGTGCGGATGGGGCATCTCGCCTCGCGGCGCCGGCTACACATTCGGCCAGGACATCTCGGAGGCGTTCAACCACAACAACGGCCTGACCCTGATTGCCCGTGCTCACCAGCTCGTCATGGAGGGCTACAACTGGAGCCAGGAGAAGAACGTCGTCACCATCTTCAGTGCGCCCAACTACTGCTACCGCTGTGGCAACCAGGCCGCCATCATGGAGATTGACTGAGAACATGAAGTACACCTTCCTGCAGTTCGACCCTGCTCCGAGACGTGGCGAGCCCCATGTCACACGCCGGACCCCTGACTACTTCCTCTAAAAAGACCCCCTACTTGGTCCTCAACTCGCAAACCACCAATCCTCGAACTCACCACCAACTACTCATCTTTTTATTTGCCCTAGGCCTGCTGCTCTCTGCTGGTAGAACACCTCGATCGCCAGCCAGCGCACAGCCCTCCCCCTTTTTCTTGGTTGCCAAAGTTTTTCAATTTTTGAAACTCTATTCCCTTTTAAAAAAAGTGTACTAAACCCCTCCATCCAGATCAGCGATGCTGCTCAGACCACGCGCGGGGCCAGCGACACGACCTTGACCCAGTTCTTGAACCGCAGCTCCGCCGAAACCAAGCCCAGGATGCGGCTGCCCAGCGGCTGCTGCTGGTTGTTGAGCAGCACACATGCGTTATCGTCAAACCGCACATACCGGCCGTCGGGGCGGCGGACCTCCTTCTTTGTCCGCACAATAAGCGCCCGGCGCACGTCTCCCTTGCGGATCTTGGCTGCCGACATACTGCCCGAGGTCTTGTCGGAAATAGGCCTCGCCTTCTTCACTGACACCACGATCTCGTCGCCTACCTCGGCCCACTTTGCGTTCTTCAGCACCTTGATGCACTCGGCCACGATGGCACCCGAGTTATCAATGACGTTGAGGCGGGATTTCATTTGAATCATTTTGAATTTGGCGGCTGTGTGGTCAAAGAATATAAAGAAATTGGCGGTGCGAAATGAACAAAAAGAAACGGCAGTGCTTGAAACCGATCGCGGTAAGCCTGGAGTGGCAAACCCCACCTGCCATATCTCGCAAAAATTTGATGGGCTGCAGTTCAGGCGCATGGTCACGTGGAAGCTAGACTCAAGGAGAGTCGCGGCTCGCTACGGCTAGCGCTGGTTGCTGTCACTGAAACGAGCTGCCTGGCCAATTTTCAAAATGCCCCACAGTGACATCCACATGCTCTCTTGATGTCTGCAGGATGTGCAGAGTGGATATGTTTCTGCACATCCATGTATTGTCTGTGTGCAGAAATGAACTCGCATTCAGCGGATTGGGGGAGGGTCATGGAGTTGATATTGGACAGCCCTGCGCACGATAGCAGCTCCAAGAGCGAGCAATTCAGCCAGCAATGCCAAGAGGCAAGAAATGAAAAGTAGCCAGAGTGCGACACACAAATCCATATAAATTCAGGGCATCTCGCTGCAATTGTGGATTCCGCTACCCAATTTATTTATTATACACCACCACACCTTTAGCGACCATGACTATCATCGCCCCAGACAGCAATGTTCCGCCCCACATCAAGTATGCGTTTGAAGGCGGGGTCTTCTTGGGCATTGGGTCTATGGGACAGCGTTGAACAACCTTTACAAATACCAGGCAGGGAATTAGAGGCCACCAGCTGTCGCTATGCGTTAAGGACCAATGCATGCCTCGTTCCGCCGTGTACTTTGTATTTCTGTGTACATCTGTGTCTTACTATTTCGTCAGCATATTACTGAATATATGTATCATATCGCTTATCATGCCTACGTGGCAGGATTGGAAAGAGCGCGTGGGAATACACTAAAAATGAGTACTGATGCTGGAAATGCGCTGTGAGAAAAGATGGAGCACGGCTGATGCGAGTTTAAGATAGAACGCAGTCATAGTAGTTGCGGATCAATATGCTATTTGTGGAATGTACGGCACTACTCCCAGTACTCAGGTTGATATCAGCATTGCCAGGAGCACCTAACACGCCAGCTCTGTCAATGATACTGCAGCAGATTTCTCCACCAGATCAAAAAGTGCAGCTGCCTCTACAAACTTAAATGAGCGGTGTCCAGGGCGGATAGTCTCTGGTTGATTCATAGCACTTCTATGTTTTCTTGACTGCTTGCAATTCTAGATACCGTACCACATGCATATAAGGTCGTGCTGCAACAAGGTAGCGACACTGGCGCTTACGAGGGATTTTAATGATAGGGATACTGTATATCAAGGAGAGGTAATATACGAAAACGGCCAGCCCATAGGTATTACATGGCGATGACAGAATATGAGGCATATCGACAGCTGGCAGGGGCCATGTCTGGCGCCATCACCTTGGGGGTTGCTTCAAGGTGTAGTATGCCACTCTTCGCGCGTTAGAATGCAGAAGATGCATAGACGTCACTATCGCAGTATCAGCCAATGAGCTGATAAAATCAGCTTTCGGCATCAGCCAGGTTTCGAACCAGCGTGCCGCGGCTGCATGGTTCTTTGAAAACGCGGACAGATTAAAAAGAAAAATTTTCACTGAGCCGCGGCGCGTTCGAAAGCAAAAATAATGCCCTCGGGAATTCAGTAGCCATCCACGGGAAACAGGCAAGCAGTTTTTCTCTTCATCGTTTTTATTATCAAACCCCAATATAGCATAATTCAACAGCCATGGCATGCAAAGCTTGCGGAGGAACAGACATCGAGCACGACACATCCAAGGGCATGTCGTACTGTACGGCATGTGGTGAGGTGTGCGAGGAGAACACAATTGTGGCCGAGGTGACGTTTGGCGAGTCATCAAGCGGTGCAGCTATCGTCCAGGGATCATTTATTCGTGCTGGCCAGACGCGTGCGGCGATGGGTGGGCCAGGTCCGGTTCGGCAGTGGCCAGGAGTCGCGCGAAATGACCCTGTTGACATCGCGGCGGCGGCTGATACGTCTGGCGACGGCGGTTGGGCTGTCCGAGCACTTTGTCGATTCGGCGCAGCGGTACTTCACACTGGCACTAAATCTGAATTTTACGCGCGGGCGGCGGGCAGCATATGTGTCAGCAGCATGCCTGTATATTGTGTGTCGCATGGAAAAGACGAGCCAGATGCTGATCGATTTCTCAGACATTCTGCAAGCCAGCGTGTTCAAGCTGGGTGCAATCTTTGCCAAGCTGGTCCAGGCGCTAAACCTGCAGGTCCCGCTAGTGGATCCCTCTCTGTACATTTCGCGGTTTGCGGCCATGCTGGAGTTTGGCGATAAGACTCAGGCAGTCTGCATGGACGCGATCCGGCTTGTGCAGCGTATGGACCGCGACTGGATCCGCACTGGTCGGCGGCCAGCGGGAATCTGTGGTGCGTGTCTGCTTGTGGCCGCACGCATGCACAATTTCCGGCGCACGCAGCTTGAAATCATCCGGGTGGTCAAGGTAGCTGATGCCACGCTGCGGCGGCGGCTCGCCGAGTTCCGTAGCACACCGTCAGGCGACCTAACAGTGGCGGACTTCCGCAGTCTGTGGCTCGAGCAGTCAGCAGATCCACCAGCCTTCACGCGCAGCAGGATCAAGGCGCGGCAACACCAGGAGCAGCAGCGGTCTGCTGAGGGTGAGGAGGCAGCAGGCATTTTGCACCAGCTGCGGCGTGGCTCGAATGCGGGCAGCGAGCAAGTCCAGGACATGGATGAGCTTCCTGACGATTACGACATAGTAGTGAACGAGGCGATCTCGAATGAGCTGGACATGTACCTGAACGACAGCAATCTGCAATTTATCAACGCCAGCACTGTGAGCGACAGCTTTGATCCCGACGTCAGCAAAGTGGACAGATATTGACGACGACGAGGTGCGAAATATCATACTGAATGACGCCGAGGTGCAGATGAAGACTGAGATCTGGGATGCAGAGAACAAGCAGTTTGTGGAGGACCGCGAGCGGAAGCGCAAGGCGCGCGAGGCCGAGAAGGGCAGCAAGCGGCGGCGGAAGTCTGTGCGCAAGCGTGTGGCAGAGCCCGGCGCCACGGCGCTCGAGTCGACGCAGAACCTTCTGAATATGCGCCGGTTGTCAAAGAAAATCAACTACGACGTGCTCAAGAATCTGCTGGAGCCGGATGGTCCCAAGCCAACGGTCGAGCCGACACATCTGAGCATGATTCCGTCGGGCGCGCCCTCGCGCATGATCTCAGTGGCCGCCACGCCTATTGCTGGCTCCGGATACGCCACGCCAACCATGGAGTTGGAGTATAACAGCGACTCGCTGAATGGTCTGCCAGATGCACTGGCCAAAGTCAACGGCGACCATATGGATACCATTGTTATTGAGCAAGGAAAGGAGGATTTGGCGGTGGCAACGGGCACGACAGCGGCTGACATTGAGGACGACGACGACGATGATGAGGAGGACTTTGAGGACGATGCGGGAGCTGCTGTCGTGTACGAGGATGATACGATATGGCGACATGTATAGTCAGTTTAACGACGACGACGGCGAATACTAGTTTTATTAATTGATACACTATGATCTGGATAATGCCTGTCTTTGGGTAGCCGAAAGAATGCGGCGCATTGGCCACATAGATGCGCTGCACCCATGTGGCATGTTTCTTGGGATTGGTGGCCAAATGAGCTATAGCGCATTGAGCACCAAGATGGTTGCCGAAAGTGGCCGGCTGCTTTAGTCTGCCCATTTACGGCCACGCCACTCCTCACGCCAATGTATTTGTACTTAACAACTAAATGGCTCATTGTATAAACGGGCATCCACATCTGTGTATTTGGCTATAGGCACGGATGTAATCTTAATGCATTTATGTCAACCACCATGCCATAGAGAGGCATTTGTGGTTAGGTCTCTACCCCCTCGGTTGTTCTTTTCGAAAACTACAATAGGAAAGGTGGCTAAAGCTGGATGGTCGGGAATATATTGTCGACGAGAGTAAAATAATGATGTGTTTTGTCTGCCTTTTTGTCGCCTGGGGGCAAGGATAGCAGCATCAACGAAACGGGACAAAGGTGAGCGACTGTGGTCACACAGGCAAACGCACCACTTGTGCAAGTGCATGCCGGCAATATACACATTCTGTCCAGCTGGCCTCCCTCCCGTCCCTATTGCTTTATTGCGAATGCAAATCCAGCTGTCATGTTTTGAGAAACTGCAGCTTGCGTCGAGTATATAGACCGCCGATGGTGGGCGGGGGCCACACATATTCCAACATTCCCCTTCCTATCCTACACGATTCCTTTCGTCGTGGTTTTTGATTTTTGCCTTGCGCCCTTTGTTCCAGCTTCTCAGAAACCCCCTCTACTATCTGAGAACTGCAGCCTTTCGTGTGTACATCACAAGCTACGTTTTTTTTAGCAATGTTGTTTCGCTCGTCCATTCATATCCTCTCTGGTTCTGTCGCTTGCTGCCCTGGCATTGTATGGGTATGCAGAGCCGCTGGCAATGCGCCAGGCAGTGGTTGCGACAAATGTGGACCGAGTCCCAGATGGACATGCTCGATAGTCCGCAAGGCAGTGAGGCCATGGGTGTTGCCGGCCGGATGCGGTTTTCCGTATACAAGCCCTCAGCGGTACAGAACCCCGAGCCATTCTGGTTCATGCAGAAGGTAGACCACACAGGGCTTAACAATACATTGTTCAAGCAGCGCATCTACATCAACACCAAGGAGTACAAAGCTGGTGGTCCCATCTATCTGTTCAACAGCGGCGAGACGCCTGCTTCTCCCTCATATCTGTATGGAGGGGAGCCATACCAGCTGGCCAAGAATACCGGCGGGATACTTGTGATCATGGAGCACAGATACTATGGCCAGTCATACCCAGTCAGCGACATGTCTGGGCCGAGTATGCAGTACCTAACAGTAGAGAACTCCCTAGACGATATTGCCAACTTCATCCGCAACGCGCCTGCGTTCATCCAAGCGAGCACAGGCATCGAAATTGCATCGAATTCCAAGTGGGTGGTGACCGGCGGGTCCTACTCAGCAACACTGGCGGCATGGGCGCGCATGCAATACCCAGATCTCATCCACGCAGCATATGCCAGTTCAGCGCCGGTTGTAGCACAGGTGGATTTCTTCCAGTACGACCAGGTTGTGGGCGAGGCATTGCCGTGTGCGAGTAAGATCGCCGACGCCATCGACACGCTCGACCTGATCCTGGACAGCAAGAGCCGCACACTGATCGACAGCTGGAAGCGTGCCAGCGGATTGGAGCAGGTCAAGGATGATGTTGATTTCGCCGGTGCCTTCATCGACCAAATGTCCAATGTTGTGCAGTATTATGTGCCGCCGGCACCTGGCACCAATGCACCAGACGCCATTGCCTCCCTATGCAGCTGGTTCGATCGCCAGCAGTACATTCCGTTGCAGAACCTGGCGGATATGACGAGCGCATATATCCGCTTCAACAGCATCGACACTGTGTCTGCGTACAGCTCGCTGGCGGGTGCACACAGCACAAACCTGGGACAAGATGGCCGTGCGTGGTACTACCAGACATGCACGCAGTTCGGGTTCTGGCAGACGGCTCCGCGCCCACCACAGCGCCGCCTGCGGTCAAAGTACTTGACAGCCGAGTGGCAGAGGACACCATGCAGTGTGTTTTTCGGGGACACAGTTACCGGCGATGTCAATACTGACAAGATCAATAGCAAGTACGGCGGGCTGAAGCCAAATGTGACGCGAGTTGTGTTCGTCAACGGCCTGCATGACCCATGGAGCCGCCTGTCGATTGTCTCCGAGGCGCGGTATGGGAAGGGGTTGACAAACACACGCGGGAACACCATCTTAACTATGCCGCTGGCGTCTCATGTTACGGATTTCTATGTGGGCGCGAACCGGACCGATTTCGGGGTCAATGTTGTGCGCGAGAAGATCCTGGAGGCGATTATGCAGTATTTAGCTGAGGACTAGGCTCACCTTCCAGTTTTCTTTTTTGTAATGTACAAACCACATATGTGTCAGTGCACTTGCCAGTCGCGCCTTGCAGCAGGGGTGGCCGTGATTGCGCAATCTCCGTTGGTGAACGGGGAGGACTGGCTGGCTGGAACATCCGTGATTCCGAGGAATTCGGCAGTGGATTGCGTGGACAAGTGGGCTTGGGGTAAGCAGGGTTGAATTTGCAATTAGTCACACTGGGCCGCCTGCGTTTTTTGTTTGCAGTGTTCGTTCTGGCTTTCCCTGCTTTTAGCCGATATCAGTTTTCTTTCGTTTCCGACCACGCCGAATCTCTTCTCTCCACTCCCTTTCTACACTACACATTTCGAGAGGAGTTTGAGAAACCGTCTTAATGTCACAACTGCGCAGCATTCGAGTGGCTCGTTCCAGCGGGCTGCTGCCCCGACTCACAGCAGTCTACCGCACACCGTCGCCGCGGCATTACAGCGCACTGGGAGCCAAAGTGTACAATGTGCTGAAATTGCGGCAGCCGCAGGCCATTGCCAGCCGCAGCTTCCAGACATCCTCGCTCTGGCAGAAGAAGAACGACGACAGTGACGACAGCGACAGCAAGAAGAAGAATAAATCAGTGGAGGAAGAGCAGGACGACGACAAGGGCCGCCGCCGGCGATCTGCGCGGCGAACAGAAGGCGTGCCGGCGACTGAGGGCGAGCCGGCGCGGCCAGACCCGCTGACGCAGCTGAAGCGTGCGGTGGGCGTGGCAGACTACGCGCAGGGGCAGCAGTCGTTTATCCCCGACGACTACCCGAAGGTGATGATGCTGCCGATCACGCGGCGGCCGCTGTTTCCGTCGCTGTACAAGTCGATCCAGGTGCAGGACCCGCAGGTGATCGGGGCGCTGAAGGAGCTGGTGGAGCGCGGGGAGCCGTATGTGGCGACATTCATGCTCAAGGACGACGAGAAGGACGTGGATAAGATTACAAGTATGGACGAAGTGCACGAGATTGGCGTGTTCTCGCGTATCATGTCGATTTACGTGTCGCCGAACCCCGAGGACAAGCACCTGACCGTGGCTCTGTATCCCTGGCGTCGTGTGCGCATGAAGAAGATCATCAAGGCGGTGAGAGTGCGGTGGCCATCGAGGCAGGTGAGGCGGCGAGTGAGTCATCGGAGGTTGCTGCCACAAGCAGCGGAGAGACCTCAGATGCAGGGGATGCGGGCAAGGTGCTACAGTCGAATTCAGGATGACTACGATTTCACAGCGCTCGAGGTCGAGAACGTCGCCGACGAACCGTACGACGCCAAGGACGCGACAGTGAGCGCGACCATGTCGGAAATTGTGTCGGTGCTGCGGGAGATTACCACAATGAACCCGATGTTCCGCGAGCAGATTCATCACTTTGCCAGCGCACAGGTGTCCAAGGCGGTGTTTGAGAACCCGTCCAAGCTGGCGGACTTTGCGGCGGCACTGTCCAGCGGCAGCTCCTCGGAGCTGCAGGATATTCTGAGTGACCTGAACGTGACAACGCGTCTCGAGAAGGCGCTGGTGGTGCTGAAGAAGGAATTGATGAACGCACAGCTGCAGAACAAGATCAGCAAGGATGTCGAAGCAAAGATCTCGAAGCGGCAGCGCGACTTTTACCTAATGGAGCAGCTCAAGGGCATCAAGCGCGAGTTGGGGCTGGAGAGCGACGGCAAGGACAAGCTGATCGAGCAGTTCAAGGCCAAGGCCGAGGGGCTGCAAATGCCCGAGGAGGTGAAGAAGGTATTCGACGAGGAGGTCGGAAAGCTGGCGCACCTAGGAGCCGGCAGCCTCAGAGTTCAACGTCACGCGCAACTACCTCGACTGGCTGACACAGATCCCATGGGGCAAGCAGTCCATTGAGGACTACGACCTGCAGCGCGCCAAGGTCGTGCTGGACGAGGACCACTACGGCCTGGAGGATGTCAAGCAGCGCATTCTGGAGTTTGTCGCTGTTGGCAAGCTGCGCGGCGCCGTGCAGGGCAAGATCCTGTGCTTTGTGGGCCCGCCAGGTGTCGGCAAGACATCCATTGGCAAGTCCATTGCGCGGGCGCTTGGCCGCGAGTTCTTCCGCTTCAGCGTGGGTGGGCTCACAGATGTGGCCGAGATCAAGGGCCACCGCCGTACGTATGTCGGCGCCATGCCCGGCAAGGTTGTGCAGGCGCTGAAGCGCGTGCAGACAGAGAACCCGCTGGTGCTGATCGATGAGATCGACAAGCTGGGCCGAGGGCACCAGGGCGACCCGGCGTCGGCGCTGCTGGAGCTGCTGGATCCAGAGCAGAACACGGCGTTCCTGGACCACTACATGGACGTGCCAGGTGGATGTGTCGCGCGTGCTGTTTGTGTGCACCGCCAATGTCTCAGATACGATCCCTGGACCACTGCTTGACCGCATGGAGGTCATCCGCCTGAGCGGGTACCTGGCTGACGAGAAGCGGGCAATTGCACAAAAGTACCTAGCACCGCAGGCCAAGGAGGCCGCTGGGCTGGAGGGCGCCAATGTACAGATCACTGACGAGGCTGTGGACGCGCTGATCAGGGCGTACTGTCGCGAGAGCGGCGTGCGTAACCTGAAGAAGCACATCGAGAAGATTTACCGCAAGGCCGCGCTGAAGGTCGTCGAGAGCGGAGTCGCTGAGCCAGCGCCCGTCGAGGCAGCCAGCGTCGCGCCAGCTGAAGAGAAGCCCGAAGCAGCGGATGCCGAGGCAGCAAAGGCTGCGCCAGCCGAAGAGAAGCCGCAGCGCATGGTGGTACCCGAGGCCTACAAGCTGGATATCTCAGCCGACAAGCTGAAGGACTACGTCGGCCCGCCGATCTTTGAGGCCGACCGGCTGTATCCAACGACGCCGCCGGCGTGGTCATGGGGCTGGCATGGACGTCCATGGGCGGCTCGGCGCTCTATATCGAGTCGGTCGTCGAGGCTACTCTGCCGGCCAGCACGGAGTCTGGCGAGTCGGGGCCGCGCGGGCGCCTGCACACGACCGGCCAGCTGGGCGACGTCATGAAGGAGTCGGCGACGCTTGCATACACGTATGTACGTGCGCTGCTGAACCGCAAGCAGCCGGAGAACCGGTTCTTTGACAACAACATCATCCACCTGCACGTGCCTGAGGGTGCGACACCCAAGGACGGGCCGAGTGCTGGCGTCACCATGACCACGGCGCTGCTGTCGCTGGCGCAGGGGAAGCAGGTCAGGGACGATGTGGCCATGACCGGCGAGCTGACGCTGACGGGCAGGGTGCTGAAGATTGGTGGGCTGAAGGAGAAGACGATTGCGGCTAGACGCGCTGGCGTCAAGCGCATCCTGTTCCCGAAGGCGAATTTGGCTGACTGGGAGGAGCTGCCCGAGCATGTCAAGGTGGGGATCGAGGGATGCCCGATCGAGTGGTACGAGGAGATCCCGCCGCTGGTCGGTCTGACTGTGTGAACATGGGAGGTGATATGTTTCATTAAAGTGAATTAGACGCAATATAAAAAAGAAATCGCTTAGGTGGCATGTACCAAGATGCGCGCAATGTCATCAAGCTCGCGCTCCAGCGTATCCAGGCGCCGGCCGACGCCCTGCGACACGCCAAGAATGTCATCGATGGCCTGCTGCGTGTCCCTGCTCGCGTCCTTCAGCTCCTCCACGTGCTGCTGGATGAACCCGCGCGCACTGTGCTCGCCCTGTCTCCTTGCATCTCGCGCAGGAAGGCGCTGTAGAACTCGCTTGTGCTGGCCTGCCATATCGTGCATGTCGTTCCAGCCGCGCAGCAGCACCAGCCAATCGTCCAGTGGAAGCTCGTCGTGGGAGAACAGAAGCGAGGCCCGGGCGACGTCCAGCGCAGGCGAGTCGGGGCCACCGGCGTCCTTCAGCGACTGCAACGAGCGTGTAGTCACTGAGAGCGGAGTCTGGTTGAGCTGCTGTGCGCTGCCCGTATCCCGTGGCAGCGATGCCGTGTCGGATGATGACGAGGGCGAGAGCAGATCATCTTCGTCTTCATCGTTGTTGGACGGTTGGTCAATAGCAATGACGTCTGGCTGCGTCGCATCAGCAGCGGTATCTGACGATGACCGGAGTGTCGACACGCTGTTATCCAATGCAACCGGCGCACTGGCCGGCGCCGAGGGAGCCAGGTCTCCGCTGTTCTGAATGTCAGCGCAAATTGCGTCCAGCGCGGTCATGCGCTTCCGCTGTCTAATCTCATTTGACTGCCAGTGTTCCATTGGTGACGCGCGAAATGGCAATGCTGGACGGTCGCGTCAGCTGGCTATGGTTGGCACGAGAGACTGAGTCTGGAGCCCTGGCTGTACCCGCGCGTGCTGGCCGATCTCGAGAGTCCGCGGGGGGCGCTGGGCGGCGGCGGCGAGTTGCGGGCGTCAGGAAGGTCGCCAACGACTGAGCCAAGCCCTGACAGCTGCACTGTGTTGCGCTTAGGCTCGGTCGATAGCGCTTTGTGGCGGCCGCGACAACGGCGGCTGAATGCGCCGCAGTAGACCCTGGACCACCGAGCGCGAGTCAGGGAGGGGTGCCTCTTGGGTTTCGGTCTGTTGGGGCGCTAGGTTCATTGCGGTCTAAGGGAGCCTCTACGGCTGTTTCTTTTGAGGCAGTAGCCGGCAGAGGCAGGTCCTTGCGCAGGGTATCGACGGGGCTCTGGTTAGTCATGATGCTCTCCGAGTCGCTGGCCGCAACCCCGACGCTTTCGCTGAGCGATGTGGCGATGGACGTGCGCAGAATATTTTTAGAGCTGTCGTCAATGTCCATGTACGGGTCGTCTTCGGCCGCGTCATGGGCTGCATCAGGCAGAAGGCGGCTACGTGGAAGCGACTTGTCTGACAGGATAATTGTGCACAGGGACGGGTTGATGTCGCCGGATTCGGGCACCGTGGCATGTGTAGCCTCGCGCAGGTAGTCGAGGAACGACGAGACCTGCCCGTCGTTGTTGAGCGGCACTAGGTTGCGCTGCTGCACCTGCGCATGAAGGCACAGCCCCGATTTGAGGGCTGGCGCCAGTGTAAACACCGACAGCGCGCGGTAGAGGACTTCGCTGAACATCTCGTCCGAAAAAGCCGTAATCTCAGCATCTGACGTGCTAAACGCATCAATGTGCCGGATACACAGCGCGTAGCGGCCCACCTCGTCGGTGTTGTCGGTGTTGTCGTTGTCGGGGGTCTCCAGGGCACTGCCCATGATCGAATCGCCTTCGTCCGAATCTTCGTTGGATGGATAGAAGTCCGACGGCCCCGGTACCATATGCGCTGCCAGCGCGCCCTGGATATCTGCAGCAATATTGCTTCCGTTGATGAGCGACGTGCGCACTGCTGGGTTCTGCAGCGGCTCGTCGTCCATCTCGTCGTCCAGAGTCAGCCAGGTTCTCGCCGAGAATCTGTCTGGGTGTCTGTGCGCGGCGTACGGGCGCAGTATTGCGCACAACAGGCCGAAAATCGTTGAGGTCAAGGTCAGGGTCCAGGCCGTCGGGCACGTGGCGGTCGGGATTACCCGAGTCGCTCGAGTAGTAGTAGTCGTACTCGCTGCCGCCGTCGCTCAGCACGTCAGTCGCCCTTGCTAGGGTCAATCATGCTGTATCTCATCGTTATGCGTGACCCGTTGATGTCGACGCGCTGCTCGCCCACCTCCTCGTCGCTCTCCTCGTCATAGCTGTAGTCATCCTCGTCGTACTCGTCGCCTGACTGCGGGTCCGCCACAAACACCTGCGTAACAAGCTTGTTGTTGAACTGCACCTTGCGCGCATTCAGCGGCGGTATCGTCTTCATTTTGCTTTTGACAATATGCTCGGGGTCTGCCATGCACAGCTTGAGGTTCTTGTGCCGGTTGACACGCGCCAGCTTCTCGCGAGCCGTCTCGACATTATCGGCTGGGATGTAGCCCACTTGTCCATTGCGCTCGACCGAGACCAGCCACCAGTATGAGTTGGAGTCGTCGACCAGTGTCAGCTTCTCGCCGTCATGCACTGTTACTTGGCCCTCGACCATGGCAGGGAACTCGAACAGCGCGTATACGTGGTCAAAGTCCACGTCTTCGTCAATAAGGGAGCTTATGGACTCGCCGTCCGACCCGTCGACATCTTGGCCAATGGGGACCCCGTCAAATTCCAGGCCGTGAAAATTCATAGCAAGAGGTGCAATGGCTAGGTTGGTGCTGTTAAAAAGGTACGGGCGTGAATGCGAAAGGGGAGGAGGGAAGGAGGGAAGGAGGGAAGGATGGGAGGAGAATAGAGCTTGGGAAAGAGGCGAGGAAGGATTATGAAGGTAAAGTACGGGAAAGGCTAAAAAGGGGAGTGAATAAAAAGAAAGTTTATTTTGCGACACAATCGAGGCATTCGCAAAAAAAACTACTGAGAAACCCTTTGTGCCTTTTTTTGGGCTGCCTCGTGGTCTGGGAAGCCTGGGTCTCATCCACGAGCAGGCTGCTTCCCAATGCCAGGCTGGTGGGGTCTCACACCAGAGCCAACACACGAAAGTCGTTTTACACAACGCCTTGGCTAATAGGCGCATTGCCCCTGGGGCCCCGCTCAGCCTTATGTCGGGCTCGTCTGGAGAGTGCTAAGGCGCCAGAAGCAGCCTCCACACGATTTAATACTGCAGCAGCCTTGGGTCGCTTTTATACCGTCGTCCCGTCTGCCAGCTTGTAGCACAGCAGCGGCAGCAGGTGGGGGAGATTGGCTGAGCGGCCACGATCAAAGTGCCGGTGTGAAACCAGCCAGCTTGCTTGTTTTGGAATTTCTTTCTTTTCGAAATTGCCTCTTTCTGCTGCTGCAGCCGTGCAGCGCACGCTGTGGACCGCCAGTCCCACAGTGAGGGGATTGCTGAAACCAGTCTCATCGCAGCCTGTAGTTTTTATATCAGCAGCAATCGCTGTGTCGTCATAGCCATTTCTTGTTTCCTTCTTGAACCAAGTTGCTGTCTTGAAGAAAAGAGGCTCTTTGCTCTCCTCCCCTCGCTCTCTCCCTCATTGGATTCCCCTCTTTTCATTTCGCAGCTTTTCGGCTGCCCATCCTTTTTTTACTCTACGAGTACTTTCCCACCTTTTTCCTTCCTCTTTCCGCAGGATTATCTTTTATTAGTGCCGACCTTGCAAGTATGGTAAGTTATTTTAGGGTGAAATGTGTGCACAGCGAGGAATTTCTCCTAAACCAGCATGAAGCCTTGTTTTTGCTGTAGCATTCGTACCAGCAGAGCCGACCGAGCAGCAGTCCTCCGGCAGCAGCTCGTACAGCAAAATTATGTCGCCTATGACTCTGACGACGATCACATCCCGTTGAGCGCTATGGCGGGCGTCCACGCTGACCCAGCCCAGCAACAATACGCCAGCCACAGCAACACAGCATACTACCCGCCACAACAACAGATGGATGCTGCGTTATACGAACAATATTTTAAGTAGCCAGCAGCAGCAGCAGCAGCAGCAACAACAACAACAGTCCAATGCATACCGACTACCAATACCAGCTCGAGATGGAACGCCGTCAGCAGCAGCAGCAGTTTCTGCAGCAGAATTTTTACCAGGACCAATACGGAATGCAACATGCATACCAGGGCAGCGATCGCCATTCCAGGCTGATTACCGGTATTCGCTGGGATTCCAAAATACCCCCATCAATCCGAATATCCCCCAGCAGTATGCGTTCCAGCAGCAAGGCGCATGCCGATGCCATGTCAATAAATCCCGCCGTGCCGGCGAAACCAGCAGCGTCCAATTACTGCCCGGCGCGAGGTCGGCCGCCCGTGGGTGAAAAAGGCCGGTGCTGCTGATGCGGATGGCGCTGCTCCGGCTGCAGCAACGCAGGATGCACCGGCGAATGGCAAGCAGCCCAAGAAGGCCGACTCTGAGGGCTCGGACTCAGATTCAGATTCGGAAACAGACTCTGACGGATCTGGATCCTCTTCGTCCTGCGCTATCGTCGATCGACCAATTCTGCATACGAGGGATCGTCCGACTGAGGAAATCCCCATGGCCACAGTTGATATGAGCACACCCGCATCACGCCAAGTCTCCACCTCCACATCGGCCTCCCGGACAGGCAGGCGGCACAAGCCGCTCCACATCCCGCTCCCCCACCAATGCCCCTAGCCTGAGCAGCACATCCACGCACATTCGCCGCAAATCTTCGCTGAGGCCTCTGCGCATGTTGACTGTGCACAGCGATGCCTCTACCGACGACGACCTGCCGCTGTCGAACATCTCAGCCGAGTCCATCCACCGAAACAAGTCCGTCGCTGTGCTGCGTCGTTCCAAGAGCGCCGCATTGACAGAAGCACTCTCTAGCGGGGCATTCCCAGAGTCCCAGATTAAGCGCAGTGCACCGGGCTCGCGCAGCATGCTTGTGAGACCGTCGATGCAGTCGCCAAGTTCTGGCGAAATCCCACCGTTACCGAAGCTCCCTGATACGCTCAAGACCAGCCCAAGCATACGCATGAGCGCGGGGCGTCAGGCACAGGAGAGCAGCGATGAGGATGCACCGCTGGATAAGCTCCAGGAGGAGCTGGTATCAGGTGCCCGGTCGGTGCCAAATCTGCCAGTGAACAAGTCGGGCTCAAGGAAGGATAAGAAGCAAGGCAGCAAGGGTAAATCCAAAAAGAGCAAGCGTAGATCGAATGGTTCGAGGGGCGAGAGCGCAAAATCAGGCAAGAGTGCGTCTGCCAGCAGGTATTACGACAACTACGACGACGAGTCGGCTGAGAGCGAGGCTGAGCCTACCAAAGAGCCTACCAAAGAGCCCGCCAAAGAGCCCGCCAAAGAGCCCGCCAAAGAGCCTGTGCTCGAGGATGAGCCAGAGGCAAAGCTGCAGGGCTGTCTTCAAACCCGATCAACTCTATCGATCTGACGACTTCTCCATTAACACTAGAGAAGAAGCCTACCGATTCATCCGACGATGATGTCTACCGCCGCCCAGAGCCTCTCCCAGAGTCTGACTCGGATGGTCCAGGCAAGAAGGGCAAGAAAAAGAAGAACCGCAAATCTGGCGGCTACCTGCCCAAGGGGATGACCTTGCCGGCGATCCCATTGCGCGCGCGCACAGTGCGGGCCCGCGGCCCTGTGACGTACATGGCTCTGGACGACATCGTCGACACATACGAGCGAGCAACCGAGCTGCAGCTTCAGGCTGAGGAGCAGCAGATCGAAAAGGAGGTAATTGACAACATGAATCTGCGTGATCTGGCAGCGTGCGATATCCGTCCAGCACGGCACAAGCTGCGGCATAAGTCGGTTCTGCAGACGAATCCTGCTGGCGAGGTGCTCGAGATGTTCGAGGCGGCGGCTATGGATGATCAAGATATACCTGGGTCTGTGTCGTCGTTTCGCGGGACTGACGGATCGAGCAACGATACGATTCTGTCTCTTCTCAGGAGCGAGCGCGTGGAACTGCAGGCTGCATCGACAGAGCATTCAGGATCCAAGGCAATTGTGCAGAAGGGTGGTTCCCGAAGACTATAGCGACCTGGACTCACTGCTGGTGGATCTTGAGGGCATCATGGGCGGCAAGATTGGTGCGCGCAAGCGATTCTCGCTAGCGCTAACACGACATAGCCTAGCTGTTGAGCGCGGTCTGATTGAGCCCGTCGATTACAGCGAGAAGCCTGAGGATCTGGAGGATGAATCTGCGCCTATCCCTGATTTCCAGCCAATCGAGATTCCCAATATTGGCGAGGAGGATGAAAAGCCGCTCGAAGAAGGCTTGGGCTTGGACGAGATCATCACCAAGGTCAAGGACTCCGATGTCACTGACGATGCCAAGGATGGGGATACCGAGCGCGCCGAAGAGGACGGAGAGGACGACAGGTGCCGAGCCCGTGGAGCTGACGCGGGAGCAGAAGATCCAGAAGGCCCTGGAGCGCCTTGATATGCTGGATTTTCCGCAAGGTGTCAATCCGCATATACGTGTATGACGCCCGCAGATACTACACATTCGTGCTGACCGAGTACAGCACTTGCGAAATGATCCTGAACGACATGAAGCAGAGCGGAATCATCGACGCGCGCAAGAACAACTGGGCACTGTTTGAACTCGTTGATTACTTTGGGATCGAGCGGCCACTGAATCACTTTGAGAACATCATGAGCGTGGTCGACGGCTGGGAACCACGCAGCAACAACTACATCATCGTCAAGGGATTTGGCCAGCAGTCATCGCTGACGCTGACTGGCGGCGTGCAGCCCGGCGACCACGCGATCCAGGGCATGATGTACTACCGCATCAAAAAGAACAAGTGGCAAAAGAGCATGTTCCGTCTGACAGGGCACAACCTGGTGTACATCAAGGATGGGCGCGGCCGGTCGAAGAAGGAGGAGCACTACTTGTCGCTGACTAACAATGACGTCTACACACCGTTCCAGCCACTGCGCGGGTCGCCAACGCGCTATGTGTTTGGGCTGAAATCCGAGATGCCGATGCAGATGTTTGAGAAGCCCGACGAAGACTACGTCAAGTGGTTCGCTGTGCAGACTCTCGATGGGCTGCGCGAATGGCTACAGGTGCTGCGACTGGCCAAAAACCAGATAAAGTTCCGTTACTGTCCTTGAGCGCCGTGTGGCCGAGACCAAACGCAATCCGCGACCACGACAAAAACAATGTGCCGTTCAAACCGCTGGTTGATCTGGCACATCTTGACCACCACACCGATGCTGAGAAGGGCGCCAACTTCACGACTGATGTGCTTTCATCAATCAACAAGATAGCCAGCACGACAAAGTACGATCCGAGCGCATTGGTCCAGGCAGTTGAGGCTAGCGGCGTCGATGTCAGCGAGTTCAAGGCTCTGGGGTCCAAAGGTGGTGTGCACAACCAGGAAGGAGACGACGAGGCCCAGGTACCAGATATTACTTTCGAGCCTGGCTCGCTGCTGTCAAAGCCGCGCCGGCAGAACCCAGACGGCAACTCTGCAGGTAAAAACGACTCTGTCAATATGTTTGTTAAGGGGTCACTGCTTGCGCAGCCACGCGAGAGCAAGGCTATGGCGGCATCGCGCGCAATGCAAAGCGTGATGGCTCAGGACGGCGACGTGTTCACGCATGGGTCTCTGCTGCAAATCAATAAGCAGGCGAAGCCAGCGGCCAGCGCACGTTGGCGGGGCGCCAAATATCGCAAACAGCTCGATGTTCCCGCTGGTGCAGATGGAGCCACAAGCAGACCCGGCATTTGGTGACCGGTTCCGCGCGACCAGTGCACAGATCCATCAGGCAGCGCTGGAGGCGCAGGCTGGGTACCAGGCGGCAGTATTTGATCCGTATGCCAACCCAGACGAGGTTGCGTTTGGCGGTTTGTTGGCAAATGCACAGCAGCAACAAGTGGCGAGACAGCAGCAGCTGGAGCAGCACAAGCTGCTGTTCCAGCAGTCGTTGCCGATGGAGCAGCTAGAAGCGTATGAGCAAGCGAATGCCATGCATCAGTCTCACGTCCAACACCAACTCGTGCAGGGCCATTATGACTATAGCCAGGAATATGACAGGGAGCATAACTTGCAGCAGCAGCAGCACCAGCAGCAACAGCACCTCCACTACTAAGTCATGGTACCCATGCCAGGCTTTCATAATATTCTTGTTTTTCTTCATTTAATGTAGAGTTGACTTTTCTCTAAATGCCAGCACCGGTCTAGTAGTTCGGGCACGAGTCGCCTTCCTGGCTTGCATCACCAGTTGGCTGTACATCTGCGGCTGGTTTCTTGATCGCCTGGCTCTTCACTGCCGAGTCGCTGTGTCCGAGACTCATGTTTGGTGCGATCTTGTTGCGCACAAGCTGCTTAACCTCCTTCATTTCAGGGAAACGCCCCTCGGTCTTGCGGTCAAACACTTGCTCGCCGTCAACATACACAGCGAAAACACCGCCCTTCTGCGGGACCAGCGCCACTTCACCCAGCGCGTCACCAAACGTTGTCAGGAGTTCCTGCGCTGTCCAGCCCGCGCGCAGTAGCCACCGGCATTGTGTGCAGTAGTGAATTTCTACTCGAGGCGAAGGCATAGTACGTGAAGCGAAAAAAAAAAAAACGTATTACGAAGTATTGGCAGACGGTGTCTGCAGCTGCGATCGCCGCTTTTGCTGCTTGGTTTTTTTTCCTAAAACCGTTAAAGCGCATATTATGTAATGGCAGGCTCTAAGAGAAACCGATATTGATCCCCTGCTGGTTGCAAGAGACTCCATTGCACAGCTGACTACTGGTAGCCCAACTGCTTGGGTCAATGAGAATGCAATTTTGTGGACCTGCAGATTAGCACTGCAACTCAAGAGCTCAGATGCGTAGCCGTGTCAGGCTCCACTTGGATGTAGGCTGTCTAGCGTGCTTCTCTAAGCAGCTATTAGTGGTGTTGGTGGCACCCCTTTATTCCGATTCTGCAGATCGTAGGGGGTTGCCGCCACCCATTGGGCACTCGTCAATAGGAAGCATTTGGCACCCGAGCTGTGCGGCAACATGATGCAACGAGAATACTGCCAATAAATACAGCTTCTGCTCTTGCTCCTTTTTCTCTCCTTCGGTCACTGCAACGCTTATTCGTTAACCACTATATTATTAATCGCGTGTTATGAATATCCAGCTCTATACAACATTTGCCTGCTTGCTGTTGGCCATTGGCACACTAGCTTCGCCAGCTGATGTCGCTCCAGAGGCTACCAACCTCAAGAAGCCTGGAAAGTGTCCGGTCCCCACCAAGTGCTACAAGGACACCATTTCACCACCATGTCTACCAGGTAGAATGTGCAGTATGGTGGTGCAGGAAGTTGTCGCGTGCCAATGGAGCTGTGGTCAGACGCCCCCAGTAGGATGCACAGAACGTTGCCAGCCATGTATGGAAACTTAAGAATCAGGCTGCCGACTATTCCTGCGCACACTTGGCTAAATTGTAGAAAGCCGACGACTGTGAGACCTGTGCTGGCAGTGTGCAGTTCCTTGCGTTTATTTTCCTGATTTTAATGCACATGGCCAGCCCAGTGCCGAGATTTTCCTTCCCTATTACCTGCACAATCTCTGGGATAAACGGAAACTGTGATTTACATATTATGTGCAGGATGCCCTTGTGGATGGGATGAAAGTGCAATCCGGGACAGTTTTTGTGAAGGATGTGGGATAGGGGCGGGCAGAGAGCGAGAAAGATGGGCTTTAAATTACAAACAGCCTGCGATTTCCACCGCTTGCCTTTCTCCAGCACTTTCTCTTCCTTCAGTACCTGCCACTGCTTTATTGAAATACGAACGGAATTATAGGCCACGTAACTCGAGGCTATTCAGGGCATTCAGACAGTTACTCGTATGCCTTCTAGCTCAAAAGAACCGTCTGCAGAGCCGTCCCTGATGCCACGCGAGCCAGCGTCGCGAGAATCAGGCCGCAAAAAGCGTAGAATCCTCGTCCGGCCTAACAGGTCCATGCCCAAGCAAAGTGCGTTCCAGCGGATTACTGCAGCTGAAGGTAGGCTCATGCTCACATAGGGATCACGTGTGCAATAGTGATCTAATTAACGCGATGGCCGATTTGCTAATCATTTACAGCTGCTAGACCTGGGGTGCCTGGAAAAGTACGTGCCGCTATACAACAACTACCACGATGTCGGCTCAGCTGTGTATCACTGGGAGATCGACAGCTGGTCTGAGCTTGTTCAGGGCTCACTGAGTCCCAAGTTCTCTGTCGCCGGAAGCACATTCCAGATATTGGCGTATCCATCGGGTACCACGCTGCCTAGACACGTTGCTCTATACATCCAGTATTCTCAGACGGACACTGCTCCTCACGATGGGTATGCGTGTGCCTACTTTGCACTTCTTATTTCAAATCCAGCTGATCCCACCGTCGGTATAAAGTCGGCATTTCAGCATCGATTTTCCACCCACCACGAGGCGTTTGGTGCTGATGACTTTGGACGAACTTCAAAGATGACGGTCATCCAGCCTGGATTCCACAGAGAGGTGGTGCTTGAGAACTGTGTCCGCATCAGTGCATATATCCGGGTAATCAACGATGAAACCGGGACGTTGTGGGACCCGCAGTGGTTCACTCGCGCAACAAGTAAGATTCCCGGCTGCACTGGGACTGTCTCGGCTGCTGCTGTTCCCCTATCTGAACGGGCTATTGCAAATGTTCTACCATCTGAGGGTGCTACGACAGGCTATTCTTCAAGTGCCAATTAGTGGTGAGTGCTACCGGCCTGTCCTTGACTCTATCCATTGCCTGTTTTCTACTTTTGACGAACAAGAGGCTGCCGCGAACCCGATGGATGTTGTCGATGCCCTCACTCGCCGCAGCATTACATCATTGCCTGCTACGGAGATCCAAGAGTTTTGCACCTTGTTACGCAACGAACTAATCCGTAGCCTGCGAAACACATTTTCAGCTGGCGCTATTGCCACACTATTCCAGGGGCGGATCCGAACAACAATAACTAATACCATGAAGCATGCGTCTAGGTCACACTCTGAGGATATCCATGACCTAATGCTCGATATTCGCAACCACAGCTGCTTACATGATTCGCTGGCAGCCTTTTGCCACCCAGCTCCCCTGTCATTTCAGAAAAGATCCGATAACCAGGATGTTCAACAGCCAGCAGGGATGCAGCGCACTTGCTTCGAAAGACTTCCACTGGTGCTCCATCTCCACCTCAATCGTTTTGAGCGTGAGCGTGATGATGGCTGTGTTGTAGTGCAGCCAGACCCGTTCGAATTTCCGTTGTCGATTGACATGAATCCGTTCATATGCGAACCCAAGCAGCCGGTGGTTCCATCTGTATATGTGCTCACTGGTGTCCATTTCTGTCACCAGAACACAGATGGAGAGCTCACATACAGCTGCTTCCTTTACCGAGGCAATAACTGCGGCTGGGTGCAGTGTATTGATGGCGTTGTTTCACCAGTGAATGGGTGTGAGGTACTTGACCTAGGCACAAGGGTTGGTCCTATCACAATCCTTCGCAACAGAGTGAAGAGAATTACCAACCCAGCAGAACAAGTCTACATGCTAGTGTACATTCGCAAGGATGTCCGGGAACATATCGTAGCAGGAGACGACTTTATGGATCTAAGCCCGGATGATTAACAGTATGATTTGGTGGTAGAAACGCGACATATTTCGGCATTCACAAAAAATATAGCGAATGTTGACGATATCCTACAATCACATTCCACCTTGCATCGTGTGGCTTAGTTTGTCATTTAGATTCATGTGTCGCTATTGCGTGTCAGAAATATTAAAGAGTCTGATTGACTTCCATGCTCTCAACAAGGCTCTTGAGCAGCGAGTTCTGTGCCAGCAGGTTAGCTGGAGTGTCAAACTCAGCGACTCTGCCCTGATCCATAACCAGGATCCGGTCGCTGTCCATGACGGTTCTGAGCCGATGCGCAATAGTCAGAATCGTGCAGTCCTTGAATTCCTCACGGATAACCTGCTGCATGATTTGGTCGGTCTTTGTATCGACATTCGCCGTTGCCTCATCGAGAACTAAGATCTTGCGCTTCCAAAGTAGTGCACGACACAGACTGACCAACTGGCGCTGGACCGACGCTAAAATTCTTGCCGCCATCCTCGACCCACTTGTCCAGACCTGTTCCTTCAACCCACGGATCCACTGCTGTCGTCATTAACATCATGCGCCTGTGCCGGTCTATCAACAAGATCTTCGATATGGCCCTTGCGAATTGCAGTCCAAACCTCATCGTCGGTGAATTCGCTCAGTGGATCCAAGTTTTCTCGAATAGTGCCTACAAACAGAGCCGGGTCCTGCAGGATGATGCTGATCTTGGAACGAAGATCCTGGAGGCCTAACTTGTCGAGATGTCCACTCCATCGATGAAGATAGAGCCACCTGCTGGCTCGATTAGGCGCAGCAGTGCGTATGTCAGCGACGACTTTGCCAGCGCCTGTACGTCCAACAATACCGACTTTCTCGTTACAGGCCAACCGAAAACGAAATGCTGTTCAGAACAGTGTCCAGATTCTCGCGATACCTCATGCTGTAGTTTCTGAACTCGACAGTTCCATTCGTTGGCCAGCTCTGCAGCCGCTGCAACCCTTCGATGGTCCTGGGTGCCTCGCGCGGAAGTCCAGTGTAGACAAAGTATTTCGAAAGCGAAGGTAGCACAGTCCCAAGGCGAGTAGCCAATATTTGATATCTTCTCTACACCAGATATCATTATCTCTGCAAGCCGCATTACCATTTCAACCTCACCAGGTGCTGATGGTAATCTCAAAGTAGATATCCTCCATACCTGGTAGAACAGCAACGTGGATTCTACCAGGACAGTAACCAAGACATGCAGAGCGAATGCCATTTGGTGCAGAGTGTTACTATGGAATGTGGCGATACTGTAGGTGGAAATCTGGCAAATGGATTTCTGCAGGTAAGCACCAAGGACGCTGTGGACGCGCATTAGCATCTGGCCATTCAACAATCCAGGCTAAATGTGCCTTGCATGGGAGAATTTAAAGCTCGAGCATTCTGCAGCATCCACCCTTTTCCGTGCTTTTGTGGCGACTCGAGTCCCTAAGAATACTGCTGTTACGGTAGGAAACACAAAGGCAAGTAATACAGGCATCCGCTGAATACCATGTATAATCGCATTCAAGGCGTAGAAGGCTCCTAGTACCTGCTGACAGATCTGGCATGGAAGCGAGAACTAGATCCTGGTAGCAATCCCAGTTGAAGAGACAAGAAATTCTCTCCACTAGGGAGGCTCTCAAACTGCGATCAGTGGCATAAATAGCAGCATGTCAAGCACCTCATTAAGAGTGTGCTTGCGATAGACGCGCAGACCACAGTACAGTTCGAATCCAATCCGACCAGCATGTCGATTTGAACCCGGAGCATGTTGACCAAGGCGTTCATGAACAGGTATTTTTGCAACAACTGGACCATGCTCTCCTTGTTGCTGTCCACGACTGAGTTGGATGTTGCGTTTCCTGCTCTATTGATGTTCCTATCCCAGATCTGCCTAATGATCCCCATCCTACACCTGGCCCTTTTTCAAGGATATCGTACCAACAGCTGACCTTGTTCGTCTGTCTGGAGTTTCCTACAGTGGTGAAGTGTCTAACACAGCCTGGCGTATCAGCTGCATTGAGTTCGATCACCATCTGGCTTCTGCTACTGTTTCTAGGTGTCCTGGCTTTGATCGAGGCTTACAACCTGCTCCATGCGGAGTTAAAGTCTACGCATGAGGAATATGGAGGAGGCCAGTCGATTGCCTCATTCGATCTCTGATGTATGCTGGTTTTACCGTTGAGCGTACCTTAACTGCCCCACCAGAAGCTCTTCAGCAACATCACTAACCGCAAACGATTCAGCAACTATATGTTCAAAGAGATAAGCATGGAATTATACCACACAGAATCGCGATAGCCCCTCTCGTCGGCTCAGTCCATAAAATAAGTGCGCATTTTGGATATTCACTTCCTCAAGCAGTCAGCAGCGAGAAAAACACAAGGTTCATGGACAAGCTAGCCCAAGACTGGCAGGGCTGGTCTGAAAAGTTTTCGGAGCAAGCAGCTGACAATAACTAGCGAAATCGATACTTCGCCAGTACATTCGTTCCTGCGTTTGTGATATTCTCAGTTCCCAAGTCCTTCACATCCCACTGAACATTCAAATCATTCTGCCAGCTCTTCAAAGCAGGTGCCGTGCGTATCTGTTACGAAATGTAATATTTACACATCGCGGACAGACTGGTAGACCATTCAAGGGGCAGCTAGTCCAATCTCCTAGGCAATGACTACTATGCACTTGAAATATTGGCTTTGTTGCTACAGCGCAGAGGCGGGACCATTCTGCAATGCGATTCGCAGCAAGGGCTTTGGGTACACTCTATCCTTTTATCTAAACCTACAGGTCCTGGCATGCTTGTACTTGATGTCGATCGGGCATCAGATGCATCCATGGCCATTTTGGAAATGCGAACATTCGTGTCTGGTGTTGGCGAGCACTGGGATAAATATGTATCCGAATTTGGCATCAACATTGTCCAGGTCAGCGATTGTGTATGAATTAGCATACTCACAATATTCTTCTCATCTGGCAAGCAACCAGCTGCAATTACAATAGCATTTTTGGATTTGCGTCGGCTAATCAATACATCATTTGAAGCCAAACACGTATTAGTGTCGTGACGAGTGCCGACTTGTGGACGGGTATGTGGCCTCCACCTGAAGTGGTTTGTAGCTCCTTGCCATCCATTGCTTACGGCTCGTTCTGACCCCTCCCGGATACTGAGCTCTCTGCTAGAGCTGGACAAGTTCGAGGCTCAAGGCATTGGGTGACCCTATAATTGTCATAAGAGTAAACTATCCTTCACAGTTGTGTTGCTTAGGATATAGAAACTCAATTTATAATACAGAATGAAATGATCAGCCCACATTTGCAAGAAACTTTTTGTATTGCAACATTACGAGAAGCAGCCAACATAGTTGCATAGCTTCTAGAATAGCAAGCAAATTACTTTTTCAAACCACTAGTATGGATTCTTGCTTCTGGTATACACGTAATAATTTTTCAAATGACTTTATTTATCCGGTCAACCATCGTGAGCATCGCCATCTAGATTTATGCATTATCTATCGAGGGTGTTCACTCGACTCATTATCGAGAGCAAACAGCGGGTGAACCTAGGCATTTCATGTATGTTTGTTTAATCAGGACCGGAGCCATATTGATACAAGCTACTTTTCGAGGGGAAGGCGCTTTAGGGTATTTGGAGGTGCTGAATGGGTGCTTGCGATTTTAGCCCAAAATATCCGAATAGTACCTGGGCTGGAATACAGTAAAAATCATTGGCAGATTGGATGGGTAGTCGAATGTTTATCAACTATTCTAAGCACCTATAGCATAATGGTAGCAGCAGAGTCGTGTGCCGAGCTTCTAAAAGTAATTTTGCAGGCGCAAAGCAGCTGCGAGGAGACGTTCATACCTTGGGGCTGCGACCAAACCGATTCGGAAAGATCAGATAGCCAGTATAGCTAGGCATCTACAGCAGGAAGCTGTGGCAGAGAGTTATCCGTCGTCAGTTGCGTGGCAGGAAACTTGAAAAGGGGCCAAACAGTATCGCTTATCATTGGAAGCCAAGCAGTTAGCATTCTCTATTTTGACACTTTTCGCCGGAGAGGCAGCATCAGATGAAGGTCGTTGAGGGGAACGCGCTGTCGACAACAGAGTTCAGGATAGTTAAAGAAGCTGATGTCTGACGACCTTGTCCCAGGGTACAATGATGTAGCAGCAGGACTCTCGGCAGAGGTCCGTAGTTACTTTGCTAGTCATCAGCACTACCGTCAGCTCAACACGCAGCCAATGCAGGTCATATTTGTTCACGGCACAGCAGGCGTCGGAAAGAGCGCAGTTATCAAGAGCGCGCTGCAGTCTCTTCCGTACCCTGTGATCAACAGCAGCCTCGGCGATATTGTGGTTACCGCTAATGGTACGGAATCCGCTGATGAGTACGTCAAACAGGCATTCACCTGATCTGCACGCACGGGCAGGCGCAGCAGCGGCATCCGTTATTGTCTTGGATCGAGTCGACGTCTTGGCCGACCGGGATCTGACACAGGAAATAGGCAAGTTGGGCATGCAGTTCCTTCAGTTCACGCAGAGCCTGCCGCCATCTGTCTTCATGATCCTCGAGTCGACTCGGCCAGCTACATCCATGCCGGCCAGCATCAAGCGCAGCATTGTAGTGCAGCATGCGCTCGAGATCCCTGTTCCAACCCGACCACGGCGTGAAAAAATTGTGCAGTATGCAGTTGCCAAGTATTCTCGAACTGAAGGTGGCACGGAGCCAGGTGATTCGTCGTTGATTTCCCGAATTGCCCGGGCAACCGCTGGATATGTTGCGCGTGATCTGTGCAATTTATGCCGCCAGGCGTACCTGCGGATGCTTCGCGCAGACAATGGACTGCGGAATGCAATGCTTGATGCCCGGCTTGTGGAAAGCTTTTCGCAATTGTCGCTGCAGGATGTGCAAGAAGGCGGAGAAAGGGTGGGCAGCTCGGCGCCAAAAGTGGATTAGACTTTTGCTGATGCCTTGCAGATTGTGCGACCATCGCAGCAGCTCGAGTTTGAGTGTGCCCTGCCGACAAAGACGTGGGCGGACATTGGAGGATATGGTCCGGTGAAGAGCATGTTGCAACGGTTTATGAAGTTGGCGACGTCCGAAACATCGTCGAGGCTGGGCATTAAGCCACCGACGGGCGTTCTTCTCCACGGACCAACGGGCTGCGGGAAAACCGCAATGGCACTGGCGATGATTGCAGATAGCTCATGCAATGTGATCTGCATCCGTGGGTAAGTGGCTTCATTGCGCAATTCGCAGTGTATCCTGAGATCGATTAGAACTGATGCAGAGAAGTATGTGCTATGTAGATCTGAGCTGTTCTCAAAGTACCTGGGCGAGACTGAGGCCCGGCTACGGCGTCTGTTCCAGGCAGCGCAGGCCTGCAGCCCCGTGTGTGATATTTATGGATGAGCTGGACGCAATTGCGGCCAAGCGCGGAGTGGTCGTCTGTAGAGAGCGGGGGGCCAGGGCTGCGTGTGCTCAGCACGCTGCTCAACGAGATGGACGGCGTGCATGAGACCAGGGGCGTCATTGCCGTGGGATGTACCAACCAGATTGATAAGATCGATGATGCGATTCTACGCCCAGGTAAGTCTTATCGCTGACGTGGAGCTATGTGCGAACAAGGCAGGGGCAGGCCCGGCTGTCTGCCTGCTTGAGCACGACGTGTATTTGGGGAGACCTCCTGCGAGCGATAGCAAATGATGTGGAGGGGTAAAGTCGGCTATCAGTTGATCTCTGCCACCCTGTCTCCCCCCCCAACGAAATGCGCTTGCTTTTCGGTGTGGAAGCAGGGAGAGGGAGCGCGCTGGTTATCTACGAGGCGGCAAAAGGCGCTAATGAATACCTCGCTGGCTTCTATTTTTAGGGCGATTTGACCAGCTGGTCCATGTGGGGATGCCCGCACTTGAGGACCGCGCGGGGATTGTGCAGACGCTGGCACGTAATTCGCCGCTAGAGGCCGATGTGCGTATGGATGAGCTCGCGCGGCTTACATCCGACTACAGTGGTGCTGAGCTGGAGCAGCTGTTCCGGGAAGCAGGATTGGCAGCCATGCGCAGCGATGCTGACGCTATTGCGCTGAGCATGGAGGATTTCATGGATGCACTCGATAAGGTCGACGACAATCAGCAGTGAGCTGGTGTGGATATTTATTGCCAAGTGCGCGCGATATCCTGTGCTACCCAGCACATGTGGTGGTCCTGGTGTGATTTTCAAATAGAGACAAAGTGGGTGCGTCCGTCGAGTGTGCAGCCTGTTTTCTAAGGAGCCCAAGGGGGCGCTATTGGGTAGAAGCGATGTGTGAATGCGAGCCGGCGTGTGTCTCCGGACCGCACAGGCCTGTGCAGGCTGTGCGTCTGAGAGGAGAAGAGTGAACGCCATTTCAGTATTGCAAAAAGGCAAAGAAGGAATGATTGACGAGATGTTCAAAGGGCACACCATGTATCGACCAAAAAAGCCACATTGTTCCGCGATGCATGTACTGGCAGTGAGCGACAAATTTGCGGATGTTTCTCACTCGGGCCAAAGAGAAATGGGGGAGCGGGCAACAACAAACAGGGCCTCCGATTGTTACAGATACGCGTCTGTAAATGCAAGACTGGGAGGAACCGCGTTTGTTTTTCTTCTCGCTTCGTCCCACCTGCAACAATCAAAATCACCTTCGGCCAAATGCTGCAATGCCTGCCCCAAGGACTGCGGCAGCATCCACTTACAATTCAGATGCGGCCCTCTGAATCCGGTAGTAGCTGACGCAGATTTAAAAGACGGGCGCCTCGCTGAAGCCGCCTCATTCTTCTTCCACCCAACCTTTGATGCCAAGCAGGCCTCGTCTTTTTCTTTCATCTACATACTTTTCTGCTGAGCTTCCGATTTCCCTTCATTGCAACCCGTGTCAGTCGCGGCTTTTCCTGCGCCTCTCTGACGACACCAGCACCATCACACCTGCGTAACCAGTGTTTCATTCTAAGCCGTGAGCCTCCGCTCGTTGACCAGCCCTTTTTATTTCCTCTCCCCACCACAGATTTCTGCTCTATAGCGCCCTTGTTCTAGTCGGCAGACCGCAAAATTTTGTTGAATATATCCCAGAAGGCACAGCGAGTTTTAGGATATACGAGGTTGCTCATGTGCCGTTTCAGGAAACGCACACGCCCAGTCATTTGCGCTGGGAATCCAGGTCTTTCACTGCCCGTTTTGCACCGAGTACTTTGCCCTCGACATAAACCAGCTCCAGCACCACATGCGTATAAACCACTGACGAAAAAGTCGATTACATACACAGCACATCTATATCATTTCCTTGTTGAATACACACATCCTTTACACATATTGGATATACGCATGCCGCAGATCCCAGGTGCCCTGGCTAAAAAGCCGGGTACGCGAATAGGGGGATCTGGGGCGAGCGGATATGGATTGAAAGGGGGAGGGGGCTATTACTCGTGTGCCTGGCTTTTGTTCATCAGGCAGCTCCAAACTCTTGCGGAAAAGGGGGTGGCCTAGGATCAGCTCGTCTGGGCAAGCCAGCATGAGTCACGGGTGAGCCGTCCCGTTTATGATGAGTCGGATAAGACCTTCCACAGCGAAGCTCGTGTCCAGCACACTGGACGCCTTAGGCCAGCCTGCCATTAAGGAGCGGCACCGGAAAGTTGCCCATCGACGCTATGTTCGTTGTGGAACTGGAAGATCTTGGCTGCTCATCTGTGGCACCTTGAGAGAACGCCTTGGTGCCAGAGTCTCGCAGCAGCTAGCGGTGCCAGCATTGATCCGCTACCAGGACCGCCCTGCGCTCGACTTTGGTTTTGCAAGCGCGGTGAGGGGCTAGATATAGCTGGTGTCCAATTGGCCAAACCAGCGTTCCTCCATATGGAAACACCCTCGCCTGAGGCTTGACGCCAGGGACCTTTTTGGTTTTTTAGACTCCTTGGGCTCTTCTCTCCTGCTGACAACCGCATTTTGCATACTTTCTCCAAAGCGCTATTTGGGCCTTTCTGTTCAAACTTTTATTCTCTAGCATTTCCGGGTTGGCACTAGAGCTCAGAGGACGTCACCCCAAAGGAAGAAAACAACTCCTCTCGAGCCGGCTAACCAACTGGAGGGACACTGGACGGCTGCGGTTGTTTTATTTTGTTCCGCCTTGACACAACAATTGCCACTTTTTCGCTTTTGTGTCGTTCATTCTCAGTGTAATTCAAGACGGCAATTTCGGCACCCTTCGGCACTGCAGACTAACACATGGGAGTCAAGGGACTATGGACGCTGCTAGAACCGTCAGGGCGACCGGTGCGCCTCGAGACACTGGCAGGCAAGCGGCTGGCAGTAGATGCGTCCATCTGGCTGTACCAGCTTTTCAAGGCCATGCGGGACGACGACGGGAATCCCTTGGAGGAGGCGACACATTCTCGGGTTTTACCGGCGTATCTCTAAGCTACTGTTCTACGACATCCGGCCAGTCTTTGTCTTTGACGGTGCTGCGCCCGAGCTGAAGAAGGCGACGGTCGCTGAGAGGCAGGCAAGGAGGGAGGAAAGAACGCGGGATGCGAAGCACGCGGCACAGCAATTGCTGCAGACAAGGCTGAAACTGCAAGCACTAGAGGGCGTGGATGGGTCAGCAGAGGAAGCAGTGGATGGAGACAGGTACGGGTAATTTTAGGATGGTAGTTGTGCGTGGGGACGGGCTCTCTCTTCCTCCGGTCGCCCGCTGGAATGTAGAGGACTGGAGAACATGGCTGAATGGGGGGGTGCCTTTTTGCAACTCAGATTCTTGTGCGTTCTCTGACGAGAGGGCAGCGACATAGGTCTAGAAATATCCGAGTCCCCTGGGAGTGGCACACGAGTTCAGGTCCATGTACTAACTGCCTTTTCCCCTTGTAGCACCGGCAGAGAACACCACACGCCAAGCCCGGCGAAAAAGCGGAAGCGAGACGAATATGAATTGCCACCCATGGAAAATGAGGCGCTGGCAACACGGCTCGGCAACAGGGACGATATGCGGATGGCCCATCCGGATGACCTGCGTCAGCTCCTGGCACTGGTGACAAAGAACGCGGGAAGCATCAACAACCTGGACGAAATAGCGATCGACACCGATTCCGCAGCATTCAAGGCATTGTCGGCCGAGGACCAGCACGACCTGATAGTGGCGCTAAAGGTGCGGTCTCGCCAGACATCGCACAACCGGCTGCAGGCTATGCTCGAGTCGTCCAACACGTCGATGGACTTTAGCAAGCAGCAGATCAGCAGCCTGGTCAAGCGCAATAACCTGACGCAGCAGTGGCTCGAGGTCACCGGGGCTGGGCACAGAGTCACGGCGCTTGCTCCTGGCCAGGTCACCAGTGGGCGTGTTGCGTCGGAGAGGAATCGCGAGTACACGTTGATCAAGAGCAGCCAGCCAGGTGGTGGATGGACACTGAAGATGAGTGGCGGCGGTGCAGCGAAAGAGGAGGTTGAGGAGGGTACACCTAGCAACGAAATAATGATTAGCAGTGACGAAGAGGATGTCGATGCTGAAGACGATTCCGACGCGTTTGAGGATGTCGATATCGAAAACGAGCAGCCGCGGTTCCATGCACCAGCAGCGCCAGCAACTGATCAGATCGGGTACCCGTCCCATCTGCACCAGCCTCACCAGCCTCACCAGCCACAGAGCATTGTGCTCCGACAGCCTGGACCCGATGGGACCAACGCCACATCCTATGCAAATATGCAGCCGGCCGGGGCATCAGTAGCACCAGCCCACCTTCAGCCACACGGTCTCGGATCCGCCCACCCGACACACATTGTGCAGGATGCAGTACCCGTCACCGGCAATACAGCGGAGTATCCGGATGTACAGCAGATGGCGGCGACAGGGCCGTCGCCGATGGCCAGCTCATTCGACGACCTGGCAATCGAATCAGATGGGTCAAGCGCTCTCGCTAGTAACGACCTGGACTACGGCAACTACGAAAGCAACAGCGAAGTAGCCGTCAGCGACATCGAGGCGAATGCCAATCTGCTGGCCCTGTACGGCGACTATGGACAGCTGGAGGAGCTGCACCGTAAGCGTGAGGAGGAGATCCGGCAGCAGCGCGAGCGCGAGGAGTACACAATTGTGGCGATGAGTGTGCAGGACTTTTTGAACATCTGGATGAACCTGGCGACGCCAGCGATGCTCGATGCGGACCCGTTTATCCGCGTGAACATGCAGAGGTGGCTGCTGGAGGAGAGACTCGACTCGTTGCGTATGATGGCGCATAAGGCGTCACGACAGTTCGAAAAACAGCCGGAGCTTGATCTCGAAGAGCCGGAGCTGGACGGGGCAGTACTAGATGTCGATGCGTACGAGGAGGTGCAGCAGCTACGTGCCAGGGTCTCCACGCTGGCGCTGCTGTCCAACTACCTGTCGTATGCCGTGAAGTGGCGCGAGGCCAGGGAAATGCCTGCTCAGCACCCGCAGGTGCACCAGGTGGTGGAGCCAGAGGAAATTTCTGGCACGGGCTCGCCCGAGGTGATTGCCCTCGAAAGCAGCTCCTTGCTTGCTGGCAGCGATTTGCCGCGCGGTATGACGCAATTTGCCGATGAGCCCGAGGCCGCACATGACGAGCAGCGTAAGCGCGATCTTGTATTTGCCAAGGCCGAGCTGTTTGCCCAGGATTCGGCCGATATCCTCCCACAAACAAAAAAGCACCGGACCACGGGCATTGCAGTGCACAACATAGATAGCGACAGCGAGGACGATGTAGACAGCTCGGTAGCAATTGTGGAACAGCAGGCCAGCGATGCTGACATTGGCAAGTCTGAGTGCAAGGCGTCTGAGGACTCGGCCATAGCCCTGGACGCAAAGTCTGCTGAGCATGACGACGACGATGACGAGGCGGCTATGGATCAGCAGCAGGCAGAGCTGATGCGCAACGAGCAGGACGAGTACGCACACTTTGTCGACAAGCTCAAGCGGTCAATCGACCCCGAACAGCAGGCAAAGCGCAGCAGCTACGAGGGCATGCGCGCCGAGCTCGAAAATGAGCTGCAGTCCTTGCGCGCGCGTGTGCGCGACAGTCGGCGTGACGCGTCAACGATGGACAGCGATATGGTCGAGGATGTGCGTATGCTATTGACGATGTTTGGAGTTCCGTATGTCACTGCGCCAATGGAAGCTGAGGCCCAGTGCGCGCGGCTGGTTGAGCTCGGACTGGTCGACGGAATGGTCACCGACGACTCAGATGCGTTCCTGTTTGCACCCACAGATACCACGCGCGTGTACCGGAACTTCTTCCAAAAGGACAAGTTCGTCGAGCTGTACACGGGCAGCAATGTGTTTCGCGACACCAGCCTGTCGCGCCGCGATTTCGTGTTCATGGCGTGCCTGCTGGGCAGCGACTATACGGTGGGAATCAAGGGCATTGGCCCGGTGCTGGCCATGGAGGCACTGGCGGAGTTTGGCCCCAGCGTTGGCAGCGAGCACGCGGTCGTGGTCGAAGACGAAGACGCAGTAGTAGGCGCGCTGACCCGGTTCCGCGAGTGGTGCGATGCAGTCAGGGGCGTATTGCCTGGCGCCAGCATCCCGGAGGAGCTAGTTGCCACTGCTCTGCACCGCCGGCTGGCCCGTGTTGTGCGCAATTCCGAGATGCCGACGCGGTTCCCGGACCCGCGTGTCGTCCACGCGTACTTTACCCCGCTGGTGGATGAATCCAAAACACGGTTCGAGTGGGGCACGCCAAACATGGAGCTGATGCGCGGGTTCCTGGCGGACAAGCTCGGGTGGGACGAGGACAAGACCAACGAGACCCTGGTCCCGCTGCTGCGAACCATCATGGGGCACCGCAGCGCGCAGGATTCCGAGACCCCCGGTCCGCGCCAGGCAACCCTGGATGCATACACCAGAAACACCCACAGCAATGTGTCGCAGCGTCCAAACCAGGAGCTGGCCAGCATTATGCGCAGCAAGCGCATCGACAAGGTGATCTCGTCGCGCAAGCGGCAGGGCCTGAACAACTGAACCCGGCGAGGGTTTCTAAACACCCTTCAATCTGTATAATCTATTTTTGTTTTTCCAACCGACGAAAAAAACTCCCCTCCTCATGTGCACCCTTACGCCAGCAGCGGGTCGTAGATTTGCACTGCGCAGTCCTCGCCAACAGAAGCCAGCATCGGCCGCGAAATAGCGACCTGGTCAGACTCGCGCTGCCACGCCACGCTCCACACCGCCTGCGAGTGCTGGCTGTGCGTCTCGACGCACGCGCGCTGGGCGATATCCCAAATCTTCACCTTGGTGTCGACTGATCCCGACGCAATGTACTGCCCATCCGGGTGTATCTCCGCCGACAGCACCCAGCCTGTATGGCCCAGGAATGTGGCCACCGCCGACCCATGCCGCACGTCATGCAGCTGGATCTGCTTGTCGTCTGAGGCGCTGACAATCAGACCCGAGTCCCTGGAGAACGAAATCGACCGGATGTTGTCCGAGTGCCCGGCAAACGTGCTCACCAGCGAGCCCGTAACCGTATCAAACACATACACGCTGCTGCCGACTCCCGCGCACGCCACAAGCGCGCCATCGGGGCTGGCCGCCATCGCATACATGAAGTTGGGCCGCGACGTGCTGAGCTCGCTGACCAGCGCTCCCTTATCCAGCGACCACAGCCGCACCTTGCCCTTGTCAGTGCATGAGCCGATCATGCTGCTGCGCGTGCTTGTCGTGTCGTCCTCTCCATACACTGTGGTCTCGTTGATGAACCGTGACTTCCATGCATTTATCGCCCCGGCGTCAATCTCCAGCAGCGGGCTGGTCTGCGTCCTGGTGCCGTCGAGGGACTCGATGTCCCAGAGCCGGATCTTGTTGTCCATTGATGACGTCAGAAGCCGCGTGCCCTGCTTGTTCACGTCGAGGGAGGTGATTGCATAGTCGCTGCCCTTGAGCTGCTGCATGCATTCGCCCGACTGCACGTCCCAGATTTTCACTACTTCGTCGGAACCGGCTGTTGCTAGTTTGTGCTGTCCCGAGATCCAGCTGGCGTGCCAGATATCATCCTCATGCGCCTGGTCGATTAGTGCCCCGGCCGAGTACAATGCTGACGACATTTTTTGCGACTATTGAACTATGACGCTATCTGCGAGATGAGAAAAGGTGATTGCAAAGACAATATCCCAGTGTTGGCGCCTACGCCATGGTGATCATCACACTGTGGTAGCGTTGTAGCCATTATGGTTCGCGAGATGGCAATCTAGCTGACATCTCTATCTTGCCTTCCCTCTCCCCTTTTAATCGACAAGCTGGGCACACAGGGGCACACAAGTGGTTAGCTGTATGCTGCCTTTCCACTTGCTGGGGCACTGCCTGCTTCAGCTGCAATCGGGCACATTCATCATCATCACCATTCCCTGCCGCGTGTGGTGGTTGATATGTTACTTCAGTCTACCATACCATAAATTGGATATGTATGTGGTTGTCGCTGGCGGTGTTAGGTCATGAGCCTGTCTTTGCGCCTGCTCATTTGCAAACCGCTGGCGAACGAGACAAAAAAAAGCTTCGCATTTGCGAAAATCCCTCCTGGCACAGATTCTTGGCTATGCCAATCCCTTACGTTTTTATGAGTGATGAAACTGTAAGCAAGGCAAGACAGACACGCAGCCAAGCCAGTCATTAGACACGAAATCAACAAGCTGTTCATCCTACCGCGACCGTGCTTGATTTTTATTTTTAGCAGCGGATCTGGGGAGACAGCATCGATCATCTGTCGCCAAACTGCCTAATCACTATTGCACCCTGTCTTTCAGCTCTGCTTTTCTTTGTTCAATCGCCCACCACAATAAGCATACCACCCGCATATACCATGGATGACGACCGCGCTATATTCAATCGCACTCCGCCGCCGCCATACTCTGAAGACGACCCTAGCACCCGGCCGCCCCAGTACGTCACAGAAGAGTCACGCAGCAACACCATCCAAAATCCCTCCGATCACTTCGTCGCACCCACAGTGGACGACGATAATGAGTTTATTAGGAGCAGCGTTCCGGTGGAGGATGACCGTGTTGTCGCTGCTGCTAGCGCTTTCCACTGGAATATTACCAGGTGGGGTAGCTTGAAGAAAATCAACTGGAGCATGGTTTTCGACGCCGGCGGCACTCAGTGGCAGCTAAAGCTCATGCTAAAGGGCAACAGGTCCACAGGCAATGTCTCAATCTACCTCTGCCACGTTCCTACCGACCGCACTGCCAACAGGAAGGTCTATGCGTCGTTCTCATTTGCGATATCCAACGCAAAAGTCCCGTCAATTGTAGCTGTCGAAAGCACATCACACGAATTCACCCATGTGGAAGACGACTTTGGGTTCACCGGGTTCATCGACAAGGCTGATTTGCGAAAGCGTCTGCCCGGCTACACCCGGCCTTTGCTGGTTGAAGACCGCCTGCGCATTAGTGTCTATCTACGCGTCTACCACTACCAGGACGGACTAGCCGACGGCAACGATAGCGACTATGAAGATATCAGCGACAGTGAGGAAATCGACCAGCCAGCTGGCCTTCGAGGACGCTCTCAGGCTGGCTTCTTGGGTCTGGCCAATGACAGTGCATCGCTATATATGAATTCGCTGGTGCTATCACTCTATCACATACCGATGCTTCGCATGGCTGTGGCGCGTATAGACAGGCGTGGCGGGAGGCAAGGCAGGGCCCTTGGCCATGCCCTGCGGACTACCTTTGAAAGTCTACGTGCTGACGACTCTCCTCCAGACGCCTCTGCCATTGTCGCTGCACTACAGGATCAGTACGACGAACTGCCCCGAACAGCAACCATCCAGCATTATATGCGCCTTCTCTGCGAGAACCTTGGACAGCGCATGCGTGGCACTCAGGACGAGGGAATAATTGACAGCCTGTTCATGGGGCTGTGCCGCACGACCACAAAATGCCTAGATGTCAATTATCACAGCTCTCGTTCAGAGCCCATTTACGATCTGTCGCTCAACATCAACGTCCCATCTACGCTGCAGGAGGCAATTGATGCTTACTGTGCACCAGAGGTTCTCCGTGGCGACAACAGATATCTAACCAATTCATATGGATACCAAGATGCGACTCGCAGTATTGGATTCGAAAAACTGCCACCAGTGCTACATATACACCTCAATCGCTTCGAATACGATGTGAACTCTGGAGCGCTTCGAAAGAGCTCGCACAGACTCAAGTATGCGATGCACCTTAACCTGGCTCAACACCTCGCTCTCAATGCTGACCGGTCCCAGACATGGCCCTACGCCCTGCATGGCATCTTGCTGCACACTGGAGACACGGAGGCTGGCCGGCACTTTTGTATATTGCGTCCTAGAATCGCTGACGAGTGGTTCTGCTTCGAGGACGACCTCGTATACCCTGTTTCGTCGGATTTTGTGCTGGACGCAACTGATGAGATTGGCCACGGCGTCGAGCAGGACGACCCCCGCGTCCGTGACCACCAGAGGACAAGCAGGTTTAAGAACGCATACATGCTGGTGTACATCCGTACCACTATGCTCACGCAGATATTTGGGTTCCAAGACAGTTTGCCCAGACCACCACCGCCCCCAGCTACACCAGCCGAACCACGCGCATCGTCATCTATTTCTCGACAGTCGGACGAACAGCTGACGGTAGTAGCATACGTCATCACCCATGACCAAGTGGTAAACCACCAAGGGTTTGACCTCTGCAACCATCCCAATATCGGAGGCCTCTCGGGGAACAGTCTAGTTGAGCTGTTTGTACCGTTGACAGCGACAACTGCTGAGCTCAGGAGTCGGGCTGCTTCATCGTTGGGCTGTCGGCCAGATGAATTCAGATTCTGGTGCATGACACCTCGCGTAAACAAGACGCTGCGCTGTGAGATGCCAATGGCCTGGTCATCCACCACCACGGTCAAGGATCTAATAAAGTATCATGGAACGTCGTCCAACTCGCTTTATCTGTACTGCGAGTTGCGTATGCTGAGCGACCCGGTGTTCTTTGGTCGGATACCGATACCGCAAGGAGTTACCATGATCCATTTGAAATTCTACAACCATGCTGAGGGCAAGATGATTGGGCTCGGCCACATCTACGTCAACGCCAGGCTGCCGATAAAGACCATCCTTCCGATCCTCTGCCAAAAGGCGGGCCTTGCAAAGAAGACTGAGCTGCTGCTTTATGAAGAGATCAAGCCGTGGCTAATCGAAGCTATCGATCCCAAAAAGAAATTCGAGCAAGTAGAGCTTCAGCTGGGCGACATCATTTGCTTCCAGGCCAAAGCAAGCGCCGACCTTCAAAGCACTGAAGCTCGAGCTCACCCCAAGCTGATAACGGGGTTCTTTGACCGCTTAGCTGCACGTCTGCGCGTGCAAAACGAGGACCGCAATCACTGATATCGAACCGGATTCATGTTTTCTGGACAGTAATAATACTCCAATGGACTCTACAAAAAGTCAGTCATTTCCTTCATGAACTTTTGGTACTCGTCGTCAAGGGACGAGTCCTTGCTGGGCGCCTTGAGCGTGGGGTCCTTTGCGGTTGGTGTGCTTTTGAACTGCACACCAGCAGCTGGCTTGATGGCATTGCGAAGCGTGGGTCCGAGTCGTGGCATTGGACCACTAGCAAATGGACCAGCATCAACATCGGGAGCTGCATTCACTACCATCTTTGGTGCACTAGGCACAGATGCGATCACACGCTGTCGCTCCTTTTGCTTTTGCTTGCGAGCAATAGCTGCCGGGACAAATGACCGCAGCTCCTTCTGAAGATTCCGGACTTCGGGCTCGGCTGCAAGCACTGTAGCAACTGGAACCGGCCTTCTTGGTGCTTCGCTGGCACTAGCAGGTCGCTGCTGGCCACGGTGATTTGGGCCATACGGCATCTGCCGTTGCTGCCGGTAGTTTTGATGATGACGCACCGGATTTCCATGGCTACCGCTACCATGGGATTTATGGTGCGGATTCTGTCGTTTGTACATTGGCGATGGACCCTTTGGTAGTGGTGGCCAGATTGAGTCTATTTCGAGGTCCTGCGGGAGCAGCGGTGGTGTCCCTGGAGGCATTGGCGGCAGCTTGTCGTCTACAGCCTCATTCGATTCCTCTGTTTTCTTAGCTGGCTCACCAAAATACGATACGGTCTGGATTCCCAAGTCATCCACACCCGTCAGAGTGTGAACTGTATCGTTTCCACCATATTCATAGGCACCATCATCGTCGCTCTGTTCTGAGTTGTCGTCGGCAGCGTCTGCTGCCGCTAGTGGATCATAGCCAGCTGCATTGTCTTGTGTCTTCCACTTTTTCGGATCAATACCAGCCTCCTTTTGCCGCGCTAGCGTTTCCTCCAGCTCCTTCTCCATACTCGCCAATTTTTCCTTCTCGATTGCTGTCATTTTACGCGACTTAGGAATCTCCTTGTATTTGTCGATAGCCCGTTGCATCTTGTACGTGTTGCGGTGCAATATGGCCTCTTCACGCATCTTCTGCCGAACCTCTTTGTTCTTCTTTGCTTCACGCTTCTGCTGCTGCCTGCGATATGCATCTGCAGGATTTTGTACTTTTCCCATAGCGAATTAGTGAGTGGATAAAAAGCTGCTGAGGATAGATTAGATAAATAACATACCACCTAAAAGTAGCCAGAAATGGCGTATATCACATACCAATATTTGCGCTATTATGGCCAATAGCCATTATGTTCAGAAACCATTATTTAACTCGGCGCCTTGTGCTCATATGCTTCAGAACCTCGCTTTTAAAACTAGTAGTTTCTAAGTGGCATAAACTATAATGCAACCGTCGATGATGACCACCATCAGCACCCATTGGAATATATGCGGGGTGTTGCTCCCATGTATAAAACAAAGTCATAAGGCAACAAGCAGCAGTTGTTGCATAGCTGACCCTGATTCCTAGATCCACGCCACAGCGCTTGCGTAAGGGTATAGTGGCTGTACTATATAGTCTAGCACATGTCCACGTAGCTGTAGGTATCCTTGGTTTCTTAAGTCAACTCGTATCCCAACAACAATGGCAGCAAAGTAGGGGTGCGGCTTTGATATTATTCTTGACCATATTGGCAGGGAGGCTCTCTATAGTCTTTGCCACTGGACCTACTGATCTGGTCAGCAATGGCTTGCATTGCGTCATCATGCAGAGACATGCTGAGGGGAGTGTCAGGACGACCGGTGCTAGATCGAACATCCATCTGCCACAGGTACCAGTACGAGCCCAGGTGGGCACGGAGCTGCTCAGCCATACGCACTGGGGCGGCAATGGATAAATGGACTGGTGTTGTGTACGCATTCCCGACTCCTGCAACTGTGCCTACACAGGTCAGAATGGTGAGTTGCATGGCAAAGCAGTTCTAGTTGCAAATGCATGCTGTGCCTTACCATTCACCGTGCAAACAAGAGTGTCGATGCATGGTGCCAGGATCTCTGCTAGCCAGCGTGGCAGGTGCCCGGTCTTCTCAAAGCTGCTATTATAGACGCCGATAGCGTTGGCATCATGGGTGTTGCTGGGCTCGCGCCTCAGCTCGATGCATTCGCAGACCGATGTCAGCCCTGTGTAGTACTGCCGCCCGACGACATGTGATTTGAACTGCCCGTGGACAACTGACGCCATTATACAGATGCAGGTTGGTAGATGAGGAAGACAAAGGCAGCCGTTTGCCTCAAGAGCTCACTGCCAGTCGGCGCATTTTATGTGCCACCGAACAGCGCGTTCAGTAAAAGCAGTCAGATCACGTGCGCTCCCACTATCACTGCTGGCCAGCCGCCCCATGCGGCTGCGGCTAAATTGCCAGCGCTGTAGCGGAGAAAGTGGAGAAAAAATCGATCAAAAAAAGCATCGATTCTGCCACGGTTGTAAGTCGTCACTTGAGCGCTGCAATCGCTAGAGGGCCGCTCGCTTCTGAGCGGCGGTCCGTGTTTCGTATATCGCAGATGCGGGGACATATAAAGGAACCGGGCCGCAAATTCCAATTTGCCTTCCGAGCCGAAGCTCCTCGTATATCTCGCAACACACGCACACACACACACACACACCAGATACATACATGAATACAACAAGGAGTCAATTCACCGCCTTGGAGCGGGAGGATCTGTCGATTAGGCCGCCACCGGAGCTGCTGTTGAGCCCAGGTGCTTGGTGTGCGTGAAGAGCGTCTGCCAAGCAATTGGCGCACTTTCTTTTCTCCACTTTCGCAACGCTCACCAGTCTGCTGTTTTTATTTTTGCTTTCTACGACCTCGCATTCCATGTCGAATTCGCAGCTCTCGCTCAGTCAGCTCGCTGGGGGAGATGTCCTAAGGCAGGCTCTGAGCATCGTGTATGGCGACATTGCATACAGACGGTTTAACCTCGACGAGTACCGCATTGTTGCCGAACTGGCCACCGTCTGCCGCACCTGGCACCTGGCTCTGGGCAAGTACCTTTACCGCACAGCATTCATCGAGCGTGTCTTTACGGATGGCACCACCGACGGCGACGGAGGATCCAAAAAGTCCAAGTTCGTGACCAATATTGGTGCTATAGTTGCTGCAGGCATGTCCGGCCACACACAGCACATCAGGACGCGAGCCATCATGCGGCCAGTGAGAACACCGCGGTTCGACCGGATGCTCGAGTTCTGTGGGTTCGGGTCCGCCGACTGGGGCTCGGTCAGGACCATCTCGTTCAGGGCGGCATTTAGAGACGACCGGAATGCCCCTGTTGATGAGTATGCCCAGGAATCCGCTGCCTACCTCATCCGGCATCTGCCAGGGCTCACAGACATTAAGGGCAGTGTCTCCATCTACTCGCCGGTCATCAGCGGGATCTATTCACGCCTATTGCACCACTTCATGCCCCAGCTCAATATGCTCATCATCGGCAAGCACCTGTCAAAATTCAAGCTCGACCAGTTTCCTGAGAGCATTACAGTTATAGAACTTGATGCACGCTCGCTGGCCCAGGCTGAGGGCATTCCTCGTGTCCTAGCTGCACCACTGCGGACAATGACCATCACCAACGCCAACAGTGACTTTTCGTGGGATCTGTTTGTCGGACCTGCCTCTGGTTGCCTCGAGTTTCCCAGCCTGGCGAATCTTAGTCTGAGCTGCCAGGAGGGCCAGATCCCGCTCAAGCTCGACAGTAGCCAGATCAACGCAAGGTTCCCACGCCTCCGGACTCTGCACATTGGGCGCCCAAGCTCCTTCTTTACGGACCCCTGTGCTGTTCTCGGAGGCTTACGTCTGGAATCATTGACTATCTACGAGGACATTAGTCGCCTTGGGAAATTCGACCCGCGACTGATTATTGACTTGAAGCATCTTGAGATTGAGACGGCGAATGGTATAATCCAGCTGAATGACGCCTGGAATGTGGCCATATCACAGCTGCTCGCAACAGAGTCGCAGGTCAGAGCGGCTAAGCTGAGCCTCCTACCATCGCCATCGCCATTCAGCGGAACTGTCAGATGGCCATATCTTCAGAAGCTGGAGCTCAACGTGATGAGATATGACTGGGAGGGATACGAGCGGCTTATATCGCAACTGCCGTGTCTCAGGAGCCTGAGGATTGGACACGGGAGCAGTGATTACCATGCTGAACCGCTTGGTGAACCCAGCGATGTTAAGAGCCCTATCAGCACAAGCCTAGAAAAGCTGGTCATTGATAGCGCAGACTATTCAGTAGGCAGCCATTTGCCGTGGGTAGAACAGCTGGTGCTGCGAATTCCCTCGCTGATGACTCTGTGGGTCCCACCAAATGACAAGCCATACTTTGTCGGGCTGATAGCCTTACACAAACGGGATATTTGTGTCAACGACTACGAAGAGTAGATGAGTAAAATGGCTGATGCAGTCGAAATCCCCTCGCTACAGCAAACTGTGCAGGCCACGCAACGCCAGTAATATTAGAAATAGAGAGGTTGATTTGATGAAATGTTTATGAAGACTCCGCCAGAGGGCACCGAATCCAAAAGTATTTACAGTGGAAGATGGGGATAATGGTCTTGGTGAAGGATCTCTTGCAAAGGTTTGGTTTGTAAGGGTGGTCGAGCGTCTTGGTTTGGTGCTGATACTCTGGACTGCTAAAAGTATAAGAAACCTATCCTATATCCATGCTCATTTGCCTCTCACCAGGCTCCATGGCTCCCAGGGGAGGAGAGGAACTCGGCGAATGGCCAAGGGCAGAGGGGGTATATATATTCCCCATGCTCGTTTGCAGTTCACCAGGCACTACCACTTCAGAAAGTGGAAGGGTACCAGAGGGGAAGGGAAGGCTGAAGGATGAAAAATAGAAAGGATTTTGAGAGAGCTAGAGAAGGAAGGAGGGGCTATGAACAGTGAGAACAGCATGTGTGTAGGCTGCTGAGGCACCATCCTCAAGCACAAAATGGATTTTCTTCAAAAAGTGCAAGTCACTGTGAAAGCCAAGTACCGAGGGCTGGACACTGCAGCTCCAGTACTAGTTCTGTTGAGGCTGCAGCTGGACCTTGGGATGAGAGTACCATTGTCCATAAGGAGCTGTACTGTGCGGATCTATTTCTATTGCCATCTATGCACATTTGGTGCATTCAAAAAGAGGAGGTGAAACAGCGAAAAACAAGGCATGTTGTGATACTGGTAACTTAACGTGGTATATAACTAGTGACAGTAAAGAAACTAAGGAGGGCTGCTGACGCGCTGGCGTGTACTGAACTATATAGTGGGGCCACTATACTCTTGCGTATGCACTGTGGCGTGGATCTAAGGATCAGGATCAGTTATGCAACAAGGCAGGTTTGCCTCTAAGCCGCCAGGAGCAAAAATGTTGATGAGTGAAAATACTGGCGAGGGGAAATTTTTTGGCATGACAGCAGCCGCTCAATTTCTCTATAGCGAGCGAGTCTCTCCCTGGAACCAAAGAAGTTCCCTGTTCACAAAAAACGCCTCAACACAGCTCAATAGACTTGATACCATCAATATATCCAATATGCTCTATAGAATTTCTGCAATCACATCCTGGCACTGCAAACAGGTAGAACACCTGGTACCAGTCGTCAGCGAGCCAAGGACTATCATCTGAAAAACAGCAGTCACCGACGGGGTAGACTGGCTAGTGTGGATATGGACATAAAACTCGCTGAAGCCTTTACAGCATCAAACCCAGGATACCAGCGGTGGTATACATGACCCTTACGAATCCTAAACCACTCCTGAAATCTATCCGTCAAAACACAGCTCCACCCAAACAACCTTCAGCTGTGCTTTTCGTCATGTCAGATCTAAGTGAGGATGAATTCAGGCTTCCTCAAAGTAAACAGCCGCGCCTTCTCATTCTCAAGAATAAACCCGCTCCTGACGGTGCTTTAATCATCCGGTGTCAACAGTCACCTCTTTCAAGAAAACATCATTTGCACATATACCTTGTATTAATAGGCTTCAGTTAACTGTACAATAACAACATAAAAACTGCAAGTTGGCAAGAAACACTGGCCTGGAGAAGATATTGGAAAGCGCTTTTGTATATCGGCTTGGCTAGTGAGTTGACTGAGTGCAGTAGCCAGCATCTTTTGTCGTACATTGGGGCCCATCTACAGGTGTGTCCTAAGGAGTAATACTCGCAGTTCTGCTGTCTGAACAAGCCGTATTCATTGCAACCCCATGACCTACCCTAACTAGCCGACTCCACATCAAGGAGATAAACTTTCATTTCAGTTGATTTTAAAATCTGTCCTCTACCTCTACCTCTATCATCAATCACATATTTGCTGCTATGGACTCGACGGTATTCCCTGCACAAAACGTCCCACCTGACATTCTCTATCCTATTTTCGATTGCGTGGAGTATGGCAGGAAGCTGAAGAACGAGTGGGAAAGGTTGGGTCACAAAAAGGTGGTTGATGGTACCAAGTCGCTTCTTTCAATTGCGCAGGTCTGTCGCTCATGGAGAACTGCAGCGCTACCCTACTTTTACCAAAGCACCGAAACACTTCTAGGGCCTGTGTTGGATGTATCTGATTATTACCCTGAGATGGATTGCCCAAACCTCTTTATGGCAGCCGCTGCTGGACACAGCCAACTTGTTCGCTCAGCACATTTCTACCTTTCACTCGACCGCATTATTGACGGCATCTCCACCCGCTTGCTGAGTGCTGGCGCTCTTTCCACCGCGACTTTCCCAAACGTGACTGAGATCGTGCTCTATTTCTACAGCAGCAAGATATTTTTTAACGGCGACTATTCCGCAAAAGTCAGGCGATTCATTGAGCGCACCCGCCAACTGTTTCCCAACGCACAGGACTGCTCGCTCACTGTTCATTCGGGGCTGTGGATCGGCAAGGAGGACATGTACAGAGACCTAATGGGTATTCTCTTTCCAGCACCGAGAACCTTAATATTCCGCGACCTGGCGAATGCAAATGCCGTTCTGCATGGTGGCTTCAGCGCTGGGATTCAGCGGGTGTACCTCGAAATTGGCCATTCTTTTGAATGTCCGATTGTTCATTCAAACAGGGATACTATCGAAGAGCTTGTGCTTCATATATCGCTGGATCTCAGCCCGTGGCAAGCTGAAGGGGATATATCCGACGACCTGGAATCCTTATTCTGTAACACGTACCCGGAACTCACCAGCCTATCCATCGAGACGGGACCGCACGTGGTAGGGCATTTTCATATGCCAGATGTCAACCCATTTCCATTGCTGACTAGCCTTTCCTTGAACACACGCTGTGACATTGACATTGGTGTTCTGGCCGACGACTGTGGTGAAAATCTAACATCGCTTACGATGCACCTCACTGTGCCCATTTTCAGATCGCTTCGTGGCCGTGTGTTCCCTAACCTCAAATATGTCCGTATTCGGAGCACTGACTTCTCGGCTGCTTCCAATGCTATAGGCAATGTGATTGAGGTTACATATCTGCCGTTTTTGGTTGCGCCCAATGCGGAGTATATCGAGAACTGCTACAGCCTGCTCAGCTTCGGCCGGTCTCTGCCGTCTATCATCCCGCCAAACCACTCGAACCCGCACCTTCGGCACCTAATCATCAGGAAGATTATACCTACCCTCAGCGTATTCCAGCAGGTCCTGGCTCATTTCCCAGGGCTCATTAGGATTGGAATTGATGGGATCGGATCAGACGAAGGAGACAGTCTTAATCGCTCTGATGGCGAGATTAGCAGGCTGATGGCCGAGCTCCCAATCTTCAGTGCTCGTCTGAGACGCGTTGATTTGAACACCTTATTGCCGGTCAAGCCGCAGCTGGTCGTCGCTATTTCAAGACTGCCTTCCCTCAGGATGGTTACCATCAGAAATGTCACTGGAATGCTGAGCCAGTACAAGGAAGAAATTGGAAAATCGGTATACGATGAGTATCGCGATAGCCTGAGCAGACCGCTATTCTGTACCAATGGCCGCCGATAGGTATAGCTACATTTCCGTCGGCAATATATTAGCCTTAGCCTTGAGTGCCTTGCTAACCTTCAGACACAAAATGGGTGGTAATGAGTGTGTATGTAGACCAACGGGAAAGATGCAAGATGCTGGCTGAGAAAGGAAAAGGGGAACCCGACTAGTTTCTGGGCTCGCTACTATGTGGGGTAGTCTCTGGTGTGATGGTGCAGAAGTGATTCCGTGCTCCAATGCCAGCATGCCTTCATACCCGCATGCCTTGTATAAAGTACCATTGGCATTAGACTTGAAGTGTTGGGTGTTGATATATGAATGGGCTTTTGCTGAGTCCCTTACACAAATACCAGAGATGAGAATATGAAAGGAAAGTAGAAATGCAAGGAAAAGAGTATATAAGGTGACAACGCCTACATCACTGCTGGCTGTAATGGCACTCGGCGATGTGGTCTCTGTTTGCCTCCTTTGCCAATTGTGCACCAATGTCCACGACGACGCTCGACTGACCAGGTCCCAGCAGCGTTACTACACACCATTGATTACAAAGTAGATGACAAGATGGAGACGGCACATAGTGTGCTAATTCGTTAATAGGGAGTAGCATGGAAATAAAACACAAGAAATTGAGCATAGTGACGCTACTGGCCACTCAAGATCTGAAGGCATAAGGCGGATTGTAGTGACTATGCTGGCCATGGCACCTTCCAACACCAATTGCGTATCTAGTAAATTCTCCGTACAACACCCGAAGGATCTATGCAAGAGCCGCTTCCATTCAATTCCCACGTAAAATGCCCTAATTCACTAGTCAGCGCAAGCTAAAAGAGGCTTTGGGCACCCAAACTACAGGCAGAGTAGCAGGCGGCGACCCAGTGGCACGTGTGTCGCATGCTATCCTGCGCGAAAAATTGCAGCAACCTTAGGCACTACAGCGTCGCTGACGTCCTTCCAGGTGCTGTCGACCCATTCGGGCGATGCTATGTCAAACCGATGGCCGGCCCATGCTCCCCGATGAAAATCCTCATCACCTCTGTACCCAAGGGACATGGATGGATCAGACGTCCAGCAGATCTTCAGAAGCAGTATGTGTCCGAAATTGATGTCACTCGGGACTGCAGTACTGCGGACGTACTCCTTTGTTGTCAGGTTTCGCAGCACAGGGTCGATAAGCGGCGTAAAGCACATAGATTTCAACTCCTTCTTCATCCCCGTGCTCAAGTTCGACCCCATCAAATACATGTATGCGCGTAGGCAGTATCCAACATTCGTTTCACTGGTAGGTGATGGGCGAGTGAATCGGTCTGCATACCGATACAAGAGATTGTTTGGTATCATGGCTTTTTCGCGATCAGTCAAGAAATCCTCAGGAAGATCATCCGCGTAATCGCCTATACAGATGATGCGCTTGCCGGCCCATGGCGCTACTACCGCTTCCTCCAGTATCACTAGGTACTGCGGTACTGCCTCCTTAAAGTAGGGAGATGGCATTGCGAATCATGACAGGTCTGTTTAGAGGTCAAGGAGGGAATAAGTATGGAACCGGACAGCCAGTGGTAGCCTGTCAATGGGGAACTGCCATCATTTCTGATTACCGTTACCGATAGTGGAATCAGTATCTTGAAACTGAGGATGGTCAAAGGGTCTATTAGCTTGCCTAGAGTATAGTCAAGTATAATCTGCCGCATCGGTCCCAGAAAGCCTATTTAACTTGGCACCTGTCCATACGCACGAGAAACATCTACTGACTCATGTTAAGGGGGGGGGCACAGAAAATGCGCGATTGTGATATCTCAGTGTTGGTGGCCTTGACAAATAGATCAGTATTGGCTGGTATCATGCCAGCAATCATCACCCGAAGAATCACCCTGGGCTGGGTCGGCTCGGTCTGGTTCGATTTTCCCGACTGCGGGTATTTTCATGCAAGCTGCAGCTGGAGAAGAAGTTGGCATAGGACAGGGCACAGGGGGCACAAAAAGTCATAGCTCCTGAGTTAGCAGTGCTGTATAAGCGGGGCATACCATATCGGCAGTTACACTGGCTATGCTCAATGTTACCATACAGCGCCTGCCACGTACCAAAACGAGCAGCAAATGCCTGCTCGAATTCATCCATGTCTACGAAATATAATGTATTACTTTTTGGTTGGAGAAATTGATACCAGAACCCATTACATGGCTGCCTTTGCCAGCTGAGGCTCCGTCGGGGCAGCGAGTGTTCCACTCGAGAGCTTCTTCTCCTGGTTGCTCTTGTACGCAGCAACGCTGATCTTGTACACGCCGACTGTGCCAGCGCAGATGATACCCGAGATAATGCTTGCCCGAGGGCCGCCGCCGATCTTGAACAGCATACCGCTGATAGCAGCCGCGCCAATGCTGTTGTACATGTCCTGTGTGTCGCGGTAATTGCTGATGGTCGAGTTCAGGATGTTGTAGAACATGGCCATAACACCGAACGAGTTTCCAACAAATGGTCCGCGGCGGGTCATCGAGTTGAGCACGCTGTTCACACGAAGCTTGAGGTTGGCACCGTGCTGGCTCCGCAGGCCCTCCAGGAAGCCCCATGCACCACCAGTTCCCAGACCCAAGAGGTACATGGTACCTGTACCGTAGCACAGATCGTCGCTCCATCCACGGCTCGGCATCACGCCGTCCGTGTGAATCGGGCCCTCCTCAAGATTCAGGTATTCGATGCCACCAGGGCTGGCCACGGTGTTAAGCTGGCCCTGCAGAGAAATCAACCTGGCTCAGGAATTCAGACACACCACCCTGCATCTGGTCCAGCGCAAGGGCTGTGGACGAAGATTGCGATGTCTGTGCAGGGGCTGATGTCTGGTAGTATGAGTGGGACCGCTGATCGACTTCGTTGTCGTTGAGCAGAACGGTGTCCATACTTTGTGTTTGCTGCTGCTGCTGCTGCTGCGACTGGCTGTCCTGAGGCTGCGAGTCGGGACCACGCGAGAATACGGAGAAAATGGACATTTCGAAAACGAGGAGAATCTATGTGAGCAGAAAAAAATACAGCAAAACGTTGTTTTGTAGTCTGGAGGGCTGAGAAAAAGGCAGAAACTCGCAGAACCAGAGGTGGGCGTCAAAAGAGAGAACCTAACAAGAGAGCAGATGTAGCGAGGACAAGAGGATAGAGCAAAGAAGAGAAGGCGGACGGACTAGATGACCAGTTTTGTTGGGTAAGCCGTGTCCTCAGTCTGACCCTTTCCACCGATCTCAGGCTAGCTTACCGTAAATCGTACGCTGCCAAAGATGCGATAATCAAGATTAGTTGGTAATCGAATAATGGTGAGTGATTTGGCAGATCCCAATCAGCAGATCTGTTATGCTTGCGCGTTCGCCTCCACGCCATTTTTGCGATGACGACGTCGCTCTGGCAGGAGCGGACGCCAGGGCTTTGTTTTCATACGCAACTATTCTTGCACTGTTTCTCTACTATAATATTGTACTTGCATTCAGGGCAGTCAATTGACATCGTTTGGCAGACTAAAAGACAATGGTACCTATCGCGTTTTTCGCTCTTCAAGCACAAGCCAGCTATGGATTTATGACTACGCAAGCTAATGGCGCACTGCGCGAAATTCACTTTGTGTAGGGAAACGCACAATCAGGATTTTCGGGCCAGCCGGGCGACAAGGACAGGAAGAAGGATAAGGAAAAGAAGAAGTGGCAGCCGCCCCTGCCTACGACCATTGGACAGCGCAAGAAGAGAAAGGGGCCCGATGGCGTTGCGAAGCTGCCGCAGGTGTATCCTACCACACGCTGCAATTTGAAGCTGCTGAAGCTGAAGCGCATAAACGACTATCTGCTGATGGAGGAAGGAGTTTGTCCAGAACCAGCAGCGCCTGAAGCCACAAGAGGAGAAGACACAGGAGGAGCGCGCGCGCGTGGACGAATTGCGTGGCTCGCCCATGACTGTCGGAACGCTCGAGGAGGTCATTGACGACAACCACGTCATCGTTTCGGCGACGTCCGGTCCCGAGTACTATGTCTCGCTCCTGTCGTTCGTCGACAAGGACCAGCTTGAGCCTGGATGCTCTGTCCTCATGCACCAAAAGTCGATGGCAATTGTGGGTGTGCTGCAGGATGATGCTGATCCCATGGTCAGCGTGATGAAGCTAGAGAAGGCGCCAACAGAGTCGTATGCCGATGTTGGAGGTCTCGAGCAACAGATTCAGGAAATCAAGGAGGCAGTCGAGCTGCCGCTGACGCACCCAGAGCTGTACGAGGAGATGGGTATCAAGCCACCCAAGGGTGTCATCCTGTATGGTGTGCCTGGAACAGGAAAGACGCTGCTTGCCTAAGGCTGTTGCAAACCAGACGTCGGCAACATTCCTGCGCGTGGTCGGTTCAGAGTTGATTCAAAAGTACCTTGGCGACGGCCCCAAGCTAGTGCGCGAGCTGTTCCGTGTGGCCGAGGAGAACTCGCCGTCGATTGTGTTTATTGACGAAATTGATGCCGTCGGCACCAAGCGCTACGACTCGAACTCGGGCGGTGAGAAGGAGATCCAGCGCACTATGCTTGAGCTCCTCAACCAGCTTGATGGCTTCGATTCGAGCAGCGATGTCAAGGTCATCATGGCCACCAACCAGATCGAGTCGCTCGACCCGGCATTGAATTCGTCCTGGCCGTATCGACCGAAAGATCGAGTTCCCGCTGCCCGATGTCAAGACCAAGCGCCATATCTTTGGCATCCACACCTCGCGCATGACGCTTTCGGAGGACGTCGACCTCGAGGAATTTGTCATGTCCAAGGACGACCTGTCGGGTGCTGATATCAAGGCTATCTGCACAGAAGCCGGCCTTCTTGCGCTGCGCGAGCGCAGAATGAAGGTCTGCAACGACGACTTCAAGAAGGCGCGCGAGAAGGTCCTGTACCGGAAGAGCGAGGGCACGCCCGAGGGCCTGTATCTCTAAGCTGGGAGTGCTACCATTTTTCATTACATTCCTTTCTTCTTTTGACTATAAAGCAGATTTACTATCACGCACTTGACATGTTTGGGAGCTGCTGTGGTGTCCATAAGGGTGTGGCCAGGTAGCTGTGTGGTGAAGTAGCACATGTATTCTTTGCGCCACGGTGCGACAAATGTAGAATTCAGTACCATACATCCCGCTTGACTTTTTAGCTGACTGGCATGGCAGACATACCTCGAAACATTCGGGTCAAGCTTGAAGAGGCGATCGAGGGGCTCACATATCCGGCTAACACCGTCGAGTACGTGTTCGAAGACGAGCCTTTGCCGCTAGTCGACAACAGCGACCAGGTAACACTGGTGGTCGACATGTCGAGCGACGGCAGTCAGCCAGACAATGTGCAGTCGCTATCCTCGTCGTTCATGGTGTCCGGGTTTGACTGGACAAAGCACGACGATGTGCATGATTTGGTTGTGAGCGGTATATCGCTGGACAGCGCGCATTTGACAGAGCCAGTGGCCATAGACAGCCGGCTAGGTGCCAGCGCAAGCACGCGCGACTTGTTCCAGTCGATGCAGCGCACGTCGCACATGCTGGCGACTCGGGTTGATATGGTCAAGAAGGCGCTTGATAACAATGACGGCAACAAGCCGGACGAGGCTGGCAAGGACACATCAGGCAAACGATGACTCGTAAATGCTGCAGATACAATAAATTTTTGAAAAAAGAAAATATGCGTGCATACACTAGAACCTGGCTTGCGTTTAGCTGCGCGTAATAAAGAGGAAGTACTGCTTGACCTCAGGCTTCTTTTGCGCAGGCGAGACAGCATCGGCAGATCCGTCAATAGACTGCGCCGGCGGCACCTGCTGGTCACTCTGGTCGCTGACAAGCGATTCCGGACACCACTCTGTAGCAGACACCTCCATGTTGACGACGTTGACACCAGTAACAAGCGGGACGTCGTACGCGTAGCTTGAGCTCTTGACCAGTGCGGTGATCCTCTGCTGCGTATCCTTGTCCATCTCTTCGCTGAACATCGATGGCGTCTCTTCGGTTGTGCCGCTGTCACTGCCACCCGCATGTGCCGGGTTATCCAGGCCTGCAGTGCTGTCCGGGAACACGCGTGGCATGACGCGGCGGCCATTGACGGACATTTCGAGGATGAATTTGCCGTTGCTGTTGAGTGGGCCGGGGACAGGCCGCAAGAGGACAGAGGCTGCCGACGAGTGCACCTGGAGGGCATGTGCACACTCCATTTCCCCGAGCGACAGGTGGAGGAACATGCTGGCGTTGGGAGTAGCGACCTGGACGCCGATGCTCTTGGTGATGCGCTCGTTGCCATGTGTGACAAAGACCCGGGTGATTTTTTTCCAGTGCTCCTGGGCAGCCAGACTCTGCGCCTGCGCCTGCGCTTGTGCCTGTGCTTGTGCCAACGCAGCTTGGCTTTGCTGGGTGGCGAGCTCGGGAGAGAGCGGCGTGGCGGTCTGCTTCGGCGTCCCTCCAGCAGTGGACTGTGCAGAAGAGCCGGCAACCTGCTGTTGCTGCTGCTGCTGCTGCTGCTGCTGTTGTTGTTGTTGTTGCTGCTGCTGCTGCTGCTGCTGCTGTTGCAGCTGTTGCTGGATCAGGGCGGCCATCATTGCCTGGGCATTGACGCCAGGAGGGAGCTTCATTTGCTGGGCAGTGGTCTGCAGGCTGCCAGACGCTGCTGTCCCAGCAACGCTGTCAGTAAGCTTGGCCAGTTCGTGCTGGAACTGGAGTGGCTGGATGAGGTTTGCCTGCTGGGGTGCAGTCATAGCTCCAGCGAATCCCGGGCGGGCAGGCAGCGATAGCATGGGCATTGACATCGAAGACGCAGCCAGGGCCTGCTGAGTGACAGCAGGGATTGAAATGCCCATCTGCTGCATCTGCATCTGCATCTGCTGCTGCTGTTGAACAGTCATGCCGCCAGGCATAGCCATCGGCATGCTCATTGGCATGCTCACTGGCATGCTCACTGGCATGCTTATCGGCATCGACATACCCACAGACACTGGCGCTTGTGATGGGCGCACCAGTGGCGAATTGATACCACCCTGTAGCGAATTAGGGCTCATGGCAGCGAGTCCTGGCGACGAGTTGGCCATCTGCACACCCGCCATGGGTGACATTGATGGTGCAGTATTCGGCTGGATCTGCGACTGCTGCATCTGGGCAAACTGCTGCTTCAATGCGCTGGCTTGGCGGTTGAATGTGAGCTGGAGCTGCTGCACCTGTGACAGATAGGCAGCCTGCGCCTGCTGGGTCAACTGGGTCTGCTGGTTGAGCAGTGCCTGGTGGTGGATGGAGCCGACAAAGTTGGGGTTCTGCTGCTGCGATGCAGTCAACTTGCTCATGATCTGTTGACGGATTGCAGCCTCACGCTGCGCCAACTGCCCCTGTGCCAAGTGGAGATTCTGCTGATGTCTTTGGTTGAGTTGCCCCATTGCCTGGTTGAACGCTGCCGATGCAGGGCTAGGCGATGGCACAGTTGAGGTCGGTGGACGGGCAACGATCTGACTGCCAGCTTGCTGCTGCTGCTTCTGCTGCTGCGGTTGAGTCTGAGGCTTGGCGAGGGTCTGAGCCTGGGCCTGGGCTTGCATGCGTGCGACAGCCTCGCGGTTGAGCATAGTAAGCCCAGGATGTGGCAGCATCGCCTGTGCATTCCACTTGTCTGCTGTCTGCTTCTTCAGCACCAATGGCTGGATGTACTGGACGAACGGCGGCGGCCGGAGCATTGGGGTCTTGAACTCTGCGGCCCAGTTGGAAATGGGCTTGAGCATACCTGGGCTGCCTTCGGCAGCACTGGGTGTATACGAACTCTCGCACACAAACACGTCCTGCGGAGAATACCCCTTCGGATATGCGCGCGAATAGACAACAAAAGGCAGGATATAGCACTTTCCAACGACGCCACGTACGCCATGGCCTTCGAATTTGGGGCCAGCAAACAGCTCGTGGGGGTACACATTCTGGCCAACCAGCTTCAGGGATCTCTGATGGCGTCATGAACCAGTAGCCGTCAATGTACTTTCGCCGATCCTGGGGGCCGCCGACGCGCAGGTGCGAGACCATGGCGACCTTCATTGTGTTGTTGTTCTTTATGTAGATAAAGTCGCCAACATGCAGGTCGAGTTCACCGGCGGTGATCCTGCTCACATACCGCCCGTCCTCGGGGTCCTGATCCGAGTGCGATGCGTCGAACGGGATCCTGTACTTGTCCAGGATCTCTCGCCGAACCCGGAAATACTCGCTTTCGAGGTCGACTTGTGTCTTGGTAGATTTGCGACCCTGACTCGTTGAAGAACGTCGCGTTGTTGAAGATCCACATCATGTCGTAGTTGAACGCGTCGAAGCTGCGGTAGCCCTCTTTCGACGCCAATCCGGCCGCTGACGATAGTCAAGGCCATCGGATACCAGATGACCTCGTAGTAATCTGGGTACTCGTCCTTATCAGGGAGCTCCTCAAATCGGTTCGGAGATGGTATCAGCCGTCCTCGTTCTTAAAGTTGATGACGGCATCGACAATCTCTTTCATCGCCTCCTTCATCTGTGGGTGCGTGACCTCGGTGTAGCCAAAGCCGCCAATGAAGGGCGGCACCTTGTTGCTGTCCTGAGGCAGGACTTGCTGGTGTCTGCACTGACTGGGCTGATTGCAGCTGCTGGGCATGAGCGACAGACAGCTCCGCAAGGGCCCAAACTAGGCTGGACTGTGCCTCTGCGAGAGGATGGCTTTGGCGTATGCATGGGGCTGTCAACCGACATAGCCTGTGGAGAGGCAGCATCCACACCGGACGCTGCTGAGACTTTGATTTCCGGGCCGATGCCTTGCGTGTCTCAGTGGACCGGTGCAGCTGCCTCGGGTATTGGCGTGGGCAGATCAACCTTGGAGCCGTCAGTGGGCATCAAGAACTCGGCCCACTTTGGGTTCTCTGGGTCCAGCACAATCTCAATGGGCAGCTGGCCGTGTGTGTTGCGAGCATTGACGTTGGCTCTGTATACGCGAACCAGGCACTTAGCCAGTCGCTTGCGGCCCGTGTATGCTGACCACGCCAGTGGCGTCGAGCCATGCATTGTGTCGAACCGCCTCGAGATCCGCACCCTTGTCACAGAGCACCTGCGCAACCTTCAACCGCCCATAGTATGAGGCGGCGTGCAGCGGCGCCCACGTGAAATTGGCGTCGTCGTCGGCATCCTCAACTGGCTCCTTCAGCACCACTGGCCGGCTGTTGTTGATTGGCAGGCCGGGAGTCTCCAATAGAGTCAGCGCCTCGCCAAGTTCTGCGTCGTATATGGCCTGGAAAAGCTTGTCGAGTGTAGCTGCCAGTTCCTTTGACTCTGGCGACCCTGCAGGCGGCGCCTTGCCCCTCATCGCCGGGTCAACCGGCTGCATGCCGCTGCCTCTTTTGCGCTTCAGCTTCAGCGTGATGCTCGGTGCCGGTGTGCTCTCGTTGTCGGTGGCAGAGTTGCTGGCTGTGGCCGAGTCCGGGTTGCGGATCGTCAGCTTCAGGTGTGGTGTCGGGCTTTTATCATTGGTAGCAGGTAGCTCAGCCGTCGCCTGCACCGACTGCGGAATCTCTATCCCAGCTATTTCATGGACCCGATCGCGAATCTCGCCAGCAATGTTATAGATGTACGAGTCTGGCATGTTAAACTGCTGTGCGTTGCTACACATGAGATCAATATCTGCGACAAAGTCCTCAACCGCCCTGTACGCTCCCTTTGTGATCTTCGACTTCATCATGTCCAGGGCGATAGGCCGCTTGATCTCGACATAGTAGTCCGGGTACTCGCGCTTCGAGGGCAGCTTGTTAAACGCAAGACACATGGGCTCGCCGCTACAAAAATGACAAGTGGCACGGTAGAGGTCCTGGCAGAGATTAGCAAACGGACAAATGAAGCTGCACATGACTGGTGGAGGGTGCAAAGCGACCACCGACAACGGGACGTTGCAGCGCATGGCATGACACAGTGCATGAATCTTGCGCAGCAGCAAGGTTTGGGCATCGGGGCATAAAAATCTGGCCAAGAGCCCGGCAATCCTCGCAGGCCCATCCGCGACTCCAAATGTGTGCACCTCAGGTCACGCTGCTGGGAGCTGCAGGACAGGATTACTCAACGTGTTCTACGTCACCACCGCCCTCGGCTGCCACCTTTAATCACTTTGCACGTGAGCAAAATAACGCGTATAGTGGCTAAAAACAAACCTCGCGGCAAGAGAACAAGAAGCAAGTGCCGGTGCAGTGGCAGAATCGCATCATTGTCGAGTGCACTCAGGAAACCGCACGCATGCGCGTTGCATACTTACTCCTTCTCCATCTCTTTGACAGCCTGGAACAGGCGTAGGCACTCTTCCTTTACTTTGGCCGCCGGCGCCGAATCGCCTACTGGCATTGTCTCCGCATTGTCCAGTCTCAGACTTGCGTGCCTTCCGCGGACGCCCACGCGATGCCCGTTTTGGCGATGCCGCCGGGCTGTTACTGTTCGCGTCGCCCTGTTCTTCGGCTTCTCTGTTGACTAGCCGCAATCGCTGTTGGCCCATGGAATGAAGCAGGTGTGGGAGGAATTAGAATGTAATGACTGTGCAGAGGAAGACAAAAGTATGGACGTGTGTGAGGACGATATGCGATTCGGTCGTACTTCGAGCTATGAAATCCTTTTTTAAGAAAAGCACTCAAAAATTGCGAGCAAAGAAGAAAATAATGATCACTGCTTGAACGCTGGCTGTGACATCTCGTCCTGGACGCGACAGATTACCGTGGATCAAATTGGATCTGGCATATATGTGCTGGCCAATGCTGGCTGGGCAGTCGGGCCATATACGCAGTGTCCGTTCCCTCGCCCAGTGCTTGGGCTCGCTGTGGATGGCTGCCACCAGCTACTCATCTGGCCAAGACCCGCGTGTACCAGTATCAGAGCTATGAGCAGGTCTCGGCGGAGAACCCAGCTGGCTTTTCCGGTGACTGAGTCTGCACAGTGACTCCGCCTCAACAGCAACAGTCGCAAAAATTCACTGGCAGAGCAGTTGCCGATGTAATCCTTACAGCATCAGCTGCTCAATTAACAGGGTGGCCGCAGTGCCAGACATGGCCAGACCCAGCTCGAGTATCGCAAGCGTGTGTCTAATTTCCAGACAGTTGGGGTGCATTCTCAGCTCTGCCGACAGGTCAGCTACTGTCGCTAATCATCAGACGTTTACCAGTCCGCTGGTGCATAGGCAGTGGCCACCGGGGTAAGCCTTAAAATACACTCCACCCGCCATTTCAAGCACCGGCAGTCCTATTTACCGTGCCAGCGTGCAATTTTTAATGACTGCAGCCTATTTCTGACTCATCGTGCATAATATGCGACGCTCGTGTGTTGAAAGAACCACTCGTGTGAGAAATGGTCACCAGACAACCTTTCACCAGCATACAAATGCCATGGTGCACGGCTTTTGCAAAACAGCCATTGGTAACAACCTCAACACACCATTACTATCCCTTTCTCATATTTTAAAACTGGAGCTAATGCAGGGCCACACCATCCGCAGCCGCTGGTGCTATGCTATCGTAGTCTGGGCGCTAGCCGCCTGCGCTGTAGCAGCACCGATACATATTTTACTCCCTGACCAAATCACGCTGGCGGAGGGCAATATTGTCACCTTTTACTCGTCACACCCTGCTGGCGCACATGAACTTGGTTCGGATCCCAGAAATACTCCTTCAGTTTTGACTATTGACGGACACATGCTGATGCGGGCCATGGACACTGGGGGCGCCAGCAACGCCGAGGACAACGACCTGCCTGCAACCAGCATCAACCCCACTCCGGACAGAGGACATAGTGGCAATACACCTGGCCCTCAGACTGCTAACCCTGAGACTGATTCCGATGATGATGATGATGACGGCGATGAGAAGCCCAGCCTATCCACTGATGCTGGTAAGCGGGCAAAGGCAGGGCGCCGCATAGATATGTCTCTTGAAGATCAGTCCTTGGATTCGACCGTCCAGGGCATGAGCGATGACGACGAGTCTTCAATTGACGAGGCAGAACGTTTAACTTCAGCCGACAAGTCTTCTCTCGACGACGTCATTGTTGATGCTCAGCTGTGGTCCAAAGGAGAAGCCTCGCCGACTAGCACACCTAATTCTACCTGGAACACGGGTGATACTTTGGACGACGTTGTTCTTGATCCACATTCGCCATTTTCGACCGTATCCACCACCTCGCTCAGCGAAACTAGCCATACACGCACCTCATCAGTGTCAATCGAAACTGTCAACAGCAGCCCACCTCCAGGACTACAAACTTCACGACAAACACCACTGTCATCAATACCGGTCTTGGCATCTATTCCGTCGTCGTTCCCAAGTGCAGCCCCAGATGTGCCTTATTCTTCACCCAGCACATCTGCGTCGACTTCAGTGGCTTCACAGACATCTGACACATCTGGAACCACCGGTACATCGCAGTCGTCGGCATCAGTATCGACCACTCTGGCACCGTCAATCACTACTGTATCAAGTGTACCGGCACTTATTGGTGATATCCTGTCAATCCTGTCGACTGCCACCGGAAGGCCAGCATCTAGCGCTACATCTGCAACTGTTGCAGGCTCAACTCCAGCTCTAACCGCTTCATTGGTATCATCGACGCCGTCGCCAAATACTTCCTCAGCTTCGGATAACCCGTTGCTTGCAGCCTCATCGTCGCTGATAAAACCTGCAAAGGCAGCACTATTGGATAGCTCCAGTACCCAGGTGAGCCAGCAGAGCAGTTCAGCGTTGTTGGGCTGGTTCAACGGTCTGTCTCTGTCGCCAGCATCTACTTCCCCATCCGCTGCATCTGTCCAATCGTCGACAGCCCCCGCTATGTTCCCTGTGCTTGCCACTCCCTTGTCGACATCGATTTCCCCTAGCCTTTTTGCCTGGCTAACCCCTGGAAGCTCGGCTTCGGTATCTGCAGCATCTCCGACAACAGCCATGTCATCCACGGTATCTTCACCTGTACCAGGTATCTTTGGATCGTTCTTGTCAGCATCGCCAGCGGCCTCCACATCATCTGCGCTGGCTGCATCGGGGTCGAAGTCGGGTGGGATATTCGGCTGGCTCAGCGCTACTCCACCAGCCTCCTTGCCAGCATCGACATCAACATCCGCTCCACTATCCAGCATCAGCGCAACTGGTAGTCTGGAAACAACCTCGAAATGGCCTGGGCTTTTTGCAGGTGCCAGCTCATCTGTGGAACCGTCAGCACCTGCCCTTTCCAGCGTGGCTGTGTCATCTGCTCCTATGCAGCTTACAACGAGCGCTAGTCAGTCTGTAGCTACTTCGTCTGCTGGTGCCTTTGCTTGGCTCAACGCTTCAGGTTCAATCTCGGCTGTCTCTTCAGCCATGTCTTCGGCAGTGTCGTCGCTCTCTATTACACCAGCCTCCTCGTCATCTGCCCCCCTATTGGCAACTTCATCGTCAGCTATACCACTCCTGGCAACCACTACTGCTGATGCGCTGTCAACACTAGTTGCACCCGTCCCACTACAGTCACCCTCAGTGTTACCCCTCACACTGACACCATCTACATCCTCTCCCTTGGTTGCAAATGGCTTAACTGTTGCCTCGTCATCGCTCAGTGCACATGTAATCACGAACAGCGCTCTACCCGTGTCTATCACACCAACAGCAACAGTGACATCCTCACTACCCACTCCGATCAGTATGGCTGCCTCGGCTGAGCTCCGTTCGGACTGGCCCTCGCCTGCAAGCTTGCCGTCAGCATCAGCAGTAAGCACTGTTGCGAATGCGGTGCTGCAGTCTATTGGATCCATTGCAATGGTGTTCCCAATCACCACATCGATTCCATTGCTCATTGCTTCGGTCCGCCCCAGTGTAGATGCCCAGATCATGTCGCCATCAGCGTTAGCCGAGGGTATGCCAGCGCCTTCCTCGGTGGGTGCTGAGAAGGTGCTGCCGATATGGCAAGTTGATTCTACTAATCCAGCATCAGCCATTGCATCGTCTAGTATTGCGTTGGCGAGCTCAACAGGGTCCAAACCAGCACCGCATCTGCCAGCGGATGACATTTTCTCGGCCATCCTCATAAGTCCTACCTCAGTCATTGGTTTGCAGTCCACAAGTGCGTCGTCGGTTGACAGGGCCAGTGTACTTGCAGAGTCAGCCACACCCACTTCGCCATCAACGCCTTCGGTAGTCGATTCCTTTGCTTCATGGCCATCGCCAACACCGGCTACTACGATATCGCTGCCGACCTCGTCAGAGCCCTCAGAATGGTCTACTGCTGCATTTAGTAGCTGGTCACCAAGCCCTGCTCCTGGAGAATGGTCAAGCCCGACATCACCACAAGTGTCATCAACACCATCGTCATGGTCGTCACCCACAGTACCCTTGACATCATCAGTGCCGCCTGCATCAGCATCGGTACTGGCATCCAGCTCGCTATCCAGTACCAGTGCCACACCTCCCTCAGCAGTTTCTACAGATGGTGCCCAGCTCGGCTCAGCATCGTACATGTTCTCAACTCGCCTGGCAAGCAAGGTTGTGCTCAACTCGAACGACATCATCCAGATAGTGGTCAGCCATCCTACGTCGGACGAATCTTTCCCGCAAGCGGCTCTGCAAACAACGTCAATAGCCATGGCAGACCTCATTGATGCACTTTCAGGACCTACACGAGCCACTGTTGCGGCCAGCCCTGAAGCAGCTCCCAGCCCGACATCCACCCCGGTTTCGCGGCGTGCTGGAACAGAGCTGGCGGAGAAATCAGTTGCTGGCGAGGCAAAAGAAGCCGCCCGCGAGCTAGTTCAGCTGGCACACTCGATTCTTTCCAACGTGCAAACAGTCTCTGCGCCTACACCAGCGACATCGAGTGTGCGCGGCCTTGGAGCGTCACAGGCCCGTATGATCCGATCCATGCTGAACCAAAGCTTTGTATTCCCCGAGAATGTCCCTGCTCCTGGGGTCCCTCGGCCGACATATGCCAAAATCTACGCTGGTCAGGGCTATCAAGGTGAATGTGCTGCCCCTAGCTCACCGCCCTACAACATCATCATCCGCCCTACTGTCACAATGACTACACTCACTAACATGACAGTCACGCAGAGCCTAGTATCGACCACTACTACGACCACCACGACCACAACTGGGGCGACTATTACTCCGGTACCGACCGTGATAAGTGTTGCCAGCACGAACACAGTCACTGCATTTGTGGCGATTGGGGTTACTCCAACGCCCACCATAACGACGACGATGCTGACCCTGACAATTCCATCCGGAGGAAGCTCTTCTTTGACCACAACGACCACACCAGCAGTGACAACACCACCGACAGCGACAACACCACCGACAGCGACAACACCACCGACAGCGACAACAACCCCAACTACTACAACTAGCAGCACTTCAACCACACCTTAATTTACAAGGGCGTGCTTTATGCTTTTCTCCATGCTTGCTTCATTAACGTGAGGCAGTGAGGTTTGAGCCGTCAGACCATATAATATTTGTTTCTATAGTTTTCACTTTTCCAGAGCCCAAGCGGCTGCAATAACTTGAGCCAGATTGTGCTCGAAATTCTACTAGTATATTTTTAATACATCACCAGAATATGCCACAGCATCGTACCCTGATCCTATCTGACACCAACAAAGCACGGATCTGCTCTGCGACACCACTGTGCAATGGGGCCCAAAGTGTGTTGCTTTGCTTTGTGTCAGGCCGGTGTGGGAATAGCGCAAAGGGAAGCAGCATCAGACAATTGATACAACAGGAGGCTCTGGTGTGGCAATTTTTTATCATCGTGTAGAGGACATTATGCGAGCATATTGCCTGGTGAAGTATATAAAATCCTGCTGCCGCTGTTGGCATCGCTTTTTTCTCCATTCAATTTTTCCTCATTTCACTCGCCAGCACTTTTCTGTTCACCTTCAAATGGGCCAATACTGGAATCTCGTATGCATGGATAAGCAGCAGGCTACCGGCCATTTGGGCAAGATGGGAGAGCTGCTATTTAGGCGCACTCCTGACAAGTTAGTTGATATTTTAACCACTGGTGTCTTTCAGAGGCTTACTCCTTTGTTGCTACAGGCAAGTGGGCAAGCAGGGAAATCATCAATGGAAGGCATGCTGCCAGAGATTCAGCTCCGTATTTGCTCGTTCCTCGGATCGATGGATGACTTGTTGTGTCTTGCCTTGTCATCCCGCCGTTTTCTTGATGCCGTACAGCAGAGTATACTGATACTGGAGGAAGCGGTAGTAGCACCATGGGCCGGCAAGCGCATCATCTGTATAGGCGATTACGCGGATGATCTTCCTGAGGATTTCTTGACTGATCGCGAAAAAGCCATGATACCAAACAATCTCTTGTATCGGTATGCAGACCGATTCACTCGCCCGCCACTTACCAGTGAAACGAATGTTGGATACTGCCTACGCGCATACATGTATTTGATGGGGTCGAACTTGAGCGCGGGGATGAAAAAAGAATTGAAATCCATGTGCTTTACGCCGCTTATCGACCCTGTGCTGCGAAACCTGACAACAAAGGAGTATGTCCGCAGTACCGCAGTCCCGAGTGACATCAATTTCGGACATATACTGCTTCTGAATATCTGCTGGACGTCTGATCCATCCATGTCCCTGGGGTACAGAGGTGATGAGGATTTTCATCGGGGAGCATGGGCCGGCCATCGGTTTGACATAGTATCGCCCGAATGGGTCGACAGCACCTGGAAGGACGTCAGCGACGCTGTAGTGCCTAAGGTTGCTGCAATTTTTCGCGCAGGATAGCATGCGACACACGTGCCACTGGGTCGCCGCCTGCTACTCTGCCTGTAGTTTGGCTGCCCAAAGCCTCTTTTAGCTTGCGCTGACTAGTGAATTAGGGCATTTTACGTGGCAATTGAATGGAAGGGGCTCTTGCATAGATCCTTCGGGTGCTGTACGGAGAATTTACTAGATACGCAATTGGTGTTGGAAGGTACCATGGCCAGCATAGTCACTACAATCCGCCTTATGCTTTCAGATCTTGAGTGGCCAGTAGTGTCACTATGCTCAGTCTCTTGTGTTGTGTTGCTATGCTACTCCCTATCAACGAATTAGCACACTATGTGCCGCCTCCATCTTGTCATCTACTTTGTAATTAATGGTGTGTGGTAACACTGCTGGGACCTGGTCAGTCGAGCGTCGTCGTGGACATTGGCGCACAATTGGCAAAGGAGGCAAACAGGGATCACATCACCGAGTGCCATTACAATCAGCAGTGATGTAGGCGTTGTCACCTTATATACTCTTTTCCTTGTATTTCTACTTTCCTTTCATATTCTCATCTCTGGTATTTGTGTAAGGGACTCAGCAAAAGCCCATTCATATATCAACACCCAACACCTCAGGTCTAATGCCAATGGTACTTTATGCAAGGCATGCGGGTATGAAGGCATGCTGGCATTGGAGCACGGAATCACTTCTGCACCATCACACCAGAGACTACCCCACATAGTAGCGAGCCCAAAAACTAGTCGGGTTCCCCCTTTCCCTTTCTCAGTCAGCATCTTGCATCTTTCCCGTTGATCTACATACACACTCATTACCACCCATTTTGTGTCTGAAGGTTAGCAAGGCACCCAAGGCTAAGGCTAATATATTGCCGGCGGAAATGTAGCTATACCTATTGGCGGCCATTGGTACAGAATAGTGGTCTGCTCAGGCTATCGCGATACTCGTCGTATACCGATTTTCCAATTTCTTCCTTGTACTGGCTCAGCATTCCAGTGACATTTCTGATGGTAACCATCCTGAGGGAAGGCAGTCTCGAAATGGCGACGACCAGCTGCGGCTTGACTGGCAATAAGGTGTTCAAATCAACGCGTCTCAGACGAGCACTGAAGATTGGGAGCTCGGCCATCAGCCTGCTAATCTCGCCATCAGAGCGATCAAGACTGTCTCCTTCGTCTGATCCGATCCCATCAATTCCAATCCTAATGAGCCCTGGGAAATGAGCCAGGACCTGCTGGAATACGCTGAGCGTAGGTATAATATTCCTGATGATTAGGTGCCGAAGGTGCGGGTTCGAGTGGTTTGGTGGGATGATAGACGGCAGAGACCGGCCGAAGCTAAGCAGGCTGTAGCAGTTCTCGATATACTCAGCATTGGGCGCAACCAAAAACGGCATATATGTAACCTCAATCACATTGCCTATAGCATTGGAGGCAGCCGAGAAGTCAGTGCTCCGAATACGGACATATTTGAGGTTAGGGAACACACGGCCACGAAGCGATCTGAAAATGGGCACAGTGAGGTGCATCGTAAGCGATGTTAGATTTTCGCCACAGTCGTCGGCCACAACACCAATGTCAATGTCACAGCGTGTGTTCAAGGAAAGGCTAGTCAGCAATGGAAATGGGTTGACATCAGGCATATGAAAATTCCCTACCACGTGCGGTCCCGTCTCGATGGATAGGCTGGTGAGTTCCGGATACGTGTTACAGAATAAAGATTCCAGGTCGTCGGATATATCTCCTTCAGCTTGCCACGGGCTGAGATCTAGTGATATATGAAGCACAAGCTCTTCGATGGTATCCCTGTTTGAATGAACAATCGGACATTCAAAAGAATGACCAATTTCGAGATAAACACGCTGAATCCCAGCGCTGAAGCCACCATGCAGAACGGCATTTGCATTCGCCAGGTCGCGGAATATTAAGGTTCTCGGTGTTGGAAAGAGAATACCCATTAGGTCTCTGTACATGTCCCCCTTGCCGATCCACAACCCCGAATGAACAGTGAGCGAGCAGTCCTGTGCGTTGGGAAACAGTTGGCGGGTGCGCTCAATGAATCGCCCGACTTTTGCGGAATAGTCGCCGTTAAAAAATATCTTGCTGCTGTAGAAATAGAGCACGATCTCAGTCACGTTTGGGAAAGTCGCGGTGGAAAGAGCGCCAGCACTCAGCAAGCGGGTGGAGATGCCGTCAATAATGCGGTCGAGTGAAAGGTAGAAATGTGCTGAGCGAACAAGTTGGCTGTGTCCAGCAGCGGCTGCCATAAAGAGGTTTGGGCAATCCATCTCAGGGCAATAATCAGATACATCCAACACAGGCCCTAGAAGTGTTTCGGTGCTTTGGTAAAAGTAGGGTAGCGCTGCAGTTCTCCATGAGTGACAGACCTGCGCAATTGAAAGAAGCGACTTGGTACCATCAGCCACCTTTTTGTGACCCAACTTTTCCCACTCGTTCTTCAGCTTCCTGCCATACTCAACGCAATCGAAAATAGGATAGAGAATGTCAGGTGGGACGTTTTGTACAGGGAATACCGTCGAGTCCATAGCAGCAAATATGTGATTGATGATAGAGGTAGAGGTAGAGGACAGATTTTAAAATCAAATGAAATGAAAGTTTATCTCCTTGATGTGGAGTCGGCTAGTTAGGGTAGGTCATGGGGTTGCAATGAATACGGCTTGTTCAGACAGCAGAACTGCGAATATTACTCCTTAGGACACACCTGCAGATGGGCCCCAATGTACGACAAAAGATGTTGGCTACTGCACTCAGTCAGCTCACTAGCCAAGCCGATATACAAAAGCGCTTTCCAATATCTTCTCCAGGCCAGTGTCTCTTGCCAACTTGCAGTTTTTATGCTGTTATTGTACAGTTGACTGAAGCCTATTACTACAAAGTATATCTACAAATGATGTTTTCTGGAAGGAGGTGACTGTTGACACCGGATGATTAAAGCACTGTCAGGAGCGGGTTTATTCTTGAGAATGAGAAGGCGCGGCTGTTTACTTTGAGGAAGCCTGGATTCATCCTCACTTAGATCTGACATGACAAAAAACATAGTTGAAGGTTGTTTGGGTGGAGCTGTGTTTTGACGGATAGATTTCAGGAGTGGTTTAGGATTCCTAAGGGTCATGTATACCACCGCTGGTATCCCGGGCTTGATGCTGTAAAGGCTTCAGCGAGTTTTATGTCCATATCCACACTAGCCAGTCTACCCCGTCGATGACTGCTGTTTTTCAGATGACAGTCCTTGGCTCGCTGGTGGCTGGCACCAGGCGCCCTACCTGTTTGCAGTGCCAGGATGTGATTGCAGCAGTTCTATAGAGCATATTGGATATATTGATGGTATCAAGTCTATTGTGCTGTGTTGAGGCATTTTTTGTGAACAGGGAATTTCTTTGGTTCCAGGGAGAGACTCGCTCGTTGTAGAGAAATTGAGCGGCTGCTGTCATGCCAAAACAAATTTCCCTCGCCAGTATTTTCACTCATCACCATTTTTTGCTCCTGGCGGCTTAGAGGCAAACCTGCCTTGTTTTTCGCTGTTTCACCTCCTCTTTGAATGCGCCAAATGTGCATAGATGGCAATAGAAATAGATCCGCACAGTACAGCTCCTTATGGACAATGGTACTCTCATCCCAAGCTCCAGCTGCAGCCTCAACAGAACTAGTACCGGAGCTGCAGTATCCAGCCCTCGGTACTTGGCTTTCACAGTGACTTGCACTTTTTGAAGAAAATCCATTTTGTGCTTGAGGATGGTACCTCAGCAGCCTACACACATGCTGTTCTCGCTGTTCATAGCCCCCCCTTCCTTCTCTAGCTCTCTCAAAATCCTTTCTATTCTTTCATCCTTCAGCCTTCCCTTCCCCTCTGGTACCCTTCCACTTTCTGAAGTGGTAGTGCCTGGTGAACTGCAAACGAGCATGGGGAATATATATACCCCCTCTGCCCTTGGCCATTCGCCGAGTTCCTCTCCTCCCCTGGGAGCCATGGAGCCCGATGAGAGGCAAATGAACATGGATATAGGATAGTCTTATTATACTTTTAGCAGTCCAGAGTATCAGCACCAAACCAAGACGCTCGACCACCCCTACAAACCAAACCTTTGCAAGAGATCCTTCACCAAGACCATTATCCCCATCTTCCACTGTAGATGCTTTTGGATCCGGTACCCTCTGGCGGAGTCTTAATAAACATTTCATCAAACCAACCTCTCTATTTCTAATATTACTGGTGTTGACATTCGGGGTCCGGAGTCCCCCTGCGCCACCATAGACAAGGCCGAAACGCATACGTACAAAGGCCCAGACAGACGACCAGCCTTCCTTCTTCCCCTCAGTCAATTTGAGAAGTTATTTTTTCCATATATTCTATAACCACTCATTCCCCCAAGTTAACAACTGGCGTTGCGTGGCCTGCACAGTTTGCTGTAGCAAGAGGATTTCGACTACATCAGCCATTTTACTCATCTACTCTTCATAGTCGTTGACACAAATATCCCGTTTGTGTAAGGCTATCAGCCCGACAAAGTATGGCTTGTCATTTGGTGGGACCCACAGCGTCATCAGCGAGGGAATTCGCAGCACCAGCTGTTCTACCCACGGCAAATGGCTGCCTACTGAATAGTCTGCGCTATCAATGACCAGCTTTTCTAGGCTTATGCTGATAGAGCTCTTAACATCGCTGGGTTCACCAAGCGGTTCAGCATGGTAATCACTGCTCCCGTGTCTAATCCTCAGGCTCCTGAGACACGGCAGTTGCGATATAAGCCGCTCGTATCCCTCCCAGTCGTATCTCATCACGTTGAGCTCCAGCTTCTGAAGATATGGCCATCTGACAGTTCCGCTGAATGGAGATGGCGATGGTAGGAGGCTCAGCTTAGCCGCTCTGACCTGCGACTCTGTTGTGAGCAGCTGTGATATGGCCACATTCCAGGCGTCATTCAGCTGGATTATACCATTCGCCGTCTCAATCTCAAGATGTTTCAAGTCAGTAATCAGTCGCGGGTCGAATTTCCCAAGGCGACTAATGTCCTCGTGGATAGTCAATGACTCTAGACGTAAGCCTCCGAGAACAGTACAGGGGTCCGTAAAGAAGGAGCTTGGGCGCCCAATGTGCAGAGTCCGGAGGCGTGGGAACCTTGCGTTGATCTGGCCACTGTCGAGCTTGAGCGGGATCTGGCCCTCCTGGCAGCTCAGACTAAGATTCGCCAGGCTGGGAAACTCGAGGCAACCAGAGGCAGGTCCGACAAACAGATCCCACGAAAAGTCGCTGTTGACGTTGGTGATGGTCATTGTCCGCAGTGGTGCAGCTAGGACACGAGGAATGCCCTCAGCCTGGGCCAGCGAGCGTGCATCAAGTGTTATAACTGTAATGCTCTCAGGAAACTGGTCGAGCTTGAATTTTGACAGGTGCTTGCCGATGATGAGCATATTGAGCTGGGGCATGAAGTGGTGCAATAAGCGTGAATAGATCCCGCTGATGACCGGCGAGTAGATGGAGACACTGCCCTTAATGTCTGTGAGCCCTGGCAGATGCCGGATGAGGTAGGCAGCGGATTCCTGGGCATGCTCATCAACAGGGGCATTTCGGTCGTCTCTAAATGCCGCCCTGAACGATATGGTCCTGACCGAGCCCCAGTCGGCGGACCCGAACCCACAGAACTCGAGCATCCGGTCGAACCGCGGTGTTCTCACTGGCCGCATGATGGCTCGCGCCCTGATGTGCTGTGTGTGGCCGGACATGCCCGCAGCAACTATAGCACCAATATTGGTCACGAACTTGGATTTTTTGGATCCTCCGTCGCCGTCGGTGGTGCCATCCGTAAAGACACGCTCGATGAATACTGTGCGGTAAAGGTACTTGCCCAGAGCCAGGTGCCAGGTGCGGCAGACGGTGGCCAGCTCGGCAACAATGCGGTACTCGCCGAGGTTAAACCGTCTGTATGCAATGTCGCCATACACGATGCTCAGAGCCTGCCTTAGGACATCTCCCCCAGCGAGCTGGCTGAGCTCAAGCTGCGAATTCGACATGGAATGCGAGGTCGTAGAAAGCAAAAATAAAAACAGCAGACTGGTGAGCGTTGCGAAAGTGGAGAAAAGAAAGTGCGCCAATTGCTTGGCAGACGCTCTTCACGCACGCCAAGCACCTGGGCTCAGCAGCAGCTCCGGTGGCGGCCTAATCGACAGATCCTCCCGCTCCAAGGCTGTGGATTGACTCCTTGTTGTGTTCATGTATGTATCTGGTGTGTATGTGTGTGTGTTGCGAGATATACGAGGAGCTTCGGCTCGGAAGGCAAATTGGAATTTGCGGCCCGGTTCCTTTATATGTCCCCGCATCTGCGATATACGAAACACGGACCGCCGCTCAGAAGCGAGCGGCCCTCTAGCGATTGCAGCGCTCAAGTGACGACTTACAACCGTGGCAGAATCGATGCTTTTTTTGATCGATTTTTTCTCCACTTTCTCCGCTGCAGCGCTGGAAATTTAGCCGCAGCCGCATGGGGCGGCTGCCCAGCAGTGATAGTGGGAGCGCACGTGATCTGACTGCTTTTACTGAACGCGCTGTTCGGCGGCACATAAAATGCGCCGACCGGCAGTGAGCTCTTGAGGCAAACGGCTGCCTTTGCCTTCCTCATCTACCAACCTGCACCTGTATAATGGCGCCAGTTGTCCACGGGCAGTTCAAATCACATGTCGTCGGGCGGCAGTACTACACAGGGCTGACATCGGTCTGCGAATGCATCGAGCTGAGGCGCGAGCCCAGCAACACCCATGACGCCAACGCTATCGGCGTCTATAATAGCAGCTTTGAAAAGACCGGGCACCTGCCACGCTGGCTAGCAGAGATCCTGGCACCATGCATCGACACTCTTGTTTGCACGGTGAATGGTAAGGCACAGCGTGCATTTGCAACTAGAACTGCTTTGCCATGCAGCTCACCATTCTGACCTGTGTAGGCACAGTTGCAGGAGTCGGGAATGCGTACACAACACCAGTCCATTTATCCATTGTCGCCCCAGTGCGTATGGCTGAGCAGCTCCGTGCCCACCTGGGCTCGTACTGGTACCTGTGGCAGATGGATGTTCGATCTAGCACCGGTCGTCCTGACACTCCCCTCAGCATGTCTCTGCACGATGACGCAATGCAAGCCATTGCTGACCAGATCAGCAGGTCCAGTGGCAAGGACAGGATTCTTGTAATCACTACTGCTCGAGGCATCCAGAGCTGGGTCAACCTCAGCAATAGCAGACCGGCAATGCAGGCACTCGGGTGCTTGGTGTTCAAGCGCTCGCTAGCCGATCCTGGTAAGGCAAGCAGCCAGATCACCCTGGCCCATTTTTCCGATGCGGCTCTGGTTGTTACCAGGTCAGGTCCCGGGCTCTGGTCGATGGTCGTGCTGGACCGGACATCGATCCGCGACGAGTGCGAGTCAGTTGATCTGGCTGGGCTGTTCGAGATGCTGGATTTGGGGATTATCGTTTTCATCTAGGTATTCGAATCCATAATCACTGGAAATCCCTGATTGAGGTAGTCAGAGTTGCGAAATGCTGGGCGAGTGGTTGGGGAAATCATATACAAGGTCGTTAAGTCAAATTGCTGGGCTCGTACTTTTACGGCGACTGTTCGTGGAGCGCCTCCTTTGGAGCGTCGCATACCGGACAGTTGTCTCCTGTGGCACGCCCGGTGCCAAATGCGGCCGAGAATAACTCCAATATCAAGCTCCTATTTCGCCGACTCCGTTGCTTATCGCCATGCGATGCTGTCGGATACATGGAAGCCACATTTAATGCAATTGAGAAGTGTACTTGATAATGTGCACGGTTGTGTAAGGCAGTGTTCGAAATGTACTCCGAAATAGCGCAGTGCTGTGTTCATCTGAGTATCCAGATCGACAGCCACACAAGGTGCTCAATCGTACAGCTCATGTTTCTGGGCCCAAACCCATTTTGATGTCCAAATTTACTAGGACGTCAAAGCTCAAATTTACATTTTTTGTGCCTCGTTGCTTACTTCAACCGTTGTGTTTCCAAGCATCACTTTTACTATTCAGCATGGACGAGGAAAACCTAGATCACCAAGTGTTAGAGCGGCTGGTAGTGTTTCGTGACAAGTGCGCTCAGCTGAAACTGAATTCGCCACATCCGTCCCGGCCGCACATCTCGACAGTGGTTGGCTCGGCAGTGTGGACAGATGTCAAGGCGTTATTTCGACCTGTCTGACATTGGATCCTTAGAGGATGCACATGATACCTTGACAGCGATTAGGTCCGAGGGGCTTGGCGATCTGTGTATATTCATTCGCAACTCGGCAGCGATGAACAAGGCAAACCAGGACAGCGCCTTCGATGCTGGCATTCTCGCGTATATCTCCCGAGTCATTCACCAACTTGTGGTACGCGAGATTACATGCCCGGAAGCAATGAAATGCGTGTCGTTTGCTGCGCAGGCGTTGTCCAATATTGCTACTGGAAACAAGAAAATCCAGCGTTCTTTGTTTGAAACTGAACTGGCACCGTCAGCGTCACCAATGAACACGATGATATGGTACTTGCTGGCATCGGTCAATAGCAAGACGAACATGGCGTGTCTGGTACTGATCCTTAACTCTATTAAGGACGATCTCCCAGCAACCGAACTGCTGTGTCAGAGCGACGCTGGCCGGCTGGTGGTGAGCAAGATTGGAGAGATGTTTGGCGAGAACGAAGATGACGAATCGGAGCTGAAGAACGTCTTGTATGCTGTGCTTGACCAGGTGATTTCAGCTGGCCAGCTACCACCTATCATTGGTAATGAGGTGTCGGTCGAGCAGTACGGTCTCCTTGACGCTCTAGGCAGTGTTCTGCAACGAAAACAAAAACCAGCAGCTAGGCTGCAGCCATCACCCTGGATCAGATCCGCATCATTACGACCTTGCTGGCCCAGATTGAGGCGCTGCTAGTGGATATCTGGGAAGTTACCTGCCGAGGTGTACAATATAAGCAGCAGCAGCGACATGGAGATGGACGGAGTGGTCGACACACACCGTAGCTTCAGCGCACTTGTGTCGATATTGGGCACAGTGACGGAGCTAGGAGACGCATCTATGACAAGTATGCTGGTCGAGCAAAAGACTCTACATAGCATTGTACGCTTGCTTGGCCTACTCAACAGGCATCTGCCCAGGATCGAGCGGGCTAGCGAGCAGGAGGCTAGGGCAGCCAGCGGCGAGACTGACAGTTCTGTGGCACGCCTGTTCATGTTTAAGCGCGATCTGATCAGGATTATTTCCAATGCCGCACACCACAATGTGCAGGTGCAGGATCTGATGCGTGAACTGGATGGGCTGGCGCTGGTGCTCGACCACATGCGGATTGACGAGAATCACCCGTACATTCAAGGAACATGCAGTGGATCGCGGTGCGCAACTTGCTGGAAGGAAACCAGGCGAACCAGGACTACGTGAGCAAGATGAGTGCTATGGAGATGGCCCACGATCCGCAGCTGGAGAAGGCAGGTGTAGCGGCGACGGTTGGCGACGACGGCAAGGTGAGCATTTCACCAGCCGACAGCGAAGACATCGCAAAGAAACGGCGCAGATCATAATTGGCTGATCGGTGATTTCATAAAAAAAAAACGCGCCTTGCCACCACCACCGCTTAAAAAGTTTTTGCAGTTTCAAAACCGACAGCGGCTCCAATTCAACAGCAGCTCTCACTTGCTTGTTCACTATACACATTTACTACAAAACAGCATTTCGATACAATGTCGCTGGCAGACCGCAACCGGGTTGTGATCCTTGAGGATCGTGTGGAGAACATCCACGGGGCTGAGTTCCCGATGGGCTTTGACGAGAAAGAGCTTCCGTTCAACCTCGCGAGCTTCAAGGACTCGTTTGACGTGAAGATTGTGCGCGTAACACCGACAGACATCGAGTTTGACCTTATCGGCGTTGACTCGTCCATTGCCAACGCGCTGCGGCGGATTATGATTGCTGGAGGTGCCGACGGTGGCCATCGAGAAGGTGTACATGATCAACAACACGGGTATCGTGCAGGACGAGGTTCTTGCACACCGCCTGGGTCTGATTCCAATCAACGCGGATCCGACAGCGTTCCAGTGGAAGCGGCCGACAGACTTGCCGACCGATCAAAACACCGTTGTGTTTAAGCTGGAAATTGCGTGCTCGAAGAACAACGAGGCAGCGGATGATGAGGCTGACCCGAAGAAGAAGTACGTGAACAGCGCTGTGTACTCGCGCGACCTTGTGTGGGACCCCAAGGGTGACCAGGCAGAGAGGTTCGCCGATAAGCCGATCAAGCCGATCCACGACGACATTCTGATCACGAAGCTGCGCCCGGGCCAGTCGATCTCGTGTGAGATGCACTGCGAAAAGGGCGTCGGCAAGGACCATGCCAAATTCTCGCCGGTGGCCACAGCCTCGTACCGTCTGCTGCCTGAGATTCAGATCCTCGAGGATATTACCGGCGATGATGCGGAGCTGTTCAAGAGCTGCTTCGCGCCTGGTGTCGTTGAAGTCGTCGAGGAGGGTGGCGTGCGGAAGGCAAAGGTGGTCAACCCGCGCAAGGACACTGTGAGCCGGGAGGTGCTGAGACACAAGGAGTTTGAAGGCAAGGTGCGCTTGACGCGTGTGCGCGACCACTTCATCTTCAATGTCGAATCGACGGGCATTATTGCACCAGAGGAGCTGGTTGCCCAGGCTATTGATGTGCTGGTGGAGAAGTGCGACATTGTGCAGAATGCGCTGGCCAACATTGGCAAGAACAGCGAGGACGACGAGGAGTAAAGTTCCACATTTATTTCCACATTTTGAAAATAACACGTCTCATAGCTTGGAGGTGATCTCAGGGTATGCCGCGGGATCGAGCGCGCAGACGCCGCTGGACGCCTGGTTTGCCAGCAAGGGACCGACGCTCATCTCGGTCCACTGGGCCCAAAGCTCCTCCACGCGCCGGCTGGCATCATCGCTTAGCGCAACACAGTAGATAGCATCGTAGCCGCCGGCGCCTGGCACGGCAGCCATGCAAATGCCAGGCACCTGCATGCAGGCATCCAGCAGCCGCGTTTGCTTGGGCGGCTCGATCGGCACACCGGCATTTTCGCCCAGCTCGCGTTGCAGCGCACGAACGCCCTGGATTGCCTTGACCAAATCGACTAGCAACTGCTGCGTTGTGCTTGATTCGAAAGTAGGAGCAGCCTTCCATTCGTTGCTCGCACGCTCAGCGCACCAGGCGATGGCGCTGTCATAACCCTTGGGGTCGCTGCGGTGTGCATCAGCCAGCTTGTCCCAGAGCACACGGATCTGGGCATTAGCGCCATGCAGCGACTGCCACAACTTGTCAGACTTCTCTGGGAACGCCTTTTTCCACTGCAGGATCTTCCGGATCATGCTGGGCGTGTTGCTGCCAGCATCGACATCAGCCAGACGCAGTGTGAAGCCCGGCGGGATCTGCACCGGAATGGCTTCATTGTCCCAGGCGGCGTTCTCGGGCGACACTGCTGCCTTCACCGCGGCGACATCCCCGGTCTGCGCCATCGCATCCTCAAGCACACTGGGGGAGAATCGCCGGTACTCGTGCGACCCGTAGACAGCCGATGACACGTCGAATCCAGATCCCGATCTTGCCTTGCGCCAGGCAGTGCGCATACTGGGCGATGTTGTGCACAAGCCTCAAGCTCCGCTGCGCCTCCTCAGCACTGTGGTTCTCTGGATTAAGGCTCTCGACAGATATAGCGCCGAGGTGTGCCAGCAGTGCTGCAACTAGCGATGTCACCATTGCAGCCGAGCTGCCCAGCCCGGTCTTGTGCACGCCCTGTAGGGTGGTTCCGGTCGGCCCCATGCGTGGGATCCTGCGCAAGCGACTCCGAGCTGAGCTGTAGCCCGAGCCTGTCCAGTGTCGCCCGCTGCGAGTAAAAGTCGTTGTCCGCTGCCAGCACAATCTTCAGACCACCTCCTTCCACAATATGCTTACGGAGCGCTCCAGGTACATACTCGGCGGCCAGGCTGAGCGTGGACTCGAGAACCACCTCGACGAACCGGTTGCTGGTGTCGTTTGCACTGGCGTGCTGGCGCAGCTTTCCTGTGGCTGTGTCGAAGGCGTACTGCCACCATGCAGAGTCAAACTGAGGCGAAACCACGGAGACTGCAAGCTCGGTTTTGGAGACTGGGATATCGAGGGGCTGAGTTTGGACCGCTGCGTACAGGCATGTATCGGTGCCGACCACCAGTCCGCTATGCGCGCGGTCCAGCACTAGGTACCCTCCGACGACCAGCACTTTGCCCGGTGCCGAGGCGAGCGTGGCAGGCGAATTCTCAAGAGCCATCGTTGCGCAATTTGCAGGCGATTAAAAGTGTAAATAGTGGGAGCCTGTTGTTTGGAGTTTGCTAGCGAGGTCTCTTGCCTGGACCGCCTTCCGAGCTAAGTCTGCCAGCCAAAGCACCAGGCGCTTTTAATTACACCTGATTTCAACCTCCGATCAGCCCTTTTGCCTTCTATCTCCGCAGTTCTTTCCGAATTTCGTCATACTTTCCTAGCAAATGAGTGCAGCAAAGCGGGTCTTCGTTGTCGGCGGCTCTGGGTTCCTGGGCCAGGCGATCTGCCGTAGTGCCATCGCCCGCGGCTGGAAGGTCCTGAGTCCTGAGCCGCCACGGCGCACCCGCCATCGACGCGTCTATGCGCGGATCAATCGGCCAGCACATCCTACAGAACATTGAATGGATCAAGGGTGACGCCCTGAAGCCCGACACATACCGTGCCCAGCTTGAGGGCTGCACCGCAGTTGTGCACAGTGTTGGCGCGCTGATGGAGAACGACTACAAGCGGTTCGTGCGTCTTGGCAGTTCCAGCAGTGCATCGACAAAGCAGACAACGTACGAGAATGCTAACCGCGATACGGCATTAGAGGTGGCAAGAGTGGCGAGGGAGACTGAAAGCGTGCGTGCGTTTGCGTTTATTTCGGCCACAGACTTCATGCCGTTCCTGGATCATCGCTATATCGCCACGAAGCGCGAGGTTGAGGCCGAGCTCATGGCACACGCACAGGAGATGCGCCCAGTTATCCTGCGCCCAGGCTTCATGTACTCTGGCTCGCGGCCAGTGACACTGCCGCTTGCAGCGGGCGTGGAGGCATTCCGCAACTTGTTCAACAAGACGCCAGTCGGATGTGTGCTCAAGAACACGCCGTTTGCGAAGGCTGCGCATGTGGCATTACGGAGAGAGATTGTCGCCAATGCTGTCATTAACTCGCTGGAGGATCCAAGCGTATCGGGCGTGTTGAGTATTGACGACATTGTCCGCATCTCAACCGGCAAGCAGCTGGAAAGCTGAAAAGAATTTTTATGTGTAAAGCAGTAAAGCTAGAAAACGTCCCATTTACGCGTCCTCGGGCAGAACGTGGGATGGCGCTGAGCAGGAAGCCTCCGCCGCCGGACGTCATCATGAGCGGGTGCGTGCGGTTCGGCAGCACCTGGTACTCACGCAGCCAGCTCTCGGTCATCTGCACATTCAAGAACTCTGGCGAGTGACGCATCCAGTCGAATGCCTCAATGAGCGTCTCCTCGCTCTGTGAATACACGACCACCATGCGCGATCCGCCCACATACGGCAGCAGCCTTTTGATCACCGACACGACGTTGTAGTTTGTCGAAATCACCAGCGCGTCAAACTCGCCCGCCCGCAGCGTCTCCAGGTTGCTTGCCAGGCGCGCATGTCCGCGCTTGCGCCGCTCGTACCCGCTGATGTCTTTCTCCGTCGGGTTCTCTGGCAGCACCTCGGTGAACGGCGTCATCTCGTGGTCCAGCCGGTGCCACGGCAGCGTCCGCAGCCGCTCCTTGTCCTCTGGTGACAGCTTCATATACCGCACCACATCATAGTTGCTGACATCGCCATCGTGCATAGCAAATACCATGCCTTCAGAGGTCGTGCGCGAGAGCAGCGAGCCGGCAATCAGGCCCTGGCCATCGTCGACCGTCAAAACGCGAGCCTTGCTGTAGACATTGGCCAGGCTCAGGAGCTGCGACAGCGTGTCGGGCCGGATCCCACGGATCTTGCCTGGGTTGACTTCGAAAAAGTATCCGCACAGGTTAAACACCGTGGGCTCGATGGGCGTGAACGCCTTCATGAACTTGCGCTCCTTGCGCCGAATGTACTTTGACTTGGCGTACTCTGTCTTTTTCTCAAACGACGCGTTGTTTTCGGTCAGCGAGTCGATGATTTCCTTTGCCGATACGTCGCCAGCAATGCTCTTGAGCTTCAGCTCCTCGATCTGCTCGAACGTCATTTTCTGCGACGTCGGGTCATCGTTGATCTCCTTGTTGTTGGCCTCGGTATCGTCCGCGTTGTCGAATGCCGTGGGTGCCTGGGCAATGATCTTGCCGTCCTTCTGGATCTCAAATGTGGCACCGAATGTCTGTCCGATCAGGTTGTCAGCCTTGAAGCTGCCAAACTTGCCCAGGCTGATGGTCGTGCCTGGCTTCATGCACACAATCTTGGTGTTTGTGCTGGGCATGCGGATCAGCACAAAGTCGCCGGCGCTTATCCTCGGCGTGGTGGTCTGCGGCTGGTCTACTTCCATTGGCATAGCTTAGCGTTTTGAAGTGAAGAGTACTGGTGTTTTTTTGGGTCAGATATAAACGAGAACTTATTTGCGTGGGCCGAAAAACCCCTTGACAGCAATCATAGACCCCCATGATAAATATTTTGGCGACTGTGGGATCGGTCGGTATAATAAAAACCAAGCATTTACGTGATAGCTCCACGGCAATACCGACTATGGAGCCTAGTTTGTACTGAGTGCAGGCCAGATGCAATGTATTTGGACAGATAAATGTGAGTTGCTCTTAGCCCCACCTGCGCTGCCAACATGGAGCCGGTTGCTGACCATATATCTCCAATTTTTCACCACTACCGCCCACATACATTGCTGTTTTTGCTACGGCCTGGTGCCATATGCAACAGCAGCTAAATGTCAAGCCTTGGTGCCGCAGTGCATCCCAAAAGAAGCGTGCATGCAGACACCTGGCTGAATATGTGACTGGATATGCGAAGTCTCAACAGCGCACTTTCCCGATAGCACTCCTCCAGTTCCTCGTTTTTCAGCCATGCCTTCGCTTGCGCAAAACCTTCCAAACCTTATCCTATGTCGGATTTTTGAGCACTCAGTCGATACGTTCTTGTACATACGCACCTTGCAGCTTGAAATGGCAAACTACAAGATTATGTGGCCCTTTATGCACTTGTGTCGTTCATGGCGCGAAGCATCTGTCGACTTACTGCTCAGTCACGCGATTATGACCATGAATCGCAAATCGCGTATCCATCTGGCGATTGCGCTTGGAGCCTACGAGAAGGTCAGGGACGTTTGTCTTTTGCTAGACACAAGCGATGTCTTTGACGGCGCAGTGCTGGCTAAACTGAGGCAAGCGCCATTAACGGGTAGTGTATTCCCGCATGTTTCGAGGCTGCACCTCAGTCTTCTTGGACCTCTGCCGTCCGGAAGGCCCAGCATCGCCTTGCTGGAGGGCAATGCCATCGAGTTTTGTGGCGAGATTCAGCGTATGTTCCCAGCAGCAACATATACCAGCATCAACCACAGCCCATCCAATAGAGACAATGTCTTTCCTGCATTTGCAAAAGAGCTCATGAGCAGACTACTGGCTGGAAAGACTGGCGTTCGAACCAACGGCGTGCCCCTAACTACAAACCCCTGTCTTCTTTCGACACCATGCTGCTTGCAAAGCATTGAAACAGTAATGAGACGCGAATCACCAGAGTTCATTGGTGTCATCAATCGAAGTTGGCAAACTCTCCAGCAAATACACCTGATCGTGCCATCCTCTAGCACCATCAAACAGATTGTGGTTGATAGCCAAGGCACGGTTGTTACCTATCCCTGCCTGCGGGATCTTACTTTGAGTATCTCCATCGGTGAAACTAGGCTGCCAGCATCCGAACTTGCTTCACCAGATGGAGTGCCATTCCCAGTGCTGGAAAGGCTGGTGCTTCACTCTCAGTACCCATTCGCAAACGACATTCTATTTCGCAATAATGGGCAGTCGCTTAAACATCTAGATATTGAGCTTACAGAGGACACGTTTGCGACATTCGAGCGGTGCGGCGTGTTTGACAACAGACGGTTTGCAGCGCTGGAGTTTGTAATGCTAGGGAGTCTGATTGCTGTTGGCTTTGACTTCCAGACTTGTTAATAGCCGTGTACAGCACGTCTTTCGTGCATTTGTCCATGTGCCAGTCATCGAGATCAACCACTGCTCGAATGTTTCCTTCGACAGCATCGAGCCGCACCTTGGCGGCCTCTCCAAGACCGTTCGCGTGCTGAATATTGCCAGTACGCATTTGACCACCGAGCAGATACTTCGGCTAATTGAATCGCTCTCGTTCCTCCAGACGATGTGTGTGACACTTATTGAAAGCGCAGTCCTTGAGGACGATGCAGACTATGCCCAAAATGGAGACAGAAACGACAGACCACTTTGGCATGCTTGCGAAGGCATCAGCGCTGCTGGAGTGAGATTGGTATCGGGCCCTGCGACTTCGCAGAGGTTGCTCTATGCTGGAATTCATCAACAGCTTAATGTCAGACTTCACATCAGCTTTCGGCTGCAGGTTATACTGATGCTGCGTTGCCCCAGCATTCGGAGATTCGACTTTGTACTAGGGGAATGTACAAGCGTTGACAGCTCGCTGATTACCTCTGACGTCGCATTTGTTGAGCTCGCTGCTCGAATTGGGGTTGGAGCCGGTGGCTGGTAGGAGCAGTCGAGGGCAATGGGGATATATGTTCGGCATCTTGTCAACAATAGATACCAGATTCGGTGATATGGCTACATACATGAGTCTGGTGGAGCTCGACATACCCTTGCTGGTGTGCAAGCTCGATGATCTGCCTGCCAGCTCCACAGGCTTGCGGAGAGGAATCAACCGAAGCCTCCCTAGCTAGCCAAGACAGTTCTTTTTTCATTTCTTTTGTTTGCATGGCATCCGCACAGCCTGGCTTCCTGTTATCCAGCCCGGGTACATATCAGAGTGGCCAATCGCAGCCGATTCGGATTGGGGCGAGCACCGCTTTTTTCGCTTTCGCTGTTATCTGCGCAGGTATAAAAATTTTGTTTTGGCAGCAGCACCGGCAAGCAAGGCTCCTTATCTCTCTTGAGTAAATATTTTCGTTTCATTTTTTATTGGAACCAAGGTAAAGCACCATTCTGCGCGTGTCTCGAAGACTAGTACGAACCATGACCTCCAAGCTGTCGCACCCTAACATCCAGAACGGATGGTTCCGCGAGTCCGGCGCGATGTGGCCGGGCCAGTCGATGAACATCGAGGTGAACGAGATTCTGCACGTGGAGAAGTCCAAGTACCAGGACGTGCTTGTGTTCTCGTCCAAGACGTACGGCAACGTGCTTGTGCTGGACGGCGTGATCCAGGTGACGGAGCGCGACGAGTTCAGCTACCAGGAGATGATCACGCACCCGGCGATGTTTGCGCACCCGAACCCGGAGCGCGTTCTGGTGATTGGCGGCGGCGACGGCGGCGTGCTGCGCGAGGTGGTCAAGCACCCGCAGGTCAAGGAGGCGGTTCTGTGCGACATCGACGAGTCGGTGATCCGCGTGTCGAAGCAGTTCCTGCCGTCGCTGGCGGTGGGCTTTGAGAGCCCCAAGGTGTCGGTGCACATTGGCGACGGGTTCGAGTTCCTGCAGAACAAGAGGGACTACTTTGATGTGATCATCACGGACTCGTCGGACCCTGTGGGCCCGGCCGAGAGCCTGTACCAGGCGCGGTACTACGAGCTGATGCGCGATGCGCTGCGCGAGGGCGGCATGGTGTCGACCCAGGGCGAGTGCCAGTGGCTGCACCTGCCGCTGATCAAGGAGGTGCTGACGTTTGCCCGGCGGCTGTTCCCGGTGGCCGAGTACGCGTACACTACCATCCCGACCTACCCGTCGGGGCAGATCGGCTTCATCATCTGCTCCAAGGACAAGAACGCCAACCTGAAGGAGCCGGTGCGCAAGATGACGGCCGAGCAGGAGCTCAAGCTGTTCAAGTACTACAACTCGGAGATCCACCGCGCGGCGTTTGTGCTGCCCAACTTCACCCGCCAGGCGATCGCTGGTGCCGGTGAGCAGGACAAGTCCGAGTAGGCCTGAGGCAACTTCTGGGTGCGACAAATTAAACATTTTTCAAAGGTGTTCCTGGGAGCCGCGGTTTTTTTTTTTTGAAACAGGCTGCGTAAATGGAATGTGGGGGACGGATGGTTTGGTTCCTGCTTATCTCTTCTCTTCAGGTTCCCTTTTTAGCAATTTACTCTATTACTCGCGATTGAAATGTTGGGTTCGGCATGGGTCGGCAGCCAGCGCGGCAGCGTGTTGCGGGCTCTTCGGGCGGGGCTGTCCCAGACCACAGGAGCAGCGCGGTACAGCCCCTTGCGGACCGGTTGCAGCTGGCAGCATAGCTTGAGCCTGGCCGCTGGAATTCCAGTGCACCGGCCAGCACAGCAGGCTCGGCACATCAGCATCGAGCCCCAGTCACCGCCAGCAACAGCAAAGAATGCAGCGGCAGTTGAGGCGATAAAGGAAGAGCAGGCAGTGGTTTCCCCGGAAGAAGCCAGCTGCGACAGCGGACAGCACTCAAAGCAGCTGGCGGTACCGCTGCCGCCGCTGCTCAGGTCGTTTGCATTGGCAGCAGTGGCGGGCAGGCGGGATTCGGCAGTGAGCGACTCGCTGGTAGAAAAGTTCGGCTCCGACCTGCAGTCAATCGACAACAGCATCGGGACGGCGAAGCGGCGGGTGCGGCGGTGGTTTGGCAGCGGGCAGATGTGGCAGTCGGCGCTGCTGCGCGTGTACGAGACATCAGGACAGCCTGATAGACACGGCAATCGCCGACCGCACGTTCGAGGAGGCGGAGCTGGCGATGGTGCATGCGACGGGGCGGCTCAACGAGTCGCTGCAAGGGCTGGCGAGGCAGCTGGCGCACGAGGCCAGAGGGGTGGAGAATGTGGGCCGGGTGGCGGTGGTGGCGCGGGATCTGGCCGGTGGAGCAAGAGCCGGTGGAGAGGTTTGCGCTGGCACGGCGGGTGTGGCGGGCGCAGCAAGACGTGGCAGATGCCGAGTTTGTCGAGCGCATTCCGGCGTACGTGCGGTGGTCGCTGGCGCAGTTCTGGGCCATCGGCGGAGTAGGAGTAGCCGGGGCGGTGGCCGGTGCGGCCGTGTATGGGGTACCAGCTGTGTATGCGTCGCTGGGCGGCTTTGGTGCGGTGGTGATGGCCTTTGTCTGGCTTGGGCGGCGGTGGAGCTGGCTGGAGTCGTCGGATCTACCGAAGCCTGGATGGCGAAGGGCAGGAGGCTGCGGGAGGATCTGCTGCATGTGTTCCGGGCAGAGGTGCGGTCTGCGCTGGATGCGCCGGTCATTGACGCCGTTGAATCAAGCCCGCTGATCCGCAAGGCGTGAGAGGCGGTAATATAAAAAGTGCAGTTCGCTTTTTGTCTTCGTTCAATCTCCAGATTTTTTTCTTCTCCCTCTTAACACCAGTCACATACATCTTTTATTCAATTCAAATGACGACCGACGTTCTGGGTATTTCGTTTGCGGCATTTGTTGCGGTTGGCGGCATTATCGGCGCAGTCAAGGCGGGCAGCACGCAGTCGCTGGTGTACGGCGTGGTGTTTGGACTGCTTATCGGCGTGACCTCGCACATAGCATCCACCAGCACGTCTCCTCTGGCGACACTGGCGCCGCTGCTCTCATGCCTTGCACTGGGCATAATCATGGGACGGCGGTACAGCGAGACGCAGAAGTTTATGCCCGGCGGGCTAATCTCCCTGACGAGCCTCCTGATGACCCTGCGTTTCGCGGCCAAGTACGTTCTGTGAAGTGAAACAAAAATAAAGGGGGGTTTATTTCCTTTGGTTGATGTTGTAGAGGTCCTGGCCAGGTGACCGGCTTCAACTGCATAGCGTGCAGGGCAGTGGCAGTCTTGTCGTCGCCCTCGAGCTCGGCCAGGCTAGCGGTTTTTTGCTTGAGCCGTGCACTGACGTCGGAGATGGCGGTTTCGAGCTCGGTTTGTGCATTCTGCACCATGGTTAATGCCTTGGTGGTGGGCACAGTCGATGAAAAAGTCGCCCATGTTGAGGGTGGCGCGCGAGTGGATGCTGTGCGGGTTTTCGGTTTTCGCCTGCTGGCGCAGCTGGTGCAGGGCTGCGCGGTTTTCCTGGCGCTTGCGGTCGTAGTCGAACTGAGAGCTGGCGGTCAGTCAGGATGTCTTCGGCCAGCGTCTCGACCTTTGCCTGGTACTCGATAGCCTCCATTATATTTGCTGTGAATAAGGAATGTGAGCAAGTTTTTTACAGCGCCAAATGAAAAAAAAAAATACACCGCTGGAAACAAATAGCATGTACGTGGAATGTGGCTATATGGGACTACTTTGGGGAAGGTTTCACCAGTCGGCGACGGAGTAAGCGTATTCGTCCTGGGAGCGCGCCGATGCTGCTTGCCTGACGCGCAAACATGGACTTCTCAAAGCCATTCGATCTGTCGACGCCGTCCCAGCGGTACCCAGGCCGGATACCGAAGCGATTAGGCGGCGCAGCGCCCCTGTACTCTGGATACTCCTGTTTCTTAGCCTTCTGCTTGATGAAGGTGCGCGCCTGGATCATCCCAAAGCAGCTTCTCCGGCTCCTCCTCCTCAGGGACATGGCGGCGGCGGCGCTGCACCAGGCCCTTATTGAATTCGCGCTGCAATGCCTCGCGGTCCTTTTGGCGCTGGCGCCTTTGGGTCTCTTCATGGCGCGCCTGCTCAATGTCGATTCTCTTGCCGTACTTGTCGCGGTACACCGTGTCGGAAACGGCTGGGGGTTTGTCGGCGGTTGGCTTGGGTGTGGGGGGTTTGGCGAGTAGCTCGGCGCCTGAGGCGATGGTTGGCTGATCGTCGTCATTGGGCTGAAGAACCGGGTCGGAGAAGTCTGCTGGTGCGGAGATGTTGCGCCAGGAGCTGGGCCTGAAGCGCGGCTTCTTGGGCGATGCTGGTGTGAGCTCGGGCGGCGGGGCTGGGATTTCAGACTCTGCGTCGTCGACTTATGCTGGTGCCGTAGCTTGCGGCAGCCAGCGTGGTGGGCGCTCTCTTCTTTTTCTTCTTCTTGTGCTCGACAGGAGCCGTAGTTTTTAGCCAAATAGTCCTGCAGCGACATTGCGAATGAAAGAAAAAAGCAAAAAAAAAAAAAAAAATAGAGTTAAAGATCTATTCGGCTTGGCTACAAAAGCAGGCGCTGGTTCAGGCGGTTGATAATGGTACAGATCTGCAGGGCATCGTCCTCGGACTCGGCCTCGAGGTCAAGCGACTTGTCGCCGGTAGCAGTGGGGCGGTTGATCAGCAGCTTGAGCTTGCGCGGGGAGCGCTGGTTGCGGCGGCACGTGATGTTGCTCACATGCACAGTCAGGGTCTTGGACGCGTCGGTGCGGTGGCCCGCCGGCATCAGCGTGACAAACTCGCCGTCGATTACCAGCGACCGCTCATGCCGCGCAAACATCTGCGCGCGCCGCACCACCGGGAAGATCCGGTACAGCGTCGGCGGCTGCTGCGGCGGCTCGCGCGCGCGCGCCAGCGAGTCAAGCGACGGCGGGGCAGCGTCGGCGCGGTACAGACACAGCTCGGCCGACTCGGGGATCTGGGCCACCAGCATGTCGGGCGGCAGGGCTGGCAGCCCAGGCGCATCCAGGATGCCCAGCACAAAGTCGTCCTCGCTGAACGCCCACTTGCGGCACACATGCGACAGCACCTGGGCCACCGGCAGGTCGCCGCCAGCGTTGACAGTGGTCGTCCGCAGGGCCTCTGCCGACGACGGCTCGCCCAGCACATGCACCTTCAGCAGCCGCGGCTGGCTTGGCTGCGGCGGCTCGGCTGGCAGCGCCGGCAGTCCCGCATAAACAGCATTGCCGACGAACATGCCGGCCGTGCTGGCGGCGGCCACCCGCGACAGCTGCAGCACCGCCGCCGGCTCGTGCGACCGGGTGGCCAGCTGGAACAGCAGCGGGCGCGGGCTGGCCGAGGAGCGGCTCGGCGTGGGCTTGGTTGGCGCGACCACCACCGACGGCGGACGGGCCATGCGCGGCGGGCGGCCCTGGCGCACACGCAGGGCTTCGTTCTGGCGCTCCTGCTCGGGCGTCGCACGGCACAGCGCAAACTGGTCAAAGGCAAACTTGGCCACGGGCCGCGTGCGATCCAGCGCTGGGAAGTCGTCGTCCACAGCGCCGTCCTCGGCAATGCGCAGCGCCCACGCCACAACATCCTGCGCGTCGGGCGCCAGCGCCGGGTCCCGCCGCTCGTCGACGTATTGGTACAGCGTGTGGCCGATCGCCTGCTCCACCGTCGCGCCGGGCCGTACTCGCACCGCCAGCTCTGATGCCTGCGGTCCCCCGCCGAACACAAACACCGTCAGCTCCAGTGTCCCGCCGCCGCCGTACTCCTCGGCGAACGGATTCGCACGCACCTCGCCGCCGCGCGCCAAAAGCGCTGCCAGTCCAGATGCGGCCGGCGCTGGCGCCGGTACAAACACACCAGTCGACGCCGGGCGCGACGCTGATACTAGCAGGCTGCCGGTGCGCGGGCGCACCTCGGGGCTGGCACCGGCGGGCACCGGCGCGTCGGTTGACCAGCTGCGCGCTTCGGGATCGGATCGGCCGCGTGGGCGCTGCGCCGGTTCTGCTGCCAGCAGATCGGCAGCTAGCAGCTTTGGCGGTGGCCAGTGCTGGCGCGCATGATCGAACCGACCAGCAGAGCCCGACCGGCTGCGGGCGCCGGTGTGCGGGCTGGCGTGCAGGCCGCGCAGGCCGCCGGGAGCCATCATTGCCGGGGTCTTGGACGAGCCGTCGTCGCCCTCCAGGTCAATGTCGTCGTCGCTGTCGCCGTCGCCAAACATCAGCGGCATCGGCGGTGGCATCGGCCGCGCATTGCCCACCGGCGGAAACAGACTGACTGGCCTGGCCGCTGTGCGCGGGCCGTACCATGTCTTGGTGGCCACGCCGCGGCGGCTCGGCTCGTCGTCGTCGCTGGCGTCCCATGTGTCCTGCGGACGCTCGGCCTGCACCGCGCGCATGTTATTGCCGGCCCACTTGGCCTGCGGCTGTTTGGCATCGTTGGCGCGCCTGGTGGGCAGCGTCGCGCTGCGCTTCAGCCCTCCCTCGCGGATTGGCATCAGCGGCGGCTTGACGTCCGGGCGCTTGCGCAGCTCGATGTTGCTCGGGTTCTTGCGCAGCCGCCGCGGCCTCTCTGCGGGGCTGGCCTGCACGCGGATACGTGGCGGCTCGCTCACCGGCTTCTCCGCCACGCTGTCCAAATACCGCGTCTCCTGCGAGCTCTCCTCCAGGATCGTCGAGAAGTCAAAGTCCGCCAGCGCAATCGCGTCGCGCGCCGAGCCCTTGTGACGCGAGCGCTGCAGCCGGATCGTCGACCCGCGGCGCACCATTGCGTCCAGCGACCGCCGCCCGTCGCCGTCCGACAGCGAGCCGGCGTCGTCGCGCAGCTCCGGACTCGGTCGCCGCCGCACCGTGTCGATGCTGCGGCGAGTCAGCGGCTCGTACTCTGGCTCGCCCAGCAGCTCCGCATGCCGCGGCACCACCCCCAGCCCCACCACCTCCTCGTGGCCCTCGCGTGTCGGCGCTACCTTTGCGTTGCGGTTTGTGTTGCGGCCCACTACCGCGCGCTCGGCCGGCCGCGCCATGTCCCGCTGCGGCCGCATGTATCCGCCCGAATACCGCACGTCTGGGCTGCCCACTGCGTCGGTCTCAGGGAAGTACCCGCATGCCACAATGTACGGGTTCACTGTGCTTTGCACTGCCACATGGTGTCGCAGCTCCGACGCCGACGTGTTGCGTCGCCGCGGCCGAGTCGCTGCTGCTGCTGCCGTCGCTGCCGCCGGTACCGCATTGGGCATTGCCAAGTCATCGAACGTTATGATTCGCTCGGCCGTCTGGTCGTTTGTCCGCAGAAACGATATCCGCAGCTGGTATATGAGAAACGCCGGGTCCGTGACCAGCGCCATTTGCCACCGTCGTTTTTTCTGCTGGTGTAATTTCGAAAAAGGCTCTATTCCTGAACAAAAAACAAAAGCAATAAAAATGTCAGCTTTCTCATCACAAGCTCGACGCTTTTAGATCTGCTCTGCCAGCCATTCGCTCAGCTCCTGCGCCCGTGCATCTGCCAGAAGCGGTGCCAGACTGGCCCTCACTGCCTCCTCCTGGTACTTGACGCCCGCCAGCAACCGCCCCGCCTCCTCCTAGCACCTGCCGTACCCCTGCCCCTGCATCCCTGGCCGTCAGCTCCGCCTGGACGATCCTGCCGATGCTTGGCGCTGATTTCGCACGCAACCCTGCCCCACACAAACTCGCCGCTGATGCTGTGAGCAAACTCGGGCGTCTGCCCAAACAGCCATTGCCACTGCGTGATGCGCTCGCGCTCCTTCCCGACCTTGTCCAGAATGCCCTGGTCCCCCTCGCTCCACACCTCCATGTCCTTTTCCTCGAGCCTGCCGAACGTGCGCTGGAACTCGCCCACCACCGCATTGCAGAACGACGAATGGTCGATGGTCCACGAGTAGTCGCGCAGGTTCGCCACCTTGCTGCGCACACTGTCGACGCCCTTGGCGCGGATATTGCGGCTCTTGCTGTCCAGGCACCCGTGCAGCCGGGTTAGATCCGCGTCAATCAGCATCGTGCCGTGGTGGAATGCCCTGCGGCTGGTGAGCCGGTACGCCGACCCCGAGATCTTGAGCCCATCTACCGTGACATCATGCCTTTCGTTCACATACGCTGCAATGTCCTCATGCTGCAGTGCTCGCGCGACCATTTCCGCGCATGTGTCGCGAGCGAATGAGCGCCTGGGCATCAGAACCGTGTAGTTGGTGTTGCCTAGGTCATGGTACACTGTGCCGCCGCCGCTTGTGCGTCGTGCTAGCCACACGTCCTTTTCGCCCATCATATCCAGATTGCACTCCTTCCACGGGTTCTGGATTCCGCCCGATCACGATTGTCGGCCGGTTGCGCCAGAGGTACAGTACGTGCGAGTCCTCGTCGCTGTTCTTCAGCAGCCAGTCCTCGAATGCCAGGTTCGTGTACGGATCCGTGCACCTGGAGATGTAGCACTGCACCTAACCCCCACGCTCAACCTGTTAGCGAATAATCGAACCCTTTGTCGGTAGCTGCTGCGCTCTCGCACCACTTGCCTTGGATCCTGCCGCCGCCGTGTACTGCCTGATCTGCCCCTGCGCCACCGACAGCCCAAGTCTGCGAAGCATTATAAAGATGTCTAGAAAGTATGCAATACCAGGTCAGAAGCAAAAAGGGCCCAATGGATATTTCCGTGCCACGCACAACTCGATATAAAAATTACCCGCTCTCCGGCCCACCACCCCCAGTCTACCCGGTTCTGAATCTCCCGCCAATATGTGTATGGGCTGCTAATCAGAAGCCCGCCCATTGTGGATCGGATTAAAACAACAAATATCCCCACTCTGCTGGTCTTCGAGAGGAGTCTCTTGTATCCCGCTCTTCAGCACATTGTTCCGAACTGCACACAAGGACCAGCGGAATGCAGATGGCAACAGCCGCATAAATCACCAGCGAGCTGCAACAATCGCCTGGCTCAGAGCCAGAAAAATAAAACCTGTCCATCTGAATGCCAGACACATGCATCAACCCACATGACCGCCAAGCACTGTATTCTTTCCTCCCCTGTTCTTGTTCCTGGACAACAGATGCCATGCATCATGTGCCTGCCCACTATCACCCCTCCCATTCTTCTCACCTGCCCGCCCCATTTCTCCACCACCCTATTCACTGTGCACTCCACCCCTGCTATTTTTTGGTTTCTCTCCCAATACCACCCACACAATACACACCACCTGCTCAGCGTCATGAGAATGGATGCATAAATGTACTGCTGCGAGATTTGCGCGGCAACTGAATTTTTTCTCGTCGCTCTGCCTGTCTTTTTTCTTTTTCCTTCGGCGAGTGACGCTTCGTACTCGGGGATGCATCCCTCATGTGCACAGGTGGGAGTGGGGTTGAAGTTCGAACAAGACTTGCTCATGTGGCTAACACGCAAGAAAATTTGGTTTTCAGCTCTGCCTTGATATTGCTTGCCGAATATTTTTTGGCGAGCATTTCCCTCCCCTTCCACGCAGCCCTCGCTCTAGCCCCTCGGTATTCTCGCCTACTACTAAAGCCACCCGCTGTCTCACGCCTTCTGTATTGTTGCGTTGTTGCTGTCAAACAACTAGCTCCTTTCATTCGCTTTGCCTCGCTCTCTTGCTCTCTCCTGAACCACCTGAAGCAAAGTTTTTTTTCCTGTCCACCATTGTCTATTGTTCTCCTGTGCTAGCACTTTCTCTTATCCTCCCTTTTTCCTGTTTCTACTTTTCTTTCATCCACTACCTGTACATATAACCTAAATCCACCATGACCGACTATTCGAGAGCCATCAGGCGCCTGCCGCAAGCGTACCCGAACTCGCCCGAAAACCACTACCAGCCAAGCAGTGTCCAGAACAGGCGGTTCACTGACGAAGAGAGTACGTATTCGCACTCAATGCCATCCCGTGTTTTGCTCTTATTTCTTGGCACGACCTTGCGCAAATGCTGCATGTATTCGCACTATGGCAAAAATGCACTGGCAGCATTACTCAGCCTTCCCTAAAAATACGAAGCATAGATGAAGCAATGTTCGAAAAGTACGTGCCTCTGCACCGAGGAATGCGCGAAATAGCCCACGGTGTCATGCACTGGGAAATTGACAGCTGGTACCAGCTCCCCCAGATGACACAGAGCAAGGAGCTTATACTAGCCAACCAGCGGTACCAGATTATGCTGCACCCCGAAAGCTACCGCCATAAAGGCTACGTGTCTGTCTTTCTCTCATGCTTCAACCGCGACCAGCCGCAGCTCCAGCACCCCTGCGCCTACTTCAGCCTGGTGATTTCAAACATAAACGACCCGACCATCAACCACCATCTGGCCTTCGAATGCCGCTTCAACAAGCGCACCTGGGCGTACGGCAAGGAGGCCTTCATCAGCCACCAGAACCTGACGGGGCCAGCATCGCGCTTCAAAGAGGCTATCATGCAAAGCGGCACCCTACGAATCAGCGCCTACGTTCGCGTTATCTGGGACGAGACTGGAATCCTCTGGGAGGACATGCGGAATATCCCCATGTACCCAATAGTGCGCTGCGTCGGGCTGCACCGCCACCCAGAGTACCACTACATTGGGCCCATGCTGCAGGCCATTTTCCACATGCGCATCCTGCGCAATGCCATCTACATGATTCCGACCACCGCACACAATCCAAAGACCTCGGTCGCCTCGGCCCTGCAGCGGCTATTTCGCCAGCTCGAGTCGTCGCAGCAGCCCGTCGCCATTGACGAACTGGCCATCGCCCTGAAGCGCAACAACATCACCTCGCTGTCCATGAACACCATGCACGATTTCTACAGCATCTTTCGGCGTAAGCTGGCCAGCATCATGAGCGGCAGCGTCGCCACCGGTATCATCAACAAGCTCTTCCAGGGCCGCATCCGCACCACCGTCTTCTACCCGGGCACCCACCAGACAACAAACTACGTCGAGGACTTTTACGACTTCCACGTGGACCTCAACTGGTTCCACAATCTGACAGAGTTCTTCACCCACTACTGCAAGCTCATGCCCCTCCAGCAAAGCGCCCAGGTCCCGCAGTTCGCTGGCTTTGCCGGCAACGCGCAGCAGCGCATGACATTTGAGAAACTGCCACCCGTGCTCCAGATCTACCTGAACCGGTTTGATGTCGACCCAGGGACTTTGCGTATTAAGAAATCCGAATCGGCGTTCGAGTACCCGCAGGCCATTGATTTGAGCGACTACAAGTCCAGTGCAGCCGACCATCTGCAGTGGAGCCGCTATCTCCTGTACGGCGCGTTTTTCCACCTTAGCATTCCCAGCGACCCACATGCATTCACATGCTATTTGTCGCCTGGCTCGCCCACCCGCTGGCTGCACTTTGTCAATGGCGGTGTCACGCCGGCCACGCACTACGAGGTATTCGACTATCATGGTGCGCCTGACCCCGTGCGCATTGACAGAGATGACAAGCGCTCGCTGTTTAGGCGCTCGGAGCACGTCTACATGCTGATGTACGTGCGTGAGGACCTGCGTGACTTTATTCTGAATGGCAGTGATGTCATGGCGCTGCATAATGTCTATTGATTGTTCCATCCCTATTCTGAATACCTGGCCTCTTTTATATTTGCAAGTGCTTGATAGCTCATGTATTTTCAAACTGTTTAAACGCCATCACCAATCAATAAACTATGTTGTCTGCTGCAGGGATTCTCATTTTCGCGAGATTTATATACCAGTGTATTTGGTTCGTATATCCAGCCGATTTATTGAGGAACTACCACGACTCGTTAAACTCGATGCTCTCAACAAGGCTCTTGAGCAGCGAGTTCTGTGCCAACAGGTTAGCTGGAGTGTCAAACTCGGCGACTCTGCCCTGATCCATGACCAGGATCCGGTCGCTGTCCATGACGGTTCTGAGCCGATGTGCAATAGTCAGAATCGTGCAGTCCTTGAATTCCTCGCGGATAACCTGCTGCATGATTTGGTCGGTCTTTGTATCGACATTCGCCGTTGCCTCATCGAGAACTAAGATCTTGCGCTTCCAAAGTAGTGCACGACACAGACTGACCAACTGGCGCTGGCCGACGCTAAAGTTCTTGCCGCCATCCTCGACCCACTTGTCCAGACCTGTTCCTTCAACCCACGGTCCACTGCTGTCGTCATTAACATCATGCGCCTGTGCCGGTCTATCAACAAGATCTTCGATATGGCCCTTGCAAATTGCAGTCCAAACCTCATCGTCGGTGAATTCGCTCAGTGGATCCAAGTTTTCTCGAATAGTGCCCACAAACAGAGCCGGGTCCTGCGGGATGATGCTGATCTTGGAACGAAGATCCTGGAGGCCAATTGTCGAGATGTCCACTCCATCGATGAAGATAGAGCCACCTGCTGGCTCGATTAGGCGCAGCAGTGCGTGTGTCAGCGACGACTTGCCAGCGCCTGTACGCCCAACAATACCGACTTTCTCGTTACAGCCAACCGAAAACGAAATGCTGTTCAGAACAGTGTCCAGATTCTCGCGATACCTCATGCTGTAGTTTCTGAACTCGACAGTTCCATTCGTTGGCCAGCTCTGCAGCCGCTGCAGCCCTTCGATGGTGCTGGGTGCCTCGCGCGGAAGTCCAGTGTAGACAAAGTATTTCGAAAGCGAAGGTAGCACAGTCCCAAGCGAGTAGCCAATATTTGATATCTTCTCTACACCAGATATCATTATCTCTGCAAGCCGCATTACCATTTCAACCTCACCAGGTGCTGATGGTAATCTCAAAGTAGATATCCTCCATACCTGGTAGAACAGCAACGTGGATTCTACCAGGACAGCAACCAAGACATGCAGAGCGAGTGCCATTTGGTGCAGAGTGTTACTATGGAATGTGGCGATACTGTAGGTGGAAATCTGGCAAATGGATTTCTGCAGGTAAGCACCAAGGACGCTGTGGACGCGCATTAGCATCTGGCCATCAACAACCAGGCTAAATGTGCTTGCATGGGAGAATTTAAAGCTCGAGCATTCTGCAGCATCCACCCTTTTCCGTGCTTTTGTGGCGACTCGAGTCCCTAAGAATATTGCTGTTACGGTAGGAAACACAAAGACAAGTAATACAGGCATCCGCTGAATACCATGTATAATCGCATTCAAGGCGTAGAAGGCTCCTAGTACCTGCTGACAGATCTGGCATGGAAGCGAGAAGTAGATCCTGTAGCAATCCCAGTTGAAGAGACAAGAAATTCTCCCACTAGGGAGGCTCTCAAACTGCGACAGTGGCATAAATAGCAGCATGTCAAGCACCTCATTATGAGTGTGCTTGCATAGACGCGCAGACCACAGTACAGCTCGAATCCAATCGACCAGCATGTCGATTTGAACCCGGAGCATGTTGACCAAGGCGTTCATGAACAGGTACTTTTGCAGCGACTGGACCATGCTCTCCCTGTTGTTGTCCATGACCAAATCCAAGCGCAAGCTGTCAACATAGAACGTCGCATAGGCACCAGCTGCTTGGATCGCAAATGTTATCCCAACGATATGCAATCCGCTCATCCTCAGATATCGCCACATGTACGACCACTGAAACTGCGAGACACCAATTTCCGGGTCAAAGGTGAATTGGCCAGATCCTTTATCACCGTCCTTGGACGAATCCTCATCATCCTCTGGCGACAACTCTGATGGGCTCTGAGTAAACGCCACAGGATGCTGCTCCACGATATCTGCTACACCGTTCGTCAGAGTAATGACTTTGTCCGCCAGTGGGGCGACATGTTCGGCATGTGTGACCAGGATACGTGTCTTATCACTGATCATTCCACTGCCAACAAGCACGTTTTCGATTAGATACCGCTCAACATGTGCATCAACCGCCGCCAGCAAGTCGTCCAAAACATAAATGTCTGCGCGGGAGTAAATAGCACGGGCCAATGCTAGCCGCACCTTCTGTCCGCCAGACAAGTTGATGCCACGCGGTCCGATCTCTGACAAATCCTGTGCCGGGAACAGCTTGACATCCTGGGCTAGTGCACACGCCTCGACAACGCGCCAGTAGAATTTCTCGTCAAATTCTTGACCAAACAGCACATTTTCACGGAACGTCGCATTCATGATCCATGGCTTCTGACTGACGTACCCGATCCGACCGTATGTGCACCCTGTGCCTGAAATCAGTGGCATCTCACTGCAGATGGCAGACAGCAGCGATGACTTTCCACTTCCGACTCTGCCGACAACAACTGCAAACTCGCCAGTCTTGACATGCCAATGTCACTGGTGCAGATGCATGGTCAAAGATCTTCCGAAGATCAGAGAGGACACCAGAACATTGCAAGGCAAACCCTGCAATATTTGTTGCCGATGACACGACTATCATCACCTCAGTAAATGACAATGTTCCAGACGACCGGAGATATGATGCAACAGTCAGAGCAGTCGCAAGTTGAGTCGCTGAGCTGCCAATGAGGGTGACGATGTAGTCAACGATGCGCCAGAATATAGGAGGAGTATATTGTAAGCAGTCTGGATATCCACGCACACCTCGAAAGGCCTGCTCCCATCCATAAAACTTGATCGTGCGCATATACTGGAGCAGTGTGTCTAGCCTGGTACGGAATGTAGGTCGCAACTTGGTCTTGCTCATCCTCTCCAGCACTTCGATTTTAGCCGTAACCAAGCTTCGCACAATTGAAAATATGACCATGAAAGCAGCTGGCAGAGCAGCATGCCATCCAACCTTGGAGATAAGCAACCGAATGCTGAGAAAACTCGCCACTGACTGACTGAGCACGCTGAGTACGTCATCTACTTTACAAGCCATACCGTGCGTGTCCATAAAATTGGTTTCATAGTAATCCCTATCAGTGAACTGTCCACTTTTTTGAGACATCCTGATTGTGAGGAGCTTGATGCGCATAACATCGAGGATTTCCCAGTAGGCGTGGCTTTTGAATACCTGATGATACTTATCGACCACCAAGGACATGGACAAGATGCCCCATACTGCACACAGTGCATATATGCCAGACACTTCAACGCTATTCCCCTGGTCCACTGCACCAATAATCATCGCAAATACTATGCCCTTGTAATACGCACAGAGGCGGATGACCATGTCGATGATGGCCAGTGAAAGGATTCGTTTCCAAGCAAAAGCTAAAAATCCGCGGAGCACAAAGAATGCCTTGGTTGTGTCCAAGTGCAGCTTTTCGACTCCGTGTAGAATCCACTTTACCTTCTCCTCATCGTGAATATCGTTAACCGACAGGTCACTCTTGGAGCAAAGTTGTAGAAGAGCCAGTGCATCAAGACCCATAATGAATCTCGTATATCTGCGTATTTCTCTCTGTGTCAGTGGATTGAACATGTACCACGCAATAGCAAGGTGAGCAAGAGCACCAGCAAACAAGCCAAAATTCAGGTGAGGTACTGAGGGGACCGCGATGAGAATGGCACGAGCGATGTTCAGAAATGCAGTGCCATCGCTGATCGTACGGCGAGACAGGGTAAGCCCAAGCACAGTTACTGATGCCAGCAGCGAAGCAGCCGAGCTTAGGTGGGCATTGGTAATAGACGCAGCAAGAGAGGCGAGGCAAACGGCGCTAAGAGCAACAACAGTGCGTTTCTGTTTCTGAACCGGGGCGCCAAGATCGTTTTTAGGTGTCCATAGCAAAGTAGCAGCTGTCAGTGATGCATCCGCAATCGCTCCGAGAGTTCTAATTGTGAGATTACTAGTTAGCATCTGCGTAGCTATCACCAGACCATGCATTGCAAACTACTACGTACATCTGGGGCACGATGGTGTCAAAAACACTATTAGGAATATCCATATTCAACGGTAGAAACGATGATGAGGGGAATGAGGAGCGAGACAGGGTTTGGGTTGCCGCATCCCTTGGCAACCCTTGCAAAAGATGGCTCAGGGACATGCAGCCATGAATGCACAGACATGGATCGGCAGTTTCCGAATACATGGGCATTTTTCGTGTGGAAAGCGATGTCTGTTTGTTTCTCACTGCGGCCAGAAGGACCGCAGCCATGTCGTGACAGAGTCTAGTCTATCTGGACATTACGCTCCTCACACTGCCCATCCATTCTGGGATATCTGTGATTTGCTTGTCAAGTCACAATAACACAGGCACTGTGTAGGTTAGCGCATGGTATGAGTAGTAGTTCATATGTATGGCGGGCAATATCTAGGGGAATAAGCGGAGCATCCACACCGCGCTACATGTACATCTACTCAAATATGCTTCCACGCTCATCACACAAAGCAACGGATTGGCGCAGGAAGAACTATGAACAGCCAAGCCATCTCCTGTACACAAAACAGGCTTGTTTGGCAACCACAGGCTGTATTCTTGCTGTATTTCATGATAATTCAGAAACCCTCCGCAGCCACTGTAGGCGTCGTGAACAGAACCAGTCTCCGTTACCGACCCATGGCTTCGTCCCAGCTGGCGTAGTAGCCAGACCAGTGTGCTATATGACACAAAAATCTTTCTGTATTCCCCTCGGGTGCAGATTCCCTTTGTTCTTTGGTGTATGGGCATATAATGGCACTATTTATTTGTGCCTGGATGTAATACCGTAAGAGACCAGCGAGATACTCGGCTGCGTGTGGTGTTTCCGGTGGGGAAATATAGGACGCTACACTTGTTGTGCACCCGCCCTGGCTGTCCCTGACATCAACATGTCGGCTGACCCAAGTGGTGGCAAGCCAGACGCCAATGAGAGCCCTGCTACATCCGTACACAATGGAGACAACATCAAACCTCTGGCAAGCTGCACAAACTGACTGTTTTGAAAGGTACCTTGTGTATATGGCACCAATGATTTTATATATAGACGCATCTGGTGTAGCCGCACAGGTCGCCTTTCCTCTTTTCCTCTCCTTTTCTTGAGTGCTTAATATTGCCTCTATAAACCCTCATTTACTAAACACAAAAGCACCAATATACGTAAACCGTCCAGTGCGGAAATAGCAAGTCTTGGCTTGAGCATCCAGCATCATTCATGGGCAAGAACAGGTGACTGTTGCACATCTGAAGTTTCTTGGCGAAGATGAGAAACGACTTTAAGCAGTGCTGCATGATGCCGTTTATTGCAGCAGCGATATAAGGCCAAGCGGATCGCCAAGTCAACTTGTGTGGAAGCGGGTTGACATGCAGACGCGAGGCCAATTGGGTACATCACTATTGGCTAGCGCTATCTTGTTGCCCTCTCTTCTCTCGAATTGCTTTCCATTCACCTCATTCTGAAGATTACATAAATGGATAGCGCTAAGCAACAGTCAGACAGTTTGCCCGAGTATGCGCTGGTGGACACAGCCACTGCACGCCCAATAGAACTCAGTATCGACCCGCCCCAGCAGCGCCAAAACACAAGTGGTAGCTGGTTCCGAGCCATTTCGCCCACCGACAACTCGAGGTTCTTTGAGTCGCACCTGCCACTATATCAGTGGATATGAAGAGCGCGGCCATGGTTGCATTCACTGGGAAGTCGATAACTGGCCATATCTCGCCTACTCTGCATATAGCCGTGTGTTTGTTGTGGCTGGGCAGGAATTCCAGGTTGCGTTCTACCCAAAAGGCACCAATATTGCAGACTATACATCAGCTTTTCTGGTGGCTCATCCAAACGAGGACGATATCGGGTGGTCAGCCTGCGTTTATTTTGCGCTGGTCATGTCAAATCCGTTTAATCCGAGCATCAGGCGAGTGCAGACGTTTGAGCATCGGTTTTCTGCTGCGGAAAGACGGTTTGGCATGGATGAATTCGAAAAGTACAGCGACTTGGTCCGTTGCCAGGGACCAAGGCCGGTAATTGAGCAGAGCTCATTGAGGATTAGTGCATACGTGCGGGTAATCGAGGATGAAACCGGGAACCTTTGGGATGAGCAGCTATTGAACGGCCAGAGCCCACGACATCCTTGACATTGGGATAGCTGAGACAGCCAGACATGCCCTAGTGTGAATGCTCTACTGCAGGTCCTGTTCCATATAAGGATATTCCGGCAGGTTGTATTTCTTTCGCCTAGTCATATTTCGGGGGATAGCTTCTGTCTCCCCGAATCACTTCGACACCTATTCACAAGTCTACAGACATGGAGTAAACCGGCTGATTCTCGAGTAGTATGTGACGCACTCAAATTCATGGATAGTCAAACGTCAGAGATGCTTGGGACGAGGCGTATCCTCAACGACATCATCGCATCTCTGAGAGATACGACTGAAGAGAGTCCAGCTGCTGGGGCTATTTCGATATTGTTCCAAGCAACTAAACGCTACACCCTAACCGATATGTCAGGCAACAGGTCGAGAGCTTGGACGAAGTAACATTCACGACTTGAGCATCGATACTGAGGGGTGCAGCGACGTGAGCCAGGCTCTTGGCAGATACTGCAAACCAAAGAAACTCTGCATCCATCCCTGCCTCTATCTTTGAAAAGACTGTTGCATTTGACAGAATACCGCCAGTTCTCCACATTCACTTGAACCGTATTTGCAATAACAGCAGTGGCAAAGGTGGACAGGAGCTTGCACATCGATTCGATTATCCGCGGATGCTTGACCTACAGTCATATGCCTCGGACCATGCAGACCTGTCGCACCCGTGGATATACAGGCTCTACGCGGTCTGTTTCCACAATGGCAAAGCACACCAGGACCGGTATTTCGCCTGTAGCCTGCAGCTAAAAAGGGCATGGCAACTGGGTGACATTTGCTGACGGAGATGTGCAGCCAGAGCACGATCGGGATGTATTTGATGCGCACCTTGATCCGAGCCCAGTGGTGATCCAGAGGAGCAGACCGCCGCGGCTTCATTAACAGAACTGAGAATGTCTACATGCTAGTGTACATACGTGATGATATATACGATACGATTCTGAGCAGTGACGAGCTCTGGTCATTGAACTCCAACTAATGAAAAATAAACTCTATTCCCCACCTCAATCCCAAAAAATTGTACCATACTTTTAGGATTTGTTCTCGGGCACCTACCCAGGGACCCATGGCCCACTAGACGTCATATTAATTGGTGCAGCATGCTACTGTTCTACGCTATATACCAATGGACTCGTTCTTCTCATTCCACGCATCCGAAGCCCCTGAGGCACCCACTAGCGATGACTTTCTTCTTGCACATATCCAAAGCACGCCAGACACTCAACCACCGTCGGCACCCAGCAGCCAGCCTATTATCAGCCAGCGTTGCCGACCAAATACATCCGCTGATCCGGCAGCGCAAGCTCGAAACACCTGAGGATATTGCAGCATGGATTGCTGAACGCAAGAGCAAGTATCCAACAAAAGATGCCTCTGCGAAATCGCCCACCAACACAGCCGAACAGTCAAATAAACGCAAACGTGAAGAGGAAACCAACCCGTTGAACATGCTAGCTGGCTACGGGTCTGACTCGGACTCGGGTTCGAGTTCAGATAGCGCGCCCGAACAAACGTCGGCAAAACCAAATATCAAAGCCGCGCCGTTCCTGCCAAAGAGCATGGCGCCGAACGAGGATAAGCGGAAGCTGCGTGTATGCAAGTACTTTTTGAAACGGTCGTGCCGTAAAGGCACTAAATGCCCGTTTGCACACCCAGAGTCGGTCAAGCAAAAGCAAGAGGAGAAGGCGGCTGCGGAGGAACCAGTGGTACAGCGCACAGGCAGCCTGCTGGGTATGCTGCTAGCAAAAGACATTGAGCGAGAAAACTATCGGATCTGGCAGTGTCTCAAGCACATCGTCGAGAGCGAGTACTTCCAGGTTCCGGTTAAATACGATCTTTTGTTCAAGAAATGAAGAGCTTAGTAGTTGTACACTGGCAGGATCTGGTTGAGGCGGACGGGCTGGCGGCACAGTGGGCATTCCGGGTGGGTCTGGCACCACTCGAAGGCACATTTCCAGCAGAACAAGTGGCCACAGGGCGTGGATGCGGAGTGGCTGCGGGGCGATAGGCAGAGGGTGCACTTTTGAGCGCTGGATGTGAACCGACGGAGCGCCTCCATGTCTACATCAGAAGGCTCGCCAGTCATTTCCTCGTCGTCTTTGGCCACCTCAGTACCCTCTTCGACATTATCCTCATTATCCTCATTCTTCTCATCCAACCTCCCCTCAGTCTTTTTCTCGTCGGCCTCTTCCCCAGTCTTCTCGTGGGCGAATTCCGTCACCGACCACTTCAAGGTCCTTTGGCTCGTCCTCTTCGTCTTCATCATCGCTATCCTCATCCTCGTCCTGTCCCTTTTTCCACAACTGCAGCGCGGTCTGAACCATTAGCTGCACTGCCAGCAGTGCACCCAAAATCTCGTACCCACTGTCCTCCTCTCCCTGCCGCAGCCTCCGTGTGAAGACGTACTGAATGCCCGTGATCCTTTTCGCGAAGCCGTAGTACGCACCAGTAAAGTAAAACACCGCCAAATGTGCCATGCCCAGCTTCTTCCACATGCCGCTCCGCGACCATGCCTGCACTCTCTCCAGGGCCCCTTCGGTTTTCCCTGGCTTCATCTGCCCTCTACGCAACCGACGCTTCTGCAGCCACATGCGCAGCTTCGCCAACACGCCTAGCACACCGAACCCACCGCCTGCCTGCAACACGACCATGAGAAAGCGGCGTCCAAACGCCGGGTATGTCAGGTGCTTGTCAACCTGCAGGATCCCGCAGTACTCTTCGCCCAATGTCTGGGCGCCTGTCAGAGTAGTCAGGGCATAGTAGAGGAGCTTCGATGCGCCTTCGATTTGCTGCTGGTGTGTAGCGAAGTACCGAGTGCCCTTCAGCTGCTGCACAACCTCGCCCAGCCCGCTTTGGACACGCTGCTGGTAGAACAGATCCTTTTGCGCAGACCGCACAATATCGGGCTGGCCTGAGTACGGGAACTTGAAGTCGCTGCGGGGCCGGGCGATGCTGTCGGCAATAAGGTCGGGGCTGGTATCCTCGATGACAACATCGACCTTGACGGGCTCCACAGCAATTTCTACGTCTGCAGCACTCATTGGAGGAAACTGGAGTAATAGTACAAAGACACCAAACAAGTGGAAAAGGTGCGCGTTCAATTAAGAGTAAGAAAGAGAATATGAAAAGTTCGCTGCTGGAGAGAAAAAGCGACGAGAAAACAGCCGCTCCCGAAATAGAGACTGCTTATCTTGAACACTGACACGTGACAGCTACTTCTTGGATCTGAGGCCAAACCACGACCTGCCCTTCCCTGACGAGTGGCTCAATGTGCTCTCGACAGTGACAGTGGGCGGGACCACCATGCCCTGGCTGCTGGCTCGGTTGCTTTCAGGCGAGACCGACTGCGAGAACCTGGCTATGTTCGCATCTGGGTGGGCCCGCCCCAGCACCTGCGCCGACTGCATGATTGTGCTGCCCATCTGCGCCGTGGACGCCGACGGTGTGCGCATGCCCGACGGGCTCATCGGGCCCGGGCTCATAGCCACAGGGCTCATGTTGTCGGAGGTAATGCCGCCGTGGAACGACCGCGTCGTCGAGATCAGCGGTGGTGGGCGCGCTGGCGCAAAGAACTTGCCGGGCGGACCCTCGGGGTTGGCGGGTGGCTTCTCTAGCTCTGGCTCCGGCACCACCTGCTCCTCCTCCACTTGCTGTTTGGCCTCGCACGCAAGCCTCAAAAGCCCTGGGCAGATCAAACCGCAGCGGGTCAAAGTCAGTGCGTTCATAGAACAGCACATAGCCGGAGCCAAAGTTTGGGGAAGTTGCCAAAGTAGTTGTATAGCTCGTTCTCGTCGATGATGTCGACGCAGTCGTCGTCGAACAGAATCCACTTGTTGCCTGAGCGTACAATCGAGATGTAATGGCCGTGGTAAGGTCCGCCGCCCAGGTGCACCACGATGGCGCTGAGTGAGTACAGCAGGTCCTCGGTCTCCTCGGTGGTGTTGGGCACGCGCAGCTCCGTGGGGAAGTTGACACGGTACGACAGCTTGACGTACCGCCCCAGGCCCTCGTGGTACTTGAACCGCTTCAGGTGCAGCGCCAAGGATGTTTGGCAGCCGCTTGAGCCGCATCCGCCGCTTCGGCCTCCTGGAGCCCACCACAGTTGTCACAGTAAAACTTGTTGTTGTGGCAAGAGAAGCTCGCCTGCTGCGAACTGGTTTAGGCAGTTTGTCACCGACGTGTTCTCGTGGATATCCACCGACACGTCCAGCAGCGTCTCGTCACGGCTTGTCACATTCTCGCAGCTCAGGCACTTTGTCTCATTCGTCAGCAGCCCCTCAAACAGCGTATGCACCCACGTGCTGCCACGGAACTTGTTCGGCGCATTGATCGGCGCGCCCGTGCACCCGTCCAGCTTCTTGTCACGGTATATCTTGTCCACATTCTCGACAATTTCGTTCAGCAAATAGTTCAGGAACTCGTGCGCGTCCTGGTGCGCATTGCTGCGGAACAGCTCGTTGCACTCCTTGAGCTTGCCGATGAACCGCTGCGGCGATATGCTGCCTGAGCGCTGGATCCGCGTGGATATTGACCAGAACAGGTCCTTCAGCGACGCAAACATCGAGTCGTCAATCTGGTACTTTTCTGCACTCGACAGATCCTCGGTCAGGATATCAATCACGGACCGCTCTCGCTGCTCACCACCCGCATTGTCCGTGCCATTTCCCGCCTCCTGCGACCCGCTCAGCTGTGTGGCATCGCTCTGGCTCCGGTCCTTCTTCCGCCGCAGTCCAGATGCCCGGTCCCGCAACGACAGCCCATGGCTCTTCTCGTTCGCATTTCCGCCTTGCTCCTTAGGCGTCACAAAGTTGCTACTGCCTAGCATGGCATTGTCGCCAGTGGCTGTTGCCCGTCGCTGCTGCTGCGGCTGCTGCTGCTGTTGTTGCTGTTGTTGCTGCTGCTGACTTGGTCGTTCTAGTGTTGGTATATGCGTGTGCGATGCGCTGTGGTGGCCCTGCGCACTAGGCAGCGTGGGCAGCTGCCGTGGGTACGGGTAGTTGTTGACACAGTCACGGAACGTCTGACAGAAATACAGTGCCTGTAGAATCGAGCTCGCGTAGCAGGTATTGCCAACGTTCACCTAGCCCGTAGTACCGGTCGTCGTTGTCTGGCCAGTCCGACCGGCCCTGCCCATTTCCGGCTGTTGCCTAGATTTAAGGAGAGCGAGAGTATGAGTAAATGCAAAAGAGGGATATGAGCGGTGCCCAGAGGGCTTTGAAGCTTACAGTTCCGGTCGACCCGTTCGACCCATTCCCAGCGCCACTACCACCGCTCATCCATTTCATAAACGACATTATCCAGAAATTTATAGGTGCTGAAATTGAACAATAAATGAAAAAAAAAACAGGGGTGGAAAAGAGTAAGGAAAAGCAGAAAAAGAAAGAGAAGGCGGTACCCACGAGTATGATGACGACGTGCGACTTCAGGGGTAGAATGTCAGACCTCCTCCATTGGCGCTGCCAGCCCAGACATGCTGGCTATTTTGAAAACTGGAGGAGTTCCTGATCAAAAGGTCCTCGATGACATACCTGTCCGGGATGTGATCAATGTAGCGAGCACCTTAAGCTGTCAGGGTAGAATTGTGTAGCAGAGCGGCATTATGTGCGAATACATGCACTTTTGTAAGCTGTCCCCCAAAGAGCAGCCGCTTGATTGCTAGCAGTGGATCTCTACTAGAGACGGCTAGCAACCCACCGGAGAGGGCGGCAGGGACTATGCTAGATATATGCAGAGCTCTTCACCTGGTAATTTGGCCAGCGAGAGTCATAGCGCACATTGGCTGGCTAATCCATAATCGATCCTCGCTGGTGAACACGGATATACGATTTCTCGTACTTTTTCGCCGAGAGAAATATAAAACGCATTTTACAACATACATCACCTCTATTCTCTAGGATGTCTGATAAGCGCGAGCTCTTTGAACAGTCATCACAGTTCCGGCACTGGCGCTACACGCCCAGCTCGCTGAGCGCCCTGCGTGCTGCCAACAATCAGCAGGGAATCGCGCGCGTGCGCCAGAGCCTGCTCGCCGAATCATCGCTCGATGGCAATTCGGCACGCACCGCCGAGGCCGAAAACAACATGCTGACGCCAGCGGATGAGCTTGGTCTGATAAACTACTACCTGCAAAAGATCCGCGACTATGCGACGGTCTACAAGTTCAACAGCACGGTCAAGGCCACCGCAATCACATTCATGAAGCGGTTCTACCTGCACAACGTCGTGTTTGACTACCCGCCAAAAGGCATCATGCTAGCATGCCTGTACCTGGCGACCAAGGTTGAAAACTCGTTTGTCAAGATTGATGATTTCACAAAGCCGCTGGCGCGCACAAAAGTGACCAACAGCGATGTGCTCGATTACGAGTTTGTTGTGACGCAGAGCTTGCAGTTCGATCTGGCGGTGCACCACCCGTATCGGCCGGCGTATGGATTCTTCTTGGATATGCAGACATATGTGGAGGACATCACAGTGTTGCAAAAGACATACGAGCTGGCGCAGAAATACATTGACCAGGCTGTGTTCACTGACCTGGTGTTTTATTACCAGCCGGCCCAGATTGCCTTGGGCGCGATCAAATTGGCAGCAGTCGAGACGCGGTGCGATGTTGACCAGTACTTGACATCGCAGTTCGATGCAAGGGCCCTGGAGAGCCTGTATCCAATTTTGGATAACGTGCAGGAGGAGATCCGAAAGTACCAGCCGGTATCGATGAAGGAGGCCCAGGTCATTGACCGCAAGCTGATTCTTTGCAGAAACCCAGAGAAAAATCCGAGCAGCAGCCTCTATAAAAGCAAGAACCCAGAGGTGCCGTATGTGTCTGACTCTGACTCTGACTAGGACATGCATGGGCGAGTTACATGCCATGATAATTGTTAACTTGGGGAATGAGTGGTTATCGAATATATGGAAAAATAACTTCTCAAAAGTGACTGAGGGGAAGAAGGAAGGCTGGTCGTCTGTCTGGCCTTTGTACGTATGCGCTTCGGCCTTGTCTATGGTGGCGCAGGGGGACTCCGGACCCCGAATGTCAACAGCACCAATGGCCCGACACCATGCGCCGATTCGTGGCAAGGGATGGCGCGACAAGTTCAAGCACCATGGCTTTGAAGTCTATCTGATCGACGAATTCCGGACATCGTCGGTGTGCCCGTTCTGCTGCGATAAGTCACTGCAGACATTCCGGCATGTTCCCAATCCGCGGCCCTACCAGAGATCGAAGAACCCAACTGTGAAGTGCCATGGCCTTCCCCGCTGTACAAGCGAGTCATGCAAGCGGGCCATGGCACAATGCAGGCGGGCCTATTCGTCTCGGCTTTTGAACCGCGATCTCGCAGCGGTTCTAAACTTCAGACTCATTTTCCAGTCACTCTGTGATTCAAGCAGTATTCCTGAACGGCTCCGTCGTTCTACGGCCATTGCTGCCGATGCTTCTGGCACCACCCCAGCAACAAAGAACCGCGCAAGAGGCGTGCAGCAGCAGCAGGCGATTCTGCTGCCAGCAGCAGCGAACCAGCGCTGAAGCGCCTACGCTGAGTAGGCCACCAAGATGGGAGATATCCATGATCGCCATTGCACCAACAACCATCCGACACGTTCAAATGACCGGTTCACCGTGATGCTTTTATCGACGTGTCAACCCATGCTGACTAGCAGCCGAGCTCGCATCGTGAGTAGAGTATTTCTAGTATTATTAAACGGTTCCTGAAGGATATGTGACTAAGTGATATGTGACTAAGTAATATGTGACTAAAAATATAAGTATCATCAGCAGTCGGTGTTGCTGCGCTCCATTCTGTTGTGGTACCGGCCTAGTGTGTATGCGGCACGGAACTGCGGGTCACGCTGCGGCCCATCCTCCTCCCCGGGCACAGGGTGATCGACCATCTGGTACGGCCCCGACAGCTGCTCCATCGACGGCCTTTGCAATGCGTCGCCTACCGACCACTTGCGCAGTGTCGGCCTAACAGCGCTGACATTTGCATACCACGATGTGGCGCGTGAATGCGCACTATTTGTGTTTGGGATCCCTAGCGATACTTGCTGCTTCTGCTGCGCCGGCTCTTTCGTCTGCTGCTGCCAGGTAATTGGCGGCATTGGAGCATTACCGTATGTTAGTTTCGCCGACCCAATCTCAAATCTGGGTGCTGGTTTACGCGCCCCACCAGCAACCCTCGATACCCTGCGCTTCGGAACCGGCAGTGGCTTTGTATACGGCGTCAAGCCATGGTGAGTGCGGAACTTGGGTGGGTTCTCGCTAAACACTGGCGTCAGCTCAATACTGCTGGTGTCAGAATCCAGGTCAATTGCCTCGATATTGAGCCTTGACGGGCGCACCGTAATCGAAGGCAGGTTTGACGTCAATGTGTTGCTGTTGGATGATGTGCTGTCGCTGCACAGCATAGCTGAGCCGACCTCAAACTTGGAGTGGTGCTCGCTGGCCGGCGAATGCATGCTGGCCTCCTCAGACCGCCGGACACGAGTAGTTCGAGTACGACTTCAGGACCACGGTGTCAAGCGATGATAGCTCACGCGACCCGTTCGCCCGATAAATCCCCAAAGCGGGCGCATCGCCTCGGCCGCCGTTGGCAGCCGATGACGCAACCATCGGTGACACATGGACAAAGTCGGCAGAGCCTGGCATAATCGGCGTGGAGATGACCTGGACAGAGCTCCGTGCAGTGACAGGCCGTGAGATCCGCTTCAGCTCCTTGGCATGCGACAGCGGCATCAGCGGCGGGTCAGTCGCGCGCCTCTTCCCGCCACCGCCGCCGTATTTCTTTAGCTGGCGCTTCAGGCTCCGGCTCGTCAGATTCTCGGTCTTGCTGCGCAAAAACTCCCACCCACGACGGATCTTGCTCTTGTGCTGCGGGGCTGGAAACGGCACGTACACGTCGCGCAGGCTGATGGTTGGGAATCTCGCTCACAGACGCGTTGATGCTCGACCCGAAGCACGACTGGCTCGGGCTTGCTAGAGACGACCCGGTGGTTGGCCGTGTGTGCGAGATGGTTGCGCGTGCAAGCTCAGCCACCAGCGAGTCCACTGTGGGGCGCCGGCGAATTCAGCGTATGCATTACGTGTTCGTCCGAGCTTCGGCTTCCACTGCCGTATACTCAGCCTTTGTCGAAAACCGCACAACCAGCGAGTCCATCTGCGGCGTCATGGTGGGCGACTGGACGGGTATCACGTGCAGGTACACGGCCGGCGAGCCCTTGCGGTGTGCGATGTCCAGGACCTCCACTACCTGGCACGGCCCTAGCACTGCTGTGTACCGCGTGCCTGGCAGCGGCCGGGCATCCTGCGATTTTGTGGGTTGGGCCGGTGCCCGCGGCCCACCCTGGTGACGACGGCTTGGCAATAACCAGGAAGCTGTCAAACAGCCACATGACACCCGGCTCCTCCTTCGACAAGAGATCGGGCTGGCCGTTGTCTAGCTGCGGCATCGACGTTTTGACTGGCCCGCTGTACACGAGCCGGTGCTCGCCGCTCAGGTACGGTGTCCAGTCGATGTCGCGGATAGACTTTGAGAGCGCGTCCAGGCATGCGTAGCTGTCGAGCTTGGTCTGGGTATCCTGGATCTTCTTAATCCACGCGTCAATCTGCTCGACAACCATCTTGCCGTTTGCGTACTCCTGCGACCAGTCGTCACTGGACGCCAGAAGCGTCTGCAGAAGCAGTGGGTATTTGAGAAGACGCTGGAACGGCAGAACCATGAACGATTCCATTGGCAGGTTGCGGCACTCGGGCCGCCCTTGCCGCTCCTTCCAGAATACCATGAAGTGCGCCGACTCTTTCTTCAGCTCCTCCACCAGCCTCAGCGCGTTGTCCTGGTTGCAAATGTACTTTGCGTATATCTTAAACTGGCTGACAAACGGCAGCAGCTCGTCGGCAATGTCCGAAACTACTGGGTACTCGCGCCGCTGCCTCTCCATGAACGCGGCATTAATCGACTCGTGCAGCACCAGAATCTCCTCGATGTTGCCAAACATCAAATCGCACTGCTCTGGAGTTGCTACCTTCAGGAACCGCATCGGCTGCACGAATATGTCTACCAGAACCCGCAGGTCCTTTATGTAGTCGGCCTCGGTGTGGATAATCTCAAATATGACTTCCTGCCGCCGCACCTGGCGCTCGTCGAGGCTGTTGTTGGCCATCTCGCGCGGTGTGAAGCCCTCGCGCCACAGCATACGCGCCTTTGCCGGTCCCGCTGGCCAGCCCAGTCTCGATGCGGATATCCAGAGAGGGACGCGCCGAGGTCTGTGTGGGCGGGACGGCTGGGAGCTGCTGCGCACTCGTGTCGTGGCTCATGGTCCGGGTCAGCGTGGGGAGCGACATACCCAGGGAAAGATGAATAGAAATAAAAAATAAAGGAAGGTACCAAGAATAAATAAACAAGAGGGTGTTGCGCGAAATGTGCAAAGAGCAAAAAACAAAGGGCAGAAAAACAAACGAGGAGAAGAGGGCGGGCGGTGCCGTGCTCCTGTTTACGAGAAGCGGTCTCCCTATATGCGCCCTTTTGCATGTGCGGTCGGAGAAGGAAAAAGCTGCTGGTAGTCGATGAGAGCGCACGCAACAACCATTCGAGGACATGAAGAGCCATGGTGCCGTCGCCCTATTGTCGCTATGACAATAATAGCCTCGCATCGCCCGCACTTTTTTAAACCTCATCGGCGCAAAATGAGCGAACGACCGGGCGTGGATATAGTGCCGACTGGGACCAAAGCGCTTTGGGAGCAAAAAGGAGGCAGTCGACGCTCCTTTTTTGGGCCCTAAAATAGAGCCCGGCGGCCCTTGACGCGGTGATTGGCCAGACTGCCTTTTTCGTCAGCCGACAGGTTTCAAGCCCGATGCTCGCAATGTACGAGACATGCACTATCCTCCGTCACATCATCAGCAGATCAGGAGGAATTAATGAAATGGATATGGAGTAGAAAGATAAAAAGATAGGGCTCCTAGAAGGTAGCAAACAGATGCCGGTATGGGTCGACGCCAGGCTCGGGCGCTGGCTCCTGCGGCGGCTCCGGGTACTTGTCAAAGTTGCATGTGTCGCCGGGATGCCTGTGCGGCGGCACAATAGGCGGCGGCACGCGCTTCTCCACCAGGCTCTGCCAGCCGATCATGGCAAACCACGGATGTCGCTTCACGTCCTCGCCCTCGCCCTGCAGATTGCCGAGCCGCTTGCTGACATCGGCGTTCAGCAGCCGCCGGATCAGATCCTTGGCCGCTGGCGAGAAGAACGACGGGAACACAATCTTGCCCTCCAGGATCTTCTCGTATATTCCAAACGGATTGTCGTCGTAGAACGGCGGGTATCCGGCCAGCATCTCGAAAATCAGGATGCCCAGCGCCCACCAGTCGACGGCCTTGCCGTGGCCCTTGCTCTGGATGATCTCGGGCGCCAGATACTCGGGTGTGCCGCACAGCGTCCATGTCCGGTCCACCACCTTTTTGGCGAACCCGAAATCCGTCAGCTTCACGTGGCCGTGCTCGTCCAGCAAAATGTTCTCGGGCTTGGTGTCGCGCCAGATGATCTTGAGGCTGTGCAGGTAGTCGAGCGCTAGCACGATTTCCGCAGAGTAGAACCGGGCCACGTCGTCGGGGAACCGCCCGGCGCGCCGCAGGTGCGAGAACAGCTCGCCGCCCGGCACGTACTCCATCAGCATGTACAGGTTGCGCTCGTTCTGCATTGTCCGCTCCAGGCGCACGATGAACGGGTGTCGCTGCCTCCTCCAAGATGTTCTTTTCGTTGTTGATGTGCTCCACCTGCTTGAGCTTCACCACCTGCGATTTCCGGAGCACCTTCATTGCATAGTACCGCCGGGACCGCCTCGACTGACACAAAAACACGCGTCCAAAGGTGCCCGTTCCTACAAATACGAAAAAGAAGCGATTGTCCGTTACTGAGGTGCGGGCCATTCTGGGAATAGGGGATTCCAAAGCGGATTCATGAATACACGGTCCTCCAGGACCGTCCACCCCCACCCTCTGAGAAGCGCAAACAAAAAGGAGCGCAGACAATAACTCCCTCCCCCACGAGCAGCAGGATTGTCGGTGCCTTACCAAGAGTGTTGAGCAGCTGGTAGTCGTCCAGCGTGCGCGCGCTGGAGTCCTGGGTATCCGGTGACCATGGCCTGCTGCATCTCCATGTTCTTTGGCTTGGCAAACAAGTGCGGCTGCGCGTATGCAATCTGGTGCTGCGCTGGTTGAGGCTGGTTGCTGGGTGTCGCGGGAGTCGGCTGTCCGCTGAGCATCCCTTGCGGCTGCTGGTGGTAGTAGCTGAGGCCTGGGTGGCTGCTGCTTACGACCGGCACGGGGATTCCGCTGTGGTAATTATACGCACTCGCCGATTGTGCTGCCTCGCTCGAATTATCTTCTACCGAGACCCGCGAATACTTTGATAGGCGCTTTTCTCCTTGCTCGCTGCTCTCGGCGCTGCTCAGACGCCGCTTAGGTGCCGATGGGGTCCGCTCTGCGCGTGCTGCTGTGGGCGAGATGGGGTGCTCACGGGTGTTTTCACGCGGTGTCTCCACGTAGATGTGGTAGCTCTGTAACGCCGGCGAGTTCTTTGGCTGCACTCTGAGCGCGCTGGTGCCGCTGGACTGGTTGGTTGTTGCTGAGGAGCTGGTGGTGTCGGGTTGCTGTGTGCGCGTGGCTTTCAAGTGTGCGAGCTTTGCATTCAGGCGCCCAAACATTTGGTGGTGGAGCTTTGCAAAGAACCCCAATAGTGCGAAATAAAAAAGTTATGATATGGAAGAAGAGCGATAATGCGAATAGGTGTCGCTGGTCAGGCGGAGGAGAGGAGGGAAGCGCCCGTGTTTCTTGCCAATCTCTGAGAATTTTTTTGGGGAGGCAAGAGATGCCAGCTCGCTGGGAACAATAGTGGCTGTATAGCAATTCGTAAGCTCTGCCGCTTTATCTACAGCTGGACCGCTGCATAGAGGCAAGCTTGCCTCCCCCGCGCGCAGCAGCCCGGTCCTCGCCTTCTCCGCACGCAAAAGGCCCGAGCCTTCGGCATCATCGGGCTGTGTTTCGCCAATGAAACCCCCGCAATCCCTGGCAATTTCGGTACTCTGCAAGCCAAAACACAAGGTTCTAGCCTGTGCAATATCCCCCTTCCCTGTTTGCTGGCGGTTTTTCACAGCCAGTGTTTGCCCAGCCCTTTGTCGATGTCATCTGGCGCAGCTGCCAACCAGCAAGCCATCGGATTCGATAATAGTTTGCCCGCATGCATTATTAATGCCCGTCAGGCCCTTGCACGCTGCTGTCTTTTCTTCTTCAGTTTTTGTTCCTTCGCTGCTTTCCCTACTTTACATCCTTTCCCACCGCTTGTAGAAAATATGGCAAAGACCCGCTCAGCGCCCCACGCCAAGGCGCCACAGAATCCGCCAGCTGCCGACGCAGCGCCGGCATCGACATGGGCATGGACCAGCGCCAAGATAGCCGTGCTCGGCGCAGCTTGCATCGCCGCCTACATAGCGCGCGACCCGCCCAGCGTGCTTGGCTTTCAATTCGCAGCCGGGCGAGGCACCGGCGGCGCAGAGCCAGAACGTCGGGTTCATGGCAGCTGTGCTGAAGAAATCGCAGGGCCAGAACATCTGCAAGCCCGAGGGCTTCGTAATGGACACGTACAGCGACTTTGACTCAGTCGAAGCCCTGAATCGCCGTGTGTCCAAGCCATTGCGCAAGCTGATAGAGACAAAGTTCTTCCGCACGCTCAAGGTCGACCTGTACAAGCCGTGCGAGTTTTGGCGCACTGAGGGATCGTGCTTCCAGCGGGACTGCATTGCCCAACCGCTGGAGGACACGGAGGTGCCAGCGATTTGGCAGGCGTCGACTGTGGACCAGAACGACTTTGGCCCGTTCTTGGTAAGTTTGCTTGGAAACCAGGATACTCCTGGCCGGCTCATCATGGCACGCCACGTCGCATTGCAGGCAGTCCAATCACACAGGGCAAATCCATCCACCCGGCTTACTAATTTCGATCTGGCTTTTATTAATAGGGTGCGTCTCCGCGGCAGCACCGGCCCGAGTTCACCGACAAGGACTTCACCATCGTTAACGACGAGTCGTTCGGCGACGGGATCTGGCTGGACCTGGTCACGAACCCGGAGCGCTTCACCGGCTATGCGGGCGCCGGCGCCAACGCAATCTGGATGAGCATCTACCAACACAACTGCTTTGGCGTGCAGCCATATATCCAGGACACAGCCGGCGGCTGGGGCAGCCAGCTGGTGAACCTGGACGGCAAGGCAATGCCCTTTGTAAAGCCGCCGCCAAACCACCGCGAGCTGGTGCCGTTCCTGGTCAATCTTGCCGAGGAGGAGCGCGGAATTACGCTGCCGCAGGATGTGCCGCACGAGTACCGCATGTTCTACCGGGCTGTGTCTGGCCTGCACGCCTCGACGTCAACGCACATCTGCTCTGACTACTATAATGCCACGTCTGGCAAATGGGAGCCGAACCTCAACTGCTTTATCTCGCGAATCGGCGCCTTCCCCGACCGCCTGCAGAACATATACTTCAACTACGTGCTGCTGACGCGCGCAATCCAGAAGATGGCGCCGTACATTGAAAAGTACGACTACAAGATCGGCACACCTGCCGAGGACAAGATGGTCAAGCAGCTGGTGCCGCGTGTCCTGAAGGAGGTGAAGAAGGCCGGCCTGGTGTTTGACGACTCGGAGCTGTTCCTTGGCCCAGGCGGCAGCGCGCTCAAGGCCGAGTTCAAGGACAATTTCCGCAACATCTCGCGCATCATGGACTGCACGGGCTGCGAAAAGTGCCGCCTGTGGGGCAAGACCCAGACCCTGGGCATTGGCACTGCACTGAAGGCGCTGTTTTCGTACAAGGACAAGGCGTTCCGCAAGAGCTTCACCGCCGTGGACTTTAAGCGCAACGAGATCGTGGCCCTGATCAACACGTACTTCCAGTTCTCGCGCAGCATCGAGGCCATCGAGAAGTTCCGGGCCATGTACCAGGACCTGCTCACGGACTGGAAGGCGTCCAACTAGATCACGGACTGGAAGGCGTCCAACTAGACGGGCGGCGGCAAGTAGATAATAGCAAGTCGAGTAATTCCTCCCACCCCTTTGTACCAGTGCAACTTTTTATTCCCTTCATCCATTAAACTCCTCAATCCTATCCCCATAGCTTTGTGATGCCGATCGGGCTGGGCTGGGTAAGGCTGTGCCTGCCCCCCGCACATACGCCGTGGTTCGTAATATACTCAACTCGTCTCAACTCATATACAAAACATTTCTGAAATGGCTTCGTTGCTGGTCTCGCCTGCCGAACAGGACTATATCACACGCGGCGTGGAGAAGGGCATCCGCTGCGACGGCCGATCGAACCTGGACCGGCGCCAAGTGACCCTGCGCACCGACATGATCTCGCAGGCCAACGGAAGTGCACGCTGCCGCACAGGCGATCTAGGGCTGGGCACCGACGTGCTGGTTGGCATCAAGGCTGAAGTCAACACATGGCAGCCAGGCGAGCCCGAGGACCAGGGCTCAATCGTCTGCAGCGTCGAGTGCTCGCCGAGCGCCGCCCAAGAGTTTGAGGGCCGTGGCGCCGAAGACCTGAACGTCGAGCTGACGCAGCTGCTGGACCGAATTCTGAACGGCCCCCAGAGCGGCATTGATCTGCAGAAACTCTGCATCATCCCGAAGCAGGCATACTGGGTCATCCACATCGACGCGCTGGTGCTCGATGTTCAAGGGCAGCATTGTCGATACGCTGATGTGGGCGACGCGTGCTGCGCTCCTGTCGACAAAGCTGCCGCGTGTCGTAGTTGAGACCATCTCGGATGAGAACGGCGATACGCAGGCAGAATTTGACGTTGTCGACGACCCCGAAGACGTGGCTCCACTGGAGGGCGCCGATAACCTGCCCATCACCGTTACGTTCAACCAGATTGGAAAGCGCTATGTTCTGGATGCGTCGGAGCAGGAGGAGGCGATTACGCAGGCCAAGATCACCGTGGCCGTGTCCCCGAAGCGCGAAATCTGCGCTGTCCAGAAGGGCGGTGTTCTGCGTGGCTTTCCCGCCCTCGCTGGTGTCCTGAGATCCTGCAGACTGCCCAGCGCGTGTCGCAGGAGGAGCTGAAGCGGTTTGGACGCGCTGTACGCGGCGGCCAAGGCAGAGGCGGCACGGGGCGGTGCCGAGGCAAACACAGGCTCGACATTCCTCAACCAGTTTTGATTAGCTGATTAAATACATTCCGATCGATCGGCAGATCGCTGCCAGCAAGTGTGCGCGTTTTAGAAATTGCTGATTTCGAGGGACTGGCGGCTGCGAAGCGCTGTGGCAAAATCACATTGCAACGCGGGCCGCTGGTGAATCCGCCTTTCACTACTAGCCACCTGTTTATCACATCTAAAATGGTACGGCGAATCTATCGTGAATAACAGGCGGCTGAGCGGGGCTGAGCCAGACGCAGGGATGGATGCGGCAGGAAATTGGGGGAACGATTGGATTTGAGCTCTCCTGCAGTCTGGCCGAATTGGTGGATTTGGTGAAATGGCAGAGGAAGCCCGCGGAATTAGCTGGACCCCAAAGCGGTAGCTATGCGCAAAATAGTTGCAGTGAAAGAGTGACCTGAAGCAATTCGATTAGGCAGAGACACGAACCCCCCAGGCTGCCGCATTCCATCCTGCTCCAATGCGCAATACCGAAGAATGCGCGAGAACTTGCAATTTGGTACCGTGGCGCTAAAACATTCCTCGCACACTCCCCTGTTTGCGAATTGCACATTATATAGGCCAAGCAGATTCAGGACATCAAGAACTTCCTCGAGGTCACCCGCCGCAAGGACGCCCAGGCTGTCCGCGTCAAGAAGAACGGCAAGATCGTGAAGTTCAAGGTTCGCTGCTCGCGTTTCCTGTACACTCTCACCGTCGCCGACGCCCAGAAGGCCGACAAGCTCCGCCAGTCGCTTCCCCCAGGTAAGTCGCTCAAACGCACCCAGTCCTAAGCGGTATGCTGCAGCAATGAAGTGCATATATTCGCTAATCATTATCACCATTTCATATGTCTAGGTCTCTCGGTTGAGGATGTCCCCGCGAAGAACAAGAACTAAGTTAGCCCACGCCATAATCCTCGAGGGTTCTGACTGAGGTTTGCATTTTTCTGCCTTGTTCTGTGTTTTTTGCACGCTCTAAAAATACAAATCCTTCGCCTTTTTACATGGGTAAACATGCAACAAACCATCGTATACATGACATGTGGGACAGAGATATATATGCGCCACATACCCTTTCACAGGCAGATGGCGGACATTTGCCACAGCGGCAGTTTCGTGGATAGCGCCTGTCAGCGTATGGCCAAAAAAGGAAATGCGGGTCTATCAATGGCTTGCCATCGGTGTCTGTAGCTCTACATGCCAGATGCCTCGGATTTTTGTGGCACCGGGAAGCGATAGCAGTAGCTGCTCCGAGTGGGGATGCCCTATGATGTCATCCATCAATATAGGGAATATGCACATCAGTTCAAGCGCAAATAGAGCGTTCCTGCTATTAAATGTCCCCTTGCTACTAGCGCCAGAGGGACAAGGAGGGGACCCTACTTGCTTTTAGCGAGTGCCAATGAACCTATGCTGCTGTCATAGCTTAGCCACGCAATATGAACCACGCATTTCCAGCGTAGCACGCAGTAGCCTCAATAGTCGAAAGGCTAAAAGGGACCTTTTAATGAATACTTCTAATGACGTTGATGCAGAGTGTGTAAAACGGTTTGCTCAACAGCCAACCCGCCCCTATCTGGCGGCGGCTTCAGCAACCCAAGCCACTGTGGAAAACGAGGCGGTGGTTGGTTTCTGGGATGCTAATACTCTGCTATACTAAATGCTATAGCTTCAGGAGTGGAGGGTCAAGGCAGCTGGCGCTGGCAATGTTTGAAAAGCAGTTACACCCACGCCTTTATTTCCACTAGAAAGTGGGATGCGGCGAACCACCAAAAGATTCTTGTGCTTTTGGAGACTTTTCTCAAATGCATCTAGTAGAGTGGAGAGACGAGAGAGGGGAGGCGCCGCCCGCCATGAAGGATTTGAAAAGGGAGAATGTCGTTTTTTCGTCTCGCTGCTTAAAAGGTACTAAAGTGCAGCAATACGGGGAGCATTGGCGTCATTTTTCTTCTTTCTCTGGACCATACCTCGACACCTACTCCTTTATTTCGCTCTCTCCACCTAAAGTGTAGGGAGTTTTCGAAAGACGCACTACATATTTTATATATTCCATCGCTATTAATAACGGTATATAGACGGCTCTGTACTCTTCTCTTTTCTACACGCATAGACACCATATCATTCTCACGTATAAGCATTTGCACACACCATGTACAAGAAGGCGCTGTCCAGGCTCTCCAAGCTGCCCAAGATCGGCCTGACCAAGGGCTTCTGCATCACCCATCCCAATCTCAGCGCCAGCATCGTCGTGGTAGCTGCATTCATGGGCATGTTCTTGGGCTCAGGCGTGACAAACTCGTATGGTGTGTTTGAGGAAGAATACGAGAAGCTGTTCAGCACTGAAAACACCGGTGCCAGCAGGTCCATATCGCCGGCCATCGCTATCGGTGCTGTGCATGTCTCATCCAACTACCTGTTTACGACCATTGCTGGAGCGCTCTGCGAGCGGGTGGGCATGGGTCTGACGACGCTGGTCGGCGGAATTATGCTGTCTGCAGGCCTGTTTGCGGCTGGATTCTGCAGCGAGGTAAGAATAGCACGCTTCGACAGCGGTCTCTTGGGGAGTCCAGTGGGACACCGGGCTGTGTTTTGGAACGGGGATGTATGACAATATCGATATGCTATACAATCGTATCTATTGACAGCCACAATCTGCTTCATTGCGATATTTACTTTAGGTATGGCAACTCACACTGACGCAAGGCATTCTGTCGGGCGCCGGCGTCGGCACGGTATTCATTGTGGTCTCAACAATTCCAACGTCATGGTTCCGCAAAAAGCAGGGCTTCCTGATAGGCCTAGTGCACTCGGGCTCAGGCGTTGGCGGGCTCGTTCTCGCTCCACTCACGCGGTGGCTGATCAACCAGTACTCGCTGTCAAACGCAGTCAAGATCCTCGCTGTGATCCTCGGAATCGGCATCGCACTGGTCAGTGTTGGAATGAGCACTAAGCCAGGAAGAGCTCATCGAGGCAGAGGCCGCAGGCCGAGGAGCTCGAGAACTGCGAGATGGCATCCAATAGTGACGGGATGCTCGAACAGCAGCCTCCGATTCAGCAGCCTTGCTGCCAAAAAGCGCCACTCGGTGCGCAGCTTTGGTGTGCGCGACGTACACAGCACCAAAGGCGTCCTGCGGTCCAAGGAGTTCTGGTTCCTGAACGTGGCCGTGATGCTGGCGGAGGCTGGCTTTTATGTGGTGCTGTTCTTCTTGCCCGGTGTACTCGATCGGCATTGGCCTCACGAGCGAGCAGGGCGCCCTGATCACAGGTGTGGCGAATGGCGCGACGATCATCGGACGGATCACGATCGGATACATCGCCGATGTGGCGGGCAACGTCAACATGTTCTTCGTCACGCACATGCTGGTCACGATCTCGTGCTTCTTTGTGTGGTACCCGGCCAAGTCGTTCATGATTATGATGATATTTGCATGCGTGTTTGGGCTGTTTGCGGGCAGCCTGACGCCGATGGTGCCACTGTGCTCGGTGACACTGTTTGGCCAGAACGGACTGGCAAACAATGTTGGGTTGTTGGGGATTGGGATGGTGCTAACCACTTCGGCTGCCCCTGTCGTCGCCAGGGTCCTGTACGAAAAACTCGGACAGACCAGCAGTGGATACGGCACAGTCGCGCTGTTCTGCGGCGGCGTGTACTTGATCGCTACTCTAAGCATTCTGGCGCTGCGTATTGGGGTTTCGCGGAAAGTCTGGCTCAAGATCTAGTAGCTGGTTCCCACGCACATATTGCCTCTTTCCAGTTTCTAAAGAAATCTCATGTCCCTCTCCGCTATTGGTGGCATTGTGCTGCAGGTGCTGCTGCATGTGCGAGACATTGGGTGCAATGGCCAGTATGCATGGCGAGCCGGCGGCTGCTCCTGCCGGCACATGCGCTGGGCAAAGGCTGGCCTCGGAGCACAGACTATGCGCGAAATAAAAATATCCCCCGGGCCTTTTGCGCAATATAACTCAAAGAAGTCATCTGACTGCAGGGGGTCTTGAAATAGCCATGGGCCTGCAGGCAGGCGCAGCGAGGCCAAGACTCGTGCTTATTAATTGTCAAGCGCTGGCAGGGCAGGGCGTTTTGGCGACGCGTCTTTCCCGGGCTGGCCGGCGGGTGGGCGAGTGGAGTTGCCAAAAGGGTGCAGCAATAGGCCCGGCCTAGCACCGCACAATGAGGACAGATGAAAAATTTGCCCTCCCCTCTCCACAGTGCTCCAACTGCCAAAACAGCCCTTCTCGAGCGGGGGATCCCGTGATAGGCTGGCCATGAGGCCACTACAGATGACTAATTTTTTCGTCTCTGCCCAGCGGGAAATTCTCTGCTTTTGTCTCCCCTGAACTTTTTTGTTCTATTCAAATTTCCACACCTTTTTTGTTGCGAAACTATGCTATCATTTGCCCAGCCAATTCTCTCCAACTCTTTCTTGTTTGCCGAAATTACGTTTGTTCACCGAGTTAAAGCTATTGCCTCGCCCTTTATCCTGTGAGGACTATTGCCAACTGCGCTTTTATTATTCATTTTCGCGTCTGCGAGTGCTCCCTTATTATTGCCTATTATAGACCAGCGCTCGCTTCTTTTTTTCTTTCCAAACATCCCCTGCGACCAAACATACGCTTTTCTCCTTTTTCTCACATTTTATCCACTATTACTACCCATGAGTCAGTGCAGCACGCGTTCGGTTCTGGGACCCCGCTCAGCAAACTACAGCAACATCGACACACCGCGCGCGCGCCGCCGTTCTCTGCGCCGGCGTAATAGCAACACAGTGCCGGTTATTGCGGTCCCTATTACAGACGCTATGGGACGCGCAAAGGGGTCGTTTTTGGACAGCAGCATCCTGCCAGCGCCTGTAGTGTCGGCAGTGGATTTTATCGTGGACATGGCGCAGTTCTTTTTCCCGTCGCTGTTTCTGGCGTGCATTGACTGCGAGTGCCCGTCGCAGCGCATCGCCTTACCCGAGTGCCTGCTTGGATTAAAGAGGCCGTGGTTCAGTCCGAGTGCCAGCAGCGTGTCTGACGAGCCCGGCGACACCTTTGGGTTCGATCACAATCGGTGTGCAACGTGCGCTTGTCAGTGCCAGTGTTGCATTAGCCGGTACTGTGCCGAGTCAGCGACGGCGGCATCGTTGGATGTTCCGGAGCCTGGTTTGGCGTGCCAACATCGGCACCAACACAGTTGCTGGTCTCAAAGGCGTCAGCCGGGATGTTGTGGACGACACGCTGGGCTTGGTTGGCGCTGCGATGGCCTGCCCCCCGCCGTACGAGCAGCAACAGCAGCAGCAGAGGTATTATCAGCAGTCCCGAAAAAATCAGCGACAAGATGCTCATCCACGATGACCACGCCCAGGTGGCTGAAGGTGGCGGCGCTCAGAGTCACATTGAGAATTCGCGCCGTGCAGCAGCGCCAGTGGCGTCGGATATCTCGGGCCCCACGCATGCTGGCGACAATCAGCTGGCGTACATCCAGAAGCTGGAGCGCCGGATCCGCAAACTGGAGCTGGTCAACCAGCTGGTCGAGGACGCATACTACGAGGTCAGCCAGCAGCTGGCGGCTGAGCGGCAGTCAAAGATTTTCATGCGCAAGGTGATGACCCTGCAGCATGACCAGGACATGGAGACGCTGGTGAAATCCCTGCAGGAAAACATGGCTGCTGCCTCAGATGATGAGGATGGCAAGCACCCGGCCTTTGTTATCCCTGGTAGCGGCAGCGATCAGGAGTTTAGCGACACCGACAGCGCCAGCTTCCACGTCAAGCTTGGCTTCCAGATGGAGCGTGGCAGCAAACCCGCCAGCTCGAAAAACGCCACCGCATCTGCCTCTGCTCCACTCGTCTCCGATTTTGCACACCACCTCCGATCTGTCGCCGCCGCCATCCATCCGCCGCAGCGCCTCTGACAGCACGTTTATGTCATCTGCATCCAGAAAGGTTATGCTGCCCGGCGACCTCGGCATTGACTTCCTTACCACTGCTTGGGAGGTGGATGAGGAGGACAGCGACGTCGATGTCCAGTTCGACCAGCCTGAGAGCCAGCTCGAAGAAGCCGTCACCGACGACAACGACGATGCCTGGGAGAGCGAGGAGTCCGAGGACGACTCGGACATCGACGAGGATGATGATGATGATAATGCCCACGAGCTACAGATCGAGTTCATGTCTGTCCCTGCCCATGCCATTGATGCCGAGTCCAGTGACGATGATGCCGATACCGAGGAGTCTGACAACGAGTCTGAGGCATCCGAGGATGTTGACTCGGACGAGGATGAAGACAGCCACGACATCACAATCTCGTTTGAGGGCTTCCACCACGATCCCAGCACCGGCGAGGATGCTACCATGGAATGGGAAATACACTCTGAGGGCGAGTCGGAGACCACCGACAGCCGGCGCTACTCGATATCGGATGACGAGGCTCTGAGCGGCAGCGACTTTGACTCTGTCGACTTTGGAGCCCCTCCCCCTGCCGTGCTGGCTACCCCGCGTGCGCGTACTCCAATTTGGCGTGCTGCGGCTTCTGAGGTCGAAAGCAGCGATGAGGCGGAGCTGTCTGATGATGGTGCGAAGGCTGTTGACCCAGTCAAGGCCGTCATCGACCGCTACTATGCCCGCACCGGTATCCTCGACCTGGCCGCGGACATCGACGACATCACTATCACCGAGGACGACTCGGAAGGCGAGGCTGAGTCACCCGACGAGGACTTTATCCGTCGCCACACTCAGCGCCAGCGCGAGCAGTCGCAGTCGCAGCCGCAGTCCTCAGCTGGCGATATCATGGGCATCACCGAGGCCGACGGCAGCGTCCAGGAGCGCATTGCGACGCTGCCTGTGGACCAGCGCATCGCAAAATTCATCTGCCGGGCGTCATCACACCTGCTGCAGGGGGCTCGCGGCGGGCTCAACCCAGGGTTCATGATGAACAATATCCAGGAGCTGGCGGCTGAGTTCGGCTCGACTCACGAGTCTGTGCTCTGCGCCTTTATCGAGTCTCTGTACCGGCTTGTCGAGTCCACCGCTGACTACTCGGCCAGCGACGCAGTCGCAAAGGCTGTCGCCGATGTGCAGGAAGCTGCCGCGTCTGTCGCTGGCACTCGGCCTTCGGCTCTGTCAAAGAGGGTAGCGCGACGAGATCGGGTCGCCGCTGCAGGCAGTGATGCGCATTGTCAAGCTGTTCCACGCATTTATCGTCAGGCAGAGCGACCAGGACACAGTGCTGAGGCAGCTGGAGCGCCTGTCGCTGGCCAACCAGCGGGCGCGGCTAGCCAAGCACGCCGTGCTACTGCGCATCATGTACGAGTCCGAGCTCATTGACAAGAGCCCGATCGTGCAGTGGTACGAGTCGCCCGAGTCATCCGACGGCGAGGACGATGCGCTGGCAGCCGAGATCCGCGAGCATGCCTCGCCACTGATTGACGAGATCTCGAGCAGCGACGAGCAGCTCCATTTCAGCAGCATGCCAAATCTGTCCAGGGCTGGTGGCGCGCTCGTGCACCGGCAGCCTGTCGCCGGTCTCGGATGAGAGCACAACGCTGAACTCGCAGTCGTCGGACAGTGAGAGTGCGCCGAGCGGCATCATTCACGACTTTGGCGTCATGCACTCGAATGGCTCGGGAATGCTTGATGCTCACGCCAGCGGTACGTTGGACGCTGCGCGGTCATAACAAGCACTTGCACCGCCGGCATCATCACCACCATGCTCGCCACCTGGCAGCTGGCATCGACTCTGCGGACTGCCATCAAATCGTCAAAGAAGGTCACCTTTGTTGTTGGGTAAACGCATCTCCTTATCCCGTCATCTTTCTTTTACTTGTAACATACTTCACAATTCGATTTTTTATACATTGCAGCATAGATGTATCGTTCAAATTGCAGTGAGCCTGCGCTATGTTTGATGCTCTACATGCACTGCAACATGAAATGTGAGCGTTTAGCACCTCATGGGCAATCTATATGTCTGTGGGTGTGAGTCACATCGCTACCTGCGCCTTTAAGTGCATATGTTCCTGGATCTGATCCACCAATTAGAATTAGGATGTATATGCGATGTAGGAGCCCCTGCAGGTGGTGCGCTACTTTTGAGGCTGCTAGCAGTCTATGTTCTTGCTGGCACCGAGCGATCTCCAAAAAGTACAGCATGTTTGTATCCGAGGAACGAGTATATACTTGCAATGCTAGCTGAGATATGCAGATTGGAAAACATGTGAAAAAAAAAAGCCTTCCTCTTGAATCCTTTTCTTCAACGCTTTACCTCAAAAGCAGAGGCTCTCTTTCCTATCTGGTGCTCAATTCCCATCCTGTGAATCATTCAAAAAGCTGCTCTTGATTGTAGAAAGGCGTGCATGAACCCTAGGCTGCACCTACCCAAGTCATGTAAGCAGCCGGTCATATTTGAGCACCGCTCTGTCCCCTATGCAACGGACACAAGTACCATGAGTCTCTCTGGTGCACAGGTGTTAACAGGCTCATCAACAGTGTATATGCCGACGAGATTACCTACATCCTAGTTATCATGGAAAACGAGCAGTGCCGCTGCAAATCACCAATTCCGAAGTTGCTCAATATGCTCCATCTAGAGCTATTCGACTGGAAGCAGCATCTGCAGCCTCAAGTTCATTGGTCCTGGCATCTTCCAGCGCGGTGCCAGTATATCTGACAGGGATATCGTTGAGCTGCAGCCTTGTTCAAGATGCAAAACTTCTGGCTTTGATAGACCTTCGCACTCCACTCAATCTGAACCTGTTCTACACCATGCTGTGTGCGGCATACGAGCCACTGCTGATTGACATTTAGGAAGTATTATTTAGAAAGTATTTTTAAGGAAGTATTTTTTAGGAAGTATTCCCTGCTGCTCCAACCTGCCCTTCTGACCTGCCTTTCCATCATTCTCCCGCATACTGTGGCAGCTTGAGCCCCACGAAGCGTACTTGCAAACTATTTGTAGATTGCCAGGGTACTCTGTCAGACACCTGCGCAAGGCCAAACGACTGCGCATAACGAACGGCGTCAAACTCCCAATAGCAGCCTCGATCCTCAGTTCCCAAGCATTAAACTGGCGCTTGTTTTACTCTCCAATCTCATACGAGGATGTCTACGAGCTGTTCCACCGGCATCTGCTAAAAATATTAAACTATTATCGAGGACCTTCAAGGACTTCAGTTGATCAATCCGAGGATAGAGACCGGTGGGACGACATTAAAGGTCATTACCATGGTATACGGTACCTGGCCTGTTCGACTGCCACGCGGCATTATCAACCAATTATTCAGATGACCGTCAAATTCCATGGATGCTACATCGGTAGGAAACTCGATACCGTTCTCTGGTTGAATAGCATGGGTCGTGCTGATAAAGCTGATCATCGACCTGAATCCGGGCGATCTGCACAGACTTTCAGTGCTCATTAGACGCCTCCCTCTCCTATGGCATCTCGACATCCTCCACTAGACTACTATAGCAGCAAGAGCATGCGAGCACAACTGGCATCCTGAATGCGATAAAGGGAGCCCAGCAGAAGGCAGAGGTGAGAATGCTCAAGGACTGCAAACATTGTCGAGTCGCGTGTCGGCTGTCGCACCAAAATTTGCCGATGCAGAACCACAGGTCACCACTTTATCTGTCCTTCAGAGATACTGTCAGGAGCGCTATGGCAATAACAGGCAGGCAGCAAATTACCCCCCACTTCCACTGCCACTCGTCCAGCCCAGATCTGCCTGCGGATATCCCTGGCCTACCACCTCAGTAAACAACTTAGATGCCCTGCCATCGCAATGTCTAGCAATGTTGCAGTTGCTAAGGTCCTCGAGAACATCATCCTACGATCGCCTTGCCTGGAGTACATTACTGCACCGGCAGCCTGCGTCCGCCCTGCAGTTTTAAACAATAGTCCTGAACGTAGAGCAGTAAGGCAAAGGAGGTGGTGAATGGTGAGGGGCGTCGTGGAAGAATTCCGAACCTGGTGGGGAGTTTTGTTGAAAGAAAAGCTCTTCAGAGCAGCAGCGATGCTGTTGGCAGTACACTGAATATCTCTGTCTCTCATGGAGTCTTTACTATCTACACAACTTCTTCAAACTATACATATCTGTGATATACTAAGTGCTATGGATAGCCGCGTCAAATTGGACAGCTAGTGGTTTTTTAACCGATATGATGACCGATTTTAATCTTGTATATATAAACTCACTCAATATGGTATTGTAATGCTGGTTAAATATATTTTTTAACTGAGTGCCTACCGTTTGTTATATCTGTTTACACTATGAGACATGGCCTTGTAATCTGGAGAGTGAAATGCCGTAGTGTGGACTGCACACTATTGTCAGAGAAATGGTAGCAAACATGGCTCATTTACACATCTGGAGCCTTAGCGCTTATTCGCAAACTAACAAACTGCCAGTGACCATTAAGTGAATCGCCTAAATAGTGCACCTTATTCGGGGCTATCTATCGGCGGCTTACATATTTAGAATACCAGCAAGAAAATCTAACTTTGATCAATGTACATGGTAGTCGTCGTCACTGGTGGTGCTTATCCAGCAGTATGATAGGCATTTCTCTCTAGCCCAGAATAGTACCTGCGGTAATCATGTCCTACCAACGCATTTTCCGCGAATACGATACACGCACTCAAATGAGCCTTACTAGTCCTGCTCGTCGTCAACCACCGTTCTCTAGTTCATTCTTCTACTTCATCTGCATATGATGGTACTCAAGAAGGAAGCGTAGCCATCCAAACGGCGCATCAAAAATAAGCGAAAGCAGAGATACTCTACTAGCAATGGTGATTGAATGAACAGTGGTGATCTATCACCTTATACAGCAGTGAGCTAGTATGTGATGACAAGTGCCCTGCACAACCAGGAGTCGTATGCAGGCCAAAGCTAGTTGTAGTGATCACAGTTCTATCAGCCAAAACTTGCATTACTTTGAATTTCATCCATAACTGTTAGCGTTATCGAAATTCTGAATATAGCAGCTAGTCGATGCTTGCAGGCTATTCAGCTCCCATTTGCGCTCCTATCTGCTTTTCGTCCTGTGCTTACAAACGATGATCCGCCAGCCTCCAGCCGCAATCAGCATAGCAAACAAGGATGTCGAGGAGCTGGCCGCGCTGCAGAGCCAGGTCCTTAAGGACAAAGTTTGGGCAGGCCAAGCACGTGTACGCCGACCAAGAGCAACACCACGCCAATTCGCCGCCCCGCCGAGCTGCCGCGCGATGGACACCGCGAGGAGCGGATTCCGACGCCAACACATGACGCTCCAGGAGCGCATTGGCCTTGTGAGCAAATCCGGAAACCGCGATTGGCAGTAATTGGCGAGCCACAGACTGGCAGAGCCGGCGAGCCGGGCCAGCCGGGCAGTGACGTCGCGAGTTCTGCAAACATTGCATCCGCTTTTCCCAACAGACCCGTTTAAAAATCTTGCTCAAGGTATTAGTGGGCGTCCGAGGGAAAGACGACAAAGTGCTCCTTCTTTCCTTTTGCCCGAGTTTGCTCGTTTTTATTAAGCGCTTTCTTGACACCTTCGAGTTTGGCTATAAATTTCGGTGTTCGCATTATCGCAGCTGCAATTGTGCCTCAAACACGCGGCTAGAAAAAATTTTTTTATTCATTTTTAGGTAGCTCGACCGCTTATTGGCCTCCTCCGTGCCGAATTCGCTGTTTCGTACTTCCCCCTTCACCCGTACAATAGCTGCGCGTGCAAACCGACAGGTTGCGCAACAACCTCTCTTCCTTCCTCGCTCAACCACTTTTTTTTTTAAAAACGCGTCAGCGTATGTCTATTTCGTCCACCACGCGCTCCGTCACACACTAGAAAACAACCTGGCACTATCTTATTCCCATTTTTCTGTTATTATTCCTGACTCCCATTTCGGCGCTTTCTCCTCTCCCTTCTTTACCCAAACATGGACAACAGCGACTCACGTGCTTGGAGCAAAGGGTCGTCGTCGTCGTCGACACCCCAGCAGCATAATCCTCCGCCTACTGGTTCACAGCAGCAGCCGCCACAGCAGCGCGGGCTCCCGCCTCCAGCTGGCGCTAGCACAGCACAGCAGCAGCCCAGATACGCTGGCGGTCCTCAGAACCAGCTCGCGCCCATCCAAAGGTAAGCATAGTCTGGCTTCGGTTTTTAGCACTGGCCAAGCGCTGACTGTCCCGCGTAATAAAAGTCCGGCAGCAGCGCCTTATGCTGACGCCCTCTAAAGCGGCAATCGGCGGAATGGGGGTAGGGGAGCAGCCGTTGTTGATCATTTTTATCTCATTGCAGTAATCGCGTGATACTTACTAATCATGCCTCAAGCGGGTCCCGCTCACTCGCTCCTTTTTTGTGATAACACTTCATAGACCAATGTCGCCAAAAGCCGATACAGCAGCATCGCGTCCGTACATGCCGCCGATATCGCACTCTGGTGCTCCTGTGGGGGCCAGCCGCTGGTGTTGCAGCCAGCAGTGCTGCTGCAGCCAGTGGCGGGATCGCAGTAACTGCACAGGTACCGCGCCCTACAGCGCCGTATAATGCTGGAGGCTCGCTGCCGCCTCCACAGACACTGGGACAGAGCCCTGCAATGGCATCGGCTTCTGGTAGTGCTACAGGGGCAGGCGCTGCTGCCTTCGCTTCCGCCTATCAGCAACACCTACGCCCGGTCGCCATCGTTCACCAGCACGCAGGCATCGGCGATTCCCAGGCATGAAGAGCACACCTGGCGCGCAGAGTCTGCCGCACCCGGCGTCGTCTCCCGATCCACGGGTCAGCAGCGCCTGCAAACTCGAGCGCTTATGCTTCGGGCAGCCAGTCGCAGGTGCAGTCGGGTGCGCGTATATCGACGCCTGCAGGCGGAATTGTGTCACCAAGCGCACGCGCTCCGTCGTCGGCGCAGATGCCGCTGCCCCAGCAGGCTTCATCAGTGCCGCCAGGAAAGCAGATGCAGTCGCCGATGGTGCAGCGTACCGCATCGGTGCAGAACTCGCCAATTCCTCCTATGGTCCAGGCCTCGCCGAGAGCACCAGCCATGAGCACGCCTCAGGCTTCATCAGGGGCCACATTCTCAGTTGTATCCAGGCAGCCTTCCAGCACTGCAGCTGCCTCTGCGGTCTCGACAAATACTGGCAACGGACCGGCTGCTGCTGTGACCCGAGTTGCGCCATCGGTCTCTGCACCCTCAGGCAACCGCAAGCATAGCAGCTGCGCAGCCTCAGTCGGCTGCAGCCACTGCAAACCCGCAGCTGTCTGGTGTCCACCCAAGCGATTGCACCTGCAGCAGCAACTGCTACGTCAGGAAACGCGGAAGGAACGCAGGCTACATCAGGTGCAGCAGCGGATGCCGCTGGCCGCCCGCTGAACGTACGTGATGCGCTGAGCTATCTGGATATGGTAAAGTCGCAGTTCCAAGACCGGCCCGAGGTGTACAACCAGTTCCTGGACATCATGAAAGACTTCAAGAGCCACACCATCGACACACCGGGTGTCATTGAGCGTGTCTCGCGGCTGTTCTATGGCAGTCCCGGCGCTGATCCAGGGATTCAACACGTTCCTGCCGCCTGGGTACCGCATTGACGTGTCTGATGATCCGAACGAGGGCGTGCGTGTCACGACCCCGAGCGGCTCAGTTCTCCCAGACATGCATCCGGCGACAGCCCACTGCCCAGCCCCAGAGCCCTCTGGCGGCCTCGCACTCGCAGTCCCACCAGTACGGCGCGCAGCGTGGCCCTTCGCGTGAGCAGTACCTGTCTCGCCAGGGCTCGGCATCGGCCAGCGGAACCACTCAGCAGCATGCCCATCCGCAGACGAGTCTGGCAGCATACGGTGGTTCTGGTGCTGCGGTGTCTGGAAATGGAGCCCAGGCGGCAGCGGCAGCTCGGGCACCCAGCCAGGTTGCCTTCGCCGAGCATAGGAGCCAATGTGCACCACCCGCGCCAAGCGCCGATGGAGTTCAACCACGCGATAAACTACGTGAACAAGATCAAGATGCGCTTTTGCAGCCGAGCCCGACCACTACAAGGAGTTCTTGGAGATCCTGCAGACGTACCAGAAGGAGTCGCGGCCGATCCAGGACGTCTACTCGCAGGTGCAGGTCCTGTTTGCGTCGGCCCCTGATCTGCTCGATGAGTTTAAGCAGTTTTTGCCTGATACCTCTGAGTCGGGAGGACAGGGGGCTGGGGGCGGCATAATCGGTGGGCATGGCTCGGCTGCATCGCCTGCAGCTGGCCACGCCAGATCTGGCAGCTCGCTCCTTCAGGGGCAGCAGGGGGTTGCCGGCAGAGCTGGCGGCGATGCTGTTGCTAGCAGCCGCCTGCCACCAGTGGGCAACTTCACCCCGACTGGAGCTGTGGGCCATGTGGTTGATCCGTATGCCCAAGCTGGCGGAGTGGCTAACTCGGCAAGCTGCAGGTGGAGCAGCGGCATCTGGGACTGGCCGTAAGCGCCGCAATGTGATGGGCAGCGGCAATGCGCAGGTGCCTGGTGCTACCGCGTCGAAGCGTCGCAACAAGGGGAGCAAGCATGAGAGCAATGCACTGCCGGTGCCAATGGGCGATGCGGCAGCAGCTGGTCTGTACGGACAGGCGATGCCTGACGCCGCCATGATCCAAATGCCTCAGAACCCGGCCACAGCGACGTCGGACGAACTTGTGTTCTTTGAGCGTGTCAAGCGGTTTATCGGGCAGCCAGCTACATACAACGAGTTCCTGAAGCTGCTGAACATGTACAACCAGGAGGTGCTCGATGCCAAGGGGCTGATGGACCGTGCAGCGAGCTTTATCGGTGATGACCGTGAGCTGATGGCGTGGTTCAAGCAGTTTGTCGGGTACGACGAGCGGCAGCAGTCGGTGGAGGACAGCCGGTCGAGCGACGAGGCGATCATGGAGTCGCTTCTGGGCCCTGAGCCCCAGGCGTACCTGACACCCGAGGATGCAGCCAAGACGCTGCGGCCAGTGCGGCAAAAGGCTGATCTGACAAACTGCAAGTCGTACGGCCCTAGCTACCGCCTGCTGCCACCGTCGGCAACTCAAGCAAAGTGCTCTGGCCGCGATGCAATGTGCTACGAGGTCCTCAACGACAAGTGGGCGTCGCATCCTACGTGGGCATCGGAGGACACGGACTTTATGCACCATAAGAAGAACTGCTACGAGGATGGTCTGTTCCGCACAGAGGAGGACCGGCATGAGATGGATATTGAGATCGACACCAACCTGTCTGTGATCCGGACAGCTGACGCCGATCGCGCAGCAGATCGAGAAGATGGACCCCGAGCAGGCGATGCAGCTAACATTGCCCGAGAACTTCTGGGGCATGTCCGAGGCACTTCCGCGGCGAGCACTGCGCAAGGTGTACGACTCGCACCGGGCGCTGGAGATCATCAAGGCGATGCACACGCATCCGTCGGTGGCAATCCCGATCGTGGTCAAGCGGCTGAAGCAAAAGGACGAGGAGTGGCGGCGGCAGCGCCGCGAGTGCTCCAAGGCATGGCGCGAGTCTGATGCCAAGAACTTTTACAAGGCGCTGGACCACCAGGGACTCACATTCAAGTCGACGGACCGCAAAAACATCTCGCCCAAGCACCTGGTGCAGGAGATTGAGACTCGGCGGCGCGAGCAGCAGAACCTGGCTGATGAAGGCGGAGCGCGGGCGCAGAGCCGCAAGGTTGCGTCGGCGCTGCGGCACCGGTACCAGCTGGAGTACAAATTCACAGAGCCCACAGTCATTGCCGATGTAATCAATGCGATTCTGGCGCATGTGGGCAAGCCGAACTCGCAGTTCGTCGCGTCCGAGAAGGAGTCGATGGAAAAACTGTTCCAGGAGCTGTTTGACGGGCTGCTGGGCGTCGAAAAGTCGGCAGATGACTCCTCGACCGAGAAGCAGCAGCAGCAGCAGCAGAAGTCGTCGTCGGCAGTGACAAACGGAGCGTCGTCGGCATCGCCGTCGCCCGGTGCTGACTCAGGCAAGGCCAATGGCAAAGGTGGCGACAAAGGCAATGACAGTGATGGCGTGGCCATGGACGTTGACGGTGCCAAGGAGGAGGGCAAGCCGCAGCAGGCAAGCGAGGAGGGCGGCAGCAAGCCGTCAACGCCTGGGCTGATTTCATCGCGGTCGTGGATCCAGCTTGGCACGAATGGCAAGCGTAACGCAGCGGCAGAGGCAGAAGCGGAGGCAGCCAAGCAGGCGTCAGGTTCTAAGAGCGTGTCGCGGGCGTTCTACACCAACAGCAACTACTACGTGTTCCTGCGTCTGTTCCAGATCCTGTATGATCGGTTCAACGTGCTTCGCGAGATCGGACCCGAGTGCCAGAAGAAGGCGCAGTACGAGCAGCAGATGGCGTCAGCGGCGAGCAAGCTCGGGATGCGGCCGCAGCCGTCGGCACTCCAGGCGTTTGACCTGCAGACGACGGACTACTACACGGTGTTCCTGGACCTGGTGGACCAGTACCTGCAGGGCCAGCTGGAGACAAGCCAGTTTGACGAGGCGATGCGGGTGATGTACAACACCAGCGCGTACCGGATTCTGACGGTGGACAAGGTGGTGCAGGCGATTGCCAAGAACATGCAGCACCTGATCAGCGACAGCAAGTGTGTGGACATCCTCGAGCTCTTCACAACGCTGCCAGCGGTGCACGAGCAGAGCCCGCTGCGGTCGCACATTGCATACCGCATGAAGGTGGAGACGCTGGTGGGGGCGGACGATCACGTGTTCCGAGTGGATTACATCTACGACGCACGGACGATGACGATCCAGCTGCTGCGGCGCGAGGATATCACGCTCGACGAGGCGGTGACGGAAGAGGAGCGGTGGGCGTACTATGTGGACTCGTATGTGCTGTTTGAGCCCACGGAGGGCGTGCCACGGTTGCAGCAGGCGCGGGCGCGGCCGTATCTGCCGCGGCACCTGCACGCAGACGAGCGCGAGTATGTTGTGAGCTCGCGGTCGAACCTGGAGATCAAGATTGCGGTGAACACGTACAAGCTGTGCTTCCTAACAGGCACCGAGGACATTTATATCAACCACACGCGGCGTGCGGTGTTGGCAGACGACGCGGCCAAGAGAGCGTATGCCGAGCAGTGGGCAGGCCGCACTGAGAGGTGGCAGAGCTGGGTTGCGCGCGAGCACGAGGCAAGCGGCGCCGAGCTCGTCGAGTGGTGGAAGTAGGGGGTTGCTTTTTCTTTCTCATTTTTATCAATGCATTTCAGTACTTTGGTTCTAAAAAGAGGCCAGTGTGGGCAAGTGGGCGGCATTGGACACACGTGCAGACCTGGACATGGTCTGGCTTTCATAGATGCTTATTAGCCCTCTCCGCACAGCCGTGGCAGGAGGGATAATGATATCCAATCGGCGGCAGCATCTGCTTGGCTGCCAGGCATCACAGGCTGGTGGAGGTTTGGAGGGGTACAGGGCGAGGAATAGCCAGCTTGGCATTGCACTCTCTCCTCTCTGTTCTACACAGTTTTTATGTCTCAGTCGCATTCATGGCGTTAGCGCAAACAGCATTATTTTTTGATTCACAGAAACCGCAGCCGCCAAAAGAGATAAAATTTACAGAATTCTGTTGAGGCATATATCCACCCTTTTTTCCTCCACTTCCAACGCATTTTTTATTTCGAGCACCTGAATTGCCGCTTCCCTTGCATCCGAAGCGACCAAGACCTTTGTCTGCACACTTGAGCCGTTTTCTACCAGGACACCGGCAGGGAAAAGCAAGATAGCAGGAAGGCAAGCGAGACAAGACGACTTGACAGGGCTAGAAGCTGACTTTCTCAACACACGAAAGGCAGCCAATATCCCTGAGAGCACACACCTCTAGTTAGTGTATGGCCACAAGCGATCCAGGGCCACAATCGCGCACACAGGCGGCGCTCGGCTTGGACTACGATGGCGGCGACAGGCTGTGGGAGTCGCTGGGGCAGATGCAGATCAGCGAGGAGGCCGCGACGCCGGTGAGCGGGACGGGACAGACAACACCGGCGGGCGGCACGTGGGACTTTCTAGCAAACGCTGCGCAGATGTTTGACCAGCGGGCAGAGCTAAGCCATGTGACAGCGTCTGACATCGGGCGCGGCTTCGACCTCCAGGGGTACCGGCGGACCGGGAACGAGCTGCAGCACCGGCTGTACATGACATACCGGCGGCAAGTGTACCCGCAGACGCAGGGCATGCCATATAACGTGATGGACGCGCGCAAGCGGGCGGTGTGCGTGGACAATTCCGCGCAGTTCTTCCGGTTCCGCGGCTCGGCCATGGGTGAGAGTTTCCGGGGCCACGTGGGGCATTTCCAGCTGCGCGACCTGCTGTGGGCTACCAGCGCGTTCGACGTGTTCTATCCGCACGCAGACGGGATCCGGAGGTGGGATCCGGGACGGGGCGTGAGCGAGTTTGTAGTCACGTGGGACCAAATGCCTGGGGCATTCAAGACCACGGCTCTGTGCGCCGACCGCGGTGTGGTGTTTGCAGGCGACTGGCAGGGGCGGTACTGCGTCAAGGCCCTGGGCGGCGATGTAGCAACTATGGCAGCGGCAGAGGCCATGGATAGCGTCAACCACGCGTCACCTGCGACGGAACCGCGGTGGGCCGCTCACCGTATCTGTATCGCACAACAACGGCATGGTGCGGCACGTTGATGTTGCGCGGCTGGCGGTGACCGGCATGCGGCAGTTTGCGTGGGCGGTGAACTGCACGGCGACAGCTCCCGACGGCTCGCTGCACTGTGTGGTGGGCGACTCGACGGAGTCGCTATTGGTGGACAGACGGACCACAGGCGTGGCGGCGCGGCTGGCCGGCCACCTGGACTATGCGTTTGCATGTGCCTTCAGCCCCGATGGCATGTGTGTGGCGACGGGCAGCCAGGACATGACCGTGCGGCTGTATGATGTGCGGTGGCCTGCAGAGGCCGTGAGTGCGGCTGGGCATCTGGGCGCCATGCGCGTGGTGAAGTTCAGCTCGTGCGGACGCTTCCTAATGGCTGCCGAGCCGGCCGACTATGTTCATGTGTATGATGCGCGGACACTGCAGAAGGCGCAGGATATCGAGGTCATGGGCGAGATCGCTGGGGCGGCCTTTGCACCAGACTCCCAGAGCCTGTTCTTTGCTGTGTCCGACCCGATGCACAGCAGCGGCCTGGTCGAGTTTTCCGACACGGCTATGCCCGGCAGCGAGTGTCTGGGCGGCGTGGTTAGCACAGATCTCCTTCTGTAACATTTCCCCTGCAATCTTTCCTAAGCATGCTTGCCACAACATGTATATTAAAAAAAAAAAAAGCAGGTCCTAGAGCTTGGCGAGGTATGTGCCTGGGTAGATGTCGCCGGTCAGCAGCGTGATGACGGTCTCACGGTACACCTCCTGCTTGATAAGACGGAGCACCTTGCCGCCATTCCTGCCCTTGGGAGCATAGGCCTTTGCATACTCGACCGCCGTGCTCATCAGCTGGTCCTCGGCAACCGCCCGGTCGACAAATCCCGCCGCCACCGCATCCGACGACTTGAACCTGTGGCCGGCCAGCGCACACTCGCGCAGCACATTAGGCGCATTAATCTTGCACTTGACAATGGCCGCCATGCCAGGCGACAAGGGGATGCCGATATCCACCTCGTTCATGGCCATCCAGCCGCGGTCCGCCCGCATCACCCGGTAATCGTGCGCCAGCGCAAACATGCAGCCGCCTGCAAACGCATGGCCGTTTATCGCCGCCACCGTAGGCAGTGGGAAGGTCAGCAGCTGCGCCAGCATCGCCAGGTACGGCTTGTAGAACTTCTCGCCCTGCTCCATCGCCGCCTCGATCGCCAGCCCGTTGCTGTAGAACTTGCCCGTGCTGGTTGTGATCAGGGCGCCGCCGCGCGCCTGCTCGGCCTCGGGCAGGTCCGCCAGCAGTGCTTCGACGTGGTCCAGGGCCTTGGTGATTTGGTGTACGAACTCGAGCGTGAACCGGTTCTCCGCGCCGTTGTTCAGGCGCAGGAGAAAGAGCGTCGGGAAGGACGGGTCCGGGGTTGTCAGCTCGACTAGGGGCAGGTCAATAAGCGACATAATTGTGATGCTTGGGAAAAGATAGTTTGTGAGGAGAGAGGGAGGGTTATCTTGCGATGCATGGCGTGTTGGCAGAGCCGTTTTATAGCCATTGCCGTGGCAGTGAATGCACTACCAAAAGTTGTCCAACCACGTGAATCCCGGGCACTTTGATTTTCACGGGCCTTACAGACTCCCGCCCCGGTCAGCGCCCTTCTACCAGCGCGGAGTAAGGGGCTGTCCGCTTTCTCTCTTGCCCCTGGAGCATATGCATGATTGTCCTGGGCTGACTCGTGCCAGCATGCGCTTGCGTGAAGGAACGAAAAAGCAACCTTGTATATAGTCTGTGTGGAGGTTGACTCGTTTTTCTCATGTGTGAAATCCTGTCCCATTTGTCATCCATATTGGCATGTGCCGTCAAATACAGAGCAGGCCAATGCCGCTGGGCAGCACATGTCCGTGCATAAAAAGCCATTCCATATCCGGATTTCACCCTTTCACCCCCTCACACAACACATTAGAGCATGGGACTTTCAGACAACGAAGGCAATGGTGGTCGGCCAGAATTCTACCATGACGACGACGACGACGTCAAGCCCACTGTCGCGCCGGTCGATGATCTGGTAGAGGACGACATTGACGACCTAGACATGTCTGAGCTTGGCAACAAAGTGTGGCTAGTGAAGGTGCCCAAGTTCCTGGCCGACAAGTGGCGGGACGTCGACGGGTCGGGCCAGGAGATCGGCAAAGTGCGTATCTTTGACAAGCCCGACGCCAAAGGCAACAGCATTTCGCTGATTCTGCCCGATACCGCCGAGAACAGCGAGATCCCGAAGGACTACAACCTCCGCGTCGTCAACAACCAGGTCCAGAACATGCTTATATTCTCCGAGCTGCGCGACCCCAAGGAGGTCCTGAAGCCCACATCGACATTGGCCAACAAGCCCGTGCCGACCGCCCTGACTGGCACAATCCACCACGAATGCACTGTGACGCCGACCTTCAACGAAAAGTACCAGGATATTATGCGCCGCCGCACTGTCGAGGCCGGGAAGCCCGTGCGCTCTGTGCGCCTGCTGAGCGACCAGGGCCGCAATACCAGCATGTTCCGGCAGGGCGAAAACACCGATTTCGTTACCGCCCACAAGAAGCCCACCGGCGATAGCCGCATGGCGCGCATGGACCGCAAGGACCTGATGGACCTGCTGTTCAGCGCCTTTGAGCGCTACCCATACTGGTCCTTCAAGGGCCTGGTCGAGCAGACCAAGCAGCCTGCCGCCTTTCTGAAAGAGGTCCTGGCCGATGTGGCCATTCTGAACAAGCGCGGGCCCTACGCCGCCACCTACAGCATCAAGCCAGAGTTCCGCAACAGCACCAACACCGCCCCCGACATGCAGCTGCCGCCGCCGCCTGCCGAAACCAACGACATGGATGACGACGCTAACTTTGACGAGGACGAGGATTTCGAGGATGTTTAAAATATACTTTTACTCGAGAGCCGTTCCATGCTCGCAAAAAAAAAAGTCTAGGCTTAGCTTGCAGTTCCCGCCGCCATCTTCTCGATCAGATCGGCCATGGATTTTTGGTACGCATCGGCTGTCAGCTCGACAGGGAACCGGCTCTGCGAGTACTTGCCCGAGAAATGGGCCAATGCATTGACGTTCTTCGGGAACAGCCGCAGGCCAAGGAATCCCGCTGCCTGCACCAGCTCCTGCCACCCGAAGAGCCCGCTGTCGACCGAGTGCGTCCACGGCTCAAAGTCAATGACATAGACCTGGTCCATGTTGCGCGTAACATACACGTCAAAGCAGTAGCTTGTGGACGGGAACACCTCCCGGATCTTGTCCTGGAAGAACGCCGAAATCTTGTCGGCAATCAGCGCCGCCATGTCCTCCAGGAACTCGTAGTGCTGCAGGTCAATCTGCGACACGGCAACCAGCTCTTGCTCCCTAACAAAGCATCGGAACTCCATCGACGGCAGGAGATTGCACCACTGCCGCAGCACCAGCTCCGGCTCCACACTCACCGCAACGCCCTCGTACCGGGCGCCCACCAGGTCCCTGGTGATCTTGTCGGAGCTCTTCAGCAGCAGATACACCTCGGAGGCACTAAAGCACTGCAGTGTGTTGCCGGTGGCCATCCACATGGCGTCGCTGGGCGCGCTCCAGTTCATGCGCGGGAACACGCTGCCGCCGAGCTCCTTCAGGGCACTGCGGATTTCTGCGCTGGTGCTGTCCAGGTTTACGTGCACGTCCGGCTCGTCGTCGCTCCAGTCCGAGTCCGAGTCCACAGCGTCGATGCGCGAGCCGTATTGCGGCGTGGCCTCGTTGTCGGGCAGGAAGATTCCGTCGGTCTGCAGGTAGCTGAGGAATTCGGGGGCCAGCGGCTTGAGCACTGCGGATTTGAAGGTCGAGTGGCGTAGTAGCGGGTACCAGGTGGAGAACATGCTGTTGGTGACTTCTGCTGCCAGTCCAATGGCGCAAACAGCGAGGCGACATCGACCTCCTCTACCTCCTCTACCTCCTCTGCTTGCTCAGCAGGCTGCGGAGGGGCTTCTACGGGGCGCTCAGGTTCGGGCATTCCGGGCATTATTGGATGCTAGCGATGAATATGTGGAGACTCGTAATATTGGTTTGCAAAAATATCTGCCGCGGGAGATTGGCCCCAGCAAGGTCAAGGCTGCACCAGCATCTGTCATTTGTGGGAGCACCAGGTGAGGAAAATTTTGCTCGTGGTTTGGCTGCGGAGGGGACAAAAAGCCGTTCAGCGCCGGCGCATCCCGCTGGATCCCGACAGCACAATCTTGGCCTTTGCCTTGTTCTTGATTTTCTTCGAGCGGGTCTCGGGCAGCTTGAGATGCGCAGGCCGTGCATCGGCGCCAGCACGCTCGCTCAGATGGAAGTACTTGTCGTCGTAGTCATGGTCAGGCTCATCGTGCTCGTCATGCTCGTCGTAGTCGTCGTAATGGCTGGCATTGCGCTCAAACTCCTCCCACAGCTCATTGTAGAGCTCGCCCGTGCCGGTATTAGCGGGCTGGCGCGGCCACAGATCGCGCGGCGTCTTGGGCGACTCCACAGCACTGCCCTTGGCGGGCGTGGCGGAGCCGCTGAGGGCCGGAAAGCTGGCGGCATCGGGCTTGCTGCCCGAGTACGTCTGCAGCTCGCCGTACCGGTTGTGGCCCTCGCGGGTCCACTCGCTACGGTACTGGATCGCGCTGCCTGCCTGCTCAGCTGCCGCAGCCATGGCCGCCGACCTTGCCTCGTCAATGGCCAGGTGGCGGGCGCGCGCCGCATGCTGCTTCTCGCGGTGGGCGATTTGCGCGCGGAATTTGTCGAGGGAGCGTGCGCTGACCAGGTGCTTGATCTCGGGCTCAATAAAGATCACGTCGCAGCGCAGCGGCAGGTGGTCGAGGATCTTGAAGCGCTGGCGGACCTCGCTGGTGATGGTCGATTCGACAGCGTGTCGCAGCTTGATGTCCAGCGTGTCCTGGCAGATCAGCGTAGCCGTTGTGCTCCTCGGACAGAACCCGCATGTACAGCGGGTGCATGTAGATGTGCTGGCCGTCGTCGGCCTGGTAAAAGTACCGGAAGTCGTCGGTGTGGTCGGCGGTCTTTTCGTCGGGCTGATCGGCGGTCTGGGTTTTGCGCACAGACTCCTCGAGCTTCTCAGAGCTCTGCTTCTCAGTCTGCCCGATGGCCAGCTCGACCAGGGCAACGGCCGACTCAATGAACATCTGCGCCATCGGGTCGTTCCCAGTCAGCTTGCTTTCCTCCGAGAGCTCGCGCAGCTCGCGCGCGTACTCATCGCGGCAGTACGTGTGGCCGGCCAGCAGGAACTTTGCAAAGGGCATGGCGTGCTGCGTGAATGTCCATGGGAAGTGGAAGCTGTCGAACGTCAGGCGCTGAGTGTCCTTGGTGTGCGGGTCCAGTGGATCGCTCTTTTCCGTGACCACGTGCGGAGCCAGTCCCTTGGCGAACAGCATCGACGCCGTGGGCCGCGGCAGGCAGATAGTCGACCCCCGCAGACGCTTCATCAGTCGCATGGTAATATGCATGCCCTCGGGTAGGCACGACGACGCGCTGTGCACTGGCTTGCTGCTGCTGTTGCTGCTGCTGCTGCTGGCGGCCGGCTGGTAGCGGGCATTCCAGAGATGCACAGGCAGCAAATCGTCGGTGCCAGCGACCGGCTCCCAGCAGATTGGGCACTTCTTCTCGCCATCGGGCTTCTCGGTCTCCATGGCCAAATAGCGCAGTACGCACGGGAAGCAAAACACATGCCCGCACTTTGTGACGCGCGCGGCAACCGGCGGCGACAGGCAGATCGGGCACTGGACCGAGTCTCCCTGGACCGGCATGACCACGCGCTCAATCCACTCCCACTTCACGTGGACATCGGGCTTATCGGCGACCTGCGTGAACTGGCTCCATTTCTCAGGCCTGAGCACGAACCGGAAATTGGCGTTGATGAACGTGCGCTTGGTGAGCTGCGACTGCCGCGCGCTGGGCGCAGGGTCGCGGTGCTTGCGGGCACGTGGTGCTGGCAGCGGCGACGGCATGCGCACCGGCAGCGAGAAGTTCAGCAGGTGGTTGAGGTTCACCTTTTCGCCCTTGTTGCGGCCCTTGCCGTGTCGCTTGCCACTCCGGGACGTCCCACTGCCCTGACTGTGCGATCGCTCGTCGCTGCTGCCCGCCGTGCTGCTTGCGTCCAATGCCTGCAATGTCCCGGCCCTTTCTGCCACGCTGCTGGTGCTCTCCTGCGAGCTCTGCTCGGTTATGGCCTGGTGTGCCTCCCACCTCTGGCCAAACGATTCGATGCTGCATTTGGCTGCGAGAACCGCCGGCCCAGCAGCCAACATAGTCCGGTAGCCTGCCTGACTCCGTCACCACGATCGTGTGTCCCGCCGACTCCGATACCTTGTCTAGCACCGAGGACCACCCACTCGGACGGCTCAGCATCTGCCGCACCAACGACCACCGCCAAATCGACCTTTGCCTTTGCATCGACGTCAGCCAGACCCATGGCGACCTGCAGATTCTCAGAGCCGCCGCAGATATCGGGTACAAAGGCTGCCTCCGCATCACTGCTCCACCTGGCCATCGGCCCGTGCTGCCCGCATACCTCGCACTTCACGTCCTTGCAGCTCATTGCCTTGAACAGCACTGCCTGCGTCAGTGCGTTCTTGGCCGTACATGCCTTGCACACGAATCTGGTCGCACTGCCGCGCACAAACACTGTACGCAGGTCGAGCTCACTGCCATTTCCCAAGGGCGCCAGGTGTACATCGTCCGTGTACAGACGCACCAGCTTGTCGGCAGAAATCAAGTGGCCAATTAGTGCCTGTAGGGCGCTGGGCTTGGCGCGTGCCAGTGAGCCGCAGAAGCTCGACAGCCTTCCATACACATGCGACGCCTGCTCCAGCTGCTCTGCATTGTCGGCTGCTGCTGTTAGCGAGCAGAATGCCGTGATGCTTGGATCCGTCATGAGATCCTGCTCGTCTGCCTGCGCTAGCGCCCGGTTGCCCACGAGCACTATGCATGAGCGTGCCTCGTCAATTGTCTGCCAGAGCTGTTGGTCTGGCGCGTCCGCTGGTGGATCGGCTGCTGGCCGTCCGCTGGCCGCCGTGCTCGATGTGGACGGCGGTCCGCTGATCGTTATCGTGTTGCTTGAATCCATGGTTTATTTTTGTACAAAGAGCGTGCTGCGGATATCTAGCTGAGGGGAGGGTGGGAATGAAATTACAGGTGTATACAGGAAGGGTTGGAAAGTGTACAGAAAAGCAAGATAGTGGAAACCGGCGTGTAATTCTAAAGTAACTGCGGCCCGTCGCTCTAGTGGGAGAAACAAATTTGCGACAAGAAAATATTTTCTCTACAGGCAAAAAGGGCAGGGCGCTCTAGTGTAGGCTTTGAATGGGTTCGATTCAAATCGGTCCACGCGAATTGGCGTAGAGCTGGCGAAGGAGGAAATTTTGCTTAATGTGAAAAAAGCTGAAGAGAAAAAGGTGCGAAGCCGCACACCAGCCTTGCGCTGCCATCCAGTGCGGCGTGGTTGCAGTAGATACGTGGTCTCTCAATTGCATCCCCTGCACCATGATTGTTTAAATGAGACACGTCACTCATTAGGCGGGCGGTGGAGCAACGCAGGGATGTCCTGTCGAGTAGACATGGCCAGCAGGCGAACGTGGTCTTTCGCTGCACATGGCATGTACATATGCGGGGTATATCGATGTGCGCCTGGAAATTAACACTCCGCGCAGCTCCCCGATTCTAGAGCCGATGCGCGGTGCATCCCGCTGATGTCCCAGCATATGTGGCGGATTCGTGTGAATGTGCCCCGTATCTCCTGTGATCAGCGACCATGCCCGGGTTCGTCTATTTCGAGACCGCCCATGATACCAGTGCTGTTTTTGCAGTGGGCGTGTGAACAGCTGTCCCAAGGACGGCGGGATTCCCACCAGCCATCTGGTACTATAAGAAGGGAGGGGGTAGTGCGTCCAAACACCGATCCGCCCTCCTCTTTCAATCCTGTCTCGCCGCAATCCGTTTTTATACACTTATCCTTAATTCCTCAGTCTGTGCGATGATGCTCTGTGTCAGTAGGGCAGCGCTTGTATCTATTAGATCTGCTCGGGGAGCGTCAACACCGGCAGCATGGAATCGAAGCATACAGATCCGCAGGTATACGCCCAAAGAAAGCCTCGCCCATGCGCCCACCATGAAGCCAGTCAGTAAACACGCAGTCAGCCAGGACCTCGTTATCAAGCAGGGCTGTCTGTCGTCGACGATCAGGCGGTACGACCTGCAACAACAGTTTGGCAACCCGGCCTCGCTGTCTCGAGTTTGTCCGATCCAGAGGCGAGTTTCTGGGACTCCCAGTGCTGTCTACCGATGCCAATGTCCCGGCACGCAAACCCACAGCCGTCGAGCGGCTGCGCGCACTGGTTATGAAGGGGATCGAGGCATTCATGCCTGCAGACTACAAAAACACAGTGACGCCCGAGTACATTCCGTACACAAAATGGCAATTCGTCCACAATGTGTTTGGCGCAGCATCGGGCGTTCTATCCACGCAGGCGATGCTGTACGCAATGGGTCTGGGTGCCGGATCGCTGCCTCTGTCGGCAGCCTATAAACTGGGTGATCAAGGACGGATTCGGGCAGCTGGGAGGCGTGATCTACGCGACGCTAGTCGGCCAGCGGTTCGACAGCGACCCGAAGCACCAGCGGTTCTGGTCGACCATCTGGCTGCAGTGCGCGACATGGCTGGAGATGCTGACCCCGCTGGTACCGCACCTGTTCCTTGTGATTGGATCCGTTGCGAATGTGGGCAAAAACATCTCGTGGCTGGCTATCTTTGCCACCAAGGCTACAGTCAACCGCCAGTTTTGCCTGAAGGAGAACCTGGGCGATGTCACAGGCAAAGTTTGGCTCGCAAGCAACCGCCGCCGGGCTTCTTGGCACTGCCACTGGCGTGCTAATCGGCGCTACCATGGATGGGTCAATATACACGCTGCTGGTCGCTTTTGTACCGCTGAGCCTGATCAGCCTGTGGGCAAACCATGTGTCGCTGTTTTACGCAATCACGCCGTCGCTGAACTTGGAGCGCGCGCGCCTCTTGCTCAGTGCCGGAGCAATCACGGCTGAGGATGGAGGTTGGCGCTAAACGCCAGTGCGATAAAGGCGCCGCGGGAGGTGGCCAGGGCTGAGGAATTCATCCGGCAGGTCCACCACATCACCCCCACTGCGGATCTTCCTGGCATCGTTGTGTCCCGGAGGCTCGACAGGATAGCCCACGATATGCCGGCTCGTCGCAGCCAGAAATCGCAAGATCTAGTTGCGCGCATGGTCGCCAGGGCAGTTGAGCAGCAGGCAGGCGCTCCGAACGAAAACTACTATATTGGGTATTTGCCTGAATCCACAGCGCATGGCAGCACCAATGGCAATGTATATCTGTGGTTCAGCGACAAGGCATCGACCAGTGATATGCTACTTGCTTTCTACAACGCCATGTCACTGCGCCAGCTGCTCGGTACTCGGACAGATGTAGAGGAAGCGGCGAAGCGCGCGCACGGGTTTGCTAGGCGCACATTTGAGGAATTTACTACCTCCTTGAAGCAGCGGGGGTGGGATACGGAGACCATCTTCTTTAGCAAAGAGTCGAGGCTGCTACGTCTTGAAGAGACAGCTAGAAAGGAATAAATAATCTCGGTGCTATTTACTACCCAATAGTACAATTTGCGTATTTGCCGTTACGTTCATGGTTAATAAACGTGCACATGCTGGCTTCTACTTGTGGCGTGCATATGCATAAATGCAGCAAAGTATCGACTCATTTTCATTGATGTACGGGAGGTGGAGATATACTGCGTCCCTAGCTGACTCCGGGATTTAGGGCTTAGACTATCGCATTTGCCTTTGAAATAGGGGCAGCAGCGTACTGCAGATGCGTACCGCTTTTCAGTTCATCTCCTTTTTTTGCCATTTCCATCTATATCCCGAACTGCAGAATGACTATATCACCAGCTACCATTCTCAACGAGTACGCAACCAAAACGCCTTCGACCGGCGGCACATATGGCTTCTTGACTGCTGACCAGCAGCGCAAAACTGCCAGGCTCTGGCAGCTCATTTTCCAATACCTGGATAGCGTCAGGGACAAACCGGTGAAAGTGGTCGGCGAGCTGTTGCAAAAAGTCGACCGCGACTGGTCGGAGCTGGGTCCTGACGAGCCTGGTCTAGAGGGTCTTGGGCCAGAAGAAATCACTCGCCGTGCATGGCAGTTCACCAAGACTAGCGGCGGCCTACATCCGTATCGCGTTTGGCTCCAAAAAGACCAAGCTGCCGCTCGACAAGCTGCTTCTGGATAGACACGTCAACGAGACCACACAGCAGTACCTCGATCGTACCATTGGCCGGCCGGTACGCCTGATCCCCGACAACTACTTCCCGTCATTCAAGCACCCCGACAATGAGACACGCAATCTGGCGGACATGTTCTGGACGATCGCCTCGTCAAAGATGCATCCGGACATCTGGCTACACCGCTATCTGCGGGCCATGGGGTGGGACGTCGACCGTGCGTTTGGTACCATCAAGAGCGTCCTCGAGTGGCGGGCAGCTGAGGCAGCAGACAGACTCAATTACGAAGGCGACATCACATCTGGGCTGGACGAGTTCCGTCTAGAGTTTTGCCGGCTTGTTGGCCGCGACCGACTCGGATACCTGCTGTACCATGTCACGGTGCGCAATATCATGCCGCGAGCCACCGAGCCCTTCGTCTTCAAGCGGTACCTGATCACGATCTTTGAGGGCATCCAGTCGGTGACGCGCGGGTACAACCGGGCCACAATGATATACGATTTTACCGGCTTTTCCCTTGACAACACGCCGTTCCAGATGGTCCACTTCATGGTGACTCTGGGCATGAAGCAGTATGCCGACTCGACCAGCATGATCATCCTGCTGGTCGACAGCTGGCTCTTCTCCAATTTTTGGAATCTGATCCGGCCCTTCCTCGACGCCAACCTGGGCTCGCGCATCGTATTCGCCAAGAACGCCGACGAGGTCATGAGGTACGTCGACAGGGACCAGCTCCCAGTGTGTGCTGGTGGCACAAACGAGTTCAGCCTCGAGTATCGCCTGCCGCAAGAGGGCGAGAACGCCGCCATGTTTGACACTGAGGGAAGGCGGGCCGCCGAGCAGGTGTGGCGTGATAAAACCTGCAGAGTTTGAGAAGGTCCACAAAGCTGTGGGTGTCGGCGATGCTGGACGCCAAAGCCGGCAACTCGATGGAGGAGAAGACGCCGGTCGATGGCCAGCGCGATGCAGCAGCCCAGGAGCTGTTTGCCGCCGAACTAAAGCTCAGCAAGTTCACCTACTCGAGAAACGTGTACCATCGCCATGGAATGGTCGACGAGACAGCAACCCTAAAATTTTAATACACCTCCAAAGGTCTAGCGATATGACGACAGCCAAATTATATCTCTTGAAGCGGAGGCACACAAGCCGGAACCTGGTTGAGGCGGGTGGAAATCAAGAGCGCTTCCCGCATGCCACAAACACTGTTTTCTACTATCCCGCTCCTCGAATTTGCACTTTTTCTAGCTCTTTTTAGTGGATTTCAGTTGCTGCTGCCATGGCGCCCATCACAGACAAGGAGAAGAAGAGGCTCGCCGAGAAGCACACCAAATTGCTCTCCGAGCTTGTGAAGCAGCCCGACAACTCAACATGCGCTGATTGCGGAGCACCAGGTAAGGACAACAGCACTAGCCTAGCCCCTCGCAGCCAGGGCGCTTACGCAAATGCAGGGTGAATTTAGAGTCTCCAGCGGCTGGATGCCCATCTCTAGCAATCCCTGCTAATTCAGAATGCTCAGCTGGCGCGGCTTCTGAGAACAAGCAGCGCACCATGCTGTGCGCCGAGACGTGGGAGACACCGGCTGACTGACACCACACGTGCACACCCTTGTCACTATGTACCCTGTAGGGCCGCGCTGGGCATCGTGGAACATCGGCGTGTTCCTGTGCATTCGGTGTGGCGGCTTCCATCGGCGCATCGGCACACATATTACCAAGGTCAAGTCCATCAGCCTCGACAACTGGACACCCGAGCAGATCGAGCACTTCCGGCGGATCGGCAACAAGCGGGCGAATGCCTTCTTCAACCCACACCCCGACCGGCACCCGGCACCCCGCTCGGACCGCGAAATCGAGCGGTACATCCGGGACAAGTACGAGCGCCGGCTGTTTGTCGACCAGCGCAGCGGCGTCATGGACCCAACACAGGAAGGGGCCGATCTGTCGACGCCTGTCAGGGAGCCTGTACGCGGTGGATCGATGGACGAGGCGACCGCACTGACGAAGCTGCGCGAGATGGGATTTACCAACGTGCGCGAGAACCATGCGGCGCTGAAGAAGTTCAGCTTTGACGTTGCTCGGGCTGCTGCGTTCCTGAGCGGCGAGACCGAGGAGCCAGCTAAGCCGGCCATCTCGGAGAGCGATCCGCGCGTTAAGCAGCTTATCAACATGGGCTTTGACCATGCCGGGCAGAACGTCCAGGCCCTGCTTCAGTGCAAGGGCAATGTCAACCAAGCAATCGAGCTGCTGCTGAGCGATAATGCACCGCCGCGCACCAGCGCATCGGCCAAGGCCGCCAAGCCCGCTGCTGCCAAGCCCGCTGCTGCCCCGGCTGCCTCCAGCGCTGCTGCTGATCTTCTGGACGGCGATTTCTTTGGCAGCATGTCCAGTGCTCCTGCTGCCCCGGCCACTAAGCCTGCTGCTCCTGCTGCTGCTGCCGCGCAGATCAGCCCACTCGACAATATGTTTGGTAGTCTGACCATTGGCTCTGCTGCTCCGGCTCCGGCCACTGCTCCGGCTGCTGTCTCCAACGACAACTTTGGCGACTTTGGCGACTTCTTGTCAGCGGCACCCGCGTCCAGTGCCCCGGCTCCGGCTGCCAAGCTTGCTGCTCCTGTCGTTCAGAGCCTGGCACAGCCCACCAGCACCCCGGCTGTTGCTGCCACATCACCTGCGACAATCACCGCGCCGCCTAATGGTGGCCAATCCATGTTTGACAATGACTTTATCATGTCGCTCTACTCGAAGGGGCCTTCTCAGCCTGCCGCCAGCACAAACGGCGCATCTCAAGGACAGGCAGCGGCCGGCAACAACGCCGGCAACAACGCGTTCATGGACCTTGACTTCTTCATGAAGTAGATTTGGTGTCTTCCGGCTATTTCTCACTAATGAGACCATCATAACATTCCCAGCACAAATATTGCAAGGCTTCTCTACTGGGCATATATTATGCGTTGCTTATATTGGCTGTGTATATAGGGCAAGTCTGCACATTATGATGTATCAGTTTGTTGGCTTCTGGGGGGGGGGGCTCGATAAGGGGCTTTGGAACATTTTGAAGTGTGGATGTTATTCCGAAGGAAACAGAAGAAAAGGACAGAAGGAGGAATGCGTGTGTGTGGGATATATAGCCACACTTCCGGCCAGGCACTGCATCGCATCGTCTGTTCGATGCAACCGCAGGGCTAGACCAGGCATGGCCATTGTTAGATTCTGAGGTCTGAATCTGACCACCCTATTGTCTTCAGTGGAATCAGAGCGGAAATCTCAGAGGGACAGTTGCGGGTGGGCGCTAACCCAGTGTAGTTCAGACCGCCGGTAGCCTGTGCAGACCTGGATCCGATACACACACAGGGAGGATAGAGCATTCGGATACTACTCCAAAATATTTGCTAGCATAGAATCAGCATCTTTTAGAAGCCTGCTCCCAGTGACGGCGGGCAGCCCAGGTTATCCCGGCCCTTGAGCCTGCGCATACGAACCAGATAGCTCCCATCCATGTGAACTGACTCGGAGCGTAGAAAAAGCAGTCCGTGGATTAGGTTGACTAATGTTTTACAATGGCAGAGGAGGTCGAGGAAATGTTGCAGGTGAGCTGGCCACAGTGGATGACGTGTGCAGCTCATCTGCTTGAGCTCATAGTTCCTTTGGCAGTGCTTGTGCTTGAACCAGGAATTCTATTGCTTTTTCCTGTTCTTTTCGAAGCTACATATTCATATATCATTGTCTTTAGCGTACCACATCACTGCCGCCCTTGTCTAAAGAGTTTTTTTATTGCCAATGCTTTTCGAATCAACAGCGTTCGGGGTTTACGTGACGAACGCAACCCCAGAAACATCCCTGCTCGACCACCAGCATGGCGTGTTCATAGCTGATTTTGACAGTAGTGTCACTGACAGCAACTTTAAGAACGGGTCCGGCAGAATGAAACTAGGGCAGGACCATACATGTCTACAAGCTACACTGCAACGAATATGTCTCACAAGTACAACAACTATTACTCCCTAGGATATGTGCTATGACTGTGCTCGACGGGTAAAATACCGTTTGGCACATATTTCCTTCCACGATATTCATGTGAAAGTAATTAAAGGCTATCGCGAGAGTCTGGACGACATTCCAAGCCCCTACCGCAAGATCATCGAGCAGCTTTGGGCAAGAGCAGAGCCGCTGGAAACCTACGCGATCTACTTGCGAGAGAGGTATATAAAATGGTCGCAGGCCAAGGGTGAGGCTCCATGATGCTCGTCCAGCAGACACACCGTTTGCTTTTTTTGTTTTCTCGAGTATTTTTTACAGTTTCTTCCAATCAAGATATACCACGGCTGAGAAACTGGTAGCGTGGTAGCGTGCTACACAGTCGCACCTCCCTCAGCCAGTGTCCGCATTGAGGTAGCAAGGAGGATGTCAGGGCGAAGATGCTAAATATCCCAATGGAGTGAAAGCGTGCAAAAGCGATGCCTGGTTCCCGTTGCACGCTGTGTAAACTGTATGGCACTGGATTCCCAGCAGTAATGGTGGTACAAGTTCCTTTCCAATAGATATTATTGTGAAATGATATATCAACGACTTGGGATATCGAACCAATGCTATCCTAACCCCAAGCATTCAAAAATATGTAAGCCAAATCCGGACCCATTCTGTCCTTCGCATAACCTACACAGAGGTTTCGCTGGAGCTCGCTCAAGGGGGCAAGCTGGTTTTTGTAAGTACTTGGTGCCCATAGATCAGATCGGTACCATCATAGACTTTCTGAGCTCAACGAAAATGGGACAAGTACTCCATTTTGGAGGTCCGTAATCAGCTGCCTCGTCCAAGTGTGGTCAGTTCTGCATCCGTCGCCTACTTGTGTTTCGTTCCTCACACATATGCCAGATCATAAGGAGGAAATTGTCTGCGTGCTGGCACTCGAGATATTCTGATGGATGCGGCAGATCAGGAAGCGCTGTATACATGTGCTCCTATTCTGGTACCAAATATTTTTTAATTAAAACCCAGAACATCGTGTCCGTCAATCGTGCTCACAACAATGGCGTTAGCTATGTCCACGTAATTGTGGCATTCACTGTCTTCCAGCTCCAAAAGGTCGTCGACATGCGCTGGCTCGTCTCTGGCAAAGTCTCTGATGGCATAGACCAGTCTGTCTCGCGGATATCTTATGCGAAGAAGCCAGAATTGCACCAGAGGATTGTCGGCATACCATTCATGGTCAACTACTCCATGGCTCACAAGAAACTCTGCACCTGGAATGTAAACGTCGCATATATCGCTGTGCAGGAAGAAGAAGTGTGATTCATCTCTAGCATCATGCACTGCATCTTGCCAACTGCTCACTTTCTTGACCATCGCCAGGATGCTAGCCTGCTGCCACTCTTCAGGCAGCTGGAAAGAGCCAAATGCGAATTCATCGGAGTAGTACACAGAGCTTGTTATTTCAGGACAGCGGGTTCTGGACAAGGCTACCGTCTCTCAGGTTGAATACTTCCATTTTGGGGGGTAGATAAGCTTCGGATTTCAAAACCTAAAAGAAAAATGGAAGAGAAAGGAAAACCACTGATGCCACGCGCTGGCCTTTTTGAAGAATTCGCTGCTGCGCGGGAATCTGACTTCATCGGTAAAACTGGGCGGAAAGCTGTGATTGTAGTGGTCACAGGTCTCCACTGGATATCTCCATTGGTTCAGCGCAGGAGCTGCTCTCGTTGTCGGTCGACCCGATAACTTCCTATGGCATCGTCATGGCGGTCATCGCCGGCCGCGCAACAATCTATTACACACGAAATGACACAGGGGGCTCTAGTTCACTGGCTAGCTGTGTGCCTGCTCTGATCACTTTGGGAAATCACATGGATAGTTAGGGCCAGCCAATAGCCTGGCCGTGAGGCGTCTCCAGAAATTATGTCCAATGAGCCAAGAAAAAAAATTTTCTTCCAACCCTAAAAGCCGTTCAGCCCCCGCTCGTCGCCGCTTCTACTCTTTCTCCGCTATTACTACGTCTTTTTTCATACACGACTAGAGCGTTACTGCCTGGAAAGAAGGTAGAGTTCAAATTCAGCACGGCGTCCAGTGCATTCGACATTCCGCACCGGCCAAAGTTTCCAGCTCTAATTCGCAATCTCACATTATCGTAGAGCTCGAAGGCCAAAATTTTTTTTCACTGTATTATCAGGCGGCTTCGACGAATTCCAATTTACACAGCGTCCGTTTTTATATTTCGCATAACCTTATTGTCTTTACCAGACTACACTTGCAGCCATGGGAAAGAAGAAGGGAAACAAGAAGGGAGGATACGACGAAGATATCTGGGCTGATGATCTCGTAGAGGATCCCATTGAGACAGCCATGGCCAACACTGCCGAGGACGAAGACATGGGCGGCGGCGGCGGCCTGATGAACATGATCTCGCGGGCAAAGAAGAACAAGAAGAGCAAGAAGAGTGCTCCCACACCATCGTTCGCCGCGCTTGCTATCGATGACGACGCTGAGGAGGGCGAGGAGGAAGAGGAAGGAGGAGGAGGAGCCCACGCCAGCCGAGACACCAGCCGCTGCTTCTGAAGACGAGCCGGATGTCCCGCAGATGGCGTCGAAAAAGAACAAGAAAAAGAAGAAGGGCAAGGGCGGAGCCTCCACACCACAGCCGATCGATCTTGCCGACGAGCCCACTGACGAGCCAGTGGTTGTCATCAAGACGGCCAAGCAGAAGGAGCGCGAGAAGAAGGAGCGCGCCAAGCTGCTGAAGAAGCAGAAGGCCGAGGAGGCCAAGGCCAAGAAGGAGGCAGAGCTGCGCGAGCTCGAGGCTACCCTGGGCACTGCCAAGATCGACGACGACAAGCCTGCTGAGGACGACGCTGCTGAGGGCGGTGCCAGCAAGAAGAACAAGAAGAACAAGAAAAAGAAGGGGAAGAAGGGCGGTGATGACGAGGACGAGGAGGCTGCCGCACCTGCCCCGGCGTCTGCCCCGACGAAGAAGGAGAAGGAGAAGGGTGGCAAGAAGAAGAAGGGTGCGCCGATCGCGGCTCTGCAGAAGATGGTCGAAGAGCAGCGGAGGCGTGAGGAGGAGATGCGCAAGGCCCATGAGGAGGAGATGCGGCGAATTGAGGAGGAAGAGCGCCGGATTGCCGAGGAGGAGGCTCGTCTGGAAGCTGAGCGCGAGGCCAAGCGCGAGGCCGACCGTTTGCGTCGTGAGCAGCTGAAGAAGGAGGGCAAGCTGCTGACCAAGAAGCAGAAGGAGGCCAAGGCGCGTCAGGAGCAGGCGCTCAAGGCGCTGATGGCATCTGGTGCCCAGGTCGCTGGTCTGGCGGAGCGGGAGGGCAGTGGCGATGCTGGTGCCAAGAGCGGCGGCCGTCGTGGCGGCCATCGCGAGGCTGAGGAGCGCAAGCGCCGTGCTGCCGAGCGCAAGAAGAAGGAGGAGGAGGAAGAGCGCAAGCGCAAGGAGGAGGAGGAGGCTGCTCGTAAGAAGGCTGAGGAGGAGGCCGAGGAAGAGAGTGATGGTGATGCTGGCGATGACTGGGAGGCATTGCTTGAGTCCAGCGAGGATGAGGACAAGGACGATGGCGAGAAGAAGGCCTCTGACGACGAGGACGACGACGATCAAGGACAGCTGGGACCAGTCGTCTGATGAGGAGGAGGAAGAGGAAAAGAAGCCTGCCCCTAAGGCTGCCCCTGCCGCCAAGGGCAAGGCTCCGGCTAAGCCTGCCGAGTCGGAGAGCGAGAGCGAGAGCGAGAGCGACAGTGAATCCGACTCTGACGATTCGTCGGACTACAGCTCGTCTGAGGAGGAGATGACTGCCGCTGAGCGCCAGGCGTATGAGCGTAAGCAGGCTGCTGCTGCTCGTCGCCAGCAGCGCATGAAGGATGCCATGGCTGCCCGGTCCGCCGATGACTTGCGTTCGCCCATCTGCTGTATTCTTGGACACGTCGATACCGGAAAGTGCTTTGGTTTCAACACCCCGCTGTTGATGGCTGACGGTACCACTCGCTTTGTCCAGGACATCAAGGAGAACGAGCTGCTGATGGGAGATGACTGCACACCGCGCCAGGTCCGTGTCGGCTCGCTGATCCACGAGCAGGGCCAGCTGTACCGCATCACGCCGGACTCTGCCAGCGGTGCCGAGTCCTTTGTCTGCAACGGCGAGCATATCCTGGTTCTGATCAACCTGACCAAGCCCTGGGTCGAGGCTGTTGTCGCCGAGGATGGCTCTGACGCGTTCGCTGCCAAGGAGGTCTACATCGACGGTGCTAGCAACAAACCCGGCGTCCGCGTTGTTGGCCAGTTTGCCACCGAGGCTGAGGCTCTTGCGGCGCTGCCCGCCTGGTCGCTCGATATCTGGCAGGTGCCTGTGCTCGACTTCCTGGCGACCAACACTGTTGAGCGCAGCCGCTGGCTCATGTACGTCCCCGAGCACGGTGTGGAGTACCCGGCTGATGCCGTCGAGCCCATCACTCTTGCTCTGCGCGAGGTCTTTGGCGAGGTTGCATGCCTCGGAGCAGCTCGAGCAGCTCGCGTTCTGGCGCCTGGGTCTGTGGCTCGCTGCTGCCCAGGAGGCCAAGGCCCAGCTCGGCGCTGAGGTCGCAGCCAAGGTACAGGCGTTTGCTTCGGCGGTCACTGCCGATGACGCCAAGCTCGAGAGTCCTGGTGACCCGCCTGGGCGTCTCGCGCACTGCCGCCATTCCCGATGTGCTGATGCGCTCCTCCAAGGAGAACCGCCGCGCCCTTCTGGCTGGTCTGGTTGACGCTGCTGGCGCTTACAGCGCTGGCGAGGCCCGCGATGTGCGTGGTACAGCTGTCTCCGCTGAGAGCTGGGAGCTGTGCTCGCAGAGCAATGAGCTTGCTGTCTCTGTCAAAAAGCTCGCCCGCTCTGTTGGCCTGCAGGTGGGCTCTGTTTCCGAAATTGAGGCTGGCGCAGGCTGGAGCATCAAGCTCAGTGGCCCTGCCATGCAGCAGGTCAGCAGCCTGGTCCAGCTCGAGTCCAAGCGCGCGTCGGCCAAGACGCAGGACCAGTGGCTCAACTGCCTGTTCAGCTCGTCGCCGTTTGTTGTTGCCAGCATTGGCGAGGGCGACTACTACGGCTTCACTGTCAGCGGCCCGAACTCGCGCTTCCTGCTTGGCGACTTCACTGTCACACACAACACCAAGCTGCTCGACAAGATCCGCCAGACCAACGTCCAGGAGGGCGAAGCTGGCGGTATCACCCAGCAGATCGGTGCTACCTACTTCCCGGCCGATGCCATCAAGCAGAAGACCGCAGCCATCAACACCAAGGGCAAGCTGGAGATCAACGTGCCTGGCCTGCTCATCATCGATACCCCGGGACACGAGTCGTTTACCAACCTGCGTTCGCGTGGTTCGTCGCTGTGTAACATTGCGATCCTGGTCGTCGATATCATGCACGGTCTCGAGCCCCAGACTCTCGAGTCGCTGCGCCTGCTGCGTGACCGCAAGACGCCCTTCATTGTCGCTCTGAACAAGGTCGACCGCATCTACGACTGGAAGCCCATCCCCAACAGCCCGTTCCGTGACAGTCTTAAGAGCCAGCCCCAGCACTCGCAGCGCGAGTTTGCTAAGCGCCTCGAGGACACAATCACCGCTTTTCGCCGAGCAGGGACTCAACGCACGCGTCTACTATGAGAACCCGAAGATGACCAAGTACGTGTCGCTGGTGCCCACGTCGGCCATCTCTGGCGAGGGTATTCCCGACATTCTCGGTCCTGCTCGTTGGCCTGACACAGACCCACATGTCCGACAAGCTCATGTATCTGTCCGAGCTCGAGTGCACTGTGCTTGAGGTCAAGGTTGTTGAGGGTCTTGGAACCACCATTGACGTCGTCCTGTCCAACGGTGTTCTTCATGAGGGCGACCGGATCGTCGTGTGCGGCTTGGACGGCCCCATCGTCACCAACGTGCGTGCACTGCTCACACCCCAGCCCATGCGTGAGCTGCGTGTCAAGTCGGCCTACGTCCACCACAAGTCGATCAAGGCCGCTATGGGTGTCAAGATCACTGCGCCGGGTCTCGAGCGCGCCATCGCTGGTTCGCGCCTGATGGTTGTTGGTCCTGACGATGACGAGGAGGAGCTCATGGACGAGATCATGTCGGATCTCACCTCGCTCAACGACGCCATCGACAAGTCTGGCCGCGGTGTCTGGGTGCAGGCATCGACGCTCGGCTCACTTCGAGGCTCTGCTCGAGTTCCTGCGCGTGTCCAAGATCCCGGTGTCGGGAATCAACATCGGCCCGGTCCACAAGAAGGACGTGACCCGTGCCTCGGCCATGCTGGAGAAGGCCAAGGAGTTTGCCGTCATGCTTTGCTTTGATGTCAAGGTCGACAAGGAGGCTGAGGAGCTGGCCGACGAGTTTGGTGTCAAGGTGTTCAAGGCCGACATTATCTACCATTTGTTTGATGCCTTCACCGCGTACAATCGCCGAAATCATGGAGCAGAAGCGCAAGGACCAGGCGCCGCAGGCTATCTTCCCGTGCACGCTCAAGATGATCAAGGGCGCCGCTTTCAACAAGCGCGACCCGCTGATTATCGGCTGCGACGTCGTTGAGGGCCAGCTGCGCCAGGGGACGCCGGTGTGCGTCGCCAAGTGGGACCCCGAGACCAAGACCCGCGAGATCATCAACCTGGGCAAGGTTTCCAGCATGGAGATCAACCACAAGCAGGTCGAGGTCGTGCGCAAGGGCGAGTCTGGTGCTGGTGTCGCTGTCCGCATTGACTGCCCTGTCTATGACACGCCCAAGATGTACGGTCGCCACTTCACCGATGAGGACGAGATCTACTCGCACATCACTCGTGGCAGTATCAACGTACTGAAGGAGAGCTTCCGCAATGACGTGTCCAAGGAGGAGTGGGCACTGATTATCAAGCTCAAGAAGATCCTCGACATCAACTAAGCAAGGGTGTGTCTTCGTTACTATCCTTCTACCACTACCAATATCAATAGCCAATGGACCATATGTTTCGTATCAATGTTGATGCTGGACTGGGATTGCTCTTAGTGAATGGCCGAAACCTGACGCGAGTAATATGCTAGGTCGAGCCGAGATGTTATGTCTGCTACATGCCGAATGATGGCGGCAATGTCGAAATCAGCCGGCGCCCCATACTCCAATTAGCTGGCAACTATCGATGAGGTACATGGCGGTGATGGTAACCCAAGGGCCGCTATGAGGCTTGCATGCTTGAACCCTCTAACTTCAGCTCGTCCTTTTCACATCTATACAACTATGAGCGCCACGGCAAAACGATCCCGGCGTGCCAATGCTGGCAACAAGCTGCGAACAATGGTTGAGGAAGAGCAGGCCAAGCTCGACAGCGGCGAGATTGCTGGCAGCGACGAAGACGAGGATTTCGTCAAGAAGGGCGATGAGGAGGATGTGGTTGATTCCGATTTCGAAGAAACGGACTCCGAGGTCGAGCACGCGGCCGCCGACGCCAGCAAACTGGCTGAAGCCCTGATCGCCAAGGCAGAGCGCAGGCAAAAGCGCAAGCTGGCGAAGAAGCGCATCGTGCCGCGGTTCGCCAGCCTCAAGACCAAAGCGAAGAAGGAGCCTTCTGACAGCGACTCGACGCGCAAATCCAAGGCGCCGGAATTTGCGGTGCGGTTTTCAAGCCGCTCGTCAGCAGTGCGCAAGGCAAAGGAGAGTGACATGCTGAAGCACGAGCGCGAGGTGATGGCAGACATTAAGCGGAGGCACAAGAAGCCAAAGAAGGCAGAGGAGGCGGCGCTGACGCAAGAGGAGCTGCTGGAGGAGGCAAAGCAGACGGAGAAGCTGAACATGGAGAAGCTGAAAGAGTTCCAGGAGATGGCGGCTGAGGAAAAGATGCGACAGAGGGCGGCCAGTGCACGCAAGGCACCGCTTATCATCCAGCCGGTTGTCCACTGGAAGTCAGCGGCTGTCAGTTCTGGAGAGCCGCTGGTGCGGGAGGTGAAGACGGAGTATTCGCTGGACGAGATCGATGACAAGCACTACCCAGTCAACCCGTGGAGCCGCCGAATGCTGATCAAGGACCCACCGCTGTGCCCTGTCACCGGACTGCCTGCACGCTACTTCCACCCGCGAGTCAGGGTCCCGTACGCCAATGCGCGGGCGTACCGGGTCCTGGAGGAGCTGGCTCGCGGCGAGCACGCATACTTTTATGATCTGGGTGTGTGGGGAAGCTCAGCATCGCTTTAGCCAATTGTATTATAGCTGCCATTTATTGAGATCGAGTTACCAGTCACCGAAATCACCAAACTTGTACCCGCTCTGTGCGTTGGACTCTTGTTCAGCGTCTGCTGCGTGCTTTGGATTATCGAGATGCACCTTCTTCAGGTACCTGCCAACGCCACGCCTGGACGCTGTGGCAGTTGACCCATCTGCCGGGTCGGCCCTGGGTTCTGAAGAGCGCGATGGCACCTTTGTTCCGAGCCATGTAGTCGTATTGCGCTCATGCTCCAGCTCCTCTTCCTCTGTGCGTTTGCGCTTACCTTCCTTCAGCGCCTGCTCGCTTTCCTCATGCTCAATCTTGCGCTCCAGTCGTTTCTGGAACTCGCCAAACGGATCCACAAACACCTTGACGTCCTTAATCACAACGTCTTTCTCGGGCCGGTCCATGCTATCAGTTGGCACAGCCTCGATCTTGGCCAGCACAGGCAGCCCGCCAACGACACGGCCAAATATCGTGTGCTTCCCATCCAAGTGCGTGGCAGCCCTATACAGAATGAAGAACTGCGATGAATTGGTGTTTGGTCCACGGTTGGCCATCGACAGGACGCCGCGCTCTGAATGCGACTTGCCCTGCTTGATCTCGTCCTTAAAGTCCTTGCCCCAGAAGGACTTGCCACCACGGCCTGTTCCGGTAGGGTCGCCGCCTTGCAGCATAAAGTTTTTGATTGAGCGGTGGAACTTTACGCCCTTATAGTAGCCGGACTGCGCGAGCTTGATAAAGTTGTAGCAGGTGATAGGGGTCTTGTCGCAGTACAGCTCCAGGTTAATGTCGCCAAAGTCGGTTACTATGCGCGCATAGCCCTTGTCCTTGACCCGCGCAAACATGAATTCCTCGTCACCAATCGTGTCGGACTCGTTCTTGGTCACCGGCGTCATTGTAGTCGATGTGAACGACGCTGCAGTCTGGCCCTTCGAGTAGCTGGCTGCGTTGTATGGCCGTTTCTCCGTGCTCTTTGGAGCTGCAGGGGTACCGGGCTTCACAGATTTTGTAGCACCGGATGTGCTCTCTTTGCCCTGAGCAACGACGGCCTTCTTCTTTGCCTTTGGATCCTGTAGAACGATAATGTCCTGGCGCTTGAACGGCTCTCCGCTGACCAAATCCGTCCAATTTTTCTCCTTGATATTGAACTCCTCGAGTGACTCCCACAGATACACATTCCCGCTTTTTGCGTTGGCTGCAATCTTTGAAAACTCGCTGAACGGCTTCAGCGACACCGGGTCGACATACTTGCCGTCCTGGTTCTTGTGGTAATTCAGTGTAACCAGATCGGTTGCTGCCAAGGGCTCTCCAGTCACCGGGTGTTTGTGGTATTCTTTGATGTACGCTTCGATGTTGTCGCGCTCGAATACAGAGCCGTCCCGAGTGCACACAGGCTCAGTAAATGGCCGTAAGGAAAGTGTGCAGCTATCAAACGGCTGGCGTTGCGCGGCATCCTTGATTGATTCGATCTGCGTCTTCTTGCCGCCAAAAGACATGCCTCCTTCGCTATGGGCATTTGCCCATTCGCTCTGTGCAATGTACGGTTTGTCCGTCCAGCGTCCCATGATATGAGTGTAATAAAAGAAATTGCAATCTAGATGGCTAAAATGCGGTAAATCACCAGTTACAAAAATCAACTGACCACTATCAAATATTCCAAATATGGTTCTGATCACATGTACACCCAATAGCCATGTATTATGTAGACCGATGGAGTTTTACTCAGAATGATAGCCACTTTTTAAAGTACTCGCACTTGCCCGGGGTAATGACGCCGGTATCACTGCACTTGTCAAAGACTGGGCACCGCCCGCACGGGATATCAGTGAATGGCGAGTCCTTGTCAGTGATCCTCAGCGCACGATACATAAAGTCTTTGCCGCTGGACGATGTCTTGCCCGCATCCATCTCAAAGGCAGCAGCAATCCGCTCGATCTTGCCATCATACACCAGCATGGTCAGCAGCTCCTCAATATTCTCGTCGCTCAGATCAACGTTGGTGATGTTGTGGCCCGAGATAAACCTCTTGATCTGCGAGGAAGTCTTGAATCCTGTATACGATGCAGGGTAGATAGCCTGCGGGTTGTGCTTCGGGTAGCTGTTTGCGTAGATAAACTGATAGCACTGTTTTGCTAGCTGGTTGATAAAGTCGGTGTCCAACTCCTGGTCCGTATACCAGGGCCCGCCCGTGATCTCCGACGACGGCGTCATGTCAATCAGCATATACAGCTTGCGCGTCGGGTGCTTGACAGACTTCACCGACTTGATCAGCGCCTTTTGCTCGAGCGTCTTCAGCGCCCGTGTAATCACACCCTGCAAAAGGTTGGTCTTCATTTTCAGCGTGCGCACCCAGATGCCCTCGTTTTTGCTCGCCTGGATGTGCTTATACACGAGCTGCTCGTCGGTCGTCAGGCCTGCCAGCCGCGCTAGCTCGTCGCTGCGCACGGCGCGGTACCGCACCTGGTTTCCAACCTGCAGTAGCTCAAGCATACCCTTTTGGAGAAGCCGGTTGACGCCGTTGACGATGGCCTCGAGCTGCACGCTTTCGGGAAACGCATCGCGTAGCTGCTCGTTGTCAACGCCCTGTGCCTCCTCAAGGGCTATCGAATAGATTGTGCCTTCAACGTCAGCCATGGCTGCGGGATGTATGTGTAAGGGATGTAAGGAGCTGGTTGGAATAGTGAGATCAGGCTAGGCAACGATCTGGTGCAAAGGGAAAATTTTTTCTCCGATCGAAGGAGCCCCACTCTGGCGTGTGCTGAGTTATGGAGAAAAATTAGGACATCTATGGATTTGTAGACTAAGCGTTTCTGGTCTGAATGCCCTCGGCCTTCAGGTGAGCCTTGACGTCGGCGATCGGCACCTCGCGGCGGTGGAAGATGCCCGCAGCCAGTACGGCATCGGCAGCAGTGGCCTTGACAACCTCGGAAAAGTGCTCGGGCTTTCCGGCACCGCTGCTAGCAATGACCGGGATCTTGACAGCCTTTTTCACATCGCCAATCAGCTCCAGGTCGTAGCCTGAGTTTGTACCGTCCTTGTCCATGCAGTTGAGCAGCACCTCACCGGCACCCAGGGCCTCGCAGGAGGTGACCAGCTGGTGCACGTCGATATCGCGGCCCTCTCGGCCGCCCTTGACAGTGCACTGGTACCAGCAGAATTGCTCGCCATTAGGGCCCGGAAATGCAGTCTTGACAACATGGTGGGCAGGAGCGTCCTCGGGTCCGCTGACGTAGACGCGGCGGGGATCCACCGAGATCACCACAGCCTGGCGGCCATAGCGCTCAGCGATCTGCTCAATCGCCGTGGTCCCGTCCAGCGGCGTCTCGCCATCGGCGATTCTCTTCAGGTACCGCTCGGCGGCATACACAGCATCGCTGCCAATGGACACCTTGTCAGCACCCGACCGGAAGTACTCGCCAGCGACCTGAACCGCCGGCCACATGTGCTCGCCATCGGGGTCGACAATATCACGCACACCACCACCAATGGTCAGGGGCACGAAGATACAGCGCGACGCCTGTCGCAGGACCTCCAGCATCGGCGTGTCCTTGAACGGCATGTTGCGGAAGCTGGTGATGTTCAAGAATGCAATCTCATCGGCGCCCTCATCGAAGTACCGTCTTGCCAGGTCCACGGGTTTGCCCAGATTACGCACATCGCCGCCCTTATCAGCGCTCTCGCGCACATCGTACTGGTCGCCCTTGGTTACAACAAGATCACCGACGTCGTTAGCACGGACATCCAGGCAAGCAATCACACGCACAGTGAAGGCCTCAGGGATGCTACTCGGCGGAGCAGCGGGGCTGGCGCTGGCTGGCCGCACCAGATCGCTCTCGATAAATGATTTCAACGCAGCAAGGCCGGCGGCGCCCGATTTCTCCGGATGGAACTGCGTCGCAAACACACTGCCCTTCCATACTGAGCTGACTACAACCTCGTCGCCGTACCGAGTCGCACTATGCACAAACTCTGTCTGCGAGCCCTGACCCGTATATGGCACGCCATACGAGTGCACGAAGTAGTACCGCGACTGGTCGCTCAGAGCCGGCGCTGCCAGAGCCTCAGTGCTGTGCACAATCTGCGTGGCGTTCCAGCCCATGTGCGGCACAGTCTTTGTCGAGTTGTCGAATAACTTGACCTGGCCCTCGAAGATCCCCAGGCCGGGCTCGCTCGGCGACTCGTCGGAGCCGTCAAACAGGACCTGCATGCCCACGCAGATACCCATCAGGGGCCGTCCCGATGCCACATATGCCTTGAGCGGCTCGACAAACCCCTTGGCGCGCAGAGCCTGCATGGCATACCCGAATGCACCGACTCCCGGGAAGATGATCTTGTCAGCCTTGTCAAAGTCCTCGGCTGTCTGGATGTACTCGATGCTGTATCCGATCTTCTCCACCGCATTGAGCAGGCTGCGCACGTTGCCGGCTCCGTAGTCTAGCAAGTACAGCTTTTGCGACGTCATTTGTAAATAGAAAGGTGACGCTATTGAATTCGAGTATGGAAAGTAGGATAGCGAAAAGACAGCAGAGCCAGAGGTCGTGCCTCGAACCTTTTAAGAGCACATTCTTATGCTCAAGCCCAGGCGTGCTGGGCGGAACGATCCTAATGACTCACTCGCCATAGAGCAGAATTCTGGTATTCAATCCACTGGAAATGCCAGGACGGACCACCGCCGCTCCAGAAAACACAGCCTCGTCAATAGCCTGGCTCACTGGATTCTGATATGGTGCCTGCGCACAGACACCTCTCAGCAGAATCAGGACATCAACCTCGCAGACAATTCGCACATGAGATCCTGGCATAGGCAGCTGAGGGAACATTCTGAAAATGCACTCGGTGTCTACAGTGGTTGACACCGATGCTCCCAACAGAACTGACGGAGCCTGGCTAGCCTGGCCGTAAATGCAGCGCAAGATGGACCCAGGCGGACCCAAGGCGAAAGGGGTAGTGCAGACATGCCGGATTCCCTGGAGGGCTCACACGACCAGTGCCACCACCCACAATGAATCCCAGGCCCAATATAGCGTCAACACAACAAACATGTGGCTGACTCATTTTCATGATGACACAACACTTTCCTGCAATTTGTTCATCTTCCTTTACTCGTAGCATGAGCTCTGGTGATGCTACTGATGCACCATCCCTGAAGCGTGCTCACCCAGGAACCACAGTCGATCATACCGCAGCACCGAAGCAACCCCGAACAGAACAGCCTGCAAACATGCATCTACCCGTAGCTCGCATCCCCATCCACCCGCTGTCGCAGTACCGTCGCGCCTGCCCACGCTTCACCGAGCCCAAGGAGGTTGTCTCCTTCAGTTACATCAAGAACCGCACCGTAGAGATGAGCGACAGAGAGCTGAAGTACTACTACCCGGCATCTCTTTCCCCGCGGCCCTGCCTGTTTGATAGTTTTGAAAAGCAAATCAAGCGCGACCACACTATCAACGAGCACATTGACGGACTGCTGGCAGCCCTGGGCCATTTGAAGGACATACAGCGGGACACCAATGCTGATTTCGTCATGTATCGTGGCATGTTGACCAGGATGTTCACCACGCCGTACAGCCTGCGCGATTCGTGGTCGATGAACGCAATGCGCGTTGGTAAAACCATCTATATCGAAGATAACGTCACTGACGACATGATTGCTCAGCGCGACGGCTCCTCGGCATGGCACCAGAAACTAATGTACAGCGGCTACCGCTTCGAAACTCTGAGCACCATCGACAAACCGCCCAGCCAGCTGCTGCCCAAAGATCCGGCTCTGGAACAGCGAGCCAACAGAATCGTCGATACCCACGAAGAGTATTGCTCTGTGTTCAAAATCACACTTGGCAACAACTCTATCATCTCCGGTGCGGAAGTCGACTGCATAGACCGCGAGAAGCCTGCAGAGTTCCCTAACCGCTACTACCGCGAACTCAAAACCAGCGGGCTTTTGGACTCGCCGCGCAAAATCGAGACGTTTGAGCGATTCAAGCTGCTCAAGTTCTGGGCACAGTCGTTCATCGCCGGAATCCCGACCGTCACCGTCGGGTTCAGGGGCGACGACGGCGTGCTACAGAGTGTCCAGGATTTCAAGACTCTCGACATTCCGCGGCTCGTGCGCAACAAGAAGCGCATGTGGGAGGCCAGCGTGTGCATGAACTTTGCTGATCGCCTACTCAGCTCTATCAAGCAGAATGTGGTCAAGGACGGCCCCGAGACGCAGTACCGGATTGCATATGACAGCAACAGCCAGGAGATTTCAATAACTCGTATGGAAAATATGCCGTCGTTTCTGACAGCAGAGTACTATTCAAAGATCTCTCAGTAAAACAAAATAACCTCCTCCTCAGAGCTGTGTCTGGCGGAACTGCCAGTACTTTTGACGCGGCAGATCGCACTCAGTCGCCAGCACATCGCACGCGCTGGATGCAAGCTCAATCGCCTCCTTTTGTTTCTCTGGGACATCCTTCGCCTGCTGCTCGTAGATATCAACCAGTGTTGCCCAGTAGAAGGGAGTGCCACTAATCGCGGTCAGGTACTCCTCGTCGGCCGCCAAGGCCTTGATCTGCGGCAACAGCGACTCGTACAGCTTCTCCGGCGCGTGACGCAACAGCAGCCCGACAATGAACGACCACGGGCTCTCGTTGTTCGGTGCCAGCTTGATTTTCTCCAGCGTATAGGCTAACTCGCGCTCCACAACGTCAGCACTCAGGCTAGAGCCGCCAGCAACTAGCGAAAAGTAGCGCTGGTTCCACGCAGAGTTATTGCGTATGTCCTCGTCGATTTTCACCGCCACAAACGCCAGCTCCTGGTCCCACAGCCCGTATGTACGCACAAGCCACTGCCGATATGCCCATGCGTGGAAGTTCTTCGACTCCTCGTCCAGCGACTCCGCCAGAAATCCAAGCTCGCGACGCAGCACTGGGATCGCAACACGGTCGTCCTGCGACATGCCCTGTATGCTGGCTGGATCTAACAGCATTTCCACAACGGCCTCGCGGTGGTGCCAGAGTTGGTAGTTTTTCGGCTGCATTGCTGACAGATCGGCTACCCACGAGAGCTCATCTTCCATGTTTACTTGCAGCTCACGCACGAGCTTCTTGCGGTACACCCACACCGTGTAGTGCCCTGGGTTCTCCTCGATCACCAGGCTGGTCAATTTCAGCGCGCGCTGCGAAATCTCACCCTTGGCCATCAGTGCGCGCAGATAGTCCATCATTTCTTTGTAGTCTTCAGCATACGCAATCGGGCAGACGGGGCTGGCAGTCTCCTCTTGGGCGAGTGGTACCACGTCTTTCCACTCGTCTTGCTGCGACATTGGCAGGCATGTCACATCCTCGCTCTCGGCTACCTGAACCATTACTAATTATTGCAGAGTGTACAGTGAGGCTGAGCAGAAAGTTAGGAATTGGCTGTAAAAAATTGCGAACTCTGAAATCTTTGTTTTGTGGCAGAAACAGTGATCACCAAGCTTATGGACGTGATTGAGCAATATCCGCGAATAGAGATAGTATTTTCATGATATTGCAGATATCATTCTTTTTCAGGTCGATTTATATTTGTTGGGATTTCAATACTTGTTCGACAGACTGGTCGCGTACAGTATCACACCTATATTTATACGCTAAGTATGCTTTACGCTTGAGTGTGCAATATTGATATCGACTACAATGTAGCTGAACATACTTTGCACACAGGCAAATGAATAGAGTATGCCAATTATGTAGAGCACCAAAAAAGGTGTCTGTATGCGAGATATCTCTTTTTTTTCTTGTTTAGCTCACCCATTCGAGCTGATCCTCATATCCTAGCCTAAAATGCCTTTGGGATACGTTAGAAGAACAATTCATTGTACTTTGGTCGAGTATTCCTTGAGCAAGTACTCTAATGTGTAAAAGGCATCAGTCTCATAAACTCCACACTCAATAAATATGCACAGCTGTGCATTTACCGTGAAACCTCTTAAAATACAGTGTTCAGTCTGGAACGACGCCATCACTGGATTCCCTCCAGTCCCCACCTTGATGACGATGATCTCTCTACCTATTGCTCCCTTATACTGTATGCAGCGGTCTTGCTACCTTACACCAAGCTACCGTTGCTCATATCCAAATCTAGGTCGTGTCCTTCGTGGATCCTGTCATGACTTTTGCCTTCTCTCCAGTCACCTCGTCAATTTGTCAGTGGATTGCCTGTTTGGCTGTCTGCCATTTAGATCTGGACACACACTGCTCGTCAGTTGCATGGCAGTTGCGCTTACAAGCGGTATCTAACATCTCCAGCCTTTTTGCTCAACCAATAGACATGATCGACGTGAGTGTAGGGGATACACATGCTGCTGACTATACATCTGCTTTTGGAAAATACCTACCTCAATAGGCAGCCCTAAGAGACTGATGTCCTTCTGGACCGCTGGTACATACTCGTCGACTACAGAAGCCTTGCGAATACCTGGCAGTTGCTGAATCAGTCTCAATGAATTGTCTCCCTTTGCACCATCTCTCCAGTCCCAATATCAGGCTGCTCCAATATGCTGCTGGCTGGCTGGGTGTCTGCTGTTTCTGGCGACAGGCCATGAAAGCACCTGGTGCATGGTCGTGTTCCATCCTCCTGCTTCTCCTCATAGGCAGATCCGACAGCCTACGCCTTTTCAGAGAACACACCAATCCAGGGGAAAGAATAGGCAGTATCCTGCCTGGATCTGGCATGTATACACCATAGCCATCGCGTATCCCTACTCTCCAGTCCAGGGCCTGCTACCGCTATCAGTGTAGTACTCTGGGTTGTCCTCGCTATCGGATCCTTCTGTGCTGGAGGCATTGCCGTCCTCAATCGCGAGCCGGTCGTCAAACCAGGTGCAGAAATAGGCAGCGCCAGATTCTGGAGGCTCATGTAGTACTTGCAGGAGCTGTAGATGGCAGTGCTCTAATGGAGCGCTGTGGAATAGTGAGAGTACCTTCTGGCCAAGGCATACCGGGTTATCCAATTATGAATGTTCTCAGACATAGGGAAATGGGGTGCTGCCTGCTCTGTTTTGGACCTGGTTTTGCTGGGAAAAGTGCCTCAAAGGATTGCGTGGATGGAAAATGATCCAAGGATGAGTGAAATGAAAAGCTGCTGCTCCTCGCAGTGTGAATTTCTGCCAAAAGTGCAGTTTCTGATGTTAGCCACTGAGAGACGCTGGATGGCAGAGGCACCAAAACCAGGTATATGTTTTTGGCTGGTTGCTGCAGACAGTGTCAAGTTGCAGGCCATCAACTTTACTCCAGGCGAGGTATCTAGATGCTCATGACAATCTGACTGAACCCCTGGATATCTGTCGTCCTGGTGCTTGTTGTGAACATATAGCCATTCGTATGGTGGATACAGCTCCTGCGATATACAGCCCTCCAGACTCAGCATATCGACTGCTGTTACGGTAGGGACTATAGCTCGGCGATTTCAGCATATGAAGGTACTGGGCGAACCGCCTGAATGCTGCACCCCCATGCTGGGAACATGCTTTCCTAGGGTGTGGAGTCAGAGATACTGTGCTGGCTAAATCCAAAATCCTGGCGAGAAGGCTACCTTGCAGGTTTCCAAATGTCTTGCTAGGCATTATAAACAGCTAACAACGGAATTTTGAGAAGATGGAATGAGGATGGGAGAATTTCATAATGGTAGTCTTTCCTTTCATACTGGGTTTCTGAGTAGCGAGTTCCTGCTTAGCTGGCTGTTGAGTACGACATAGTGAGCAGGTAGAATAGACAAGTACACTTCCTCACAGGCTTTCAGAAACAGCACAAGTGCTTGTCATACGTGAGATTTTCTTCCTTAGAAGCGCTGGGCACATGGCTAGATTAACAAGCATAAATCGTGGAGGGTTAAGAGATAAGGGGCACAGGTGTTGTCTGATTTCTTATGTCAGCAGCACTCAGAACCAGACGGTATGGACAGAGATTACGACCACCGACATGTTCGCCTGGCTGCCATGTGGATTGGTGCTGGGAGGTGAAATTGTATAAAGCTAAAAGGCAGCATCTGCCGACAAGCTGTTGTTCTCTTGCTGAAGGGATATGGCACCATTTGAGGTTAGCTTTTTTGCTTCTGTTGTCCGCAAGGGCCTTTGCGATATATATTAGATAACTATCCAAATAACGAGTAATGTATGGTATACTATGTAATGGCGCATTTAATTGGACGATCGTTGAAATGTGATGAAACTAGGTGTTTGCCACACCATGTCTCCCCCTTGAAAACCACACAGTACGTTCATATACCAGTGTGCAGTTAAATCAGCTGTGATGTCATGTGTCGCATCATTTTAATGATTTTCATAATTAATATTCGTATATACAGCTCACACAATTGCCCAATTCTCATCTTCATACTCGACATTATCGACTGCATCGTCGCATACATGCAATTGCCTCAGGGTCTCATGCACCTGCGGCTTCAATACATCCTCATTCTCTCTCCCACTTTCCGTGTACATGCGCATAATGACCTCGACGATATCATACAAATCCATCCCAAACAGCTCCGCTCCATCATTATCGTTGTCGCCGAGAGCCACCACAGCCCGGCGCAAATTCCGCACTGCGTCTGTGACCTGCTCTAGCGCGACTCTCACGCCCTGGCAGTGGCACACGTAGGCAATGTCGTAAAATAGCATGGCCAGACCGGCAATGAAGCTGGTGAGATTGCTATCGGCGATTGTCAGGGTGGCTTCTTGTGCATCGACATGGCGCCAGTGCGGACGAATCACCAGGCTGGGTCCGCGCTTCGACACAAGGAATGGCAAGTCTATATGCATGTAGTGCGTCAGCACGCTGAATATATGTATGACATGGCCGACGCACGCATTGATGTAGTCATTCGGATATTTTGCCCAGTCCTCACGGCGCGGCCATGGCAGCCCGAACAGCCTATCTCCTTCACCTAGCAGCACGTAGATGTCGTCTGCTGGTTCATCGAGCTGCAGGCCGACAATGTCACACAGTGCATTGGCTAGGATGAGTCTGTCTTTGCGTAGCATCAACTGGACCTTCTGGTTCCTTGCCGCCATCTTCTGTTCGCCATCTGCTGCCTGCTGCAATTCGACGGCAAGGTGCGTTCGGCTGCTCTTCGTGGCATCTAAAAGCTGTGCGCGCCGCTGGGCGATGGTGGCAGCAAGCAGGTCACGCTGTGTTTGGGCTTCTTGTATTTGTCGCTCACGGGCAGATATTTTCGTTCGTAGACCGGAAATGCGCTGGTGGTGGCCACGCATTTGCATGGTGTGGTGGTCGTAGAGCAGCTCGTGCGTGCCGGTGTGCTGCAGTGAGGCGTCCGGGACTTGCTCTAGGAGCCAGCGGTGCTGGCGTATGCGGTCCTGGAGGCAGGCAAGGCAATAGTATCTCTGCTTGGCGTTCTTGCAAACATTGCATTTCATTGCCGAAAGGTATGCTGAATTACGAGTGAAGGAAATAAAATGTGCTGCGAAATGAGGGATTGCGGAGAAGAGAAGCGGCTTGCTCCAGTCACACGCACGAAAAGGTGCAGGTAGGTTTCGTTGTTAAAAACACGACTATAGAAGAGCCTACATGATCGAACAATTGGGTGCTTCAGGCACCTTAATCTCGCCGTTGTCGTCGAGCTCCATATCGGGCGACAGCACCTTGAGCAGCTCATTTGGCGGCTGCCCGCAGTCCTGCATCTTCTGCATCAGGTCCACAATCCTCGGGTCGTTGACGGTGCCGTCGGTGATCTTGTCAAACATTTCCAGGATCTGCTTGACATACCCGTGCTGCTTTTCGTACCGCTCGCAGTCCTCCTTGGACAGCGTGTCCTTATTCTTCTCCAAGTACTTTGGGTATTCGACATCCAGGTCCTTGAGCGGCTGGTACAGCATGTCCTTGGACATGAGCTGGCCAATGACATCGTCAACCAAGGAGTCCAGCTGCGTGTCGTCGCCCAGCGAGTCCATTTGCCGCATCAGCTCCTCCATCATATCGCCGCCGAACAAATCGGCAGTCTCAGCGTCGGCCATCTCGTTGCTCTCCTTGAGCTTATCCATGGTGGCCTTGATCTTGTCCTGGAACGACAGCGGCTCTTCGGAGGAGGGCGTGGCTGGAGCCTCCTGCGCAGCAGAAGCAGCAGCGCTGGCCGGGATTGAGGAATTGTCGGTGCGCAGCGATGCCATGTCCTTGAGCAGCTGGTCGATGGTTGACTTCATCTGGTCGCTCTCGGAGCTGTCGCCGCCGTTGGTCTTGAGCAGGTCCTCCATGCCCTTTGTCAGCTGGCGTGCGAACTCCTCCTCAAAGCTGGCTATATCCTCGGTGGTCTCTGTCGAGCCGGAGGAGGACTCTGCAGGCTTGTCGGCGGCGGGCTTGGGCGCAGGCTTGGGTGCGGGCGCGGTGAACTGCTCAAGGGCATCGTCGAGCAGGTCGTCGAATTCGTCGTCGTTGAGGTGGGCCATTATTAGGGGTGGAGATAAAGAGGGGTGGAGAAAGAGTAATTGAGGCTGAGGAGCTGGAATGCAGCAAAACAGCAAAGAGCGGTTTGTGTGTCGGTTTTGTATCTGGGCACGGAACAGACGGAGCGGACACTTCATTCACATGCTCCGCCGTTCCTCGTTTTCGGCGCCTATTCCTACCCATGTGCCTTCCCGTTGCGTGAATCTGCTCTTTTAATCACCGGATCAACACCGCGCCCATGTCCCAGAATTTTTTTTGTTCTTGCACAGGGTATTTCCGCAAGCGCCTACAGACGCGCTGCCTTCGCCTTAGCACTTGTTCCCAATCCCCCTTTTTAACACATATCAGCATGGCGGACACAAAGGTGGTTATCCCCGGCGATGTCATCGACACAACGATACACATGGAGACCGGCGACGGTGACGACTCGGTCGTGCGCCTGGGTCCGGGGCTGACGCAAATCAACGACTCGGTCACCTCGATCTCGGCCGGCGTCCTCCACAGCAACCCCGAGACGCACCAGCACTGGGTCGTCAGCAACAAGCGGCGATATGTGCCGGCTGAAGGCGAGCCTGTTGTTGGTGTGGTCACGGCCCGGCACGGCGAAGGCTACCGGGTGGACATTGGATCGGCGCACGACGCGCTTCTCCCGCTTTTGGCGTTTGAGGGCGCGACCAAGCGCAACAAGCCGAACCTGGCCGTCGGAACGGTTGTCTATGGTCGCGTAGTGGTGGCGAACCCGGTGATGGACCCGGAGATTGAGTGCTACAACTCGAACACGGGCAAGGCCGAGGGGTATGGCGAGCTGAGCAGCGGCTTTGTGTTCCAGTGTTCGCTGGGGCTGGCGAGGCGGCTGATGGATGCGCAGGCGCCTGTGCTCAATGCGCTGGGCGACGAGGTGCCGTTTGAGGCAGCGGTGGGGTTGAATGGAAGGGTGTGGGTGCATGCGGAGACGCCGGCGGCCACGATCCTGGTAACCAATGCGATCCGGAATTCAGAGTTTTTGGATGCCAGGCAGACAAAGCAGATGGTCAAGGAGCTGCTGGCACGGCAGTGAGGCGCAGCCTGCATTTGTGTCTAAAACATTGAATAAGTGACCAAATCAAAACAAAAAAAACTGCGCTAGGAAATCCGCACTCTGCCCAAACGACACAAGACAGTAAAGCCGCCGCCGGTGTTTGTGAGGCGAAGGATATTAGCAACTTTTGTTTTCCACAAAGCAGATTGTTGCCTATCAGTCAGCTGACGGAATAGATAGTGCGGCTTTTCGGCACACGTGCGATAACGGCCTTTGGCTGTAGCGCAGCAACGGCAGTGCGGACATCCTGAAGCCTTCGCCTTTTCTTCGCTCCGGCTCTCCAAGACTCCTTCGCTCTGCTTTACTCCTTAACCACACCTCTTCTCTTTCCCCTTCGCCTTTATATTCCTCCCCTTTTTTACATTTGTTTTTGACTTTTGCAATTCCCTTTTGAACAAACCTTTTTCTTTACAACTCGCCAGACGTTATTCCTTAATTTCAGACCCCTTTTTTTTTTTTCGCTCGCCATGGCACCTCGTCTTCCCGAGAAACCCAGGTCCCAGGGACAGATTCCCTATGCGGCAGTGCCTACACGGGCCAGTTCTGACAGTCACGAAGGGCGCCATAGTCTGGTGCGGCAGGAGGCAGGCGAGATGAGCGACTTTGAGGACCACGACGAGTTCCTTGGCTCTGGAACGCACCCGGGTGCGATGGAGGTGTCGGATAACGACACGCTTTATTACGGCGCGAGTCTGGGCGCCCGCCGGCGTTTGAGAAAGGTAAGGCGTCAAATTTCAGCCAGCCAGTGGCTTATTTTTGGGGAGAGCGGAAGGGACTAGACAGGGTGTAACTGTTTGTAAGACACATTTAAACTCACTTGTCCAAGCGTATTGGGTGTAGGGCAAGGGCTTCTGGGTCACAGTGGTTGCGCTGGTGACGGTCTCGATGTTTGGCATGGTGTGGCTGTATTTCGACGGCATCAGCTGGATGCGGCGGTCCAAGAAGCGCAATGTGATTCTGATGATCAGCGACGGGTTTGGGCCAGCGTCTGAGACGATGGCACGCAACTTTTGGCAGCAGACGCACAAGCTGCCGGTCGGGTTCCAGAGCCCGCTGGACGAGATCCTTGTGGGCTCGTCGCGCACGCGGTCGAGCAGCTCGCTGGTAACGGACTCTGCAGCAGGCGCAACGGCGTTTTCGTGTGGTCACAAGTCGTACAATGGCGCTATTGGCGTGATGGACAGCGAGTCGCCGTGCGGCACGGTGCTGGAGGCAGCGAAGCTGCAGCGCAAGATGCTTACTGGGCTGGTGGCGACGAGCCGGATTACGCATGCGACGCCGGCGGCGTTCTCGTCGCATGTGCTGCATCGCGACATGGAAGATTTGATTGCCGAGTACCAGATTGGCAACTACTCGCTGGGATCCGTGGTGGACCTGATGTTTGGCGGCGGGCGGTGCCACTTTTTGCCGCAGAGCGCCGGCAACGACAGCTGCCGGATGGACAACCGCGACTTGTGGAGCGAGGCGAAGCAGGCTGGGTTCCGGGTGCTGAAGGACCGCAAGGCGTTTGACCAGCTGGAGACCACCAAGGAGGTGCTGCCGGTGCTGGGTTCGTTTGCGCTGTCGCACATGGACTATGACATTGACCGGAAGCCTGAGGAGCAGCCGTCACTGGCGGACATGTCGGACAAGGCGCTGCGGATCCTGAAGTCGGCAACCAAGGACAGCGACTCTGGGTTCTTCCTGATGATTGAGGGCAGCCGCATCGACATGGCAGCGCACACGAACGACCCGGCTGCGCATGTGCGTGACATCATCGCGTACTGGGATGCCATTGCCGTGGTGCGCAAGTTTGTTGACGAGAACCCCGACACGGTGATGGTTAGCGTGTCGGACCACGAGACTGGCGGCTTCTCGGTGGCCAAGCAGCTGACGGCCGAGTACCCCGAGTACCTGTGGAACCCGCATGCGCTGGAGCCAGTCAAGCACTCGATCGAGTACATTGCGCCGCAGATCCTGGCGCTGGGCACCAAGGACAGCGACAAGTACGCGTTTGTGCGCGACACGGTGTTCCCCAAGTGGATGGGGATTTCCGACGCGACGCACGACGAAATCTCGGCGGTTGCCAAGGAGACCGAGTCGGTGCGGCTGCGGCAGCTGCTGAGCGACGCCGAGTCGACTCGCGCCCAGCTCGGATGGTCGACGCATGGGCACAGCGCGGTGGACGTCAACCTGTATGCGTACGGCAGGGATGCGCATCTGCTGGCGGGGAACCACGAGAACACCGACATTGGGAATTTCATTGTGGAGATGCTGGGGCTGGACCTGCAGGCCGTCACGGCGCTGGTGCACAGCGATCGCGTCCGGCAGGAGACGGCGGCGGTGAAGGAGGCGTGGCTGGGGAGGCGGGATCTGGATGCTGCTGACCACTACCCCCACTACCACCACTGAGCAGCGAGTTGTTTTTCATTTAGCGGCCTCCCGTAACAATAATAACACATGATTCGCAGCGGGGTGTGGGGGTGGAGTGCGGAGGAGACATGCCAAATTTAGATACGAAGGATAACCAAAATACAGCGAATCCTCAGTCGGTTGATTTTCTCGAAGGGCTGAAAAGCAAACATTGATTTGTGCCAATAAGCTAGCGATATGGAATTAGTGTGGGAACAGGGGAGGGAGCGGAGGGGAGGAGAGCTATTCATGGAAGGTACAGTTGGCAGATTCTAAAACGAAGTCATTGGCTGGGTCGGGCGAGATCACGTAGCACATCATGCAAGCTAGCGACAGTCTGGTGTAGCATGCTGGTGAGGCCCTTGAGTGTCTCGACCTGCACGTCCATCTGCTTCTGCTGCACCAGGAGCCGCTGGCTCTCGAGGTCAGCCTCGCGGGCCTGCATTTCTAGCCGCCGCTCCTCGAGCCGGACGCGCTGGGCCTCCAGCACACGCTCCTGCTCCAGCGCCTGCTTCCGGAAGGCCAGCTCCTCGCGCCGGAGGTTGAGCTGGAGCCATTCGATTTCCTCACGCGGGGCGGGCGGCGCCTCGTCGTCGCGGGCGGCTTGGCGCATGGACCCGCCGAGCGGCGCCGTGGTGGGCTGTGGGGCAGACACGACAGGGATGGGCATTGTGGCCGAGGTGGCCGTGGCTGGACGGGCAGGCATTTCGCCCAGCGGATCGTATAGGCGCGGCGGGGCGAGCTGCTGCTGCAGCCGCAGGGGCAGCGGCGAGCGCTGCGGCTGCTTGGCCTGCAGCGGCGCCTTTGCAGGCAGGAACTGGGCAGGCGAGCGGCCGTTGACCAGCGCCATGGTGGGGAAGGTGCGGCTGCGCTTGCCGCCCAGCATGGTGGGCGTGTCGTCGTCGTCGAGCCCGCGCTTGGGGGCGATCTTGCGGACCAGCTGCTGCCCATGGGGCATCGACTCGGCGCTGGCTATCCGCGGCGGCGACGCGCGTGGCACGCTGAGCGACGTGCTGGCCAGGCTGGGCGAGCGGGCGCCGGGCCCATCCTTGTGCCATGGGGCCTGGCGTGCGGCGGGATTGAAGATGGCATGCAGCTTGAAGTAGTTTGTGCATAATGCCTCGGCCACCTCGTCGGCGCGCTTGCCCTGGTGCTTGGTGGAAAAGTCGGGCCGGTGTGTCTCGGCCTCGGCCCGCTGGTAGCGCTTCTCAAGCGTGCGGATCTTGCCCTCGATAGCGCGGCTTGTTTTGCTCGGCAGCACGTCGCGGATGATGCGCTCGTGGCAGTCCTTCTTGCGTCGCGGCTCGTTGAACAGCCGCCGGTTGCTGGGCTCGTACAGCCAGTCGATCAGCGCCGATTCCTCCCATGGCAGCCACAGCGCGTACCCGGCCTTGCCCTCGTCGCTGTGCCCCGACCGCTCGTATATCGCCTCGCTGTGCGAGTACCGCAGCCCCGGCGGCACGTCGCCCGCCTGCCGCTGGGCTGTCTGCCCGCCCGCCTGGCTTGCGTCCGGCGACGCCCGCCGCCCCGAGCCGTCGTTGCTGAGCGAGGATTTTGGCCGGTTGTTAATTGCTGGCGAGCCGTTCGGCTCCCGTGCTGAGCGGTGGTACGCCTGCATGCCTGCCTGCGGGGACTCTGACCGGGCCGCGGCTAGCGACCGGTCTCTGCTACTGTTGTTGCTGCTGTTGTCGAGGATATGTGCGAGCTTGGAAGCATGCTCGAGTGCAGATTGCCCCTGGCTTGGAATGTGCTCGTGCTCGGACGGGGTGTTTGTCCGGTCGCTGTCGTGACTATACGCCATGCTTGAGAAGGAGAAAAATGAAAATTTAAAGGGGGTGGGCCATTCAGCAAGTGTATAGAAATAAGAGAAGACGAGAGGGCGAAAAAGGGATGTTGTGGACAAATGCCGCAATAGATACGAAATCTGTCGAGCCTATAGGCAGCCGAGCAGGACTTTTTTCTTTTTGAGTGCCAAGACGCGTCAAGCAGCCTGCCAGAGAGACTGTCAAGAGCAGGGGAACACGCACAGGTGCCCTTGAGGGGGGAGAGCTGCTTTGTGCTCGGGTATCCTTAGGAGATACTACTGGCGGTGTATCCCTCCAGGTCTGAAAGTTGTGGACAAGGTATTCCCTGCCCTCCATATCTCTTTTATGATGAAAAACAATTGCAGCAGCGGATGGCCCACAAAGGCGTGGGGCAGCGAGGCGACCCACTCGCAGATTCGCTGGCTGCCTATTGGGCCACCACCACCTGCTCTGCGTCGAATTCTGAAGGGAAAACAAGGTGTGCCGCTGCTCAAGGAAAAAGGAGAGGCGAACCGGTGGCTGCGCAGCTAGCGACGTACCCGCTTGCATGATGCAGCTGAGCTAATTCCGAGCTGTAGGGTTCGGGCTTGCGAGCGATCGGATATGTGCCCTAAAAGAATTGCCCGGTCTCCAAAAAAATAAAAAATAAAAAGACAGTTTGTAATCCTACCGAGATCACCTAGCACAGTCCCGCGCTCTTAAAATGGCCAGACGAGCATGGGCAGAGAAAGAAAGCGTCCCACGCCCACTGGACATCGCAATCGTGTCAGCGCACATGGTCCGCTGGCGCCTCCACTCGGATTCCTCCACCCAGGTTCCCCCGCTGTCGAGGGCTGACTCACTATCGCCTGGCAACGATGCAAATAGCAGCACCCGGTCCGCTTGACCATTCCGGGTAACCATCGCCGCTGGCGCTGTGCCAGGATCCAATTGGTGCACACCATGCTTTTTGGCTGCAGGCTGCAAGGGGAGGCACAGCATTACCGCCGGGGCTTTTTTGGCCCCTCCCCTTTTGGCGCTACCTCGGGATATTAGTTTATCAGCAGGGGCAACTACTGGCCGGCACCAGCGCGAGACGGCCGGCACGCTGGAGGCCATTTTTGCGGCGTGGCGAGCAGGATGGATTCCCCCGCCTCGCGCACGGACAGCGGCCCCATTGGCTGGACCCGCACGCTGCATGCTATCCTTGGAGTTGCGTGCCCCGCCCGCCCGCCAGCCAGCCAATCCACACGCATGGCCCCGCGGCCAAAAGGACTTTCCTTGGTTGACACTTCCTAAATCATTTTAAGAATCGGATGGTCGCATGAAAGCACGATTGGGGGGCAATCAGCGAAGCTCAGCGCCACAGCCCGCGGTTTGCGGTCTGCATTATTATGTCCGCGCATTTCGCACTGTATCGTGTCCGGAGGCATAGTGGAAAATCGATCGGTTAGCCAATTGCGTGTAGAGCGAAAAACGCACAGGGGATTGCCATTTTGCAACTTTAAGGCAAGCCGCATTCAAGCCATTTCGTGCGTAAGATGGTGGGGGGAGGCGCTGATCACCCCCCCTCGCTCGCAAACGTCGCCTTGTGCTCGCCTTGATGCAATAGGAAAACCTGGCCATCCGCTTTTTCGCCGAATACTCCTGCTCTTACGCGTTCGCCCTTCTGCCCCGCTACCCCCCGGGCGGTTTTCAAGAATCCCACTTCGATATTCTTTCAATTGGAGCAGAGGGATTTGTTTACGCGCACGCAGAAAATTTTTCCAGCACTGGAGGCAAACAAATACAGGTCTTTTTCTCTTTGCCTTTTTGCTTTTATACTTTGTTCTCCCCCTTCTCTTTATTTCTGCATCGATTTCTTATATGCTACCAGCGCAGTATTCTACCGGCTGTACGCGTCTGCACCTTTCTGATTATTATATAACCACTCTTCCCTCCACTTTTTTCCCCACTCGCGTTTTCTCCTTATTCACTCACCTTTCCCTTTTGCTCAGTCACTGGGTCTGTGCATGTGTCTCCGAACATCAGGGAGATAAAGTCTTGTGGTTCTGCCTCGCGCTGGAAGGAAAGCAAAAAAGATTTCCTTGACAGGCTTTTTCTCCTATCCTTTTTGCTGCTCTTGAACCTAATTAAAAAAAAGGTACTCCAGCTTTTTGCATCCTCCTTCTGCATAGCTTCTTGCTTTTGACTGCTCGCCATTACAATTTATGCACTTTGGGCCTTTTTCCTTTTGCTCTACAACAATCCGTCAGTTGCTGGGCCATTTTCTCGTCGTGAAACGCGTTTATACATGACCGGTTCCTCCATTATATTAATACACGCCCTCTTCTCTCTTCCACCCCTGTAGTTTTTCTCATTTTCGTTCCTTTTTATTTTACGGCACTCTATCCGTTCAGTGGGGGCTTTTTTTATTTCCTCTGGCCAAAAGCGTCCTATTTAGCCAGCCTATTATTTTGCTCCATTTCTTGTTTCGTCGCTCGCACCGTACACGCCCCACACACCGAGTTCTGCAGCGGACGGTCTCAGCAGCACATACGGCCCATATAATTCTTGAATCGCATGTCGCCCCTGGACGGCAGTAAGCGGCCACGGACCGATGGTTCATCGTCGCCGCCCTCACCCATCTCCGCCCCCGTCCGCCCCTCGGCACCGCAGCGAACACCCAGCACGGGCGTCATGACCACGCACGAAATGGAGGTGGACACGCTCAGCGAGCAGCAGGCGCAGGACCCATCATTGCATCCGCGGATTCTGAGTCTGCTCGAGCAAATAGTGGTCTCGCAGGAGCGGCTCGCAGCTGACGTGAGCCGGCTGCAGAGTTCGATGGATACGGTGCTGGCATCGCTGGGTACGGGGCGTGGTGGCCATTCTCTGGCCAGCATTGTCGCGCCGCGCGACTCCCACGATCATTCGCTGCCACCCCTGTCCGCGCTTCCGCACTCGTCAGCACAGCCAAGCGCGCCAGCAAGTCAGCAGGCGCGGTCTCCCTCAGCGTCGCCGCGTCTCCAGCATGGCGGTGCCCAGCAACAATCCCCACGCGATTATCATCGTCCAGCCACTGGAAACCCTGCTACCAGCTTCTATAACACGCCACCGCCACCCACGCAACAATCCATGTCGATTTCGCTTCCACCGCCTGCAGCGCTGGCGCGGAATCCAGGGTTCTCGACGCCCAGCCTCATGCGATCCGCCGGCCCGCAGACCACGTTCCACCAGCCGGCAAAGTACATGGCCCCGCAGATGCCCATGTCGGCGCGCCCGCACTCGCCGCCACATCCAAAGCACAGCAAGCCGCCGCCGCTGCAGCAGTACCAGCCCCGGTTCCCTTATCACCCGCCGCCATCGTCGGCGCCGCCACACCAGACCCAACAGCAACAGCAACATCAGCAACATCAGCAACATCAGCAACATCAGCAACAGCAACAGCAGCAATCCATCTCTTTACCGCCAATCCGCCAATCGCCAGTCCACCCCTCCCAGGCGCCCAACAGCGCGTCGGCTGCAATGCTGTCCCAGAAGCAGCCGATGCTAGGCCCGCCCTCCGCCCCAGGACACGCCCACGGACCCGACACCGGCGGGGCAACGTCCAAGCCGTCGCTCGCCATGGGCCGCCAGATCCCCGCCTCCATGATGTCCCCACACGGCCCACCCGGCGGTCTGGCGCATGCGCCACCGTCGTCGGCCCCAGCCTCGATGACACACCACATGCTGCACCAGCGCAGCGCGACGCCCGGGTCCTCCAAGCTGTCGCCGCCCGGACAGCAAAGCTACTCGCAGCTCAAGCTCGAAAAGAATCGGTTCCAGGCAAACATTCGCGCTTTCGTCGACCAGCACTTTATGTCGCCGGGCAACACGCAGTGGGATTACCAGCAGTCGTTCAAGTCGCCGCGCAATGCACAGGTGACGCAGCAGATTGTCCACGCCTTCTACAACGCCCATGGCGGCACCGTCGAACGCATCGAGCACGGGCTCAGCGTGTATTTTAGCTCGCTGAAAGCCAAGCACCGGACCACCGAGGACAAGGCTCTGCTCAAGCAGCAGCGCGACCGTCGCCGCGCTAGACGAATCAAGAAGGCGGCCGGGCGACGCAAGGTCTTTGACCGCACGCAATACCCGTTCCTGCCAAACGAGTTCGACCCGAATCTGGCCTTTGTGCCGAGCGCCATGAGCCCCGAGCACACTGACGACGATGGCGAGGTCAAAGTGGGCACCCTCGAATGGCGCACGCCCACATACACCAAGCTGTTCAAGCTGCTGGACACGCTGCGTCCAAAGCGCACGCCGCGGCCCAACAACCCGCACCTCAAGGGCTGTGCCGCGCCGCCGCCTGAAATCCCCTCCATCATGATCGATCCTGCATACGCCGCACTCGATCGGGTGGCCGAGGAGCAACACGACATGGACGAGGACGAGTCCGACGAGGATGCCGACTCGCACGCGGCCTCAATGTACATGTAAAAGCATCATACCATTGCGTTATTTATTACTGCGTTATTTCCCCCATCCCTTATTCCAGTTAGAGCATCTCCACCACCACCACTCCGTCTCTCCCTTAGCGATTCTTCTAATCTTTTTCATGCCGTTTATTCCTGCGTTTTTTATATTTCGTCGCTCGCTTTTAATAATTGCCCCCATTCTCAAGCAAACAAAGCCTTTTGTATGCACCACGTAATTGCTCTTGGCACATGGTCTGATTGATGCTGCAGTTTCAGATGTTCGAAATTGCTCCTCTTCCTTGTCATTCCTCTAAGCTGACCAATACCGGCAGAGCAGAAAGATGGCTTGCGAGCAGGCACTGCACGATTTATGATCGCCCCACCCCTTTTACTGTGCTGCTGCTTATCAGCAATTTGCCCAAAAATATATGCAGTAGGCTGGCTTCGGCAGAATTGTGTCGCTCTCTCAGCGGTGCTCGGAGCAAAGGACAGCCGAAATGAGCCGAACCACGCCATCTGTAGTGGGAAAGCCTGCAGTCACTCCAGGAGCAGATCCTCAGCTAGCATGCAAAGCAAGCACCTGCCTTGCATATTGCAGCATAGTCGCCAAGAAATACCAAATTTAGAAATACACGAAAATCGCCGCTAATCTGATCTCATGTGTGATTGCGCTGGGCTGGAAATCAAGGGCTGTCAGAATCGCGCACACGCGGAGCAGGGTTGGCGAAGGCGCGTCATTCACGCTTATTTTTCCTCTCTTTTTGTAATTTCGCAATTTATTACACGTTTCTCCTAAAAATGTCTGACCAGCACGCCGAGGAATACGAGGACCTAAAGGAGCAGGACCGCTACCTGCCTATCGCCAACGTGGCACGGATCATGAAGCGGTCCCTGCCAGACAACGCAAAGATAGCCAAGGAGGCAAAGGAGACTGTGCAGGAGTGCGTATCTGAATTTATTTCCTTCATTACCAGCGAGGCCAGCGACCGGTGCCAGCAGGAGAAGCGGAAAACTATCAACGGCGAAGACATTCTGTGGGCGATGCAGTCGCTGGGGTTTGAAAACTACGCCGAGGCCCTGAAGCTGTACTTGGTCAAGTATAGGGAGTCTGTCAAGGTCGAGAAGGACGGCGGGTCGAAGGAGTCGTCGCAGCCAGCCCCTGATCAGGCTGAGTTGGGCCAAGACCAGCTGGGCGTGCAGGCCGACTCCAGCGCGTTGAACGCGTATATGGCGCAGCAAGGACAGCAGAATCCGTACTATGGTTAAACAGTGCTTATCGTGAAATAATAGCAAGAGTTGCTTTGTAGTACAATGGAGCACGGGTGTGGTCTGCAGTGCCCATTGAGATCTGGGTCTCTTTGTGTAGTACAGGGCGGCGGAAGAATGTCTGTGCTTCTTTGTAGGTGGGGTAAGTGCATCTGCCAGCTATTCTTGCATTGGGAGGACCTCTGAGTCTGCTTCCTCAGACAAATAGCCTGCCACATTTATTTACGAGGACAGCTACATTGCTACCATGGTAGAGCAGAAGCTGTTTCTAGTAGACTATGTGCTGTGTCGACAAAGATGAGCCGATACTAGTGGGCTTTATTTTCCACCTGTGTTCTCGGCTAAGACACCAATGCAGCTATGGCGTGACACAGTTCCCGGGCACGAAAACATAGTGACCAAAACGACATAGACATATTGTTGCGCGCCCGCTGCGGCTGTCCCTGACGTCGACATGTCAGCTGAATCAGGTGACAGCAAGCCAGGCGCCAACGAGAGCCCCGCTACAGCCTACAATATGGAGATAGAGTAGCCTCTGATAAGCTGCATAGACGGCCGTATTGAAAACTCCCCTGTGCAACCCGTCTATTCCCTTTTCTCTCTCTTCAGTATTAAATATGGCTTTTAAAATCCCCACACATTCAACAAACACAACAATATTACAAAATGCATTTTGTTTAAGATTACTCATTTTTATCGTCACCTACATAGAATTGGCAAACCTCCTCACTCCTTTTGGGGTTCTTTAAATATTCCTCGAGAGCATAGAATCCAATATACGGTACACAAAATGCCCCTAGTGAGGGCAAATAAGAAAGCAGATAGTCGAGCATTCCATACCTACCAATATAAAATGACACTCATGGTGATAGCTCATTTACCCCAAGTTTCTGCTAAGCGATTGATTCTCTTTAGTTTCTGGTGGGCTGTAGGAATATCCGACTATATAATTATTGGCACAATTAGCATGAGGAACCAGTCTCACCGATCTTAACATAACCCTGTGTTTTGTTAGTGGCGACAAAAGTAATTTGATGACTGGTATGGAGATGCATCGTGTACAGAAGCTGGCTTGTATCAGATCTAAGGTGCCCAGTTTGAGAGTTTTTGTGAGAAACTATACACATGGGACCTCTCTGGATGTTATACTATTACTCCTGAGATAAGGATTACGAAATACAAACCCGATTTTATTAGACGTTACTTTAGCATCTATCTTGTTCAGATATATTTTTATTTTCCCCTCTCTGAAGATATCAACAATGTGTTTCCATTATAAGAGAATAAAATTCCTGGGCTATTGGATGGCCAAGGGTGTAAAATAAACCAGTATCAATGGAAACTAAAGAGCGCTTTAGGCAATACAAGAGTGATGTCTGTAGTGTATGCCATATGAATATTTAAACATTACAGATCACATTCAGGATCTTAGATCTAATATATGGTATCATTAATGTAGAGCACCAAAAAAGGTGTCTGTATGCAAGATATCTCTCTTTTTTTCTTGTTTAGCTCACCCATTCAAGCTGATCCTCATATCCTAGCCTAGAATGCCTTTGGGATACATTAGAAGAACAATTCATTGCACTTTGTCGAGTATTCCTTGAGCAAGTACTCTAATGTGTAAAAGGCATCAGTTTCATAAACTCCACACTCAATAAATATACACAGCTGTGCATTTACCGTGAAACCTCATAAAATGCAGTGTTCAGTCTGGGAACGACGCCATCATTGGATTCCCTCCAGTCCCCACCTTGATGACGATGACCTCTCTACCTGTTGCTCCCTTATACTGTATGCAGCGGTCTTGCTACCTTACACCAAGCTACCGTTGCTCACATCCAAATCTAGGTCGTGTCTTTGTGGATCCTATCATGACTTTTGCCTTCTCTCCAGTCACCTCGTCAATTTGTAGTGGGTTGCCTGTTTGGCTGTCTGCCATTTAGATCTGGACACGCACTGCTCGTCAATTGCATGGTGGTTACACCTATGAGCGGTATCTAACATCTCCAGCCTTTTTGCTCAACCAATAGACATGTCGACGTGAGTGTAGGAGGATACACATGTGCTGACTATACATCTGCTTTTGGAAAATACCTACCTCAATAGGCAGCCCTAAGAGACTGATGTCCTTCTGGACCACTGGTACATACCCGTCGACTACAGAAGCCTTGCGAATACCTGGCAGTTGCTGAATAGCCTCAAGAACTGTCTCCTTTGCACTATCTCCAGTCCCAATATCAGGCTGCTCCAATATGCTGCTGGCTGGCTGGGTGTCTGCTGTTTCTGGCACAGGCCATGAAGCACCTGGTGCATGGTCGTGCTCCATCCTCCTGCTTCTCCTCATAGGCAGATCCGACAGCTTACGCCTTTTCAGAGAACACACCAATCCAGGGGAAAGAATAGGCAGTATCCTGCCTGGGTCTGGCATGTATACACCATAGCCATCGCGTATCTCTACTCTCCAGCCAGGGCCGCTACCGCTATCAGTGTAGTACTCTGGGTTGTCCTCGCTATCGGATCCTTCTGTGCTGGAGGCATTGCCGTCCTCAATCGCGAGCCGGTCGTCAAACCAGGTGCAGAAATAGGCAGCGCCAGATTCTGGAGACTCATGTAGTACTTGCAGGAGCTGTAGATGGCGGTGCTCTAATGGAGCGCTGTGGAATAGTGAGAGTACCTTCTGGCCAAGTTATACCGGGTTATCAATTATGAATGTTCTAAGACATAGTAAATGGGGTGCTGCCGCTCTGTTTTGGACCGGGTTTTGCTGGGAAAATGCCTAAAGGATTGCGTGGATTGAAAGCGATCCAAGATGAGTGAAATGAAAAGCCGCTGCTCCTCGCAGTGTGAATTTCTGCCAAAAGTGCAGTTTCTGATGTTAGCCACTGAGAGACGCTGGATGGCAGAGGCACCAAAACCAGGTATATGTTTTTGGCGGTTGCTGCAGACAGTGTCAAGTTGAAGGCCATCAACTTTGCTCCAGGCGAGGTATCAGATGCTCATGACAATCTGACTGAACCCCTGGATATCTGTCGTCTGGTACTTGTTGTGAACATATAGCCATTCGTATGGTGGGTACAGCTCCTGCGATATACAGCCCTCCAGACCAGCATATCGACTGCTGTTACGGTAGGGACTATAGCTCGGCGATTTCAGCATATGAAGGTACTGGGCGAACCGCCTGAATGCTGCACCCCCATGCTGGGAACATGCTTCCTAGGGTGTGGAGTCAGATACTGTGCTGGCTAAATCCAAAATCCTGGCGAGAAGAATACTTTTATAAATGCTGGATATATTGTGAATCCCAAGGAAAGCAGTGTTAAAAAGAAGAGCATTTAATGGACCATATATCTACCCATACGGTTTTGATAGATTTATTCGCAGAGGAGGCAACGGCCACCAGAGTAGCCGCAGCAGATGCGACCACGCTCGTCAAGCTCGACTGGGTTAGCGCTAGCGACACCAACAAGCAAGACAATCGCAAGAAGGGCGCTGGCAGGGACGTTGAAGAAGTTCATATTGAGGATTAGACTTGGGGTAAGTTAATGAGAAGAGTAGTGTTAACGGGAGTAAAGAATACTAGGGGGTTGTGTGGAAAAGTGGACCATTTAAATATCCCACTGGTTGTATGCCCACACCTACCCCTCAGGCCATTTGTAGCTGTATGTCAGCAATCAAGAATACACTCATACTATTATCTGGGCAGAAAAATGAAGGTCCTTACTAATCCTGTTCTTAACATGTTATTTGCTGGTGCCTGCTGGCCTACATCTTGGAAAGCGATTCCCACACATTGCCAAATATAGAATACGAGGGAGAGGATCTGTGCACCGTGTGCATGCAGCTGTAAAGAGCCCCGTCCTTCAGAAAGAAGGCTCTCCATCAGCGATTGCATCTGGCATGAGCACATGGAAATGTCGAATGCAACTCGATTGGGCAGAATGTTGAGGAGGCAGATAGTACATCGAGGCTGCCTACCTCACAGCCTAATCTGCTATGGCGTTTACTGAAAGCATATAGACACATGCTTTTCTCGATGTATGCTTTCTTTTACACAAGACAGCGGAATGAGCCTGGATAAAAGTATATGTATCTCAGAGATGATAGCACCGCATCCAAGCCCTGCCAGCCGAATAAGAATCCTTGGACTGTAAAAGGATGAAATAGATCTACTTTTTGATTTCCACAAACTCATCCTCAACTTGGAGATGCCGGCATTCGGACAAACTATTCAAAACCAGCTCAACTCTAGTTTTCTTCGCAACAGTGCATGGGATTGGTGGGAAATGTTAGCAAGAGGCAATATACATATAGATTTGTGGTGCCAGGTGCCTTTCTTCTGTCGGCACTCATGATGATCCACAAAATACTCTTAAATAATACGGTAGGCGCCTAAATCAACCTTGGTCAACTGTCGGGGAAGAGGAAACTAGGTAGCGTGTTCTCCTAGTGATGATTATAAGCGTGCTGATAAAACCAAATGTAAGCGTTCACAAAAATATATTGGAAAAACCAGGAGGAATCCCTGCTGCTAGGAGCCAGCAAGGGGTATTTAAGCAAGCGCCGAGTGCGCATACTGAGCCCTCATCTAAGCCGCGTACGGTCCTGGATAAAGCTGCGCCGCTCTCAGTGAGTAATCCGCCTTGGGTGAGTCGGAACCACCCTAGCAGCATGACAGATTGGCTGCCCCCTGAAATACTCTTGGGAGTAATAATATTTGCAGCTTTTCCATTGTGTGACTAAAATAGGTCTACGGCCAGTTCAGTACTTGCTCAGTCATGATAGCGGAGTATCGGTCTGCATGGATCATGGGTTGATTGCACTTGGGTTGGCCCCATTGGGAATTAGCTACATAAAAGTAAACAGCTCTACCACGGTTGGTGTGCACGTCATGTTGTAATCGAAAAGATATAATTCCGAGTAACAGGCAGAGCTAGCTTTGTGAATAAAGATAGAAATCGAATCTGCTCCTATTATCGGTTCATGAGGCAGCTCAACCTTGTTCCAGAGTATTCCCTTGAAAATGAAGTCATTTGCAGCCATACTGTACCTCGAATCATGGTTTCTGCCTTAGTAGCTTTCCAGAATCGAGAACCCGTGTAGATTGGGCTTCTCGTCGAGTGCTGTATTGGCAACGATATCCATGGCTAGAGATGAATAAAGATTCGCGACTTGTGTCAAAAACAGAATAATCTCTAGGACTGCTACGGACATAAGAGCGGCCGCACAAATATCCTGTTTTTGTGGACTATGTCACCCTGTGTAAGCGTGTACTCGCAGCCTGAAAGCGGTAGCAATCCAGAGCCAATGGATCTATCAATGCAGGCAAAGGTTGAGGCAAACGTGTGATAGTTGCAGAATGAATTGGGGAGCGTGGGCCAGTCGCATGTGGTGGGTTTCTGAGTAGGGGTTGGCGATATCAAACCATACGGTGATACGCCACTATCGGTATTGCTGCCCTCGCCTATTATTGGGGTTCTTCCCTCACCGAAAGGGCATACCAGCATTCCAAGGTTGGCTTTTTCGTCTCTGTTCTCGATGAGGACCGAGTAATGTACGCCGTATTATATACAGATGCAATTAATCGGCTAGCCCCATTTACCTTGGATGATTATAAACATAGCATAGCGAGGGTTGGAAAGTGTTGTGTGCCAGTGGGTCCGGAGATGCCGACAATCCAGTTCATTGAAATTGGCTGCAGTGACGTCATGGTTTCCATTAAGAATCTTGGCACGGCCGAGTACAGGGCTTCGAGAACTCTAAACAACAGCCAAAAGGCCCTGCACCCAACGAGTTCACCCCCTTTCCGCTTTGTTTCTCAGCAGCACTTATTCTCCGCCTTTCCGATAAAGCCAAACTAAGCATGGGCATGTTTTCCAGTCTAAAGTCGATGCTAAAGGACGGTGACAGCGATGTTGAAAGACACTTCTGTGCTCCAACTGCCCACCAACCTCCTATCGGTGAGTTAATGGGGCGGCTAGGTAGTTTTGCCCCTTATGACCACAGCACAGCGCAGGTGTATCGTTATCGTAAGATGTACGGTGTCAACATTGGCTCTATGTTTTGCCTGGAGCCTTGGATATCAACAGAGCTCTACAAGCCGTATACCGAGGGAAAGGATAGTCCACCTGAGTCTGAGGGCGATCTGATCGAATGCATGGGCAGTGAAGCGAAGCAAAAGATGGAGGCACACTGGGACTCGTGGATCCAGCGCGGTGACTTTGAGCGCATGGCCAAGATTGGTATCAACACAGTCCGACTTCCTGTTGGATGGTGGGTGCTTGGGCCAGGCTTTACGCAAGGACTGTATGAGAAGCACTCAGAGGTGTACCGGAATGCACTTGTCTATGTGGGACGAGTATTGCGCTGGGCTGAAGAATTCCAAATTGGCGTATTGCTGGATATCCATGCTATTCCTGGCGGACAAAACAACGACTCACACTCGGGGATTACAGGGAAGCCGCTATTTTACCGAAACCAAGCGTGCCAGGAACTGACACTCCAGTGCTATTCGGCATTCACCATGTTGGTGTCCAATATCACGCATGTTGTTGGACTCCAAATTATAAACGAGCCGCTGGACGACCCAGTTCTGGAGGGCTTTTACTACCGCGCCATACAGACCGTCCGAGGGCATTCCTACTCGCTGCCAATCTATATCGGTGATGCTTGGAACACTGAAAAATACGCAAAGTTTACGGGCAGCATGCTTGGACAGTTTGGTATGATCGTTCTCGACACGCACAAATACTGGGTGTTCATGCCCCGCGAACAGCAGGGCGTGTGCCCGAGTTGGCGCGCAAGCTGTGGGAGGAAGTAAAGCCCGAGCTCGAGCGACACAGCGCCGATGCTCATGGGAACCTGATTATCGGCGAGTACAGCGCGGTATTGGCAAACCCGAGCTTTGAGGGTGAGGACCCAGCCAAGTGCATGGGAGAGTTCGTGCGGCACCAGCTGGCAGCGTTTGAGCAGGTATCGGCGGGCACATTCTACTGGACATGGCGACTGCAGTACGATTCGTGGTTCTGGAGCTTCCAGTACTCGCTCGACCAGGGGGTTGTTCCACCCCGGTACTTTCCCTTTGCGTGGAGCAAAGGTGGTGATCGGTGCAGCGATGTGGCGCGGATGGCCGAAGAGCATCGAGCGGAGTGGAAGGAGCGCAGAGTGAGCGGCCACTCGAGCTATTGGTCAAGCCGGGGCGGCGAATACAGATTCGATCTATTTGCTGCTGGGTTTGACATGGGTCTAAGCGCAGCAATATTCTTTTACACCAAGCTGGATACACCGTCCAAGATCGGGTTCGTGCAGCAGCTGGCATCGGAGCATGCCGGCCACCATATAGCGGCACATGGTGGAGAGCAGTGGCAGTGGGAGTATGAGCATGGATTCAGCGAAGCGCAGCAAGAGTTTGAGGCATTTGCCACAGCAAAACACAGCGAGTAACGACGTGTTAGGCAATAGAAGAGGAATATATTTGTTGTGAGGCAAGGATGGTACGCTTGCAATGGAATAAAGGTGTCTTGATTACTCGGAAATAGTTTTGGTCATTTGTGTCTTCAGCGGCACATGTCTGGCCGGCAATGTGCATACCAAGATCATAGCAGCGAAAGGAATCATTGCATAGAACACCAGGCGCAGTGCATCAACATAGGCAACAACAATGTCGTTGCGCAGGTCTTCAGGAATACCAGGGCTGTAGATGTTCGACTGACGGTCAACAGTTGAAGCAATATGTGCTGCATACTCAGGGAACTGCTGTGACAGCACAAGAAGCTTGGGTTTGATCGCATTCTGCAGCACTGCTTGGAAGATGGCCAGGCTGATGGTGCCGCCCAGTGTGCGCACCGACACGAAAAGGGTAGTGGCAGTAGCCATGTCTCTGGGCTCGGCAGCCGTCTGCAGGGCGATCATAGTCGGCTGCAAGCAGAACCCGACGCCAATGCCGCTGACAAGCAGGATGCCAATGCTGGCACCCGCCGACGAATGCTCGTTTAGGAGTGCCAGCAGGCCAATACCTAGCGTGGTGATAGCGCCGCCGACCCAGATCAGCTCGCGGTAGCGGCCAGTCTTTGAGGTGAAGATGCCGCAAAAGATTGAGCAAAAAGTAATCGGTAGCATAAACGGCAGGAGCCGCAGGCCAGACCCGATGGCGCTGGCGTTTTTCACAACACTAAAGTAGATCGGAATATAGAACGTTGGGCCAAATACGACGGCACCCAGGAAGATGTTCAGCACAAGCATGAGCCCGACATTGCGGTTCTGGAACAGTCGCATGGGCATGATAGGCTCGGAAGGGACCTTCCACTCGAGCACAGCAAAAGCCAAAATCACCAGGATGCCGAAAACCAACAGGCAGATGACGGTGGGTGACGACCACGGGTACTCTTTGCCGCCGAAGCTCAGCGCCAGCAGGAACATCACGACGCCGATAACCAGAACGGCGATTCCGATAAAGTCCACTCGCTTCAGTTTGTCCATGAACGAGCCTTGCGGGCGCGGCAGGCCGCAGGAACAGTGCAACACAGATGCCTGCAACGGCGCCGACGGGTAGGGAGAAGTAAAACACCCAGCGCCACCCTGCCTTGCTGTCAGTGAACACGCCGCCAAGCACCGGGCCCAGCACCGACGAAATTGCCCACACCGACCCGAACACGCTCGACAACTTGCCGCGCTCGCGCTCAATTGTAATGTCTGCCACAATGACCATCACCAAGGACATCAGTGCGCTGGCGCCCAGGCCTTGCACGGCACGGCCTGCAATCAGCATGGGCAGGGTGGCGGCTGCGCCTGAAACGGCAGAGCCGATGAGGAAGATTACAAGGCCAACCACCAGCGTCTCAATCCGGCCAAAGATATCAGACAGGCGGCCATACAGAGGCTGCAGGGCAGTTGACGCGAGGAGGAAGCTGGTGGCAATCCAGTTGACTGAAGACAATGCGCCAAAGTGCTCAGCAATCGCCGGCATGGAGCTAGCCACAATGGTCTGGTCCAAGGCAGCAATGAAAATCGACAATGCCAGGGCCAGAAGGGTAAGAACCCGCGACTTTAGCGGCATCTGTGCCAGCATCGACTCGCCCTCTTCTTCATATTCCTCATCCTCTTCGGCATTGTGAACAGTATCCTTCTCTACCACCTCACTGGTCTCTGCATCGGCTTCTTCCTTTCCAGACGCACCCAGTCCTGCTGGCGCTTTGCTTTCGCTTCGTAGCTGCCTGAGATATTCCGCCAGATTCTCTCGGTTAGCCTCGGGATCCATCCTTTGTTTGTCAGAATCCGACGAAGCCAGCGACATTTTGCTCTGGCTGCGCTGCTTGCTGATGAGCTCCGATACGTTGCTTCTGTAGCTGCGCACACTGGGCGCAAAAAACTCGATCGGGTTGTCCATGGCGGGCTCGCGCGTTGATCTGCGCGTCAGTGCAGTCGATGACGATTTGCCCGAACGCACTGACTTGCCCGAACCGCGCCGACTTTACCGACTTGTCCGACATTATATGTGGAAATAAAGGTATGTTGCAGAGATAAGAAGCAAAGAAGAGTGAAAAAAGGAAAGATACCAAAGGCTGGTTGGCATGTGCTGAGAAGAGTTGATGGCGACTTGCAGGCGTGCAATGATCGGCCGCCTTTTCCTCCTCTATTCAGCATCAAGCAAGCCTGGTGCCAACGCTGCTGTCTGAAGACGAAAAGGGAGCCGCAAAATTGTCGGCCCAGGCAATCCGCAATGTTCTTTTCGAAGAGAAAATTGAACCAAACAAGCCGATAATTGCATGGGACCGGTGGGATGGCACGTGGTGGTCTGGGCGTGTTTTTGGCTTGAGGCAGACAAAGAGACAGGCGCTCCAATAAGCCTGTGTCAAAGGCAGCTGCGAGTGCAAGTACCATGAAGGTTACAAACCCACACCTTGGCACTGGCTCCTAGCAAGGTTTAGAGAACTGCACACGCTTTGCGGCGAAGAGCAAATTAAAAATATAGGACGTACTGGGGATAAATTGCAATATACAAGATCAGAATCCAAGGTCGGCGTCATACAGGTCCCCGTACGACTGCAGCTTGCGCGCAGGCGGCTGGCTCGTCTGCTTCTCTCGCTGCTCTGCCTTCTGCTCTGCCTTCTGCTCCGCCTTCTGCTGCTTCACCCTAGCCCGCAGCTGGCGCCGATGCTCCAGTTCCTTCTCGTCGTCCGAAAACTCCATCTCATTTTCGTTGACCTCCTCGTCGTACTCGTTGCTCGCATCATAGCCCTTGGTGCGCAGTCTATCCGTGGCCACAACATTCGCCATGCCCACAGCGTAGATGACTAGGGCGCCCTTGACGCACTTCTCGCGGTCAATGTCTGCCGGGTCATTGAATCGCACTGAGTACATGGGGCGGGCTACAGGTCCAAACACCTCGAAAATCTGACCGAGCACAGGAGCGATCTGAGAATGCCACGATGGCGTCAACGTCCAGGACGCTGTGCACACCCGACTGCGCTGACTCGATGATCACCGTGTCATTCACAATCGAATAGACTGTGCCCAGTGGGCGGGTTTCCTGTGTAGCCGGGAGCATGGAGATTGCAACAGCGGGGATCTCGGGGCGCAAGATCTCGTTGCGCGAGGTGATTGCAGCTGAGTAGTTGCTGTCTTCGATGTCGTCGTCGGCCTCAGCAATCATGTCGAGTATGTTCTTGGACCCTGCGTCAGAGTCGGAGTCAGAGTCAGAGTCGGATGAGCTTGAAAGATCGCTCGACTCGTAGTCGGCAACAGCCTCAGCAGCAGCAATAAAATCTGGCTCACAAACCGGCGCCTGCTGGAGCTGTTCAGGTTGCTGCTGCTGCTGCGTGGTGGCTGTGACAGGGGTATCGTCGGTGTCCATGTGTATGTCCATGTGTGTGTCCATTATGCGTTTCTGTGTAAATGTTGGAGAGTGAAGAGCAAAGAACTGCGTGGCTGAAGGCGTCGCAGTTTTTCTTCAATGCCAAAAAAAAAAAGTCGATTGTGATTCCGCAATCCTGGATCACTGCTTGGTCACGTTCCCTTGATGCAGGCATTGGGTGAGGCTGTCATCACCACCACGTAAGGCGTGCGTGGGCACGAGCACTGCACTCACAGCTGACAGCGGGAGAATGCTGGCGAGTGCCCTGATATTAGTGAGTGGGTGAGAGAAAAATACTAGAAAAGGGCCTACTCCTGGTCCAGGTACTTCACGATCGTCGCCTCGATGGACGCAGGCGTGGTGGTGGACGCCCAGCGCTCGACAACGTTGCCGTGCTTGTCGACCAGGAACTTTTCAAAGTTCCACTTGATCCTCTTCAGGCCCATGATGCCGGGCTTCTCCTGCTTGATATACTTGTAGACATCGTTTTCCTTGTCGCCGTTGACGTCGGACTTCTCCATGACCGGGAAGGTCACGCCGTAGGTGAGCGAGCAGAAGCTGGCGATCTCGTCGGAGCTGCCGGGCTCCTGGCCGGCGAACTGGTTGGACGGGAAGCCCAGGATGGTGAAGCCGCGGTCGGCGTACTTTTTGTACAGCTCCTCAAGGCCCTTGTACTGGGGCGTGAAGCCGCACTTGGAGGCGACGTTGACGATCAGCGTCACCTTGCCCTTGAGCTGCTCGAACGGGAACGGCTTGCCGTCCAGGTCCTTGAAGCCGAGCTCGTAGAACTTCACGTTGTCGGTGGACATGTTTGCTGAGGCGGATGTGTGGAAGGTGTTTGTGGAGAAGAGATGGGGGGCGACGTAGGGTGCGGTGCAAGTCGGCTTAAATACGTGTGACAATCCCCTGGCCCCAAGTGTGCGCGGCTGGGCCAGCCGTACAGCACACAGAGCAAGATGCGAGCGCAGCAGTAGTCGGATAGTAGTCGGATTCATTGCGGGCGTGTGCTGGCTGGCAGGTTTGAGCAGCAGTGCCAAGCCTTTCCTAGAGAACAGAGCGCGTGCGATGATTAGTAATTAACTGGCCGGAGTTTCAGCTGCAAATAAACCAACGCAAGGAGGCAGTGTCGGCGAACCGGCGGCTACTCTGGAGGCCCCACTCGCCCGATCGCGCCGACACGAGCCGCCAGAAGACACGTACAGTGGGACCAAAAAGGAATTAAATCCCGCTTAAAAGTAGGAAAAATATAATTGAAAGTTGAAGCGCTAGAAAAAAAATTGGCAGCCAAGCAGCAAAAAGAAATGGCTACGAGGGAAACGCAGGGCCCTAATCCCATGCCTCCTCGTCGCTCTCGTCGTCCTGCTGCTGCTGGAACCGATTCATGCCAGGGCGGGCCGGGATGTTGCTGGCGCTGTTTGGTGGTGGAGGTTGGCGACGAGCGCGACGCCAGGGCAGCAGCCAGTCTGGCCATATTGTCGCCCTGATGGGCACCGCCGCTGTTGCCGTTGGCCATGTTGGGCCTGGGCGGCGGCGGGGCAGCCTGGTGTGCAGGCGCCTCGGGCTCCGGGGTCGGGTTCAGGTAGTTTGACGGGATCCAGCCCTCGAGTCCGCCGCGCAGACCGAGCCACCAGCCGTTGGGGTTCTTGTCCAGGATCTCGTAGACAACTGTCCTTCTCCAGGCCCAGCTCGCCGGGGTTCTGCGGCGGGAAGTCATAGAGCGCCTTGTGCTTCGGGTTACGGGACACCAGGCGCGGCAGGCGGCGGGGGCGGCGGGCGGGGGCGGCGTGGAGCCTGCTGGCGTGGAGCCTGCTGGCGCGGAGCTGGCGATGCACTGGCACGTGCATTGCTGGAGCCGGCAGCCTGGTTGTTCCACTGCTGCATGATCTGCTGCGGTGAATCGCGCTGGGACTGCCTGGGTGGCGACGTCTGCCGCTGGACATTGCCGTTGGTGCGGGCAGGCACTGAGACCGCGGGCTTGGGCTTGGTCCGCTGCACGTTGGTGCGGGCCGCCGAGATGGCTGTCGGCTTGACATAGGGCGGCGGGTTAGGAGCGCTTGTTGGCAGGCTCTCCCTGTCGGCACCTGCACAGTCTTTTTCAGGAACTGCGGGCGCTTGATCTGCTCGTTCTTGACAAACTTGATCTGCGTCGGCTTCAGCTTCTTGTTCTTGTACTCGATGGTCGAGTTGACCTGGAGCTTGATGCGGCCGTTGGAGATGGCGTTGAGCACTGTCAGCAGCTCGGTCTTGAGCTCGCACTCAATCACCAGGTCGGGCTGGCTCTCGAGGTGGATCACTGTCCAGCCGTCCTGGTACGGCGACATGGCAAGGTCCTTGATGTTGACCAGGCCAGCCTTTGGTTTCGACGCTGTACTGCAGCAGGCCCTGGCTGACGATGGCCGACAACACATACAGGTATTGGCCGCTCACGACCAGCGACCGCGGCATGGGGATGGCCGACCGCATGGACCGCGGGACCAGGCACTGAATGTCGCTGCTGAACTTGACCTTCTCCTTGCCAATGCCCGCGGCGTCGCGGATCAGCTGGCCGATGCCGCCGGCGCTGGAGCTGTTGACGCCCAGGTAATCACCGGCAAACACACGCACGCTGATCAGACTCAGGCGACGGCGCTCCTTGCGTCCGCCGAGCAGGTCGTGGCCCTTCTCCCGCACCTTGAGCAGCTCCAGGGCCTCCTTCTTCCCCAGCCAGAACCGCTGGATCTTGCGTGCTGCCGTATGCTTGAATGCCATATGGGCCCGCCACGCGCGCTGAATGCGGCTCGCCATGTTGTGCCAGTAGCGCTCGCGCAGATTCTCGAGCGCCCACAGCGTCTCGGGGTGGCGGATGAAAGCCTTGGTGGTTCCGATCTGCCACTCCTCGGCAGCGATGTTGGTGTCCTTGAAGATCTGCACGCACGCCGACTTGGCATCGCCGGTCCAGATGTAGTCTCCGGCATACGACGTTGCGCTGGACAGTAGGTAGAAGCGCTCGACGAACTTTTCGAACGTCTGGCGGTACGCAAAGCCGGCGCGACGAATGCGGATGTTTTCGCACAGACCCAGGTACTTGACCTGGTGCAGCACGCGCTTGTCGTCGAACTCTGAGGGGCTCTTGTTCTCGTTGGGCTTGATTGTACGGATGTAGCTGGGCTGACTCTGCATCAGCTTGGTCACCAGCTCGTTGGCGCTGCCCTTGATCAGATCGCTGGCCGTAGGCGGCCGCTTCTTCGAGTCCTGGTCCAGAGGCTCCGGGAACAGCGTCCTCAGGAACTGGTTGCCCGACGACTTGCACAGCTCCAGGTGGTCGCGCAGCAGCTGGTCCTTGTTCTTGTCGGTCATTCCCGAGATGGTGTAGGTTACGTCACCGGCGTAGTGCTTGACCGGTGAAGCTGCCGTCGAACAGCTCAAAGTGCTTGTTGTGTGAGCACATGGTCAGCCGCTGGCTCAGCGAGTTGTCGGCTGCCTTCGGGTCAGCGTGTGCCGTTGCGCAGGCGTCGTTCATGGCTGCAAACACGCCGGGCGGGCGCTTGGCCTCGATGAGGTCGCACACAATCTTGTTGTTGAAGTAGTCGATCGGCGTCCACCGGATCTGCTCGCGCACATACTCCTCCTGCTCGGCCTTGAGCGTCAGCTCAATGAAGATCTGCTGCAGCTTTTCGTTGACATAGTTGATGCACAGCTGCTCGAACGAGTTGGACTGGAAGATCTCGAACCCATAGATATCCAGCACACCGATGATATACGACGCCGCCTCGCGCGCCTGCATGGCAGTGTTGACGCGGGCCACAATCCAGTCAAACAGCCGCCCGTAGATGGCCTTGGAGAGGCCGTCACGGGCTGCACGTGCCTGCGACGTGTTCAATGGCACATCATACACGGACCCACGTCGCCCGCCACGCGACGTCTCGATAGTGCGCTTGGTCAGGGCCTTGCTGACCATGTCCTGGTTTGCCTCCAGCAGATACGCGACGAACTGCGTGATGTTGGGGTCGGTGATGGCTGAGCCGCCGTCGTCATCCTCGGTAAACTGCACGTTGCCTAGCCACAAGATTGTGGCCAGCATGCGGTGGATCCCTGCCTGTTCGTCCTTGGTGATTCCGATCGTGTTCATAGCCTTGATGGTGTCGGCGTAGTCCTTGGCATCGTCGATGTTGGGTACGTCCAGGCACCCGGCGGCGCTAGTGTACAGATAGCTCTCTGGGCCCGACACGCCAAACATATCGCGGTACTCCTGCGACGCAGCCTTGGCAAACTGGTAGAAAATGTGGAAGTTGCGCTCGTTCTTGATCTGCCCCACCACGCGGTTCTTCTCCAGCAGGTAGTTGGTGATGATGGCACCGACCGGCTCGCCACCGGCGTTGAACTGAATCTCGAGGTACTTGCCGTGGCGACTCGAGTTGTTGTTGCGCAGCGTTTTGGCGCACCCGAAGCTCTCGAGCAGCGGGTTTGTCGCCAGCACCATGTCCTTGATGCCGCTGATGCCGCTGCCTGCGCCGCCGCTGCCAGACACGGCAGCAATGTACTCCATGATTTTCTTCGCCGCCTCGGTCTTGCCCGCCCCCGACTCGCCAGAGATAATCACGCACTGGCTCTCGCGGTACGACACCATGTTGCGGAATGCGCCCTCGGCGATTGCGTATACGTGCGGGGGCTGCTCCATGCGGTTCTTGTTCTCATAGCTCTTGAGCACCTGCGGTGTGTAAATGCCCAGATCTCGGAACGGATTCACGCTAATCAGCACATTACCAATGTATGTGTAAATGTCCGCGTTGTGGAAGCGCTTCTTCAGGTTGTCGTTGATTGCGTCGTTGGTGATTTTAGACAGGAGCGTCATGTCGGACACTCCCGCCTGCTTCTTCTTTGTTGCTGACTCGGACCAGTCGGCCTTTGCCGGCCGTTTGCTGCCACCGCCGCGTGCCTACACATAGCAGCGAGAAAGGCCGCCTCCACCCAATTAGTCAGCTTGGCCGGGATGCATACAATGTCATCTCGAATGCTGCAAACTGCTTACCATTTGTAACTGTTCGTGAAAAAGGAGAGTGCGAGGAAAGAGTTTGTAAAAAGGGTGTTGCAGAAGAGGGGAGCAACAAAAGCAAAAAGGGTTGGGCTCTAAACCCCTCGTGTGTTCCTGGCTTGTTTTATGCTGCCACCAGTCCACAGCAGTGTGTGATCGTCTGCTGGCGTTCTCGCCGTAGGGTCTTTGGCTGGGCGCTTGCCCACTACGCCTTGGCAAGCCAAGACCGCATTTTGCGGGCACGCTTGCGCAGCCTATTAGACAACCCACCGAGCCCTCAATTGGCCCGCCCCCATCCCCTGAACTCCAGACAAAAAAGAGCAGTCCGCTCTCCGTGCCTGTGTGGGCTGAAGAGGCTCTTACATCACTGCGCGTGTGGCCAATTGCGACCAGTGCCAAAGCTGCGGCAATCGTCGGCCGGAGTATTTTGGCCATAGACTTTTGGCGCCAGCGATTCGTGTCGCGCATCACCGCACCTTTTTCTGCTCTCTTATCACCAAACTCCTCTTCTAGCATTGCTGACAGCCTGGTCTGTGTTCCGAGCCCGGCTTTGGGAGGTAAGCCGCCAGAAGTAGCCGCCGTTTTTTGCACAACGCTTCTCGGGCTGTGGCCCGGGAATGGAGCTTTGAGGAAGCGCCTGCCTTACTGCGCAGCCTATTCATTCGCAGCGTGATGCGATATAGCAGTGCTGGTTGGCTTGACGCCACTCGCTTGCATATCTCTGGCTGGGAATAGGAGATAGTCATAGCCGAGCGGTGTTTTTCCTCCTTGCCAATGCGTGGCACCCGTTTTCCCTCTCTTTCTCTCTTCACACCTCGCGCTTTTCACACATCGTCACTCACGCTTTTTCCCTATCCTTTAGAATAGGGGGTTCGTCCAGGATATTTATAAAACAGCACGCTTGGAGGGCGCACAGGGGCTGAGCACACTCCCCTCGTATCCATATTACCTGGCTCGTCTAGTAAGGAGCGGGCTTGCAACCACAAAAAGACAAAAAACGCGCCATGACCAAAACACGGCGAAGGAGCACAAAGACGGTGTTTGGGTTTGAGGCTGGCATGCCGGTGCCGCGGGCATACACGATGTTCGGCACCGACGAGCTGCAGGCAGCGCTGGGCAGCGAGCAGGACCAGGTCAAGCTGGTGCAGACATACCTGTTTGACCCTGAATCCTGGCAGGAGCTGTTCAACGAATCGCAAAAGAACCCGGTGATCAAGCGGGCGCTGCGGGTGATTGTGCAGATGGGCACAGTGGCCGCCACACTGACGTACCAGTACACGGTTGCCTTTACGCAGGAGGAGGTCCTTCTGGACCGCAAGCGGCTGCAAAAGTCGGTGTCCAGGACGCTCTACTATGCGTCCGACGACTGCTTTGTGTCCGAGTTCCGCAACAACGGCTCGGCCGGGTGGACAGAGGGCAAGGCAGCCATCCGCGTAGTATCGGCCGATGCCATCGACGTTGCCGAAAAACTGATGGAGCTGAACCCGAACCACCGCGCACCCGCGGTGCTGGTATTTGGCTCCAAGGGGTCGCCTGGCGGCGGCTACAAGCGCGGTGCGGGCTCGCAGGAGGAGGAGCTGGTGCGGCGGAGCTCGCTGCTGCACAACCTCGAGGACCCATATGGCTACGATCCGGCGCGCGACTGGTCGTACCCGCTGCCCGAGTTTGGCGGCGTGTACTCGCCCGACGTCGCCGTGTTCCGGGACTCGGAGCGCAACGGGTACGCCTTCCGCGATGAGCCACTGTACCTGTCGTTCATCAACGTGTCCCCGTACTCGAACGTGCAGGCAAACGAGGTCCAACACTATGGCCGGTGGCAGAGCCGGATCCCAGACGAGACGGTGCGCAGCTACAAGCGCAAGATGGAGGCCATTTTGAATATTGCGCGCGACCAGGGGCACCAGTCGGTGGTGCTGGGCGCCTTTGGGTGCGCGGGCCAGGCTACGCTTGCTGTGCACATGGCGCAGATGTGGAAGGAGGTTATCGAGACGTCGCCATACGCCTTCCGTGAGTTCTTTGACGACATTGCCTTTGCTATTCCCGATGATGCCTCCGGAGACGACTCGCCAATCGAGGAAAATTCAACCGCAGCCACCTTTGCCACGGCTTTCGGTGTCGAGATGGAGAACTTGGACTTTTTCTGACCGTTGACAGTCCAAGGCGACATGCATTTTTACTGAACATTCTTTACGATACTTGGAGACAACTTGGTAAATTTATTTTTATTGAAAGCTAATGTGCTGGTGGCAACTTCCTACTTCTTGTTCTTGCCTTCGGGGTCGCTGTCCTCCCAGAACTCCTCAATCCATCCCTCCACGGTTCCGCCGCTGCTTGCTTTAGCCATCTGTCAGATATGTGCTTTGCCTTGGTGTTAAAAATGCTAGGGTGTAAATGTATTTGGGAGAGAAGGTCGGGGGTGCTGTCTCTTGGCCGGCGGCAGCAGACTGGCATTTATATATACGTTGCTTGCGTTCCGTCCTGAGCGGTGATTTCCGTCCCTTTCTGCCTATATTGCGGTGAGTGGCTAATATGTGTACATCCCCTGTCATGTGCCCAACAGATGATGCAACATTCCTTTGTGTCCATGGTTTCTTTCTGATCAGCAGCATATGAAGGCAGCAGCATTGCTGGATGAGCGACAGCGTTTGACGGCCTTCCTGCGCCGCATTCAGCGGCATAGGGGATAGCAAGCATCCCAACAGTGGCGGCTCTTGGCGTTCAATTCTGCGACACCATACGTGCATGGAATATGCCAGGATCTGCCACTTGTCAACGTCGATCGCATGATTCCTCCACTACTCAATATATCTGTGCACATTCTCTTCCCAAGAGTCATGCTGTTGGCAAGGGCTCTGCATTTTTACAAGGTGGTAATGGCCAGTCTATTTGAGTAAATATTGGTGATGGAGAGACGCAGCTACTTGTCTCTGGCTTCTGTGGATGTGCTCCGTGTTACTGAGTGGAACCGATCCAGCCAGGCATCGACGTCGCTTTTGGGAATAATGGACTGCATTCTTGTGAATATTACGCTGTGCAATGGAATATGAGCAAACGGTGGGGAGGAGCAAAAAATGACAAGGGAAATCAGCATGGCTTTATGGCCAGGGCTCAGGAATACACGCCGATTATATACAGTTGCCACACACACCCCAAAAACTTGCCTTTCTGGTTGGGCTGCTAGTCATGGGCGTGCCCTGTGAACTGTGTGGCCAATTTCCGTCAGTGCTGGTGCGAAAAAAACCACCCCCAATTGCGTAAGTCATGCGGGAGCAATGGGAGATGTTCTGCTTTCGCTTTCTGTCGCAATACTTGACCAGGAACACAAAATCAGCGCGCCTGCTGTGCACTGGGGGATTGAGCAATTTTCCATGTAAATGTGCTTATCGATAGCGCGCACGTCCGCCTTAATTGGCGCCTAATTTTAGATGTGTGTCATAGATTTAAATACGTCTGCCCCAGTGTCCTCGGCGATTAAAGTGGCCATGTACCTGCCGGCCTCCTGTTTTTCTCCCACCAGTCACGGTGTTTTCTTGGCACGCACAAATCACTGGCTGGGATGGGGGTGAATGACATTGATGTATTTAGAATACATGCAACAAAAAAAGCTGAAGGGTCTAGTCGGCTTCTCTGCAGCTAGGCGTGTCGGGCATCCCACCCACAGCCTCATTCCTCCACCTCCTTGCCCTTGCCGTTGTCTGCGTTTGGTGAATTCTCCTCTTTTAGGACCTGGTCCAGGAAATTGTTGCACCAGGCACGGAGCTCGTCGGCATCAACATAGGCGCTCATTGTCGTTGTCTTGTGGAGATAAAGAGCGTAATAAGTTAGGGAAATAAAGTTAACGCAGTAGAAAAAGAACTGCACCTTGTTGCGCTTATCTGTCGTTCCCCCTCGGTGTGTGTCGTGGGATGCGGTTGCAACCGTGTCCATTGTTGAAGGAGAGGAGGATCTGCACGGGGAGCCTTATGCACGAACGTCTATCATGTGCCCCAGGCGGGTACATGGAGCTTTTTCGGGATAGGGGGAGGACTGAGGAAGGTTTGAGCAGGGGCCGTGAGGCACGGAATGTCTTACCGACAGCTGCTACACCAACAAACTGAACCTGACGGAAAAACGTGTCCAGCAATTCACAAGAATGCGGTATGTGCCCATTTACCCAGACGGATACATGTCTACAATCAGACATGGCGAATCCGTATACAACCAATTTATTTGCAGACAACATAATGCGCAAACACAAGACATGTTGAAAAGAAAGGCTATAAAAATATACACCTGTATGCAGAAGACTCACTGTTGTGGAGTGGTTCGCTTCACGGGCTGGCCGCTTGAGAAAGGAGCATCAGGGCTAAAGTAATCCATGGCTGCTGAGATGTAGAAAAGGTGGGTATGAGTAGATGGGAGGGTGGGTGATGAGCGAAAGAGGAGGCGGCAAGCAGAGCATTTTCAGGCCTCCCGCCATTTTATACTTGGGCGAACGCGCATGACGGGTAATTATTTGCACGGCTGCATGACTGGTGGTCAAAACTGGCCGAAGGACTGCATGCTGGCATGGCACGGGTACGCAGACAAGCAGCACATTGGAACCAGCATCAGCTCATTCAACAGATGGCCAGATCTGAATGATTACAGACACATTGATTTAGGTGGTTTAAACATGGAAAGCTAGCTTTAGTAATGCAGCGGCAGTGAGGTGGCATCTCAAGTGCACACCTGGCCAGGGGTGTGTATATTACAATGCGGCATATTGCGTACAGTAGCAGCTGCAAATGAGAATGTATTAGCAGGTGTAGAAGAAAAGGTGCATGATGCTGTGTATATACAGATTGATTTACCAAGTGTACTCTGATGGATAATGCAATCATTTGTTGTTTCTGAGGTGATGAGGTCATCGGAAGGAACACTCCACCTTGGATCTTCAAACGGCAGAACACCAGTCTCTGCGCTGCAGCAGTATTTTGGACTGTTCGAAAATATTTCTCAGTACCCACAAAAATCCATTTCACATAAACTTTCCTTGGGGCTGCCCAGCAAACGCTGGCGAGCCGAGCACCAAAAATACGCCTTTTTCCAATAACCGATTCTTTCCAAATGGGCCTGCCAACACCAAACACGTCGCACCTCAGCAACGCCGCGTACTCGAGCGTCTACGAGCCTGCCGAAGACACATATCTGCTCCTTGATGCACTGGAGCAAGACCGCACCGAGCTCCAAGCACTGCGCCCCCTGATCTGCGTCGAAATCGGCTCTGGCTCCGGCTGCGTGTCGGCGTTTCTGGGCCAGGTACTGGACCCGCAGACATCGCTGATTCTGTCCACCGATATCAACCCAGCGGCCACCCAGGCGACGCGCGAAACAGCCCAGCGCAACCTGTCGCAGTCTGCGCTGGAGCAGTGCCAGACACGGTTTGTCGGCGGAATGCAGGACAGCTTGGCGGGCAAAATCGACATTCTTCTGTTCAATCCGCCGTACGTGGTGACGCCCAGCGAGGAAATCGACTGCACAGACGATGCGTCGGCGTGGGCCGGCGGCATATGCGGGCGCGAGGTGCTGGACCGGCTACTGCCGGAGATCGGGCGGCTGATGGCGCCCAAGGGCCGGTTCTACCTGGTGGTGATCGAGCAAAACAAGCCCGAGGAGATCATTGACATTCTGGCCAAGGACGGGCTGCAGGGCGAGTGCGTGTTGTCGCGGCGCGCAGGCCGAGAGCATCTGTCGATATTGAGGTTTATCAAGCTATAAGAAAAAATATACGTGATTACAGCTGCTTGGATTTCATGAACTGGTCGACATCGGCGCGCACCGGGATCGAGGGCACAGCGCCCTTCTTGGTGACTGACAGCCCGCTTGCAAACGTGGCCACAGTCATGGCCTGCTGCACAATGGCCGGGGTCAGCGACGCCTTCGACCCGATGCTCTCCGGCGACACACCCTGCTGGCGCGCCAGCTCGGCCACAAAGTAGCCCACCCACGTGTCGCCGGCTGCAGTGGTATCGGCGACCTTGTCCTTGGGAATCGGTGCGCATGGCACGGAGAGCTCGACAATATCCATGGCTTCCGGCGGCGTGCTGGTGCCAACCGGGATGGCATGGGCGTTGGCTGTAGGCCGGCGCACCAGGCCAATGCAGCCGGAGCTGCCGAGCGTGACGACGACGACGCGGGTATTGAATTTCTCGATGATCCTGCGCGCCATCCTCGGGTAGTCCTCGTCGACGGCCTCGCCAATCAGCCTGGTCATGGTGGTCAGCTCGGTCTCGTTGACCACCAGCACGTCGACCAGCTCAACCGGGCACTCAAGGACGTCGTTGGTCATGGGCGCCGGGTTCCACAGCACCTGCATGCCGCGGCTGCTGGCCTGGCGAATCGCACCTGCCACTGCCGACGTCTCGTTTGGCAGAACCAGCCAGTCGCCCTTGCCGAACTGCGCGTACGCAATGCGTGCGTCCTCCTCGGTCAGCTCCATGTTGGCACCCGGGAACAGGAAAATGCAGTTCTCGCCGTGCTTGTCCACCTGGATGATGGCACGGCCGGTGGCCGAGTTCGTGACCTGGATCAGCCCCGTATGGGCGCCCGAGTCCCTGATCAGGTCGCGCACCCAGAGTCCGTCCTTCCCGATCCTGCCGGTCACGTAGACGTCGCCGCCAGCACGTGCTGCTGCGACGCTGGCATTGGCTCCCTTGCCGCCAGCGTTCTCCTGGCGGTGCGTTGCAGAGATGGTTTCGCCCGGCTTGACAATGTGCGGGACGCTGTAGACCTCGTCGATGTTGATGGAAGCAAAGCTGACGATTCTGGGCTGCATTATGTTACTAGTACAAAGTGGTGAAAAAGACGTGTCTTGTAAGGAAGAGGCGGTGACGATGCCGAGCAGGAATGGGCAGGAGGTAGGCAGGCCCAGGCTTTTATAGCAGAAGAAAAAAGACGCACGAGTAATGGGCACCCTGATCCGATCCAGAAGCACCGGGCTAAAAGAGGGCTGGCAGAGTCACTCCTGCGTGTACCGGACAACATCGCCGCTGACGCTCAGGGCGGCATAGGCGTGGCTCCGCTCGTCTCTGACAAACTGCACCGACTCGACGCACAGGGCGACCAGCGCCATGCCGCCTCTTGCGGCAACATGCGCGCGGACCACAGCCTGCACCTCGGCGACAAAGCTGACCACAAAGGCGCCCATGCCGACGGGACCCTTGCTCTGGCTGTCAATGTACGACTCTTGCACGAAATGAAGGGAAATCCGGCCAACATGTGCGGTGATTGTCCGCCTCGGCAGGTATGACAGTGTGGTCAGCGCTATGGGTGTACGACCATCGGCCATCTCGATATGGTCGGAGCGCAGGGATGGCGTGAACATGCGGCTGCCCCCCGGCGACATCGGGTGAGGCATCAGATCAGAAGACACTACACGGAGTGTCTGTCGCTCCAGCTCCACATTCACCGCCTGGCTCATCACATGCGACGCGTCGTGCGAGAGGTGTGCGTTGATGGAATACCGCGGCAGAACCACGTCGCACTGGCCAACGATGGTCGCCGATAGCACCACCTGCACATCATGTGGCTCGTCGTCCATCACCTGCACGTTGTAGTCGATGCCCACTATGGCGCACAGCTCAAAGTACACCAGCGTCATGTACAGGTCCGTGTAGATGTTGCTGAACAGCTCCGCCAGCTGCCGGTTCGGGTGCTTGCTGTACGGATCCACCGTTGCGCGCTTGACCATTACAATCGTCTGGATCTGGTCCGGGTCCATGTCGCGTAGTCTATGCATGGCCATGCTAGTCGACGAGTCGGTGCTTGATGTCGAGTCAGTGTCGGTGGACCCCGACGACGACGACGACGACGACGACGACGACGACGATGACGAGAGATCAATGTCCTCCAGCAGGCACTGCCCGTCGTCCACAAGCTCCGGGATGACAAAGTGCCGGAACACCGGCGGTCTCTCGACATTGCACACGAGGACCGACGGCGGCAGCGGCACGTCTAAAAGAGCCGCCATCAGGTCCTCGTCTGCATCATCGTCAATCTGCACCGCAACGCGAGCTCGAATATTGCGTCGCCGCCTCCGCTCCGCCCTGCTCGACTTGCCTGACGAGTCATCCCGGTCCGAGTCCGAGTCAGCGCTCAAATCGCTATGTCCTGCTGGCCCGGCATTGCCTGGCTGCCGACCATCGCCGCTATCCTCGCCGTCGCTCGAACCCGAATGCTTGGCTCCACTAGTCCGTCTGCGTCTGCGCCGGGCACGCGATACAGCAAAGTCGCCCCGTTTCAGCTGCATGCCTGCAAGTGGCTGGCTGTTCTCTCGCTGCTGCTGCTCGCGCAGCCGGAGCATTGCCCGCCGCTTCTTGCGGAACGCCCGGTCCAGCCTGCGTCGATTAGCATTGGACAGCTGCATGATCCGGTCCTGGATCCGGATAAAGGATCTATCCTCCTCATCCAGCACATCGATGTTGCGCTTAATGTGCAGCGGGCCAGGCGTCGGCAGCCCAGTGACGTAGACGGCAGTGCCCGTGGCAACAGCAATAATCATATCCTCGCCGATCGAGAACTGGTATTTGAGCCCAAAGATTGCATTCATGCCATGCACGCTCAGCTTGTACAGGAGCTGCCGGTGCAGGTCGTAGTGGATGAACGGCAGAGCGTCGCTGATGTGCGCTGCGTAGGCTTCGCCACTAAGCTTGGCCTCGCCATTGGCTGCCTGCCGCTTGCCGAACCCGAACCACCGCCGCTCGCCCTCGCGCTGCTCGCCATCGGGAATGTCGGGCCGGGCCGGGTTGTTGGCTCCGCCTGCTTTGGACCCAGGCCTGCATATATGCGCTTCGATCAGACATGACTCGCCGTCAATCACGTCGAGCTCAACGGGAATGTCGGTGGTCGACAGGATGATCTCGGGCACCGCCTTTTTCTGGCAGAACCCGCAGCGGAAGAACCGCATCGGGTATGGCAGCTGCAACCGGTCGTGTGAGGCATGGCACATGCGGCACCCCAGCGGCTTCAAATGCTGATGCTGCTGTTGGTTCTGCTGGGCCTGGTGCGTGTCTAGCGGCGTCATTGGCTGCGTCTGCTTGCCGGTATTGTTGTGCATTGACAGTGGGTGCTCCAGGATATGGTCGTCCGAGTGCTCTGGCAGCTGGTGCATAATCTGGTCTGGGATAGCAGGCAGCTCGGCGTTGAGCTCAAGCACTGCTGCCGTGCCATACGCAATAAGCACGATGATCTCGTCGCGGATCGTGACCTGCTCGTTGTATCCGATAATGTGCGAGCACCCGATAGCCAGCGCATGGTGCTTGATCTCGGCCCGCAGGTCGTCGAACCACAGCTCACGCGTACGGCTCTGGTCGTTCTCCAGCAGCTTGATCGATGTGGCCGATACCAGGCCGCCGAGCCGATGGATCATGCCTGGCGGAAACGCCTTGAAGGTCAGGATCTCACATGCCGCAGCCTTCTTTTGGTTTCGCGCATTGTCGGCGCTCTGCAATGAGCTGGTCGACAGACTGCTGCCGGTCGATTTGGTGCCAATTGACGATGTCTCTGAACCGCGATCAGACTCGCTATCCGACGACCCGCCGGTTCGCTCACTGGGCCGCCTGTCGCGCTGTCCGCCCTGGCTATCCATCAGCGAAAGAGGCGGCGGCGGCGGCCCAATCGTCACCGCATGCGGCAATGGCGCCTGAGTTGGCGACGGCATATCGCCCATGGCGCCGGCAGTCGGGGTTGTGCGGTGCTTCCCGTGGCTCGACCCGACCCTGACGGCCGTGCCCACCACCCGCCCAGTGATTGTGTGTTCCTCGATCTCAAAGTCAAACGACTGCTTGTACCCGATAATCGCATTGGCCCCCAGCTCCTGCGCCTTGCGGCCCATGCGGCGGCGGAGCAAGCCGGCCAGCTTATGCAGCACCCTGACACGCGCCTCGTTTGTGGCGCGTGGCGTGCGGAAATTGTCGGTCCAGTGGTACTCGGGGTCGATCTGCGTGGCAATGCTGCTGATAAACCCCAGCGTCTCGATCTTGATCGCCTGCGGGAGCGAGGGCGTCGGCGACGAGAACACCTGGATTCCGGCCGACGAGTTGTTGAACGGATTGACGTCGCCAAAGTACTGCAGGATTATCTGGAACTGTAGCTCGCCGCGGATCCCCACCACCGTGTCGTAGATGGGAAACCACCCGCCCAGTGTCCGTGTATACGTTGTCGGCACACCCGTCGTCTCGCCAATAAAGCTCTCGTGCGACGACTGCACCGCATTACGACCAGCCTCCGAGCGGTCGTCATGACTGTGTCCGCTATTTACCTGCTCACCATCACCTGCATCTGGCGTAGCTGGCAGTCGCTCGCCGTGCCGGCCAACCTCGATGCCACTACTGCTGCTGCTGCTGCTGCTGCTGCACAAGCTATGGCTACTCTCGTCATCACTACTGCTACGGCTGCCAGCAAAGTCTTCGATTTTGAACTCATCGGTCAGCAACGAGTTCAGGTCGATGTACACCGAGCCGATCAGGTCGTTGGCTGTAATACTGTCGTAGTCTAGTAGCCGCAGCTCCAGCGGCTCGTTCTGCAAGTATGCGTCGTCGTTTACTTCGAGCCGGAAGTCCTCATTCCACACCGGGTCGAGCGTCTTGCGCGCGATCGAGGTGCGTAGCGGGTACTGGTTTGCAAACCGAATCTCCACGTATGCGTCGGCCTTTGACGACTGCCGGTCCATGACTGGCAGTGACCGCGCACGAATAATCTTTATCTTCAGGAGGCAGGGCATTAGAATTAAAAAAAGGGGGGGGGTGAGTATAGCAAGGACTGCGTATGGCGTTGTTTTGTTGTTTGCCTGCAGGTCTTGCGCCCGGTGTACCACCATCACTGCCGAGCAGTTCTTTTTGGGACTCGTCTTTTGTTCTCCCAATCCCCCCGCATCTATTCCGGACGACGATCGCTGGCCAACTACGCATGTTGGTCTAGATCCCTGGATATGGAAGGGTGTGCCAATTGTGCCGCCCTCATCTCCGGCGTCTATGCCACCTCTGGCGTCACCTAGTTGCCATTATCGCCAGGCGTGTTTTGGTATAGTACCAGGCCGGCAAAGAAATCTGGATGTTAAAACCAACTAGCGTCGGTGGGTTTCATGATCTCCTCCACACCTTGCAAACCTCATTCCCTACCTATAGCCATGGGCCAAGTGACTTCGAGCACCACCATTGTAGTAATAATTGTGTGTTTGTCGCTGGGAATTCCACTGTGTATCATGCTCTCGGTGTGTTTCTCGCGCTTTACTCGGGCACCGGGTCGCAGCAAGCTGAGGATCTCAGCCAGTACATACACAACTGAACCCACTCGGCCATCTCTCGCTGACACACAAGGCCCTCTGCATGATCAGTTGGCTGAAGCTGATCTTGGTGATGAAGAGGCTAGTTTACCTCCTCCATACACCGGTCGATCTAACCAGCCGCCGCCATATATTGACTCTCTGTCCCCGCCAACTTCACCACAAGTAGCTGCAACCAGATAGATAGTCACTTTGTACAAATCCTTGTAGATTGCTCATTCTTATGTGAAGAGCCTCGTTGGTAAATATATATCTAACCCGGAAAGCGTATATAGTATTGGAGGCAACATTGGCTTCTATATTGTTTTACTTGTACTAATTTTTTTGCCAAAGCACGACTGTGGGCTTTTTTGTGCCTTGGATACGACATACTTGGATAGACAGCCTCCTGCAGCTCTCTTTGGAATACCTTTGCTCTCCAAGCACCTTTCCACGTCATATATTTAACGTGTGAAACATGCTATATGAAAGAAGAAAGGAGGAATTGTCAGGTGAAAAGGGCGGGTGCCCATCTAAGTAGTGGCACTAATTGCCTGGAATAGTATGAATGGCCATTGTGGCCTAGGGGTCTTGATCCATGGGTTCGTGAAATCATGCAGATTTGGAACCACAGGCTTATTTCTCGATCTTTTTACCCGCAGTAGACATTATTGCAGCACGCAGCATATAGCACAAAACATAGAACGCATTTTTCGTCAAGAGTACAAGTGATTGAGTGATTCTTGATATATCTATTCCATTAAGCCAGTATGTATATCAGTGCAAAATGGTTCAGTTAGCTTTATTGAACTATCTATTTTGCCTCAATCTTGCAGTCAGAAAAGAATTCACTGCGGTCTGAAGCACTGAACACTCCAAGAACACCCTCTACGCTTGGTTTGGTAGGGTTCGATATAACATTGTATCTGTCGTCATCATCTCCCTCGACAACTTCACTAAGCGCATCGAGCTGCTCTTTGGTAACATCATCGCTACCACCAATAGAAAGGATTCGATCCTCAATATTACTAAGGTTGCCGTTCCAAGCGTTTTTGACGCATTCGTACTGAATGTTGGTCAGCTGCATCGGCTTGGAGAGAACAGAGCTGGAGAGATACTGAGTCTTGGATCCGTGGTCATAACAGATAGAATTTATAAGAATCTGACTCAGTAGCTTCCAGCACATCCATGTTACCAAGCCCCCGTAGGTAGCATGGATGTTTGATATACTGGGAAGTTATAATATTGTTCATATCTTGCGAGTGCTGTGGCTTTGTTTATAAAAAGCTGTTAGCAACACTTGCGGTATATATACGCCACCAGCAGTTGAGAATACTATTTATTCGTTAGTGGGTTGGTTATTCTATGTGGCGTAGTACTGTTGGATACCTGGCGGCGTCTAGCATGGCTATACCATGTAAGTTGATCAAACGGACACCAATGAGAGCCGCATGTGGTGTTGTTGGTAATAGACGTAAAATAGTCCACTGTTAGAGTGTAAACAAAGACAGACTAGTATACGATACCTGTCTAAGGAATGTAGTTAGATGTGGAATGGTTGGCAACATTGCATTTGTTTTGTTGATGGTACATTGAGATTGAGGTTATGAAAAGGAAAAAGCCAAGTAGTTACCGGTACATATTACTCTACGCATTGTCAAGGCCATTAGGCTAGCCATTCCCTTTATTATACAGCCAGTGACGCCTGGCATGTCGATGCCATGTCAGTCGGCAAAGCAGCCGATAACGAGAGTATTTCTAGCAGTGAGTCAGTGGAGATGTCAAACGGAGATGTGTAATCACACCGATCGCAGCTTATTGTACCTCTGACACTTGGCCTATGTGGCTATCTTTATCTTTATCTTTATCTTTATCTTTATCTTTATCTTTATCTTTACCTATATATAAGATTTTATAGTCTAAAATGTGTCCGACCGTCCGCTAGAAATTATTTAATTGGTTAAAAAAAACCTTTAAGCTTCAAAGCGAGTTTGAGTGACTTGCTCTGTAAACACTTTTTGATCTTGTGCGGCATCTGACCTCATCGGTGAAACCAGGGTGTCAAGTTGTTATTGTAGTGGTCATAGGTCTCCACTAGAAATCTCCATTGGTTCAGCGCAAGAGCTGCTCTCATTGTCGGTCGGCCTGATAACTTCCATGGCGTCATCATGGTGGTCATCACCAGCTGCGCAACACTCTTAGGATACTTATTTATGAGCACCTATTGAATAAGACCATATATCTCTTCTGGTGGTTATGCAATATTTGTGGGTTTATTTTACAAATTAATTTGTCTTATGAACATGCGTAAGCAGTAGTATTTGGGCCACAATGGCCCTAGTCTGTATAGACTTATTCAAGGGACTGTATCAGTGCTAAGGGCCCCAAGAACCATGCAAGCCAGATAATCTTTAATAAAAAGTTCTTAATGCTATGCATACGTAATAAAGCAAAACTGAACAGCATCATCTCTCTTCTTGCCTATTGAACTTCTCAAATGAATATTACCCGCAGCACTGCTGTCATAAAGACATCACTTGGTGGTATTGGCTTCCGTGATTCAATGTTGCCCCGCCTAGAGCAATTTGTACACAGCGTCAATATCATCAAAGAGCATGCATACATGCTTGCACAATGGATATTACTCCATCAACTGGCTGATGATGATACCTTTGACCCTGCAACATTTGTAAAAAAGGGGATTCTTTCGCTCAATTTATTTATTTACTTATCACAACCTGAAGGCGAAGACTGTCATATCTGCCGAGGATTTCGTCAACCGGAAGGACAGGTCAGAACTGTCGAGCGCAGATTTCGGTGATGTAGTTAGATATCATATTTATGATTATCTATTGCATAATGGCGATATCGAGCTGCATGGCATACGTGAAATGAATCAAGTAGCAACATACGTGGATACCGAGCTGATGACAGCATACAAGAGCAACATTGTGTTGCACTATGGCACTTGCCTACAGCGGATTCTGGCCAAATTAATTGATATTCGCAACTGCAAAAACACACTGCACAGTACAATGGACAATGTGTCCAAGGCTGAGTTCAATAATGCATGTCAAGTGTATATTTATACACCTGCACAGAAGCTCCACCAGGCAGTTGCCTCTAGGCACCCTGATATCAGTGTGCTCACCCCACCGATGCTTGCAATCTACAACAAGCTGGCACCAGTCCTTAATGCCTATGATGCCAAGTACAGATTCGCCAAAGACAGCCGATACTATGATGCCAAGGTAAATCCACTTAAGCATCTGCGTGCATACATTCGTCTATGCCAGCTTATCGAGAATGAGCAGCTTGGCAAGTCTCCCCCCAATGCTTGCCTCTGCGGACATCATGGATCCCAGGCCATGTGCGCTTAGACAAGCAAATAATCAAGCAGGTGTTTGTTTCGAAAACACATGAGGAGGTTACCAAGATCAACGCAGCAAAGAGGGCAGCAACAGAGGCAAGGAAAGCAGCAGAAAAGGGCGAAGAATTGGCCAAGGAGGCTGCACGCGAAGCAGCGAAGATGCTATCGGATGAAACAGAGGCCACTGCAGCAACTGCAGCAGTAGCGGCTGATTCACTTGCTGCTGCATCGGCTGCAGCAGCAGTCATTCCGGCATGTTCCCAACCCGCAGCCCTACCAGAGATCGAAGAACCCAACTGTGAAGTGCCATGGCCTTCTCCGCTGTACAAGCGAGTCATGTAAGCGGGCCATGGCACAATACAGGCGAGTTTATTCGTCTCGGCTCTTGAACCGCGATCTCGCAGCAGTTCCAAACTTCAGACTCATTTTCCAGTCACTCTGTGATTCAGGCAGTATTCCTGAACGGTTCCGTCGTTTTACGGCCATTGTTGCCGATGCTTCTGGCACTACCCCTGCAACAAAGAGGTCGCGCAAGAGGCGTGCAGCAGCAGGCGATTCTGCTGCTAGCAGCAGCGAGCCAGCGCTGAAGCGCCTGCGCTGAGCAGACCACCAAGGTGGGGGATGTCCATGATCGCCACTGTACCAACAACCATCCGACACGTTCAAATGATCGGTTCGCCGTGATGCTCTTATCGACGTGTCAACTCATGCTGACTAGCAGCCGAGCTCGCATCGCGGGCAGAGCAATTCTAGTAAAACAATACATTAACTAGTGCCAAATATCAGAAATTCGCGCATTATCTACCGATATTAGTTTCTTCAGACACTCTGTTAGCTTTTCGACTTTGATAGCAGGAGCGGGATGATTGTAGCTGCCTTTGTATATACTATTGATATCCCATTTCTTGCTGTACGCATACGAAAAGTCGATTAACTTGGCCACATCTCTGTTAACCATGATGGTTTGCAATCCCAAGTCGCCACGAACCATCCTCTGATCGTGAAGTACCTTGGGCGTTTCAAAACATCAGCCTTTCCCTGAATCCGATACACTCTCCAGTGTGGAAAGCATCTTTCTATCAAGGTATTCTGAGACCAAGCCATTCGCTACGATGCTGAGGTACTCCTGTATGCATGGGTGCTGAGGGAGGAAGTTCAATCCTATCGTCGATTCAACGGTGAGAGCCGTCGCCTTGTCCTCGCTGCAAGCATATTCCAAAAAGACATCCCTCCCCTGGTATTCGGCCTTGAAGGCCAGAATTCCTGGAAGACAACGCAGAAGCCTCTTGTTTTTCAAACCATCTTCTTTGATGTGCTGCGGGTTGATATTATTGAAACCGATATTGACCCGTTGTGGAATGTAGTTTATGTCCTCCAACAGTCGTATCGGCCGGTGGAACGTGTATTCACCACTAAAATATCTGAGGTAAATAGTGATCGCGAAGCACATATTCAGAGCCACAACCCAGCTGCCAGAATCAGCCAACCTGTCTTTCGCCTCGATAATCATTTTCATGGTGTTAGTCGTGGAAGTGTACGTCCAGTAGTAAATACAATGTTACCAAGTGCTGAGTAAATTGTCAAACAGACAATGAAAAAGAATATGTACTGTCAAATAGCTAATAGAGGCTTGAAGGCGAGGAGCCAGTTCTCTGAGGAGAGTTCAGGAGTCGGCGACTGTCACAGGCATGTGTGTTAATCCGAGAAATAGAGTTCGAAAGATTGGCATTCAACTATGAATGAATCCTCGCCATGAGCCTGGGATCTCAGTTTATGAATGATTCCACTGCCAAGAGCTTGGCTAAGATTACGCTAATGCTCTGCTCAGCCAGATTCGGCCCGGCTAGCTTCACAGGTCCTTGTGGGGGCTGCAGTAATACGCATATACTTTCATCATGTCAAAAATGCAGCTAAATCAACAATTTTATGTCCTAGGGAGCTGCACATTGCCATACAAATGTGTGGCTGTGCTCTGAAGAGGTGGAAGGGTAATGCTGCTTTCATGGCAAGGCTCGTATGCTTGGCAACCTGGGCTTGGGATGGCTGACTCCTGTCGAAGGGCATGTGTAGAAAACTGATTTGGAAGGCACGGCCTACCTTGTCAAGGGAAGTCATGACATGGTAAAATCCAAACGAACGTCTATAGCCTAATTTCTGTAATCCAGCAGGTGGCATCTTAATTGGGATTTTGCGTCAGACACAGCACCAGTGGGGTGGCAATGTACAAGGCTAGGAGGAGCATCTGCAACAATCACCAGCTGCTGCGCTCATGCGCTGTCCACGCACTCTGCACCTGTCAAAAAGCGGGGAGTAGTATTGTCGTCTTGTTGGCTGGAGAAACAGAAACGCCAGCACCGCATCTTTGACAGCTGACCAAAGATGCTGGCGCTCAGCTGGCCGCAGAAAAAATGCTGATTTCCTCAGAACCAGCAGTCAACTGTACATTTCCTTGCTAGAGCAGCAGTTTTGGCGCCGGAAAGTGCCATGCATCACACGCCCAGCCCCCAAAAACGGATGCAGCAACCAGGTAGCATTCAGCTGTCCTGAAGACGAAAGAAAGGGCGACGGAGATTGCGCGCTGCAAGCACCCATGGGTCACAGTGCATGCTGCATGATGATTTTGTGTGGGTTGTGCGGCCAGCGATTCCCACCCAATCGTCCATGGACGGGCATGAGGGCAGACAGCATGCCTGACAAGAGCCTGTGGCAGAGGGTACATTTGGGTTTGTCATGACATGGCTACGTCATGTGGATTCTCCGGGGAGACACGTCAACCCTATTATGCCTCGACTGGCCATTTTCCTCACTTTGCCAGCATTCACCAAACGCCGATGCAGTAAGCTGGTCATGTGTTTTTTCGTGTGGATTTGCCATTACTTTGCTGGGCAAACTAGATTGTTGACAACCTTGCGTGTGCAGAAACCCCCCGTGCTGGCCAGCTCTATAAGAGCAGGAGAGGCAACCAGCACAATTTTTTTGGGTGCCTTGAAATACCACTCCGCTTTTTTCTCTCAAACACCATATCTTTTTCTTCTACCCACTAGTCGAAAACCTACTGATCCCAAGCCTACCATGTCTTCATACCAGAACGCCAGAAATGCCCAGGCCTACAGCCACGGGTACGGCCCGCCCGCCGATGCACACAACAAGGGCGAGTCAGCCACGTACGACAATGTGGCAACAGCCGAGCAGCATACTGCTGCTGGCGAGTACACCGGCGAGTACGCCGACGAGGATGGCGACCGCGGATTCACCGATTTTTTCCGCAAGAGGCCCGACCCCCACCTGACAGCCCAGTACGGCGAGCACTACATACCCGAGTACGATGTAAGTGGTGAAAAAAATTGACAACCCCTGTTGATGCACATGACATCTATATCCGCATATGTGCATGACATAGTGATCAGGTAATCCTACATACCCCTGTCCAATTACTGCGAGTAGAACAAGAAGATTGCCATCGCAGGTGTTGCGGCCCTAGCATTGCTGGTGGGCGCAAACAAGCTCCACAAGAAGCACCAGTCGAAGAAGGAGCACCGCAGAAAGCGCCAGGAGCCCGACCAGGCGCATAACTACTACCGCCAGACGACCGAAGGTGAGGGTGTTGGCAACGCCTCATACGACACGACTACCACAAAGTACTGAGCACAACATTGCTGGTATCGTTGATGTATCCATGTATTAGCCGTATCCAAAATTAATCCCCTCTGCGGCCCTGCTGCTGGGCCAGCCGACGGCTGGCACACGTGTTTCCATTTCGTTTTTAGCTATACTCGTTTTGTTTTTCAACTTGTGCCGAATAATTAGGTATGAAAAAGATATGAAATGATGATTAGTGCACGATTTCGTCCCAGTTGCGGCCCTTGACAGCCTGCAGATCATCGGCGGTGGGCACAGCGCCGGTAGTGAAGTAGCCGTCGGCAATCTTGGCCTCGATCTCGACCTTGGCGTCGCCAGGCATGCGGTCCTCCGGGATGGACACGCGCTCGACAATCTCGATGCCGGAGCCAACGATGGCGTTATACTTCATGTTGGACATGGAGATGAAGCGGTCGATGCGCGTCACGCCCAGCCACTGCAGAATATCGGGCATCAGCGCCTGGAAGCGCATATCCTTGACGCCAGCAACAAACTCAGTGCGCTTAAAGTAATTGGCAGCTGTGTCGCCGCCCTCCTGGCGCTTGCGGGCATTATACACAAGATACTTTGTGACTTCGCCCAGCGCACGGCCCTCCTTGCGGAAATACACGACGACGCCGACGCCGCCGTTCTGTGCCTCGCGCGCACACTCCTCGATGGCGTAGATCAGATACGGCTTGCAGGTGCAGATGTCGGAGCCGAACACGTCTGAGCCATTGCACTCGTCGTGGACGCGCATAGTCAGGCGCTTCGCCGGGTCGGTGATGTGCTCGGGGTTGCCGAAGATATACACGGTCAGGCCGCCGATGGGCGGCAGGAACACTTTGAGGTCCGGCCGCGTGATCAGCTCCGGGATACATGCCACCGGTGTCCTCGAACAGCGCCCGGCGCAGTGTGGCCTCGGAGATGCCGAAGCGCTCGGCGACACCGGGCAGGAACCACACGGGCTCGACAGGCTACCTTGACGACCTTGAGCTCGCCATTCTCGGTCACCACGTCGCCGTCGCGCTGCAAAATGCCCTTGCCGATGGCCTCGTCAATCTCGGCTAGCTTCATATGCGCTTTGGTTACAGCAATGGTCGGGCGCACATCGATGCCCTGCTGCAGCTGCTCGCTGAAATGCTCGACGACTGCGTGGCCCCAGGGATCCATTGACACGATCTTGCCGGGGGCTGTCCACGTGGCCTGCGGGGTGATATTGTACGCCGGCTCGGTCAGCGACAAGTCCGGCAGGTGGTTTGGCTTCAGGTCTCCAATGGCCACCGCCAGCGCGTGGTAGATGCAGTATGAGCCTCCGCCAGCGCCAATTGCGTTGCGCTTGCCAAAGGAGTCCGGGTGCCGGGAGGCCACGATGGGCCCGCGCTCTTGCGGTGTCTTGGCACCCCACGTCATGGGCAGCGGGTCGATGCCCAGCTGCGACGGATACGTGGTCAGCACCACGCGGCTGCTGTAGAGGGGCTCGGTCTGCTCGCCGTGCTCGTGCTCGCAGGGGCAGTCGTCCTTGTTCTGGTGGGTCAGAGGTTGTCATTGAGGAAGGCTTGGTAGTAATGGTTTGACTAGATGTAGTAGAAAAGAAGAAGAAGAAGAGGAGAGGATACGCGGACAGATCTAGTTGCCAGACCAGCCCCTTTTATATGCAGTGGTCGCGTGAGCTCAGGGGAGACAGTGCAGTGGCAGCTTATTGCACTCTACTGCATGCAAAACCACGCACAGCCGCACCAACTACAAAGGGCTGCCAAGGAAATGCTCCGCTATCCGTGCAAGGTATGCATTGTGTGCTTGACGGTTCCCACGTCATGCCCGCGCCGCAGATATAACTGTACCATTCGTAGTAGTTTCTCGCTAGAGACGAAAAATGTGTGCGCAGGTGCTTCTAATTGTTTGTTGAAACCAGCATGCTCACGTGGCCACATGATACAAAGCAAGTCCGCAAATCCCTCGGTCACCTATCAAGCTCAATCTGCGCCCGCTCGGCATTGAGCCGCTCGACGTACGTCTTGTGGAACTGCGAGCTGGACCCCAGCGTCGAGCACAGCAGCATCTCCTTCTCGAACTCGCCCGTCAGCTTGCTGTGGTGCCCTGTGTTGCGGAACATGTCCACCAGGCGCTTGGTCTTGGCCTGCATCTCTGCGTGTGTCGCGCGGGTCGCCCCCAGCAGCTCGCGCGCCAATGCCAATGTGCTGACGTCGTCTTGCGGCATGAACTGCGGGCCGATCTGGTTCAGCGCTATGAAAAAGCACACCATCGCCTGCTGCAGGAATCTGCGCAATCTCGAACCCCGTCCGCTGCCGCACCACAAACTGCATGGCACCAATGAACACCGGCGTCGTCTTGCCCGTCATTATCAGCAGCTCCAGCACCGCAAATGCCCCGATCGCCAGGTACCGCCAGTATATGCCATTGACGCCGAACCGGAATACCTGCAGGATGACGTTTCCGAAAACAAACGCTCCGTATACGCCCAGCCGCCTAGGCACTGCTGCAAGCAGGTAGTCGTTGGCCGATTTGCACGTCTGGCACGCCAGCGCACTGGCGCCCGCCCGGTCATACACAAACTGGAGCGTGGGTGTCGACAGCACCCTGTATGCCTCCTGGACCTGAATAAACTCCATCTCGTTGCCAGTGTTCTTGTCCGGGTGCAATGCCAGCGAGAGGTTGCGGAAATTGCGTTTCAGCTGCGCACTCGAAACCCCCGATGGCGATACTCCTAGCAGCTGGTAGTAATTCGTACCTAGGCTCTTCTCTGTGCTATACAGGGTGTAGAAAAGGTAGAGCATGATAACAACTGCATACGAGAGTCGCCGGTGCAGATTGTACGCTGCTGAATGTGCTGCTGGAACTTTGCCTGGCGCCACCCGTGCGAGAACCCAGTGTGCTCCTTGCAGCACGCAGTCTGACGCGAACTTTGGGAGAAATAGCCAGCCTACCACGCCGAACAGGTCGCCCATTGTCTATAAGTTTCAAGCTAAGGGAAATAAAAAGGGAAATGCGCAAATGAATTTGTGAGAGCAGCACCCTCTTTGTGGAAAGCGCTATTCACTGGTCAAAGACCGGCTTGCAGGAGAGCCTAACAAAATCCCAAACAAATCAACCGATCAGCGAGGATGGACATTCATGACATACACACATACTTTGCCAGTTGCTGCTGTAGCAGGACAGATCCCTGGTAAATACCCAGCCACCACTGCACAATCATAAAGACTGCACGACAATTAGTACCCACACACGTAAATTTTAGAAACCCACACTGATGTCTTAGATTCCCCAGGCTATCTACTGATTGTATCATCCTGGACACATTGCTATCGCTGTCTCCAGCTGTACGCATGATACACCTCTTTTGATCGCACAGCTCGCGGGCAATGACAATCAAATATGCAAGTGCATGCACCAAGGGCGATGGCCGTAGATAACGGACCGGGTGGGTTCAGCACTTTATTCTACTCTACCTCAATCGTGAATTGTTGTATTGAACAGGTGACCAGTGTTCACGAACGCAACTGCAAAAGGATTGCCTGGCCACTTACAAGCAACAGTGGTCACTTGTGTGTGTTGGTATGTTGCTAGCCTGATGGGAAAGCGGAAACCTTGCTGGTATATCCAGAAACCCCACCCACCAACCACAGGCGGCAACCACGCCCCATCCATATGCACACCGGAAGTAGACGTGCGTAAATTGCTGTCCTTACAATGTCCAACATACGGCACTGTGGAATAGAAAACAAGCCCACTGTCTCAAAATGGCCAGCTCCGACTTACATGCAAGTGGATAACATCAGCCATAGCCGCGGACCCATCTTCACGCTGCCACAACGCCTCTCTGTCTGACAAGGAAAAACCTTCAGGATGTGCCTGTACAGTCAGCCCCTCCTACCTACTCTGTGCTTAAAAATGCAATATGTGCGACGTAGGTACTTCATGGCGAGTAGTTGCACATATACTTCAACATACCCTTGCCATAAAAAGAGGCATATTCATGGCGCTTGGGTGAGAGAGACATAAGCCAAGTTGCGCACTGTCTCTCCTGACGTCTTTGCACAGGTGCAGCAAGGATTTTCATTGGAGAACGGCAACTTGGCTGAGCTGGACAGCAAGGAAACCAGGGTGCTGGCGAACGAGCCTTTGGGCAAAGTCAGCTGGAAAAATGGACTTGGGGTTTATTAATTTCTCTGCGATTTGCACAAAACAGAGCAAGCGGGGCAACCTCCGACAGCGGTTGTCGCGCTGGCAGGAGGGACAACACACATGCATGCACCTGCCTGCCACCCCGAGTTGGTGAGGGCAAAACTGACGGGGTTTCCTGTCCATTCCTGGCTCTTGCGGCAGCATGCTGCCAATGTGACCAGACCGCAATTGTGCAATTGCCGTTGCTAAACACCCGCTCCCTTTGAGCCTGGAATATCAAAACTATTTCCTCACCTGATGCTGTTCTGGCATGGCGATGGCGCTCAAAAACAGCGAGAGATCCACTAGATTTTCAGGGTATAAAAAGTCGCCTCTCTTCCCTCGCACTCCCCTGTCGCGGAAATAAATGGTTTCCTCCGTCTTCTCCTTTTCCTCCTCAGCCTGCTTCACCGCATAGCGCCTTTTTAATTTACTTGGCCTTTCTTCCAACCTGTAAACACAACACAACACAACACAACACAACACAACACAACACAACCTTATTTATTTAGCCTCTATTTCGCTCTACTTTTAACTCACGCTTTTCCTCTCTTATTTTTCTCACAATGGCTCCCCCAGGGCCGCTGTCATTTGTCCCGGACGACATCCTCTTTGAGATATTCAAGTGGGTGTGTCCGACTACGCGTCCTGAAGCAGAGAACTGCTTTGGCCTCACGGCTGTTCTGTTGCTCGCTCACGTATGCCGCAGATGGCGACATGTTATCAGCAGTCCATTCGTCAAATACGTCTGCGTCGAGCGCGTGCTTATTGGGGACTGCACGAAGGATGGGAGACATGGGTACGCATGGCGGTCAAATATTGAGATGCTCATCGGGATGGGCAAGACGGAGGATGTCACTGACTTTGTCATCAAGCTGGATGACGGGTGTATGTGCAAACCCCAGATGACAGAGATCCTGAATATGTTTTATGGCTACCACTTCAGATGGGCAAACATCCGTTCCCTTGTATTCGTTGGTACCGGTTTTGCGTCGTTTGGAAACGATCCCACCTACAACCCGCAGATGGATCCCGAGGCACAAATGGCATACTTTCAGTTCATCGCGCTTTTCCCGAACATCAGGTCTATCGCATATGCTGAGGATGGAATTAATACGGTATGCCCTGGTCTGGCTGTCAGATTCACGAAGCTATATCCGCTGTACTACTGGCTCTTTCATTACTATCGTACGCAGCTCACGGCCGTCCAAGGCCTGCACCCGCTACCACCAAAGGCCTTATCCAGTGTTGCATATGAGACTACGGATCTGACACTGAATTCATGGTATCTGGGTCACTTCATTGACAGCCCTTCATTTGATGCCTCGGTTCTTCGCAAAATGACGATCTACGATATCATAGATGGTATCAACTGGGGTTGGTTTAGATCCAGGAACGGCAGCGAAGTTGTGTTTTCCAGCTTAGAGAAGCTTAGCTTGCGTTGCGCCGAACAGCCACATCTAGAAACCAAAGTCGACCCAACCGGCGGGTTCGTATTGCGCTTTCCGAAGCTGCTTTCTTTGACTGTTGGAGGCTCAATCCCTGTCTTCGGTGACATTTATCGTCTCTTTCATCAATCTCCAATTGAGATCCTGAAGATGGGTGAGGACCTGAACGACCTTCGGTATATTGATGCGCGGATCGTTTCAAGGATTAAAGCGTTCTTTCTTGTCGGACGACCATACTCAGATATGCCCGCTTTTATCCAACGTGAAGCTATCACCCGCTTCTACAATATGCTGAACATGGTGCAGCATGTGTCCTTGTTTGCTAACCCATTCCCGTTGACTGGCGTTGATCAGATGTTCCGTCTCAAGTGCCTGAATATCGACCTGGGTGCGGATGAATTCCCTTATCTACACAGAGCCATTCAGCAATTGCCAAGACTTGGGGTGCTGGATATCGTGTTCAAGAGGCACTGGAGTGCCGGAAAGTATCCTTACACACTTTTACCTGATGAAAACATGCCTGCAATCGAGGACGCAGTGCCTAGCACATACAGGTACGGAACCAATGTTATCGATGTCTCCGACCTGCCCCCGATCAGCACCTCGCTCTACTATGTCAGTATTGCACACAGCGGTCCAGAGATGTTCCATCGTGCCTGTATTCTCATTCGCAGCTTGCCCAACCTGACGAGGGTTGCTGTCCACGAGAGTAATGCGCTTGGCATTCTCGAATTCAATCGCATAAGGGGCAGAGGTGTCAAAACCGAGGTGTATGGCTAGGAGTCTTGGCCTTCTTTAAGATGTACCATATGTATCTATCATATTTATTCCAATCGCATATCTCTTCAAACAACTTTTTACGTATTGACCTTTATGACACGACACATGACATAATGCCCTCATGGACCTCTGTGGCTGTACTACAATACTCACTACACAAATGTGCTACCACGCCTCACCCATCCATTTTGATACAACTGAAATGCGCCGTAGATCCCGGGGCGCTGCAACTTGCATTAGCAAAATGGCCACGCATGACCATAGAAAGGCTCTCATCATTCTCTAGAGACAATGAAAATGGGAATTGTAGCGAGCCATTGTCGGATGTGCGTGAAATGGCGGCCTCTCTTATCACACGAAAAATGATTTACAGATTGCTAGAAGATTCACTATTCCTTTTCACATACGCTCTTCCTCCACTGAGTCGGTGACAACCTGCTAGGACTCAGTGATGCCTTTCATTTTGAAACAAACATGCCAAGTAGGACAAAGTCCACAGAGCTTCTTTCCGCGCATGAGCCACTTGCTCTTAGTCTTGGGGAACTATTTAAACATAGGGTCAAGAAACTTTGACAGCTCTCTACATTTCGTTCTCCGTCATCGTCAATAGATATAGCATAGAGCATGAATACAAAGCTTAGTTGTTGTTCACTCCTTTCAAGCAACGGCCATGATGATATCATCCCCGTAATGAATCCAGGGCTAGGCGACGCATTCGGCTATGCCCCAATGTAAAAGGATAGGAATTGAGTGCATTTTCTAACAACGGTACCATCTGAGGTGGCCATTTCCTATTCACTTTGGTTGAGCACAGACTATAGCAATAAATGCTTTGAAGCAACTATAGAAGCCTTAGTGGCCTTAGAAATTGATGTCCACGTCTTAGCAGCATAGACGGGTGCGAGCATAGGGAGAGGATTGGAATTCTCTAGGGACAACATGTGAAAATATTGTGGCGGGTGAAATGCTGGAAATGCATAGAATAATTCTCGCTCTTGTCATACATAATGGAACAGCATGCTGCTAACAAAATAGGTTCACTTTGCCTCATCCACTCTTCTGCCACTGGATTGGTAGATTATTATTGGAACCCAGTGAGGCTTCTCATTTCAGAAACTCAATATATCTGGCAATTTTTGTGTACATAGAGCATGAACCAAATGGTCTTCACATGACTCATAACTCTACAGAGGCTATTTAAGCCCTGGTTCAAGAATGTAATACAGCTGAATGCATTACATTCCAATTCTGTATCTACACTATTTTATAGATGGGCTATTTAAACATGACTCAGTTCGGTTCGTTTATTTCCAAAAAAAGAAACGCTTTCATATGAACTCCTCCATGAATGAGAACCGTATAGCACTTTTCTAAATGTTAGATCCAAGAGTTACTGATATTAGTTTCATGCACTGCGAGGACCTGTACAGCCAACCACACCGAAGCGAACTGAATCAAACCAGTATGATCCCCATATTATGAGCCAGCCACTGCAACACAGCTTTGAAAACGGTGATTGGCAAGTGGACCAGTCATTATGATACCAATGACAATATAAATATCCTCTCTATATATCTGAGAAGCCTGGCAGCAATCGAATGGGCCCTCATCAATGCATTATCTCTTAAACTGTCCTTTCTCAAACTCACATGTGTTTTGTAGTGTGCATTGTAGAGTACGGTATTCGTTTTCTTATAGCGGACCTACTGACTCCAAACCTGTCAACATGCAGGCAAGCCGGCGGATATATCAGCTCGCGGCTCATCAGCTCGCACTGGGGTAGATCGGCTCGGCTCAAGATATTTTTTGTGGCCCTGGATCTGTGCTGAGGCTAAAAGGCAAGATAAACGGTGCCTGCACTTTGTCCAGCATTCGTTGCTTTTTTCAATTACCGCATTCTCTCTTTTAATAGCGTGTGTATTGTCAGAATCGCTCTCGCCAAGGGGCCTACGCAACAGTAAAAGGAACAAAAGCGAAATGTTTAGCGCGGCCCGCATTACACAGTCGGGGGCCCGAGTGGTACCCAAGCAGCTCCTGCAGGTGAGCGTTCGCCCAATTTCGACGACGCAGCAGGTGCTGGCCAGCCGGAAGACACCAGGTAAGCATAGCCCGCGGCATAGCAGAGCATGAATTTGGCACCAATGTTTGCAGCAGGAACTAAACGAGGATCTTTATCTAGCTGATCGCACTACATCGACGGCGTTCACAAAGCTTTCCATTGGATCAAAGAAGCTGCGCACCGGGACATCGACGGCGGTGAACATGGGCAGCCTGAATCCCGACTACTACACGGACAAGCCATCGCCGCAGACGGAGGTTTTGAGCAGCACGACGGCGAAGGAGTGGAACATCGGGCAGTTCCTTGAGATCTCGGGACATGTACTGCAGAGCCTGGGCAAGGACCAGTTCCCCGGGTACCTGGGCAAGGACTTCAAGCTGTTCGGCAAGCCGGCGCTGATGTACCGCGAATTCACACAGAAGCTCGTGGACCAGCTGGCAAAGAACGCCTCGGCGGCGCCAAAGACGGCGGCGGTGATTGACGGGCCCAATGGGGCAGGCAAGAGCGCCGAGCTGCTGAAGCTGGCGGCTGTGGCAGCCGAGGCCGGGCACATTGTGGTGTATGTCCCGGCGACGATTCCGTGGGTCAACTCGAGCCGGCCGTATGCGCCGGGCGCCGATGACTCGTTTGTGCAGCACGAGACGGCGATGGGGCTGCTGCGCTCGATCCAGGCGCTCAGCTCGGAGGCCCTGGCGAAGGTGCCGCTGGGCAAGGCAGTGACGCTGGGCAAGAAGTCGCTGGCGGCAGACAAGACGCTGTCGGACTTGGTTGAGTTTGGCATCCAGGCGCCGTCGCTGGCGCACGCAGCGCTGGAGCAGATGCTGGAGATCGCCGGGGCTCAAAAGGCGGTGCCGGTGGTGATTGCGCTTGACGAGGTCAACACGCTGTGGAGCAAGAGTGCGTATACGGACCAGGCGGACAAGATCCTGGCGGCCAACCGGCTGCGGCTGGTGCGTGCGTTCCTGCCGTATTTTGAGGGCACCAAGCAGCTTGCCAAGGGGTGGGTTGTGGGCGCCACGTCGTATATCGAGACCAAGTTCATGCCCAAGCAGCTGAGCCAGAAGCTCAGCCCGCCGCCGCAGATCGCGTTCAAGAACAAGGACGTCGAGAGCGACCCGGGGCTGTACCGGCCCGAGACCAAGGTGCCGTTCGATGTGGTCAAGCTCGACCGCATGACGGCCACCGAGGCCAAGGCGATGATGGACTTTTACCGCAGCGTGCGTATCGTGCAGACCCCTGTCACAGACGCGCTGGTGGCCAAGAAGTGGGTCCTGGCGAACGGAAATCCGCGCCAGATCTTTGGCAGCTGCACGGCGTTCTTCTAGATTCCTCGTCATCAAAAAACCTTATCTCAAAAGCCCAAAAAGACAATACACATTCATGGGAAGAATTGTCGTGTTTCGTATTCAACAAGAGAAATGGAGTAAGCCGTTTACTGCTGGTAGTTGAAGAGGCGCAGCAGGTTGCGCTGCAGCATCGACACCGTGACCTTGCCGACCGACGGCACATAGATCGACGACACCTCCTTGACCTCGGGCTCAAAGTTCCGTACACTGGCAAAGTTCACTGCCACGACGCCTGGCTTCAGCAGGCTGGTCGGCATCTTGTACCCCGCACTGGGCACGCCGGTGATGACCACATCGCACAGCGGGATCACGTCCTCAGGCTTGAAGTCAGTGGTGGTCGTGGTGTGGCTGTTGATCGATGCACTCGGATCGCGCTGGAAGATCAGGATATCGTTGATATCGATCGAGAAGACCTTGGCGCCATCGTTGGCCAGCAGCGCGGCCAGGGGCCGGCCCACGACCTCGCTGCGGTTCACCACGGCAATGGTCTTGCCGCGCAGATGGTCGCCGTAGGGCAGCGAGTGGTCGTAGACGCCAATGTGGTCGAGCACCTTGACCACAGCCAGCGGCGTGCACGGCAGGATGGCCTTGCGGGTCTGCTGGTCGTCCAGGAAGCGGTCGTTGCTGTACAGCTTGCCGTTGTAGACAACGTTCAGGCCCTCGACGTCCTTGGTCGGATCGACCAGGTCCTGCAGCTTCTGGTCCCGCTCGTCATTGTACACCGGGTAGTACACCAGGATGCCGCTCACCGACGGATCGGTGTTCGCAGCCGCGATCTCGGCCTCGAGCGATTCCCGCGGCACCTGGCGCAGCTCGAATTGAAGCCCGGCCTCGGCCAGGTGCTTGCTGGAGGACTGCGCGTACTTTGTCGCGTACGGGTCGTCGTTTGCCAGGAAGCCGACGAGCTTGGGCTTGACGCTGCGCTGGCTCACCTCTGTCTTGATCTCCTCGGTGAAGTTGGAGGCAACCTCGGCGGCAAGAACGACTTTGCAGGGCATTGTTAGTGGATCGCTGTGGGTGACTTGAAGACGCGAGTGCGGGGGAAACTTGTGGAAGAAGCAAGTAAACTGAAAAAGACTAGAGGGTAAAGCGGAGCAAAATCATCCCTTCTCTTCTTCCTTTCATTAAAAAGCAAAGGAGAGAAGCGTCGCCGGCAGGTGCGCACAAGCGATCGGGAGTCACAGAGTCAGCTTGCAACCCCATCGTCACAGGTGATAACGATCGTGACCAGCCCAAAAAAAAAACCTGCTCCCCCAACGGCTCCGCGAGCCGGGATCGAGCGGCTGACTAACTCGAAGTGCGAGCCGCCAGTAAACCTGTATGACGGCGATATGGTATTTTTTTTAACATGCCGGTTCCTGTGGACCCGACGCTTCTTTCTCCCCTTGACTTTAATGCATTTTTAATTCTGTTTCTGTACTAAAAAATTCACACATTCGAAAAATGGACTTGCAGAGAGTGGTCGACGCATACGTTATCGGCATTGGCGAGAGCCAGGACAACACGGAGCTGCTAAACAAACTGGTGACGCATATCTCGGCTGGCGACACATCGCTGTTGGAGCTGGTGCAGGCGCTCGGCGACCATCTTGCCAGCGACGAGGCAACCCGACGCAGCCGCGGCACGCACATTCTCTCGGACGTCCTAGGCGAGCTGCCGGCAGCAGCGGTGCCCGCGCGTGCGACGACAATGCTGACGCAGTTTTTCTGTGCGCGGCTGGGCGACGCAACCTGTGTGCCACAGACGCTGCGGGCGCTAATGGCCCTGCTCAGGCTGCCAGCATTTACGTCGCAGTACGCAATCGATGTGGTGTCGGCGCTGTTCAAGGAGGTGCACGTGCAGAGCTTCCAGCAGTCAACGCGCAGCACCGCGTACAGCCTGTTGCAGACGGTGGTGGACGGATACCCAAAGGCAGTGCAGAGCATTGGCGATGACTTTGTGCTTGGGTTTGCGCAGGCATTGGATGGCGAGAAGGACCCGCGGTCGTTGATGGTGGCGTTTGAGCTGGTGCCGCGGATCATCGAGCTGGTGGATATCGAAAAGTACGCCGAGGATCTGTTTGATGTGGTGTTCTGCTACTTCCCGATCACATTTCAAGAACCGCGACGGCGATCCGTCAGCCATTTCGCCTGAGGCTCTGAAGAGAGCGCTAAGGGCCTGCATTGCCGGGTCACCATATTTTGGCGAGTTGGCTGTCAAGCCACTGGTCAGCAAGACTACCGCAACGTCGGTCAGCGCCAAGATCGACGCCTACGAGACGCTGGCGGCTGGCGCGCGCGTCTACGAGCCCAGCGTGTTCCTGCCGCGCATGGAGGCTCTAGTGGACCAGATCCGCGAAGAGGTCTTCATGGCCGCCGACGAGGACGTGGTGCGAGCCGCACTGGGCACTCTCGAGGCCGTCTACGCCGTAATCTCGGTGCCACCAGCGTCTGCCAAGCCATGTGCCATGGAAGAGGACGCAACGCCGCTTGATTACATCCTGAAGGAAGCCAGCATCCAGCTGACCGCTGACGAGATCAAGAACCCTGAGGAGGTCGGCAGGATTCTGCGCGCTGCAGCCAAATCGTCCAGCTACAACTGTGCAATCGTGACTGACGCCATTTTGCCGGTCATCGCTGAGCGCCTCAGCAGCACCGAAGTGCTGACAGTGCGCCGCCAGCTGATCGACGTGCTCAACCACGTGCTGTCAGCCTAGTTGCGATCTGGGCCGCGCTGCCGACTGCCTCGATGCCAGCAAAAACGACCTTTTGGGCATCTACCGGCCCGAGTCCGCCTGTGCCGCTCGACAAGGAGTACAGTGTCCTGCATATGGTGCGTCTGAAGGGCATCACGCTGCTTGTGCTGCTGCCTGGCCTGCTCACCGACAACGAGGCTGCCGTGGCTTTGTTGACTATTACCTCAGCGGCCATCGAGCGCAGCGAGGACACCAAATGTCAACAAGGAGGCTACACATCTGCTGGTGCAGCTGTCGCTGGCCAGACATGAGCTGGTCAGTAAGGTCGTGTTGCCCAAGCTCATCGAGGCACTGACTGCTGACACTGTTGCTGCCAGCAAGGTCGCGCGTCTGTTGGACGTCTTGGGTGCCGTAGCCGTGGCCTCGCGCAGCCTGGTTGCCACTATTGTGACCAGCATCTGCGAGGTGCTAATCACGGGCCTGCAGCCGGCTTTCCGGGTCGCTGCAATGACGACTGTGCGCAAGATAATCGATGCCACGCTAGCCGCCAAGAGCGACCCTGAGCTAGTCACCCATCTGGCCGCAAGCGTTATGCAGCCGGTTGCCCAGTGGATGCTCCAGCTAGTGGGCCAGCAAGAGTCGGTGCCGCTGCCGCTAGTGGTAGAGTTTGCCAAATGCGAGGTCGCCCTGTTCAGCAACCTCGATGCTGCTGCCCAGGAAAAGACTGGGGAGTATTGGTTCGACACCTATCGCTCTGTGATTGTTGATGCGAGCAATGCCCAGGCCGAGGCAAAGTCGCTGCTGCCGCTGTTCTCGGCTGCGGTGTGCGCGCATCGCCCTGAGGCCAAGCTGGCGGTTCCTGATCGTGGCTGCCTTCCTGGGCGACCTCTCGCATGCTGCGCTGGCGACCGAGAACGCTATCCAGCGTGACGCATGCTTCGAGATTATATCTTCGGTGGTCAACAAGACCAAGGACGCCAAGGTGCGTGCTCAACTGGTCCAGACAGTGCTCGACAAGGCTGTGAGCGCCGACAGCCCCGCCGACCCATTGGTTCTTCTCCACCAGTGGATTGCACGCGCCTTGGTGACCTGCAACGACAGGCTCGGCTACGACAGCGTGCGCTGGCTCTTTGGTCTGATTGACGCCAAATCCGAGCTCTCCACGCAGGCCGCCGAGGGCTTTTCTGTGATCCTAGGCGACCACGACTGGTCGGTCACCAAGCCAACCCACGGTGTGTTCCGCCTGCTGTTCAAGCAGCGGTTCTATGCAACTGTGTTGCCCGAGATCACTGCGCGGTTCAACGCAGCCACCGACGATGTCACCAAGGCCGCCTTCCTTGTCGTCCTGACCAACGTCATTCGCCATATGCCCAAGAGCGTGCTAATGAACGGCATTGAGACTGTCGTGCCCTTGCTGCTTTCGGCCGTGCGTCCTGACCCGCGGCGAGCTGAAGTCTGCGAGCATCCGCACTGATCGCCATGGTTGTCATGGAGGCTCCCAGTGTACTGCACGATGAAATCACCGCCACAGTTGTGCCTCTGGATGCTGGATGCGCTGCAAAAGAGCGAGGCAAATACCGTGGATGTGCGGAGGGCTGCGCTGGAGACTCTGGCGCTTGTGCCGGAAAAGTACGATATCGGCGTGCTGCATTCGGTCAGACATACCATTCTGAAGGTGCTGACCAAGACCCGCGATGATCATAAGCGGCTGGTGCGCTTGGACGCTGTGCGCGGCTACAACAAGTGGCTGAACTTTGGCGACGTGTAAACGCTCAATACACAGGCAGACACTGAAAATTGCAGCATTGGATGTCCGCAACCATTATGACTATATCTTATTCGATGTTATCTGTGATACGTCTTGCTCTGAGTGGCAGCTCCAAATGCAATCTGCATGCCAGCATCCAATGGCTCTATGCCGCTGTTCACTCTCGGTCAATTTCGAATGTGCTCCGTCCCGGCCACTTTCTTGCTCGCACTTGTAGCTGGCACTCAGGATCGGCCTGCATATTAGGAAGGGGGTGCACACATACCCGAGCCAGCCTCGAATTCTTTGCTGCGCAGCATACACACATGCCTTTGCCCACACACAAAACAATATATTAATGCAGACAATAGCTACTTGCCAAGCTGCTAAATCAGATAAGGAGTCCCTAGCCTAGCACTTGTAGAGGAACTTTTTCGAGATCAGCAGTCGCAGCGCCAACATCGCTAATGCCGAGCAGAGAAGCTGCACCGAGCAGTAAATGATCATGCTCGAAGTAGTCGGTTTTGTTTCCAATGGTATCCAGCATGGCTCCATCCACAGGCACGGTCGACCAGGGTAGCCACAGCGTAGCCAAAGTAAATGACTCCCAGCGTGTTGTTCAGGCGCTCTGAGCCATACAGATCTGCAGCAACCACCGGATGCAGCGTTGGCATGATGCCCCACGAGATTCCGTATATGGTAGCTGCAATAATCAGCATTGTGCTGTTCTGGATATGGCAGCCAAAATACAATAATCCCCAGGGCGCCAGCAAATGTCGACACAACCAGCGTGTTCAGAGCTCCTACTCGGTGCGAAACCAGATCAATGACAACCCGGGAAATCAAAGATGTCAGGTTAAGCAGCATCTGCAGCTTTGTGCTAAAGTCCTGGCTCATGCCAAGAACGACCACGCTATATGACGACATGTAGAAATACGGTGTGAACACACTGGCCATCGACAGCGAGCTGCCAATGAGCAGCAGCACATAGCGGATATCACGCAGCAGCGAAAAGTCAAGCAGCTTGCCTTGGCGCACTATTCTCGTGCGCGGCTTCAGCAGCCAGCTGGCCGGCATGCCGGCGCCCAGGATAATGAACCCAGTGATGCGCATCGCCCACGGCCGTCCCAGGCTCACCAGCCATGCCTTTGTTGGCAGCGGAAATCCAAATTCCTGCAATGCTGGTTCCTGCCAGCACAGTGACCAACTGCCAATGCCCGGTGTTTCGGGAACCATTGCGTCGGCACCACAACGGAAACAATATCAGTGAATCCGCCACCGATGCCAAACAACACTCCCTTGCGTCAGAAGCAGCGCCCACGGGGTTATGCAGAACGAGGCTGCGATTAGCGACATGGCAATAACCAGGATGCCGCCCATGCTGATGTACCGTGCATCGAACCTCTCGCACGCCATACTGGCGAATAGTCCGAAAAACGCGTTTCCAAAGAACATCATGGTTCCAATCCAGGACGAACATGGATGCTGATGAGTCAGGAAACTCGTTGACCAGATACTCAACTTGGTAGACGCCGTAGCTGCTGACGATGCCGAACGAAAACATGTGCACGATGAACCCGGCCATCAGCACTATCCAGGACTGGAGCATCGGCGGGTTATCCTCTTCGTAAGCAGTGTCAGATTCTATTGAAGCATTGGGCTTTTCATCGACTGAAGCAATAGGAGCTTCTTCCTGCGGACAAGCGGTTGTGAGCGGCATTTGAAAATATGACTGTTGATATAGTACAAGTGAAAAATGGCAAGAGTTTAAGCCGCTGTTTATATACGTACCATTTCTAGCTTGAATCTGCGCATCAGTTCACTAGTTGTAAAGGCTCGCTTGATGGGAGATATTCAAAAATACGACTAGCAGCACCATTAACATAAGCCTGTCGCCGTGCTCGGCTTCTTGCAAAGCATTCATCCCCGAGCTACTCCTCTCTCCATCCTAGCTATTGCACAAAAAGGACCGGAAACTTTTGTCTTGACGCGCTGGCAAATCTGCCCATCATTGGAAAAAGTTTTTGCCTCTAATGTTCAGGAGAGTCTCTCCTCTCATGTTTGACGGGACGAATTCAAACGGCATGCTCACCACGCAGAATGTACAGAGTCAGCACGGAAAATGTGGTTGGCGGTGTGAAACGTGTCCCTGGGTCAATTTTTGTTTTTGCAACCGCATTGCCTATCAGAACTGACTCTGGAACTCATTTGTGTGGTTGATTGAATATGCATATACGTGCTTCACGCGGTAAGCTAAACCATTCGAGCCAATACTGTTACCGCCATATGGCCGTGAAAAGTGCAAATTCGCCGAGGACTCGGAGATGAATAGAACGCATGGTTTACTGATGGGGACATATTTATGTTTGAATATTCAGCGTCGCTGCCCATGTGATGCGCTTTTTGGTATTGTTTAGGCAATATGTTTATGCACCCCCATGTCGACTTCATACGCAATGTATATGCCACATATCTGGCTTTGGTGCAAATTGAATATGATCTCTTAATTTCTTACATTTACTAGTGTTTCATATTAAATTGCAGGACATGTACTAATCTTCATTTGAATGCCAGGCCATGTCAACACACATGAATAAATTTACGGGAAACAAGCAGTCGCAGTACGACTAGAGCCACTGTCGCAACCACCAACTGCACTGAACAGTAGATGATCAGGCTCGAGTAGTCGGTCTTGTGTCCAATATTGTCCAGCAATACACCATTGACAGGCGATGTAATGAGTGTCGCTACAGAGTATCCAAAGTATATGACACCTAGCGTTGTGCCTAGACGCTCCCCGCCAAACAAGTCAGCAGCCACCACTGGATGCAGCGTAGGAATAAATCCCCAGGCCAGCCCATAGATAACAGCAGAGGACCATCAGCATTGCACTATTCTTGAATGGCAGCCAGAAAATGGCTATTCCGACAGTCCCTGCCAACGTTGAAAGTAACAATGTGTTTAGCGCGCCGATGCGACATGTGATCTGGTCAATGAATAGACGCGAGACAAGCGACGTCAGATTCAGAACCATCTGCAGCTTCGTGCTGAAATTCTCATTCATGCCGAGGACAACCACGCTGTACGATGGCATATAGTAAAACGGTGAGAAAAAGCTGGCCATTGACAGCAGGCTTCCAACGAACAGCAGTGCGTAGCGCACATCGAACAGCAGAGAAAAATCGAGGAATTTGCCTTCACGCACGATTTTAGTCCGCGGCTTCAATAGCCAGCTACATGGCAGCCCCAAGCCAAGCATGATGAATCCGGTGATGCGCATGGCCCAAGGGCGACCGACACTCGCAAACCACGCCTTGCTAGCAGCGGATATCCAGATGCCACCCACGCCACTTCCTGCTAAAACGATGCCAACCGCTAGCGCACGGTGTTTCGGGAACCACTGCGTCGGAACAATGATTGAGATAACGTCAATGAATCCAGCCCCAACACCAAACAAAATCCCCTGCGTCAGCAGCAATGCCAGTGGTGTCTTGCAGAAGGAGGCAGCAACCATCGATCCACCAACAACCAGTACACCGCACATACAAGCGTACCGTGGGTCGAATTTCTCGCACACTAGACCGGCGAACAGTCCAAAGAACGCGATTCCAAAGAACATTAGAGTGCCGATCCAAGCAATGGTCGTTGCAGGGGTATTCGGGAACTCGTTCACAAGGTATTCGACCTGGTAGACGCCGTAGCTGCCCACAACACCAAATGAGAACATGTGGACGATGAACCCAGCGATCAATACTATCCATGACTGGAGACGTGACGGGTTGTCTTCTTCGGCTGCACCATCAGGTATATTGTCGTCGATTAGCTTCTCCTGGACAGAGGCAATCGGCGCTTGGCTCGCTTGTGTAGACAACGTCGATAGACATTTGGTTTTAGTGAGGTTTTAGTGAGGTTTTAGGAGCAAGTGGGCTCGTGTCCTTGGCAGCTGGAATTGTAAGAAAAATGAACCAGCGAAGCGATAGCATTTCAGGCGGGGACCCCTGTGCCAGAGCTGCTTTCTCTTTTTAAGCTCCTTGTCCAGGCGTGGTCGGCAAATAATTCTGCCTAACGATGTGTGGTCTGCTATTTATCGCCTGCTCTAAACTTCTTATGATACATTCATCGCTGAGTGAGGCAGGCGATGCCGTCTGCTGTGGCGGTTCCCCGGGGAAGCATCCGTGGCCGCTTTTGTTTAGATCCACCAGATGGGCCTGTGCGTCCTAGCAATCTCCGAGGCACACTGAATATCGCTGCTACTGCGGGCTGGCGGAAGGACTTGGAATACTAGCGCAAATAGTGTGCAGCATATACCTCCCCACCACACGTGTGATATGCTTGAGGTCAGCTGGTAGCTGCTGCATCTCATGGATGTGCATCCCTGTGCCAGAAAAAAGTATTGACAGCGGGCGATCCCAGTGCTTTGCACACAATCACCGGCTACTCTTGCAGATACACATTTCCGCTCTAATCTGGCAGAGGGTTAAGAAAATCGCTCAGCTAGATATGTTAGTGGCAGATCGCTAAATCGATCTATAACTCTGGGAGAATGGTGTGAAAAGAAAGCCTTACGCAGCAATAGCTACTGGTATCGACGATGCGGTGCCTTGGGCTTGGGTCGTCAAACAGCAGCGGGCGCTTGGTCGGCTTGATGTTGCGGTCATAGTCCATCAGCAGCTTGAACATGCCAGTGCCAATCGGCATTTGCTGGCCCATGATGATACGCTCAGACACACCGTGCACCATGTCGCGCTTGCCAAAGACAGCGGCGTCGAACAGGTGGTCGGTTGTCTTTTCAAACGACGCCAGCATCATGACCGAGTCATTCATCTTGGCGATACCGTACCGGGTAATGCCGAGAATCTCGCCCTTGTAGCACATTAGATCACCCAAGGAGCATCAGATGGCGCTGGTCAATGACGATCGAGTATGTGGTGAAAATAGCCGCCAGCTCCTTGATCATCTGGGTGCGCGCCGCCTCAATACCCAGGATCTTGAGGTTGTCCATGATGTGGTTGCTGTGCGTATATCGTCCATCGACACCATCGGTGTTCATCGACTCGAGCAGGCCGTATCCTTCCGCAGACAGTTTTACGCCGGTGCCCTTTTCCTTCTTCATAATGACTGCCCGATGCACGCTGGGCACACCATGCACAATGATGTTGGGCAGGGCACGTCTCATGACCTGTAGCTGGTAGAACAAGCTGTTTCTGGTCCTTTGGCGACACATACACACTGAGCTTGTTGGGCTGGCTCCATGTGCACATTGTTTCCAATCTTGAGCTTGGGCGCGCTTGCGATTGCATTGCAGATGTCGGCCAGGTCGATCTCCAACTGCAGCTTCTTGATGACATCCATATCGATTGTGACGCCAAGATAGCAGCTGGTCGCCGTATACACCTCCTCGATACTCTGAGTGATATCTCCTAGCAATGTGCGCTCAATACGACCCTTGACGATACGCGCCGACGACTCGCTCTCTTCGTTGATCAGCTTGCATTCGACAATAGGCGTCGAGATATTCTTGGCTGCGTTGATAATCTCCTTGATGCGCGGCACACCCATCGACACGTTCATGCTGGCAATACCGGCGAAATGGAACGCCTTTAGCGTCATCTGCGTGGTCGGTTCTCCAATACTCTGCGCTCCAACGGCTCCAACCGCACTGCCAGGATCGGCACGCGATCTCTGGTACTTGGTAATACACAGGTCAAGGAACTTTTCCAGGCATGTGCGGGTGACAACGAGTTTGTTGTCGACGATCCTGCGCGCCGCAGACGGTGCATTGGCATCAGCCTTACCCAGTGACCACGAAAGTATGTCTTCCAAGCTCGCCTCCACGGAATCAGCTGCCTTCGCTGCCTTCTTCCCACGGCCCTTGGGCTTAGCGGACTCGCCGGTCAGCTCAGCGGGGATGTCGTGGTATGGCTTAAGCTTGTATGCCGCACGCAGCTCGCCAAGACGTCCCGCCAGCGACTGGTGAACATACTCCTTTATCTCGTCTCGCCAGTACGAATTGGTCCAGTCAACAAACCGCGGCTCCAGGATGACCTTGTCGACGATATGCTTGATCTGGAATGGTGCCAGGTGCTCTTCATCTGGCGATACCTCGGTGGTGTTTCTGATGAACGTCCAGTTGTGGTCAAAGAGAACAGGAACACCATCACCCTCGAGGCGGTAGGGATCAAGCGAATCGCCACCGTACTCAAACTGCACCACTGTGCCCGACGAGTTGCGCACAGATGAATCATACTGTACGCGCAGGTCCTCAAACGCCTTGACAAGACGGCGCTGCATGTAGCCTGTCTCAGCGGTCTTAACAGCTGCGTCGACAAGACCCTCACGGCCGGATCCCGCATGGAAGAAGAACTCAGTCGGGTACAGGCCGGTGTAGAAGCTGCTGGCGACGAATCCCTTCGCCTCGGGCGTGCGCGAGCGCTTCAAAAAGTGCGGCAGAGTACGGTCAGTGAATCCGTCGGCAATACGCGTGCCGCTGACAATCTGCTGGCCGACACAGGCAACCATCTGGCACACGTTGACAGGGCTTCCCTTGGACCCGCACTGGGCCATGATCAGCGGAGCATTGAAGCGGCCAAGCTCCTCCATACAGATCTTACCGGCATTATCACGAACTCCACTCAATTCTCCAGAGATGATGGCCTCGAGCGTCTTCGCCTGATCGCACCCTGGCAGGGTCTCAAGAACACCGCGCCGGCTCTCATCAATGAACCCGTCACACGTGCTGTACGCGTCGGCGATCAACTTGTCCTTGCGGTCTCTCAATATCTTGCCCGGAGTTACATCTGACAACCCGATCGAGAAGCCCTGGTTGCAACTCCAGCGCGCAGACAGCTTGGCCAGGCGGTTCATGATCGCTGCAGCTTCCTCCTGTGCCGATAGTCGCGCAGCGCAACAAAGAAGATCGACTTCTTCTTACCGTCACCAACAACGCTCTTGTCAAGCGAACCGCACAGAAGCTCGACTGTTACGAATGATCATGTAGCCGTCATTGGGGCAGAGATCAGGGATGGCAGAGCGCTTGAACATCTTGGTCTTGGTCTCCAAGTTGATGAACATCTTGGTTGCGTAGTTGGGCCGCATCAGGACGTTGATGACCTGCTTGCCCGACCAGAGCCGACGCGGCTTGATGATGCACGGTGGCGGAATGTCGATGAACACGTTGGCATCAAAGCAATAAGAGACGATCTGTGTGAACTGAGACCGATCGTAGAAGCGGTCCTTCTGCGTGATCAGGAACGCGGTGGTAATGAAATCCTGAGTGGCTCCAATGATGGGCTCACCATTGCGCGGCGTCACCAGGTTGTTGCGAACGCCCATCAGTTCGCGTGCCTCGACACGTGCCTCTTCAGTCTGCGGCAGATGCAGGTTCATTTCATCTCCGTCAAAATCGGCGTTATAGGGAGTGCACACACACTCGTTGAAGCGGAACGTGCGCCAGGGCATCACGCGCGCCGAGTGAGCCATGATCGACAGACGATGCAGAGACGGCTGGCGGTTGAATAGCACAACATCGCCGTTGACCAGATGGCGCTCAACGATGTCGCCGACACGCAGATTGTCGGCAGTCTGCTCGCGGATCGACCTAATAAGCATACGCTTCTGGCCGCTGGAGCCAAAGACGACAAAGTTGGCACCAGGGTGCACATCGGGACCGTTGCGCACGTTTTTCTGGAGCCGCTTCAGGTTGTGCGGCGTCACGCGCTCCGGGTAGGTCAGGATCTTCGCCACACGCTGCGGCACGGCAACCTCGTCGATGCGCATGTTGGGATCAGGCGAAATGACAGTGCGACCACTGAAATCGACTCGCTTTCCCGACAAGTTACCACGGAAACGACCTTGCTTACCCTTCAAACGCTGGGTGAAGCCACGGATTGGTTTGCCCACCACCGAAATGGGCACACCGGGCACATCGCTGTTAATGTACATGGCGATGGCCAGGCCAAGGTAGTCCCATTGCTCCATGATGTTGATCGTGCCAGCGCCCTGCTTCATGCCAGTCTCAATGAGCGCGTTGGTAAAGATGATCTCTGACAACTTGACAGTCAGATCGTCTTCGTTGCTGGCACCGTCCTGAGCGACAGACGGACGAATGCAAACTGGCGGAACTGGCACGCTGGTCCACAAGAACAACTCCGGACGGCCGCTGTCCGGGTTCATTCCCATCAGCTCGCAGTCCTCGTCCGAAATGTTCTTGAACAGCTGGTACACACGCAGCGGAGTCATCTCCTCGGTCTGCGCTTTCTCCACAAACGGCTTCAGCTGCGGATCGGCATCTACCGCATTCGCGAGCGTCTTTCTGTAGTCCTCCTGCTCGTCGGCCGTGCGCTTCTGGCGGTACTTGTCATGCACAATCTTCAGCGGACCACCCTTCTTCACCACGCCATTGGTTGCCAGACAGTGTGGGCAATATGTGACCTTCTTGCAGCGGTCATTGACTGCCTTTACGATCAGGCGCATTTGCAGCCCATCGATTCCAGGGGCCCTCAGCCTGCGCAAGAACATGCGCCGATCCGACTCCTCAAGCATCACGCGTGCGCACGTCTTGCAAATATCCTGCAGAATCGTCTGCGTCATCTTGAAGTAGCCAAAGTGGAACACAGGGCACGCACAGATCGATGAATCCCCAATGGCCGACACAGTCCGACATGTTTTGTCCGCACGTCTCGCAAATGTCGTTCTTGTTTCGACACACCCAGCCGCGGATCCAGTACGCCATTGGGGACAGGCTTGCGAGTCTCGGCCGTGTAGAGATCGCGCTGGTTAATCACCACCTCCGCCGCCTGACGAATATCGTGTGGGCTCGGAACTCCAAACTGAATGCAATGACTACGCCAGAGGAAAAAGCAGGGCAGGTCAAAGGGTTAGTGACAACTGGCCGGTCGGCGTTGTGGCAGCTGGCTGTGCGGCCGCGGCTAGCCCTACTTACATTTGCTTCGGCGCCTGTGCTAGCACCTGCTCCTTCATTTTTCGTATGTCCTTTCGATAGCTTTGTGAATTTAGAAATATATACGGTGGAAATTTGGTTTGGCAAGGAGAAACGAAGTAGCTCGCCGGGTCTGCTGTGGCCCGCACATTTTTGGCCCTAAGCTAAAAAATTTTCCAACCACGACAGTATCAAATTTGGAGCGATCCACGTGATTGAAAGCGGTGTGGCCAGCCAATCGGCAGGGTAGCTCTTGGTGTTTAGCCGCTGACAGGACACGCACATTCGGTTGTGCAAAGTAGTGGCAACCGGGAGCCGCAGTTGACACAGACAGGTACGTCTCCATGGTTCTAATGCGCGGGCTAATGTGAAGACTATCATGACCCACTGTCCCACTATAGCCAACAATGCATGCCGCAGGATGTACATCTTGCTGCTTGTGCGGTGATATATCAGCCATCACTCTCATTCAACTGGTATTCCCTATGTTACTTGCAGATCTGGCCGAGACCTTCAGGCGGCTATTCAGTTCGCGCTCACTTGGGCCGGCAGTAGCAGCAGCGGTTGCTGTGTACATTGGACGCCTGATTTCACGAGCCTTCTTTTCGCAGCTCTCCCCTATCCCAGGGCCGTTCCTGAACAAGCTCTCGAACCTGCCGCTAAAGTACCACCTGCTTCGCGGCCAGTACCACACGTATACCTGCGCATTGCATGCAAAGTATCGGCGAGGTCGTGCGCATTGGCTATGACATGGTGTCGCTATCAAACACCTCTGATACCCGGCTCGTTCTGGCCACCCACGCGTTTCAGAAGGGTCCTACATACCACAGGGGCCGCACTAACGAGCCGACGTCTTTCTCTGCCATTGACCCAGAGCTAAACAAGACGCGGCGCCGACAGCTCGGTGATGCATTTCGCTATGCACACGATGCGTGCGGTCGAGGACCTTGTGCTAGACGCTGGTGCTCACTCTCTCATCAAGACATGGGACGCTGAGATCAGCCAGCAAGGTGGCCAAGCCAGAGCCAACTACTTTTACACGTTCCACCGCATGGGGTTCGACATTATAGGCGCATTGGGGTTCGGTCAGAGCTTTTAATATCCTGCAAACCGGCGACACATCGGTCATAGACAAGATGCGTGAGATGGCCCAGCTCAAGACACTGCGCGGGACTGCTTCCAGCAATCCAGAGGGTTCCCTGGCTGTTTCCAGGGCTGAAGCAGTCGCAGCAGTTCCTCTTGGAGCTTGTGCGCGATGCGATAGCAACACGCAAGCGTCTGATCGAAAGGCAATGGCGCCCCGCCACGGGTCGATGTGCTGCAAAAGTACATTGATGCTACTGACCCTGTCACTGGTGAGAAGCTGACGACCAAGCAGCTCATGTCGGAGATGCACCTGATGCTGGATTGCTGGCACCAGATACCACGAGCAATACGTTGTCGTGGACTATTGCCAATCTCCTCAACTACCCTGATATCCATCGTCGTGTGACTGACGAAGTATGGTCTACTTTCCCGGACATGACCCGCACTATTTCTTTTGGTGAAGCCAAGGCCAAGCTTCCGTACTTGACAGCTGTTATCCATGAGTCGATGCGCCTGAACCCGTCTGTTTCTGGAATGCTGCCCAGGAGCGTTCCTGTTGAAGGCGCCGCTTTTCAAGGCTATTCTATTCCTCGCACAGCAACAATCTGTGTCTCGATTGCTGCATGCCACCGCAACCCAAAGACCTGGGAGAACCCGAACACATTTAATCCTGACCGCTTCCTGGGTGAGGATGACGAGGGTAAACTGCGTGATCTGCTTACATTCAGTTCTGGCGTGCGTGTCTGTATCGGCAGGAACCTGGGATGGCTTGTGGTCTACACAGTCTTGGCCAACATCCTACGCAAGTACAATTTTGCTTTGCCAGAGAACGCACCGTATGGTCCTCAGCGAACAGACAAGGGTGGGGTGCCTGCTGAGATCCCTGGATCAGCGTACATACTCACCGGCCCCTCGCATCCACAGACCGACTGCTGGGTTAACATTTCGCATGCATAGAATATTCGTATACATTGAGCTAGACGAAATTTATTTCAAAGGGTTAACAAGCGACACGCTGCCGAGCATTTTAACGAGCCTCAGCGCAACCGAATACAAACCTGGTAATCCACTGGATACAAGAAGTAAATAAGCGCGTGTTTTTGCGCAGCACTGCCAAGATCACACAGGCTGAGGTTTTGTTGTAAACAAAATACCTTGGCACATCTCCGTATCTTGTCCCACTCAGCTGGGCTCTATTTACGGTGCGTCTGGCTTAACAAGCGGAATATAACGCATACACCTTGGCCACTGCTGGAAGCCGCCATCTATTTTACGCATACATAAAGCAAGACATTTCGCTACGAGTCTGGCCAAGCCGAGCCCTTCTTGTTTCACTTCATCTCTATCAATTTCAACCCGCCATTTCGGTTTTACAATCTCTGCTACTAAACCCTTACCCAAAGTAAGTAGTAGGGCACTGGCCCAATGCTACAAAGGAATCGACTCTGGCGACCGCTTTGGTCCTAACCATCTCTACTCTCCAGAAATAGGTAGACCATGTGCGATTTTATCCCGATTTTTATTCTGTTCGGATCATACAACAGTGTGCGCTCGCTAGGGTCGGAGGCTTTTGCATGTCCCCGCTGCCACAACCCTGCAATTCATACGATCAGTAGACGGTCGTGGCTGACCGTTTTCTTTGTACCTGTGTGTCCAATCAGCAGCCGCAAAACACTGTACCATTGCACAATTTGCTCTTGGGAGGGAATCCCAATGGCAGTTACTCGGCTGCTGCTGCTGCTGCTGCTGCTGCTGTTGCTAAGGAGCAACCATCACCGCCATCACAAGCAAAAGCACAAACACCAGCCTGAAAAGAAACGGCCAGCACCGGCACCGGCATCCGGCACCAGTACCAGCGCCAGTACCTCAATTCCAGAATGAGCCCTACCAGCAAACAGATTACAGCGTCCCTCCTCCTCCGCCATATACTCAAGTCGAGTGATAGCGATACATCATCTCATATGCATTGCGTATATGGAATGTTGCCGCTTCAAATATATAAGCCAGTTGTATAAATATACGTGCCCAACCTGTTGGCGGGAACTAGTACCATACAGAATGCATGGGGGTGCAGTAGACACCAGACAGCCAGTCTTCATTTAGTATGCGTCCATTTAATGAGTGTTTTTTTAGCAAGTTCACCACATCCCTCTTTGCTGTTTCAATGTGGATACAAGCATAGGGGATGAGAATGTGTGGCACATGTCGCATTGGGGGTTGCTCATCCATGGTGTATGTTACTGGGACAACTGTTTAGATGGCTGAAAAAGAGCTGGCCAGGAGTGACAGGCTTTCATAAAAGTAAAGAGCCTCACCCTTAGCCAATACCGATTTCCTATACCTCTTCTGATATAACTCAGCGAGAGGCTTCAGTAGCCGTAATCACGCTAATTTTTGGGCTCAGCTTGTTCGCTCGCCCCCACCGTAACACACCCCGGATGAGCTATGTTGCTGGTAGCTGGGGCAGCATACGACGTATGTGTATAGCAGCGGGTTTGTGTGATGTTGAGATAGCAGATATATGTTCGTTAACAGCTGGATGGAGTATATACGGCCATTGGGCATAAAGCCCCTTAATCTCCTCAGCGGTAATCGAAATCACAGGATGTGATGCAGGCGTTGCTGATTGGACCGGGTCCACGGTCTTGGGTCTCCCGCATATAGGCATGTTTTCATACCCAGCCTTTGCTGTCAGTCTACGTTGTCTCTCCAAACACTCGTCTAGGCTTTCTATTCTGGGGATATTTTCTGTTTCTCTCAAGCAATGGCGCGAAAAGTATTAGGACTGGCGGCGGCCGAGCAGCTGTCGCTGTTGCGGATTGCTATTCTCGGCCTGATTTCAGTGGTTGCTATTGGCAGCCGCTTGTACTCGGTAATTCGGTTCGAGTCCATCATCCACGAGTTCGACCCTTGGTTCAATTTCCGCACGACAAAGTACCTCGTAAACAACGGATTCGACAGCTTCTGGAACTGGTTCGATGAGACGGCCTGGTACCCGCTGGGCCGTGTTGTTGGCGGCACAGTGTATCCTGGCATCATGGTGACATCGGCGACGATCTACAATGCGCTGCACTTTCTGAACATTCCTGTGGATATCCGCAATGTGTGCGTGTTCCTGGCGCCCGTGTTCTCGGCGTTTACAGCCATTGCCACGTACCATATGGGCAAGGAAGTCAAGAACGCAACAGCTGGTTTGCTGGCGGCAGCGTTCATTGGCGTGGCACCTGGATACATCTCGCGGTCGGTTGCTGGCTCGTACGACAACGAGGGGATTGCGATCTTCCTGCTCGTGTTCACCTTCTTCCTGTGGCTGCGGTCGGTGCGGCTTGGGCTCGGCGCTGTACGCAGCGCTGACTGCTGTGTTCTATTTCTACATGGTGTCGGCGTGGGGCGGATACGTGTTCATTATCAACCTGATCCCGCTGCATGTGTTTGCGCTGCTGGCCATGGGCCGGTACAGCAACCGACTGTATGTGTCGTATTCGACATTCTACGTGCTGGGCACCCTAGCTAGCATGCAGATCCCGTTCGTCGGATTCCAGCCGACGCGCACCAGCGAGCACATGGCGGCGCTGGGCACATTTGGCCTCCTGCAGCTGGTTGCGTTCGCCCATTTTGCGCGCACCTTGGTGCCCCAGCACCACTTCCAGGTTCTGCTGCGCGGCGCTGTTGTGTCGCTGTTTGTGGTTGGACTTGGCGGCCTGGTTCTGCTGACCATGAGCGGCGTGATTGCGCCAGTGGACCGGCCGCTTCTACTCGCTGTGGGATACCGGCTATGCCAAGATCCACATTCCGATCATCGCGTCAGTGTCCGAGCACCAGCCGACTCCGTGGCCCAACTTCTTCTTTGACCTGAACTTCCTGATCTGGCTCCTGCCGGCCGGTATTTTCTTCAGCTTCCGCGAGCTGACCGACAACCACGTGTTCCTGATTCTCTACTCGATCTTCGCCGCGTACTTTGCCGGCGTCATGGTGCGTCTGATCCTGACTCTGACGCCAATTCGTGTGCGTGATGGCTGGCATTGCCATTGCCAATGTGTTTCGAGACTTACTTGAATGTCAAGGATGTCGAAGCGGCCGGATCCGAGGCTGAGGCGGTGCCTGTGGCCAAGACTGAGGCTGTCGCTGGTGTCCCTGCAGCTGAACAGATCTCTGTTAGCAAGAGTGGAAAGAAGGGCAAGGGCAAGAAGAGCGAGAAGACCGAGGAGCCAGCGAAAAGTGAGCCGGCACCCTCGAGCAAGCCAGCAACCGCACCTGGAGATGAGCGTTGGAATGAAGAAGTTCTAGCGCACTGCTCCCGAAGCTCGTGGTGATGGCCAACTTCCTGTACCTCCTGTTCATGTTCCAGTGGCACTGCAGCTGGGTGACCTCCAACGCGTATTCGTCGCCTTCCGTCGTGCTGGCATCGCGGTCGCCCGACGGCTCGCAGCACATCATCGATGACTTCCGTGAGGCCTACTACTGGCTGCGCCAAAACACCAAGCCCGACGCCAAGGTCCTGTCATGGTGGGACTACGGGTACCAGCTGGCGGGCATGGCGGACAGAACCACCCTTGTTGACAACAACACGTGGAACAACACGCATATCGCTACCGTCGGCAAGATCCTGGCCTCGGACGAAGACACTGCGTATGAGCTGGCCCGGCGCCACGACGTCGACTATGTGCTGGTTGTGTTTGGCGGTATGCTCGGGTACTCGGGCGACGACATCAACAAGTTCCTGTGGATGATCCGCATTGCCCAGGGCGTGTACCCGGACGACGTCGAGGAGAATGCGTTCTTCACAGGCCGCGGCCAGTACTCGATCGGCGACGATGCCAGCCCGACGATGAAGCGCTCGCTGATGCACAAGCTCTCGTACTACCGCTTCAGCAGCGTCATGGGCGGCCAGGGCATGGACCGCGTGCGCCGCCAGCCGCTGCCAACCGAGGTCACCGTCGACAACTTTGAGGAGGCGTTCACGTCGGAGAACTGGATGGTTCGCATCTACAAGGTCAAGGATCTGGACAACCTGGGCCGCAGCCATCACAAGGTCGCCGACTTTGTGGGCCGTCCATAGTCGGAAGGCACAGGCTTTTAAAAAGTGACAATTTTTCTAGCAAATCTTTTGGAGTAAAATCCGAATGCTCAACCCTCCCTGTGCCCATGTCAGATCCGCGTCTGCGCTGTAGCCGGCGGCTTGAACTGCACCGGGTTAACGCCCACCTGCAGCGGCTTCTCGGAGATTTCCACACTGACAAACTGCTCGGCATCGTCGCCAGCCAGTCTGTAGTACTCGTCTGTCCCAAACGTGCGGGACACGTCCTGTCCGCGAACAACCATTGAATCCCACACAGGCACGTCGGCAGCGCAGCGCATAGCTATTGCCAACTCGACTGCCGTCTCCTCGCCGGAGCCCAGCGGCAGCAGTACAGGAACCTGCCAGTCCAGCTGCCAATGCAACTGCGACTGTGGCACAAACTCCTCCAATGGCGGTACATGGGACTACTGCCTGTTGCGTCGGCAGACGCACAACGACAACGATCTGCTGGCGGTGGGCTAGCCATTCGAAGGAAGCACCGAACGGCAGGTTGACTGGGAATATGTGGTTGAACTCCAGTGTGCATCGCGCAGGAGGCTGGCTGGGCAAACCGAGCAGCAGTGCGCTGGCACTGGCCGTGGGCTATGAACTCAAGTGGCCTGAACCCTTCGATGAATGCCGTCAAGGCAGCTAGCGGCAGCAGGTCCACCACATCTGCCTCACTAGCGCTGCTGCTGCGTCCCTCGCCCGCCTGTGTCTCGAGGTCTCTCAGCAACTGCGCGAGTCCTGAAGCCGCAAGACCATCTCGCTGCAAAAGATCCATCTGTGCGCTGTGCTCGGAGAAGAAAATCGGATCTAGCAAGTTCAACCACGCGTCTGGCGCAGCCTCCAGCTGCTAGCGAGCTTAGCCAGACCGCATGGGCAAACAACCGCAGGTACACCAGCGCCAGGCGGCTTTGTGGTGACAGTCCCAGCGTAGTACATTCGAGCTTGTATGCCTGCCGCATGATCTGCGCAGCCAGATTCAGCGATTCGGCACGTCGCAAGGGGCTGCCTGCCAACGGCTTGGCCAGCAGCGCATCCACGACGATGCGCGCATAGTCCACTGTCAGATCGTCAACCGCGGGCAACTTGCCCTGCTCCGCGAACTTTTCCAGCACGTTGATTCTGTGTGAAACGAGCTCAGCAGACACATCTACTTGCAGCGAGCGGTCAGCTATCTCGCTCAGACACTTCTTCAGGCCACCGACGCCTGCTGCAAGCTCTGCCTTGAAGTCCTCGGCCACCAGCTGGTTGATGCCGGCCACCTTTTGTGGCCTCTGTAGCATCTGCTTAACAAACGGGTACTTGTTGGGCACACAGTCAATGAGATCGTGTGGCATGCAGTCGGGATACTTGTCGCGCAAATACGGCAGGTGGCTATAGACGAACTCTGGCAGCACCCTGTGGAGCGTTAGTCGGGATTCCAGCGGCGCATTCATCACCAGAATGACTACACCTGCATAGTAGACATCGTCGAGGCGTGGCTCCCGATTCAAATAGTCCCTGCTGATGCCCAGCAAATTGCGCACGACCTCATGGCTGGTAATGATGGTCGGGTGGCGGCGTCCTAGGGCCTGCAGCGCCTTGTAGATGGGCATCTGGTCGTCAGGGTAGCGCTCCAGGTTAGCCTTGAAGGCCTCCATCAGCGTCTCCATCCACTCGGGTTTGGCCAGAATCGACACGCCCAGTACACCATAAATCCCGTGCCGCACCGTGCCGCTAGCGTCTTTCATGGCCGACACGGCAATCAGCATCTGCTCTTCAGTGAGGCTCAGCGGCGTGCGCGTGCCAATAGCCAGAAGCGCGCGGATTGCACACTGGCGCACCCGGTCGCTGCTGTCGTTGAACATGTCGACAAGGAAATCGACCGCCTTCCCCGCAAACTCTGCGCTCGCACCGCTGAGCTCGGTGATTGACTCGATCGCAGCATCCCGGACTTCCTGGAACTCGTCCTCAAGGCCATGGACAAAGGCGCCTGCCGCTCCCGAGTCCAGCAGCTTGAACTCATCCGATTCCACATCGGCGTCGCCCTCGGGCGTCGGGATATGCGACTTTGCTGGCTGTCCCTTGCTTCCACGGCCACGGCCGCGGCCACGAGGCCCGCGCGGCACGAAGCGTCGGAGGTGCGACATCACCTGCTTGCTGAACGTCTGCGAGAGGAATTTGATGTCGACATTCTTGAACCGGCCCAGAATCGCGCACGCGCGCTGCCGCACCACTGTCGAGCTGTCGTTGACCATATCGCAGAGCTTGACGAACGCGTCGTCCAGCAGCCTGATGGTCTCTGTGACCTTGTACTTGTGGATCACCACTGGGTGCTCTGGATAGACACTGCTGATGGCCCACACCAGCTCCACCGCCACTAACCGCACCTGCTCAAAGTCATCTTTGGTTGCCACCACGCACTCGTCGTACATTTCCACCGGCAGCTCGACGCCAGCCAAGTGCTGGTGCAAGATTACATTGAGCGCCTGCTGCCGCACCTTTGGGTGGGAGTCCATTGAGTATCGGCAAACTGTGTCGAACACCGCGCTGTCAGACTCGATTCCATGCGGCCTGACAATGGGAATGACTGCCAGCACCGCACACCGCAGGTGATGCTGAGTGTGGTTTAGGTCGCCAAGTAGCGCACCACTCAGCGTGCCGTGGATGTTTTCGGGCAGCTGCTCTGACTTGAAGATGTTCTTCAGCTCGTGCAGGTGGGCCATCGCCTGGTATATCTCGCAGCGCACTGCTGGCTCGCTGCTGCCCAGTGCGCCCACCAAACCCGTCAGAATTTTTATAGAGTTTGTTGCCGGACATGTGCACAGCTGGGTCGCCAGCCGCACAACCAGCTGCCGGACAGAGATCGGTAGTTCAATCGTGCGCAATGACACCATAGCGCGCCGTGCCACTCTGCGCACGTCGTGGTCGCTGCGTAGCCCCTTCAGCGACACCATAGTGGAGTGCACATCCTCATACGACTCAAAGGGAATCACTGTGTCGCCAGCTGTGCTGGATGCCGGACTGCCAACCGAGCTACCATGGCTTTCATCGCCGCTGTCGCCGTATGTGCCTGGCGTGCTGGCCTGCGATAATGCACGTTTCATTGGATGCGAAGGGATTGATGGGCTATGCTGTTTGGCGTGTGGTTTGAAAAGAGATGCAGGCCATGCTGTTCTACAGGCAAGCCCAAAAAAAATCCATGGGAACGATATGTCGCGGGGCTGCAATCAGAGCCCTTTGTGGGTGCAATCAGGGGCACAGCATATCCTTATGAGCAAACCCAGGATACTTGTGTGGATTGCTGCCCACAAACGTGCAAGCACTCTAGGTGTTTGTGCTGACGCTGCTTTTTCTATGGCTGATAGCTTCTGCTTCTGCTTGCCCTTTTTTTCTCTGCTGCGTCCAGCGGGAAAGTGAAGCGTCCCTTGCAAACAGCTTTTTTTAGGGATGGGGAGAGTGCAAACTCGCTGCTGATCTCTACATGGCCGAGCCAGGAATGCAGCGTCTGCATGCCCGTCTGGCCCACTCCTGATGGCTTGGGAAGGTGACACCAATGTTTTGTAAATGCGTATGTGCAGCTACCCCCGCATATTCTTGCAATTAGGCATTTACCTATTGGTACAATAAGCGGACCCGTGCCCCCAATAGCACATGTATTATGCATGGTTATTAGCTGGGCACATGCCCACCCCTCATTTCCGCTGATTCTACAATGCACGACGTGTGCATCTCTGTCAAGCTGCTGTCATCGACGCAACCGCTCGCTACAAAGTAGCATGTTTATGTGCTGACGTGGTGGTACACGCCTGATTCTCTTGGTTTCTACTCCGCACTTGTAAAAAGGCCTGACGTGGGATCGTTCTGGTGCACAGCGATGCTTTGCACATCTCGTGTATGGAAGCTGACACATAAGCATGCGGCTGCTATTTTTACGCTCGACTCTCACCAGTGACAAGATCCTGTTTCTCATTTAACAGCCAGCCTATTGCTGGATCCCTCTTTCTTGCCCATCCCTTGTCCACTCCTACACCCTTCCTTGTCATTTTACGTACTCTATTTCATTTATACCTTAATATTGCTATGACTTCTCCCGACCCGTGGATCAAAATATTTAAAAGGGTCTACGCCTACGTCCTTGCAGAGCATGCCCATGACTCGACCAGCTCAGAATACCTCGGCACAGCCATCCGCCTGGCTCTAGTGTCCAAGCGATTATACCCGTGCTTGCCAGACCACCTAACCACAGCAGTGATCATCAAACGGGGTATCTCTGGCCGCTGTATACCCGGTGACAGCCCATGTAAACATTCGACAAAGTGGTGGACCAACCTGCACCTGGCTATGCTATCACCAAATGTCAACAGGTTTCTGTCGTGCCACATCGTCGTGCCCGAGGATTGCAAGGGTCGCCAGCGTATTGGCGAGGCCATGGCGCATCTCGGCTTTGACCGCCACAGCCTGAAGCAAATCAGATGGATACAGTTCAGCGGCGATGGCATAGCAACCGTGGGCCACAACCAGGATCACTTGCAGAGCGTGGCCGACATGCACAATAACCTGGCAGCATTCAGCCGCCACCTCCCCAACATCAATCACATACGGTACAGGCGCGATCTGGAAGGGATAACAGAGGCATCTAGATCATATCTGTATCTCGCTGGAAAAGCTAGATTGGTGCAGGAGACAAATGCGCTCTACCTGTCACAGCTTGCAGAGTTCGAAGGATTCCTGCCCATGCTGGAAGTCTGCCGGCATCGCTCGATAGACAACCTCGCTGTTCTCAGAATATGCGCAAACTATCTGGAAGTTTGCCAAGGGCAGCTGCCTTTTCGTACGGACAAGCTGAAGATTCTGGACATATATAACATAAAGGATAAGATACCTCTAAAGTTCTTTGCCGAGGAGGGCAAGTTTGAAATTAGCTTTCCCAAGTTAGAGCGGATGTCCTTCCATTTCTTGCCTGGACCATTTAACCCTGTACACCGTGACATCTGGCCCTACACCCTACAGCTCCCTGTGCTGTGGCACCTGTTTGTCCGGAATTCTACCCGCAGCTACTACGATTTGTTCACCCTGTTCCATGGCCAGCCACTGTCTATACTCGATATCCATGAACCCATTGAAGGCTTTGTAAACATTGATCCAAAGATCATCCGGCACGCTAAGGCCTTCTCTCTCCGCTCACTTACAAATGGCGCACCGCGCGACGCCCGATACCCGGAAGACACTATGAAAAAGTTCTATTTGGTTGGCTCTGTTGCACGCTTGGTGTTCATGGCCGGTGTCCCTGTTCCATTCCCTGTTTCGCTTCCATGGCCAAATATGGAGCACCTTCGAATCACCGCCGAGCGTGCTTCGCCAATGAAAATTGCGATTCTTGTCCGGAAGCTGCCCGTGCTACGCAAACTCGACGTTCACTGCCAGTCCATGGATCCAGATAACTTCGATTCCAATTTCTGGATACCAAGCGAAGCTGCTATGAGGATATATCAGCACACGGGTGTTCCGAGCCGCAGCAGCCTGGCTCTCGCCAACAGCGACCCCGAAATACTGGATAGCCTAAAAGACTCACGGGTTTCGGAGCTGCGCATCAATATGGCCGGCACGTTCAACGGGAATGCAGTCTCGGCCATTGTCTCACGCCTGCCACTGCTACGCACACTGGCCATCCACCCACGTGCTGTCCCAGTCTTTGAAAACTATTTTGCCATCCGGAAATCGAGAGTCAAGGTGATTCCCTATGTGATCGATCCGCTCCTTCCGCCATAGTTGCACCACATCAATATAGCCCAAGTGCACATGTCCTGTTTCAAGATATATGCCCCAGCCCTGGCAACGAGTCAAATCAGAAATGCTTGAGGAGCCAATTGCGGTGGCGGCTGATCATGCTGTCATCGAGCGCAGTGAGCGGTATTGCTGCCATTGTTGTGGCGGATGTCTACAATAGCAATTCAGGCAATTGCGTGAAGCAGCCCTAGCCATTTGTTCACATTTCCAATATAGACCTCCTTTGTGTGGCTGCACATTTTGGGGCTGTGTGATGCCCCCAGTACTTGTGTTTGTTGCAGGGCTCGGATCTGGTGGAGCCAGTTGTTTTGTTTTGCTATATAAGCCTTCAAGATACCCTGGGCTAAATCCCTTCATTTTTCCTCTATTTCGCTCTCTGTCAAAAGCGCACATAAGCTAGTCCCCCATTTCTATACATGATCTTTAACACGTCGACGAACTGCACAGTACTCAAAGGCATATGCAGCCCAAAGTGCGACTGCAACTGTACATACTGCATCGCATGCAGCCTTCCTGAATCTGCTGCATTTGCTGACTACGCAACGGATGTAGGTACTGGGTAGCGTTCCTGAGATCATTGAGATCATTTTCATATTAACTACACCAAATAAATGCCTGTACTCTATCTTTGTGAGGAAATGATGTGAAGCACGAATATACCAACGGGTCAATAGGGGGCAGTGTTAGTGAACACCTTCAAAAATCATGCATCGACAGGATGAGCGTAAGCGACAAGGGTCACTACTTTGTGGCCCTAATTTATATATATATATACGGCCGAAAGAAGGCGCTCTTTCCTCGGCTTGAATGCCTGTAGTCAATCATTCTTTCTCATATCCATTAGATCAGTATGCTCTGGCTGTCAACTAACCACATATCCCTGAATGGAATCTCTGGCCTGGTATGCGAGTGCAACGATGTATGCTGTGTTGAATGTACCCATCCTGAAGCAGCAGCTTTTGCAAGACATACAAAGGATGTGGGTATTCTAAGGCGTTAATGAGCGGCCAGTATTCACTTCTAAGAATAAATATCTGTTTACACAACACACACCAATTACATCAACGGCTACAAAGTCGAAAGAAGAGCAGACATATAGAATATAGTAGCCACTGACTTCTGGCACTAAAATTACATTATTGCCGGGCAGTAAAACGCCCATGTAGATAGGTATAGTAGATCCGGGATGTGTTTATTAGTACCGGCGCAGTAAAAGAAATGTTAGTATAAATTCATACCCTAGTAATGCAAATCGCGTGTGTAGACAGAACGCTATCCAGACCCAAGAATGCAGTTCACCACTCATCCCTCTGCTCCCACCTCTAGCTAATGCAACGGAATCCAATGTATATCTGTGAAGAACCACCCGCATATTCGGAGTTCGACCCAAACCAGCAACTGGCCGGAATAGAAGAGCCAACCGATTCAACAAACCTAACAGGACAGAGCGATGCGACATTTACAAAGCTTTCAGCTGAAATTAGTAAGTCCACAAGCTATGCAACTTTATAGGATACACACAATAACCTGCTTAAATACTAAAGGGCGTCTAGACGAGAGGCTCCTCAACAAATACCTACCATTGTACCGTGGCTACCAGGAGATAGGACACAGGGTCATTCACGGCGAGATAGCAGATTGGTCCAAGGTGGATCGTGAGGGAGTGTGCGCCAAGTTCAACATTAGCGATAACCAATTCCAGCTTGCCATCTACCCAGTCGACGAGGAAGTGGATGGGTTTGTGTCTCTCTACTTGGAGTGTATGTACAGCGAACATACAAAGGATCACCCTCACATATGTGTATACTTTTGCCTTGCCTTATCCAATCCTGCTGACCCGTCCGTGTGTTGGAGGCAGGCATTCGAGCACAGGTTTACATATGGCTCAAATCTCCATGGGTCGGGAAGGTTCATTGAGCGCAGAGCCCTCAAGTCGATACTGGATGGGCACAGCAGGCCGATTCTGGAGCATGGCCGGGTCCGGGTCAGCGCATTTGTGAGAGTCATCTATGATGAAACAGGGATAATGTGGGGCGAGGGACTACGGAAGCGCTCACTGTACCCAATTACCAGATGCGCTGGGATACGTCTACACCCAGATTACCCGTACCTGGGCATACTCCTCCAAACACTATATCACATGAAGGCGGTTCGCCATTCCATTTATCTGGCTCCCACTCATGGGTTGGCACCAACACGATCGGTTATATGTGCTATTAAGCGGGTGTTTCTGAACCTCGAAACCAGCACCACATTTGTGCATATAGGGGAGCTAGTCAGAGCTCTCAGACACGAAGCTGGTGAAATGTGCACTGCTTTGAATCGTCAGCAGTTTGACAGCCTAGTCCACAAATACGTTGCGGATGCCTTACAAACCACAGTAGCAACTGGAATAACACGCAAGCTTTTCCGTGGCCGAGTCAGGACATCAGTTTGTACTCCTGATGCTCAACTTCGAGCCGTCGATGTCGAGGACTTCTACACCCTGCAGCTCACCGTGCGTGGTTGCCTGAATTTGCGCGAGTCCTTTGAGGACTTTTGTCGGCCTAGAGTTCTGGACAGCAGCTGCTTGCACAGTGGCCAACAAAGGGGCAGATTGAGTGCATACAAAACGACCAGCTTTGACAGCCTCCCACCTGTACTCCGCATATACTTAGATTCTCCATCGGGCAGTCAAGCCAAGGGCCACTCTGGCAACGCTGACCCATATGAGTACCCGCCAGCTATAGACTTAGGCGAGTACATTACTGACCCGGATTCCAGCTCAGCCACATGGAGGTATGCCGCGTATGGTGTGTATCTCCGGAGCCAGACCTCGGCTACCTACGGCTACACTTTTTACCTGTGCCCTGGCAAGCCAAACAAGTGGGTAGAGTTTGCAGGCGACACGGTAGCGCCCGAACGCCAGTACAACGTGTTTGCATCTTGCCCAGTGGCAGATCCAGTGTCGATTGTGAGGAAGAGCTCAAAGGCTCCGTATGCGAAGCAAGGAAACGTGTGTGGACTAATTTACATTCGCGAGGATCTGCGCGAGCTGATACTGCGTAGCGGCGACATTCACAGGCTCCACTCGATCCTTTCACATTAAACCCACCCGGTTGCAGGTGTCTGCTTGCTGCTGGCATATCTCTAAAGGCGCATTTCCGGGCTGGTCAATGCCAGTTGCCAATCCGCCAGTTGCCGTGACGTTTCGGGCGCTGAGTGGAGGTTTGGGAAAGGAGCAATCAGCAGTTCTGATTATCAGCCAAAAGTGTGGTGCTCTTTTCAGTGAACAACAGGCGCCATGCTTCTCACTGCTGCTCTCCCACAGCTTCCCTGCTTTTGTATTTTTATCTTTTACCCGAGCGCTTTTAATTCATAATGAGCTACAACAAGGTCTCGCTGGCCGCGTCCCCAGTGCTCTTTGCACTCATGTGGCAGTTTAGGAGCGAGCCATTAGCCGTGTGCACCTGCATTTCGCTGCTAGCAGGACTGACAACCTGGTGCATCATACCGCTGGACAGTGCCGTCGTTCAAGCGCGTTGGACTGTCGGGGGTCGATATGGCAAAGCCCTCGCGCCCATTGCTGGCTGAGAGCATGGGCGTGCTGGCAGCGACAATATACCTGATAGCGACGTTCCTGTTCATTCCTGCGCAATTCAGCGCACTGTGGTCGGCTGACTTGCAGACGCTGGCCAACACGAGGTTGTTTCCGTTCGACCGGCTCGGGATGTATCTGTCTGCGCTGCTGTCGCTGCAGAGTATGGTGTTCCTGGGATTTGCCGATGATGTGTTCGATCTGCGGTGGCGGTTCAAGCTGTTTCTGCCGACGATTGCGTCGATTCCCGTACTGACCGTGTACTATGTTGGATACGGCGTAACACATGTCATGGTGCCAGTGTTTCTGCGCGATATCCTGGGAACCAAGACAGTCGAGCTTGGCGTGCTATACTACGTGTACATTGGGTTGATGGCGGTGTTCTGCACCAACGCAATCAACATCCTCGCAGGCATCAACGGTGTCGAGGTCGGCCAGTCGATAGTCATTGCCTTGTCCATCATCGCCAAGGACATCGCCAACATCAACAATTCGAACCTCGAGGCACAGCAGAACCACATGTTCTCCCTGTACCTGCTGCTGCCCTTTGTTTCGGTGTCCACGGCCCTGTACTACTGGAACGTATATCCAGCACGGGTATTTGTCGGCGACACGTACTGCTATTTTGCCGGCATGACGTTTGCCGTATGTGGAATCCACGGCCACTTTTCCAAGACACTGCTGCTGCTGTTTGTGCCGCAAGCGTTCAACTTTGTGTACTCGGCGCCGCAGATTTTTGGCTTTGTGCCGTGTCCTCGCCACCGGCTGCCCAAGATGGTCGTCAACAGCCCGATGCCCCGCAAACTCATCAATCGGCTGCAGAAGGAATTCGATACCGACGCACTTTCAGGAGCGGGCTCTGATGATGGCTATGTGGGCACCAACAGCGACTCCGATACGCCAGCGCCAACCCCATCGATCAGAGAACCAGGCGCCGTGCATAGGACGCTGTCGTCAGCCATGATGAGCTTTGCCAAAGGCAAGCTGGCTGGATCAAGGAAAACGGGCAAGGCAAGCCGGTCTCGGGCAGGCAGCGCGGCAGAAGCAGCCAGCAGCCAGGCAGCTGGATCGACGTACATGGTCGCGAGCCGGACAACGCTGGAGGCTGCCAAGCCGCTGGGTCTACGCATCCTGCGGCTGTACGAACTGCTCGGGATCCTGGATGTGGAGCGGGATGAGGAAGGAAACATGGTCAGCATCAACAACCTGACACTGCTGAATCTGGTGCTGGTCAAATGCAAGCGTTTGACCGAGGCGCAGCTCAACAACCGCATCTTGCTGATCCAGGTGGCCAACTCGCTGCTGGCGTTCTTTATTCGGTACCGCCTGTCCCATCTTTTCTACTACTGAGTACACTTGAGGCAGACTGCAGTTTTCTCATATTTTTGGTATCTATCTGATAGACACTTATCTCATTTAGCATGGTGGAACGGCACGGTTGTCGGCGGCAGATCAGCCTTCTTTGGCTGCTTCGTCTCGTCGTTCTTGATGACAAATTCTGTCGGCACACCAATCTTGAATCCAGCCTGGCGCAGAGCATCCTTGGCGAGCTCTGCATTCAAGCCAGGGCCCTGCAGCTCAAAGATGATCTTGTCCTTGGGCACACGGCATGCCCAGTAGTCAAACGCACCCTTTCCCTTACCCATTCGCACCTCAGTTCCCTTGGTCGTCACCGGGATATCGGGGAACACGCGCAGCCACACCTTCAGGCCCTTGATTGGCTTCAGCTTGCGCCGGATCGTGGCATAGCAGGCCGTGATCGTCTTTGCCGGCAGACGCAGACCAGACTTGACGCGCAGACCGTACTCGCCAAACGCCATGTAGTTGCCCTTGGTGCTGCCGCCCGTGCGTACAGGCACGCGGCCCTTCTGCGCCTTCTTGTGCTTCCGCCGGCGGGGCTGCAAATTCTGGTAATTGCGAATCTGCTGGTGCTGCTGCGTTTTGACAAGAGCGCTGGGCGTGCTGAGCGAGGACGGCCGCGCAAGCAGCGACAGGTTGACTGCTGGCAGACGGGACTGCAGCAGGTTTCCAGCGAAGCGTCGAGCCCACATTCTGTGCAAGTAAAAAAAGTTGAATTGGAAGCGTTAAAGAGGAGATAGTGATTTTCGCAAGCGTCAAGTCTGATTTCGGTCAACCTCGGCTGGCCCGATCTGAGAGCTTGATGCCTTGGATCATTGGATCAAGTCACCAAGCCCCACTCTTTTCGCCTATTGTTTGCCGAGAAGATTTGGCATGCCGCATAAGGCAACCTCCGGGCGACTCGTGCGAGAAGACACTGCCAGCTGGGAGAAGATCGTGGTTTCAAACTCCCTTGCAACGAAAAGTCGCCACCACACTTCCCTCCCCTAGCACCAATACCTCCACTACGCCTGCACGTACTTCTTTTTTGCACAGCTGATATATCTATTCATATACCAATTGCCTGCTATGGCAAAGACAAAAAAACAGCTAAGGGTGCAGGAAATGACTCAGCAGGCTGAGAGCCAAGGGCGCGGTAGCCCCAGCAGCACACCCAGATCAGCGTCCTCTCGCAGCACAAACGGAGATGAATCAAGTGCCAAAGCTGCACTCGCGCCAGTATCCGTACAGCACAGCACCTTCAATACCGCAGCCAGCAGTGTTGGTGATGCCAGCAGAGCGAGCAGCGAACCAGATGACGTGTATCCATATGTGCTCATCATCCGCCCGCCGTCGTCTGCGCGCTCCAGAGCAGAAGCAGCCTGTGAAAGAGACCATCCTAGTGGAGACAGCAGCAGCAGGTCAAAAGGCAGAAACTGCATATGGGCCTGCTACATCCGGATCAGGAGGTAAGTTTGGAGCTGACTGATCTGCTTGTGGCCCGCTTTTGGAGTCCCGCTTTTGCGCCACTGTGGACGGCATAGGGACAGTTAGTTCTAAAGCCCACCCACCGCTTCTGTAGACACGACCGCAGACGATACGGATACGCGTGAGCTACCAGGCAAAGCAGATCCCGATCAACACATGCAGCGTGGCTGATGCAGCAGACATTGTTGCGGACGACGGTGGGTCCCAGGAGGTGGACTATTTTGTTCCCCAAACACCGGAGGTTCTTAAGCCAGAGCCAATGTCGGCAGACCAGGATACAGAGATGGCTGACTCGGACCCTGTCGAGACAGTGGGTGGCGCATTGGCTAGCGTACTGGTTGAGGTATTGATTGGTACACCTGCTGGACAAAGCGAACACACGGAGCAGATGGTCCAGGATCGGGATGCCAGTGATTTATCTGAGGAGCTTGCATGGCCGGTTGGAGGGGCTCGCGAGCCAGGCCAGATGCTGGAGATATCTGTTGAACGAGAAGGTGCTACGCCAGAGTCAGTAGACCAGGACGCTGAGATTCACCGTGAGTCTTCTGCAGGCGATATGATAGACGATTCTGGACACTCAAAATGAACCGACAGCAGGTGGTTGAACCGGTGGAGCCAATCGGTGACGATCGGGAGCCCGCAAGTTTGCCAGAAGATGTTGCAACTCATGACGGTGCACAGCCTGATTCCGCTGATAATGATGCGACAGCAACAGGTCCAGTTCCTGGGTTGATTGAGCTGCCACACAAGCCGAGAGGTCAGGATAAATCAGATCTTGATCCAACGAGCAAGGACGATGGTATTTCTGAGCTATCACCTGCCGATGCTGCGGCCAATTGTGCGCAGATTCAGGAGAAACGCATGGATCTGGTTGAAGAAGAGCATAGGCCGTTCGATATGCTGAAGGAGATCGTCAAACACGAAGATACTGGCCCAGGGTCAGCGCCGACTGATCAGGATGTTGAAATTCGTGAAGCTGAAGAAGCAGCTGCAGAGTCAGTCAGCCCATCTGAAGCGCATGTAGCTAACGGAGATATGACAGACTCTTCCCTGTCTGACTGCCTCACAGGGGATATTGATATAGATGAGTTGGACGAAATACAAGATGCTCCTAGTAGCGGAGCTGAGGCACCTCTGTCGCTCGAAAGCATTTGCCGGTTGATGCCTGACCCGCTGACTGTCTGTGGCGATTCCTTCGATCACTTCGTTATTCCGGCCAATGTGCTGGAGCCTGCGCATGCTCTGGTCGCGCCGCGCACAGAGAAAACACACATTCAGGCTATTTACGAGTACGAAATGGATACGTTCCCTGTTGTTCAAGACCCGGGACCATGGCGCGTGTTCCAGCAGAAAAAGTACGATGCGTGGGCATCTATGCACGACTCGTGCCGGTCAGTCAAGGTGCAACTTGTCCCCCAGACAACCAGCTGTATGGCGAAGAACGAGCTCAAACAGCCACAATGCCGAGCATGTATTGGCCGAATCGCCGGCAAGGGATGCCGATTCGCGATGATCCGATATGTCACAAAGCTGACGATTACTATGACTGATGGACGCGTAGTCTTTCGTTACCTGCCGTGTCCGGTTTTCCGCTCTGAGATCTCCAAGGTGCCTGAGGTGCGGCAACCGATCACGCCTATCGAATTGCCAAGTCGCACTGTTGTCCCCGGTGACAACGACACCTGGGTCGAATTCCACATGCTTTGCCAGACTGCGTCAGCAATGAAATCACTGCTCCGCCGCGAGCTCGCAATTGTACGTGAGCTATCACCACACGCTATGCATAGCGATCTGCGTGGTACCATACAGTTCCACGACACCACTGAACCGTCGAGTGCAAGCGAAGCTGATTCGGCCATCCACCCGCTCTATGCATGCTCACCAGCCCCTTGCATCCTGCGCAAGGTACCGTTGGGCGCCCGCCAGAGGTGCGACCACTGCGCAGCACCGATTTTTGCTGTCTACTTTTCATGCTGTATGTGCATGCAAGAGTTCTGTGCCAAGTGCTTCATTGCCTGGGAAGATACCGACGTCACCCAGCACAGCTACAAGATTGAGCGCGGGGTAAAGTCGCCGATAGCACCTGACGACGCTCAGCTGGGTCAGTCCAAGGACATGTCGTACTGCAAGAGATTTGCTACCAAGGAAGGCGAGAAGACCATGCACTATATTGAAAGACACACGAAACGCCAGTTTGTCCGTGTCTCGCATTACACCGAAGGTGAGCTTGAGATGATGCTGCGCAAGGTCAACCGCATCGCCCAGTACTGTGACCATCTCGACACCACTCAGCCGTCGTCATACAGCTCCATCTCGCTGTGCGCCAACGAGCTACCGCTTGAGGAGCCGGAGCTGCGCACAGATCGCTCGTGGATGGACGAGGTTCTGGACCGCGTGGACATAGATACCGAGGTTATCGCTAGCCTCGGCGACGCGGATTTTGGCAGCCGTCTAGAGTACTATGCCAGAGAGTGCGAGCAGCCTTGCACACATTTGACACCAGGAGCCGGCCCGAGTCGATCGCAGTCGGCATTCCTTGAGTCAGCATGGGATTCGCGGATGCGCTCCCTGCTACTACCTAAATACCCGCTGAAGGGGTGGCAGAAAGCACCGATATATGTCAGTGCGGATGATTTGACACTGCGCGAGTTTGCACGGCTGTGGGAAGAAGACAACGTCGTCGTGGTCACCGGTCTGGCAGACAAAATCGATGCCACCAAATGGACCCCTACAGCGCTCCTGAAGGCGATTGCCATGCAGCCAACCACTGTTCATATCATGGGCACCACTCGCACCACACCCATCGGCGACATTACGCTAGCTGAGTTTCTGGGAAACAAGCCGTCGGCGAAGATCATGGCCGACAAGTCGTACCGTGCCACCCTCAAGGTCGCAAGGCAATCCAGCACTGCCGACGATGACGAGGACCCAAAGATGGCAAAAAGCAGGGAAATGCTGGAGGATATGGTAAGAGCGACGCGGATGCTATTGCCGTTCCCACAGTACACAGCGCCCGATGGCAAACTGAATCTCATGAACCGTCTGCCGCCACAGTACAAGCAGCCGGAGCTTCTGTCGGAGGTGCACATGGTCAGACTGTCCACCGACCCAAATACCAAGCGCCGTGGACGCGACAACCTACGCTACGACATTGCCGATACTTTCGACCTGCTTGTCTGCGCCTCAGAACCGCCTTCAGAGGTGGAGTCAGCACAGCCTGCTGCCAGCAAGCGCCGTGGCCGCCAGGCTAAGGCAAAGCTAGCTGTTGTGGACGAGACACCAGCGCCGCCCAAACGCCATGACCGTTCGGCCAATGACCAGCCCACTAAAAGCGCCGGCCCTTCCCCTGCTGTGGTCTGGGATATCTATCCATTCCATCTCCAAGAGCAGCTCTGCTCGTTCCTCAGCAACTCTGACGACAGCCCTCCTGACACCGACCAGATCATCACCCCGCGCACGTTCATGGGGGACAAGCAGTGTGCGGAATTCTTCGAAGACTATGAGGATGCCCAAGCCATCCGCGTGTTCCAGAACACCGGCGACCTGGTCATGGTGCCGTCAGGATTCACGTACCAGCGCCAGACAGCCAGAGATACCATCTCGGTGCGCAGCAAGTTCTTGTCGCCGGAGCACGCGTCGTATGCGCGTAATGTGTCAGAGGATGTCACCAAGCGCGGCAATGCCAGGCGCCATGAAGCGCTGCCCGTCATGGACATTCTGTGGTGGGCGTGGCTCGGGTGCAGTGACCGTGGGGAGGCTAGTGCCAGCGAATTCATCTCCAAGTCCCGCAAACACCACATTGCCAAGGGGGCGGCGGCAGCAGTGCAGAAACCCCGGCAAAGCGAGCACGCACTGGAAGCAAAAAGCAAACATCATAATTTATTTGGTCAGTTCATTTGCATACTAGCTGGCACACTATCGCAGCTTGTGACGTGTATCGCTAGCTATATCTTCAAATATCGAGCATGGCATGTATTTGAGAGTCAATACAAAATGTAGTTCTGAAGGTAAAGAGGGAAGTGTTTGAGAAGAGTAGAAAAGGAAAAGAGGTTTAAACGGAAAGGTCGTGGTGTCAACGAGTTCTTGTTTTTTTAGTTAGAGACAACTGGGCCTCCCGCTCTCTTGCCCATACCGACAACTCCCCTTGCTCCCTTGCGCTCACTGTCTCTCTCTCTATCTTGGTGACCTGGCAGGCGATACTAGCATAAAGGAGTCGGACCGGACAGGGCAAGCAAAGGGAGCAGCAGGCCAGAGGCGAGCATGAGGGAGGGCTTAGTCAGTAAAGATGAACAAGTTATTAGTGGCAGCGACCGCAATCGTGTTTTCTCTCGGATGCCAGCTCGAGTGCAGGATTTTGCGGTTAAAGTCGATGTTGTCAACGTCAATGTCCTCCTTCCTCACGCCCTGGCGGCCGTTGCGTGGAATGCCGACCTTGCTCTTGGCGCCATTCGGACCCTTGCACACGCTTGGCCCGGAAGGCATTCTTGTCAGCCTGCAGGGTGACATCATTTTCGGGCGACGCCAGGTCGTAGATGCTAAAGTAGTTGTTGTATGAGCCCGTCATTGCGTGCTTGCCGTCGCCGCTAAAGTTGCACTCGAACTTGTCGAAAATGCAGTCGTTCTCGTACAGGTCGCACAGCTTTGGCTTCAGATAGTCGTGAACGCTGATGGTCCGCACCGGCTGGCGGTCCATATTGATGTCCCACACGCGCAGCGTCAGATAATCGCGCGACAGAATGTACCGGCCGTCTGAGCTGAACCGCACGTCAGACACAGACGAGATGATCTCCGAGAAGAAATTCTTCGATCCGGGATCCTCTGGCTCCTCGAACTGCTTCGCGTGCTGGTCGCAGAGCGCCGACTCGCGCATGTCGCACAGCTTGATGGTGCCCTTGCTGCTGCTGTACATGAAGTAGTTGCACGACTGCGGGTGGAACTCGGCGGCCGTGATCACCTCGGTCAGGTCCTCCATGTTGGTCGGCTTGATGTCCACAATATTGAAGCTCTGGTTGTTGATGCCCATGGTTCCACAGGTTGATGCGCAGGTCGTCCGCCGACAGATACGTCTCGCCGTCCGAGTTCACCGAGATCGAGTTGATGTGGTAGGCGTGGGCGTTTGCGTAGATCTTCCGCGGAATGGCAGCGATTATGTTCTCGTGCGGCACCAGCTTGGGCAGCCGAAGCCGCGAAATGTCTGCTGGCGGCGCCCGGTCCCCGTCAAGCAGGTTGTTCTCCGTCACCAGCTTCAGCGCCTTCTCGCACACCTTCCACAGCTTGATCGTCTTGTCGTTCGTCGTCAGCATGTATAGCGAGTTGTTGTTCGGCTTGAGCCATTTGATGCGGTTGATCTTCTCCTCAATCTCGAGACTCTTTAGGTAGTCAAACTCGGGCTCATGCGATTGGAACTCTGTGTAGAACTTGTACTCGCACCCCTGCTTCTAAAGCCGGTAAGAAAACAAGAGCTGGGAGAGGGGTTTAGAAAGAGAAGCGGCAGAGTATTGGCTGTGCATGGAGTGGGGATAGAGTGCACTTGTTAATGGAAAAAAAATTCCTCTACTGGACCAGAAGGAATGCCCCTCTAGCGCTGCCCTACTTACATTGTCGCTGCGCTCAAACAGAACCACGCGTCCACCCTTATCGCCGGTGGCCAGGTAGTCGCCTGTTTGGTCAAACTCAACGGTCGAAATAATGTCGGCTACAGGTAGGCAAGCGAAAAAAAAAAACAAAGTTGGAGTTTTGTAAACGTAATCAGCGACGGGTGTTAAAAATAGCGAGATGCGGCGGTGTGCTGAATGGCTGGGCTGGATTTGGGGACACTGCAATTCAGCAGATGCAACATTGGCCTCTCCCTCCTCACATTGCTCCTGCCCTGGAACTGGCTTACCTTCGGTAACATCCTCCAAATCGGCTTTATCGCCAAAGCATTGAGTGAACTTCCAGCCGCGCTCACTCTCCATTGTTGACAGGTGGTTGGGCAAAGCTTAAAAATTCGAATAGAGATGCTGAATAAAAAATAAACGCAACAATCCGGGAAAGAGGAATTAAAACAATTCAAGAGTAGAGGCGAGGAAATAAAAAAATAAAACGTCGCGAAGCCAGACAAGGGGTTTCGTGCAAAGAGAGAAAAATTCGTAGCTTAGAAAAATTCAGGTCAGTGGCACCTGTTTCCACGATCAGCAGGAGCGACCAGCCCCAGATGTGCTGGCCACTGTTGGCGGGGCCTGCTGGCTACATTGGCCATGCCAGCCGCTCCGGCCAGCGCTTGGGTCCAGCATGTCGACGGATAACAGCCAAGACCGGATCCAGCGTAAAGCCAGAGCAGCACCAGTGTGTCCATCGTGGGCAGTTGGCCAGAGACCCATGATTTAGCTTCAGATCGCCTGCCAGTTCCTCATCAAGGATTCGTTTGAACATCCAACGGACAGAGGTTTAAAAATACTCCTGGAGGCGCTCAAATACGCACAGGGCAGTGCTAGATACCCAAAGCGTAGGTGCTGCCACACTCATACACCGACGTATACCCCATCCACTATACCTGGGTGGACAAATATATATATTGACAAGACGGATTAGTCGACGCCGTCTTCGCTGCCCAGGAAGAAACGTAGCTGAAAAGCCGGGTCAGCATTTGGGCACCCAGCGATGCTGGACTTGTGCTCTCGACCTTCACAATCCATCGCCCTGATACCCAGCCGCAGCGCTGGATGCCGGTGAAATGCAATGAGAGCATCGAAGTAGCATTACACTTGGGAGAGCTGATTTTCTGTCAGCTTACGTGTTTTGCGTGGCGACCGCGAGTCCAAGGCTGCTCACGCAGTATCATTGGCACTTGTCCACGTATGACCAGCATCAGTACACAACCCCCCATGACTTTTGGTCACGGACACACTGGACTTTCCTCAGTTGGGCACGCCAAGCTCATAGTCATCGATCCTATCCACGTCAGCAGCGGCAGCAGCTACGACTGCCGACACATCGGACAGCGCTACCAGGCCGTTGGGCTCGGGCCGATTGCCTTCGACAGTCTGCGGGCCCGGGTCTGCAGCCGCCTCGACAACCGGACGCTGCAGAATCTCGGCAGTAATCCGAGCACCATTTCTCTTTTCCTCTGCACGGAATTTGTTTTTGATGTCGTACCGGTTGCGGTTCGGAATCATCGATGCGATCATCTGGAAGTCGGTGCCAAACTTGCGCAGTGCCTGGAAAAACAGCTCTGTTTCCTCCTTGTCCCAGCGCTTGCGCGTCGCCTTTTTCTTGACATACGTCATTGAGTTTGTCAGCCGCGTGTTGGTCGACTCGTCGACAGTCTCCAGAGGCACATTCTCGGTGCTGCCCATCTGGTTACGGCTGACCACCAGCGATTCGGTGTTGATCACGACCTTACCGTCCACAATCCTGGACCTGCGCTGCCATCGGGTTGATTTCATCGTCCTTTTTAACAGCGTCTTCCTCTTTCTTTGCTGGCTCTGCAGCAGTCTCTTCCGGAACAGGCGTCACCACGCGTGGGACTTCCGTCGTGAACACGCTTGATCTGCTCGTTTTCGCGTTCAATGAACTCGCGCGTCGGGACTCCATGGGTCGGCTTGCCGCAGAAATATGAGATCGGAAGGTTGCTGATAGACTCTGCCGACAGGGTATGGTAGTCGTCTGCAGTCTTTAACTGCAGCTCCTCCTTCTCCGTATCCTCTGCAGCATTAGCCTCAGACGTCTGCCGTCCACGGCGCCGCCGCTTACGTGGCTGCTGTTGCGAAGGGGCAACCATTGCCTGTAACGACGGACTGGAAAGCGGGGCCATAGCTGGTGATGACAGCGTTCCTAGACGGCCCCTCATTGCAGGCGATCCTGGAGACCCGATCAATGTCGAAAGCCGGCGCGCCGGGTGTAGCTGTGGTGACTTGGGGCCACCAAACACGATGGGCGTGCCGCTGGCCCGTTGTGTACTGGAGCTGGTCGATCCAACCATCGGGATGCCGCTAGCCGATGCTATCTGTGGGATTTGACTGCCACTGCCACTACCGCTGCTACTGCCGCTGCTGCTGGCCACCGCTGGCATCTGCAGTGGCGGAGGAGATGGCGGCCGATTTGTGGCCATGAGGGCGACGTCTGCTGCAGGCGTCTGTGGCTGAGTGCTGGCAGCCGATGCTTGCATGCTACTGCCCGCTACATCGTCTGTCGGTGCCTCGGACGCCCCTGTCCTCGCCCTCCAGCTGCTGCGGCTGCTTGCGACGCCTCTCGGCCCTCGGCTTTGCCTTTGGAGCAAACTTTGCTCCTCCTTTGGCTAAATAACAGAATTTGATACCTGCACGTTAGCGTCAGCTGAGACTATATTACGCTTGCGTGCTCATTGGCCCCTTCTGACTCACCTACGCGAACCGAGGTAATTGTGGACATTTTAAAGGTAAATTGCGAAATTAAGGTGGAACCAAGAGTTTGCAGCTGGCGCGAAACAGCCCCATCAGCTTTTTTGGGCACAAATGTCCGAGACCCGCTGATTGTAATCAGATCCCCGGTGATTTCAGGTCGCCATGAGGTCGCACCCTGGCAGGCCTGCGTCATCTTATCTCGAGAAATTCGCGCGGGCTCAGGAGTAGCTCCGAGATGGATCGCACGGACACATGGCGGAATTGGCTCCTCCAGTACACAGTGGAAGAGGAGATTTGCACGGTTTCTCAGCCGTCGCAAGGAGCTGTGAAAGCAGCCGTTCGCCCGTGGCCGACATTGGTTCGATTGGCTGGGGCGGCGACTGCAGCCATATAGGAGGAGGAGCGGCGATTTTTTTTCATATGCTGCTGCCGAGCGTGCGCCAAATTTCGCTACTCTTTCTGCTAAATACGGCTGTATAAAAGCTCCGGCATGTGACGGCGAAAAAGCGAAGAGAGAAAAAACAATCGCAGTTGGCCTCTGTATTTTATCTCATCGCTTGACCTCCGACTTCTCACTTCTTATCTCTGCTCTCTATTTTCACGTTCCTTCTCGATTTTTGCACTCTTATAGCTATGTCGCAGCACCCTACTGACGCTCCCGCCGTCGCTTCCCGCGGCGTCCTGACCACGGGCAACGGCAACCCTGTCGATAACAACCAGACCTCGCAGACCGCCGGCGAGCTGGGCCCCGTCCTGCTCCAGGACTTCCACCTCCTCGACAAGCTTGCGCACTTTGACCGCGAGCGCATCCCCGAGCGCGTTGTGCATGCCAAGGGTGCCGGTGCCCACGGCTACTTTGAGGTGACCAAGGACATCTCGCACCTGACCTGCGCCAAGTTCCTGAACAAGGTCGGCAAGCGCACGCCATGTCTTCACCCGCTTCTCGACTGTCGGTGGTGAGCTCGGCTCGGCCGACACTGCGCGCGATCCCCGCGGCTTTGCTGTCAAGTTCTACACCGAGGAGGGCAACTGGGACATGGTCGGCAACAACACCCCGATCTTCTTCATCCGCGACCCGATCAAGTTCCCCGACTTCATCCACACCCAGAAGCGCCACCCGCAGACCCACCTGCCGGATGCCACTATGATGTGGGACTTCTGGTCGCTGGTGCCCGAGTCGCTGCACCAGGTTACCATCCTGATGTCCGACCGCGGTATCCCCGACGGCTTCCGCCACATGCACGGCTACTCGAGCCACACCCTGAAGCTGGTTGCCAAGGACGGCTCGTACAAGTACGTCAAGTGGCACTTCCGCACCGAGCAGGGCATCAAGAACATCCTGCCCGAGGATGCTGCCCGCCTGGCCGGTACCAACCCGAACTACTCCACTCAGGATCTGTTCGAGGCCATTGAGCGCGGCGAGCACCCCGCCTGGAAGGTCTACATCCAGGTCATCGAGCCCGAGCAGGCCCTCAAGTACCGTTTCAACCCCTTCGATGTCACCAAGGTCCTCAGCCAGAAGGAGTTCCCGCTGCAGGAGGTCGGCCGCATGGTGCTGAACCGCAACCCCGAGAACTACTTTGCCGAGGTCGAGCAGGCTGCCTTCTGCCCCTCGCACATGGTCCCGGGCATCGCCCCCTCGCCCGACCGCATGCTGCAGGGTCGCCTGTTCAGCTATGCCGACACCCACCGCCACCGCCTGGGTGCCAACTACCTGCAGATCCCAATCAACCGCCCGATCAGCGGTGTCAACAACCACCAGCGCGACGGTGCCATGGCCATCAACGGCAACGGCGGCTCCACCCCCAACTACGAGCCCAACTCGTTCGGCGGGCCCTCGCAGAACAACCTGCCCGCCCAGACCTACGCCAAGAACTTTGTCATGCAGGGCGAGGTTGGTCGCCACACCTACGAGGTCACCGATGACGACTTCGCCCAGGTCAAGGACCTCTACAACCTGTTCACTGCCGAGCAGAAGGACCGCCTGGCCAAGGTCATCGCCGGTAGCCTGTCGACTGTCCCTGTCTTCATCCAGAAGCGCCAGCTTAAGCACTTCTACCGTGCCGATAAGGACTACGGTCGCCGTGTCGAGGCTGCCCTGAAGGCTGCTGGCTCCAAGATCTAAATTTCCTTGTCATTCCCTCTAATTCAAACATGATTTCACTGCAATGAGCATCTGCGTGTAGGGAACTCTTCTTGCGGTTATTGCCTATGTAGTGCCGTCATTGTCACATATCATCAATACTGTAACACAAGTTCTATATTCGAAGTGAGGAAAGAGAAAGACTGGAGCGTGATGCTGGCACTGCCTATATGTTTACTTGGCTATGTCTGTTGTGTTTGGACCGCGGGGTCTGGTCGCTCTAGGTTGACCGACAGGTGGTCCAGGCTGTCAAGGTCCCTGACCTTGTAGATGTGAGTCAGCCAGCTCTCGTCCATGTGAACCAACTCGGACCACGGAAAAGCCAGTCGTGAATTGGGTCGCCTTAATGCTTTACATAGTGGGTGATATATACGGTTCATCTGTTCAAGTCCACAGTTCCTTTGGCTGTGCCTGCTGCAACCTATGGTATGGATGCTAACAGTGAGAGTTCTGGTAGAAACGGCCGATTATCTATCACAAGAAAAGCAAATACTCTGACCGTGTGGCCACTGCTTATGTCAGGTTGGCCTGCTATCCTAAACACATGTGAATTCGTCTTGACAGGATGAGGGTACTATCATCTCGAAGAAGTACTCGACCACTTTGTATAGCCACATACTGTGGTTCTGTCTGGCCAGCATAACACCGCTAGCACACTTCCGTTTCATTAATCTTAGAGCCTGAAAGTAATAAAAAGCGTTCGAGAGAGCCTGGACAGGATTCCGAGTCTGTACCAGGATATTTTTGAGCAACTTGTCGGATGAGGGTGGAACTACTGGAAGCCATGTCGCCGTGTACTTGCAAAAGAAGTTTAGAGAATGATCAGCTGGCTACGGGTGAGATTCTACATAGCTCACCAACCAGCTCAGCTATCCACTATCAGTTCTTTTTCTCAAATAGTCATACATTTCTTCCAAATATAAGATACTACAGCCGAACAACTGCCAGCACTATATGTACTACAAAATCTCAGCTCCTCTGTCCTGTAGTCAGTTTTGGGTATGCAAAAAACACCTGGCAAATGCCTCTCTGCACCAAGTCGCAACAATGTGTGATTGCTGAACTCAATTACGCACTAACAGAGTAAAACAGCAGTCTTTGATGGCTGGCCTGTATCAAAGATGGTATGATACGTATCATAGCCTTCATTATTTGCCACATATAAAACCTGCACGAAACGTTTGCCGGCGTCAGCGATACCTTGCTCGTCTCTCGTATCCAATCCTCTGTTTTTTATCACTATGGAATACGTCCCATTAAGCCTGAACAGTTTAGTCCGTGGCTCTATCCTATATCGCGCTTTGTCTCTGGTCTTATATGAGAAGCAGGGCCAGGACGCTGGCCTCGGCGGATACCGCATAGCAGCCGAATTAGCTACAGTATGCAAGGCATGGAAGGAAGTCGCTGATGCCAATCCTCTATGGAACCGTCATTATTGATGCTGAGTACCCCGGCTCAATAATTGGTCGGTGTAAACTCCCGCCTGAGGATATGGCGGTCCAATATTCCAGCTATCGTTGCAGCAGGCATGGATGTCTTTTGCCAAGGAAGTACGCCTGCTTGGTGTTATCGATTGCGTTAGTCTTTTGTCCGGTGACTATTCTGCAGCACATCGGGTTTGACCGTGGGTCATGGTGCAATGTCAAGACATTCCGCTGTACGGCCTCTCCAATTAGCGCCAACACGTATCTCGCCAGCAACATTGCACCAGTAGTGAACAGAAATGCCTGCTACTTGATCGACCACCTTCCTAGTCTGACAGAAATTGACATCATAGTCAGCAGCCCCGACGGCTTGCTCTTCAGACTAATGCAGACACTGAATATGGCAGTGTGCAACAAATTGATGGGTGCCACGCTAGACCTGAGTACGCAGTCGTTTTTGATCCCACGTCTCCCAACAACTCTCCAAGCGCTAGGCTATACTCGGTAAAGCTTTCCCAGCAAGCACATGTTTCCATCCTTCGCTTGCTGCGAACCTGAAGCTACTCGACATCAAAGTAATGTGTGCCAATTTCCCCTGGTGCATTTTTGCTTCGCCTTGGTTGGGTACCGCGCAATTCACGAACCTCGAAAAAGCTGATAGTTTCATACGTGTATGATTTCCCAGCTCCTGCTCCATCCTGTGCAGCCCAGCCCGAAAATGGCATTCCCGAGCTTGAAGCGCTTGGTAGCGTCACGCTTATTCGCAAAGCATGCTGGTTTCTATGGCTACATTGCAAACTCGCCACTGAAGTCAGTCAAAGTAACCGAGATTGCGCGTGATGCTTCACTGATTGACCCCTTGGTGGTTAGTGGCATCGATGATTTCCACTTGGACCTTGTTGCTAGTCGCTTGCCAGGCATGCGTGACGATATCAGTGTCGAAAATGCGGTGCGCGGACTATTTGGCACCCGCTCCCCTCTACGGACTGCGACACTTGTGCTGGGCGGTCTCAGCTTCCCACGGATTGAAACTGCCGAGTGGTGCAGCCTTTCAAGTTTGCACTTTATTGTTGGGACTGTCGAGCTTGCCTGTGTGTGCTGCCTGCTCCAACAACTGCCAAGGCTTCGCATGCTGAGAATTGAGAGTGAATTCGTATCTGCTGCCAAGGTATTCGCAGACTCGCAGGATGGCCAGCTCAGCACGACCCTCGAAAGCCTGGCACTCCTATCTATTTCTGCTATGGATAGGCAGAGCTGTGGCATGCTTCGTCGGATGGTTTCAAGGATCCCGTCGCTGTTCAAGCTGACTATAAGGCGCTACATGGTGACTAGTTTTGCAGGCTTGTCAAGACCGGATGGCGATGAGATCCAGGTGGTCCCGGATGACAGCATCTCAATGGCCATGGGTATGAGAATGTTTTAACTCAGAAATAGCTTCAGAATATGTTCTCTCTAAGCATGAACCATTTGCAATTATAGCTGAACTATCTGTGTTGTGTCCAGGGTAGGCAGTGGTGGCAGGAGCTGCTAGTCGGAGCCTACGCGGTGTTGTGTTATACAGCATGCTGGAATCCTGCCATGCTCCCTATTCGCAGCTTGCAACCCAAGTACTCATGGATGTCATCATCCATTTAGTCTATGTTGTACCCCTATGCGCATGCACAGGGTATGGATGCAAGATGAGGTCGTTGCCCATGTAAACCCAACGACAAGCAAGGCATTGTACGATGCGGTCCAGCTGAGGATTTTCAGAGGACAAGCTGTGTAAAACGTTTGTTCAGTTCGAAACACGCTTGTATTTATACAAAGAGTGGGCATTGCTACAGTAGCTGGCTGGTTCCTTTTAGGCCACAAACTTAATGAGGGCTTCTCTCTCACTCGACAAGAGTTCACAGCAGAGCCAGCGGATGGCTATTTGTAGCCATCCTGTTTCTGCTGTGGATCTGCCATCGGGAGTCCCTCCCAGGAGCAAATGGCACAGTGATATAGTGTTTTACGGCTGCCGGTCGGACACACAGGGACGAAGAAAACAGTCAGCCAATTCCGCCTACTGATCGTCTCGACGGCAGCATTGTGGCAGCGGGGGCATGCGAACTCTTGCGGGCCAAGCGAGCGCACGCTGCTGCGGGTTCCAAACAGAATAAAAATGGGGATAAAGTCGCACATGGGCCGCCTAAGTAGAAGAGACTAGACACGTTTATGTTAGTCACAGTACCTTGAAAACGAGAGCAACTGTCCCGGCGTAATAAAAGGCGACAACTTACAACTAAAACAATCAAAGATTGAAAAGTACACAAGGAGAGGCAAGAAGGAAACAATTCGAGCTTTGTTCCTGGTCCGCTGTGCCATGAGATTTGCCTTCTGCAAGGGGGCTGTTTCCCGCAACTCGTGTTGACAGAACAACATGTGCAACCGTGAGTGTGATGGCAATGCCAAGCCCAGGCAACCCGTGCCACGGATGTCCGTAGGGGCTAATGCTACGTCAACGGTGTGGGCGCGAGTCAAAGGAGGGCTGATTTGCCGGCCACTCATGATCGGGCGTTCCCTTGGCAAATGATGCTGTGCCCAATGTCGCACTCATGCGAATCTGGTTCTGCTATATATGGAGCGCCAGGCCTTCGCCATACGTGCTGGCGACCTGCTGCGTAACTTGAGCAAGCGCACTCAGCCCTTTTTTAGGGTTCCTGTTTGGAGGCTTGTTCGGATCCAAACAGTACACGATCAGCGAATCACAGGCCAGCCTGTGCGCGGCTGCATGGCTCGGGTCAGGACACAATCCCCTCTGCACTTATTCTCAAGACGACAGCACTTGCGACGGCTCCATGCAGGTGACAACAAAGGTATGCAGATGGCTGGGCATCATGTGGTGCCATGCTGGTATTTGAAGAACGCGGTGTTATAACAAAATTCCCCTTTGGAAAACTAAAAAGAAAGATGCCGTGGGGGAGAGAGAAAATTAGTCGTAGCGGTGCGACTCCTGCGGGCGGTTGGCGCCGTACGAGGACTGGGCCTGGTTGAGCTCCTCCTGCCTCTTCTTATCCTCGTACTTGTCGTAGCCCTTCTTGGCAGCGTAGGCGGCGCCAGGCAACGGCCAGACCAGCCAGGAGGACGTTCGACTTGTCGATCTTCTGGTGGACCTCGCCGTTCCTTGACGTAGGTCTCGTCCTCCTTGTGGAAGAAGTCGTTAGTCTTCTCAGCGACGTTGCCGAAGAATCCGCGCTGGCCGTCCTCGTTGTCGTCCTGGTTGTAGCCCTCGTCCTGGCGGTAGCCCTGGTTGGCCCTGGTTGTGGTGGCCCTGGCCCTGGTTGTGGTGACCCTGGTTGTCCGTAGCCCTGGTTGCCCTGGTTGCCGTAGCCCTGGTTGTTGTAGCCCTGGTTGCCGTAGCCCTGGTTCTGGTTGTTGTAGTCAGACATGGTTTCTAATAGTGACGCGATGAATGCACATTAGTCGCTGTGTGGGTGATAGCATGCTGGGACACATACTCGTGCAGTTGTCTACTACGGCCAACGAAGAATAAAGCCGCACAATACTTACAGGTTTGAGGAAAAAGACAAGAAAATGTGAGATAGAAGCTGGTTGAGAAGACTGAGATAGCCGTTGCTAAGTGGCCCGTTGGCAAAGGCTTTTATACCCAGCTTCCTGTGCGGCACGATGCTCTCACTCTTGCGCCTAAAAGCGTGGTCCTGTACACCCTTGTTTGCCATTTTCTGTTCCGTTTTTGTTGACTGAGAGACGGTTTGCCAGCCAGCATGCAGAGGCTGCAGAAAGAGTGCGGGCCAATCCCACACAGCCCCTTGTCCAGGCACATTGCCTGCGGGATTCGCTGGCGCTTGCAGACGCAGCACGCTGGCGCGAAAAAACACGGGATGACGTCCAAAATTGGCCTATTTATAGAAGCAGGTACCCGCAGCCAATCACAGGCGATATCCCCGAGTCTGCGCACTTGGCATATGGGAAATAGTGCCAAAAAGCAGGAAAAGACCCGCTTTGGCGAGCTAAAAATAGGCACAGGGACTCACACAGTTGAGGAGAAAGAAATCAATTGAGGGAAATCACCAAAGGCTAAGCAGCAGCAGCAAGCTGGTGCCGTGATTAGTAGGAGTACGGGTCGTTCGGGTTGCCATGGGGCTTGCCGCCGGGCGTGGGAGTCGCGCCGTAGCCGCCCTGGGGAGGCTGGGCACCGCCGTACTGGTAGTTGTACGAGCCCTGGCCAATCTCCTCCTGCTGCTCGAGCTTCTCCTCGCGCTTCTTCTTGTCAAAGTGCTTCTTGGCAGCAAAGCCAGCAGCAGCAACCGCAGCGCCAGCAAGCAGAACCTTGCCCATCTACAAAAATAGAGCCGTTTAGAATATAGTGCTGGTGTGAAAAAACGAGAATCCTGCGAATCTGCATATCCCCTCCCTGCTCATGCAGCACTGAGTGAAATAGGGTAACTTACGCTCAGCTCTGGCTCCGGCTCATAGCCGCCATAGCCGGGCTCCTGCTTCTTGTAGAAGAAGTCCTTGATGCCGCGCTCGCCCTCCTCGCCATCATCGTCGTCGGCGCCGCCCTCGCCGTGGTACTCGTCGTTGCGGTGGCCCTGGCTGTGGCCCTGGTCGTAGCCGCCGGCCTCACCCTGGTTGTACCCCTGGTCGTAGCCCTGGTTCTGGCCATAGCCTTGGCTCTGGTTGTTGTCGTAGCCCTGGTTGTAGCCCTGGTTCTGGCTGTAGCCCTGGTTGTAGCTTTGGTCGTAGCCCTGGTTCTGACCGTAGCCCTGGTTGTTATTGTAGTTGTAGTTGGACATGTTCTCTGGCACAAATGTAGATTTAAAACAAGAGTATGGAAAAGGCAGGAGAAGAGAAAGCTTCAAACGGGATATGCGAGTCAATAGACGTGGATGCCGCATGCCCGCCCCACCCGCCTGCTTTATACCTGTGCCGCGACGGTGTATGTCCAAACGTCACTGCTGGGATTTTGCCGCCAGTAAATCACGCCGCGTCGGATGACCTGAGCCGCCTGTCCTCTTTCTCCCCCAGCATTGCCAAGACATTTTATTTTTATGACCAGGCAGAGCTCTAACGTGGTTTGGCAGGATAGGGCGCCGAGTTCCGACGAAATCACTGGCTTCAGACTTTCAGGCCAAGCGGGCCACCACTGCCAGATGGCACATGGATGTCCACAGACGCCATCTCGTCGCCACCGGTGGGAGCCGCGCCGGGCGGGTGCGTGGATGAGGGGTCAGGACGGCGGCAGTCCTGCAGGAGCTGCAGGAGCTGCAGAAGGGGCAGCTGGTTGGGGCGCTGCCAAATTCCGGGCTGGAGCCGCAGATGAGCCGCCAGGAGCCGCAGGTCTGCGCGCTGGAGCTGCGTTTATAGGCGGCGGAGGGACCGTTGTGGGCGCGTGGTTGATGCGTGGTGGTAGCGTGGTGGTAGGCGCAAAGTGGTGTAGCTTTGGCCGCACCGCCGCAGTAATGCCCGGGGTCTTGTTGGCAGGAGAGAGACGTGCCGAATTGCCGCACTGGATGCTGCTGCTGCTGTGGTTGGTGTTGGTGTTGGTGTTGCTGCTGGTGTTGGTGTTGCGGCAGCGGCTGCTGCTGGGGGCGCTGCATGGCCGGAAGCATCATGTTATTAGTTTGCACATACGCTGGCTGCTGCAGTGGTCGGTGCTGCATTGGGGAATGCCCGGGTGTCCAGTGCCATCTCAGCCGCTTGGGCTTTGGCCTTGCTTGCTGTGCCCCCGCTTTGCCCCGCCAGTCGCCGTGCTATCGGTCCTTTTTCTTCCTCGGCTGCTTTGGTTGGCGCGGCTTGCGTTTCCTGCCCGTAGCTGTGGTCTCTGCAACCGGCGCAGGCACAAACAGGATCCGCCGCAAGCGCTTCTGCTCGCGCGGCAGGACCGGCAGATTCATGGCTGCGTAGTCAGCGTCCATTTCATCTGGGTCAATTCCGGCGGCAGCCAGTGGCTGTTTGCGCTTGCGCACCATGCACCGCTGGGCGGCAACGTTGGCCAGCGCGCGACGGCTCCGCTCCAGCTGGCGCTGCTCCAGGATCTGCAGCTGCTGGAGCTGGTGCTGGGCTGCCAGAGCCGGGTTTGCGTTGAGCGCCTGGATCTGGACCGCAGTCAAGCCGGCCATGGCGCGAGCAGCCATGTTCTGCCTTTGTGTCTTCTCGACAATGCGGCGGTCCTCCTGCATGCGCAGATCGCGCAAGCGCCACAGCTTCTTCTGGTGCTGCTCCGTCAGGCGGCTGCGCAGCTCCTGGCGCTGCACAAGGAACGTGTAGTTGAGTGTGTGCGCCCACCGGTCGTGCAGGTTCTGGCGCTGCTCGAGCCACACCTTGTGTGCAAAGTCCAGCTTCTCGATCTGCGAGTTGTACGTGGCCGCCAGCTCCCCGGCGTGCTTCTCGTACTCGACGTGCTGGCCGGCTTCCAAATAATCCTCCTCGATCTGCACCTGCCGCAGCCGCTCAGCGTACAGCCGCTCGCGCAGCTTGGCAAACTCCATCTCGATGCTTGTCAATTCCTGCAGCGCCTCAGCTCGCCGACTCTCGTTGCTGGCTGAGTCGCCGATCCGACGGCATCTCGGGGTCTGCCAGTGTTGTTCTCGCGAAGCGTCGATGCAAGAGCCGGCTCGATCATCAGACTCGACATCCATGCTATCGGCTGACGCCCCGTTTACCAGGGCCTTGACCGCGTTGCTCAGAGGCGATGCATCCGTCGGCAGCCGTCCGCAGCCAGGGCTTCGTCCATACCGCTGTCTGCAAGCAGATCCTTTGCAGGGCTGTCCTCATGGTCACTTTCGTCATCGTCATCATCATCCTCGTCGTCTTCGTCATCTCCGTCACTGACCTCGCTGGCCAGGCTGTCGTCGCCCGATGTGATTGTCAGCCGCCGCCCGTTTGGCTTCCGTGGCGGACTCGAGAGGGCCGAAATTGCACTGCGCTGCCGAGACGCAGTCATGATGCTCACGTGGGGTGGCCGCCGTGCCGTTGGAACGATAACTGCCGGCACCTCGTCGTCGTCCTCTTCCTCCTGGTCGGATCCGTCCAGGTGGTTCTCCCCAGACACTGCCTCCGACTCGTCCATCTCCGCGTCGCTGTCTGCGCTGGGCTGGTTGTCCAGCTGCTGCGCGTCTTCTTCGGCAGCCGCGTTGAGGTCCAATGTCTTGGTCGAGAATCGAGCTGCCAGAGCTGGATATCGATGAATGGGACGACACGCTGCTGAGTGTCTCTAAATCCGAGTCGTATGCGAACGGGTCGTCGGATTCGTCTAGCACCTGGCTTCGGTCTGTTGCTGCCGCCGCATCCTCGGCTGCCCCATTGCTCGCCGGTGCCGGATCCTCCAGCTTGACCTGCGCCGACGCGATTGGGCTATCCGATTCGGACTCTGTGCTGTTGCTGTTACCCCCAGTCGCCATTCTTTTTTGTCTGGAATCGATGGATGGGGGGTTATCTGTGCTATAAAAGAGTGCGAAAAATGTGGAATATTTTTTCAGAGAATAAGCGCTTGGAAAAAAAGCAAGAGCGGGTGTGGAACGGGCAATTGTTTCTGTTTGTGCATTTCGTGACCCTGCCCGGCCATTTGTGCAATACCTTCTCTCCCCCTGTCCGCCGAGGAAGAGCCAAAGTGCTGTTTACGCTGCTGGGGTAGATGTTTCTGTCAAGGTGGTGGAACGAAGGGCAAAGGCTCTGTTTGCGAAATTCGGAAGCTGCCGACGGAGTGGCAGCCGAGGCATTATGTTTACAGGCTGCGGCAGCAGTGGTGGGAAAAGGGCACTTTTCGCTTTCGGTTGTGGTGAAGGGAGGACAAGAACGCGTTCACAAAGGCGTCAACTGCCCGCGGAGGGTGAGGCTAGCCGCTCCCTCCGGCTTCCCACTCAGCCCCTCCCCCCTCTGTCGCCTAGATTGATGGGTGGCCGGTATCTGCGAAAAAGTGCCGGGCAACGTACTCGGACAACATGTCTCTTACCTTGTTAAGGTTGATGCTGGCGTGGCTGTTTGTACGCAGGCTTCCGATAATCGGCCGTACACGAGTGGAGTCCTGCTTTGGTGGGCTTCCACAGTTTGCGAAAAGAGCAGAGGGTGGTGGTGAGCTGCTCCCCTGTTCGTCAGCAAGAGGCTCCGAAATAAGTGAAGTAGTGCGAGAGAGATACGCGAGCTGCTCGTTCAGGTTTGCAGAGCTGCGAGGTGTGGAAACGATATAGGGAAATAGCTAGGCGCGAAAAAAAAAACTAGAGGGAATAGAAAGATTGCTCTCCAAACCAAAGCGCCCCCTCTCATGGCCAGAGAGCAGCAAAAAAATTGAAGGCGATTTGGCCACATGTTTTTCTTGCGGCTGCAACGCGATCCAGGCTGTAATTCCGTCATTACTCGGGATCAACTGCCGGCGCCTCCGGATCATGGTATTCGATTACGAAGTGGAATTTATTTGTAGTATCAGATTTCGCAGCTAGACAAATATGGGCAGCGCGACAATGCTAGTGCAGCTTCTCGCGCTCCAGGCTCTCGCCGGACGCCCGGAAGAACGCCGACAGCGGGGTCGACGACAACAGCGGCGATGCCAGGGCGCTGCTGGCCTGCGAGACGGGCGTGAACGGGTTCTCCGGGATCTCGATGGAGATCGAGTCTTTCGAGAACTCGGACGAGTCGCGGCTGTCATTGTAGTCGCGGCCCAGCATCGAGTACTTGTCGCTCTGCTCCTGGTGCGACAAAAACAGCAGCAGCGCCGACGCAACAACCGACACCAGAAACAGCGTGTCGAACCAGCGCTTGTAGAAGTAGAAGCCCGTGGTCTGCAGGACCTCTGAGATCATCGGGCGGTACTTTGGCGGCAGCGACATGCGCATCATCAACATGCATGACACAAAGTACATGCCCAGGATGTGTGCCAGGAAAAGCACAACGTTGCCAGGCGACACTGTGTTGGAGAACGAAAACAGCTTCGTGAACTGGATCAGCAGCCCGCGGATCGACCCGATCACCATCATGCCGACGATGGCAAAGCTCAGCTGCTGCGACCAGAACAGCATGTCAAAGTCCGGGCTAATGTGCGTGGCTGCTAGGGTCAGTGCGCTCGTGACTGGGTCCGACTGCCCGACCTTGTTCAGCAGGATGCCCGTCAGCGTCATTGCAATCTTGCTGACACAGAACAGCGCAAAGAAGTAGCCCAGGATGTTGCGCGACCGGCCCGCCAGCGTCTGCGACTCGACATACCGGTCGTGCTCCAGACACATGGCATCGACGTCGGCAAACAGCTCCTGCGTGACGCGCTCCAGATCCTCAATCTCCTGCTGCAGCGCCGCCAGCCCGCGGTCCTTGTCCCGCTGCATGCCCAACAGCGACCCAAGCGCGCTCTTGAGCATGCCCAGTGCTGCTGGCTGCGCACCGCCCCGCGCCTCTCTCTCCTTCGCCGCCTGAGCCTCGAGCCGGGCCGCCATCTTCTTCTTGTCAATCAGCAGCTCCAGCGAGTAGTGCAGCTGGCGCTTCATTCCTTCGAGCTGCACGGGGCTCACTTGATGCACAAACACAAAGAGCTTTTGGTAGGGGCTGTTGACCGCTCCGAACCCAGACAATATCGCCATCAGCGCCACGCCCACCACACCCACGCGCGCCGTCACTGGCTCAATCGACACCATGTCCGCCGCTCCCGTCGCCGTGCGAATGCGCGAAAAGCTGTCCAGCGGCAGATACGCACCCAGGCTCCAGAATGCATAGAAAAATATGCCCCACATCACCAGGCTGTAGATAACCCGGCGGTAGAGCGGGATGAAGGTGCGCCGCCGGATGTTGGACAGCAGGAGATAGAATTGCGCCAGCGGAATCGCCACCATTATTGTCACCAGCAGAAAGCCGAGGTCGGTCCGCCAAAAGTACCACCGCAGGTCCTTGGTCAGCACTCCACTGATTTCAAACACCACCAGCTCGATTAGCAGCCCGCCCTGGGCCACCACCAACGAGAATAGTCCGTATATGACAATCTTGCGCATATCGAAGCCCCCCGACACCTTGCTGGGCTCGGCCGCCGCCGTCAGCGCTTGTGGCAGGATGGAGCTGCTAAGCTGTGTGGATTTTGCAGTCTCTGGTGGACCCGACACGGGCGTCGAGACATCGACTGACTCGAGCAGCCGCCGGGCGAGGAACACCCAGCCGACGAAAAATGTCAGTGCGAAAGAACCAAAAACAACCAGATAATCGAACATACTAATGCTCTATAGTGTGCATTCGCCGTATAAATTAACAAGGTTTGAATTAAGGGGGAAAATACTATTATAGCACAAGGTGTGTAGCAAGGATTGAGGAAAAGATGACTGAAACGAAGAAGCGGTAGAATTTTCAGTACCAAAAAATTTATATTGAAGATTGAGTGCGGGACTACTTGGCGCGGTTGCACCCCGACTGCCGTTCTCCAAAAGAGCGAAATGTTGAGGAATTCCCTCAACAAAAGCCTCCAGTCCACACTACCTGCTTGGCCTTAGCGGAAAAACGAACGGAAAATGCAGCGGCCGCCTGCCAAGCGAACGCAGCATCCATTCGTTCTAGAAACAAAGTCTGCTGAAACACCTTTCAAAAACAAAAACGGACACGCGACACCGCCCACCTATGCACAGCGGAATTTCAGGCGGACATGGCCATGAGTCCCACCCATCCAGTTTTGCATAGCCATCTGCACTGGATGCGCACTGGATGCCCGCAATTGCATAGCCAACACCTAAAGAGATGCAAAGTAGTGGAGTGGTGTAGTGCAGGATCTATATTAATGAAACTCAGTGTTTGGCCTTGACCCCGCAAGAAGCCACTCTTTTTAGCACTGACACGGCAAGCGACGAGAACCACGCCGACAGCCAGCCATCGGCGCGCCCTTCCCGCTCCCTCTCGCTGGCTGTCCGCGAGCTACACCCGCTACCGGCCCTCGACGACTGGGCGACCAGCAGAAACGGCGACCCTGGCAGCCCGCATTTCTTGGTGCAGCTGGCTGGCGACAGACGACAGCTGACCAACTCGCCTCGATCAATAGCCGAAAGGCGCCCCGAATCCGGCCGCTGCTTGACTTTAGCCCGATCCGGATGCCGAATTGTCACCACGGATTCGCGGCCCGACTGGCGGTCAGAATCGCTGACTAAGCGCAATGCGCTGACAGAGATATACGGCGTGGCGCGCGGCACCCCACGCAGCGTGCTGGCGGCCGACGAACACGAGTCCGGCAGCGGCGGCATCTCCGAGGCGATGGGGCTGTTACCCGACGACAGGGTCTTTTTGTGTGCAGGGAAAAACGCCTAGCGACTGCGCCTTTTTGCATCGGCGCGGTTCCGGCGACGACACCTCGGACGGTACGGGCGTCGGTGAGGAGCTCTGCGGCAGCGTCGAGGCGACTGATTTCGGCGACCCACCTGTAGCTCCAGTCGGAGTCGCTGGCGCTCCGCGCATGCTCCTTGCTGGAGCTCCGGCTAGTCTGTCGCCGCCGCAACGACGGCTGGCGCGATTTCGTGCCCAGAATGCTCTGTCTCCGCTGCTTGACGCGCGAGTGTCTCGAGAGCTCCCTGGACATGCTTATTGTCCGGTTGCCGTGCAATGTGTAGTCAGAGGGCACTGCGCTCCAGGAGAGGAGCCCGCGCCGCCGCTTTTTCGGCGACTTGAAGATATTGTCTACTAGGAACGGGTCGTTTACCGGCTGGAGGTCGGAACTGCGCGAGGATTTGCTGGAGGTCGAGTGTGTGGAATCGGCAGCGTCTTTGGGAGAACCCAGGTTCAGCACGGAGTGGTCGCTGGGTTGTGCGGCTTGGAGGGCATTCTTCATTAGCACGTTTTTGTGTGGGTTGTCGCTCAGCGCTTGGGCGAGGATGGTGATGCAATCTGCATTTGACATGACTCGTTTTATGGTGGATGTGCGTGCGCAGATAAGCGGGATAAAAGAAATAAGAATAGTCGTGAAATTAGGGCTATCAAGCATACAGATGGGATACTCAATACTAGAGAGGATGGAGAGCCAAAGTAGCAAAAAGAGGGAGCTGGCGTGCCGGATGTAATGCCAATATTTGAGAGTATATTTAGTCGAGACCTGATGTCAGCACAAAGAGAAATGAGGTCGGTATTTCTAAACCTGGGCAGAATTGAACATACGACAGAGCGGTAGTAAATGGAAATAGAGGGAATGAAAAGCCAAATGGAACAGGACTGGCAATATGCAGAGTGAGAGGTGGGAAGGAAAAGAAGGAAAGGAAGGGGAAAGGTGGGCGTGAAATATCACAGACTAGGTAAAGCAACTGTCGCCTAATATCTAAACGCGTAGAATAGGAGCAGTAGACGGAACTCAATATCGAGATGTAGAAAGAAACAAAAAACCATATAGCCATTTGCTAATTTTTCAACCGGCAACGTGCAGCGGTTTATATAAAAAAGAAAGTAAGTGTTTATAGTTCTTTCTTCAAAGAGTGCATGGCCCCTTTATCACTACCTTCACACATCGTGTTTAGGGAAAATAGTATTTAGAGACGGTTCGGGGAGGAGAAAGATGCTGGGGAGGGGCATTCGCTTAGGTGACTGACAACGGTTCGGAATATCTCATGGTTGCTTAGCGCAGTATTTGGATTTTTTTACCCAAGATGCCGCTGATTGAGGAGGGAAACAATCGACTGTTGTCATCAGCATATCAATGGCATTATAAAGCGTTATGTAGTAGAGGAAGCTGGAAGGGAGTGGGGTGGATGGGGATGAGGTTATGCACAGCGCGTATAATAAAGAAGAGGGATTGATTGTGCCCAAGCGAATAAGGTTTTCTTGGAATCAATGGGCTTCACCAAGAAGCGCAATGTATTTAGCAAGCCATGGGGGTGAGAAGAATCCAGTGGGTTAAATACAGCAACAAAGGGCGGCTCAAGACCGATGGGACATGCGCGTGGACGTTGGGCTGGCTTGTTCCCATCGCCCGCTCTCCCACTGGCGAGTTGTTTTCGTTAGACATGACTGGGGCAAAGCGTTTGTTGCAGTCAATAGCTGGTAGCAGCCACACTGCAGGCATGCCATTGAATAGAGTTTGCAGCTCCAATCTTTATGATTCGACCAGACAGGGTAGAGCCCAAACAAATACACAACCATCTTGCCAGTTTAGCATGTGCCTTGTTCGGTGCATCCACACAAAATGGGAGAAAACTAGACTTTGTTTGTAAACGCAGATGCATTGGAGGCTCAACAGGCGAGCTACGTCATGCAGGCAAGCTAACAATGAGTGTATCGAGATGTTTTCAGAGATGCAGCTGAAAAGAATATACATCGGTTGGAGCAAAGGGGCCAGAAATCTCGATCGCAATTAGCCCAGAGGCAGATTCTCTGATCGTAATCACTCGAACAGGAAATCGGCGGATCACAGCTACACAATTTTCTTTTTTGACGCCTCAGGCGAAAATTTTCAACCGTTGGCTCTGCTCTATATATATTTCTCGCAATTTACACACTACACACACTGAACATTGAACAATGTCAGCGGAGAAAAGGACGCGCGTTGAGGAGTCGCGGAAAGCGGGCGGGAGCCGGCTGTTCTCGCCATACCGAGCGCTGGGCTACGTGACCAGCAATGTAGGGCACTCGATCCAGCACCTGGGCCAGACGGCGTTCATCACAACGGCGATCGGGCGGTCGTACCACGTGTACAACCTAGAGAAGCTGCGGCTGGCGTTTGTGGGCCCGCAGTTTGACAGCGACATTGTGTCGATTCTGTCGATCGGCGAGGAGACATTTGTGTCATCGGGCGGGCACGTGCATGTGTGTCGGCGCGGCAAGATCAGCGGGGAATTGGAGTATGTGGACCGCGGCGAGATCACGCACCTGATGGCGTTCGGCAGGCATATTCTGGGACTGAGCAGCGACAATGCGCTGGTGGTATGGGACAAGGACACGCACGAGGTGTTCACGGAGATCGAGTTTGAGCGGTCCGAGTTCCAGGTGACGGCGGTGGTGCATCCAAGCACGTATGTCAACAAAGTGGTGGTGGGCAGCGCGCAGGGGACACTGCAGGTGTGGAACATCCAGACGCGGCGGTGCCTGCATGAGGTCAAGTCGCTGGGCGCCGGCATCGGTTGCCTGGCGCAGGCGCCGGCCATAGATATTCTGGCGGTGGGACTGCTGGATGGACGCATCCAGCTGCACAATGTGCGCACGGACCGCAGTGTCATGCAGCTGGCGCAGGAGGGCCGGGTCACCGCGCTGTCGTTCCGCACCGACGACGTGCCGATGATGGCGTCGGCAAATGGTGACGGAGACGTGGCGCTGTGGGATCTGGACAGCAGGCGACTGGTGCATGTGATGCAGAACGCCCACGACGGACCTGTTCCATCGCTGGACTTTGTGGCCGGGCAGCCGCTGCTGGTGACGTCGAGCGGCGACAACTCAATCAAGCAGTGGCTGTTTGACGGGCAGGACGGGGTGCCGCGGCAGCTGCGGCAGCGGTCGGGGCATTTTGCGGCGCCCCATATGATCCGCTACTACGACCAGGAGGGCCGCTCGCTACTAAGTGCCGGGCGCGACCGCACGCTGCGGTTCTTCTCGGTGATCCGCGACGAGCAGAACACGGAGCTGTCGCAGGGATCGCTGGCGCGCGAGGCGCGGGCGCGCAAGGCCAGGATGAGCGAGCTGCGGTTCCCGGCTATCACGCAGTTTGCAGCGAGCCATGGGCGGGAGCGTGACTGGGACAATGTGCTGACGAGCCACCAGGGAGTCAAGGCGGCGTTCACGTGGTCGGTGGACCGCAAGGCGCTGGGCAAATTCACCATCGCCAGCGCCGACGACTCGGTGGTGCGTGCAGTGGCCGTCAGCAGCTGCGGTAACTTCGGTTTCCTGGGCCATGCATCCGGGCTTATCGAAATGGTCAACATGCAGTCGGGCTACGCGCGCCGCTCGTTCACTGGGCACAGCAAGGCAGTCACGGGCATTGCCTGCGATCCGTGCAACCAGCACGTGTTTTCGACGTCGCTTGACGGCTCGCTGCGCATGTGGGACTTTGGCACTGGCCAGGAGCTGTGGCGGCTCGATCTGCCGTCGGTGCCGACGCGCCTGGAGCTGCATGGTGAGTCGGGGCTGCTGGCGTGCGTGTGCGATGACGCGTGCGTGCGCGTGGTGGATGCCGAGTCCCAGCGCATTGTCAGGCGGTTTGCTGGGCACCGCAACCGCATCACGGATCTGGACGTTCAGCAGTGATGGGAGGTGGATTGTCACGTGCTCACTCGACTCCACCATCCGCACCTGGGACCTGCCCACCGGCCACATGGTTGACTGGTTCCGCGTCGCCAGCGTGCCGGTGTCGGTAGCGTTCTCGCCATCGGGCGACTTTCTGGCGTCAGCGCATATGGACAGCGTCGGTATCTTCCTGTGGGCCAACCGCACGCAGTTTGCCGACGTCACTTTGCGCCAGATTCGTCCCGACGAGGCCGACCAGGCCGCCATGGTGGCTATGCCGACGACCTCGGGGCTGGCCGACGACGAGTCCCCTGACGATTCTTTGGAGGTTTCGGCAGGCGTGTACTTGACGCCCGAGCAGTTGACTGACAATATGGTGACGCTGTCGAGCCAGCCCAAGGCCAAGTGGCAGACGCTATTGAATCTGGCCACAATCAAGAAGCGCAACCGCCCGACTGAGGCTCCCAAGCAGCCCGAGCAGGCGCCGTTCTTTTTGCCTACCGTCGAGGGCGTTGAGCACCGCTTCGACCTGGAGGCAGCAAATGATGCTGGGCAGGCCGAGCCGCAGTCGCGCACCGGTATCTCCACCGCCAATGTGCAGTCGAAGCTGGCCGTGGCATTGGCCCGGGCTGCCGAAACTGGCATCTATGCGCCGGTGTTTGATTACCTGAAGACGCTGAATCCGGCGGCGGCTGATCTGGAGATCCGCACGCTGCCGCTGGACGATGGACTGGTGGCTATCAAGACGTTCCTGCGCATGATGCAGGCTCAGTTGCAGTCCAAGCGCGACTTTGAGCTGGCGCAGGCGTACCTGCACGTGTTCCTGGGCGTCTTTGGCGATGTGCTCAAGGCCAATGCCAGCGAGGTCGCCGATGTGCTGGGAGACCTGCGCAGCGAGGGCAAGGCCCAGTGGGGAGCCGTCGACCAGCTGATCCGGTACTCTGCGTGCATGGTGGACTACATGCGCTCCGCAAAATAAACAGCAATCTCTTGACAAATCTATTAAAGAACATTTCAGGCTTTCCTGGGCCGGGTGCTGCCAAAGTAATGCACCACCAGCTCGTACGACAGGAACATGATGGCAGCATTGGGCACCGTCCGGAGCAAATGCGTGGTCAGCCCGCCGTAGAACCCGCGCATGCCCTCTTCGGCGAAAATAATGCGGGCCGAGTTGACCAAGCCCGTGTACTTGACTTTGCCCTGGGCGTCGGGCGGCTGCCGTAACCGCGTCCGCATAACCTCATGCGGATACGTACCCACCGACGCAACCTAGCTTGGCCGACGCCGCTGCGCCAAAGTACTCGAACCAGTCATACAGGGTCTTGGCGCCGCCGTTGGGCTTGCGGTCATTCAGGGTCTTCTTGATCTGCTCATACACCACCCACTGGATCGCCGACTCGGACACCCCCAGATACGCCGCGCTCGTGCCCTTGTACAAGCCCAGCCACCCCTCATTGCGCACTATGCCCAAAAAGCACTCCAGGCTGTTCTTGTACTGGCCCGGCTGCAGCTGCATGCGCGTCTTGACCATCCAGATCGGATTCGTCGCCGTCGTCGTCGCCACCCCGGCAATACAGGCTGCCGCCAAATGCACCAGGGCCGTCTCCTTCCCATTGTTGTATTGCGCCAAAATCCGCTTGCCGTTGCCGTAGGCGAAGAACTGGATTGCGCGCGCCGGGATTATGCCTGCCAATGCCGGTCCCAGCCCGGCAAACCACCCCTTGATGCCCTCGCGCACATACAGCTGCTTCAGAACCTGGCCCGTCTGCATGAATGGCTGCGCGAGCCGCCGGAGCACCGGCTGATTGTCGGCCGATCGCCGCACCCCCGATAGCTGCTGCCGTGTGCGCAGCACGTCCAGCGGCGATGTTATGATGGCGCCGGCCATCCCCCCCACTCCTCCGGCCACAAAGTGCAGCCAGGGCTCGACGTGCCGCTCCACTGCCACCGGCATATGCTTGTTTGGCGTCCGAGTCGCCGCTTGTTGTGTCACTGCCGCTGTCATTTCCAAAACCCCTGGCCGTTAGTATGTGGTAATATGCAGTATACAAAATAAAAATTAAACAGGCGAAAAGTGGAGACAGGAGACCGGCAGCAGCCGCCGCTCCGTTTTTCTCTCGCTATTAACCACCGCCTCGTTAATTATCGAGCACAAAATATCGCTCCCCTGCTGACCCTAATGATTGATCAGAAGTTCAAAACGGAAAATTTTTTGTGCTCTTTGACCACCCAACTGTTTTTGTTGTCTGAGGTGATGGGAGGCAGGGGAACCGCACTGATCAGTGTGGCAGTGCGGACAGTGCGAGCAGCGCCAGTTCTGAAGCGGTGCCAGTTCTGAAGCGGTGCCAGTTCTGAAGCGGTGCCAGATCTGAAGCGGTGCCAGATCGCTCAGCGACGACAGGACGGGCCTCGCAGCGAGTTCCTGGGAGATCTAACAGTTTTTTTGTTTGTGGACATGGATGTGAGAAGTCAAATCCCGGGTTTGTATTCCCTTGAAACACTGACAAAAGAAATATAAAGCTAGAGTCCGATTCCTCGATACACTTGCCCACAGAGAAGCGAGCAACGAAACAAAAACCAGAGAGCAAAGTCGCCGATCCGATCCGATCCAAAAACACACGCTTTAGATGAGGGCTACATGAGAACAGTGCTTCAGTTAGTAACGTACCACAGAGATCACGCACCGCCAACAATGCTCTCGTATATATATGGAACTTACTGTCGTAGGGGATGGCAGTCAGAGGTGGTCGGCTCGTTGTTCAGGGTCGAGACGTGGCGGGCCTCACGGGGCTGAGCGGGCTGGCGCTTGAGGTTGATCTTCTCGCCCTTAGCGACGGCGGCCTTCTTGGCGGCGGCGTTCTCCTTGACACGGCGCAGGAAGTCGTCACGGCACTTGGAGTGGTGGACGTGCTCAATGCGGATGTTGACACGCTTCTCCATGTAGCGGTTACCGACCTTCTTGTGGACAATAATACCGACGGCCGACTTGGTGACGTTGTACACGACACCGGTCTTACTACAGAATTCCATGCCATCGCGCACTGGTTAGCCCTCTGCCTGCTGATCCGCACTCACACACAACTGGCATATGCACATCGGCCTTTTGCTTTGCCTTTTTTCGATACGTTACCCGTGGTAGAACTTGTGGGGCATACCCTTCTGGACGGCACCGTTGCCCTTGATGTCAACGATATCGCCGACCTTGTAGACCTTCAGGTAGGTCGAAAGGTGGAGCGGACCATGCTCACGGAAGTTCCGCGAGAACATGTAGCGGGTACGAGCGCGATAACCGAACGAGTGAGGCATGGCTACAGGGTCGTTAGAATGTTGTGTTTAGCAGGGCATGTGCCGCGATCTAGGATAAACAGCTGCAGGTCCAGCTACGGCACGGAGTATATGCTTCTGCCTCAGACTGCTGCGTCTACTACATTTGCCCTTGACGAAGCCCTCGCTTCGCAGACGCACGGCAGCCAGTGGGGAGGGCTGTGCCTGCTGCTCTCACCCCCACCACCTCGTCGAATTGGGCGCTCTCAAATCAGAATCACTTTCAGCCAGACTGGCTGTCTTCTGTCGTGTGCCGCGCCCCACCCACTGTCGCCGTCCTGCGACTTTAGTCTCCCAGAAACAACCCGCCCGTTTGAAATCTGTTCGCCACAAACCCGCGGGTACGCGCCCAAGCCTGAGGCAGGTCGACAAAACACAGGAGCCTGGTCTTCCAGCCAGGCAGGGGCGGCAGTGGCCCACGCATAGCTTCAGAAAAATGCCTTCTTTACCTTCTTATGTTTCCTTAAATTTTGAAAAAAAGGTTCAACGGCTATGAGCACAGAGAAGTGGAAAAGGAGGTTCTTAACCGCCGGCTTGCGACGCTAAACTCTCTTAAGGGCGCCTGCCTCAGGCCCATGCTGGGGCTTGGGTGAGGAAAATTTTTAGCAACGCCCGCTGCGACTATTTTTTCCCCCACTGCAAGGCCGCCAGAGCCGCAAGAGAGGAAAAAACTTTGGCTTGGAGCCGAGTGGGCCGGGTGATCCCTACAGTTTCCGCAAAGGCTGTGGGCCAGGCCCCCCGGACACAATTCACGTGAAACACCAACTTTTCCCGTGACCGCCGGCGGCCAATGGGTCGTGCGCGGTGATCTTGATCTTAATCCTGTCCCTAAAGCTGCCGGGGACCAGCGCGAAAAAAGCTTGCCCGCGCTGAAAATTTCTGCTTGCACCCCTTCCCGCGGCCAGAGCGAGCGTGGGCCACGCCCGCAGAGCGCACCTCGCCGGGCCAAGGAGGCGTCCCTCAATAAAGGCGGGTATGCAGCAGCCCAAGTGCAAGTTTCACCCTCTTTTTTCTTTGCACGCCTGAGGATTATTTACTTTGGTACCGTAAACGTAGACCATGCCTCCCAGAAACTGTATTTCGACGGTGTTCTAGTATGTTCCCGCCTGTAACCTTTGCCTGTGAACTTGCCCTTGATACGAACCCACCACGAAAGAGATGCTCAGCAAGGCTCTCTGGACACGAACGAACCCTACGGGCACGTCCTTCTAGCACAAGGCTGCCCATGCTATGAGACTTTTAGGGAAGAAGCTAGGGCGTTTGCGCCAACTTTGCAACGGTTATCTTGGCCAAGAGGGGAGACGGGGTGGCCGCGACTTTGGAGCACACACGCGAGGGACTCACATACTGGATGGGCAGACGCACATGGAAGAGATAGCCACGGGCGTCTGACGGTGAGGGCATTGCCTGGCTGCTGTTGTCTGCACATCGCACTGGCCTGCTTGCTGTGGCTCCCGCAAGGGGAGGGCATGGGGGAGTGAGATATAGTATCGCTCGGCGGAGTGTCGCTGAGACAAGCGGAGCGATCTGTTCTTCTCTTCCTAGCCCTCTTCGTGCTGCGAGCAGCAGCTTGCGCCGTGCGTGAAGCAGTCGACGATCAAGGCAGGACTGGCAGCTCTCTCGGTCCCGTGCATTATGTGATCCCCGGCGTGCTCTAGCAGTGCGTGATGTAGTCGTGTGGCCGCTTCCTATCTCCTCTTTTCCTGGTGCCGTGCCGCAGTTGGCGTAGCCCGCAATAAGGCTCCTTCACCTCGCATCCCCCTTTTTCTTTTGCATACTGTAGACTCGAAGAACTACAAGGTTCCGCGCAACCCGTTCGAGAAGGAGCGTCTCGACCACGAGCTCAAGCTCTGCGGTGAGTACGGTCTCCGCAACAAGCGCGAGATCTGGCGTGTTGCCTACACCCTGTCGAACATCCGTCGTGCCGCCCGTGAGCTGCTCAAGCTGGACAGCAAGGACCCGCGTCGTCTGTTCGAGGGTAACGCCCTCATCCGCCGCCTGATCCGCATCGGTGTGCTGGACGAGTCCAAGGCCAAGCTCGATTACGTCCTGTCGCTCAAGGTCGAGGACTTCCTGGAGCGCCGCCTCCAGACCCAGGTCTTCAAGCTCGGTCTGGCCAAGTCGATCCACCACGCCCGTGTCCTGATCCGTCAGCGCCACATCCGCGTCGGCAAGCAGGTCGTCAACGTCCCGTCGTTCGTCGTCCGCCTCGACTCGCAGAAGCACATCGACTTCGCCCTGAACTCGCCGTTCGGTGGTGGCCGCCCCGGCCGTCTTGCCCGCAAGCGCGCAAAGTCTGCCGCTGCTGGTGGCGAGGAGGAGGACGAGGAGTAAATGCTCCCAGCCCCGCACTCGTAGCTTCAACACACGGTCCACCGGTCTTTTTTGTTGGCTCATCTCTACCGATTTGCCTGTCAAATTAAATACGCTGTTGTATGTGATGTTTACGCTTCTGGTTTCTGGCATATGAAAAGAGCAGCTGTGTGTTGCAAATCGTACATGGGGCGCTGGGTTTCTACCACCAGCGTCTGTGCCATATGTGACTTGCCGTCGCCCCCGAGCGGTCCCAGTGTTCGGTGGCGGGCGGGGCCTGTGCCGGCTAGCAATGGCATGCGTCCTGGCCGTCTGCCGCAGCGAGGTTAGTCGCAAGAGCCAGCCTGTGGGCCGCTCTCGCTCGGCTGCTGGTCAAATCGCCATGCAAGCGCTCCACATGGGCTCCAAGCGATGGACATTTCATATCCGACATCGCTCAAAATGGACGCTTGGATCAACAATGGCAGAGCTGGCAATGAAGAGTGCCAGGCCACGCTCTCAGCGCTTTTATAGGGCCGCCATGCCTATAGCCCCAAACGCAAAAAAAAGGAAAAAACACGAGCCAGCCTGGCAGCGAGGTTTCAGCAGATTGTTTTTTTTTTTTTTTTTCAGTTCACTTGCCAGGCTTGTATTTTTTCGGTCTTCTTTTCCACATTTTGTTACACCTTTTTTCCCAGTCATCTTTGCGAGGTTCTATTCTTTTTCCATCCCACCAAAGAGGTTAGTTGCAAGCTTTCGCCGTGAGGAGGAGGGGGCGGTGCGAATTCCCGAGACGCGTCTGCTGAATCTCGAGCGAGGCGGGGAGAGGACGTCCACATTTGCCCAGCCCTCTGGGAGCACACGGAACAGCCGGCGCTGCTTTTCTGTATACTCGCCTCCTATATTCGCAATTCGCCTTTGCAGCAAGTCCCGAAACGGGTTTACTTGCCGAAAAACACAAACCTCCCGGACGCAGGAGGAATTTCAACCTTGTTTGCCCTCATCTTGTTACCAGCACACAAATTCCTCACCCAGACATTTTGCTGAAAAAGGGCGTCTTCCCTGTCGGAGCAGTATTACCTCTGCCCTCCCTCTACTCCGTTCATACTTTTTTGTGCATATACAGTCGCAGCCTCTAGTACGTCCCCCTCCTGCCAATTCGCACTCGTTTCTGCTCCGTGTGCTGGGGCTGTTGAATTTCGAGCAGCTGCTCATCTGGCACGCCGCGCGTTCAGCATAGCCCGTGTTTACTAAACGCTCCCATGTTTGTTAACTGGTGTAGGCTCTTTTGTCGTTAAACTCCTCCTCCTTTTCTCTTGGACAACAAAAAAAAACGTAGCTCACGAAATGCAGGCCATTAAATGCGTGGTTGTCGGTGACGGGTAAGACTCTAGGGCGACAGTTTCAGAGATGTAGCGCGATACGTACTTGCTAACATGCCATGCTACTACATTCCTTGTGCCCATGTATAGTGCTGTTGGAAAGACCTGTCTTTTGATCAGCTACACCACCAATGCGTTCCCTGGCGAATACATCCCGACAGTGTAAGTGCACCCCCGCCCTGGCTCATCCTGTTTGTTTTTTTTTGCAACGGTTTTTACTATCAGGCTCCTTTTGGGCGGCTGACAAGACGGGTGTGTGGATTTGCGCCAATCAACAACACACATACTTCGCGCTTTCCTCTCCTCCCGTTCATTTCTGCTCCTCCCTTCCCCATCTCCTGCAATGCACGTCCAGCGCGCATCCCAACCTAGAAAAGCAAAACATTGGTGTTTACCGGGTTTGCCATCGCTATCCAATTCTGGCCATTTTTGTGGTAGTGCTGGGTATATGCGATGCAAGATGCTCGAGGTGTGATATCTGGTGTCTGATACCCAATACCTGATGTCTGATACCTGGTGTCTGGGGTCTGATGTCTGATGCAAAAGAGGGGGCTCCACCATGGAACCGTGTCGTTATCAGACGCGCCCTGGTCAGCTACCGGCTCCGGTGTGTTTGTGTGTGCTCGCGCCACTCGGGCCATCATTGTCCGTAGGAGGGGTTTCCTGCTTCGTGCAGATTTCTACAATCGCCCACATATTAATGCTCTTGTCTGCGCTGCCGTTGCCGCTCTTGATAGATTCGATAACTACTCGGCTAACGTCATGGTCGACGGCAAGCCCATCAACCTGGGTCTGTGGGATACGGCCGGCCAGGAGGATTACGATCGTCTGCGCCCACTGTCGTACCCGCAAACCGACGTATTCCTTGTGTGCTTCTCGCTGGTGAGCCCGCCGTCGTTTGAGAACGTGCGGACAAAGTGGTACCCGGAGGTCAGCCATCACGCGCCCAACATCCCGTGCATCCTGGTGGGCACGAAGCTGGATCTGCGCGAGGACCGCGACACGATCGAGAAGCTCAAGGAGAAGCGGATGGCCCCGATCACGTACCCGCAGGGCCTGCAGATGGCAAAGGAGATCCGCGCTGTGCGCTACCTCGAGTGCTCGGCTCTGACGCAGAAGGGCCTGAAGAACGTCTTCGACGAGGCCATCCGCGCCGTCCTCGTGCCGGCCCAGCCCGCAAAGAAGGCGAAGAAGTGCCTGATCCTCTAAGTTTACAATACATGGGTACAGACATCTCCGCTTCGTTTCTTTCTCTTTGCTTTGTTTTCCATACCGTTTCGTTTTCTTTTTACCCTCTCCTTTCTTCCTATCTATTCCCTCTATTTTTACCCCTTTCGCATTTTATTAACCACAGGGTGGAGCCTTTTTTCTTTTGTCATTATTAGTGTTCTGGAAGGGCCTGACTCGATCTTTTTTATGAAGGGGGCGAGGTAATGTAATAGAAGCCGTGTTCACGCACATCGACATGTCATGTATATGATCACGTTACATATTGCGCTCCCTCGCCACCACGCCGCTGCCAGCACCCTGTGGGAAGCTCATAAATTGCTCCCTAGCCTTAAAAATAGCACCTTATAGCCTTTCCTCGTTTCTTCACCGCATGCCTTATCTCTTCCCTGCTTATTTTGCCACTCCCTCTGGCCCATTTGAAGCCCAGACGACAGCGACGACGGTAGCTCCTATACCTGTTTCTCTCTAAATTCAATACGACCTTTATTCTACAAAAGCGAATACGCGAGAGCCTCATGCACAGTGTTTGAAGAAGCGGAACATGGATGCAGTCTTCGTAATGTACTTGCGCAGCACATGGCTGAGCAGCTGATCGGCGTCTTCCCGCGCGCCTGGGAAGTCGTGCACCACGCCACGCCACACACACTGGTGCAGCAGACGGGCCAGATCAGCACCCTTTATGACCCGGAACACCTTCGGCAGGTGCTGCATATCCTGCCACCTGCTATCACTGGCATACGCACGCACGACTGCGTCCACAAACGTGCATGTGAATTCAAGGTCGCGTGGCCGTCTAGTGGCAGGTACTCCCAGCGTGCCGTTCCACAGCACGGCCAAGGCAATCAGCAGTGCGCTGGCAATGCGCTTCGCAGCCAGGGCCCCTGCCGGCGCATCGCGCAACATTGCCAGGATCGTCCAGTTGAGGTTGGCGTTGTTGCGGCAGTCCAACAGCAGCTCCATTTCTACCGCCCGCAGCTGAAGTTTGCCGCCCTGTAGCCGCCCGTCCAGCAGCATAGGCGGCGCACTTGGAATGCTTTCAACGTAAAACTCCTCGATCAGCTGTGCCAGCAATGCCATGCCCGAGGGTGATGACTGCGCAACCGAGAGCAGTGTGAGCACCAATAGAGGCTGTCCGCCAGTATTTCCATTGGCAGCCGCGGGCTTGACAAATTTCCAGGCGTCGGATGCCCGGTCGTGGTTGAGGGCAATCCCGCTGCGGGGGTACTTGGGTGCCGGACGCACAGAGTTCTGCCACAGCATGCGCTCGCCAAGCTCCAGTGCCTGCTCGCCATCGGTACCTCTGCTCGACACGGCAGCACCCTCCAAGAGCTTCTCGAGCTCATCTATCGCATCATGGCAGTTCTCTTGGCCATCGCTGCTGTCAGTGTCGGACGCCTCCAGCAGACCCTGCGTGATCTTTTCTAGCACCACGCGCTCCAGCCCGCGGTCCCCCTTGATTAGACATATGGTTAGCATGACTAGGTTTCGAACCAGGCCCAGGTCGTCTTGCTTCTGCGTCCTTTGCAGCTTGGCGAGCTGGTCCAGCGCGCGCTCGGCCAGTACCAGCTGATCTGCAACCCTTAGCGCTCCTGAGACTGCCATATGTGCCATGGCGCGCACGAGGGCCCGCCTGGCACACATGTGCTGCTTCTTTACATCCTCAGGCACATCCGATGTTGTCAGTTCATTATCGCTGTGCGCTGCTGTGGCCACCGGTTCGCGGAAACATGCAGTCCATAGTGCCTGCCAGTGCACGCCCAGACAGCTGCACAGGTCGCTGATAATCGGACGCACTGATGCCAAGTCTTCAACTGTAGCAGGGCTCCTGGCAAACATATATTGATGTTCGGCCGCCGTCGCCATCAGATCGACAATGCGCACGACGCGCTGCGAGATCAGGACGTCTTTAGCCAACTGCTCTTCAAACATGCTCAAGAGATGGGTCAGGACGACTCCTCGGTGCATCTCGTTGATGGCCAGCAATGAGCGGTAGTATGCCCGGACACACATCGGATTAACGCGCTTCCTGTCAGTATGCAGGTGCAGCCGGTCGGTAAGGACCCCCACCAGCTTCCTGACCAACGCCAAGGTATCGAGCCGCGAACAGAACACTTCGACCAGCATTGGTGCAGTCTCGCACATCATCTCCAACAGCCGATTCGAGCATGCGCTGTTCTGGCCAGTTGCCTGGCCAATTTCCGATGTGGCCGATATCAGGCGCTTGAAGTGCTGCTCGACCTCAGAGTGCGTGAACGGCGTGATTGTCAACGAGCCCTTGGCCACAATACGCCCGTTCTTCTGCACCAGGTCTAGCAAGCCGTTGGGGATCGGCTGCGGCATGTTCTTTACGATCTTTGGCAACTGGCTGAGTACGATCAGCTCTTGCTCGCGCAGCAGCAGCCGTGCCAACGTTTCATGGCACTTGCCAATAAATGCCAGCAGTTCGGAGTGGCCGATTGCCTGATTCGTCTGCGCTGCTCACTAGGGTGCCAACAAACGACAGGACGCCCAGGACCCGGCCGTAGTCCATGTGCTGCGTTCCGGTCGCCTTCTTGTCGCGAGGTAGATCGCCAAAAAGCATCTCCACTGAATCGACAAGCGGGCGCATTGCCGTGCCGTCCTCAACAAAGGCGGGGAACCGCGAAAACTGGTTCTGCATCTCAAAGTTCACCATGTGGGTGAGCCACTGCCTGTCTATTCCAGTCGTCTCCTGGAGCTCGTGATCGAGCAGAACGGGCCTCTGGCCCTGGTGCGACTGCATCATATAGAATAGAATGAACCGGCGTGGGTCATCTTCAGGTATAGCCAATACGTTGTCGCTGGATATTACATCGCGATACACGCCCAGGATGTGTCCCAGCGCCCGTGAATTCTCTGATGGGAACTGCGTCGCCAAGTCGCGAATGGCCTTGGCCAAGGCTTCCAGCTCAGCTGACGACAGCGCCGGCTTTGGTATCTGCGAGATCGCAAACAGATACAGGCATCTTGGAAACGACTGCCGGTGCAGCATGCCATACATCTTCATGATCCATCCAATAGCGCGCGTATCCTTGTTCGCCGATAGCACGACCTCTACCAGCGCCGTCTCGGCAGCCTCCTCGCCCACTACAGCAAACCGACTTTCGACCGGCCAGCACCAAGACCTGCATCACCAGCCGCACGCTAGGCATGGTCGACATGTCCTCCAGTCTGCACGACCCAGCCTTCATGTCTGTGATTGACACTCCCACAGACAGAACAGTAACAGCCCACTTCACGACATCGCCTGTGTAATCGTCGTTGCTGGTATATAATACCTGCCGCAGGGAACGCACTTCTGTCAGTGTCTCGTGCGGGATCTCGGGCAGCGGCGCCATGCGCTGTCGCTTAGGGTTGAACTTTTTGCCACCGCGTCCCGGCACCTCTTGCCGCCGTTCCTCCCACGAATTTATGTCGGTCATTATCTGCGACTTTAGAATTGACGACAGTGCCTCCTAGGCGCACAGCCAGAGAGGGCGCCTCGCTGTTTGCACTCGCGTCCATGTTATGTCGTGTTCAAATGGTGATGGAAGCGTGCGATGAGCCTAGGCGGTAGTTTACAAAATGAGAAAAGGCTAAAAATGCAGTGAAAGGCAAAAAAAGAGCGAGTGCGGTGTCGTCGTCGACAGGCAGGGGCATTTTAGAGCCCAACAGCCACTGATCTGATCGGTGATCGGTGCCAGGTGGAGCAGAGTCGGCGCGTCTCAGTCTATCTGACAGCATAGTCTGTAGAATGCTGGTAAGATGTGTGTTTATTTATGACTTTGGCTCCGTGATAAAGTTAGTCAGCGCGTCTTCTTGCTGGCGAACGCTGTCGTAGGTCGGTGGAATATCCATGATGGTGCTGGCACCTCCCAAGTCCAGCGCAATAGACCGGATGTTGTTGTGCTCGTTTGAGGGATCCCATGCAACCGTGTTGTGGTGCTTCTTCCAGCGCTTGTAGGCGTAGAACATCAGCGCAACGCCAACCAATGTGGCCAGGGGCACACTGACTCCAATAGCGATTATCTGGTTTTTGGATGGCGAACTAGAAGAGTGGCTGGCCGCGGGTGTATCGGTTGTACCTGTTGAATCGGTTGAATCGGCTGAATCAGTTGACGTCGGTTTAGATGGCCCCGCAAAGCTGTTTCCGCCAGTCCCTATTTGAGAGGGGAGGAGCCCCGCTGAGTTCTTTTCATCAGCCGAGGTGGTAGTTGGTATTAGGCACCGTCATCCAGGCTTCGACCGAGGCATCACGCGCAAACAGATTGCCGCCATACACCTTAACGCCATCCGCTTTGGGATTCTTTGGCTCCTTCATGGCGTATGTTATGTTAGTGCTCATGGTGTTGGTTCCATTGTTGGAGAACGCACTAATGCCGTCGGGTACGATCTGCTGTGCCCAGTTCAAGAAGTTTGCCAGGATAGTGTAGTAGTGGAACTGCCGTGTGCTCCCGCACATTTTGTCGTTGTAGGTCACCGAGTGGCTGTATAGCGCCGTGGCCACCATATCGGTTTTAATCAGCCCGTATACAATGCTGTATGGCACAGCGCATATGTCCTTGATAGGTGGCGTCATCGTCTTGTTGTTGCACAAAAAGTCCTTCTTGTTAGCAGCATACAGCGTGTCTGCCTTTGTGCAGCCCTCACTAATGACTATATCCCTAATGGAGTCTGGTGTGTTCCAGGTCTGAGTAGTTACATTGCTGAGCGAGCGTCGTGCATACAGGTAGTCGGTGTTTTCTCCCGGAAAAGCATCGATGTAGCTCACCCACAGCTTGTTCGACTGGAGGTTGAACAAAACAACAGCAACGTTATTCGCGTACGACGGCGGTTCGAACTGGGGGTGGACTGTGATTCCCTTCACAGGGAATACACCAGGAGTTGGCATACCGCCAGAGTCCAGCATGACTGAGTATCGGGTGATGTTTTTGGCGTTGAAGTTTTTGTCGATGTCGATGCATGAGCCTGCGACCAGTCCAGCGCGGTTGGAGATAAGGGCGATTTCGCAGGACGTCTGCTCTCCGTCTTTTAACAGAACCGCGCCATGAAAGTCGTTTAACCTTTCTCTCATGCGCGCATTTGCCATTGGCAAGTCGGCATCTGCGGCACAGAAGCCAGCCAGTATCGACGCCAGCAAGCATAATTGTGCAGTCTTCATGGTGAAGGTGTCTAATTATATGAAAAACAAGTTTCCGAAGGGGTGGAGGAGAAATAACTAGGGAACTAAAGTAGGCCAAACCAGCAAGATAGTCCGCTGGTTCTGTGAAGCACAACTATATAAACTAGGGAGTTTACCCAGCTCCCTTGTCCCTATTCCGTGCTGTTGAAGCTGGCTGGATCCTTAAATTGGAAGGGCGCCAATATTCCATGCAAATCAGCTGCCTGCATATCATGGGCAACTATCGTTGCAGTCAAGTAGTGTGGTAAAAGGAGGATGGCATCGTGGCCTTTCGCCATCATGCATGGTGATATGCAATCGAGCAGATGAATGTCCACCGATACTAAAAATACTCAACGCGACTATCCCCCAACCACCAAACCACCATGCTTTGGTGCCATGCGGGTACCTGCACCTCATTTGTTTTTTGTTTTCCCTTTTCTAGGGCTAATCGAAAAGAACGAGTTCCGGCGATAGCGGAGAAAGCAACGATCCCGAGATCCATGCATATAGACCCCCACTATTCGATATGGTCGCTTTAGCGTGACAATGCATATAAAATCTGCCACACTAGTAGTGTCAGCTTGCCACACAGGGTTTGTGCTGTTGGCAGAACTGGTCAGACATTAGGTACAGGCAGTTCTAAAGCTAATCTACCACTCACAATTTATTGTTGACTACCCACTGGGTGAAAAGGAAAACGCTGCCGATATAATACACAGTATGGCGCCATGCCAAATACTCTGGATCAAGTGCCTTGGGAATCTCGTAGAGGCAGGCCAGTATGACCACAGTGAGCTCGATCGTGCGAAGGAAGTGGTAGGGAATTGACGCGTGCACTGTTGATTTGCGGGTGAATATCAAGATGAGAGTCGGAATGAAGATGACATAGAGGTATAGGTGAATAAATTGCTGCGTGTAGCCGCATAGTGATCGTATGAACGTGGGGATATACCACTATTTACCCTCCACAAGCTCTGGGACTGCAAAGTCGAAATGCGAGCTAGTATTACGGGCATAATCCACGACAGATGGCACGGCAATTACTAGGGGAAATACCTTTAATCCCAGGGGCAATGCTTTGAAGCAAGCGATTACCGCTTCGTTCTCCCCGGTTTCCTCGGTTTCCCTTGTTTCCGCTGTTTCCGCTGTTTCCTCTGTTTCCTCGTACTTCTGCTTCTCCATAGTAGGAAGAAGCAGCGTACTACCTCGATTCCCCGTGCTTTTGTTGGTTGCCTGAGAGCCAGCAAGACACCGTATGACACTAGCAACCTGTCTCTGAGGCAAGGCCACAAGGATGAATCTGATGAACCACCAGCCGGTGTAGCCGCCGAGAACAGCACTATACAACCCCGTGTTGTCTGTCCCAAAGACAAACTTATCAACCAAAGGCGACCATAGATGCTCAATGAAAAGGTACATCCTTAAGATGGGGCTGGCCCTTTTGCTGCTTGAGCAGGCTGATGTGAAATAGAGCCGGGCGATGTAGAGCTGCCGAAGGAGCCACAGGGAGAGGAGGGCGGGGTAAAGTGCAAGGAATATCGCTGTCGAGACCGCTGACTTGACCGTTGGCGAGCTGTAGTTAAAGTGCGGTATGAAGGGACGGCCCCAGTTCGTTGTCAGAATTGCGAGTACCTTGTAATTCCCGGTTTTGGGGATCGGCCCAGGGTTGAACCTTGAGCTTGTGCTTACGCCGCGTATTGTCATATAGATATCTACAGATGCACTGAATTCCTTGTATCCCTTCTCTGTGCCCTCATCTTTGGTTATAGGGAATACCTTGTAGGACAACTTAGGACCATTGCTCTGCGCAATAGACGGCAGGTACATGTTCATAGAACCAGTGCTGCCAGTTGTACTGTTAGACTTAAGCAAAGGACCGTGGACGGTAGTGGATCTGCGGTTGTGGTTTCGCGAATCATCATATGTATATACGTTGTCCTCAAGATGGATATCCCATATTGCCCGAGTATAAACCATCAGTCCTAACTGAGAGGTGCAGCGGCGCCTACTACCAGCCCCTTTCAGATTCTCCTCATCACAAGTGGTGTCCCATCTAGTGTATGCAAACTGGTTCTTACTAACACGTAGCTGGGGATCGCTGATGTTTGGGTACGGTGTGAACTGGCCAGCTTTCTGTATAAAAACACAGATGAATTTATCATCTGTATCAGCCAGATTCAGAGTCAGGTGCTTCTCGAAAAATGGGTACCGATTCACCAGGCTCTGCGGCTCAACGTGCCAGACCTCGGTGGCATTCTGGAAGAACGTTTCGGGCCGACTCGAATCGTACGATTTGTTGTTGATATATACTTTGGCCTCATAATGAAATGGTTCCTTCCACGCGGGCCAAACAAGGTCAGCAGTTTCGTTGGCTGACGGAATAAGCTTAAGGGAGGCGACACTTGCAGGGGGAAGCACGAGAACTAAAAACGTTTGGATGCTCATTAACAGGGACTGAAGAAGCAGCCACCCAGCAAACGCAAGCACAACTAGCTGCACAAGTTTTGCAGCAGAGAGAATAACATTCATGTCCAGGAGCAATATGGAAAGTGATTGAAAAAAGATATGAGGAGAAGAGGTGGTCCTTGCTTGTCACCAACATTGGACATGTTGAAGATATTTGTCAGCTGCGGTACCGCAGCTTTGTTCGGCTGATCTACATGCATAGGTGACATATTTTTGGTGATTTCCTGCACTAGAAGTCGCTCGTTAATTAAAAGTAATCATGCTGATTTTCAGTTTTTGTTTGCTTCCGACACTGAGATGTACTGTGTGGTGTTCACATAAACGTAGCTTTGGACCGTGTTTGGAGGCGTGTCTTACAATTACACGCTAATTTTAGTGCTGTAGGTATCCTAGCAAGCTTCAAATTGCGATAGGCATACATGTATTAGGTTGAAAGCAGACACCACCTGATATTGCTACTAGGGAGCAAGAGTTGTGACTATTGGCACTTTTCGGTCTAGCTTCCAGCAGTTTAAAAGGATTTGTCTTTAACCACAGCATTACTGATAAGGTTTATATTGTCGGGCGATACCGTTCCTATTTCCGACACTGTGTGGCAATATCTTTTCTTTATCTTTACCTATATACAAGATTTTATAGTCTAAAAAGTGTCCGACCGTCCGCTAGAAATTATATAATTGGTTAAAAAAAAATAAAATAAAACTTTTAAGCTTCAACACGAGTTTGGGTGACTTACTCTATAAACTCCTTTTTGATCTTGTGCGGCATCTGACCTCATCGGTGAAACCAGGGTGACGAGTTGTTATTGTAGTGGTCACAGGTCTCCACTAGATATCTCCATTGGTTCAGCACAAGAGCTGCTCTCATTGTCGGTCGGCCTGATAACTTCCATGGCATCATCATGGTGGTCATCACCGGCTGCGCAACACTCTTAGGATATTTGTTTATGAGCACATTGAACAAGGCCATATAACTCTTCTAGCGGTCATGCAATATTTGTGGATTTATTTTATAAACTAATTTGTCTTATGAACATGTGTGAGCGGTAGTATTTGGGCCACAATAGACACAGTCTGTATAGACTGATTCAAGGGACTGTATCAGTGCTAAGGGCCCCAAGAACCATGCAAGCCAGATCATTTTTAATAAAAAGTTCTTAATGCTATGCATACGCAATAAAGCAAAACTGAACAGCATCATTTCTCTTCTTACTTTGCCTATTGAATTTCTCAAATGAACATTACCCGCAGCACTACTGCCATAAAGACATCACTTGGTGGTATTGGCTTCCGTGATTCTATGTTGCCCCGCCTAGAGCAATTTGTACACAGCGTCAATATCATCAAAGAGCATACATACATGCTTGCACGATGGATACTACTCCATCAGCTAGCTTACGATGATGCCTTTGACCCAGCAACATTTGTGAAAAAGGGTTTTTTTGTTTTATTTATTTATTCATTTATCGCAACCTGAAGGCGAAGACTGTCATATCTGCCGAGGATTTCGTCAACCGGAAGGACAAGTCAGAACTGTTAAGCGCAGATTTCGGTGATGTAGTTAGATACCATATTTATGATTATCTATTGCATAATGGCGATATCGAGCTACATGGTGTACGCGAAATGAATCAAGTAGCGACATACGTGGATACCGAGCTGATGACAGCATACAAGAACAACATTGTGTTGCACTATGGCACTTGCCTACAGCGGATTCTGGCCAAATTGATTGATATTCGCAACCGCAAAAACACACTGCACAGTACAATGGGCAATGTGTCCAAGGCTGAGTTCAATAATGCATGCCAAGTGTGTATTTATACACCTGCACAGAAGCTCCGCCAGGCAGTTGCCTCTAGGCACCCTGATCTCAGTGTGCTCACCCCACCGATGCTTGCAATCTACAACAAGCTGGCACCAGTCCTTAGTGCCTATGATGCCAAGTACAGATTCGCCAAAGACAGCCGATACTATGGTGCCAAGGTAAATCCACTTAAGCATCTGCGTGCATACATTCGCCTATGCCAGCTTATCGAGAATGAGCAGCTTGGCAAGTCTCCCCTCAATGCTTGCCTCTGCGGACATCATGGATCCCAGGCCATGTGCGCTTAGACAAGCAAATAATCAAGCAGGTGTTTGTTTCGAAAACACGTGAGGAGGTTACCAAGATCAACGCAGCAAAGAGGGCAGCAACAGAGGCAAGGAAAGCAGCAGAAAAGGGCGAAAAATTGGCCAAGAAGGCTGCACGCGAAGCAGCGAAGATGCCATCAGATGAAACAGAGGCCACTGCAGCAACTGCAGCAGTAGCGGCTGATTCGCTTGCTGCTGCATCGGCGGCAGCAGCAGACACTGTTGCAGCACTTAACAATGCATATGCACCAGCACCCCCAGTCTGTGCACACGACCCGGTCCAAGGGATCACACAACCTGTGTGGGATGTGTGGGGCTGGGTCGCAGATCTAACATCAAAGCCATTTAAGGTGCATGGTGACAGAAAATTCCACGGAATGGCGACAACAGATGATGTAACGATATGCATTCTGTTACAAGACAAGGTACCTAAGGCTGATGGTGCAGGAGGCAATGCTGTGGGAGGCAATACTATAGCTGACTGTCGCTATATCCACCAGATCCCACAGCCAGAGCTGCAGAATCTGAAAGGCCGCTGTGTATTCATCGATCCAGGTCGGGGCGATTTGCTATACATGATGCACGAAAATAGCAGCAATGGGAAAGAGGGTGAGAGAATGCTCTACCGCTACACACGGCAGCAGCGCAATAAGGAGCTCAAGCTGCGTCACTATGACAGGATTCGTCGGGCTACAAAGGATCAAGTCCCAGAAGATGCTGTCCGCAGAGCAGAGGCAGAGCTTTCCAAGCACTGCTGCCGGACCCTTAGCCCAGCAAAATTCCGTGCCTACGTTGCTGCCCGTGCATCTGTGCGGTGTGTCCTAGCACCGTTTTATGCCAGCACGATGACAGCGCGAAGGTTACCAGAGCAGCAGCCCACTGAGTCAAACAAGCAGCACCAAAGGCGCTGGAAGGCCCATCCAGGTGTCAGTACCAGTCCCAAGGTGTGCCCGCTTCACCGCAAGCTGCGCCTTGATTCATTCATGAACCAGGCCCGTGCAGACCACAGGCTTGCCGCGAAACTCCGGAGCAAGTTCGGTCCAGATCCAGTGCTGGTCATGGGCAATTGGAGTGCGCCGATGGCCCGACACCATGCGCCGATTCGTGGCAAGGGATGGCGCGACAAGTTCAAGCATCATGGCTTTGAAGTCTATCTGATCGACGAATTCCGGACATCGTCGATGTGCCCGTTCTGCTGCGAAAAGTCACTGCAGACATTCCGGCATGTTCCCAATCCGCGGCCCTACCAGAGATCGAAGAACCCAACTGTGAAGTGCCATGGCCTTCTCCGCTGTACAAGCGAGTCATGTAAGCGGGCCATGGCACAATACAGGCGAGCCTATTCGTCTCAGCTCTTGAACCGCGACCTCGCAGCAGTTCTAAACTTCAGGCTCATTTTCTAGTCACTCTGTGATTCAGGCAGTATTCCTGAACGGTTCCATCGCTTTACGGCCATTGTTGCCAATGCTTCTGGCACCACCCTGGCAACAAAGAGGTCGCGCAAGAGGCGTGCAGCAGCAGGCGATTCTGTTGCCAGTAGCAGCGAGCCAGCGCTGAAGCGCCTGCGCTGAGCAGGCCACCAAGATGGGAGATGTCCATGACTGCCATTGCACCAACAGCCATCCAACACGTTCAAATGACCGGTTTGCCGTGATGCTCTTATCGGCATGTCAACCCATGCTGACTAGCAGCCGAGCTCGCATCGCGAGCAGAGCAATTCTAGTAAAGATGCAACAAGCACATCGTTGCAATGTTAACTATTTAGCTATATCCACTCTTAGGCAGTTCTTGTCATTTTTCGGCCTACCCTTTTGGTACAAATTCAATTAATTAATTCAGCATTTATAACGGTACTCTCCTATTCTCGAAAGGATATGATGCAACTATGTTTTAGTTGAACAAGAAATATAAAAGTAAAGTTGTGAATTTATAAACCCATTCCTGAAAGATTTACTGTGGTTCACTATACCAATACCAATGCCTTGGGATGATCTGAGAACTGGGTGCGTAGCGGGCGGGTGTCATAATTGAAGGAGAGGGCAAAGGAGCCGGATTGTCCTTGTGTCAGCCAACGATTTTATCGTGTCTCTTAATCCCTATTAAATCTTCAATTGTTCTAAGAACCAGCGGGATAGTGTTTGGGAAGTCTGACATATGGTGGATATTCTTGTTTGCTCCGCTCTAAGCTCTCATATTGATCAACAGCGCTCGTAGGTACAGTGTAAATATCATCCTCTCTGTGTATACGAATCAGCTGAGTCTTAGTTCTATCTATCATTCGCAGCTGATCTTTCAGCAAGTGTGCTGTCCGATCCTGTGATGTTATGTTGTTGCTGTTCATTCCTTAAGCAATAGAGTAAATTTGGTATAAATCTCGCTAATAGTGTGGTCAACCTACCGATACAGTTGACGTTTTATATATCGCTAGGCATTTGTAGACTTTCACATTTTTCTAGTCATATTAAGGAACATGTTTTAAATTTATGAGCTAAAAATACTTCAATCAACAATAGAAAGATATTAAACTGCAATAGATTCGGTACATATAAACTACCTTCGCAGCCGTGTCCTCAATACGGGTTCACACTATTAGAGAGGCCAATAAGCTTAAAATAGCACTAACTACAAAATAGTGAAAGGAAATGCCCGGTCTACATGAAGTCAACACCCTGATTCACATTAAACATTGCTGTCAACAATACAATTGTAGTGAGTAAACAGCCAATTTATCGACTAGAAAAGATACAGGCTAGGGCATCGAGATATGGCGTGGCAGGACTATCTCGATGAAACTAATGTGTTTGACTGGACTACATAGTGCGGTCCAACCGACTCTGTATACCACAAAGAACTCCACAGTCACTACGGATCGTTAACATGAAACCAATATTGCTGTTGTTCCTCACAATAAATCTAGTGATTTTATGGTGGGAATAGCCTCTGCTATTTATAGTCTATTCAGGGTTATTCCAGGCCTAAAATAATGGTCAACCTCCACAAATAAGCGCACCGAGACGTCTAACAGGAACCGTTCCACATTGGCTCTGAATACATCCGCATATTCCGTGTCAACAGCAAAAATCTTGAGCGCTGGTAGGAAAAGCAGTAGCTTGGATAGAGACTCTCCGTCAAAATGATTTGGAGTGTCAATAGCGAAAACTTGCAGACTGCTGTTGATGGCTTCGATGCTCCCTGCATCTGGTGGGCCATCCAAGCAAACAGAGTCGACAACAGTTGGTTCAGTGGCAGAGCGGATATCAGCCTGTCGATTGCTTGATCCCCAGAAATAACGCATCAGGATTACGTGGATCCATCGAGATACATGAAATTCGGAGATACTTCAGTAGAGTTAACTGCTTCAACAGACGAACGATGCGGGTCACAGTGACCATATCTGTGGACAGCGACAGACACGCCAGATTGTGCCAGTTGATGTGTGCTGGGAAAGGTAGTGCTATATCCAAAACAGCGCGACGTACGGCTGAATCTGCCGGAATAGAAGCGGGTTACAAAGTGCGTAGGGTCGTCCCACCAGTTTCCTTCGTCAGGTTTGATTGTTTCCAGGTGTAGACAGTCGATGTTGCGGATGATCTCTGTGTTGATGTGCGCAAGTGCACGGTGGTTCTCATTAATCTGCAGTAGTCTCAGTGGGCGCATCGCGGAATGCGGAATACAGATCTCGGTAAACGCCAGCAGACCGACTAATCATCAGTTCTGACAGCCTTGGGTATGAGCATACGAGTCGGGCAGGCAGCTCTGGGTCCTGCTCTGAGGATTCTGGCACCTTTTTGAACCCAAGTTGGAGAACCTTCAAGTTCTGGAGTGCGGGGAGCGCAGTGTGTCTCAGATTGAAGACCGATAAGTGGTGTCTGTCGGCGAATGTTGGTGAGCTTTATCGTTTCCAGTGTGGCGATATCAGAAATTCCCATATGTTCAGGTCGGTTTATGCGGTCCAGGTCAAGCTCTAGCGTGGTCAGATGGAGCGCTACCGGTTGGTGGAGGATCAAAGTGGCCGGTATGTGCACTCTAGAGATGATAAAACTCAAAGTATATCTGAAGGAGAAGCGAATAACCGTGTGATATGGTATAGTTGAAGGATTGAGGAATGTTAGCGGCATTGAGAGTATCAGAAACGTCGGCACGGGGTGAGAGGATGGTTGGACGTAGTATAATGGACTCCAGGCTTTTGTAGTTTGGCCGAATAAAGTTGCAGAAGCTCATTGCATCAGCATGCATGTCCGGCGTGCGGCTGTCAGTTCCTGATCTGAGAATGCCTCTGCCGAAGAACTGGAGAGTTCTGAAGCTGGTCAGTGGTGGAGATGTGAGACCAAAAACCAGAAGCGCGTTTGTGAGTTGAAGTGGACCGGTGTAATCGTCGTTCATGACAACGCGCAAACCAGTTGCCAGACAGGACTTTTGTTGGTATCTGATAGAGGTGATGTTGGAAAACCACACCACCCTCTCGACCGGTATGCCGTGGTGCTCAGGATGAACAACAGTTATCCTTCCGCTGGACGAGAACAAAGTGGTAAACGAACGATGGCATAAGAGCTCCCCAGAGGCGACACACGGTGGCAATATCCATAGCCCTGCTGTAATCGTCGAGGACCGCATACTCGTGGAGGATATCCCGGAACAGAAAGCCGAAGACAGTGTGGAGAATGGTGGCAGGCAAGTCGTTAAAGTGTAGAGCAGACATTCGTAAGGAAAGGCTGGAGGGTGCTGGAGGAAAACTGAAGGATTCCAGCGCACTCCATGGCGGATACCTGGATTTTTATACTCTTTCTGGAGCGCTGGACGAGGGCAGTCTCGTCTCCCAGACATGGCAGCGACATGGGTCCTCCACGGCGAGACATGTATCGGAGTGGAGCAAAAATGTACAAAACATGGTGGAGACGTAACGTCTAACCCTATGGCCATCGAGGAAACAGTGCCGTGGGAGCCGAATTTTTATGCGGTCATGCACGCATGCAGCATGGGGCCGAGCCATGTGAGGCTTTGCAGGGTGGAAAGGAGTGCGAACGCGGACAGGTGTCCGCCGTGTTCGTGGTTGAGCGATAGATCAGCAAAATTAAAAGGGGTCAGTCCCTTCCTTTTTTGTCGGTTTTAGAGTAAGACGAGTACTGGTGCTCTCCCAGCGAGCATCGGCGGTTGCACATGCAGCCCATGCAGTCAAGTGCTCCAGAGTCAATGTACTGCGGCAGTGCTCTCTTGTTCAAAAGCACAGCTGGCTGTCTATCCTTCCAATGTACCCATGACCGCAAGACTCATGGGTCCATAGCTCTGTCATGTTTACAGGCTGCAAGAAGGATTCGGAAATGGGCAGGCAGGCAGTATAGTGCATTGCTGCTGCTGATGTGCGGATGGCCCTAGAAGCTCTGATCAGGTTGCCCTTATTAATTTGGAATACATGCTAGAGCAAAACAATGTCTGCCTGGAATCGGAATGTGGGTTGCAGGAAACATATATCGTAGCTGTCAGCACTACCTGTGCGCTGAAACTCGGAGATCAGCTGATATACAGAGATTGTACTAGATAGGCGACTTGTGGAGACAGTGTTGGACCATGATACCTTCAAACATAATGTCTTCAATTGACCTTCTGACCTTGAATAACCGCTGGTGTCACTGGCCACGATTCATTTTATTAAATTGTACAGTCTGCTCCTTGTTAGTAGTTGCGACCACTGCATGTAATGTAGTGAAAGAGAGCTAGTTCGTTATTAGCGACATTTGAATAGACAGCTTGAGGAAGAGGCTAGGGGCTGGAGTTTGAATGATCAGATCGGGCGACTGATCAGGAGAAGGACAAAGGAACTTGTGGGGTCAGACATTTCTGTCACAGGCATTGAATAATGTAAGCGTGGGACCATGGCTGCAAAGGATGCATGGAGATTGCATCGTGTATGCAGATTTCAGCAGGATATGTTTGGAATGTGATGATGCATATGGCAGCTCGGCTTGTGCATAGCAGGTGTCGGCTCCGGGGTGTTGTGTAATCCGCCCACAACTATTCCCAGATGGGTATCTTATGAGCCAGTAAACTAGAGCGTGGGTTCCAATATCCGTCATAGCATGGGCAAGATATAGGGAGTATGGCAGCAGACACAGTGGAAATAGATCCCACAGAAAAGGCATTGCGATTCACTGAGGTCATTGCCGTAAAAGGCAAAGACCAGGCACATTGACAAATAAGGAGATCCACGCGACGGATTAGTTCGGCCAGTCCCAGAAAGCCGGGTGTTTTGAGCCTGAGGCGATACCACGACCATTCCAGCGATAGCTGGACTGATGAGCCAGCATCTATCACATGCCAATGAGAACGCTCTGCAGTCCAATTCCTATCCCAGCCTTTGAATCGCCCTCATGGCCAGAGGCCAGTGGATGGAGTCGGGATCAGGTGGCACTGGGTCATGCTGTGCAAAAATGCAGCGATCTACATGTCCACATGGGTGGATGACATACAAGCGCAGCGGCAGATACATGCATTTACTCAGGGACACGGACTTGGAAAGTACGTCCAAGGCGTGCTTTCTTGCTGGGTATCAGAAGCAAGTGCATCTACAGCAAGAGTACCAGGCGTGAATTAATGGACAGAACAAGTAAAAGGAAAAGGCAAACAGCTGCAAACAGGATTAGGCAAATCCCCACACGGCATTCGCTGTGGATGAGCTGGGGGAAGGCACTTTTCATTATTCAGCGGCCGAAACCAGGCCGTGTGCAACGACGGCGGTCAATGCTTGGCGTAATTCCTGTGCATATAAAGCACGAGGGATCTGACGCATTCTTTGCCGCTTGGTCCTCCATTCACCTACACTTTCTACTTTCTAACCAATGGCCACAAGCACGATTGACCTTGAAAAGCAGGAGCTGGCTTTCACGCCAGTGTCGAAAATCAGCACTATAGTGGCAGACCTGCGCGGTGCATTCGCCGAGGACATAATGCGGCCGGTCAGCTACCGCAAGCAGCAGCTGCAGGCGCTGCTGGAGGGTGTGCGCCAGCACTCCGACCTGCTCGCCCAAGCACTGTATCTTGACCTACATCGGTGCAAGGAAGAAGCACTGCTCTACGATATCCAGGCTGTGGAATTCGAGATCGGGCAGGCACTAGCCAACATCGACACATGGGTTAGGCCAGAGCATAATCGGCTGGCAAGCGACCAGACAGGGTTCCTGACGAGCTCGATGGAGGTGCGCAAGGAGCCGCTGGGCTGCGTGGTAATTATCAGCCCATGGAACTTCCCGGTGCGGCTGACGCTCCTGCCGCTTATCGGTGCACTGGCAGCGGGCAATACTGTGGTGGTGAAGCCAGTCGGAGGTGGCGCCGTACTCGGCCATGGCCATGGAGTACGTGCTTCGGACGAGCCTGGATGCACGTGTCCTGCAGGTGGTGCAGGGCGGCGTCGCCTGAGACCACCGAGCTGCTGAAGCAAAAGTTCGACCACTTTTTCTACACGGGCAATGGCGCAGTGGGCAAGATTGTGGCCAAGGCTGCCGCCGAGCAGCTGGCAGGTGTGACGCTGGAGTTGGGCGGCAAGTCGCCGGCAATTGTTCATAATGATGTGGCGGATTTGGGCCCGACGGCAATGCGGCTGGTGTGGGCAAAGCTCATGAATGCCGGGCAGGCGTGCGTGGGGCTGGATTATCTGCTGGTGCAGCGCTCGATCAAGGACAAGCTGGTGGAGCTGCTTACAGAGGTTGTGCACAAGGCGTACACGCGCACGCCGCAGAAGTCGGCCGAATACGGACGCATCATCAACCAGCGGCACTGGCAGCGGCTGACGGACGCGCTGGCAGCATCCAGCGGCACGGTGGTGCCCATTGTGGATGACGTGGCAGACAAGGCCGACCGGTACATTCCTCCAACACTCGTCGACAACGTCACTGCGTCAGACTCACTGATGCGCGACGAGCTGTTTGGGCCGATACTGCCGATAATCACATACGATACGCTGGATGAGGCACTCCAGATCGTCAACTCACGCGACCAGCCGCTGGCACTGTACGTGTTTGCCAGCGACAAAACCAGCGAGTATGTGCTTCAGCACACGCGCTCGGGCGGCGCCATAGCCAACGATGCCATGTTCCATCTGGCAGCGCACAACTTCCCGTTCGGCGGTGTCGGCCCGTCGGGCGTCGGCAACTACATGGGCAGGTATTCGTTCGAGACGTTCTCGCACAAGCGGTCGGTGATGAAGCGCCCGCTGTGGTTCCCGCCGGCCTAGCGTCGACACCTTGCGCCTGGCCCCGTTTGCAGGCGACGAGAACTCCATGGAAAGCGGTAGTTGGCCCCGCGATGATGTACCCGAAGAGCTACTGGCTTGCGCACGTCGTGGCTCGGACGGCTGTTTCACGCTTGTGCCGCTATGGCGGCTGCTGGCAGCTACAGGTCCGCTGCTGCTGGGGCTGTTCAAGGGCCGCGCGGTGGTCAAGTCGACGAGGCCGTAAAATATTTCTGAATCGGTATATACTGGGTTAAAAAATATACAAAAATCCCTTACGCAACTAGCAGACGGGTCGGGCTGTGCACCAGGCGGTCGTCCCAATCGCACTGGTTGATTGCAGCATTCTGGACCATCGCGACCAGGTCCTCCTCGGGGTGGTGGTTCATGGCCCACTGCAGGCGCTTGATGGCCTTGCGGAACAGCCATATATTAGTCAGCGCCGGCATCCGCGCAACCATCCCTACCAGCACGTTCAGGTGGGCGTTGGTCCACCCTACCTGCTTTTCCGTCGGTGGCATTGGCCCACAGAAACTTTATCTCTGGGATGATACTCCGCGGGAGCAATGGGCAGCCGCTCGCCATCGCGCGTGTGGAGTAGCACACGCAGCGATGCAAGATTCGGCAGCAGCGCCAGCAGCCGCCGCAACTCAGGAAAGAGAAAACACCATATTTCGCAGATCGAGCTCCCTCAGGCTCCAGTTCATCGTAAAGCCGATCGCCAGCGGCGTATGCCCGCCCTCAATCGAATCCCGCAAAACTCGCAAGGCGCGGAAGCGCCAGTATCGTATTAACCGTTTCGCTCTCATCAGCGCCGGGTAGTCGCATCAAACGCAGCTCCTCGATATTCTGCAGCTGCAGAATACGCTGCTGATCGTATATGTAGCAGAGCGTCACCGAGCGCAGGTGCTCTGGCGGCCGCGCTTAGCAGCAGATCGTAGAGAGACACGACTGTATGATGGAGGAAAACGTCGGGCTGCCATGCCTGCATACATTCCGGATCCATGTGCAGGTGCTCAAGGCGCGGCATTTGGCACACCGGTGGAACACTGACCGTCTCGGCGCCCGGCAATGCCACGCCAAAGCGCAGGAACCCGCAGGTGCGGGAATCGCACCTGCCTATGGAACGTCGGCTGCAGAATCCGCACCAAAGGCCCACCACGATACCAGTACCCACGTCCAAGCTCTCCAGGTGCTGTGACAGCCGCAAGCACCAGCGCCCGCAATGCACTGCTCCCGGCCAGGCCGCGGCTGGTCAACGAGACCACGTGCGCTTTGCTCTGTCCTACCACCGCGCTGTGCAGCTCCTTGTGGACTGCGTGTTCGGCTGCGACATCCACGACGACTTTCTGCAGGTTCGGGAACGCCTTTTGCAAGCGAGCCGAACTCCGACTCGGACAGCTTGGCTCGTTCGCCCAAACGCAGCCCCAGCCACGTCAGGCCGTGGCGCGCCTCCTCGGGCAGCATATGCAGGCCCCGTACCATTGTGCGGAACGCACGCGATTTGAAAGGGATGCCGATGACCAGCTTGCGCATCAGTGGCAGTGCGGCCGAAGGTACCAGTAGCTGCCTCCTTTTCCCGCAGTAGGCTGCATGCTTGTAAAATGCGTGCAGCAGGTATTGGCGCAAGCTTCCATTGGCTTGGATGATTGCTGCGGGCCGGTGGACGATCTGTTCAAAGTACGACTCCAGGTTCGGGTGACGCTCGGGCGGGTCAACCGGTACTGCGTATCCGAGGATCTCTGCCCAGACTTCCAGAGGCAGATCGAGCCAGCGCGACCCTGTCATGTCCACGTAGAACAGCATTTTTCTGGATAATGGTATATTCTGGAATGCGAGAGGAGAAGAAAAGCGACGCGAGGGGCGATTAGTGGGGCCGGCTGAAATAGACGTCAGCCGATTGATCTTCTGTTTTACTCGGTGGCTCTTTTCACTAAAATTCCCTTTTATTCTCGCTTTTTATAAATTACCGATGGAGAAGTTTTCAAAGTGGAGAGATGCAGGGCACTGGAATTCAGCCGTTTGTACCGGCGGTGCCCGGCACGGTCGCAGCAGAGCGGGCTAATGCGCTTGGCGCAGGGCCTGAAGAGCTTTCGTCGTGGGCCCGGCTCTGGCGGTAGTGCGGCTAGCGGTGCTCGGTGCAACCGCCCTTCTCGACGCACTGACAGCATCGATGGGCGTCCTGATCGTAGTACCGGGTCTGCGACGTCCGGCGACGTTGTTTTTGCGTCGCATGTGGGCGCGCCTGGCGACTCTTTGCGCTGGGCTTTATGCGCATAGAAATGCGCACCGTGAGCCTGCAGCGCGGCCGGCGCAACACGCAGGAAGCGCATGTTTCCTCGGGCGACATAATCGTGGCGAACCATGCCTCGTATGTGGATATCCTGATTCTGGCATACCTTCTATGATCCGGTGTTTGTGGAGCTGGATAACGCGACATGCTATGCGCGCCGGATCTCGCTGTACCAGGCGCTGCGGGCCCCCGCCCAAATGACGCCTGCCTTGCTGCCGGCGAACGAGGCCGAGCCGCTGAAGACTATTACAGAGCAGGCGCGTGTGCGGCAGACCGGCCCTGTGGTGGTGTTTGCGGAGAACTGCGACCAGCAATGGCCGCGCGCTACTGCAGTTGCTGCCGGTGTTTGGCGAAATGGCGAACTTGGATGAAAAGGACCAAGATTCATGTGCTGGCGCTGAAGTACCCGTTCAGCGCGTTTAGTCCGGCATACTCCGTGGGCAGCCAGCTTATGCATGTGTTCCAGCTGTGCTGCCAGATGTATAACTCGGTGATCGGTCAGAGTGCTGGCTGCCGGTGAGGCGCCGCGCATGGCGGATTCAGCCTTGCTGTGTGATGCGGACGAGGAGCCGGTGGATCCTGGACGAGCGTGTGCAGGAGTGCTTGGTGGGCGTGTCGCGCCTGCGGATGACCAAAATGACTGCTATGGATAAGCGCGATTTCTTGAAATTCTACAACGCCCAAAAATGATGTCTCCAGTATGTACAAGGGTGGCCTGGATCCATTACCTAGCTGTCCCTAGAAGGGATGCGGTATCATTTTGTCTCTGGTCAAACGAATCAATATAGAAATAGTCGGCAAAAATCTATAAAGATGTTACTGGGAAGTTTCCTGCTGTTTGCGATACCGATAGCAATGCCTTGGGATGAACTGAGAATCGGATGCGGACCGAGTACGTATAATACTTGAGAGATGGGCAAAGGGGCCAGGTTGTCCTGATTTCAGTCCAGGAAAACCATTAATATCATGTCACTCGCTGGTGTCGCTGAGCACGGGGGTAATACTTTCTGCTGTCAAATGCGCGTTGAATCAGGTTCTGTTTACCATAGTTGTCCACCAGCGTTGCATAATCCTCTATATCTACCCCGCAATCAATGATTATTCGACCAACTTTAAGCTGACGAGATTCCAGTGACGCATGTCTATCCTTAACTTGCTGTCGCACTCCCTCCATGTATGCAGGCAGATCCTGTGGTGTTATGTTGTTGCTGTTCATTCCTGTAAGCAATAGAGTAAACTTGGTACAAATCTTGCTAATAGTGTGCTTAACCTACGGATACAGTTGGTGTTTTATATGTCGCTAGGCATTTGTAGACTTTTGCTTTTTTCTTTTTTCTTTCTTATTTTTTTTTTTTAATTCACATTAGAAAATATATTAAATCCGCAAGCTAAAAATGTTTATATCTGCAATTGAAGGTTATTAAACTGCAATAGATTCGCTACATATAGACTACCTTCGCAGCTGTGTCCTCAATACGGGTTCACACTATTAGAGAGGCCAATAAGCTTAAAATAGCACTAACTACAAAATAGTGAAAAGAAAGGTCAGTTCTATATGAAGTCAACACTCTGATTCACATTAAACATTGCTGTCAACAATACAATTGTAGTGAGTAAACAGCCAGTTTATCAACTAGAAAAGATACAGGCTATGGCATCGGGATATGGCGTGGCAAGACTATCTCGATGAAATTAATGTACTTGGACTGGACTACATAGTGCGGTCCAACCGACTCTGTATACCACAAAAAACTCCACAGTCACTACGGATCGATAAAATGAAACCAATATTGCTGTTGCTCCTCACAATAAATCTAGTGATTTTATGGTGGGGATAGCCTCTGCTATTTATAGTCTATTCAATACTACTCCAGCTTAAAATGATGGTCAACCTCCACAAATAAGCACACCGAGACGTCTAGCTGGAACCGTTCCACATTGGCTCTGAATACATCCACATATTCCGTGTCAACAGCAAAAATCCTAAGCGCTGGTAGGAAAAGCAGTAGCTTGGATAGAGACTCTCCGTCAAAATGATTTGGAGTGTCAATAGCGAAAACTTGCAGACTGCTTGTTGATGGCTTCGATGGCTTCCTGCATCTGGTGGGCCTATCCAAGCGAACAGAGTCGACAACAGTTGGTTCAGTGGACAGAACGGATATCAGCCTGTCGATTGCTTGATCCCCAGAAGTAGGCGTAAGGATTATGTGGATCCATTGAGACGCATTTTATCTTGAGGTACTTCAGTAGGGCTAGTTGGCTCAACAGACAAACGATGCGGGTCACAGTTACCATATCTGTGGACAGCGACAGACACACCAGATTGTGCCAGTTGATGTGTGCTGGGAAAGGCAAAGTTACATCCAGAACAGCACGACGTACGGCTTGAATCTGCGGAATAGAAGCGTGTTACAAAGTGCGTAGGATCGTCCCACCAGTTTCCTTCGTCAGGTTTGATTGTTTCCAGGTGTAGACAGTCGATGTTGCGGATGATCTCTGTGTTGATATGCGCAAGTGCACGGTGGTTCTCGTTAATCTGCAGTAGTCTCAGTGGTGCGTTGCGGAATGCGGAATACAGATCTCGGTAAACGCCAGCAGACTGACTAATCATCAGCTCTGACAGCCTTGGGTATGAGCATACGAGTCGGGCAGGCAGCTCTGGGTCCTGCTCTGAGGATTCTGGCACCTTTTTGAACCCAAGTTGGAGAACCTTCAAGTTCTGGAGTGCGGGGAGCGCAGTGTGTTCAGATTGAAGACCGATAAGTGGTGTCTGTCGGCGAATGTTGGTGAGCTTTATCGTTTCCAGTGTGGCGATATCAGAAATTCCTACATGTTCAGGTTGGTTTATGCGGTCCAGGTCAAGCTCTAGCGTAGTCAGATCGGAGTGTTACCGGCTGGTGGAGGATCAAAGTGGCCGGTACTGTGCACTCTAGAGATGGTAGAAGCTCATAGCAAAACTGAAGGAGAAGCGAATACCGTGGCGATATGGTATAGTTGAAGGATTGAGGAATGTTAGCGGCATTGAGAGTATCAGAAACGTCGGCACGGGGTGAGAGGATGGTTGGACGTAGTATGATGGACTCCTAGGCTTTTGTAATTTGGCCGAATAAAGTTGCAGAAGCTCATTGCATCAGCATGCATGTCCGGCGTGCGGCTGTCAGTTCCTGATCTGAGAATGCCTCTGCCGAAGAACTGGAGAGTTCTGAAGCTGGTCAGTGGTGGAAATGTGAGACCAAAAACCAGAAGCGCGTTTGTGAGTTGAAGTGGACCGGTGTAGTCGTCGTTCATGACAACGCGCAAACCAGTTGCCAGACTAGGACTTTTGTTGGTATCTGATAGAGGTGATATTGGAAAGCCACACAACCTTCTCGGTCGGTATGCCGTGGTGCTCAGGATCGAACAACAGTTATCCTCCGCTGGACGAGAACAAAGTGGTAAACGAACGATGGCATAAGAGCTCCCCAGAGGCGACACTACCGTGGCGATATCCATAGCCCTGCTGTAATCGTCGAGGACCGCATACTCGTGGAGGATATCCCGGAACAGAAAGCCGAAGACAGTGTGGAGAATGGTGGCAGGCAAGTCGTTAAAGTGTAGAGCAGACATCGTAAGGAAAGGCTGGAGGGGCTGGAGGAAAAATGAAGGATTCCAGCGCACTCCATGGCGGATACCTGGATTTTATACTCTTTCTGGAGCGCTGGACGAGGGCACTCTCGTCTCCCAGACATGGCAGCGACATGGGTCCTCCACGGCGAGACATGTATCGGAGTGGAGCAAAAATGTACAAAACATGGTGGAGACGTAACGTCTAACCCTATGGCCATCGAGGAAACAGTGCCGTGGGAGCCAAGTTTTTATGCGGTCATGCACGCATGCAGCATGGGGCCGAGCCATGTGAGGCTTTGCAGAGTGGAAAGGACTGCGAACGCGGACAGGTGTCCGCCGTGTTCGTGGTTGAGCGATAGATCAGCAAAATTAAAAGGGGTCAGTCCCTTCCTTTTTTGTCGGGTTTTAGAGTAAGAGAGGTACTGGTGCTCTCCCAGCGAGCATCGGCGGTTGCACATGCAGCCCATGCAGTCAAGTGGTCCAGAGTCAATGTACTGCGGCAGTGCTCTCTTGTTCAAAAGCACAGCTGGCTGTCTATCCTTCCAATGTACCATGACCGCAAGACTCATGGGTCCATAGCTCTGCCATGTTTACAGGCTGCAGAAGGATTCGGAAATGGGCAGGCAGGCAGTATAGTGCATTGCTGCTGCTGATGTGCGGATGGCCCTAGAAGCTCTGTCAGGTTGCCCTGAATTGCATTGTTAGGCAAATCAAACATCTTTTGCAGGACATTGTTAGTGGCTACACGTGATCAAGAAGCAGTTGTACAGAAAGGAGTTTGATAAATGCGATTAATCCAGGGGCATATGACGACAACACCGGGCCGATCGGCAGGCCTGATGGCTTGTTCGATCACAGGATGTTTTTTGTTTGGTTTTTCTCCGCCTCCGCACTAGAAAATATTATTTTAGACACTTTATTAACGAACCATCATAACGACCTATGCTCAAGATTTTATCACTCGCACGCAGCTCTGGCGGACGGGCGCTACGCAGTCTGCACACACATGCGCCGTTCCTGTCAGGACTCATTCCGCGCACGGTCCGCCGCAACGCAGCGATGGCGAGTCTGTATGAAGACGCAGTACGGTATGAGCCCGGCACATGCGTGTCTTCTGTTGGCGCCTTGGTGGCGCGATCGGGCAACAAGACAGGCCGGTCGCCCAAGGACAAGCGTGTTGTCAAGGAGGCATCCACGGTCGATGACGTGTGGTGGGGCCCGGTCAACAAGAAGCTGTCAGAGGAGTCGTTCGCCATCAACTACGAGCGCGCTGTCGACTACCTCAACACGCGTGAGCGCCTGTACGTGTTCGACGGCTTCGCCTGGGTGGGACCCCAAGTACCGCATCAAGGTGCGCGTGGTGTGTGCGCGCGCCTACCATGCGCTGTTCATGAACAACATGCTGATCCGGCCGACAGCCGAGGAGCTGGAGAACTTTGGCGAGCCCGATTTCACCATTATCAACGCGGGCCAGTTCCCGGCCAGCACATTCACTGAGGGCATGACAAGCAGCACCAGCGTGTCGATTAGCTTCAAGCACAAGCAGATGGTGATTCTGGGCACCGAGTACGCGGGCGAGATGAAGAAGGGCGTGTTCACGGTGATGCACTATCTGATGCCCAAGGCCAATGCGCTGTCACTGCATGCGTCATGCAATGAGGGGCGATCGGGCGACGTGTCGCTGTTCTTTGGCCTGTCGGGTACCGGCAAGACGACGCTGTCGGCGGACCCGCAGCGGCTGCTGATCGGTGATGACGAACACGTGTGGACCGAGAGCGGTGTGTTCAACATCGAGGGCGGCTGCTACGCCAAGTGCATCGATCTGTCGGCTGAGAAGGAGCCGGAGATCTTCCGAGCGATCCGGTTTGGCTCGGTGCTAGGAGAACGTCAAGATCAACCCCTGAAACACGACTAGTGGACTACACCGACAAGACAATCACCGAGAACACGCGCTGCGCGTACCCGATCGAGCACATGGACAGTGCCAAAGTGCCGTGTGTGGGCGGGCACCCGAAGAACATTGTATTGCTGACGTGCGATGCGTTCGGTGTGCTGCCGCCGGTGGCCAAGCTGACGCCTGCGCAGGCCATGTACCACTTCATCTCGGGCTACACAGCCAAGATTGCCGGCACCGAGGAGGGCGTCAAGGCGCCGGTGGCGACGTTCTCTGCGTGCTTCGGGCAGCCGTTCCTGGTGTGGCACCCGGTCAAGTACGCGCGGATGCTGGCCGAGAAGCTGCAGAAGCATAATGCCAGCGTGTGGCTAGTCAACACCGGCTGGGCCGGCGGTGCCTATGGCGTCGGCAAGCGCATCTCGCTCAAACACTCGCGCCAGATCATCGACGCTATCCACTCGGGCGAACTTGAGCAGGCCGAATATGCCAACTACCCAGTATTCAACCTGCAGATCCCGCGGTCCGTCACGGGCGTGCCCAGTGAGATTCTGGATCCGCTGCAGGCCTGGCAGGGCTCGCCAGCAGAGTTCCATGAGACCATTGGAAAGCTTGCGGGGCTATTCAGCGACAACTTCACACAGTACGCCGACCAGGCGACACCCGAGATCACAGCAGCCGCACCCGCAGTCTAATAGGCCATATTTATTCAGGCAGATAGGATGCCACCTTTGAGAAATAAAACGGCTTGAACTGTCGCAGCGAATATTCATTGGAGCTGCCACGTACATCGTCGGTGTGTGAGTAGCGCTGCCACAAGCAACTTGTTGTTCTTGGCTGTCCCGCGTGCTGCGCACCTCCAGCTCCAGGCAGAAGGTCAGGCCATCGCGCTCCTTGTCCTGTGTATATGCCACCACATCGCGTCCGTCCAGCCGCCACACCCCGCGCTGCACGCGTCTTTCGCGGGTGGCCCAGAAGATGCTGCGTACAATCTTGGCCGGCTCTGTGGTTGACAGGAGCTTGAGGCAGGTGCCGTCGCGGAAAAACCGAAGGTACCGGTAATATGTCACCAGCATTACCGGCGTCGTCCACGTGTTCTCTGCCGATGACGGCCGCAGGTAATGACATGTTGAGATGTATATGCCATCGAACCGCACACGCGCCCGCCGCAAGAACATGTCCAGCCACCCATCATATGCCTGTGCCTCCCTGTATAGGCTATATGTATCCACGGGCTCCTCTGCAGGCACGCTGACGCTGCTGCAGGCTGCTTGGAAGCGCTCGCCGGTAGGCTGGCGCTGGGCTGCGCAGTTCATAAACTTCCAGAGGCGAGCATCACGTGATACCACTGCAAACCGCTTGCAGGCCGCAGCAAACCGCCCGACAATCTGCACATCCACCGCCCCCGCCATCTTCAGCACATGGACTAAAAGGTCGTCCGGCAGCCGGTCCACCAGCACCGGCCGGTTGGCGTTTCCTGGCACGCACTGCAGCTCCATTTTCTTTAGCCCGCTGACCAATTCCGCCATCACATCAATGCGAGTGTCGTCGACTTCGCGCGCGCCAGCCTCGTGGCGGAACAAGAACCCGCCGCTCTCCTGCCGCCTCTTGTCGGCAATATTCTGTTCGGCCTTGGCCAGCTGCGCTTGCGCGTGGGCGCCGTCGCGGCCCTGCGTGATCTGCCGGTAGATCGAGTCGATTGTTGCGCAGTGACGGAATGCCTTCCGGTAGCTGCCCAGAGCCTCGCCGAGCCGTCCCTCGTGCTCGTAGGCGGTCGCCTGGAGGTAGTGCGAGAGCGCTGTCTGCGTATTTGCGTCCATTGAGCCAACCCCGGACATTGAGAGGAGTTCGGATGCGGTCTGCGTGGCTGGCTCATGCCGTGTGCGCACTTCTTCGAGCCACTGCTCGCGGAATTTGTCCAGTTCTTCCATTCTGAATAAAAACGTAAGCGGTTTCAAAAAATTAATAAGCGGAAAAAGCAAGGGATGCGCTTGAAGTTGTTCGAGACACTTGACTATTTGCTGGTTCTCAGATCCTGTCACTTTGGCGTCAAAGTGACAGCCGAAGATAACAGCGGCGATTTTGTCGTCACCACGGCCGATTTCATTTAGTGGGTCACAGACTGGATTCAGCCGTGCCCTTCTCTCTTTCTCTTTTTCTACTCCCCAAATAACTCTTTTTCCCTACTTTTATCTCTAAGCCATGCTAAACATTGCTATTGTCGGTCCCGGCCTCGTCGGTGGTGCTTTGGTCGAGCAGCTTGTCGCCCACGCCCAGTCCGCGCGCTTCGCTTCCCTGCCCATCGCCCTCGTCGGCTTGATCAACTCCAGGAAGATGGCAGTCTCCGCCACGCCCTTCGCCGCCACCGACCTGGCCGCCTGGCAGTCCTCGCTTCTGGGCAGTTCGGCGCAGCCGGCTGACCTGACCGCCTTCGCCGACACCCTGGCCACGCTGCCTTCGCCCACGGCCATTGTGGACTGCACGTCCAGCGACGCAATCGCGAACCTGTACCCGTCGTGGCTGTCCAGGGGCCTGCATATCGTGACGCCGAACAAGAAGGCCTTCTCGAACGAGCTCTCGCTGTTCCGTGAAATCCAGAAGCTGACGCAGACCGGACCCTCGGTCTTCCACGAGGCTACCGTGGGCGCTGGCCTGCCCGTGCTCTCCACTCTGAACGACCTGATCCGCACCGGCGACAAGATCAAGACCATCGAGGGCATCTTCTCCGGCACCCTGTCGTATCTGTTCAATACCTTTTCGGCACCTGGTGCCACCCAGCAGTTCTCCGAGTGCGTCGCCGTGGCCAAGGCCAATGGATATACCGGAGCCCGACCCCCGAGATGACCTGAACGGCATGGACGTTGCCCGCAAGGTCACTATTCTGGGCCGTGTCGCCGGCCTCGATATCGGCACCGACACTCTGCCGGTCGAGAACATCGTGCCCGAGGCATTGCGCTCGGTCGCCTCGGCCGACGAGTTCATGCAGCGCTTGCCCGAGTTCGATGCCCACTTTGCTCAGCTCAACCAGGACGCGATCAAGGAAGGTGCAGTGCTGCGCTATGTCGGCAAGGTCGATGTTGCTGGCGGCCAGAGCTCCGTCAAGCTCGCCAAATACCCGCTCGACCACCCCTTCGCCTCCCTCAAGGGCAGCGACAACATCATCGCCTTCACCACCGAGCGCTTCCCCAACCCGCTCATTGTCCAGGGTGCCGGCGCCGGTGCTGCCGTCACCGCCTTTGGCATCTTCGCTGACCTGATCAAGGTCGCCGCTCAGTTCGACCGCTCCGCCAAGATCTGAAAAGTTTTCTTACAATCATACAACACATTAATAGCCTTAAACCCGCTTGCGCTTCAGCCGCGGAATCCGTGTCGGATACAGCGACATCGCCAGAAGCTCCTGCAGCCGCACCTTGATCTGCCCTGCACTACCGCACGGCTTCGGGATGCGCGAAAACCTTACCACCGGCACACAGATCTCTTGCATGCGCTCCGGCGCCAGCTCCAAAGCCCCGCCCACATTTAGGGTCACATGCGGCGCCCGTGGCCGACCCGGAACCAGCGTGGCATCCAGATCATCCCCAAACTCCTCCACCGCCGCCAGTTCCGGCGACGCCGCCCGCTCCGGCACATACTCGGGCTCCAGCAGCAGCACCCGCTCATCCGCCACGCCATATGGGCTGAACAGCCCCCGCGACTTCTTCACCATGCGCATCGGCTCCCGCGCCTGCATTGGTGTCGATGAGCGGATGCGCTTGATGCCAGACGTGCTGGGCGTCAGCGCCAGGCGCATGGGCGTGCTGTGCTTTTTAGTGGCCGCTGGGGTTGCGGGCGCCAGTGTGGGCTTGCCATTTAGGTGGCTGGGCTTGCCCGTGCGCATTGCGGCTACGGCGTTTTCGTCGTTCGGGCGGTTGGTGCTGTGAATATGCGTTGGATTAAACATGGCAGATAGTGTGTGGAAAAAAATGAAGAAAAAAAGTGATGTAGGATGAAGAAAGAGTGTTTGTCGTATTTCTAAAACCCGCACCCCATGCTTGCTTGTTGTCGCTAAGATCAAGTGTTCCGTCGAAAATCAGATCATAATTCTGCCGATACCAAACTTTTCCCAACCTAACCTTGTATGCTTGACTCCCCCCTTGGCAGGTCTTTTCTCTCCGTCTTTACTTTCGTACAACTCCTCTTTAACACCCTTATTATTAGCAGAATTCCAGCATGGCAACTGACATATCCGCGGACACACAAAAGTTCCTGCACAACGCCGCCTGTGAACATCATGGTGCTGCTCGACCACGTGCGCACCTTCGACGGCATCGATTCCTCCGTCGAGTTCTCCGGGAAGCACTTCAAAACCTCAATTGACAACCTGGCCACAGCCATCGACAAGGAGGTAACGCGCTTCCTGATAGCACTGAAGCCGCCAGCCCTGGACAAGGAGATCCGCGAATTGTGCCCAAAGATCAATGCCGGCTTCTTCCAGCTGGTGCAGCTTTTGAACCAGATTCCGAAATCGGCTGGCCTCACATACCTGAAGGGCGGTGAAGCGGGCGGTGAGCCGGACCCTGGTATCGATAGTGACCCTGGTTAATACCTTTATTTCCGACAAGGTGGCACTGGATAAGACGGTGTTGGCGGAACTGGCGTACACGTCGACATCAGGCATTTTCTGGGAGCACTGCAAGCAACTGACGCAGATTCCGGTGGACAACCGTGCAGCGGTGGTGGTGAAGTGGAAGTCGAGCGTGGGCGATCTGGTGCGCGATGCTGTGGATGAGCTGAAGGAGTCAGTGCAAGAGGCACAGGAGGCGCAGGAGGCGCAGAAAGATGACTCGGCAGAGAACGACGGGTATTCGAGCGACGAGAGCCTGGGCGATTTCGATCCGGATATTCCCGCAGAGCGCCTGGCGGATGCACGCAAGGCGCAGCAGCTGGTGACCATGGCGCGCTTGGTGTGCGATAAGATTGCATTAAGGTGTATCCGTGACTGCGACGACGTGACCGACGAGAAGAATGTGTGGCTGGACCGTCTGCTGGAGTTGGGGCAGCCTGTGCAGGGGTGCGTGGACGATCTGGTCGCTGCGTTGTTTATTGAGGACGAGACCTGGAGTCGCCAGATGGCCGTGGAGACAGGGAATTTGGTCAGGGCGTTGTTGGCATTGGTGGAGCTGGACCATTACTTTTGTTGATGACTCACATCTGAAGTGGTTCGAGATGGCACAGACACGCTTGAATTCTATCCTGAACGAGTCGCCTGTTGCCCGGTAGCTAGCCCGGAGTGAAAGTCGTTGGAATAGAGGATGTAGTGTATGTTAAGTGCTGGCTCTGCTCCTCCAGTAGCTCACAATCCTCTGTACGTGGACTTGATTGTGCTACAGGATGACCGCGCAATTGTTGGTGCAATGTGGATAAATGTACGCACTTAAGGTGGTTGTTCTTTAGTGGAGAATTACATTTCATTTTAGATATCTAGAATCGCCCTGGCGTGCGATGTATGACATTAGAGTCTAGATTACATGCCGTAGGAAATGCGTGTTAACTGAATTTATTGCCCCTCATGGGAACCGCTAGATACAGCAGCTCTAAACATTCTATGAGAAAGGTTGTAGTCCATACCGCCGACTGTGAGGGACACAATCCAGAATTTGTGGCCATCTAGAAGAATAGCCATGCGTATACCTCCCAGGGCTCAGTCAGCTAATACCTATCCGTCCCAAAGGAGGGGGCCAAATCGGAAAACTCGCTATCCCATTTCGCTCGTGTTCGTGGCCGTTTTGCCACTCCATTGTCTACTTCCGCATTCTTGTCTTGCCTCCCTTTCATGATACGGCGACCGTGAGGGGAGCATACAAGAAAGCGTGCAATGAGTTTCCAGGCTGATGAGGCTCTAGTAGACAAATTAGTCACGAAAGGCAATACCTCTGCCTTCTTTAACTGTATATGAGGATATATCAGTAGACATAGCAGTGTTTTTCGATCCGAAGGTATGAATATTCATGCGTGAGATGTCTAGAGATGTGAGTACGGATACAGAGCAAGTTAATTTTGAAAACAGCAGTCTGCATCTCATGGTCCGGGGCTCAAATACACCCCTCTGGAACAGCAGTCCAGCAACTTGCACATGGCCCATGGGTCATGGGTCATGGCTCAAAGTGCACAGTGCATAGCCTGGAATCGCTAATGCTTGCAATAGAAAATATCGCTGAACTTCAGCAGGCATCCACCGATTCAACGGAGAGAGAATGGATGACGGTGGGAGAGGCGATCCGCTCAGCAGCTTGTGGATCCCTGCTTTGTGACAGGTGTGAGCACAGCGTCGAACACACCCTACAATTCCTCTTTACAATTACCCCACGCATTGCCTCCAGAGAATGACATGAGCCTCCCTATGGCCATGCCTGCCTATATTTCTAAGTGAATCTGCGCTGACCCAGAGCATAGCATGTGTTTCCCTCTGGTCGAGCAGGCTGGCTGAGGATTCACCGTCGGGCGAGTAGTCCAGCTGGTGCTGTGGATCTGCCAAAAGCACTGGGCATATACTCCACAACACCTTCTGATGCTTTTCCGACAATATTGTGGTGGGTTTCTTTACCACCGCACAGCAGCTATTCGTGAGTCAGAAGTAGTGGGTGGACAGCCGGTGTATGGCTGCCTCAACTGCTGAACCATTTGGGCGTTGAAAACGAAACGAAACAGAATAAGCAACTGTACTCTGCAGTGCACGCCATATACTATACGCAAACATGAAAAGACAGTTTAAGAGATAGTTTATTGATGAATAATCCGTCAAATTGGCAGACAGGATTTGCTAATATATAGGAAGGAGAGATACTGCAATTGGCACAATAATAACCGACCCAAGTACAGTCACTGCCCTCAAGGGTGTGTTGCCGAGGTTGGCTCAGATAACAGCAGCCATGTTGGCTTGGTTCAGTTCGCTTTGGTCCAGCTAGCTGCGCGGGTCCTTGCAGAGCTTGTAACAAATGTCAGTAGCTAGTTCGAGTAATATTTGGAAAGGCATCATGCGGTGGATCATCATAGAGTACGTCGCACGAAAATGCTTTTTTTGTTAGAAATGAACGAGATGAACTGGATCTTCATGTTTGAATAGCTAGTCTACGAATTAGAGTATAGATACGGAGTTGGAATGTGATGAATTCGACTCTATTCCATTCGTGAACCATGGCTTAAATAGCTGCCGTGGGGCTGAGAGTCGCGCATTAGCCTCTTATTTCACGCTCTATGCACACAATATGATTCCAGACATGGTGGTTGAAATGAGAAAACTCGCTGAACTCCAAAGGCAATCTTCCAATTCAACAAAGGAGGAGCGGAAGAGGCAGAGTGAATCGATTTTGCCAACAGCATGTTGATCGTTCATTTATGACAAGAGCAGGGGTCATTTCAGGCACCTCCAACAATGCCTTGCCACAATATCTCCGCATATTGTCTCAAGAGAATAGCGAGGGCCTCTCTTTGGTCATGCGTGGCCATTTTGCTAATGCAGGTTGTGATGCCCCAGGATCTACGGCGCATTTCAGTTGTATCAAAATGGATGGGTGAGGTGTGGTAGCACATTTGTGTAGGGAGTATTGTAGTACAGCCACAGAGGTCCATGAGGGCATTATGTCATGTGTCGTGTCATAAAGGTCAATACGTATAGAGTTGTTTGAAAGAGATATGCAATTGGAGTAAATATGATAGATACATATGGTACATCTTAAAGAAAGCCAGGACTCCTAGCCATACACCTCGGTTTTAACACCTCTGCCCCTTATGCGATTGAATTCGAGAATGTCAAGCGCATTACTCTCGTGGACAGCAACCTTCGTCAGGTTGGGCAAGCTGCGAATGAGAATACAGGCACGATGGAACATCTCTGGACCGCTGTGTGCGATGCTGACATAGTAGAGCGAGGTGCTGATCGGGGGCAGGTCAGAGGCATCGATAATATTGGTTCCATGCCTGTATGTGCTAGGTACTGCGTTCTCGATTGCAGGCGTGTTTTCACCTGGCAAAAGTGTGTAAGGGTACTTGCGGGCGCTCCAGTGTTTCTTGAACACGATATCCAACACCCCGAGTCTTGGCAGTTGCTGAATGGCTCCGTGCAAATAGGGAAACTCGTCCACGCTCAGGTCGATCTGCAAGTTTTTAAGGCAAATAAGCTGGTCGACATCTGTCAATGGGTACGGATTTGAGAGTAGACACAACTCCTGTACCCGGCATAACGCTTTGTAAAACCTAGTGATAGCTCCGCGCTGAATAAAAACGGGTGTGTCCGAGAATTGTTGCCCGACCAGCACGAATGCCTTAATCCTCGAGACAATCCGCGCATCGATATACTGAAGGTCGCTCAGGTCCTCGCCCATTGCAAGAAACTCGATAGGAGATTCATGAAAGAGACTGTAAATGTCGCCAAAGACAGGAACTGAATCCCCAACCGTTAATGAGAGCAACTTCGGAAAACGCAAGGCAAACCCGCCGGTCGGATCGAGCTTGGCGCTAAGATGAGTTTGTGGCACACAACGTAGACTGAGCTGCTCCATGCTAGAAAAGACAATATCGTTGCTGTTTCTGGATTTAAACCAGCCCCAGTTCATACCCTCGATGATCTCATAGACCGTCATCTTGCGAATGACCGACGCTTCAAACACTGGACTGTCAGCAAAGTAGCCCAGGTACTTCGAGTTCAGTTCCAAATCTGTTGTCTCATACTCGACGCTGGATAAGGCTCTAGGCGGCAGCGGATACAGCCCCTGGACAGATGTGAGCTGCTTACGGTAGTGGTGAAAGAGCCAACAGTAAAGTGGATATAGTATAGTGTTGTGGGTGGATAGCCCAAGTGGCACATTATCAAACATGTTCTTTGTATGCACCATGGAACCGATATTCGGGAAAAGCGCGATGAACTGAAAGAATGCCATTTGTGCCTCGGGATCCAACTGCGGGTTGTAGTAGGGATTATTCCCGAATGACATGAGGCCAGCACCAGCGAATACAAGGGAACGGATGTTTGCCCATCTGAAGTGGTAGCCGTGAAACATATTCAGGATCTCTGTCATCTGGGGTTTGCACATACACCCGTCATCCAGCTTGATGACAAGGTGACTGACATCCTCTGTCTTGCCCATCCCGATGAGCATCTCAATATTTGACCGCCATGCATACCCATGTCTCCCATCCTTCGTGCAGTCCCCAATAAGCACGCGCTCGATGCAGACATACTTGACGAATGGGCTGCTGATAACATGTCGCCATCTGCGGCATACGTGGGCGAGCAACAGAACTGCTGTGAGGCCAAAGCAGTTCTCTGCTTCAGGAAGCATAGTCGGACACACCCACTTGAATATCTCAAAGAGGATGTCGTCCGGGACAAATGATAGCGGTCCTGAGAGAGCCATTGTGAGAAAAATAAGAGAGGAAAAGCGTGAGTTAAAAGTAGAGCGAAATAGAGGCTAAATAAATAAAGTTGTGTTGTGTTTACAGGTTGGAAGAAAGGCCAAGTAAATTAAAAAGGCGCTATGCGGTGAAGCAGGCTGAGGAGGAAAAGGAGAAGACGGAGGAAACCATTTATTTCCGCGACAGGGGAGTGCGAGGGAAGAGAGGCGACTTTTTATACCCTGAAAATCCAACAGATCTCTCGCTGTTTTTGAGCGCCATCGCCATGCCAGAACAGCATCAGGTGAGGAAATAGTTTTGATATTCCAGGCACACACAAGTGGCGGATGTTTAGCAACGGCAATTGCACAATTGTGGTCTGGTCACATTGGCAGCATGCTGCCGCAAGAGCCAGGAATGGACAGGAAACCCCGTCAGTTTTGCCCTCACCAACTCGGGGCGGCAGGCAGGTGCATGCATGTGTGTTGTCCCTCCTGCCAGCGCGACAACCGCTGTCGGAGGTTGCCCTGTTTGCTCTGTTTTGTGCAAATCGCAGAGAAATTAATAAACCCCAAGTCCATTTTTCCAGCTGACTTTACCCAAAGGCTCGTTCGCCAGCACCCTGGTTTCCTTGCTGTCCAGCTCAGCCAAGTTGCCGTTCTCCAATGAAAATCCTTGCTGCACCTGTGCAAAGACGTCAGGAGAGACAGTGCGCAACTTGGCTTATGTCTCTCTCACCCAAGCGCCATGAATATGCCTCTTTTTATGGCAAGGGTATGTTGAAGTATATGTGCAACTACTCGCCATGAAGTACCTACGTCGCACATATTGCATTTTTAAGCACAGAGTAGGTAGGAGGGGCTGACTGTACAGGCACATCCTGAAGGTTTTTCCTTGTCAGACAGAGAGGCGTTGTGGCAGCGTGAAGATGGGTCCGCGGCTATGGCTGATGTTATCCACTTGCATGTAGGTCGGAGCTGGCCATTTTGAGACAGTGGGCTTGTTTTCTATTCCACAGTGCCGTATGTTGGACATTGTAAGGACAGCAATTTACGCACGTCTACTTCCGGTGTGCATATGGATGGGGCGTGGTTGCCGCCTGTGGTTGGTGGGTGGGGTTTCTGGATATACCAGCAAGGCTTCCGCTTTCCCATCAAGCTAGCAATATACCAACACACACAAGTGACCACTGTTGCTTGTAAGTGGCCAGGCAATCCTTTTGCAGTTGCGTTCGTGAACACTGGCCACCTGCTCAATACGACAATTCACGATCGAGGTAGAGTAGAATAAGGTGCTGAACCCACCCCGTCCGTTATCTACGGCCATCGTCTCTGGTGCATGCTCTTGCATATTTGATTGTCACTGCTCACATGTGGCGTATGTCACACATATTCACTGTTTTTGCAGTTGCCAGTGACATTCAACATATACGGATAGCGCCACATTCACAAGGAAATGGAAAGATCATATAATCTACGTAGTTCGTGGAGGTTTGATTAGCAAATTTACACGCAATGCCATGCCATGTAGTGATAGTGATCCATGTAATCAATTAAGCCACATAAGCACAGTATTCACAGCTGATAACAAGGTATCATGCGTGTATGTGCCAGCACTCCTTTTTGCTGGTACTCAGCTGCTACATGGTAGGCCACTAAACTGGCGGTTGCTGGCTGAGCCTTGCTGCCAGTTATGCCAGAGAAAGTGGGGCAGGCGCTGATCAAATAGTGATAGTTGATTATTTCTAATCAACCGACGCGATCACCTGTTAATATAAACAGATTGGCCCGCAGCGGGAGGCACATTTCAGTGCGAAACCAGCGCTGTAAGGGTGTCGCGAAAGTGTGCGAAATGCATTTGCCTTTTTCTCACAACTACTCACTTTCACAATTTTCAATCAGTCTTACTATAAACTACAGCATAGCGCTTTCAATAAACGTCACTGGTAACAGCCATGACCACAGCCACCATTATCGACGAGTTGCCGAACCTGACGCGCCAGGATCTGCAGAAGCTGTGCAAGAAGGCCGGGATCGAGGCCAACGGCACTGATGAGGAGCTTGTCAATGAGTTGAAGGAAGCTGTTCAGAGCGGGAAGGTCGGCGCTGAAAGTTTGGCTATCAGCGATGGTGAAGAGGCAGGCGACAAGGAGACAGAAGCGGCCGAGGATGACACGCAAGTAAATACTGTCGCTGCTACACCCAAGGACGTTGCGACACCCAGGGACACTGCTACGCCGGACAACGAGCCTGCCACTGACCCTGCGCCTACGCCAAAAGACCCCGAACCCCAAACGCCCGAGGTGTCTAAGAAAATTGCAGCTGAGCTAGAGGTGCGTGCAACGGCTCTGGCTAGCGACGAACGCAAGGTGGCAGTGCAGACATTCGACAGCCAGCATAAGACTGACGACGACAATGGGCCTGAGCCCGCGGAGACACCGTCGAAAAACGTGTTTGATGAGGCACACGAAAAGCTATTTGAGCGCGACGACTCGATTGCCGCGCATTGGTCGACGAAGCGTACGCCTCACAACAAGCGCGTCGGTGAGCCGATCGAGCAGGGGTCGAGCAAGCGGTCCAAGGTTGAGCCATTATTCATGACACCTGTAAGAGCTACGCCGAAAATGCGCACGGTCACAGGGACAATGTCTGATAGGGCAACGCGCGTTAAGCCTGCTGTATCTGCTGCTGCTGCCGGGTCAAAGACCGTCGCAGTAGGTCGAACTACAAGGGCTAGTAAGAGTCAGCTATCGTCGACTACTCTGTTTGCGGACGCTGAGAAGCCAGTGGAGACCGTGCCCAAGCGGGTGACAAGGAAGGCACCGTTGCCCAAGTTTAAAGCTACCAAGCCAGCGGCAACACCGGCAAAGAATGGTGACAAGCTGACGGTTGAGAAGGTTGTGGAGAAGGCCCTGGAGAGGAAGCCAGTGGAAGCTCCAGCAACACCCAAGAGGAAGAAGGTCTCTGAGCGACTCAAGACCCCGCGGAAGCTTGTGGTGGTGGGCGAGAGACCGGTGACGCGGAGCATGTCGCCACGGAAGCCAGATGCCAAACCAGCAGAGTCTACTGCTGCCCCGAAGACCCCTGCACGGAAGCCCCCTGTTCCGCGCAGAATCGCTACGCCCAAGTCAAAGCTGCCTGCTGCTCGAAAGGCGCCTGCAAAACCCACGACCCATGCACTGCCTGATCTGACACATGTCCAGTCCAAGGTCAAGGCGTTCATCAACAAGCCAGCAGAAAATAAGCAAAAGACAGAGAACAAGCCAAAGGAGAGCAAGCGGGCTCCCAAGCTTGTTGCCAAGCCAGCAGCAACAAAGTCTGCAAAGACCGAGAAGACCGAGAAGACCGAAAAGACCGAAAGACCGAAAAGACCGGCAAGGACAATGTGCCCCACTATATGAAGTCCACTCGAGCAGCCGAGAACCGCTCAAGGGGCACGCACGCCAAGCCGCAGCCGCCGGTTAAAGGCCAAGCAGCTGCTAAAGAGCGGGGAACAAAGGCGCGGGCGACACCGTACACGCGGCCCACTAGGACACGCACTGCGGCAGCGGCAGCAAAGACCGCTGAAAAGAAGGCGTGAGAGCTGCTCTGAAATTGCACAATTGTTCATGAATACTTCAGTCGTTGAATAAAGTAGATGGATTCAGGTTTCTTCGTAACAAAAATGGGGCGCTTAGAACGAGACCGCAGCAGCGACGACAATGGCCAGTGCTGAAATGAACAGGCCATTCATATGTGACCAGCTCTTGGCCGCGCCGCTGTGGTTCGAAAAGTCGGTAATGTCGTTTCCGGTAATGGTCTTGTTGATCCAGCTGCCATTGGAGGCAATGGTGCCGTTGGTTGCCCAGTTGATCCAGTCAGTGTAGGCGCTGGTGTACGGGAAGCTGACAAAGCCATTGCTCTTGCACGGCGTGCCGTTGACCGAGCGGGCCTCGTAGACGTGTGGGTTGCCAATGCTGATCAGCTTGGCGCTGCCGGGAACCACGTAAAGGGTCGAGTTGAGGTTAACCGAGCGCACCGAGCCGCCGTCGCTGTTGATCGAGATGCTGGTGTCCAGCGAGCATGCAGTGGTGTTTTCATAGAGCTTCGAGCAGAAAATAGGGGATGCCTTGCCGGGGATCTTTTGGCCAACAAAGCTCTTCATGTCCTTGAGCGAATGTGCACTCATGTAGTCCTTGTCGCACTCGGAGCGCTTGAGCGAGCTGATGGAGGTCAGTGTGGCCTTGGTCAGGTCCATTCCTTCGTAGAGTTTCTGCAGCGTCGCAGCATCCTTGCTGGAGGTCGCCGGAGCAAATGTCAGTGCGTGCAGATCAGCCATGTCAGCATCCAGGTCGTCGAGTTGCAGCGACACAGGCTTGGCATCGGGGACAGGCACGCTGAGGTGAATGATTCCGACGTCAAAGTTCTGCTGCGCGACCTCGTTGTCCTGGCTCTGCGAGTAGTACGCGTGGACTGCAGCATAGTCAACCGACAGGAATGTCTGGTTGTTTACGTAGGTGCTGACCATGCTGTAGAACACCTGGGCACGCGAAGCGGCTTGGCTCTTTTTCGAGTACACCTGCGTTGAAAGCAGGATGTTGTGCAGTGTGGTTGATGTGTTTACACTCGGAATGACACCCATCAGATACTGTGCCTTGAGCGCCCCGGCAGCCACTGACGGCACATCGGTGCTGTTTGAAAACGGGTACATGCAGCGGGCATCGGTAATGACGACCTGGTTTGTCAAAAAGGCACCAAAGCAGACTGTGAAGGGCGTGGCAATGTACAGTGCGTATGGGTGGTCTGCGAGGTCAACAACAGACGAATCACCAGCCACAACTCCGCACAAGCAGGCTAGTGTGGATACCGCCGCCGCCACAATAGGAAGTGAGGTAACTCGCATATTTCAGGAAAAGCAAGCTGTGTGTATTGGATTATCCACTGGGTCTTGTGTCCAAAAGTTGCTTGTGGCAGTATGGATGTAGGTACGAAAAGTGCAAAACAGCGAGAGAGAAAAAAAAGGCAATTAAGAGAGCTGAGAGAGCCCCATTCAAGAGAGGCGAAAGCAAACAGCTGTTGTTGTCCACCAGAGCCTGCTAAACATGTGTAAATCTTCTGGGTTGTACACAGGTTCCTGAGTAGATTGTGAATCAGCAGCCGGATTCCGCAATCAATTGTCGCACGGGCAGGAAATAGCGAGTGTCAAGTGCGTCTAAAAATACGATGACAAGTGCTGTGTGCTTGTCTCAACTCGCTACTACTAACATGAATCAAATGGATGCTGTTGTTTTCGAAAAGCCATTCAGCGTTGCCGTCACCAAGGTGGCTCGCCCCACCAACCCAGCCGATGGAGAGGCGATAGTGCGCGTCATGGCATGCGGACTGTGCGGCTCCGACATGCATCCCTACCGCGGCGCCGAGAAGGGGCTCAGACCAGGCACAGTGTGCGGCCACGAGTTCGCTGGTGTTGTCGAGCAAGTCGGCAGCGGAGTTGCCTTGGATGTTGGCCAGCGCGTGGCTGCCAGCTTCACCACCGCCTGTGGCGACTGCTGGTACTGCACCCACCATCTGAGCAGCCGCTGTGATGCAGTGAAACTGTTTGGCTGGATCAGCGAGACCACGGGCCATCGGCATTCACGGCGGACAGGCGCAGTTCGTGCGAGTCCCCAATGCCAACGGGACGCTGATGGCGCTGCCCGACGATGTTTCGTTCGAAGAAGGCGTCCTGATTGGGGACATATTCTCCACCGGGTATTTTTGTGCAAAGAACGCATTGTCGACACTGTCAGAAGCTGGCATTCCTGTTGCTGAGCTCAGCATTGCTGTTGTCGGGTGCGGGCCAGTGGGGTTATGTGCAGTGATGTGCGCAAAGCAGCTCGGCTTCGGCACCATATACGCCATTGATCGTGTCGAATCGCGCTTGCAGATGTCGGAGAGGCTGGGCGCCATACCGGTCAGTCTTGACAAGTCCCCGGCCAAGATCATTGGCGACGCCACGGTTGCGGGAAGCAGACATGGTGTCGATGGCGTTCTGGAGGTTGTGGGCAACTACGGTGCGCTGCAGCTTGCATTCGAGTTGGTGCGGCCCGGTGGCGTGGTGTCCTCTGTCGGCGTGCATGCCCACGACAAAGGGTTCCCGGTCAGCCCCGAGCAGTGCTATGACAAAAACATCACCTACAGGTGCGGCCGGTGCCCCGCTCGGTCGCTGATGGATGAGCTGGTGCCCCTCATCCGGGGCTGCAATGCTACGCAAATCATCAGCCACCGTGTGCCGCTCACCCGCGCTGTCGAGATGTACAAGATGTTCGACTCACAGGCAGACGGGGCGCTCAAGGTCATTTTTGATCCTTGGGCCTGAAACAGGCAGCTACTATGGTCGACTCTGTTGTTGTTGTTGCCGCTGCTGCTTTTGTGGGCGGCGGACGGCTTTCTACCACATTGTCGGTGCTGTCTGTTGTGGCATAGCTCCATTGGAATATGTGCACGGGTTGTTTCGCCCTTTGCTCTTCTTTTTGTACTTACAACAACGACGGGAAATATTGTTGTAAAAACATGGCCCATTCTTGGCCCTTTGGCAGACGGAATAGAGAAGCTTGCGGGTGGGCATGAAGGCCATTTGCATTCTACCTTAAACCTCTATAATGTCGGCTGTTCACGATACAGAATGACTCATTTAGCAGTAAGCAAAGAGAAACAATTGCGATGCTTGCTAGGTATCTCCAGGAAAGAAGAAGAAAAAAAAGATGCCAACCGCACTCTGCTGGCTGCATAAAATTTATAGAGCCATCCCACAGAGTTGGTAAAGGTATGTAAATAGAGCGTGGCACTGCATTCAGCTGCGCCCATCGTCCTAATATGGTGGGTACATGCCACAGTACACCTGCTGCAGATGCACTTCTTCTGCCACACTATGTGCAGCCTTGGAGCAGACTAAGCCCGATGCCCGCTTTAAGCAAAGCGGTTCTTCACCAACCACACGCGCAGATATGACCTCGAGTGGCATGGTGGTCGCTTTTGGAATATGCGCATTGCATTTCGCAAACGCAATACTAAATTTGCTTTGTGCTCTACCCCACTATGCTTGCGGCGCGCTATTAGATTGCGCACACGCTATTGTTTGTTATTTTTTTTGACAGCTGCAGCAAGCGCAAGCTGACATCTTTGCCGCTCTGTACCAGGCCAGTCTGAAGCCTTGAAAGCAGCGTGCACCTTTTCTAGTGCGGCAGAAACCAATTTTTCTTCTGCAACAACAGCCTTCTCAATATGTAATCCCGCTTGTGCGATATTTTTTTCTGGATATTTGTGCACGCTGTCGATTCTGGCCGAAATAAAGCTGGCTTCCTATATAGACCAGCAATATACGATTCTCTGACGATGCGAGCTTGTTTACTCTTTCTGGTCCCGTCACGCTGAATCGGAAAATGTGCCGTAGTGGCCAAGTAGCAAGGCTCACTATTTTGTGTAGCAGTTCAGCCTGGGACAACACAACTCGAGGAATATGGCGCCACCCCCAAATTTCAAAGTGGTGAATAATGGTCGTGGAAATATTAGGTGCTGGCTTTGTTGTGCACACTTGTAGACAGGAGTTGGCCAATGGAAACCTGGGTGAAAACCCGTACTGAATGACCACCGGGGGTGTGCCGATTGTTGCGTTAAATTACCTTTTCCTTGAGTGCCCGCGCTCACTCACACATCCACATATTGTTCGGTTGTTGTGGTGTGGGAGTCAGAAATAAAACACAATTGCCATTCTCACACTGCTGGACACATCCACGCTAATCTGGTTAGTTTGGACCATTGTGCCTTGCTTTCCGACAGTGCCCGGCCAAGGCCTGTTTGTGCCTATTTGGGGGATATTAGCCTCCCTATGGAGCACACTAATTGCCACCAGGACAATGTCGAGATGGTGGGTGGCCATCTAAGACGCCCGGCGGAACAAACAAGAGGCGCACATTTGGCAGGACCAGAGCGCTTGTTAATCTCGCATGCCAGCCCTACCCAGGGGTGCTCTGCCCCCCTCTGCCAGCCCATCCCCGTGGTGGTGCATGGGTTCCATGCCTTTATCGCACTGGCCGCACTACAAGAATGGCAATATTCCTTTTTGATACACGGCTGCTTCTTTGCACCGGGCACTCTGCTGGTCGGCCGCTCGCCGCTCGCCGCTCGCCGCCACTACCAGTACCATACGCCTGATCTCTGCCAAGAAGCGATCTCAGCCGCTTCCAGCGTTGGGGCTGTCTGTCTCAGTTCCAGAATGCAACGCTTCGCCTACGAAATGCGCACTTGTTTTGTCCACCCGTTTGGTTTATATATAGTCGCAAGGTCCACCATCCAGATTTCCTCACACCTTGAAGCCTTGAAACTCATTGCTCGTCTGATATTTTTGTCCATTCCTTCTTTTCCATCTTGCGCATATCCCGCTCAGCTCCTCTCCTTCTGCCTTCAGCTCTCTCCCTTTCAGCACGTCAGCACATTTGTTTCCTCTTCTTGCTCTTATATATATTTTTTTCAAATATGGCTATCTTTGGAGCACTCAAGCGTGGTGATGGTGAGAAGCGCTCGCACCGCTCGGCAATGTTTCTACCATCGCCGCCGTCGCCTGCAGAGGAGGTCGGGCACCGGTCCCTCAAATCCGCCCTGTCACATTCGGTCAAGGCATTGTTCGCCAAGAAACCTAGCCGGCCACAATCTGCCATTGTCAAGCACATGTCCTCTGCGCCGGCACTGAGCATCGAGATGGGTGAGCTTGCCGACGAGCCCATCCGGAGTTCCCGGAGCTCGGAGTCGCGGGCCCGTGCCCAGATCCTGGCAGAGACAGCGCGTCGCCTGGAGCTGGGTGCCAGTGCCCGGTCGCCTTCGCCGATTACCCCATCCAGCATGAGCACAGGCCGGACACTGCCTTGCTTCCCAGAGGAAGAAGAGTGCAGCAACTACGAGTACCAGGACTCGGGGGCGTCATCCAGGGCCTCGCCAATGCCTTCCTATAGCAGCAGTGTCACCTCCTCACGCACATTTACCAACCGCAACAGGCCGTCGTCAATTTTTGGAGATTCGCCGTCGCCGCATAATACCAGCAGTGGCTCGATTAGTTCGCCACGTCAACTCGACCAGCCACTCCATCGGCATCCCAGGCCACGCTGCGCCCTCAGAGCATGATGGCAAACAGCGAAGCCAGTAGGACGAAGGTGGCCACGCACGCAGCCAGCTTTGACGAGTCGCAGAACGCATCGGGAAAGCGCAGCCAGGGTCAGCGCTACTCGGTGGCCATGTCACAGAACCTGTCGCGTCGCTTCCAGACTCGCCTAACTCACGACTACGAGCAGCGCATTTACTGCCTGCACTCGCACTACTCGGATGTGATCGAGCGCCTCGAGTCGCGGGTCCGTCAGGAATCGGAGCGGGCCGACAAGCTGGAGGCTGATCTAAGTGAGCAGCGACAGGCAGTCGCCGATATGCGTCTCCAGAATTCACAAGCGACTGACAGCATGTGCATGTCCAAGAAGTTGGTTGAGTTTGTCGACAGCTACCAGACCGAAATCACCCGTCTGACGCGCGAGGCCACTGTTGCCCAGGAGTGGGTCATTACGATGGCTGAGCTGGTCATTGGCCCAAAGAAAGAGAGTCCAGAGCTGGGATGACTGGCTCAACCAGTGCCTTGACACCCTCAAAGCGCGCCGCGAGAAGCAGCGCGAGGAGGAGTGGCTTCGCAAGATTGGCTGGCAAAACCAGCAGATCCGCATTGCGCGTGGCCGCGTCATCCGCAAAGTAAAATCATTCCATTCAACATGTACATACACGATTCATTTCTATATTTCGCCATTCGTTTTTCTAACGCCATACTCGATTTTCTCTACCGCACCTTTGTTTTCAATTCCTAGTCAGCTACTTCCGTTTGAAATTAATCCTTTAGTGGGACACAATGAAATGTAATGCTTTATTCCCTTAGCCACTAGTGGTTTTGTATATAGGTCTGTCGTTGGCGTTTCAATGCTTCTATCGTAATAGCTTATTGGCATGTCAGTTGAACTGGAATATTTCCAATCCATTGATCCAGTTGAGCGATGTAATGTCCACAATGTGCATGTTACACCCGGTCTCGTTGGCAGTAGGCGGACGCCGAGACGCAAATGCGGCAGCTTTCCTGCCACACACAACATAGTAATCAACATAGCCTGCGCCTGGGCCAACAAGCCGCTCCTGGATCCTCTTCGCTATGGTTGTATCGATGTGCCGCAGCTGGATCTTGAGTTTTAGAGGGTTGAGCATCAAGCACTTCACAAACCTGACAGACGCAAATGCGCTCTCGTCATAGATCACAAAGTCCACATCTTCCAGCGATCGGCGAGACGCTAGTAGAAGACAATGGCAGAGTTGGTGTCCAACGTAGATGCTCCAGCATACATTTTGTCAAGCATTTCGTCCACATCCAATGCCCGGATTCGTTCGATGCGCACATCCATGTACCGCAGCATATCGCGGCTTCGCATGCGCAGCGATCTTTCTTCAATCAGTTCCCCCGTCTTGTCCAGGATCCAGCGGATTGCTGCCACGGCCAGCTGGTGCCTGGCCTCGTCAGTGTCCCCAATCAGCATGCCGATTTGCTCAAATGCCTGCTTCTCGTCGCCAATCTGTTCCGCAAACACCAGATTGGCAACGCGCGGACATGAGAACCGCAAGACGCCATCCTCAATGCCACTGGTGTCGATAAAGTTCCAGTCAACCACAGGGTTCTCGCAAGGGAACGAAAAGTAGACGCAGAAAATTGTCATCTTAATGTCGTTGTCAACAGTCGTGTGCGACGAGTATGGACGCGGACGCAGGGTGAATGACTCCTCTTCACGAAACTGCTGCGCAGCACGCATGAAGTCACGCTCATTGGCAACCCTTCGAGCAGTCATAGAGCGGCATAGCCGACGCAGCTCGTTTGGATGGAACCACGTGTTCTTGACCGGCCTCGTTGATGATGTTTTCTGTGCAGGCAAACCCCTTGCACCTCTCCTGCATGAAAACAACGCCCTCTTCGCGCGAAAACGACGAGTTGATGTACAGGTGTGTCGATGTGAACCGGCGCTTGATTTCCTCCGTGATGTTGTCGTCAAACGAGCTAAACACTGCAAAGCACGGTGTACGGCGCTTGAGGTTCATTAGTGTGCGGTAGGCAATACGCTCGTAGAGCTGCTTGTCTGAAGGCCAGTTTGTCGACGTTGTCATAGATGAAGACAAGTTTGAGCTGTGCCTGCTGGACAATACTCGCATATCTTGACGATAAGCTCGTTGATATGCTCGTGTGCATGGCCCTGTCTGGATCCGGTAATAGTCCTTCCACGCATCGATTTCGCCCAGGATGGCCTCGTGGTCGACAAGCGAGCAGGCAATGGCTTCAAGAATGAGCTCAATGTAGTCATAGGCAGAATCGCACTTGTCCCACTCCCCGCAGTCGCCAATATATACCGTGCGCACATTCGTGTACACCAGCCGCAGGTACACGGCGAACAGCAGAAGCAGGTGACTCTTTCCAGATCCCAAGCACCCCCGCAAAAAGAAGCCCTTGTGCATACGCTGCGCGAACGCTCGCACCATGACTTTGGGCTGAGGTGGTTGCTGCTTGTGACTGTCATTGCTCGTGCTGCCGCTGCGCTCCTCAGGGATTGCATCCTGCGTAGCCGCGCCCTGCATTGGACTTGGCGCAGTGCGAAGAATATGCGGCCAGACAGGCGTTGGTGAAACCATTGAAGCACGCCGGCTGGAAGGCTGGAAGGCCGATACCCGCTTGGTCGGTGACGGCGAGTCCCCTTCGGGCAATGTTATCGGAGCATCGATAAAGTGCTTGATGCGGTCCATCATGTCTTGCAATAGCTCCGGCCGCACCATAGTGCGTATGCGGGTTATTCGCACCTCATGCCCGTCGATGAGAGCCTGGTACGGCGTTGGTTGCAGCCAGCTGTTGTCGAGGAACTGGAGGTTTGGCAGGTCGTACATACCAGGCATACCCCAGTTGATCAGCCCTGGCTGCGCGCGCATATCCTCCAACACCAGCAGCAGGTCAAGAGCCTCACGACGCTTCTCAACAAAGTCATGCTCGTTCAGCATCAGTATCAAAAATAAGAAAAAGTGTTGAAAAATCAAAGCAGAGGAGAGATGCATGACGATGGATGCTTCCTTTGATGCTTACCAAAAAGGAAATGCAAGTTGTCAGTATTAACGGTGGAGAGAAAAAGCCTATACACGCACGGTCAAAAAAAGAACTACTCTGTGTCGCCCGAGTTCCTGCCCTCGTTCTCTGGATTCGATGGAACCGGCCCGTATGTCTTGGCCGTATTCGGCTGGATAAAAGTGCCAGTCCAGGAGATACAGCGCGGTCATGCCCGCAGCGACTATCCAGGCACGGCCATAGCCAAACACAAGTGACGCCCAGCCATAGGTATAAACCGTCATCATAGTCGGCAGCCCCAGATACACGATAACAAACATGGCAACCAGGACGCGCACAATAAAGCTGCGATACCACGGCTGGCGGCCGACCATGCGTGGCGAGTAGAATGCGCTGACAGGTGTCGCTGCGACAGGGATATACAGCAGCAGAACAACCAGGGTTATGACACTGGTCAGTGCGTACGTGTACGAGTCAAGAAGCGGCGCCCAGTCGCCCGCAATATAGATGCCGTAGACATAGACTGACCCGACACCGCTGGCGCCAGCCGACGGGATCAGCTGGCCACTGAATAGCGGGGCAATGGCGAGCAGCATGCAGAACGTGTAGGCAGGCCAGTACAGCCACGGAATGGTTGTGAAGTTGACCTGGGCTGTGAACTGGGTAGACACCAGGAACTTGCTCCACGAGCCGGCCAAGGCCATCGCAAGCTTAATCACGCTTACTGGGTTCAGCACATCACCGCGCACTAGCACCGACCAGAGATGGCTCAGTCGGGCTTCGTCCTTGTGGATGCTGCAGCGACCGCTGCACCATCCAAGTCGACGGGCTCGCCAGGCTTAACACAAACAGCCGTGGCAGGACCACCAAAAAAATCGTCATCAGAAAATAGGTCACTGTGTTGCTGGCGCGGAATATAGCAGGGAAGTCCTGCCGCATGATCCAGCCGCCGTGGGCATCGTTGTGCAGCGGAATGAGGTCTGTACCCATGTGGAACGGAATACGCTGCGTAGTAGTCTTTCCAGCTTCGTCTGTCGCCTACAACCACCATCTCATGGACCTGGCCATCGTCGTAAGCACTGGCGTCCCACGGCGACACCCAGAGCGGGATTTTGACCTTTTCGTCAGGCTTCTTCGGATCCGGCATAGGTCTCCTTGCCCTTATACACGGCAGGTGCGTCATGCGGTCTGCCATCGATTGCAATTGTGACAGATTGGACCGGTTTGTCGGCCCAAACTAGCACGCGGATGAATTTGCTGGTCCGGATTCTCTCCAGAGGCTCATGGCGCGGCAGCAAATAGCGAGCGTCCTTTGGATTTGTGACCAAGATGACTGGCGGATGCGCAATCTGCGGAGGAACAGCCAGCGCGAGCTTCTCCGGGTTGGGCATCGGCACAGCTGGCAGTGGCAGCGTGACATCAACAAACGACACCAGGTCGTTGTCGACAGCGTAGACGCGGTACAGCGCGTGGTCCTTCATATCGCCGATCTCCAGCTCCCAGTATCCGTCGCGGGCCTTGTATGCCTGAAGCTGCGCGCCAATGCCGCCGACAAGCAGGTGCAGATGGCCGCACAGAAACACGCTGACGCCCTTTGACAGCTCGCCAAATGACTTGCGATACCTTTCCATACAGCATGGTGCTCACTGGGTAGTGGTTGAGCAGGAACGTGTGGTTGGCACCAGCCGCCAGGGCCATGCGCTGCTCAAGCTGCTCCATGTCGCGAGCGTCCAGGTACCCGAAAAAGTTGAGCGGCCTGGCAAACCCGTATTTGGGGCACCCGTCGGTAGCAACGAAGGAGTACCGTCCAAACGGCTCGTTGATATCAAGCTGGTACCCGCTGGCTCCCACTGCCGAGTAGTTCTTGTAGTAGTTGCCCTGGTCGTCGAACGAAAACACGTCGAAGCAGTCGTGGTTGCCGCGCTGGTCACGGTAGAAGGTGCCGGAGAACCTTTCCTGCACACCAAAGTCCTTCAGCGCATTCTGGTACGCCTGCCACTCCTCAATCTGCTGCATCGACGTCAGCCGCTGCTCGTCTTTGCCGTCGGTCAGGTCGCCGGTGATGGTGACCAGTCGCGGCGCGATCAGCGGCACCGCAGTCTTCAGGAAATGCAGGAAGTGGACGTACCCGCCACGGGGCACAAACTTGCTGATGTGGATGTCGGAGGCGTGGACGAACGTCAGGACGTTGTCGCTGCTATCGCCAAGAGCGCTGCTGTCATGTGATGCAGCCGCTGTGCTGCCTTGCTGGCTGTCGTGTACCGGCTTGCTCGCCAGCGTGCTGTTGGCGGACCGGAACAGGTGGCAGCCGTAGAGCCAGCACAGCAGCGTTGCGACAAGCAGGCCACCCGAGTGAAGCAGCCTCCTGCTCTGCATCGTGTGAATTGTAATTCTATGAGTTGGGAAAAAGGGTACTGAAACAGAAATTGAAGGCGGGAGTGGAAAAGAGCAGGGTAAGCGCAAGGCTGAAGAGCGGAAATCGGCCGTTACGTTTGGCATGCCACACCAGCCTGTGCAACGCTTTGTCATGCACGCGGATGCTGCTGTGGCATCATGTCTGAGTACACCCCAGCGGGACCCGCATTGCACCTGGACCTGGCTCTACTGATCTGGTCGGCACCTGGCGTCACCTTTTATGCCTTGTGCCATTTCAGCTGCAGCGCTCATGCACTATTCTGCAAGCAGAGAATGGATTCGATGCCCTTTGCGGGAGTTTGAGCGATAGCCTGGCCCGTTCTTTCCCTAATTTGCGATTCCGAACCTTCTCTTCCTGCAATATTTTTGTGCTGCTTTTTGGACAATTCCCACCCGTGTTTCCTGTAGCCCTTCTACCCGACCCCGTTTATCCACATCGCGTAGCTAATATCCGGCCATGGAGACTGTTATCCACAACATCACATATGTAACAATAAACAACTACATTGTCAATGGCACCGCCTCAGACACACCCACCGGCGCGCTTTACAAACGCAAAGGCTCCCAGTCCGACAGCAACAGCGGCATCGATATCAACCAGATTGACCTGTTCAGCGGCGTGCCTGCACTGCTGGCGCTGATAGTCGGTTTCCTGCAATTCCTCCCCGATCCGACCCGCGGCTATCGCACAGTCCTCCTCAAATACATCCGATGGCTGAGGCAGCAGAGCGAGCAGGAGTTTGGCATTGCACTGCGCGCATGCGAGAAGAACTGCCACACAACATCGTTCCGGGTTTCGCAGTCGTCGATCGAAGAGCGCGCCAAGGCCGATGTAGATGAGGAAGACGCGCCCATGTGCCACAGCCAGCAGCTGCTACGGATAGATGATTTGGTAAAAATCATTCAGAACGGCAATGCCGAGACATTCGTGTGCTTGGCGCGCATAACCCGCTATGTGCACATGCAGGAATTGCGGAAGGCAGTCAGGATTGTATCGTATATACCAAAGTCCGGGCGGCGGATTGTTGCTTGGCAGTGGATCCATGTTGCCGTCAAGTACCTTTTCTTTGCGATGTTCTATGGTGCAGTGGCACAGTTCTTCTCTCGCCTATTCACCCTGGTCAGGCACCGGATACAGCCGTATTTCGGAAAGCACTCGGATGGCTCGAAACCAGAACTACCCGATATCTACCGAATGTCAACCTTTGGCGCAGCACAAACTTGTATGTAGCCAGCTTCCATGGGTGCAGTTTGGCGTGTATTCGCTGCTGTCTGAGCTTGCCGGGAAGCGGATTACATTTCGGCTGAAGGACCGGGACGAAGGAAATCGGCCGGACCGGTGGCACAATCAGCGACGAGTCACTGGACCTCAGCGAGAGCACAGATGGCCCTGTGCGCGAACGCCGACTTATATCCATGCTCTACACCGACCACTGCTCGGTAGCCCAGTGCATGTCAGCCATTGGCATCCAAGCAATCCGCATTGCACTGCTGCGCAAGTACGTCGGATCAATGCCATTGCATTTAGTATGCGGTCTCTGGGCGTCATTGAAGATTACACAGGGCGACGGGTACATGGTCTTTCAGCACGACAAGCTGGCCAACAACTTCATGGCGCTATATGGCATGTTGACCAAAACAACATCGGTTCGGCACACTGCAACCGAAAACTCCGACATGTATGGTGGCATTAGCCATTCGGCTACCATGATTGGGCCGTCCTGGAAAAAACCACGCACCCGCAAAGCCTCAGCTCCCCGCCCTATCAACCCACGCGCGGTATATTACGAACACAGCTACCGGAGCTTGCTGCAGATGCTCAATTCACCGCTAGGAGAAGGCCATCACCAGCGAGTACGAGTTTGTCAGCGTGCTGAATCTGTCGCTGGTAAACTTGAATCGTAACCAATGATGGGTCAAGCCGCTTCGCACCCAACTGCGAGATCTTTGGTGTGCCGGTTCCGCAGCCAACATACGACAAGATCTGTCGTAGCCAGGACCGCATGATCTGGATCATCGACACTGTGCTCAACCACTATCAAAGCTGGGAAATCCACTGGAGCGTCAGCTCATGGACCTTACGGCTCCTGTATATGGTACGCAGCGCGAGATCCCGCCTACCAATGATAACAAGGAGCGACACCACACGAATCAAGGCAGAACAGCGGCGCATTGTGCATATCGGGGTTCCAGCACAAGTATCATCTGTGGCTAGGCAAGGTCCGGCGTGCAATTGCTAGACGCGAGAGCGGAACCGCAACGTGGGCATGGCTTGCTGAGAAGCTGTTCACTCCTGAAGCTGTCACTCCTCGCGCCTTGTATGTGAGCAACCCCGAGTGGTGCACCTGTGCTAGCCACTGCGACGCAACATGCACGCTGCTGGCAAACACCTTCGATCTGTTCATCCCCGAGGGATACTACCTGACCATCCCGTATCTGCTGGCTAGCGAGACGCGGCCACGCACGCTGCTGTGCACTCGCGATATCAGATTTGTCTCTGAGGCACTCGAGCACCATCGTCTAGGCGACGCAGTCAAGCGAGATTGCGATGGTGGACAGTTCCAGGACCCCAGATAGTCCTGATTCCGGTTTGTTCGCTTTGGCAACCGCTCAGTCATGAGCGAGTACTACTACTCGATGGTCATGGACACGTCGAAGCGGCCACTGGTCCTGTGTGACAGCCGTATATATGATCTGAAGCTTGCTCCGCTCAACCCAGTACATCGATCCTATCGACGGTGACTAGACCCTGCCAACCCGAATGATATTCCTGGAGACGGCGGAGACCAAGTTTCGACAGCGAATATACAGGACTATATGGACAAGGACCCGACACTGCAGACACTACGCCGTGAATTCCACTCTTCATAGTTTTTATATACCAAGACACGACTTTGCATACTTTTTCCAGCCCGGTTCAAATAGCACCACATTAACACGTTTCGACGCACTCTTCTATTGATTTTCTTTCTAGAAGGTTGACATGCCCAATTCAACAGGGATGCACAAATCGATAGCCCTAACTCGATGGCCTTTTCTTTCACCAGAGTGTCACATTGTTCTTCTCTGGTATTTCTTTCTTCAGGACACAGCCATCAATCACCCGCGCCACCATGGAGACGATCGTACAAAACATTACCTACGTGACAAGTATATTATCTCGCGAATGGGACCATCCCATGAACTGCATAGCCTACACAAGCGCAAAGGCAACGACAACAGCGACGATTCAGGAGGCATAGGAATCCGCGAAATCGACCTCTTCAGCGGAGTTCCGGCCCTTTTCGCCCTAATTGTCGCTTTCTTGCAATTCCTCCCTGGACCCACTCGGGGATACCGCAAGACACTCGTCCGGTACCTGCGCTGGCTAAGGCACCAAAACGAACACGAATTTGGCATTACCCTGCATGCGTGTGAAAATAGATGCCACACAAAATCATTCCGCGTCTCACAGTCGTCAATTGAAGAGCGTGCCAAGGTGGATGTCGACGAGGAGGATTATCCGGTATGCGATGGGCACCAGACTCTGAATGCCGACGACCTGATTAAGATTATTCAGAACGGCAGTGCTGAGGGGGTTTTGAGCTTGGCCAGAATCACAAAGTATGTGCACATGGATGAGCTTGAGAAGGCAGTTAGGTTGATTTCCTACATCCCCAAGTCTGGGCGACGGATTGTTGCTTGGCAGTGGATCCATGTCGGCGTCAACTACTTTTTCTTTGCGATGTTCTATGGCTCCATTGCACGACTCTTCTCCACAACTCTTATACTTTGCCAAGCATTTGGCGATTGCTGGCCGTAGGCAGACGCCTTCGACAATCGCGAGTATGAGGATCCGGGGCTATACAGAATGTCGACTCTGGCGCAGCACAAACTGGCTTGTAGTCAGCTGCCATGGGTGCAGTTCGGCACGTACTCGTTGCTGTCTGAACTCGCCAGCAAGCGCATTACATTTCGACTGAAGGACCGTGACGAGGAAATCGGCCGCACTGGCGGCACCGCGCACGAAATCGATGCACTGGGACTCGGTGAGAATATTGAAGGGCCTGTGCGCGAGCGCCGTCTTTTGACCATGATGTTCACAGACCACTGCTCTGCTGCACAGTGTATGTCGGCCATCGGCATCCAGACGATTCGTATTGCGCTCTTCGGCCATTACATTGGCTCCATACCATTGCACTTAGTGTGTGGCCTGTGGGGGTCGCTGAAAATCACCCATGGCGACGGGTACATGGTCTTTCAGCACGACAAGCTGGCTAACAACTTCATGGCGCTGTACGGACAGCTGCTGAGAACTACGTCCATAGTGCATACTGCCAACGCGACCTCTGAAACTATACGGCAACAGCAGTCGTGCTACCAGCGTGACTGCACCGCTCTGGAGACGATCGCTGACACGCAAACCCAAGCCGTCGCGGACAATCGCCCCACAGGCAATCTTGTACGAAGAAAGATACCACGGTCTTTTCAGCCATACTGAACTCGCCGTTGGGAGAGGCTATCACCAGCGAGAACGAGTTTGTCGGCGTGCTGAATCTGTCGCTGGTTAATTTGAATCGCGGGCCGGATGGAAAAAGCTACTTTGTGAACGACTGCCGAATCTGCAACGTAGCCGATTTCGGCAGAGGTGTATAGCAAAATATGTCGGTGTCAGGACCGCATGATCTGGATCATCGACACTGTGCTCAACCACTATCCAAAGCTGGGACATTCACTGGGGCGTGTGTCCATGGGTGCTAAGGCTCCTGTATATGGTACAGCGCGAGATCCCGCCTACCAATGACAACAAGGAGCGACACCTACACGAATCAGGGCAGAACAGCGGCGCTTGTGCATATCGGGGTTCCAGCACAAGTACCATCTGTGGCTAGGCAAGGTCCGGCGTGCAATTGCTAGGCGTGAGAGCGGAACCGCAACGTGGGCATGGCTTGGCTGAGAAGCTGTTCACTCCTGAGGCTGTCACTCCTCGCGCCTTGTATGTGAGCAACCCCGAGTGGTGCACCTGTGCTAGCCACTGCGACGCAACATGCACGCTGCTGGCAAACACCTTCGATCTGTTCATCCCCGAGGGATACTACCTGACCATCCCGTATCTGCTGGCTAGCGAGACGCGGCCACGCACGCTGTTGTGCACTCGCGATATCAGATTTGTCTCTGAGGCGCTCGAGCACCATCGTCTAGGCGACGCATCAAGCGAGATTGCGATGGTGGACAGTTCCAGGACCCCAGATAGTCCTGATTCCGGTTTGTTCGCTTTGGCAACCGCTCAGTCATGAGCGAGTACTACTACTCGATGGTCATGGACACGTCGAAGCGGCCACTGGTCCTTTGTGACAGCCGTATATATGATCTGAAGCTTGCTCCGCTCAACCCGTACATCGACCTGTCGACGGTGACTAGACCCTGCCAACCCGATAATATTCCTTGGAGACGGCGGAGACCAAGTTCGACAGCGAGTATACGGACTATATGGATAAGGATCCCGACACTGCAGACACTACGCCGGTGAGTTCCACACGATACACCATTGCTAATAAAATCTCCACCTAATACAGAAATGTCTACTGGAGCTTCAGATGCTCCCAGTCGTGCGGAATAGCCAAGCTCTCCTCGCCAATGACAGCCAGCGACGAGAACTGCGCGGCCTCGGGCACCAGGATACTTGGCCAGCAACGTCCTTCAGGTCATTGGCAGTGACGGCAAAGAACTGGTCCCTGCGTTCCTGGCGCATGTCATCGGTAATACCCGTGGTGAAATACGTCATTCCCTCCTCGGACACCTGAGATGGGGTTGTCGAGGTCGCCAAACACAGAGAGCTTGGCCTCCGACATCTCACGGTCCGAGATCTGGATGCTCGGTGATCCACTTGAATCGACTTGGCAAAGGTCTCGACGGTCTCCAGCGGCGACGGGTCGCGGTACGAGAAGAAGCCGAAAATGCCCTGCAGCGCCGAGTACGAGGCGCCGCCACCGTATGCACCGTTGCGCTCGCGGATCTCACGGTGCAGGTAGTTGGGGGTCAGGAACTTGGCCAGCAACTGCAGCTTGACGCTGTCCGGGTGGCTGTAGGGCACGGTGCGGATGGCCTTGCCAGGCGTAGTTTGTGGCAAACGGCAGCGGGCAGAAGAAGCGGGCGCTGGTGGGCTCGAACTTGGAAGCCGACAGAGTGCGATGCCTCATCGGTGGAGAGCTGCGGGTACGTGTCAATGAACCTGTCCAGCATAGCCTGGTTCTCATCGACGCTGCCCTTGTTCGTGGTAATGGCGGCGCGCATCGTCAGCTTGTTGAACACGACCTGCTGCACCTGCTTCAGCTTCTCGACGACCGGCGACAGATCCGCCAGACGGGACAGGTCGCTAAGGAACTTGACCTGCGAGATGCCGTTGATTGCCTCAAGGACATTCATCTCAGGCGTCAGGGTCGAACCAGCGAGCCGGCGAGCGAAGGCATGGCCGGAGCTGGCAACATCGTTGAACATGCTGGATGACAGGGCTGTCAGCAGCGTGCGCAGGCGTTCGGTGTTGTCAAAGTCGGTCTCGCGAACCAGCTTCCAGAACAAGGTTGTACATGGGCTCGATGTGCTGGTCCAGGCAGTGTGAGCCGAATGAAGATGCCAGCCTCGATGTGACCCAGGTTGCCCAGATCGGTGCTGACGAACGGCGAGAACGACACGCCGCCGGTGTGCAGGCGGATGTCGGTCTCAATGTCCGACATCGACCGCGACTTGGTACCGAGATATGTCAGGGCGTCGCAGAACAGCGGCAGGTACGGCCGCAGCTCTGGGTACTTGTCGCGGACGTCGTTGATGATACGCAGGTAGCTGATGCCGTTGGTGGCCTGTAGGTGCGCCACTGCACCGGTACGCTGCCGCCGGCGGCGCTCATGTCCAGGGCGTACCGCTCGGCCTTCTCGTTGACGTCAGCCATGGTGAGTGTGGGCAGCGAGCTCAGGTCCTCCTTGCGCATCTGCTCCTTGGCCAGCGCCCTGTTCTTCTCGTCAATCACCTGCAGATCGGTGTTGGTCAGCTTCGCCAGCTTGTCCTGGATCATGCGCTGCTCGCTCTCTTCCAGCTGCTGGTTGTACTTGGCGTCAGCCAGCATGATGTACTTGAGCTTGTGCTTGCTGTTGGCAAAGTACTTGTCAACGATGTTCTCAAAGAACTTGCCCTGCTCGACGTCTGCCCGCATGCGCGCAATGTTGTCGCTGACCTTCAGGTAGTCGACCGGATCGACGCCGTGGAACCAGCCAGTCGACAGCGACTTCATCAGGGACATGCCAAAGTTGGCTGTCTTGTGCTTGTACGCCAGCTCGATGCCCGCCAGAGCTGCATCCACGCGCTTGCGCTCAAATCCCCTCGTCACGCACCTTGGCAAAGGTCTCGCCAATGCGCTGCTCGACCAGCGGGATGTCCTTGTCGGCCAGGCCCTGCAGACCGACCGACAGCGACGTCTGGCGCGTGAACGGGCTATAGCCCGTGTTGGACGAGTAGTCCGAGCCAATCTGCGAGTCAATCAGCGCCTTGTGCATGGGCGCTGCTGTGCCAGTGCAAAAGCAGGCTCGAGAACATGCTCATCGAGAACGTCTCGTAAACATCCCGCAAATCGTTGGTAAGGTACGATACCGAAAACTTGGTCTGCTTGTCAGGCGACCCGACGCTCTCGATCGGCCCAAACTCCGTCACGGTCTTCTCGACCAAACGGCGTCACCTCCATCGGCACGCTGCCGGGCTGCAGCCGCTCGTGCCGCGGCCACAAGCTTGTCGACGCGCTCCAGCTGTGGCGCCAACGGGGAAGTTTCCGTACGAGTAGATGCGGGCGTTGCTCGGGTGGTAGCGCGTGTGGTGGAAATGCACCAGCTGCTCGTGTGTCAGGTCAGGGATATATGCAGGGTCGCCACCGCTGACGTACTGATATGTTGTGTCAGGATACAGCTGCTGCTCGGCGCGCTGCGCAAACAGACTGCCGGAATCCGAGAACGCCCCTTCATCTCATTGAAAACCACGCCCTTCATCTGGTACGCCGATGTCGAGTCGCTCGGATCGCTGCGCTCGAGCCGCCACCCCTCCTGCCGGAAATCCAGCTCAGGTCAGCTTCGGGTTGAACACCGAGTCCAGGTACACGTTCTGCAGGTTCTCGTAGTCCTTTGCGTTCTGCGTCGAAAACGGGTACTGCGTGTAGTCGTGCGCTGTCCACGCATTCATGAACGTCGACATCGACCGGTTCAGCATCTTGAAGAACGGGTCGCGCACCGGGTACCGCTCCGACCCACACAGCGTCGTGTGCTCCAGGATATGTGGCACACCAGTGCTGTCGCTGGGCGATGTGTTGAACCCGATGCTGAACACGTTGTTCGAGTCGTCACGGTCGATGTGCAGCCACTCGGCGCCTGTGCGCGTGTGACGCAGACGGATCGCTTTCAGCTTCAGCTCAGGACACGCTCTGCACGCTCTCCACTACAAACCCATGGAGCTCCTGATCCTTGACCAGTGCTGACGCCGACACCACTTTCGCCTTGGCCTCCTCGGCCTTTTGTCTGGGCTGCGTACTGGCTGAAAACGCCCGGCGGCACAGCGGGAGCTGCTGGGAGGGGCTCGAGAGCAGCGCGGGCATAGTACGCTGACACACAGCTGGTGCCTCGTGATAGTGGCCGAATCGACCTGGCGGCCGCGCTTAAAATGACACTCCTCATTCTGATTCTGGTTAAAGAGTGCGAAAAGTGGTGAATCTATTATATGCGAAGAAAAGGAAGCGAAGAAGAGATAACCAGCCAGCAAACGTCGGCTATTTGCCGCCCCCCTTTGTCTTCATCAACTTGCTTAGCGTCATAATCTACCGCTTTGCGTTTACGAACCCCCCCCCGTGTGTAACAGCCTCACTTTCTGAAGAGCCCTGACACGGCGTCAAGGAACTCGCGCGGCCGCTCCCAAGCGACATTATGACCAGTCTCGAGCAGCACTACCTTGTTCTCCGGGAACTGCTGATCAATAGCGGGCTTGTCGTTCGGCGGTCCAGAACCTTGACTTTGTTCCACACACAAACAGCGTCGGCCCACCGAACGTGCGCACTGATCCCATCGGCGTTTGCTGGCACATCCCACCCGCCCATGTACTGGTATCCTTCGAGCAAGTTGTCGAGCGAAATCTCCCACTTGTACTCCATATCCCCGCGCTGCTTGGTCAGGTTAGATAACACAAAGCGCCGCATCCCGGCATCCTCCACGAACTCTGCCAGCATCTCATCAGCCTCCCTGCGCGACTTGACATGTCCTGTCGCTAATTTTGCGCATGCCCTCAATATAATATCCATAGTCGTGCATCAGCTTGACCCTGCAGGGCACATTGTCCTCGACGACAAGCCGGTCAACCAGCCCGGGGTTCATCAGTGCTGTCGTCATGCTCACTTTGCCGCCCATCGAGTGGCCCATTAGAGAAACACGGTCAACGCCCAACGCCCTGACAAATGCTTCAATATCGTCGACCATTTCCTGGTACCGATGCGGGTATATATGCGGGCTCTGGCCATGGTTGCGCATATCGAGTGCGTAGATATCGTGGTCGATCAGCCTGGCCATGCGTGGAGCGATGCTCATCCACTGCCGCTTTCGATCCAAAGAACCCATGCATGCAGAGAAGAACAGGTTTGCGCTCAGTGGCCTTTTCATCGGCCTTGTAGAGCTGGTAGGCGAGCGGAAGCGACGACATTCTGCGATTCTGCGTCGTCATCGATGGTGGCCACTGCGCCAAAGTCCTTGTACGTAATGTGTTCATAGCGATTTTGGAAGAATCGTGCACGGAATATGCTGGAAGAGAAAGGAGTCAAAGACTGTTGAGCAGTAGAGACGAACAGCAGTCCCAATAGTCTCTCCCATCGGCAGCGGAGCATGTCGCTTGTATTTTTAGCCGAAGCCGATCAACTGCACAGTTTGGGAAATTAAAAACTGATGGATTTTGGCCATAGCGCACTAGGATTCTAGGATTTAGCGTATCCTACGGCGTTTGCATAGGAAGGCATGTACGTTAGCCAGATATATTACCCCTCATGGGAACCGCTAGATACAGCAGCTCTAAACATTCTATGAGAAAGGTTGTAGTCCATACCGCCGACTGTGAGGGACAGATCCAGAATCCTGTGGCCATCTAGAAGAATAGCCATGCGTATACCTCCCAGAGCTCAGTCAGCTAATATCCTAATCCGTCCCAAAGGAGGGGGCCAAATCGGAAAACTCGCTGTCCCATTTTCGCTCGTGTTCGTGGCCGTTTTGCCACTCCTATCGTCTACCTCCACATTCTTGTCCTGTCTCCCTTTCATGATGCGGCGACCGTGAGGGGAACATACAAGAAAGCGTGCAATGAGTTCGCAGGCTAATGAGGCTCTAGTAGACAAATTAGTCACGAAAGGCAAACACCTCTGCCTTCTTTAATTGTATAAGAGGATAGATCAGAAGACATAGCAGTGTTTTTCGATCCGAAGGTATGAATATTCATGCATGAGATGTCTAGAGATGATGAGTACGGATAAAGAGCGAGTCAATTCTGAAAACAGCAGTCTGCAGCTCATGGTCCGGGGCTCAAATACATCCCTCTGGAACAGCAGTCCAGCAACTTGCACATGGCTCATGGCTCATGGCTCAAAGTGCACAATACATAGCCTGGAATTGCTAATGCTTGCAATAGAAAATATTGCTGAACTTCAGCACGGCATCCACTGATTCAACGGAGAGAAAATGGATGACGGTGGGAGAAGCGATCCGCTCAGCAGCTTGTGGATCCCTGCTTTGTGGCAGGTGTGAGCACAGCGTCGAACACACCCTACAATTCCCTCTTTACAATTACCCCACGCATTGCCTCCAGAGAATGACATGGAGCCTCTCTATGGCCATGCCTACCTATATTTCTAAGTGAATCTGCGCTGACCCAGAACATAGCATGTGTTTCCCTCTGGTCGAGACAGGCTGGCTGAGGATTCACCGTCGGGCGAGTAGTCCAGCTGGTGCTGTAGGATCTGCCAAAAGCACTGGGCATATGCTCCACAGCATCTTCTGAAGCTTTTCCGACAATATCGTGGTGGATTTTTTACCACCGCACAGCAGCTATTCGTGAGTCAAAAGCAGTGGATGGACAGACGGTGTATGGATGTTCAACTGCTGAGCCATTGGATGTGCTGCAAAATGAAACGAAAGCAGAACAAGCAACTGCACTCTGCAGTGCACGCCATATACTATACGCAAACATGAAAAGACAGTTTAAGAGAGAATTTATTGATGAAGAATCCGTCAAATTGCAGATAGGATTTGCTAATATATAGGAGGGAGAGATACTGCAATTGGCACAATGGTAACCGACCCAAGAACAGTCCACTGCTCTCAAGGACTGCGGTAGCCGAGGTTGGCTCAGATAACAGCGGCCATGCTGGCTTGGTTCAGTCCGCTTTGGTCCGGCTAGCTGCGCAGGGTCCTTGCAGAACTTGTAACAAATGTCAATAACCCTTAAATCCGAAATTTGGAAAGGTATCATGCGGTTCTTTTTCATGGAGGAGTTCATATGAAAACTACTTTTTTGTTAGAGAATGAACGAGATGAACTGGATATTCATGATTGAATAGCTAGTCTTCGAATTAGAGTATAGATACAGGAGTTGGAATGTGATGAATTCGACTCTATTCCATTCGTGAACCATGGCTTAAATACCTGCCGTGGGGCTGAGGGTCGCGCGTTAGCCTCTTATTTCAGGTTCTATGCTCACGATATGATTCCAGACATGGTGGTTGAAATGAGAAAACTCGCTGAACTCCAAAGGCAATCTTCCAATTCAATAAAGGAGGAGCGGAAGAGGCAGAGTGAATCGATTTTGCCAGCAGAATGTTGATCGTTCATTTATGACAAGAGCAGGGGTCATTTCAGGCACCTCCAACAATGCCTTGCCACAATATCTCCGCATATTGTCTCCAAGAGAATAGCGAGAGCCTCTCTTTGGTCATGCATGGCCATTTTGCTAATGCAAGAAATCTAGCCTCGGGATATACATCAAATTCTAACTGCAATGCAATTTAAGATCTTATAATGAAATAACTTTTTTGCAGAACGCTCTCCACACAGCCATTTTGTTGCAGCAAGGCAACAGGCTAAGATGTACCTTCAGATACAACAGCAAGTTGTTGGTCTGTTGTACATATGTGAGAAATTGTAGGGTCCAAGTGAATATGGAGATGGGCAGCATTGGATGTGACCTAAACACGTTTGTTTTTACAGATGGCGGAAACAGCTACTAAATGTTCAGGGATAATGTAGCCATCATCGTGCTTCAGCATCAACCATAATCATGCCATGCTAATTAAAAATCGTATCTGCTAGCATTTAGGTTTAGCGTTTGGATCACCATTGAGACTTCGCCGCTATCCTTGACCATTCTCTCATTTCTATGCCGTTGATATGCTACCGAATGAAGCTGAACTACTAACGACTGGTGTTAAGTCTCCCAGCACAAGTAAATATGTGACGCATGCTGCAAGCCCTGAAGAAGTACTATTCACACACCGCAGCGACGTAAACCAATTAGTATCAAATGCGCACTCATCGGGCGACGTGTTTGGTGATTTTTTGCAATTGGTTTCGGCGATTAGCGAGCGGCAGGATCAGTTCATGAAAGATGCTGGGACACGTACTATCTCCTACGAGAGAACTTGGGATGCACTCATGCTTGAGGTCTGCAATAGTGCACTGCCGGATCAGCTTAGACAGTGGTTGTCGTTGGCTTTTGCTGGGAACACTTGGTCTGGTGCGCCAGAGATGGAGGGACCCTGTATTTTCTGAGGTGCTGGACTCAGAGTTGCCGGAGCTGGTTAAACCAGACATTTCTGCGAACCAGCTGCCTCAGAAATTATCAGTGTTCAGTTTGGCACATATCTCCACACCTCAGCCGGAAGAAGAAGACGATGCAGACAGTGATACCAGCCGCTTTGCACGCCATGTGCTATCATCGGTTGACAGTGCACTCAGGTTCCTACAGCAATTTCGTGAGGGGTGTCAGCTTCTGGAAAAGACGCATATCCAGCGATTCACGCAGTCGGCTATCAAAGAAACAGTCGCAGAGACCATCGAGCACATCGTTCAGTCGGCCGCCGGGAAATGGGGAACCGAGTGCCTCGACATTCTCCGGATGAGCATAGCTAGCACAATGGCTGTTTTCGATACCTTCATCTCGTCGCCATCCTACTCGATTGCAGAGTTTTCTGAAACACAGTTGTTTACCCGCTTCTCTGACCTGCGCACATCAGAGCTATTCAGCATCATAATCGACTATCCGGACACACGGGCGGCGATTTCCGATCTGCATGATTGTGTCAAGCAACTCAACAATCTTCGCAGCGTCGCCACGTCCCTCCGTGCAGCAATCCAGAAGCGGCTTTTGCATCCAGGGGCCACGACAAACGACATTCTGACGCAATACATCTCGGCGATTCGTTGTCTGCGTCTTCTTGACCCAACAAGCACAGTGCTGGAAATTGTCGCAGGTCCAATCCGCGGATACCTTAGATCAAGGGAGGATACGGTGATGTGTATCGTGCAGGACATGGTGGCCGAGGAAAGCGAGCTATTTGAGGATCTGGCAAGCGGCGGTATAATCGAAGACGATGAGGCAGGAGGGCGTGATATACGACGAGGACGCTGAGGATATGGAGTGGGAGCCACTGCCCTGTGGAGGCAAAGGCAGTGTATCTGACGGCACAGCGGCGGGACGCGGATGTACTGAGCTTGCTGGTCAGTATTTTCGACACCAAGGATGTGTTTGTCGAGGAGTTTGAGAAACACCTGGCCCATCAGCTTCTTTTGTGCGCTGACTACGAGACGCAGCGCGAGATCAAACAGGTCGAGATGATGAAACTCAGGTTTGGCGACGAGGCGCTTGAGCGGTGCGAGGTTATGCTGAAGGACTTGGCTGATTCGAAGCGCGCCGACCAGTATATCGCAGAGGTCAGCGTGCACAACGGGTGGGAGATGCCAATGCACACGACGGTTGTATCACGGCAGTTCTGGGGCAGCGTGCCCAGCGAGCAGTTCACGATGCCTGCAGAGATGGCCTCACTACGGGACCAGGTACAGTGGTGTGTACGAGTCGCTAAAGGCGGCCCGGAAGCTCGAGTGGCGTGATGCGCTAGGAGCGGTGACTCTGGAGATCGGGCTTGCTGATCGGACATTAGAGGTCAGTGCTAAGCCGGCTCAGGCAGCGGTGCTGTATGCTTTTAGCGGCAGGTCTAAAATGACTCCTGGCCGAGGTATCTCAGGCACTGGAATGTTCGGAGGAGTTTGCACTGCCGAGGATCAGGTTCTGGCAGGCGCGCGGTGTCATTCGGGAGACCAGTGGTGGCGTGTTCGAGGTGGCTGAGTCGGAGGCGATGGCCACGGATGCTACACGCAACGCTGACAAGAGTATCGACGATACGGCTGAGGAGGACGGACTGGAGGAAGTGGGTGGTAGATGGGACAGGGCTGGAGTGCTGGTGCACATACTGAAGCACTGCGTGTGCACTTCAAGTATGTGGTCGGCATGCTGACCAACTTTGGGCCACTGCCCCTGGACCGCATCCACAGCATGCTGGACATGTTTCTGCCAGGCGAAAAGATCGAGCCAGATGAGCTCAAGGCGTTCCTGGCGCTGATGGTGCGCGAGGACAGGCTGGAGCAAACAGGCGGAATGTATAAACTCAAATGAACATTTAATTCTACCACATAAACCGCTGGAGCCGACCAGGCTCCGAGTCCCACGTAAATGGCTTGTTCAGGAACACCCAGACAGTCAGCGCATTGATCGCTGCGAACCACGCCAGCTCGAGCACAGTGCCCCTTGTGCCTGGCGGGGAGCAGTTGAGGCGGAAGAAAAAGTACGGCACAGTGAAGTACCGAAACTCGAGCAGCGGCGAGGGCACCAGCACAGCCATAGTGCAGGCAGCGAGTGCCAAAAGCCAGAGTGTGGACTGGCGACGCTTGGCGCACTGGTACATGGCCCACATGGCGTAGGCGTACAGCGGCGTCAGCGCATACCTGACTGCCCAGTGGCGCCGGTAGACGTTCTTCCAGACATAAAACGGATAGTGGCGGTTGTCGCTGAGCAGGAACGGGTGCTCGATGGTGAATCTGTCGACAATCACCACCATAAGGGCACATAGAGCGATTTCCGAAGCGAGCTGACGGGGACTACGGGGAGGCTGTGGAAAACCGAAGCCGCCAAAGAAGTTAGTGCGGGCCAAAAGTTGTTTTGGTTCTGTGGGACGTAGCAAGTCATGCCTGTGTGATGGTCTGGCTTAAAAATAGTGGGGAGATCTACCTACCGGGATTTGAGGCGACGGGCAAACTGCAGCGGACTGGCAGAGAGCACGATGGAGGGCGCAGAGATGCCAACAGCATACGAGCAAAAGTAAAACATCTGCGGCAGGTGGGTGCCAGCCTCATGGTGGCTCTTATCGCCAAGCACAATGCCCTGGTTGACATACAGAAACACAGCAAACATGCCCACCACCGCCATGTACGGAGTGAGAAGCTGCAGGATCGACAGTACATGTCGGTCGAATCGCAACACCCACTTGAGCAGCTGGACTAGGGACTGCTTCAGGCTGGATTCGGCGATCCCTTGTTTGCGCTGGATGCTGGTCAGTGCTGCCGAGAAGCCGATGAAGGCGACCCACACGACGTTCGTCTGGCGGAACCACAGCGACACAAACCCAGAGAGCCCGGCCAGCGCATGCTGCCCCTGGAGGCTCAGTGCATAGGCCAGGAGCACAAACAGCAGCGAGCCCGTGTCCGTATAGTACAGGTGGTGGAGGAAAAACGTGACTGGAAAGAGCGCCAAGGCCAGTGTTAGCAATGCGGAATTCAGCGCCGAGGCCTGCGGCAGGCTGTGGCGGGTGACAAGGAAGTGGGTGGTCCAGAACAATGCCAGCCCGAGTACCCAGTTAGTGGTGCGCAGCATATCGACGGAGCACGGGTTGATGCCCAGCGCCCACGCGGGCACGAGCGACACCAAGTATAGACCGGGCGGCGTGGTCAGCTTGGGGTCCCATTCGTGGAACGAGCCTGCGCAATAGCGCTGCGCCTGCGGAATGTGGAATATCTCGTCCATGTACGGCTCGGGAACAGCGAGGGCGACTTGCCTCAGCACGGCAAAGCTGGCGGAAGCGTAGACGCCGAAGGCTGCTGCAGCGAGTGGCAACCGAGACATGGTCAATGCTGTATGGAAAGGTGCTAAATATAGACGGAGGAATCGAAGGCGAGCAAGATTGTTTTTTGGCCATGCCGACTGCTGCGTTCGTCTGTGCCGGAGGGACCGGGCCAAGGCGTCGCGAGGAACACTATGGTTGGGCGTGGGGGCGTGCCCAGCCAATCACGGGTAGGTTCCCGGCGAGCCAAGTGTGAGTTCGCGGTTGTTTCCTGGCCACCGGCAAGCTTTTCTTCGCCTTTCTTTTCAAATTTCTTTTTTATACTCTTAAGCAGCAGCAGCAGCACTTTTATTTTGCTCAGCTCCGTGTACTTTCTTTGCGTCACTGGTTTCTACACCCACTCTTCCTTTCCCTTTGGCACTTTTTTTCATTCTTCATTCGCATACATTTGGCAACCTCCTTTTCGTTTATTGCTTTTCTCTCCCCCATTCGTGTGACCATGGCAGACGCAGGCAATCCATCAGCTGCTGAACACAACATTCAGACAAATGCCAACGACAGCACAGCCCTAGAGCAGCAGGTACCGGCGGCAGCGGCAGCTACAGCAGCAGCGCCGAACGGCGTGATTGCCAAAGTATCGACCCCGACAGCGTGCATAAAGTGTGGACAGGGTATAGCGGACCAGTGGGTGCCACTTCAAACCGGGGTCTGCCATCCCCAGTGCTTCTGTTGCGAGGTAAGCCTATCGGGAAAAAAGCACCCAAACAATCTATTATGGAAATATGAGCAGCAGCAAAGGCAGCATGCATCCTTTCCATGCCCACATCTAAACATCCTCCTCTGCCTGCCCCTGCTAGGACTGCGGCACCAACGTCGAAGACAACTACTGCCTGCTGGAGGACGCAGACACGCCAAAGCAGCCCCACCTTCTATGCGAGAAGCACTACTTTGAACGCACAAACTTTGTGTGTGCAAAGTGCAAGCAGCCGCTAGACAGCACATATGTGCACGCGCTGGGCCGCAAATACCACCCGGAGCACTTCACGTGCACCGAGTGCCAGACGATTTTTGGACCCGACGGCACATACTACGAGCATGACGGCGAGCCGTACTGCCTGCACCACTACACATACCTTGTGGCCAAGCGGTGTGCCGGGTGCCAGCAGCCGATTATGAAGCTGTTCCTGCAAATCAACAACCGCGGCATCGACGAGCACTGGCACCCCGAGTGCTACATGATCTACAAGTTCTGGAACGTGCGGATATATCCGACCATCTACGACGGCGTGCGCGGCCGGGTGCCGAAGCAGATTGCCAAGCCGCAGAACGCGGTCAGCGAGCAGCAGATCTACCAGGTGTGGACTGTGCTTTCGTCGTTTGAGGAGTCAACAGCGACTTGTATTTCGGACATGCTGCTGCAGGTATCGGGCGGACATTACCTGGATGGGCTGCGGCAGGCAGAGCGTTTCATCATGCACGTCGACGTGCTATTTGGATCCATCGACGACCTCGAGGACGAGCTGTCCCACTTTGATGACTCGACAGGTAAGTGAATTGGGAAGCCGCCACAGCTCTTCCGTGCATCGCTGTTTATTGAAAGCAGATGCATATGTCACATGCTTTGTATTAATGCCTGAGAGATGAAAAAAAAACTATTTTAGGTTTGCAGCACACGCGTGAGCCAAAGCTGCTGTGCAAAAGGATTGTCAGCTTTTTCTCTGTCCTCTCGCACACACAGAGCAACGAGTCCAACGGATTGACACAGGAGCTGCTGTCGCTGGTCACCAGCCTAGCGCACTACCTCAAGGTACTGACCCGGGTTGCACTGAAGGGCGCACTGAAGGCGCAGACCGAATACGAGTGCCCATCAAGCATCATGGCGCTGTTGGCGCGGCTGATGGAGACATCGGATCGGCAAAAGTGGGCCATGTTCCGACTATCGTACCAGCAGACCGATATTGCCAGCGACTGCTGCGCTGCATGCCGCAGCGAGGTGGAGACGGAATGCATTGAATACACACGGCGCAACAAGCGCTGGCACCTGTACTGCTTCGTGTGCGTGTCGTGCAATAGCGAGATCCAGCACATGTACCCGCAGTCTGCCCACGACGACAGCACTGGCCAGCTGTACTGCCCTGACTGCGCAGCGCGCAAGGGTCTGCAGCCTGGCGGCTTCAAGTTTGTGTCGCAGCTCGAGCAGTATTCGTTCCTGATGCGCGTGGCCCTGAAGCGCCTCTACAGTCTGCTAAAGATGAAGAGCGCCCTGGAGAACCCCGATACCATGCGGCACCGCAAGGCAGCCAAGAACAAGGCAATTACTGCGGTGTCTGACAGATCGGAGGCCAGCAAGTCGCCAGAGGACAGCCATGCCAGCAGCGAGAAGGATCTGACCGAGCGGCAGGCGGCAGCCAACAACGAGTTTGACGCAGCACTGGCCAGCATGGATCTATCGGTGGCCGCACCGCTGCCGTCTGGCAGCGAGCAGCGCACCATCCAGGAAGCCGAGCGCGAGCTGCAGGTCGCCACGAATCTTGGCTCGGCCCAGTCGCTGAATCTGACAGATACCACATCGCCGCTGAGCCCCGAGGTCGCCACGGCAGTTGCTGATGCCGCAGTCAAGGCAGCACGGCAGGAGGGCGGTATCGTACAGATGCGCGAGACTGACAGCAGTCTCTCTCCGCCGCAGGTGCTGGCCGACCGCCGCAAGACGCGTGTCGCACACACCACGGTGTACGCGATGAAGGCGCGCATGGAGAACAGCCAGCAGGAAGGCGGGCCGGACCAGGCTGGCCAGTCGTCGCAATCGACGCTGCAGGCATACCCTTCGACGTCGCCGCAGCTGCAGCATGCCACACGCCGTGCAGGTCATATCGCTACGTCTGTTGGCATGTCGGTCAACGCGCTGGCTGCCCAGGCGGGCTCGGGCTCGCCAGGAGGCGTCGTTGTCAACAAGCCGTCAAAGCTGCGGCGGGCCAGCGACGAGAACGACCAGAGTGCTGCGCGTGCGGCAACGAACGAGGCCGAGACAGTCACCAGAGTGAAGACCATGCTGAGTCGCCCGCACACGATGCGGTTCCTGTCGGATCTGAACACAGCCGAGCTGTTCTGCGCCAAGCACGTCGCTGTCGCTCGTCTGTCGGCCCTGCTTGGTGCCACCGAGTTCTCGCAGGCTGATCTTGTTGCGCTGATTGGCACGCCCAAGAAGCAGACGCCAGTCGGCATGTGGTCACGTCTGAAAACCAACCTGAAGAAGAAGGAGGCTGCGGCCAGTGGCACCAGCGGCGGCGACAAGGAGCGGCTGCGTACTGCAACGTTTGGCGTGTCGCTGGAAGTGCTGATGGATCGCCAGTCTGTGGAGACCGACCTGGGCGCCCATGGTAAGCAGAAGCTGGCCATTCCGCAGTTCTTTGAGGTCATGCTCAACACCCTGTCGTCGATGGATCTGGCAGTCGAGGGCATCTTCCGCAAGAACGGTAATATCCGCCGTCTGCGTGAAGTCACCGAGGCCGTCGACAAGGACTACTCGCGCGTGGATCTAAAGAAGGACACGCCGGTGCAGATTGCTGCGCTGCTGAAGAAGTTCCTGCGCGAGCTGCCCGACCCACTGGTTCCGTTCCGTATGCGTCGGCTGTTCCTGGGCATTGCCAGCATCTCGTCGATGCGTGAGCGACTCGAGGCGTTCCGGTACGCCATCATCCTGATGCCGCAGCCGAACCGCGACATGCTGAACGTGCTGATCACGTTCCTAAACTGGGTCGCGACCTTCTCGCATGTGGACGACAAGGCGGGGTCCAAGATGGACTCGCTGAACCTGGCCACCGTTATTACGCCCAACATCCTGTACGCCGATGTCAAGGAGCCGACGCGCAATGACCGCGACGACACATTCTCGTACGAGGCCTGCAATGTCATCCACCAGCTGATGGAGACCGGTGAGCCACTGTGGATGCTGCCGGATGCGGTGATCCAGTTCTTGCGCGACAATGCATCGGGTCTCGGCGAGGATGTTGCCGACCTCAACACCAAGGAGCTGCTAAGACGGTGCGAGAGACAGGCGCAGCAGGGCGCTGGCAACATTGGCGGCGGCGGCGGCGGCGGCGGCGCGTTGATGCCAGCTGCAAATGCTGATATGTGAGGCACCCAGTTTTCTTTTCTATATTCAAGCTAATATACGACTTCGACACCCCCTCCGAGAACACATAAGGAGCTAGACTGCCCCCATATGCACCTTCCCTGTCTCCAGATACTACTTTCTACTACACCGCATCTACAGAGGCAGGCCCTGCGGTTCCCCGGCTGTGAGCCGTGTTTTCTGGGTCTTCAGCGCCAGCCATATTTCCGCACGGATGCATGGCGCGGGAATAAGAAAAGCGCCTCCATGGAGAGTAGTGCGCGGCAAATCCGAGGCCAAGGACAAGAAATCTCTAGCCGCTGTTATCTCTCTCTTTTGGTCGAGCTACTCTAATTTCTTGAATTTTTCACACAGCCATGCTCACTTCTCTACGCACAGCAGCCGCTCGCCAAGCAGTGGCCACCCGCGTCTTCTCCCGTGGCCTGAGCACAGTAGCACTGGAGTTTTCGCACAACAAGGCACCTCCCAGCAGCAAGCCGCCCCTGGTGATCCTGCACGGCCTCTTTGGCTCCAAGCAGAACTGGCGGGCCATTGCCAAGAAGCTGAGCGCGCAGCTTGGCCGAGACACGTATTCTGTCGATTTGCGGAACCATGGCGACAGCCCGCATGTGGTCCCGCACACCTACTCTGCGATGTCTGGGGACATCGTGCGGTTTATCGAGGACCACGGGCTAGGCCGCGCGGTCCTGGTGGGCCACTCGATGGGCGGCAAGGTGGTGATGCAGACAGCGCTGGAGCATCCCAGCCTCGTGGATATGCTGATCGTGGACGACATGGTGCCGACAAAGGCCAAACTGGCACACGAGTTCGCCGAGTACGTGCAGATGCTAAAGACAATCGAGGACAGGGGCATCGCCTCACAGAAGGAGGCCGACGCGATGCTAGAGACCGTCGAGAAGGATATTTCGGTGAGGCAGTTCCTGCTGACAAACATGAAGAAGGCCCGTGAGGGGGAAGGGAAGGGCACATACAAGTCCAGGATTCCGCTGGAGCTCCTGGGAAAGAGCCTGGAGGGCATTATGGGGTGGGATGTGGATGCGGCGAAGCAGTATCAGGGTCCAACGCTGTTTATTGCAGGCAAAAGGTCTCCGTATATTCGGCCGCATGCGTACCCGGCTATGCGGCAGTATTTCCCAAATTATGAGGTGGAGGAGCTCGATACAGGGCACTGGGTACACGCCGAGATGCCACACGAGTTCATCCAGTTGATAGAGGCTTTTATTGACAAGAACGAGCATTAATATATTTGCTAGCATCGAGTGCCGATGCGCCCCTGCGCCACTATGAACGGCCCCATCTGTCTGCTGACCCAGTCTTGTTTTGACATCGTAGGCGCCAGGCTGATTTGTTACTACCTGAAATTTGGAACCCGCCCGACTCGGCAGCTCAATAGCAATCTAGGTTGGGTATACGTGCCAGATTGCAGTCTTCCTGCGGCCAGCTACTGCGGATAAAGAAAGAAACGTGGCTATCACTGGGATTAGGCTTAATAGCACATGAGCTACATACCACATGTACTATTAAAGGTCCCGCCGCTATAATGTGAGCGCACCTCTCTGAACCAACTGCTGCTTATCTCAGAGGTGAGGACTCCTGATAGGTGTAGCTTGCTCTGCTCTGCAGTGCCTAGCCTGTCCAGCCATATAGCCTCTCTTGTGCAAGCTCTTGAGGGCGGGGTTTTGAGCACACGAAGCTACCTGGTGCTAGCGTAGTGTGAACAATGGATATGTGTGCGAGAGAGGGCCTGCTTGAGAAGTCTAAGTGATGTGTGCCTGTAGGGCAGGCCGCATATACCTATGATGAAGCTCAGAGGAGTTTGAATCCCTTACATTATTCAGAGACGCGCTGACGGTCGGTCGGACAGACATTTGTCTTGCATACAGTAAGGATATATTTTACTCCGTGGTATTGAATGTCTGGGCAGACCAGAACTGTGCAAGCCTCTTGCCCAATACCGGCCCCATCCGCCTGAGCGACCCATCGATAACCATGTCCTGGAGCCGCTTGGTGCCATTCGGATCTCTCTGAAGCATTCCTATGAGCTCGGTTGGTGTCTGGAACTCTTTCCCAATCGTCAGTGCCTTTTCGACACCGACCCCGCGCAGAGTCATGATCATGCGCAAGTACAATTCTCCGACCGACAGCGACCCAGTCTTGTTGCTGACAATGTCGTAGGCATCAAACGACATGGCTAAGCGTATGTTTGGAAACCGTGCCTGGATATTGCGCTTCAACGCCGCAAACTCCTTGCGGCCAACCAGTCTATCTGGAATTGCATACACATCTTTCAGTGTGCTTTCCAGTGCCTTGGTTGTTTGCCGGAGCATCTTGAGCGACGCTTCAAAAGACACCGTGCGCTTAAGGTGGAAGCCGTGTTGCACTTGGACTCTGCTTATTGCGCTGTTGACGCGGGATTCACCCAGCCTTGCCGACTGCGTCGGGATCGTTTCCCTCGACGATGTAGAATACGTTGGTGAACCCTGTGTGGTGGATCCGAGAGTGCTGCTCACGGTACCGTCCGTCGCGGATACTTGCACAAAGATCATCCATGCGCTTCCGCTCAACCACGTAGTCAAGCACTATGTCTGGCAGATGCTTGAACCGACTGGCGGGTTTGGCTCGTGCTATCCAAAGGTAGTCGCCGACCGTCAGTGGTCGGATCTCGACATTTACGCACTGATCCTCAAGCTCCTTCTGGATCAGATTGCGGTCGCTGACACTGTGCACCTCGCGATTGTCAACCACCAGTATGATGTCGTACGACCCTTCTGGATAGTGGACAAGATCAGAACGCTCAATATCTGAGATGGCACCAAGGTTTGACGACCATGTCGAGGCTGCGCTGGAGTTGCGTGAAAGCGCGCTTGCCCTTGCTGGAGTACTAGAGGTAGTGCGTACAGCTCTGCTTGCAGTTTGTGGCCCATGGCTAGGCAGTGGTGGCAGCCCATGTGGCAGGCCAATCGTATCACTGACGTCGCTGGTCTGCGAAAATGCAAACATACTGTCATCCTCAACATCACCACGCAGCTGCTCAGCAGACTGTGGTGAGGCGCTGCGCTCTTCACGCCTCTCGCATTCCATGAATACTCGAGCGTCATCATCGGGCAACTCATTTCGGGTCCGCAGCACATCAACGACCTTTTTTGCAATTTCCACCCCATCGTCTGTCAGGCAGTATTTGACACCTCCTTGGCGCTCCGCCAGCGATTTAGTCTCGAGTGTCTTCATCGCATTCCATGCAGTGTACTGCGAGAATGATCTTGGTGCTCGGCTGCCCGACCCACCTCCATGAAACGACGTATCTGTATACTGCTCGCTGAACTGAATGAGATCCGACTTGGGGATAAAGTAGTCTGGCCCATACAAAGAGTATGCTTTGTACAGTCCGAGCAACAGTGCAAAGGCACCAGACCGGTACCGTGGCACATACACCTGTGGCTTCCTTGGTCGCGCTGGGCCCTGTGATGAAGACACCTCAGTATCATTCTGAGCATGCTGCGGAGCGGGCTCGGCGATCCCGTTTGCCTTGCGCCAAGCTGCCAGCTTCTTCGCCAGCCGCCCAGCGATCCCTGGCCCAATGCCCTGCAGCTGCTACAGCGTCCTGCGCATTTGTCAGTTCCAGCGGATAGCGCTTGAGCGAGTGCATGGCTTTTTTGAGCGCATGTTGCGACTGGTTGTTGCGATTGACTGCGTCCGTATGCCATTCTGTCACCCATTCCAGGAACAAGGGGTTCGCGCAAGGCGTGTGAAGTTCAGTGTCGCTGCTCATTATATCAAAAGTAAAAGTGTTTTATGCGGATGCTTCGGCAATGGTAGGTCGCTTTTTCTGCTTTTCGGGTAATGATGGTCAGAAAATATGTAGTGTTGTGCATATGCTTGGTTGCATTTGGGTCTGCTTGACGGAAACCTGGATTCGAAGAAATACATACCCAACACCAATGCTTGCTCTTAGCAGCAGTGGTTACGCTGGATAGACTGGATGCCGAAAAGTCCAAGGCTGCTAGTCTGGGTCTCAGCCTACCAGAATTCAATTGAAGAAGCGTGCTGCCAACCATAGGAGGTGGAGTAGCGGAGTTCGGCTTTATCAGGCCCCTGCGGTGTCTGCCTACGCCTGCACTATATCCACAGCTTGTGGTCTATGGAATTCGGTGAATCAAAGTACTTTCGCTATCGAACTCGGATCCTTCCCCTGTGCCAGATTTGGTGGATATACGTGGAAAAAAGTTTCTGGAAATTTGCTTCTAAACAATCCTCGGTCGCCCATTGGTAGAGGCTGGCGAACAGTAGCAACGTTGTCCACCGCGGATCTTGGCGTAATAGGGATTTCCCGCCCCTGCTGTCTCACAGTAAAGTCCCTAGTTCACACCATCGAAAGGCGGTATCTGTGTGCGGGTTTCGCCAAGCCTCGCTACGGGTCAGGTCCCCCACGGCTCCGTATAAATAGCTGTGTCTATGCGCACACCCACCTGCAGACAGTCCAGTCAATTATTCATCCGCTACATCGCTACATCGCTACATACCTACTTCGACTATACACAGCCTCCATCAGCCAGCCATGCTTTCCAACAGTAAATGCCCTATGGCATCTGTCAACGCCTCGTCATGCCCTGCGGCCGTCTCCAGCGCCTCCGCAGATCCCAATACTAGCCTGCAGACCTGTGTATGCTATTGTCGTTGAGAAGGGGAAGGTGCCCGAGACGGATGGCTTCATCGTCTCCACCACCCTCGCCGATGCCGATCTGTCCAACTTCCGCCAGTCAATCGCGAAAGCGCAGCCCCGGTGCATTGATTCGTTCCTGAGGCAATCCAACTTCGAGGATATCAATGGCAAGGTTATTGAGAGCATCGGTCATCTATCTACCTGCAAGGTCGCATTCTTGACGAGGTCAATTGCTATCCGAGAGGCACCCTTGATATCCGGATACCCGCTTGTTGGTACCGCGCCTCAATTTATGCGCAACATCCTTGAGGCGATGGACAGCATGCACGATTCTCATGGCGACACCGTTCAGTTCCACCTGTTCAGCCAGAAGATGTATATGTCCTGCGACCCAGCTGTAGCAAGGGCGACTATGTATGAGAGCGAGTACTTTTTCAAGCGTGCTGAGGAGCAGCCGTTTGCTGAGCTGCAGGAACTTCGGCGGAAAGGGGCTATTCACAACGACTGCAGTCTGATCCTGCGTGGCAGCTTGCACACCAACTTCTCCTGCCAGCCTTCTCTGCCAGCGCTATGAAACTATACAGCAAGGATATGCTCACAATAGCCGAAGACGCATCCAGCTGGCTCAGCTCCCGACTGAACGAGCCATTCACTGTTGTTGACTTTACTACCAACATGACGTTCCAGACGATTGGCAGTGTCGGCTTCGGATACGACTTCCATCTGCTCGATCCGACACACACAGAAAAGCACCCGTTCTTGCACGCAATGGGATTCTGTCTGGATGAAATCTCGAAGCGCGCCTTTTTGACATCGTACTGGAAGAAGCTGCCAACACCCGGCTATTACGAGTACAAGAAGCAGATGCAGGTGATGCGCAGTATTGTTCAAGAGGTTATTGACGAGCGCCGGGCATCGGCTGATGCAACCAACATGAAGAAGGATCTGCTCGGCTTCATGCTCAATGCGCGTGCTCCTGATGAGGACGGCAACCTTGTCGGACTCGACGACGCCAACATCTTCGACCAAATCATCACGCTGGGCATTGCTGGCAGTGAGACAAGTGCTGTGACGCTATCGTGGGTGCTATATCTGCTCGTCCGCAATCCCGCATGCCCAACATCGCGTTCTGCAAGAGTTAGCCAATACTGGAATCAAGCCTGGTCAAGCCGATCAGTGTCAAGGAGGCGAACTCGCTCAAGTACCTGACGCAAGTCATCAAGGAAACCTTGCGCCTGTATCCACCTGTCCCGTCGATCGACAAGTACTGTGCCAAGGATTGCGTTGTTCCAGGCGGCTTCCAAGTCAAACGCGGCCAGGTGTTTACCATCAACATGTGGTCGATGCACAGGAACCCGGAATATCTACAAGGACCCACATCGCTTCAACCCTGACCGCTTTTTCAGACGAGAACATTAAGTCGATCCCCGATGGCGCCTGGTTGCCATTCTCGGCAGGTCAGCGCAGCTGCATCGGATTCCAACTTGCCATGATCGAGATGCGCATTATCCTGGCTCGTCTGCTCTCCAACTATGAGTTCCGCTGTGTCGATGACAAGGAAGTCATTCGTGACCCGAAAGGATTTTCGATGAGGCCTCGAGACCTGTCCATGACTGTATGTGAGCGCACCAACTTCCCGGATCCTGGCGCCGAGACCTTCAGTTCGGATTCCACGCATGCCACAGCAGCGGTCGCTAGCGTCAGCAAGATCAGTGTTCCTGTTTGCTGTCACAAATTCCGATGAGCTGCCGCGGGTTTCAATCCTGTTTGGGTCCAACATGGGTGTGAGCGAGGAATACGCTGCACAATTAAGCGAGCAGGTTGTGCGCATGGGCTTTGAGGACACATCTGTCCAGGCGCTCGACGACTGGGATATCTTATCAGCCAAGGCCGCTGATGGTAAGCGCACCCTGGCCATCGTGATCACGAGCACTTACAACGGCTTGCCGCCCGATAACGCAACCCAGTTCGCCAAGTCGCTCGATGGAACAAGCCAGGCTGATCTACTGCACGGTGTCGACTATGTCGTGTTTGGATGTGGCAACTCACTCTGGCGTACATACCAGAAGTTCCCGCGCCATATCCACAAGCGTCTTGGTATGCTTGGTGCGACTCCTCTGAGCGAATTCCAGTTTGGCGACTCTAATGACGATCTGGACGAGGACTTCTTGCAGTGGTCTCTGCGTATCTGTGCACTTGTCACTGACCACTACGGCTCGGGCACCGAAGGGCTCGTCGAGGTAGTTTCAGCTCCAAAGTCGCTGCCATTCAACATCAGCCTAGTCGGTAGCACTGCGGCTCCGTTCAGAATCGCTTCTGAGAATGCTAGCATCAAAATTAACCAAGAGCTGCAAGATGTCAGCAAGAGCGGCCGCAGTACTCGCCACATCGAGATTGTGTTGGATCAGTCCTCGGGTATTCAGTATCAGACCGGTGACCATCTCAACGTGTACCCAGCCAACAAGCCTGGTGTGGTGCATGAGGTTGCTGCAATCCTTGGTATTGGATATAGCAAGCGTACTCCAAATCGAGCAGGTTTCAAATGCTTCCCGTTTCAGTCGTTCGGCTGCCGCTGCTATCCAAGGAGCAACATGCTCGGTCTCTGACACACTTCAGTACCTGTGTGACTGGAAGGAGGCGCCCTCGCGCGAGCTGGTTGTTGCGCTGGCCGAGGTTGCTGGCGACGATGCTGCGTACAATGTCCTGCGCAAGGCGGCTGACGATGTCAATACGCTGGGAAAGCAGTCGCCTGGCTGGTGCGAGTTCATTTCGCAGACTCGCACAGTCCTAGATATGCTTCGTCATTATGCCCCCCTTGTGCGACAGGTTCCGTTCGGGTCGATTCTACACTTTGTGTCGGCCATGGACTCCTCGTCGCTACTCGATCGCCAGTTGCCAGGCCGTAGTCGGAAACGAAGTACATCTTTCGGTTAGCGATTATTGATGACACCATCAATAGTCGCTCGTATGGCGGTCTGGCAACTGAGCACCTTGCATCACTGGAGTCTGGCTCTCGTCTTTCGGTTTCTCATCTTCCCGCTCAGGCAAGCCTTTCCACCTGCCATCCTCATCTGCTATCCCAGTCCTGTTCATCGGTGCTGGCACTGGAGTCGCGCCGTTCCGCGGCTTCCTGCAAGAGATGAAGCAAGCAGGTTACTGGCGATGCCACAGCTGTACTTTGGCTGCCGCAGCCCAGAGTACGACTACCTCTACAAGGACGAGCTTCGAGCAATATATCCAGAGCGGCACACTGGCCAAGCTACAGCCTGCGTTTTCGCGTGTTGGTAGTGAGCGCAAGTATGTGCAGCACCACATTTCTGCCGATGGTGCCAAGATCTGGGATCCTGCTGGACAGTCCAGAAAGCACAGGTTTACGTGTGCGGCTCTGCAAGCAAGCTAGCCAAGGACGTTGTCAGCACCATGCTTGACATATTCCAGACCCACGGCCGGCTCTCTTCCGACGATGCGAGCAAGTATCTTGCTGACCTGGTCGCAGCCGGTCGGTACGTGGAGGACGTGTGGTGAACATTTTCAAAGTAGTTGTTTTTATTCATTTTTATATATGCCTCGATAAAACATCCCGCATAAAGCTTTGTCTTGCGCTTCTGCATTTCAGGAACCCATGGATCAAAAACGCTTAAGGCCAAAATACCCATTCGTACTATTCCAGGACGATCAGCCCCACTACTTAGACAGGGCACCCGCCCCTTTCATCCTGGAGATTCTTCCTTCCATCATTCATACAGCACATTTTGTAGGTTCAATATACCCCGTGGAAAGGTGCCTGGAGAGTAAACGTATTCCAGACAGTCGCAGGAGACTGGTCTATCCAAGTGTATCGTACCCGAGACACAACAAAAACAATTGGATACATTAACATCAAGTTGAAAGCCTAGTACAATACCCACTAGAATGCACCAAAGTGCATCCAAGGATTGCAATAAACATTGCGGATTTGTACACGGCTTATTATACGCTCCAGCTACATTACCTTCATGTATTGTTTGGATGTGACATATAGTACATCTGATCTAGGAATGCAATTAGCAAAATTCTTGAACAAGCATTTATTAAGGTGAAGTCGGCCCTACTTATAGAAGCATGCTCCTGTTCCAGCTCAGAGACAAAGCGTTTAAACTCTTGGAGCGAAACAATCTCTGAGCGCGGCAAAAGTTGGTTGTTGCCAAACGATTGGAATCTGAAGTGCTGGACGGTGGGACACAACAGAGCAAAGATAATAACAAACCTGAAATACTGAAGATGGCTGCCTGGGCTATCTATGATGACATCAAGGTCCACAAGGTTCTGCGAGATTGGGGGACTGCTGGCCAACTGAATTCCGGTATCGCTCATGGTCTGGAATACATACTCAGCATGCGCATCTAAAAATCCGGATAACTTTGTCCTGGCCCCTCCTAGTCCGTCTCTCGGCAGCTGCAAGCAATTCTGCCATGGTCCTGTTTCCGCGACCCGGGCTTAGGCTCCGAGGCTGCCACGTGGCAGTGTCCAGTGCAACTGGCGTGCAGCTGGTCTGAATCAACCTGCAATGCTGCAGAGCCAAGACAAGACATTATGGAGTTTCCTGAGACGTGGAAGGGACTTGATAAGCATGACCAGATGCTCTACAGTACATCCTCAAACTACACGCGTTCAGTACCGTGACCCTTGGAATCATTCCATCAAAATTCAGCTGGCTTGCGTCGAACGTGCACATGAACTCGCTGTTAAGGAACACAGTTGGCACGGCGCAGAGTTCATTGATAACATAGACAGCATTTCTGCTGGATATTGGCACATCGTCAAAAGGACGGATACATCCAGCCTAACCTGGCTTAGTGCTGTAAATCCGCTCTGCGAATACGTCAAAGTGGGCAAGCATACTGAGAATTTGTTCTGAAACCAGTATTTTCAGGAAGCCGCAGTGAGTTCTTGTTGCCGCGGAATAGAACATCGTTCTCAAACGGATATCTCATATTCAAGTAAAGGAGCTCGAGTTCTGGGAAAATCGCCCCGCTGGGCGAAGCATCCACTGATGATTGAGCAGCAGCTGTCGATTCAGGGCTGTTCATTTTGAGTGTGCGCAGGCATGGGAAAACGATGGGCATACCGTCGCCACGAAGCACAAGCTGACGGAATGTTTCGGGTCTATCAAGAACCACGCGCAGTCTTTGCAATACTGGGGCATTGCGTTGGACTATCTCGATGTGATACGGTGTCAGGTCAAATACCCGGGTGTCTATAGCCTTGCAAGGAACACGCATTCGGAAAGATGTTAGAAAGGGTCGACAGGTCTGCACCATGTACATACAAAGACCGTACACCTTGAGTCAAGTCTGTGCAATATATCCTCTGCGAAAACGGACCAGTTGAATGTCAAAGAAATGCCCCAAGAACATAGCGTTTATGAAAGTTGTAGCTGGTAAACATGCGGCGGACCTCGGCGCAAAACCTTGCGGCCATTTTCAGCGAATCCACTTGTGTCCTCTGCAATAGCTGAAGACCGCGCTTCTATACTAGATTCAAGTTTCATGGACAAATGGAAACACTCCATCTTTGAATGGCCCTGAGGTCAGCACAGTTAACGCTAGGCCCTCAAATATATCTTCAGAGCTGAAGTCTATTCTTGCGTGCTTGACCAAATCTCCATATCCGAACTGCAAGGCGGCGGTAGCAAGAGACTTTGCTTCGGTGTTTACTTCAACCGATTTGAAAATGCAAGCAAGGCATGCCTCTCTCCACGACCGGCACATGCTTGCAAAAAAGCGGCCATGGCCGAAAAAGTAGGTGTGTGTTGGCAGATATCCAAATATCTTTGACAAGATGAGCATAGGCAAGCGTTGGGCGAGAGAAGAAGACCATGGTCACAAAAGAAGAGTAAAATCCAGCAGAAGGGTGCTATGAAAGGTGGAAAGGCAGTCCAGCGATCAATGCAGCAGGAGAGAGGGCCATTTAAAAGCTAATGTTAGCAGACGAAGGAAATGGGACTCACTAGCATTTGAATGAAGGAGGTATAGAAAACAATAGCGTATTGTCACTCAAATGAAGATCTACCATAATTGCATATTGGCATAACCACACATATCTGTGCAGCTGACTGCCTTTTTGATGGGGCTGAATATAATATACCCAACAACACACTCGCCTCCTAGTACCAGTATTGCAAAAGAATGTCGCAGCAGCTGCAACTCACAAAGGGCAAGATTACACTCAAGGGGTCGGCGCGCATTGTCACTGAGTTTTTTCGTAAGTCATATAAACAAGTCACTTTGGATCGCTTTTTTCCCCAGGTACTCAAACAGTATCAACGCTGTAGTGTATGGCATAAGCAGTATCCTATTCCAGCGCGGAATCTACCCAATGGAGGACTTTAAGACGACGAAAAAATACGGCATCGACGTGTGGGTTTCGAACGACACGCAGGTGCAGCAGTACCTGAAGCAGATCATGGAGTCGGTGCAGGAATGGCTAGAGGCAGGCAAGATCAACAAGCTGGTGCTTGCCATCAACACATGCGAGACGCGCGAGACGCTCGAGCGCTGGCAGTTCGACATCCAGCTGGTGGAGGACGAGGAGGGAGGGAAGGCAAAGCCAGCCAAGTCGGACAAGGCGCTGCAGATGGAGATCCAGGCGATTTTCCGGCAGATTGCAGCCAGCGTGTCGTTCTTGCCAGTTATCGAGGACAAGTGCACGTTCAATATCCTGGTGTATGCGGACAAGGATGCTGAGGTGCCGACGACGTGGACCGGACTCGGACCCGCTGCACATCAAGAATGCGGAGCAGGTCAGGCTGCGGCTCGTTCTCGACCGATGCGCACCGGGTGGAGGCAATGGTGGCGTACCGACGTGATCTGGATCTGTGCTAATTAAGTGGATCAATAAAAGCTGTAAGAGCCAGGATACGGTGCGCGTGTGGTGAAGCTGGAGTCTTGCTTTTTGTTGGAGTGCCTCGTCCTCGAATTCAGCGCTTTTTTCCCTATACTTTTTTTTGTTTTTACAAGCTTATTTTTTTAGCGGCTGAGGACACTACTCAGCTGTCGACATTTTTCTCTAGGTCATTATCACGAAGCAGCTTGCTGGCGTGTGCGTTGCTGGGCGATTTGATACCTCTATTCCATGGCAGACAGTTCAGAGCACGCAGGTGGTTCTAAACACGACTCTATTCCGCGTGTAGGCGATAGCACCGAGGAGCGGAATGAGATATCGCCACGCGACAGAAGACGCGAGCCGGGCAAGTCATCAGGTAAGGATAGCAGCTTGGGTGTGCCGGCATGTAGAGTGAAGATACGAGTAGGAGACTAAAGTTGACCAAGCCTTGTAGAGACGATGGCGGATTCGTTCCTGAAGAACATGGGGCAGACGCTGATGCGGAAGGGAGCCGAAGCGCGCGACATGCCACGGCGCAGCAGCCAGCGCGGCGACTCGTACGACTACGAGAGACGGCGGGACTACCGTCGCAGCAGCCGGCACGATCGGTCGCGGGACCAGTCGTATCGGCGGCGGTCGCGCAGCGGCGAACGGCACCGGTACCGGTCGCGACGCAGCCGCAGCCGCAGCCGCAGTCGGGAGGTGGTTCCACTGCACCTGCGGCCGAAGAAGCTGAGCGCGTGGGACCAGGCGCCGGCGGGATTCGAGCATGTGTCGGCGGCCGAGGCCAAGGCATCGGGAGTGTTTCCGCCGCCAGGGCAGGCGGTGGGGTCGCGCAACGTGGCGTCGTTCAATCCGTCGGTGCTGTTTGAGCACACGCACCGCGAGGAGAACGCGCGGTTCCGGCCCAGCAGCCGTGGAGAGCGCGAGTTCCCCAGCACGGCGTCGCGGCAGGCGCGGCGGATCTACGTAGGCAACATTCCGCTGGCCATCGACGAGGACGCGATTGCCGGGTTCTTCAATGGGCTGCTGGTGCAGCTGGGCATAGCGCCAGCGCACGAGCTGCCGGTGGTCAACATCCAGATCAGCCACGACAAGAACTATGCGTTTGTGGAGCTGCGCGATGCAGAGCAGGCGACGCAGGCGATGGGCATGGATGGCGTGGTGCTGCAGGGCCAGAAGCTCAAAATCCGCCGCCCCAAGGACTACATTCCGCCCGAGGGCCAGGCCGAGCCGCCGCGCCCTGCGCTGGGGCTGCCCGGCGTGCTGTCGGCCAGCGTGCCCGACTCGCCCAACAAGATCTATGTTGGCGGCCTTGCCCACGTATCTCACCGAGGAGCAGGTCATGGAGCTGCTGCGTGCGTTCGGCGAGCTGCGTGCATTCAACCTGGTCAAGGACAGCGTGACGCAGGCCTCGCGAGGCTTTGCCTTCTGCGAGTACGCCGACCCCAGCCTCACCGACATTGCCTGCGAGGGCCTCAATGGCATGGCGCTGGGTGACCGCCGCCTGGTTGGTGCAGCGCGCAAGCATCGGCGCCCGCTCGGCTCACGCGCCGCCCCAGCCAGTTCAGCTTGACTACGCACCGCCGGTGATGCCGCCAGCCGCACCTGACGCGCACCCCACGCAGATCATCCAGCTGCTCAACATGGTCACGGCCGCCGAGCTGGCCGATCCAGACGAGTATGCCGACATTGTCGAGGACGTGCGCGACGAGTGCCAAAAGTTCGGGGCTATTGCTGAGCTCGTGATCCCACGCCCCAGCCCCGACCAGGACGTGCCAGGGTGTCGGCAAGATCTTTGTCAAGTTTCGCAGCCGTCGATGAGGCCACTACGGCTCTGCGTGCTCTGGCCGGCCGCAAGTTCGCCGACCGCACTGTCGTCGCCTCATACATGGCCGACGAGGACTTTGATACCAAAAATTACTAGCACATCATCGACATTTTTGGGAGGAAATAACAGTTGACCCTGATGTATTGGGTAGACCTGAAGCTTTACTATTTCTTGTGGATGGGCTCGAATCCCGGGAAGCACTCCTTGACGCTCTTGCCGTGCTTGTTCTCGCAGTGCTCCTCGAGCGCCTTGATCGAGATGGTGCACAGGAACGACGTGCGGCACACCTGGCAGATCACGTTCATAGCCTTCTTGTTGACCTCCAGCTGGCTGTTCTTGTTGCCGCCCGCGTTCTTGCTGTTGCGCTCGCGCTTCATCTGTGCCTTGGCCCCGTTACCCATGGTTGTGCTTTGTACAAAAAGTGAATGCGGTGGAAATTAACAAAAAAAGATATGGAAAAGCGAAAAAGAAGGGGAAGCCTGGTAAAAATTTTTTTATGGCTGCTTCAACCCTCATTGCGATCAGGGGCACGAATTTCCCATGAAGTGGTGTGATGCCATTGGGCCACGGGTCTCGATCATCCAACGTGACACGAAGGGGATTTCGAGTGGAAAGATATCCGTGTCAGCTCGGCCGCCTTCATAAGCACTCGATAGCGCTTCTCTCCTCCGCTCTGAAATAACGTTGCCTACGCCTATTCTCCTCTATTCCCTATTTGTACTATTAGCAAAACAAGCTCTTTACTAACGATGGTCCGTATCAGTCTCCTCTGCCTGGCCCTGCTGGCGCCCGCTCTGGCCCACGACATTGCGCCCAACGCCCACTACACCGTCACCGGCGACACCGTCTGCGCCCCAACCCGCAACGGCACGCAGGTGTGCTACCCCAAGGTGTTCGAGCCCACGGCCGACTTCCAAGTAGTCCTGCCCGGCCAGGAATATCCCGGCAGGCCTGCACGTGCAAATCGACATGGCGACGGGTCTGAAAAAGGCCAAAATAATCGAAGGCTGACGACCGCCACGCCCTTGCAGTTGTCCCGGAGCCGCCGCAGGAAGAATTCACGGCAGAGCCGGTGCGGATGGGTCAGATGAGCAGCGACGAGGTGAAGCAGCGGCTGGACCAGGTGGTTATGCTGGCCGATAGGCAGATGAACTACGTGACCGAGGACGCGGCGATTGCAGCCCTGGACGAGCTCGAGGATCTCATGCATGATTCGCACAAGGCGGAGCGGCTGGCCAGGGACCCGATGGCGTTACCGGCATTGCTCACATTGGCCAGTCCCTCGCTGCACAAGGGCCTGCAGCCGTGGCCGCCGCGTATCCGCCAGCTGGCATCAACTGTTTTGGGCTCTACTGTGCAGAACAACGACAAACTGCAGACGGTTGCTGTAAACGCCGGTGTTCTGCCACGCCTACTGCGCATTTTGGCCTCAGAGTCCAATGCCAAGGCCGCATCAAAGCACATCTACGCGTTGTCGGCGCTGGTGCGCGGCCATCAGGGTGCGCTAGAGCAGTTTGGCGAGCAAGGCGGGCTGCGCACACTGGCTATGGTGCGTCCGCATGGCGAAGGCAGGGACGCGCATAAGCTGGATATAAGGATTGCCAGGTTTGTCGAGGACCTGTTTACGCCCGAGTTCAACCCCCACCAGTCGCAGGATGCTGTGGATCTGGCTGCCCAGCAGGCCGCCGTCTGGTGCTCGGACCTTGCCGGTCGCCTCACCGACGATATGGAGTCTTTGGATGAAAGCAGCGAGCGCCAGGCGACCGACGAGCGCCGGCTCGCGTATGCTACCGCGCTGCTGCGTATCAAGCACCAGCACCCGCTCACATGCTCGCTGCCAGCTGCCCTCCGCCCATGGGTCAGAGCCGAGGCTGCGCGCGTGGCCAGGGACCGACAACGACGAGTACAAGCAGGCGCTGGAGGCCTTGGGCAAAGAGCTTCACTGATTTCATGTAAAAAACAACAAAAAACCTTTGCCAGCTCGCTAGTATGAGGTTAAACGAAAACAAAATGAAAGGTCTTAGTTGGCCTTGGCAATGGCCTGGATGTCGCGCAGGCACTGAGCAATGATCTCGTCCTGGGTCTTGGGGCTGGCCAGCTGGCTGCGCACCTTGTTGATGACGTTCTCGGCCAGCGCCTTCTGCTCGTTCTCGCGCACCGAGCTCTCGTAGCGCACCCACGAGTCCAGCACCGACTTGATCTCGCTGTTCAGCGCAACCTTCTGCTGCAGCTCAAACGCCTCGGCGTTCATCGTCGCGATCTCCTTGGACATGCCAAACAGGCTCTTGGTGTACGACACAATGTCCTTGAGCTTCGACTTGGCCTCGATCTGCTCCAGCACCGCCGACTTGTGCTCGCTGCGCGCGTTCACAAGCAGGTCCTGGATCGCCTGCAGCTGCGAGTCCGCCCAGCTCTTGTACGGCTCCTTGATCACCTTGTACAGCACCGCCAGGATCGAGCCAAACGCGACCAGCAGAATCGTCTCCTCGTTGACCACGTAGATCTCCTTCGCGATCAGAAGCGCCGTCAGACCGGTGGCGCCGGCCAGGTAGCCGGTCTTGGCCACCAGCGACTCGCCAGGGAACATGTCGATGATGCTGTTGGCCTTGTCAGCCGGGGCAACACGTCCTACAAAAATGCTTCCAGAATATGAGTGCCGTGCAGTGTGCTACTTTGTCGACAACAGCCTGATATGCGCGACATGCTTTTGTACATACCCTCCTTCTCGGTGGAGTAGGCCCTACACAAGGATATGCATGAGGAAGATGCCGCTGCTTTTTGTTAGTGTCCTCTCTTTCCCTGCTGTCGGTAAATCCGCTCCGCTCCGCTCCCCTTCCCAAATCTCGCACAGCCCCAATTGAGCGCTTCTCCCTTACCTGATGGCGTTGAAGGCAGCCGGCGAGACGCGCATGGCGACGGCACGCTGGGCAAGAGCTACAGACGAAATAAAAAAACAAATGGATGTGTTTAGTGCCAATTCGAAGCCTGACTCTCGCTTTTTCCACAATGCCTTTATCTCGAAATCCACGATTCTCAATGCGTACCAGGAAGGTTCTTCGAGGCAAGACGGAGGGCCATTGTTACAATGTAGTTATTTCTCTAGACTGTCTCAAAGGGAATTTAGAGGAATGAGGAATAAAAAGAGAGTCACAGCAATACTTGAAGGGGGAGAAAGAGCTGTTCAATTCGCGCAAAACCTCGAATGCGCTCGCCTCTACCTGCACACTATCTGGCCAGGAATAATTAGGCCTTATCGCGGGCGCGGAACAGCAGCAGTCCTGGATCAGATCTCCAGGAGATCCGATTGCCGAATCACCATGGATTTGATCTGGAGCGATTTGCCCAGGCTCCTGCTGATCTAGCTCCAGCTTGGCTTCGACGAATGAGCACCAGTGCCAATCTTATCCAGCAGGGATCTTCCACCCTTTTATATAGTGCGTGCGGTTGAGACACCGGTCCACGCGGTTTTTGGAGACTGAGAGGACCGCAAGCGCCCGATGATGCAACCGCTAGACCCAAAAATACAACACTTCTTATTACAAAAACCCGATGCATGCACAGGCGCAGATTGTCCCCCGTCTCTTGCTCTCTCGAGATGTAAACAAAAAAACGGCTCCCCTATACTAAACCAGAAGGAATGCCATCGCAGTGAGCAGCAGCTGGCTGGAAACAAATAATCAGCTAGAGAAAACCAGGGAAGGTTTGTGCAAGGGGCAAGATAAAAACGACAAGGTGTTTTCAATGCAGCTTGTACCAACAGGAAACGCTGCCATTGTTCCTGCTGTAACAAGTGTACGCGTTCACAACAATCATGCAAGCAAGAGGGAATCGTAAAATGCTCTGCAGAGGGCCACTCCAGCATCAACCGGCCCCTCTCTCTTTAGCTCACAGCGTTTCTCTATTATTTGCTACTAGAACTGCCGCCTGTATTCTCAAGTAGCACACCGACTCTAAAAAAAGCTTCTTTGACAGCATTGCCTGCGGAACCGCTGGGGAGCTTGTGCATGTTTCTATGAACCACCGGCTCTCTTAATAAGGAAAAGCAATACTGACAATTAGCTTTTTGGTCGCGCTGTGCGCATAAACCATCCCATCCAGAGGTTTTCCCGGCCTCCCCCTCCATCTGCACCTCTTTCCTTCTACTTTGCCTTTCTACCCTCTCCTTTGTGTCCTTTTCTTCTTTTTTTTTTTCTTCGCTCTTCACTTTTCTTTACTCTATCCTTGATCCCGCGACAACTATCCCTTTCTGTTTTTCTCCCCTTTCAACGCATTTGTTCTTTTTCGGCAGTCATCTCTTGACGGGTCGAATTTCTAGCTGCAGCGCGCTCAGGGTTATATTACAACGGTTCTAGAGCTTGTGTATCATCTCGGAAAATAGCCTGTTTCAGCACTACTTGCTCCCTCCGTTTCCTTTCCTTTACTTGCTCCTTCTTCCTTCTTTTTTTCTCGTTTGGTCATTCGAGAGGTCGGCCATTTCCATATTTAACAGACATTAACCACGGCGGAGGAACAGCAGCAAAAGCGACGGACACGGCTGATGCCAAGCATATTCAGCAGGAAGAATAAGAGCGCGTCGCGCGCTCAGACCCGCCCGCCTTCCGACGTGCCCGAGAACTTTGGGCACGGGCGCGGCGGCCTGACACAGCTGCGACGCAACGAGATTTCCGAGAATATGCCTCCGTCCCCTCAACAGAATCACCACGGACTGTCGCCACCGCCACCGCAACCGCAACAGACCGGTGGCACGCCGCCGCTGCCACAGAATGGCCTTCCGTATGTCCCACGCAGCAATGGGTCATCCAGCATGGAGCGGCAAGCAAACGGCCAGCGGCAGACGAGCTCTGGCAGCCATGCTGACGCAGCCGCATACGTGAATGGACGCCCAGCAGATGCCAACGGACATTCCCAGCTCGGCCGGTCGCAGTCAATAGGCACGCCAGCGAATAATGGCCGCTCCGCGAAAACGCCGGAGGAGCACGGGAGCAGTAATGCCCGGCCTACATCGTCTGGAAATGGGCATTCATCATTCTGGTCGATGAAGCCGCTACGGGGGCCCACGCTGTTCCCGCGCCGCGGATTCTCAACAGCACTGAATGGCACGGATCTCTACTGGTTCGGTGGAAAGGCCGGCGACAGCCTGCACAACGACCTGGCAATCCTCGACTCGGCGTCATGTACGGCTTCGCTGGTCAGTGTCCACGGAAACGTACCAGCACCGCGCGAAGGGCACGCTGCGTCGTTTATTGGTCGCACGATGTTTGTGTTTGGCGGCGAGTTGGCCGATGGACGCTGCGACGACAACCTCTACGCCTACAATATGGCCAACCACACGTGGTACAAGGTGCCGATTCAGGGTAACCCTCTAATGGGCCGCAAGGGTCACACGGCGGTCTCGATGGGCTCGAAGCTGTACGTGTTTGGCGGTACCGTTGACGGCTACTACCTGCAGGATCTGGTCTCGTTCGACGTGCGCATTGCGGCGTCGCAGGGTGCGCGCTGGACGCACATCGACTGCGGCACCACAATGCCGCCTGGGCGCGCCGGCCACTCGTGCAGCGTGCATCTCAACAATATCTACGTGTTTGGCGGTATGAACCAGGACAAGTGCTTCAATGACCTGTGGGCATTCAGCATTGAGGAGCAGCGGTGGACAAAGGTCACGCCCCGGGGCGCGACGCCGCCGGCTCGCTACGGCCACGCCTCGGCGGTGGTTGACGACTGCATCTTCATTATGGGCGGCCGGTCGCTAAAGGGCGAGCCGCTCAGCGACTTTTTCGCGTACAAAATTTCGCTGCAGCGCTGGTACACGTTCCAGATCAACGCCTCGGCATGGCCGCACCAGATCGACCCGATTTTCTCGGTGGTCAAATCCCGCCTGCTTCTGTACAGCGGCAATCTGCCCGCCCGCCACGACTCCAAGGCTGAGCCCGCAATCTACTCGCTGGACACGTCCAAGATCAAGATCCAGCCAGACGGCGGGTCGCAACGAAGCCAGGCCAGCGGCGACTCACAGAACCTCGCCCGCAGCGCCAGCACCGGCGCCACCGGCGGCTCACCCACGAGCAACGACGACGTGGCCCAGCAGCGGGGCGACAAGGCTCGCCGACACCGGTCGCTTATGCCACCAGGCGTGCGGCAAGGCTCGCCGAGCGTCAATGACATCCAGATCCCGGCAGGTGGCGAGACAGCTGGAGCACGCGCTATCTCAATGGTTGGCGGATTAGTCACCGAGCGTGCGCTGCAGCAGGAGCAGCGAGCCATGGATGAATCGCCATCAAAGATCGCCCAGCCACAGCCGCACCACCCGACCACCAACGGAATCCAGACCGGGCCCTCCGAGTCCATTGAGAGCTTTGAAATCGTCAACTCCGCGCCGCAGCCCGATGACGGCACGCCGGTTTCGCGCAACACCCAGTCGGGTTCAATGCGGACACGGGCGCACCAGCGCCGGTCGATTCTGCTGAGCCAGGGCCTGATGCCGGCCAACTCGGGCAGCCCGGGACCGGCCATTGCGCCGACATTGTCGAACCAGAGCTCATCAACCAGTGGCTCGGCAGTCTCCCCGCCATTGGCCTCGCAGCCAGATGCGCCGATTCCGCGCGACGACAAGCGCCTGACCATTGCTCTGCGCAACCGCAACTCGGTCGTCAGCCAGGGTACGCTCAGTGTGACCAACCTCATGTCGCGCGAGTCGACCCGCGGACTGTCCGACTCCCCAGCTATCAACGGCGAAGGCGTGCTGTCGACAGAGGATATTCCTGAGTCGGCGCTCCTGCCTCCTTCGGCTACCTTCAGCACCGGCGCCAATGGCAATACGTTCGACGAGTCCGATTTCAAGCCGCCTAGCTTGGAGTCGCTGCCCCCGATCGCCGATCCGGCCACTGTGGAGGCGCTGCCTGAGCTGGAGCCACCCCGCAAGATGCGCCATATGTCGGTTTCGTCGGATATGAAGGAGGCTATCACCAAGGCGTGGAGCTCGCTGGAATCCAAGTACAGCCAGAACCGCCAGCTGGACGCAGCCGAGATTGAGGCCAGCAGCATTGACCCGAATCTTTCGATCCAAAGTATCTCGAATGTCGAGAACCTGCTGTCGCAGGACGCCACGCGCGTGCTCAATGTGCTGCTAAGCATGCGCAAGGAACTGACCGAGGCCAAGCAGCAGTTGGCTACTGTCTCGCGTGTGGCCATCGAGCGAGTCACGGAGGCCGAGCGCGGGCGCAAGGCAGCCCTGCAGGAGGCCATTTATCTGAAGGCCAAGGCCAGCGCTCTGTCGGCAGCCAGCCCCGCGCTGGTTGGCAAGCTGAACTCGCACCGGATCCATGAGCTCGAGCGCCTGTATGCCAACACGCTGAATGACAACGACGCGCTGCGCAACCAGCTGGCCAACGCCAATCTCTCGCTCAAGCAGGCACAGGACGCCCTGTCCGAGTTCAAACACGACGCCGAGCTGACGCGTGCACAGCACCGCGAGCTCGAACAGCTCTACGCACAGGCGCAAAAAGACGAGGAGGAGCGGCAGATGGCACTGGAGCGTTCGCGTGGCACACTGCCCGACGACGCTGTCCAGACAATCGCCGACCTTGAGCAGAAGCTGGCTGACGTCTCGCTCAAGTTGTCTGAGAAGCAGACCGAGTGCGTGGCCCTGGCCGGTGCTGAGCGCCAGCGCGCAGAGCGCATGGACAGCGCACTCAAGTCGGCTGAGGCTGCCACTGAGCGCGCAGAGCGCGTGCAGCTGATGCTCGAGGAGTCGCTGGCCAAGAGCGACCGCTTCGAATCGCAAGCCATGGAGCTGTCAGCTGAGATTGAGAAGCAGAAGGCCAATTCTCAGCGGTCTGAAGACCGCGCAGCGCGGTTCGAACAGCTGTGGAGCGACGCCAAGAAGGAGATCAGCGCATTCGGTGCCCTTCGTAGCGCGCTGGAGCAGATGGAGGACAAGGAGAAGGTGATCCAGGACCTCGAGCGCAAGCTCTCTGACGCCCAGGAGCGCGTGCGCTCGTTGGACCGCGGCGACTCGAACGGCGCCCCTGTGATGCAACCGCGCGGCAGCTTCGCCTCCGACGCCTCCTCGTCGGGCACCGCCGAGCAGCGCATCAAGGAGTTCCAGGCCGCATATCTGGCTGCCCACCGCCAGTGGTCTGAGGCCCGCGACGAGCTTCTGTCGCTGCGGACAACCCTGCGCGAAACGGACGACCGCCGCCGGGACATGGAGACAAAGCTGGCAGAACGTGAGCGTGAGCTGGACGACATGCACGCGCGGCTGTCGGCGTTCACGGACCTTTTGCAAGAGTATGCTGCGAAGAATGGCCCAAGAGTCGACTCGACGCAGACGTCCGCAGAGGGTGTCAAGGAGAAACTCGATAGAGGCGCGCCCAACTCGGCCCTGCTGATGAGCGACGATGAAATTTCTGTATCGAATATGCTGGCGGCTATCCAGCAGCTGCAGCGCACATCTTCGATTGGCAGCCGTCCCAGCGCCGACGCCCTGAAGGCGCCACCAGCGTCGGATCTGGTCAACTAACGGCTGCTTCGTTTCATAAAAAATTGCCGATATTGTTCTTTTGTGTTTTTCGTTCTCAACCCCCTTCCCCCTTCTTTTACCCCCCGTTCTTTATTTCACCAACAACCCTTACTCTCGTTTCAAATTCATCTCGTTTATTTCGTTAGCTTTTAATTGTTGTTTTAATAACAGGTATGAATCAACCGGTTTTATGTTAAATCCCATGGTGCTTATTTGAGCGGCGGCGACATAAGGGCATATTATATAGTGGCGATTATACATACATAATATGAGGCTGACCTGATTGATTACATGGATCAGCATCACCACATGGCATGCCATTATGTGTAGATTTGCTAATCAAACCTCCACGAACTACGTAGATTATATGATCTTTCCATTTCCTTGTGAATGTGGCGCTATCCGTATATGTTGAATGTCACTGGCAACTGCAAAAACAGTGAATACGTGTGACATACGCCACATGTGAGCAGTGACAATCAAATATGCAGGAACATGCACCAGAGACGATGGCCGTAGATAACGGACGGGGTGGGCTCAGCACCTTATTCTACTCTACCTCGATCGTGAATTGTTGTATTGAGCAGGTGGCCAGTGTTCACGAACGCAACTGCAAAAGGATGCCTGGCCACTTACAAGCAACGGTGGTCACTTGTGTGTGTTGGTATGTTGCTAGCCTGATGGGAAAGCGGAAACCTTGCTGGTATATCCAGAAACCCCACCCACCAACCACAGGCAGCAACCACGCCCCATCCATATGCACACCGGAAGTAGACGTGCGTAAATTGCTGTCCTCACAATGACCAACATACGGCACTGTGGAATAGAAAACAAGCCCACTGTCTTAAAATGGCCAGCTCCGACTTACATGCAAATGGATAACATCAGCCATAGCCGCGGACCCATCTTCACGCTGCCACAACGCCTCCCTGTCTGACAAGGAAAAACCCTCAGGATGCGCCTGTACAGTCAGCCCCACCTACCTACTCTGTGCTTAAAAATGCAATATGTGCGACGTAGACACATCATGGCGGGTAGTCGCACATATCCTTCAACGTACCCTTGCCATAAAAAGAGGCATATTCATGGCGCTTGGGTGAGAGAGACATAAGCCAAGCTGCGCACTGTCTCTCCTGACGTCTTTGCACAGGTGCAGCAAGAATTTTCATTGGAGAACGGCAACTTGGCTGAACTGGGCAGCAAGGAAATCAGGGTGCTGGCGAACGAGCCTTTGGACAAAGTCAGCTGGAAAAATGGACTTGGGGTTTATTAATTTCTCTGCGATCTGCACAAAACAGAGCAAGCGAGGCAACCTCCGACAAGCGGTTGTCGCGCTGGCAGGAGGGACAACACACATGCATGCACCTGCCTGCCGCCCCGAGTTGGTGAGGGCAAAACTGACGGGGTTTCCTGTCCATTCCTGGCACTCGCGGCAGCATGCTGCCAATGTGACCAGACCACAATTGTGCAGTTGCCGTTGCTAAACACCTGCCTGCCTTGTGAGTCTGGAATATCAAAACTATTTCCTCACCTGATGCTGTTCTGGCATGGCGATGGCGCTCAAAAACAGCGAGAGATCCGTTGGATTCTCAGGGTATAAAAAGTCGCCTCTCTTCCCTCGCACACCCCTGTCGCGGAAATAAATGGTTTCCTCCGTCTTCTCCTTTTCCTCCTCAGCCTGCTTCACCGCATAGCGCCCTTTTTGATTTACTTGGCCTTTCTTCCAACCTGTAAACACATCACAACCTTATTTATTTAGCCTCTATTTCGCTCTACTTTTAACTCACGCTTTTCCTCTCTTATTTTTCTCACAATGGCTCCCTCAGGACCGCTATCATTTGTCCCGGACGACATCCTCTTGGAGATATTCAAGTGGGTGTGTCCGACTATGCTTCCTGAAGCAGGAAACTGCTTTGGCCTCACGGCTGTTCTGTTGCTCGCCCACGTATGCCGCAGATGGCGACACTGTTATCAGCAGTCCATTCGTCAAGTATGTCTGCGTCGAGCGCGTGCTTATTGGGGACTGCACGAATGGATGGGAGACATGGGTACGCATGGCGGTCAAATATTGAGATGCTCATCGGGATGGGCAAGACCAGAGGATGTCAGTCACCTTGTCATCAAGCTCGGATGATGGATGTATGTGCAAACCCCAGATGACAGAGATCCTGAATATGTTTCACGGCTACCACTTCAGATGGGCAAACATCCGTTCCCTTGTATTCGTTGGTGACGGCTTCATGGTCGTTTGGAACGTATCCCACCTACAAGCCCGCAGATTGGATCCCGAAGGCACAAATTGCATTCTTTCAGTTTCATCTCGCTCTTCTCGAACATAAGATCCCTGGCGTATAGCAAGGATGGATCTGGCAAAGCGTCATCTGGATTGACTATCCACAACACTATACTATATCCACTTTACTGTTGGCTCTTTCACCACTACCGTAAGCAGCTCACATTCAGTCCAGGGGCTGTATCCACTGCCGCCTAGAGCCTTATCCAGCGTCGAGTATGAGACAACAGATTTGGAACTGAACTCGAAGTACCTAGGCTACTTTGCTGACAGTCCAGTGTTTGAAGCGTCGGTCATTCGCAAGATGACGGTCTATGAGATCATCGAGGGTATGAACTGGGAGCTGGTTTAAATCCAGAAACGGCAACGATATTGTCTTTTCTAGCATGGAGCAGCTCAGCTATACGTCTGTATGCCACAAACTCATCTTAGCGCCAAGCTAGGATCCGACCGGCGGGTTTGCCTTGCGTTTTCCGAAGTTGTTCTCATTAACGGTTGGGCATTCAGTTCCTGTTTTTGGCGACATTTACAGTCTCTTTCATGAATCTCCTATCGAGTTTCTTGCAATGGGCGAGGACCTGAGCGACCTTCAGTATGTCGATGCGCGGATTGTCTCGAGGATTAAGGCATTCGTGCTGGTCGGGCAACAATTCTCGGACACACCCGTTTTTATTCAGCGCGGCGCTATCACCTAGGTTTTACAAAGCGTTATGCCGAGTGCAGGAATTGTGTCTGCTCTCAAATCCGTACCCATTGACAGATGTCGACCAGCTTATTTGCCTTCAAAAACTTGCAGATCGACCTGAGCGTGGACGAGTTTCCCTATTTGCACGGAGCCATTCAGCAACTGCCAAGGCTCGGGGTGTTGGATATCGTGTTCAAGAAACACTGGAGCGCCCGCAAGCACCCTTACACACTTTTGCCAGGGTGAAAACATGCCTGCAATCGAGGACACAGCACCTAGCACATACAGGCATGGAACCAATACTATCGATGCCTCCGACCTGCCCCCAATCAGCACCTCGCTCTACTATGTCAGTATTGCACACAGCGGTCCAGAGATGTTCCATCGTGCCTGTATTCTCATTCGCAGCTTGCCCAACCTGACGAAGGTTGCTGTCCACGAGAGTAATGCGCTTGACATTCTTGAATTCAATTGCATAAGGGGCAGAGGTGTCAAAACCGAGGTGTATGGCTAGGAGTCCTGGCTTTCTTGAAGATGTACCATATGTATCTATCATATTTATTCCAATCGCATATTTTTTCAAACAACCCTTTACGTATTGACCTTTATGACACAACACATGACATAATGCCCTCATGGACCTCTGTGGCTGTATTACAATACTCACTACACAAATGTGCTACCACGCCTCACCTGTCCATTTTGATACAACTGAAATGCGTCCGTAGATCCTGGGGCATCACAACCTGCATTAGCAAAATGGCCATGCATGACCAAAGAGAGGCTCTCGCTATTCTCTTGAGACAATATGCGGAGATATTGTGGCAAGGCATTGTTGGAGGTGTCTGAAATGACCCCTGCTCTTTTCATAAATGAACGATCAACATTCTGCTGGCAAAATCGATTCACTATGCCTCTTCCGCTCATCCTTTGTTGAATTGGAAGATTGCCTTTGGAGTTCAGCGAGTTTTCTCATTTCAACCACCATGTCTGGAATCACATTCGTGTGCATAGAGCGTGAAATAAGAGGCTAACGCGCGACCCTCAGCCCCACGGCAGCTATTTAAGCCATGGTTCACGAATGGAATAGAGTCGAATTCATCACATTCCAACTCTGTATCTATACTCTAATTCGATAAACTAAGCTATTCAATCATGAAGATCCAGTTCGTTCGTTCATCTCCTAACAAAAAAGTCACTTTCATACTGATATCGTCTCATTGAAAAAGATCCGCATGATACCTTTCCCAAATTTCGGATTTAAGGGTTATTGACATTTGTTACAAGCTCTGCAAGGACCCTGCGCAGCTAGCCGGACCAAAGCGAACTGAACCAAGCCAACATGGCTGCTGCTTATCTGAGCCAACCTCGGCAACACAGCTCTTGAGGGCAGGGACTGTACTTGGATCGGATTATCGTTGTGCCAATTGCAGTATCTCTCCTTCCTATATATTAGCAAATCCTACCTGCCATTTGACGGATTTTTCATCAATAAACTATCTCTTAAAGCTGTCTTTTCATGTTTGCGTATAGTATATGGCGTGCACTGCAGAGTACAGTTGCTTACTCTGCTTTCGTTTCGTTTTTCAACGCCTAAATGGTTCAGCAGTTGAACAGGCCATACACCGTCTGTCCATCCACTACTTTCTGACTCACGAATAGCTGCTGTGCGGTGGTAAAAAATCCACCACGATATTGTCGGAAAAGCATTCAGAAGATGTTGTAGGAGCATATGCCCAGTGCTTTTGGCAGATCCACAGCACCAGCTGGAGTACTCGCCCGACGGTGAATCCTCAGCCAGCCTGTTTGACCAGAGGGAAACACATGCTATGTTCTGGGTTAGCGCAGATTCACTTAGTAGCATAGATGGAGTAAAGGAATAAAAAGGTGAAGATTGTTCAAACAACAGAACCGTCCGAAGTCGCCACTTTGTAGCCACTGCAAATGTCATAACGAACAGGAGATTAATCGTCGTGACATCCACGGAAAATTGTAGAAGGCAGGTGCTAGCAATTGACGATATTTCTTGATCTGAAAAGAGAAGTACAGTCGATCACGTAGCGTCGATGGGGGAAATCGGTTTTCGACACCACACCCTGGTACACCTCCCGCACTTGGCTGGGTATCTCAAGCAAACTGTCTACGATACCATGGGCATTGCCATGGACAAGATCCAAGCTCAGCATGCCTGACTATTGCGAGTTCGCAGTCCAACATGCATTATCAAGACATTTAATCCGCCCACTTCAACCCTGCGACACGCTCCAACGACTTGTCGATTGCTGAGTGTTTCTGTTCCTGACAAGGATATCAAACTGATCATGCTTGCCCATATACACATCTTCCAACTGAAGGAGAACAGCAGGATACCCATTTCCTCGAACATCAGCCATGGCATTACCGACGTCTACACTGCTGCAGAAACACTTAGCTGATAAGCGGAGGAAATACAGTCACTGCTCAGCGGTATGACGGCAGAGTTATCCAATTATTGTCATGACAATCGGGTTACTCAAGTACTTGTCAAGCGAGCGCGCCTGAGATTGGCAGTGCGTTACAGCGATTCTTTTACCTGGTAGCAGGATGCTGGTGACTGGCTGGCTGAAATGGCTGTCGCCTAACTCATACAGGAAAGTCCTTGACCACGTATCAGGTAGGCAGCTAGCCACACATCCATATGTTTCGGGTTCCGCGCGAGAAGCTGGACGAGCTTCGCCTCGAGCTGCTGGAACATGTGCCACGCAGAGCCCGTCTCTCGGACAATGATATCTTCTGTGCAATTGGATGCAAGCTGAATGAGCAAGCGAACTATAGTACAGAGTGTAGAAACCAGGGCTAGCTAAGGGAAGCTCCTTGGGCGCAAGCTGGGGATCACCAGGCGGCCATTTTCTTCTGCTCCCGTTCGACCTTTGTCATCGCTTCGGAATGGAGTATCTAAATTGCATAGGCAATGCACTGCTGGGTATGGTAGAGGTATTCCCAGTTGGCCAGGTGCAGTCTCCGACCACCAACCAATCCCTTGCAAAGATGGCATATCGCATCCAGAAAGATAACTGACAGGATCACACCAGCAGCTCCTGGAATGGCAATGGGTATCACCGAAAGCTAATACATCCGATATTGGCACCTTCTTGAGTGGTATGAAATTCCGACGTCCATGCTTTTACTGCTAGCGTCACCCTGCATCAAACTATATCGCGCAGACTTTGGTAATAGCGTGCAGGTGTTTTCAACAGTTTGTCCTGGAATTTGTATTGGACACGTTTGTATGCTTGCCGCCACCTTCACCGAAACAGGGGTGTTTTCGTATTTGTTACTAAATTCACTGGATTCCAATGGTCGGCATTTTGGACAAGTCTTGGAAGGGCCTCGCCACGTTTGGTGTTCTAGCCATAAAAGTGCCAATGGATGTAGATTATCCAAGGTAGATTTCATGACATTAGGCGTTTCCAAGATAGCCATTGCTGAGCCTCCATTTGTAATGCGTGGTTTTATGATGAAGAGCAATACGGCAAAGTGTACATGTGCGGCTCTTCAACCACACGCTCTCCTCTGCAGCATCTGCAATGGTATGTCATGCGGAACCATACGTGGTTTCAAAACATCAAAAATATATATTATAGCGAAATGGCGGAAACTCGAACGGATAGAATAAACGAAAACACAATATTACATATGCGCAGCTAGTTGATTATGTGAAGACTTCCACAGGCACCAGCATCTCCTTATCGCCGAGCTTGACGCCCAAATTCTCGTACTTCAAGAAGTTCATCGGAATCGGCACCAAGTGCCCCTTCACATTCTTCAGAATCTCCAAAGTGTCGGCGGACGAGCGGCCAGGCAGTGCCTGACCATGCGGGACCTCTGGACCGGGGATAAACGTCTTGTACTGGTCAAAGGTCTCGATGGTGTTGTCGGGCACGCATCTGAAGATATCGCGGAAAATGCGCTCGTTGCCTTCGGCAGTATCCTGCCACATGGCGAAAAAGTCGTCCGACAGCGGGTCCTCGATCAGCTTCTTTGTGTTCCTGGTCCACTCAGCCCGTGCGTCGCTGTGCTTCGTATCCACAGGCGGCTTGCCCACATACATTTCGTTGATGTACCGCATCTGGTCGACGGAGTCCAAAACGCCAGTGTGCTCCTGGCACAGCTGCACGCGCAGGGAATGGGCGAATTTGGCGGCCTGGTATGTCCGGCCGTTCATGGTCGTGACCACTGGCTCGGTATCTTCGACAATCATTGGCGATTTCCGAGTCGCGGTTTCCGACCATTGACCGGTCGTTGATATTGGCCGAGCCCATGATCACATAGCGGTCATCGACAATCATCAGCTTGCAGTGAATGTAGACGAGCTCAGTGACGATTTGGTCTACAATCTCGGGTTCGGGCTGGTCAGCAGAGGCAGGAGTTCCACTGTACGTGTGGCCATGCGGGACTGGCGTCGGCCGCTGCTGCGGTGGCTGCTGTGTGGGTGGAGCGGGTGGCGGGGTGTCTGGCTTCTTGCCAAACACCTCGTGCTCAAGAACCTGGGCGCCAGTGCGTGACACGGGCGGGTATGTGTGGGTATGTGTGCCGGCAACAGTATTGGCACGGCGCGGTGTGCTGGTGGGCGCCTTGGACGACTTTTGGCGCACATGCCCTACAGCATTGGCGCCTGGCGTGGATTCAGCCTGGAGGCGCTCGCGCATATACTCAGCGCCGGCCATCTCGGGCAGCACGGCCATGGCACCACGGTCGGCCTGCTTGCCCTTCTCGTCCTTGCTGCCAAGGAACACGGGTGTGGCCGAATCGCCGGTTTCGCGCAGCGGCAACGGATGGACGTAGTTATCGACATCGGCCATATCCAGATGCACCTGCGAGCCGCCAAACTCCGAGTCCGAGTCGCGGTGGACCGAGCTCGGTGAGCTGGTTAATGCGCTTGTGTTTTGCGCCCATGACGTTCTTCTTGTACTGCTTGATGTGCTCTGTGCCACGAACCAGGTAGCGTAAGGCGGTCTTGCGGCCGGCCCTCGTTATCCATGCGCCGCATATACGTCGGGACGCGGCCAGTCATCGTCGGACAGCGAGTCCAGCGACTCGAGCTCCACATCCTGCGGCTGCTTGGCCCGGCTGCCCGACAGCAGGTTGGGCAGGGCAGACAGCGATGACCGGCGCTTCATGAATGTCGGCCGGTGCAGGTTGAACGACCTGCGGCCAATCATCGGCGGCTTCTGCGTCGGCCGCTCGATGTGCTCCGAGAAGCGCGTCATTTCGCGCGACCTTCTGGTGTTGTCTTCCATCGGGAACGTATCGGCAGCAAATGCCTGATCGGGTCCTACGGAACGAGTAGTCGTCGGGCATGTGCGGCGGATCGGTGAACGACAGGCCAGTGGGCTCGCCGTGAGGCTATCGTAGATTTTGTCGGCACCGGTGGCGGCGACGGGCTGCGCTGGGCCGGCGGTGCTGGAGTCTCTATGTGGACGCTTGGCGTGGCAGCGGCCGGCGACTTTGGGATGGTTGGCACGCCCTGCTGCGCCAGCGTAGCGTCGAAATCCGGGAACTTCCAGCGGTGCATTGCCGATAATATGCGACAGGTCCTGTTCGATGCCGTTGTCAGAGTACCGGCGAATGACGTCGTAGGTGCGGAGGCCATAGAAGCGGATGTAGTCGTGCATGTTGATGCCGTCTTTTTCAAGCTGGCTCATGATCGAGTGGTCGCCACGGCAGATGGTCTGGTACTGCCAGTGCATGACGAGCTTGAGCGTTGCGGCACCAGCGGCATTGACATCGCCTTCGAAGGCAGGCATCAGAGGCATGAGCACGATGACGCGGAATTTCTCCTTGCGGCGGTGCGCGCGCTTAATCCGGTCCACCAGGGCCTCAGCAATGCGGTTCTTGATTGTGTACCCGGAGTCCTCGCGGGCATTGGAAATGAAGAACTGGTTCTCAATGTAGATAAAGTGCTTTGCATCCCTGATCATCTCGCAGTACGCTGTGTGGATCGAGCTCTCCTTGCTGATACCCAGCGACCACTCCGCCGAGGAGCGCAGCACCTGGGTGCGGCAGGAACCGCGGTACTGCAGGTCGTTGCGGGAGACCGAATACTCGCCCTTGGGCATCAGGAATGGCAGGCGGGTCTTGGCCATGGCCTTGGAGCTCTTTAGGAAATTCCACCGCATGATGAAATGCCTGGACACGTCGCGTGCCGGCTGGCCGATCATGGCCATATGTACATCGTGCCAGGGCATGCGTGGAGTGGTGCGCCGGTTGATCAGCGTATCCTCGTAGTCGTTCACGTTGGCAAAGTCGTGGATGCGCGCGTTGTTGTAGTCCTGGCCAAAGAAGTTTTGCAGGTGCGAGTACGGCTTGCCCTTGTATGGCAGGTAGTAGTCGGCGAGCCGGTGGCCGTGGGTGTCGTAGCGGCCCCAGCAGAGATCCAGGCCGCCAATGAAGGCGAAGGTGTTGTCGACGATCAGCATCTTTTCGTGGTGCGCCCAGAACATAGTGCCTCCAGCCAAGTGGTCGGGGTGGCGCTGGACCATGATGTTGGGATGCAGCGACTGCAGCTTGCGCTTGGTGTATGCCGAATTGATGGTCAGCGACACTGTCACCTCCTTGTACACGACCACATAGATCTTGACCCCCTCCTCGGCCTTGCGCTTGAGCAGCCGATCAAGCCGGTATTCCTCGTTCTGCGCGTATGGGCGTCCGCAGGTGCAGTTCTGGCGAGAGCCACCAGTCCTCAATGTAAATGCAGTCGGTGGCATTTTCGATGGCCTCGGATGCAGCGTAGAAATAGTCGTCGCCATCCACGAACCAGATCACAGCGGCTGTTGTCGCGGATGGGCGCAAACGACGCAAACCGGTGCGGCACAGCCCATGCCGACGTGTTCTTCATCTGCTCAATCGAATGGCGCCATTCGTTGATCACGCGTTCACTATCGCTGCGCAGCTGGATCCGCCGGTACTGGTTCGATACTGTGATCCGGTACGGAAACAGCGGATTGCGGCCGGTCTTTTTGCGGAATTTGATGTCAAACTGCGAGTCTGCAAACAGCACGTCGGTCGGGTAGGGATCGGAGATGTGGCTGCAGAAGGCAATGTATGAATCACGCACAATCACCCATTGGCGCGTCCACCGCCGCAAGTCACGCGGGGTGCACCACTGGCCAGTCGTGTGCTCGACTCGCCTGTCCAGGTTGCCCTCCTTGCCCTTCCATCCGACATCCTTGACAATCGACACGGCGCTGAGCTCCAGGAACGTGCAGATCTCGTACGCAGGCCGCATGTTCATCGCGCGCAGCACCTTGATCAGATAGTTCTCGAGCGCCTGCTTGCGGTCAACCGTGGCCTGATTCATGCGGTTGACGCGCTGGTGGCCCGGCGTAAACGACTTGGCCTTTTCGATGGCATACGAGAACTGCTGCGGGAACGTCGGCAGCTTGTGGACGCGGCCCTGGAACTTGCGCAGCGTCAGCATGGTGTGCAGGGTGATGAAGTCCTGGAGGCGTCTGTAGATCACCCATTTGATGTCACCGTACTGGAGCTCGATGCGGACAACAAAGTGGTGCTGGTCTTCAGAGTCGAAGGTGGTGCCAGAGACCGTGACTGCAAGCGAAATCGCATCGAAGATGACTGGCGGGGCGCGGTGGCCGTGCTCATCGCGCATAAAGTAAAACATGGGCACGAACAGCGCGTCCTGCAGGAACGGGAACATGCCATTCGGGAACGAGCTCTTCATCTTCTGCTGGGGTTTGCGCGTCATCACCGAGGCCTTGAGAACAGCCCGCTTGAACTTGTGCCGGAGCTCCTCCATGCGCTTATTTTTGTTTGTCTTCTCTTCGTCCTCCTCGCCCCCCGTCGCGCTAGATGAGGACGATGCCGACGACGGTGCCGACGATGAGCGGTGCAGACCCTCGCTGTCCTGGTGCAGGAATCGTGTGAATTTGCCCATCGACGCCGCTGCGCTCTTGTTCCTGTGAATTGCCTTCGCCGTGGTGATTGTGAAAGTACCGCAGAAACGTCGGGTGCTCCTCATCGTCATCGGGCGGCGGCTTCATGACCTTTTCTGGCGGCTGCGAGAGCTCCTGTGGATCGGGCGGAATGTCGTAGTGGGTGTTCAGCTGCGTGGTCGAGCCAATGTGGCTGTTGGCGTACTGAATAGCCGAGCCGGTTGACGACGCGCCGGTGTCTGACCGCCCGCGGTTATCGACCCCGCCACGTGGGAATCCGCCTAGAGCCAAGGCATCGCCAGCATCATCAGACCTAATATTAAAGTGTTAGTATGCGTTCGCGAACCTGCGCATATGGACACGTGGGATGCGCATGAATGGTGGGAGGGGGCGAAAGATGGATAGGCTTACTCGTCAACATACTGAACGTCTTCGTGCAGAAGCGTGTCTTCGCCGATGCCCGGCACCCGCGACTCGGTGTCGCCGTCTGGTGCTGGGCTGTGCGTGTGTTCGGCCGGGTGCGACTCGGACCGCTGCGACATGTTGCGGAACAGCTTGTCCCAGCCGCTCTGGCTCCGCTGGTGCGCATACGACATCCGGTTTGCTGTCCTTCTGTGCTGCTGTCCGATGGTGCCCGCACGCGGCGTCGTGCTGTTGGTGCCGTGCTCGCTTATTGCATGCTGCACTGCTGCTGTTCCAGTTGTTGGCGTGGAATTTCTTGCTGCATCTAGCGAATGCCGCGGTGGCTCGTCGGGTATGAACACCATTGGCAACAAGCAAAAATGACGAAAAGAATAAAGCGAAAGTGCCAGGGGCGAAAAAGAAAAAAAAGAAGAGGGAGGAGACCGGCCTAGCAGTCCCTTGTCCGCCACTATTTGAAGGTGCTGAAGCGCGCTTGGTGTCAGACTGTCGCCGTGGCGCACAAAAGGAGAAAAATACCGATCAGTGGTCGGAAAAAAGTTGGTGCTATGTTCCCTGTAGTCCAAGCGCCCCTTTGGGCAAATGAGAAGCGCCGCTTGGACCGATTCCTTGCCAGCGGTCCACAGAGTGTAACAACGAATCCCTTGGCATGAATCCCCGTTGACTTCCCTAGAGCCAGGGGCTGCCCTTTCCCAATGCAAACAACCGGCTGCGGTAGGAAATGGCCAGAGGATCTACATGCTGCCCAGTAGCAATGCGACCTCGAGGGGCCACGTGAAAATCAGATGATTGGTGCTGCTGGGCCGAGCACTTTTTCTTGTTGACGCTTCTATTTTTTTGTGCGATACTGTGCTTTTGCCCTTTGGCCCCATTTTACCTCTTCGTTTTGCAGCTTTTACACAGTTTTTTTCTACCTGCTACTCTTACTATTTTCTCCTGAACAGGTATGACAACAGCGCACACAGCCGCTATTGGAAGACACAGGATTGCACAGACTTTGGCGCATTCTAATCAGCTGCATTTCAACTCTGTAGAAGGGAGCCCCCACTTTGTTTTTCTAATTGCAGAGCCACGGGCCAAAACACCGGGGGATTGGGCTTTTATATCTCTGGAGTAGCACCCGCACCAGCAAACCTATATTTCTGTACTATACACACAACCGCAACAGGCGGAGACACACATGGCATCGGTGATCAAGGCGATACTGGACTGGCTCCGGAGCCTATTTTGGAAGGAGGAGATGGAGCTAACGCTGGTCGGGCTGCAGAACTCTGGCAAAACAACACTAGTAAATGTAATCGCATCGGGGCAGTTTACAGAGGACATGATTCCGACGGTGGGCTTCAACATGCGCAAGGTGACCAAGGGCAACGTGACGATGAAGCTGTGGGATATCGGCGGCCAGCCGCGGTTCCGGAGCATGTGGGAGCGATACTGCCGCGGGGTGAACGCGATAGTGTTTGTTATCGATGCGGCAGATCATGCCAAGCTGGACCAGGCGCGGGCGGAGCTGTGGAGTCTGCTGGAGAAGCCGCAGCTGGCAAATATCCCGGTGCTGGTGCTGGGCAACAAGAACGATTTGGAGGAGGCGCTGAGCGTGGAGCAGCTGATTGAGGCAATGAACCTCCAGGCAATCAATACGCGGGAGGTCGCGTGCTACTCGATTTCAGCCAAGAACCAGGTCAACATCGACATCACCCTGAAATGGCTCATTGGCCATTCGTCGTCGGCATCGGCATCGTAATGATGCTTCCCCCGTTTTCGCTTCTTTTTTTTTCCCTGTTGCATAACCCAACCCCCTTCTCCCCTTGCTCGGTCGCTGCTGGAGGGGAGGAGGAGGTCGCAGAACCCAATCTGCGTCGCTTTGCTTTTGTTCCCCCTCCCTTTTCTCTTTCTCAATTCTTCTCTCTGCTTCACAAAGGTGCTAATAAACCAATGGCATTTGCAAACTCTCAAATACCCTTCTTGACAGCCGTGTTGGTGACATGCCCGGCTTGAGTGGCAGCGGTAATGGAGCCAATGTAGATCAGGGGAATTGCGTGCCATGTGGCCTTTGAGCGTGCTATGTGATGATGCCAGCGGGGTTATAAATAGCCAGCGCGCGTGGCGGAGAAACAGCCCATCTCTCCTTCAGCTTTCCCGCACCCTTATTCCAGCACCTCTCCTTTCAAGATGAAGCAGCTCAGCGGATCCTGCCACTGCGGTGCCATCGCGTTCACCTTTTCGACCCATGCGCCAGCGCCCTTTATGCGCTGCTACTGCTCCATTTGCCGCAAGACGTCTGGCGGCGGCGGCTACACAGTCAACATGCTTGGGCAGTACGCAACGCTCAAAGTCACCAAGGGCAAGGACCTAATGAAAAGCTACCGGGCTGTCAAAGACAAGACGGCTCCAAAGGACCAGCAGGTGCTGTGCCAGGACCGGTTCTTTTGCCCCACATGTGCCTCCTATTTGTATGCATATGACGAGCAGTGGCCAGAGTGGTTCTACCCGTATGCGTCGTGCATCGATACGGAGCTGCCAAAGCCCGAGCGCGTCACCCACATCATGATGGGCAGCGCAGCCAAGTGGGCCGTGCCTGAAGACGGCGAGAGGTACGACGAGTACCGCCATACTCGCTGGAGGAGTGGCATAAAACCCACGGCTACTATGTTGACTAACATGCTGTTGAAAATCAAAATACTAGCCGGAAAGCGAATTTTGAAAATAAACAAAAAGTTTTTCTTGGTGGTCTTTACGCCTGCTGTTTTGGCGGTCTGTCGGACTTTCTCCCCTTCTCTTCCCCACTTTTTCAATCTTCCAAATACTCGTTTTTATTTTCTTCTTTCTCATTTCCCATATATATTTTTCCACCTTCATTGCATTTCCATACTACCACCTAATATTATGAACACTGAGGATCCAGCCGTGCTAGCCAGTCCCCCGCGTCGCACACGCACGCGCACTGCGCTCGGTCTGTTTCCGCCCACAGACGCCCCCCAACGCAACGCGTCGCTCAGTAGCATGGAGCCGGCCACAGAGCCCACGCCGCGGCTCAAGCGCACCTCATCATCGTCGATCCGACGGCAGACGATGGAGGAGACGCTGCGGTCGATCAGCCGGCAGTACGGGCGGCGGCGGCGCCTAAACTCGACGGAAGCAAGCGCACCGACCAGCGCAGCCAGCTCGGTGACGGGCAAGTCGCGTGGGCCGGACACCAAACGACGCGGCGACTCGCGCGCGCTATTCGCAGCAACCGCCCAGCCCTCTGTGCAGGACGGGCTGGTGGCCGAGCCGACATTCAATGTGCCGCGATCCTCGGGCTCGTCGATGCTGGCGCACCAGATGATCCTGAGCGCACACAAGCTGGCGCAGGAGCCGGAGAAGGTGCGGCCGCGGGCGTCGATGCCGGTGATTAACGGGGCACGGCGGGCGCCGCAGCGCACGCGGTCGCATGTGTCGCGCGGGCGGCAGGACGAGCTGTCGGATGCGCTGACGATGAAGAGCGTGGAGATTCGAGGGGGCAGGATTGTCTTGGACGATCCAAGCAGTTCCGAGAGCGAGGGAGAGCCGCCCAAGACCGCGTTCAGGCGGCGTGTGGAGTCGGTGGGGTCGACGGCCAGCGAGTATATTGCCGCGCTGGGCGAGGAAGAGTGGGAGGAAGGGATGCGCAGGCGGTGGTATGCGCGCCGGTGTCTTGGGCTGCGCCAGCCGTTTGATTCTCTGCACCGGCTGGCCAAGGCCGAGCACACTTCGGCCAACCCCTTCCCGCTGCTGAGCGATTTGAGAAGGGTACTGGGCGAGGCCAGGTGCGAATTGGACGGCCGAGCCGTCGATGTATTGCTGTGCTCTGAATCAATTGTGGTTTGTGCGGCCGGTCCCGAGGACGAGACGCCGCAGGAGCTGAGGGCTGTGGATTTCAGTGACGAGCTGGTGGTGCGTGTGGACGACAATGACGAGACGCTGGTGCATGTGTCTGACGACGAGCAGTCGATGGTGCTGAGATTTCCCTCTGGGGGGCGCCTGTGGGTGGAGCAGGCGCTGCAGGCACGCACGCGCCTGGAGATACTCCTGCAAGACCTGCGGCTCGACGAGGAGGACTATGTGGAGCGGCCACCGGTTCCACTGCTGGCACGTGGGCGTAGCTCGATTGCGGGCTCGGTGGCCAATGCCGAAAGCGTGACGGCTCTGGGCTCGCGGCTCCGCAAGCGCCAGGCGCAGGGCGGTGTTTTGTGGGTGCCAGACCACGAGACGTCGGTCTGCATGGTCTGCCGCAAGACTGCGTTTTCGATGATGGTCCGGCGCCACCACTGCCGCGCATGCGGACTGGTCATTTGCTACCGCTGCTCGACGGTTGAGGACAAGCGCAGGCTGTGTGTGCGGTGCTCGGGCCGTCAGGGCGCGCTGGTGCCGAAGCCGTCGCCGTCGCTGCATACGCTGGGCAGAAGGGCGGCCGAGTATTTGCCCGCGGGCGACGTGGTCATGCAGATTGCTGCCCAGCGCGCCGCGGCGGTGGTCGATGGCTCGGGCGTCACTAGAGTCAAGCCGGACCGTCATGCGAGGCGGCCACTGTCGACGGTCCTGTTTACAAATGCCGATGTCGACAATGTCGATGATGGCGCTGACTGTTACAAGTAGAGCTTTTTTATGACTACAACCTAATAAAACAAACTGTCTTTAGGCTCGCTTGGAGAACAGCGCACTGAACGCGGCGAGGATGGTCCACTTGCGGTTCTCGGCCTCCTGGAACACAACCGACCGGTCCGAGTAGAAGATCTCATCAGACACCTCCTCGGGCTTGCGCGGCAGGCAGTGCATGAAGATCCAGTCCTTGTTGGGCTTGCCCGCATCGACCAGCTGCTGTGTAACCTGATATCCGGCGAAATCCTGCAGTCTCTGTGCCTTCTCTGTCTCCTGGCCCATGCTGACCCACGTGTCGGTGACAATGATATCGGCGTTCTGGACTGCCTGTACCGGATCAGTAAAGTACGACACATTCGACTGCGCCTTGTCGGCATCTGACTTGGCCATCTGCTGCACCGACTCGGGGATCGGGTACTTGGACGGCGTGCACACGTTCATGTTGATGCCGCATTTGGGGAACGCCGACAGCATCTCGTATACGATGTTGTTGGCGTCACCGACCCAGGCGACGTTGAGACCGCGAACCACGTCGAAGACCGTCTTGGCCTCGGGCTTGCGCTTGCCAAACACCTCCCAGATGGTCAGGAGGTCGGCCAGGATCTGCGTCGGATGGTTCTCATCACACAGAGCATTGACAATGGGTGCCGACGAGTACTTTGCCAGGCCTGTGATCTCCGAGTGTGCGCCCACGCGGGCAAACAGCCCGTCGACCATGCTCGAGATGACGATTGCCGAGTCCCTCAGCGACTCGTTGACGCCCAGCTGGATGTCGTCCTTGCCGAGGAACATTGCGTGACCGCCGAGGTACGCGATCGAGGTCTCACTAGCTACGCGCGTGCGCGTTGACCGCTTCGAGAACAGCAGCCCGATGGTCTTGCCCTTCAGGGGCTCGTCGGGGTGGAAGGCCTGTCCGTGGTTCTTGGTCTTGTCCTTGAAGTCGGCAGCTGACTCGACCAGGGCCGCGATCTGCTCCGGCGTGTAGTCTGCTAACGAGATCATGTCGCGCGGCAGCGTCGAGAGTGCAGGTGTGTGGAGTGCGCGCACCGACGACCCGTTGGTGGCCATAGGAATTACAGACGAGGCAAGGCGGGGCATGGGTGTGAATAACGGCTTGAAGGCGGAAAGTTTGGTAAACATCTGGAGTGAAGAGGTCTTTGCAATGGGGAAAGAGATATCAGTGGAGTGGGCTTTATATAAGCGCGTGTTTCTGATTCACTGGGCGTTCTAGGCTCGCTTGTCTTGCTGATAACGGAAGCGCCGACGATTCGGGAAGTTGGGTGAAGATGTGTCTGGGACAGAGATAGAGGGAATCCTAATCTCGGTCCAGTATCGAACCTTTTAAAGGTCCATTTCCGTCGCTGTTGATCCACTTGGTCAGTGAGTCACAACGCACCTGCCACTGTTCCCAGCCAGCATAAATGCGTCTAGCTATGTCATCACATTCCGGCGGGCTAGCCCGGTGGAGCGAGCAGACAGTGATCGCCCCTCCCCTCGCTTGCATTCTGAGGCCGCCCAGCCAGCCCATCGTCACACTGGTCATCTATCGAGAATCCATATTTGCAAGACATGATGAGATGTATTCGGGAAATGAGCCATTTGCGTCTGTATAATCGCAGCCAACACACAAATAATGTATTTAGATCTCGTCGATCTCAAAGTCAAAGTCGACATCATCGTCCTCGGCCTCGAATGCCTCGGTTTCGTTGATCTTGGCGTTCTCTGGCAGCTCGCCGTACTGCTTCAGAGCACGAGCCTCATCGGCCGAGTACTTCATGATAACATCGGCCTTGTCGTCCTGGAAGTCGCGCAGCGAGATCAGCACAATGTCGCCCTGGTTGATCCACACCTTCTTGCGCATCTTTCCGCGGATGTGTGCAAGACGCTTGGTGCCATCGAATCCCAGAGCCTCAACACGCCCGCTTCCAAGCATCTTGACGACCTGCGCGTACTCCTGGCCCTCCTCCCGGAACACCAGCTCGCGCTTCTCGTGCTCTGTGTCGTTCTTTCCGCGACGACGGTTCTTTCCTCCCTACACACTCTGCTTTGTTAGAATCTCTGAATTGGGGCTGCCCAATTTACAGCTCATCTGGCCCAGCTCCCAGGCTCCTCTGCGCTGCCGCCTCCGTACCTTGCCCTTATTTTTCGGCATGCCGGCTTTTTGCTATTTGCTTGCAAAAATGTGTATTTTTCAAGAATGAAAAGTAGAGAAGAGAAATCTGCCTACATTCTGCAATTCGCAAAAATTTTCGTCTCTGCGGCCACGATGTCGAGGCGAGCCGCGGGGAGCATGAATGACGAGCCGATCAGATCAGGTCACGTGATAAGCCACTAGGTGCAGCTCGGGCCAGAGACCGTTTCAATATGGCTAGCCTGCGGATCGCGGGGCACAGCCCATGTCTGGGCCCGCTAGAAGCAGCGACACCTGCTGCTTTTGCTGTTGCAGGCTGTCATGCAGACATGTATAACACAGTGCGAGGAGGCTTGTACATGTGTGCTACGCATATTATATTGGTTTTTTGGTGATGTTCTAGAATAATCCGCAAGAAGCACTGGTATTAAGCACCACCGACAATGATGTTGTTGATGGGAATGTGGATGAGCTTGGCAAAGTAGCCGATGAAGCCCATGACAAGGAAGCCCATGAGCACGGCGCGCACGATCTTTGCGTACTCCTTCTGGTCGGGCTTGCTGCAGCGGCGGAGCAGCCACGATGCCTCCTTGACGAACTGCTTGGGCGCCTCCTGGATGACGTTGGCCGTCGGAGTCTGCGTCTCCTGCTTCTGCATTGTTAAAAGAAAAAAGTATAAAATTCAATAGAGATGGGAATGAGAAGAGATGCGGAGCGGAGCGCGTAACGGCTAGCCGAGGGCTATTCGGCGAAAATGAAAGCGACCAGCTCCTGGAGCGACCAATTAAATCACGCGACGTGCGCGGCCCGGGCCATTGATCTGGCAAAGCGTGTGCCCGTGATCATAGCTGATCCTTGCTGGGCCAAGCGGGCACTTTTACCAGCCGAAACATGCCCAGATAGTGACAACATAAAAGTAACATTGGTGATCGCTTTTGGCATGTAGAGCATTGTATATAGGAAACACCACTGAAATAGCTAGGGACTGATTAGTTCTCGGCAGTGGCCTCGGCCAAACGCTGCGCGCGCTTCTCCAGCAGGTGTGTCCGACGCTTCTCGATCAGCTGCTTCTCGTACTGCTTGAACGAGTAGTATTTGTAGCCGATAAGCGCGCCGGCGGACACATACACAGCGTAGCTGATGCGCGGCTTCAGCACGGCACGGCCCTGCAGGCCCATAGCGTACATGCCGGTTCCGAGACCGACAGTGGCACCGACAAACATCGACAGAATAGGGGCCATTTTAGCTGTGTGTGGTGTTGATTCGTGACGGGTGAATTGAACAGATAAAATGCTCAAAAGAAGAACGGAAGCTGAATTGAAAGTGAAAAAGTAAAAAAGCGAAAAATGCGCCAAATTTGAATTTGTGTGGGTCCAGAGCCGCTGGCGACAGATGGCCTGCGGTATCTTTTGCCCCGGTGATTGGGCAATCTCGATTTTTATCTTTTAAAGCTTTGATGATTTGTCACGCCGAGCTCAGGACCACTTTTGCTTCCTCTGCTTCCCTCTCGCTCATTTCTGCTACTCGAACTCGGCACACCCCCCTCAGCAGCTGCATAAATGAACGCTCTTCTACGGACACGGACACAGCTCAGACGCATAGGCTGCTTGGCAGTCCGGGCGCGGCCACAGCAACCAGCAGTCACAGTACCAGCTCTGCGATACAACTCGACGGCAACCAAATACAGTCTGCCCAAACTCAACGCCAAAGAGACAGCCGCGCTCGCAGACAAAATTGCATCGTACGGACAACCACCGACAGAGGCCGCCGAGCCCAAGCCAACAGGCATGGGCAGCGAGATTACACTAACAGACAGCGCCATCAAGCGGCTGCTGTACTTGTCAGAAAAGCGCAACAAGACGCAGTACCTGCGGCTACGGGTCGACTCGGGCGGCTGCTATGGGTTCTCGTACATGCTGGATATGACCGAGACCCCCGAAGAGAACGACATAATGTTTGATCGCAAGGGCGCAAAGATGGTCGTGGACGACGTGTCGCTGCCGCTGGTCCAGGGAGCGACCATCGACTGGCAGGACCGGCTTATCGGCCAGGCTTTTATTGTGGTGGCCAACCCGCAGTCGAGTGGAGGGTGTGGCTGCGGCTCGTCATTTGAGATCAAGCTGGACTGAAGACGCACACGAGTTGTCCCCCAGTCGGCAGTTCTCGGAACACAACGCCCCTCCCCCAAGCATGTGCGTTATTTACTTTAGCGTAAGCAATGTCTTACAAATTCACTTTTGGACTATAAAATCTTATATATTTACTGTTGCTTATTAAATACGCGGGTATTTTCAGACTGGGTTCTGGCAGAGAGCCGGGTTCAGCACGGTTCCAGAAGCCGTTCCTGGCGATGGATATCTGCTTGCGGCTGCACCGTTGTCGTTTTCTGCAAAAGCGTTCCCTTTATGCACTCCCGGTACGCCATGCATCCAATGACTGACTTTTTGTGGCTGTTTCCTGGCCGGCCCCGTGTCGGTGAGACCTCGCTACAAATCAATGCACAGCCGGGATTGGTGGTCAAATAGATGGGCGCGGACGATAACGGAGACACTTTGTGGCCTAGATGGCCAGCACGTCTCGCCCCGCGTGCTATTATCTCGATACCGCCCCCCATTCCCCAAAAATAACATCCGTGCATGCATTCCCGGTGACGACACTAGTCGAATGCAGGGTATATTAGCAACCGCAGCAGGACCATTGGGGTTTCTTGTCCATACACCACAACCCACCAACAAATATTCCTTTTAAACCATGCTCTATACCCTCAGCACTATTAAACACTCGCCCGCAACTGCCTCGCTCGCCTATGGCATCCAGCGTCGCGCCTTTGGCATCAAGACCACTCTGCGTGTACAAGAGTACATCTCCAAAGCGCTGAAGTCTGAGCACCAGAACAAAACCCGTGCCTCCTCCACCTCAGCTACTGCTGGTGCCGTCGAGAACACCGCCAAGGACACTGCTCCGGTGAAACTTGCAAAGAAGGCCATGGAGAAGAAGCCTGAGCCGCGCACCGCCATGGTCTTCTCTGCGATGCCTGACGAGCTGCGCGTCCCAGTCGACCCGAAGCCCATGCGGCCCGAAATCATGGACCACAAGTGGAACTCGAACGAGCTTGAGTCCCTCGATGTCGGCACTACCAAGCACCGCATTCCAGATCTGATCAGCGATAAAATAGCGCTGTGGTTTGTCAAAAACGCACGCAAGCCCACCGACATCTTCTTCCGCAACAAGTACCTGCACCGCTCGGTCATGCTCGAGGTCGTCGCTGCTGTGCCTGGCATGGTTGGCGCCTTGATTCGCCACATCAAGTCGCTGCAGGGCATGCGGCACGACGGCGGGTGGATTGGCCATCTGCTGCATGAAGCCGAGAACGAGCGCATGCACCTGATGACATGGATGGAGGTCGGCAAGCCTGTGCTCTGGGAGCGCGCCTTGATTGCCACGGTCCAGACCGGCTTCTTTGCGGTCTTCTCTCTGCTCTACATGGTCAGCCCCCGCACTGCGCACCGCGTCGTGGGATATTTGGAGGAGGAGGCTGTCACCTCGTACACACACTTTATCAACGAAATTGATGCGGGCCGGATCGAGAACGTGCAAGCGCCCGAGGTCGCCATTGCGTACTGGAACCTGAGGCCCGATGCCAGGCTGCGCGATGTGGTCCTGGCTGTGCGCGCTGATGAGGCCCTGCACAGAGACACAAACCACCACTTCAGCGACCGCATCCTTGCCAAGCGCGAGAGCCTGTTTGACGACTTTGACCAGCCGCATATCAAAAATTAGATTAGACATTGTACAATTTTTAGACTGACTCTGTTTTGTGTGTATTTCACATTAAAAATTCGCTTATTTGTCCAAATACTGTTCTAGTGGTGCCAATACGGAATATGGTGTCTCTAAATGCAGAAACAATACGAGAAATTCACATGCAACCTGTAGATAGCCAACCGTCTCATACCATATACGAAAACGACCCGAGTCCCTGGCAACAGCCAAAATATGAAAGCCCAAAATGTTCAGCTACATATCTGTACGCTTCGTCTTAACGTCTACAAATAAATTTCTCACACCTGCTACTCAGTACACCTATATCAATCCAAGGGCGGCAACGCTGTCGGTTACTTTCCTTCTTTAAACAAACTCCACATTCCAATTCTTGCCAAAAACTCAGAACGCAACACAGAATAAAAGTGTTGAAAACAAAAAGTGATTTACAAACCGCATGGCCAAAACTGGAATAAAAAGAGTGCCCTCACTGAGAATTGAACTCAGGACCTTCTGTTTACGAGACAGACGCTCTGCCGCTGAGCCATAAGGGCTGATCCGCTTCCTAGATCAATCGCTGGGTTTGGAGTTTGTAGAACTCTAGGTGTGGCTTAACAAATAATATCCTTTGCCGAGATAAATCCGCTTCAGCACGGACTGCACCCTTTGGTAGCAGCCCTTGGGAACCATGCGCAAGCTACATCAAGAGCTATTGTCTTTATATTTCCTGTCATATGAGCGATTTCGGTGTCGGCCCTGTGTACGACCACACTTCGTATTCCGGCATTAGACCATGGTTTATGAAATGTCATGATACCAGGTCTAGACTGTACGTGCACCCATTTTAATGAGCTGCATGAATATGGACAGTACCCAATTAGTATATCAAGAGCTAAAGTGCCCGCGAGTTCTCAGAGTTCAAAAATTGCTTCTGCATATCGGCAGAGGCAAAACCGTTCCATTCTATGACTAGGGCTAGAGTCAGTGTCAAGAGACACTGGTTTCACTTGATGAATAGCATATGGTAGCTTGTGCCAACATGCTGGAGCGGCTCTTGACCCCCCAGGATCTTGCTGGAGCTTTGCTGTCTAAGTTACTCTTCAGGTGTAGCCCATGTTCAACTGGAGTGCTCCGGCTGGACCTATGTACATGCCTATCATGATGTGGAGACGTTGCAGCTCTTTTAAATATGTGTTTGATATGTAGTATCACTCGAAATAAGCGCATGACACTCGCTGCTAGTTTATTGGGGGCATCGTGGCAAAACTTTCTTTGCCACACCTATCGCTATTTAGTGATATGACCATCATCCTGAGTGACATGCTGATGCTCCGCATTCAGAAAAATATTCCAGCGCTAATCTATATTCGCTTTACTAATATCTTTATCTTTATCTTTACCTACCTTTATATAAGATTTTATAGTCCAAAAAGTGTCCGACCGTCCGCTAGAAATTATTTAATTGGTTAAAAAAACTCTTAAGCTTCAACACGAGTTTGGGTGGGTTGCTCTGTAAACTCCTTGATCTTGTGCGGCATCTGACCTCATCGGTGAAACCAGGGTGACGAGTTGTTATTGTAGTGGTCATAGGTCTCCACTAGATATCTCCATTGGTTCAGCGCAAGAGCTGCTCTCATTGTCGGTCGGCCCGATAACTTCCATGATGTCATCATGGTGGTCATCACCGGCTGCGCAACACTCTTAGGATGTTTATTTATGAGCATCTATTGAATAAGGCCATATAGCTCTTCTAGCAGTCATGCAATATTTGTGGGTTTATTTTACAAATTAATTTGTCTTATGAACATGCGTAAGCAGTAGTATTTGGGCCACAATGGACCCAGTCTGTATAGACTGATTCAAGAGACTGTATCAATGCTAAGGGCCCCAAGAACCATGCAAGCCAGATCATTATTAATAAAAAGTTCTTAATGCTATGCATACGCAATACAGCAAAACTGAACAGCATCATTTCTCTTCTTACTTTGCCTACCAAATTTCTCAAATGAATATTACCCGCAGCACTACTGTCATAAAGACATCACTTGGTGGTATTGGCTTCCGTGATTCTATGTTGCCCCGCCTAGAGCAATTTGTACACAGCGTTAATACCATCAAAGAGCATACATACATGCTTGCACGATGGATACTACTCCATCAGCTAGCTGACAGGGATGCTTTTGACCCAGCAACATTTGTGAAAAAGGGTTTTTTTCGTTTTATTTATTTATTCATTTATCGCAACCTGAAGGCGAAGACTGTCATATCTGCCAAGGATTTCGTCAACCGGAAGGACAAGTCAGAACTGTCGAGCGCAGATTTCGGTGATGTAGTTAGATACCATATTTATGATTATCTATTGCATAATGGCGATATTGAGCTACATGGCGTGCGTGAAATGAATCAAGTAGCAACATACGTGGATACCGAGCTGATGACAGCATACAAGAACAACATTATGTTGCACTATGGCACTTGCCTACAGCGGATTCTGGCCAAATTGATTGATATTCGCAGCCGCAAAAACACACTGCACAGTACAATGGGCAATGTGTCTAAGGCTGAGTTCAATAATGCATGTCAAGTGTATATTTATACGCCTGCACAGAAGCTCCGCCAGGCAGTTGCCTCTAGGCACCCTGATCTCAATGTGCTCACCCCACCGATGCTTGCAATCTACAACAAGCTGGCACCAGTCCTTAATGCCTATGATGCCAAGTACAGATTCGCTAAAGACAGCCGATACTATGATGCCAAGGTAAATCCACTTAAGCATCTGCGTGCATACATTCGCCTATGCCAGCTTATTGAGAATGAGCAGCTTGGCAAGTCTCCTCCCCAATGCTTGCCTCTGCGGACATCATGGATCCCAGGCCATGTGCGTTTGGACAAGCAAATAATCAAGCAGGTGTTTATTTCGAAAACACTTGAGGAGGTTACCAAGATCAACGCAGCAAAGAGGGCAGCAACAGAGGCAAGGAAAGCAGCAGAAAGGGGCGAAAAGTTGGCCAAGAAGGCTGCACGCGAAGCAGCGAAGATGCCATCGGATGCAACAGAGGCTACTGCAGCAACTGCAGCAGTAGCAGCTGATTCACTTGCTGCTGCATCGGCGGCAGCAGCAGACACTGTTGCAGCACTTAACAGTGCATATGCACCAGCACCCCCAGTCTGTGCACACGACCCGGTCCAAGGGATCACACAACCTATGTGGGATGTGTGGGGCCGGGTCGCAGATCTAACATCAAAGCCATTTAAGGCGCATGGTGATAGAAAATTCCACGGAATGGCGACAACAGATGGTGTAACGATATGCATTTTGTTGCAAGACAAGATATCCAAGGCTGATGGTGCAGTAGATGCTGATGGTGCAGGAGGCGATGCTGCGGGAGGCGATGCTACAGGCGATGCTGTGGGAGGCGATGCTACAGGCGATGCTGTGGGAGGCGATGCTACAGGCGATGCTACAGGCGATGTTGCAGGAGGTGATGCTGTGGGAGGCAATACTATAGCTGACTGTCGCTATATCCACCAGATCCCACAGCCAGAGCTGCAGAATCTGAAAGGTCGCTGTGTATTCATCGATCCAGGTCGGGGCGATTTGCTATACATGATGCACGAAAATAGCAGCAATGGGAAAGAGGGTGAGAGAATGCTCTACCGCTACACACGGCAGCAGCGCAATAAGGAGCTCAAGCTGCGCCACTATGACAGGATTCGTCGGGCTACAAAGGATCAAGTCCCAGAAGATGCTGTCCGCAGAGCAGAGGCAGAGCTTTCCAAGCACTGCTGCCGGACCCTTAACCCAGCAAAATTCCGTGCCTACATTGCTGCCCGTGCATCTGTGCGGTGTGTCCTAGCACCGTTTTATGCCAGCACGATGACAGCGCGAAGGTTACCAGAGCAGCAACTCACTAAGTCAAACAAGCAGCACCAAAGGCGCTGGAAGGCCCATCCAGGTGTCAGTACCAGTCCCAGGGTGTACCCGCTTCACCGCAAGCTGCGCCTTGATTCATTCATGAACCAGGCCCGTGCAGACCACAGGCTTGCCGCAAAACTCCGGAGCAAGTTCGGTCCAGATCCAGTGCTGATCATGGGCAATTGGAGTGCGCCAATGGCCCGACACCATGCGCCGATTCGTGGCAAGGGATGGCGCGACAAGTTCAAGCACCATGGCTTTGAAGTCTATCTGATCGACGAATTCCGGACATCGTCGATGTGCCCGTTCTGCTGCGAAAAGTCACTGCAGATATTCCGGCATGTTCCCAACCCACGGCCCTACCAGAGATCGAAGAACCCAACTGTGAAGTGCCATGGCCTTCTCCGCTGTACAAGCGAGTCATGTAAGCGGGCCATGGCACAATACAGGCGGGCCTATTCGTCTCGGCTCTTGAACCGCGATCTCGCAGCAGTTCTAAACTTCAGACTCATTTTCCAGTCACTCTGTGATTCAGGCGATATTCCTGAACGCTTCTGTCGCCCTACGGCCATTGCTGCCGATGCTTCTGGCACCACCCCTGCAACAAAGAACCCGCACAAGAGGCGTGGACCAGCTGCAGGTGATTCTGCTGCCAGCAGCAGCGAACCAGCCCTGAAACGTCTGCGCTGAGCAGGCAATCAAGATGGGAGATGTCCATAATCGACATTGCACCAACAGCCATCCGACACGTTCAAATGACCGGTTCGCCGTGATGCCCTTATCGACGTGTCAACCCATGCTGACTAGCAGCCGAGCTCGCATCGCGAGCAGATATTTCTAGTATCTATTAATGAACTTCATTGAAACTGTGGTTTGTTGAAGAGCGTACCCACAAACGATTACCCGTAACAATTGAGTACATAGTCTGAGTCATAAAAATAGAGTATTTCCATATACTGTTGCTTTATTCTCCTACCACATTAAGCTAATATGATCGACAGAGCATCAGTGACTGACGCAATTAAGCGGCGATACGGTGTGCAGCTGAACCCAAGCTGGCTGACCCACTGTTTGCACCATATCAACAATGACATGGCGGGCACTAGCAATCTGCATATCGAGGCACAGATCCGACTAGTTGTTGAACAACTGCTGAACTCCGAGATCGGTGAGTCCTGCCAGGCCACACTTTCCGCTGATTTGCAAGCCAGGCAGTTCCTAAACCCGCCAGGCGCATTTTTGCAGATTCAAGAAATCATGGACATTGGCGTGAGCAAGTTCGCCATGCTCGAGGCTGTGCGCGCCAAAGAGGACTATGAGGTGCGTGGGATGCGGCCGAGCTATCTGCCGCCCTTGGACGAGGACGAAGAAGCCAATACGGGCGAAGCGGCGGAGCCCGTGGAACCAGTGGATCAGGAGCCTAAGCTCCCGCGCGGAATGCTGAAGCTTATGCTGACAGATGGCAGGACGAGGTTTTCGGCTGTGGAAATGGCCAAGATAGAGCAGCTACATGTGGAGTTGCCAATTGGGACCAAGGTGATGGTTTCGGGCGGAAAGCTTATGCCACTTGGGGTATTTCAGCTGGAACTGGGGTGTGTTAAGGTTTTGGGAGGCGCGCCGCCGCAGTACGCACAGTTTACGCTAAAACAGCGGCTGGAGAAGATTCTGCATCCCGAAGGACAGAGATAGAGGACAGTAAAAATGCTTGTTCATATATTATCATTTTGGGAAATCACCACGATTAGCTTAATATGTGCCTATCACAAAGTGTCAGGAACCAGCAGTATCGTGTCTATGCAGAAACAGTAGTTTGCTGTATTTTAAATGAGCTAACATATGTCCTAGTCTCTTTCATTCACAAAGCTGTATTAACATCAAAAAATAACTAATTTTTTGTACATGACATATCATCTTTTGTTGGTCTACGCAGGCGACACCTTGTTTTTCTTCCTAAAGGACTTTGCGCGGTTGCCCAACGACTTGTGCTTAATCAGCAGACACAGCAAAAAGGCAATGCCGACAAACGGCGCATTGGCCGCATAGGTGGCCTTCAGGGACTTTGCGTACGCCTCGCGAATCGCCACTTTCACGTCTTCCGGCAGCCCACTGTTCCACGCCAACGATCCATTATCCAGCGCTGAGCGCACGGTGTCTGCATGCATGGGAAACTCCAGGGCAATTTTGCCCAGATGCTTGACCAGCTGGTTGTTCAACACGGCGCCATTAATCGCAATACCGACGATCTGGCCGATGTTCCGCAAGAACAGTGCCAGGGTTGCCGCCATGCCGGCGTCCTTGGGCAGGCAGGTAGCCTGAATGGCAATCATCAATGGCATCAGACCCATGCCGGAGAACACGCCGAATGCGCCCATTAATACCAGCACTACAGCGATTGACGTCGACGAAGTTATCAGGCTAAACAGCCCCGAGACTATGGTCATGCCAGCCAAACCGGTCCAGATGAATGGGCGGTAGGTGTTGAACCGTGCAATGATCTGGCCCATGACCAGGCCGGTGGCCAGCATGCCTACCAGGTAGGGCAAGATGTAGACACCGGCGATTGTGCTGCTGGTGCCGCGTACCACTGTGAAATAAATGGGCATGTAGAAGGTGGTGAAGATGATGCCGATACCCAGGAAGAACTGGGCCACCAGAATCGGCAGCGTGCTGTGGCTGGTGAACAAACGTAGGTGGATGATCGGCTCCTTGGCCACCCAGCGCTCAACACATACAAAACCCACTAGGAGCAGCGGGCCGAGCACCAGTGTGGTGATGACTGCGGGCGATTTCCACGAATAGTCCTTCCCGCCCCAGTTCAGCCCCAGGATCAGCAGTACCAGGCCAGCCAGCAGCAACAGAGCTCCTGGCAGGTCCACGCGCTTAAGCTTGTCGCGCACAGTGCCCTGGGCTGGCGCCGTGCGCACCGACAGAATTGAGACCACCAGAATTAGGGCGCAGATTGGAATGTTCAGATAGAAGCACCAGCGCCACAGCCAGTGGTCGGTGATTGCCCCGCCCATCAAAGGACCGGCTGCCACCGCTGCGGTGCTGGCCAGATTAGTGAAGCTCATGTAGATGCCGCGCTCGCGCAGCGGCAGAACGTCGATAATGACCACCTGCACCATCGTCACCAATCCGCAGCCACCCATTCCGGCCAGCGCCCGCCCGGCTATCAGCATCGTGACTGACGAGGCGGCGCCGCACACTGCCGAGCCCGCACAGAACACTAGCAGCGCTGCCACCAACACCGGCAGCCGGCCAAAGATCTCTGACACCTTGGACACGATTGGCTGCAGCGAGGTGAATGTCAAAATGTAGGCGGCCGAGATCCACGCTACCTGCGAGAGCCCGTCGAAGCTGTTGCTGATGGCCGGCAGCGCCGAGCCCAGGATGCTGGTGTCCAGGCCAGCCAGGAACGAGGCCAGCGAGAGTGACACCATGATGGCCACAAGGCGGGCCAGGGTTGGCTTGTGCGAGTCGTCTTCGACTGCCTCGGTGATGGTTGCTTTGAGACCCTTGGTGTTCACTTGGATATTATCAGTTATTGTTGACTGCGAGTCCTTGAGTTCGACGGATTTTGCTGCCCGGACATAGCTGGGTTCTGCTGCAGTCGTGGTGGTCGAAGTATTGGGGATTGGTTCCGACATTGTGTAATAAATGGAACTGTAGAGGAGAGGTGAGGAGACGAAGATAAGAGCATTTAATGAAAAAAGAGCTCTGGTGGGCGCTGCACTGGCTTTTTGTATTAAATACGCCGAGGGAGCATGGTCCTGGGATGGGCTTCACACAATAGGCAATTGGGCAATGCGACAGGTTGGCAGTCTGCAGATTTCTCGGGTGAGAGAAGGGCCATTCCGCGCGTGATCTTATTTTGCATATAAGCAAACCGACCATTATGTCCCACTATTCAGGCACATTACAATAGCCAAGATTGGCCAAGGGCTTTTGCATTCATAATTGCATTCACAATAGGCGAAAAGTGTAGAAAATAAAATCGATGTGCCCGTTTGGATGCAATAGAAGCCAAATAATCCTCACCGCTTTTTGCGGCCATGGGAGCTCTTTCGCTTCGCAATGCGGGTGGCCGCACCGCCATTGATTCTGTCGATCTGGCTCTGCGCAACATGCAAGACGCCGTCCCTGACCCTCCCGCCATCGAGCCTCGGACCACGCTCGCGCTTCCTCTGCTTCCCCTCCGAGGCCCTGCCCGTATGCAGGACCTCCAATTCGCGCTTCATTGAGTGATTCAGGATGCCGCGGTTCTTCGCATCCTCGATGGACTTTTTGGCGCGCATTTTGCGGTTCTCGTCGACCATGAACCAGCGGTTGGCCGGCATCTTCTCTTTGGTCTTTTTCTTCATGCCCAGGCGCTCCAGCTTTTGCGCGTTGTATTTAAGCCGGTCCTTGCCGGACAGCTGCGATTCGTGCAGCTGCTCGATCATTACTTTGCCCTCCAACAGGGCCTTCAGCTCGCGGTCGTTGGCGCGGTCCTCGGCCTCTTGCTTCAGCTCCTTGGTGGATTTGGGGTTTGCCGCTGCGCTGGCGGAGGCGGTGAGCTTGGCGATCTTCGACGACATGAAGCTTTTGTACTCAAGCTTGCTGGCTGCTGGCTTGGGAGCCAGGCCACTGGCGTCGAAGACGACGACCTCAGGTGCCTTCTTCTTTTTGGGCGTTGCTGCTATCCTTGTCGGCGGCATTGCGGGTTGTTGTGAATTGAGACAAAGGTATTGAAGGGTGGGGGAGGAAGAAGAAAAAAAGTTCTTGATCTGGAAAAAAAAATTACTATCCGCCTTGGGTCATTTCAAAGCAGTGGCGAGTTTCGTCATTTACAGTGACAAGCCTGCTTTCTGCTTGATAAAATTTTTTCCATACTCTTTTCTTATTTGACACGAATGCAAGCACATTTGCTAGTACGCGGTCTCGGACACAGAGGCTTTGGTCTGCACACATACACCACCCGACTCCAGGCAGCACACAGGATGAATTTGGCTACTCGCAACTTGACGCACCGGCGCGGGTTCAGCTCGCAGAAGCCCAAGGAGACCAAGGCGGCCGATAAAGACGACGTGCCGCCGACATCCAACAAGCGCTCGCTGACATTTGCCATCGGCGGTGTGCTGACGCTTCTGGGCGTGGCTAGCTACACGTTCAGTCTGCGGCAATCGGAGCCTAGCACAGCTGTGTCAGCCCCCTCCGTGACTCTGCCACCGCAAGCCACAGAAACCTTGCAGTCGGTGGAGCGGAAGCGGGAGGCAGCTCGTCAGGAGCTGGACAAGCTGACGCGGGCAGAGCGGCGCGAGGCGGCGCGCAAGCTGGGGCTACTGACAGAGGAGGAGGTAGATGCAATCCTGCATGCGCAAGAGAAATCGTGGTGCGCTGGCGGGAAGGGCCAGCGCGTGCGTGTGGATACGAACCAGGTAGCATCGAATAGTCCGATTGAGGACTACTTGGCGTGGTCGGAGCTGGGCCCCGACCGCCTGATGTTTGGCGTCTTCGATGGCCACGCTGGGTACATGTGCGCTGAGCAGCTTGCGCAGCGCCTGGCGCCAATGCTGAACCGGTCGATGGCACTGGCAGCGGCGGAGTCGGACGATCAGGATGTCTCGGCACTGGCCAGCACCGTGCGGCAGCTGCAGAAGGAGGCTGGGCGCGGCTGGGACCACACGGCGCTGGCGCTGACGGCGACCTTCATTAATATGGACCGGGAGCTGGTGCAGGATGCGCTGGCCGAGTTCCGCCGGTCGCAGGATTTGGCGCGCATCGACGCGCTTCTAGGCCCGGCAGTGTCGGGCAGCTGTGGGCTGGTGGCCGTGGTGGACTCCAATGAGGTGGTGGTGGCCAATACTGGCGACAGCCGCGCACTGCTGGGCGTGCGTCTGGCCGACGGGCGGTGGCGGGCGGTGCGGCTGAGCGAGGACCAGACCGCCGACAATGCGCAGGAGCGGGCGCGGCTGTCGCGCGAGCACCCCGGGGAAGTGGTTTTGCAGAAGAGCCGCGTGCTGGGCGGTCTGATGCCGACACGCGCGTTTGGCGACTCGCGGTACAAATGGGCATTGGAGACGCAGCAGGATTTGTTCCCGGTTCTGCATGCCCGCGGCCACCGCTATGCGACCACACCGCCGGGCCTGACCACACCCCCGTATGTGACTGCGCGGCCGGTTATTGTGCGTCATAAGCTGGCGGAGACGGACCGTTTCATCGTCATTGCTTCGGATGGGCTGTATGACCAGCTGTCGGACGCTGAGGTCGTCGAGACCGTGGCCCAGTGGTATGAGGGGAAGAGCGCTCCAGACGACAACGCTGCTACGCATTTGATACGCACGGCTCTGTCGACCGACCGTCTGGGCCGTCGCGGCGACCATGTGATTCGCCGCCTGCTGGCCATTCCCCCGCCGCACTCGCGTCGCTTCCGCGACGACATTTCCGTTACCGTCGTGTCATTGAACCGCGACGAGTGATCTCCCCCTAGTCCGGGACCGGGAAATCTGAAACTGTGGGAAACTCAGGCCCTCATAAAAAAGATTTGTCATCGACTTTCTCTTTTCTCCTGGTTTCTTCATTTTATTCTATTTTTCCTCTTCAATACTGTAATACCAGTACAATTATGTTTGATCGTCTGAAGGGTAAGACTGTCATGGTCACTGGCGCCAGCTCGGGCATTGGCGCCAGCTGCGCGCGCCTATTCGCCGAAGTCGGTTCGAACCTGATTCTGACTGCGCGTCGCACCGACCGTCTGGCTGCTTTGGCCGCAGAGATCCGCTCCAAGTACCCGCAAGTGCAAGTGCACACTGCCGAACTAGACGTGCGCAACCGTGCGGACGTCGACCGGGTTGTGTCTGAGCTCCCTGCGGAATTCTCTGCAATCGATGTGCTGGTGAACAACGCAGGATTGGCGCTGGGTACGGACCCGGTGGTCTCGGTGACCGACGAGTCGATCGATACTGTCCTGGACACAAACGTCAAGGGTCTATTGTATGTGACGCGGGCGGTGGTGCGCGGGATGCGGGCGCGCGGCTCCGGCCATGTCATTATGATGGGGTCGATTGCCGGCCTGACTGCCTACCCGACCGGCAGCATTTACTGTGCATCCAAGTATGCTGTGCATGCGATTGCACAGTCCTTGCGTGCCGAGACCCTGGATGTGCCGATCAAGGTCACTGAGATTAATCCGGGCATGGTGGAGACCGAGTTCTCGATTATCAGGAACTATGGCGATAAAGAGAAGGCTGACAATGTCTACCGCGGCATTGAGCCGATGACCGGGGATGATGTGGCCGAGGCCGTTGTGTTTGCGGCGTCGAGGCATCAGCGTTGCGTCGTGTCGGATGTCGTTCTGCTTGCTACCGGACAGTACTCGCCGACTGTTGCCCACCGCAAGGAGTAGAATGTCTTATCCAGATCTTAGAGTTTACAAAACTATAGAAATTTAGCAGGTTGTTTGTTTATTGGTAACAGATGCCGCACTAGGTACAAATTATATGTTTTGTTTCCTACATTGGACAGCGCAGTTCAAACCCCACATTGGCGTATTGCATTTTGCTATATGCTCATTATATGCTCAGTATCATATAATAAATGATGTGCGAAAATATAGTGGTATACGAGAATATATTGAGTGGAAAACGTCCCGAGGTTGTAAGCCAGGGACTGGAAACGAGTGGGCTACTTGGCCTTATTTATAGACCCACCTGGTGGCTGTGCTGCGACCCGCTTGCTACCAGTACGACCTTTTCGGGTAGCATATGTACAGTGGATGTCGAAGCTGCTTCCCACGACACATGTGTTTCTGTTTCGTAGACAAGATGTGCATTGTCCGAATGCGGATAAGTCCAGGATAATGGCAGATTTGATATTTGTACATTTATTGACATCCTAAGCACAAAATCGTAGTGGTGCAGAGTGCTGATCAAGAGTGTTCTACCATAGTTGCATGGCTATTTTTGGCACAATGTGCAAAAATGAGAATCAAAACATCCGCGAAAAATCCATCATGGTTGGAGCAACAGGAGGGCTTTGCCTATATGCTCCTTGGTTCCACTATTTTCCTTATAACGCACTGTTTATTTTAACTATGACCAAGAACACGCTTACTCTTGATCACCTGACTGGTGGCACGATACTTGACCGGATTCTTGGCTACCTTGTAGGCGACCTCAGGCTTTATTCCGACAGACCCTCGCCATATTCTGATTTCTATATGCTGTACGAAGATCACCAGACGGCTATTCGATACGCTCTTGTCTCTCGCCAATGGATGGAATACTTGGTGCCTTACATTCTACGCACAATCTACATCGTTACTCGTCTTTCTGATGAACCGCCTGCAGGCAAATTTAATCTCGTACACAGAGTGTTTCGTTTGCAAAAGTCTCGTAGACGTTGGATGTCTAACATAAAGGACCGTTGTTGGCATGGGTGGAGCTCGACATGTGAAGCAGCTATACATATACAACGGCGACGACGAGCTCCTTCCTACTCTCAACACTCTTTTAGATGGAAATGGGTTTGGCGAAACATCATGGCCATCACTCAAAGAAGTCATCTTTCATGGAAACCACACCTTTCACACAGAGCTGGGAGAGAAAGAGCACGCCAATATGATACATTCCTACCTATCGAGGTTAGCACCATCTCTTGCCACCATCTATGGAATATCTAACCCGGTTTTAAACGCGGTTGACAATAGGCTTTCCAACAAACGGCTATATCTGAACACAGAAACACACCGTCACTTGACCTCCACACATTTTCCACACCTTATAACACTGGATTTAGACGACACATATGGTATGCGCAGCTATCACCTACTAACATTCTTTGCACCAACACTCAGAAACCTCACACTTCGTATCTGCTTGGAGTCGCTATTTACTTGGCAGCAGTTCCTTGGCAGCGCCACCGATACAACAGTGTTCAAAGAGCTGACAAGCTCTGAAAATCCATCTCAGAATAAACCTCTGGGCAGCCTTTGCCATCCTCACCCACGCCTCCCAGCCTTTTATGGACCGCAAACGCTACTCTTCCCTAAGCTAGATACGATAGATGCTGTTCATATATTCAATGCACACGTCGACTTTAATGACTTGTTTCCTAATATCGCAGTCAGGTCGCTGCTAATTACTGAACTGCTAGAGAATTTGCCGTCTATAAACTCGATGCCGCTGAAGCATGTAGATAGGCTCAGCCTCGGATTTTCTCATCTCTTTAGTTCCGGATACCATGACACATGGGGTAGCACATATATTCAGCTATTCGAGACGTATTCCAAAGTCCGGTTTGCAGATATTTCGATCCCACTGCTCCCTACTACAAAACTAAACTGGCCAAATCTCCTGCGTCTTGAGCTTGTCATCTCCCAAATCGATTGGAGTTCTTTCGAAATATTTCTACCGGATCTTCTACATTTGAAAATTCTAACCGTTATCAAAGATTCGGATGACAAAAGCGAATATTATGCGGAGCGTCTCAGCAATGGGATAGAAAGCTACACACCTACATCACTGCACGCTATTAGTCAAACTCTTGAAAAGTTCACATATCAACGAGTATTTGGAGGTTTCGATCCTAGTGCCTCTGAGTTTATTCGACAGCTGATACTACGAGCGCCGCAGCTCATGGTTGTAAAAGCAGAGCGTAAATACATCCAGCCTCATCTTAAGACTGGCAAGAGCCAAGATATCGAGTTTATATTTCCGTAGCTTCAATCCCTCATACCTCATCTGCCAGGGTATAGTTCTGTTAACATCCAGCATACCTCTGGGCGCTTCCAGCTGGACACCCCATGTCCCTTTTCTACGTTTTCTGCTTATATCTGTTATCCACTTTCTTTTCCACTTTATTCTACTAACAGTTTGTACCACTGTCAGAATATACGTTAAAACATCTACACACATTATAGACCTCAAGAGAAGGGCACCTGGATTATTGTGAATTTCAAGACACATAGTATCGTATTCGCTTTGCTATGCAGATCTATCTTACTGCTCTAGGATATATATAGATGATGAATATCAATTAATCTTACCAAAAAGGATGCTGTGCATGTTGCGAAAGTCATGAATTCTACCTGAGCATTGTGATGTGTATACTATGCTATTTGAAGTCATCATTCCCATTGTTCAGGATGGGCTTATGTCTATATACATATATTGATAGATTAACCCAAGCGGCACTGGTCTCGGATATTCAGGAGTAGCTGCGCGGAGTCATAGATGGCGCCATAAACCAGCGGCGAATACTTGAAAATGATCATAGGAATCGCTATATACTCCGCACAATTAGGAAAGCCTGGAGCTAGCTCAGCTGTGGAGACACCAGGCCAGGCATTTTTGTCCATGCACAAACAGGGCCTCCGGTAAAACCACCTAAAAACATTCATTTCAGCTTCTGGAAACTGTCAGATCTAGCAACATAGATAGTGAGACCCTGTGGGGGTAAACTCGATCCACAAGCCGTTCGCTATGATATCGCGTACATGATGAGATTGGAGCTGGGCCGCAGAGAACTCAGGGAACAAATTGACAGCACCAGCAGCAACTGCAGGCATGGCCAAGCTGGTAATTGTTCAATGCGGGAGACTAGAAAGTGGGTAGCTGCATCTACTGTAGAAGAGTCCGCCAATCAGCGGTGGGTGGTCTATCATGATCAGAACAGGCCAGACACCTGCCAATATACTGGGCGAATTCCAAAGGAAAAGTCAGTGCCCGCTGCCCAACCCAAGATGCTATCTATCGATTCAACAAACCTACGCTCACAGACTCCAGTCCATACATCCTGCTTCAGCCAGATCTCATTCATAGCTGTAAGTAGGGGTGTCAACGAAGCCAGGGCCACTGTTCTCGACAACTATATGCCTTGTACTCTGCATCAGCACTGTTGCAACCAATGTATTTTTGTGGGATATCAACCTGCTGGAGCCATGGCCGACAACATCGAAATCACCACCTGGTTGAAATTCCAGCAGGAGCACGTCGTAGAGTGCGGGTCGGACCCACGAGTGCCATTTCTTGCATACAGTGACCGGGGCTGCTAGCTCCCAGCACTCCCCATGCCATCGACACCCTTCTGTCACTAAGGTGGGATAGATGATGCGGATGATGCGCCTCATTATATGGCCTATCGGCAAGATTGGGTAGGATCCATGGACAGCCAATGTAAATGTACTAATATGGATTTGTGTGCGAAGTTGAGAAGATATGTGGTTTGTAAACGGCGTAGCATTCGTTTTATGTCACTTGCTAGTGAGGGAGCTCTTGACAGATTCTGGATGTTCTCAGAGAACCTGTGCGCACTCTGCAAGCTTCTGCTCCATCGCCTCTGTCTTCCTCAAAAGCTCCGCGTTCTCAGCGCGCTCTTTCTCTATGGCTGCCTCCAACTCACGTACTCTGCGTATGGACTCTTTCCAATGATCTCAACCACATTCTAGTTCTTGTCCCCCTACACTCCTTGCTAGCATGTCTCAATCGTCTTTCTAGTCATTGCTGATATGCGTATTCCTTACTAATGCCAATGAATGGGTGTTCGTAGTATTGCTCACTTGAATACAGCTATAGTAGAACCTAGCATTCAAAAGAGGATTCTAGGAGGGATGAGTTAATACATATAAATAGCGAGTCAGCTGGAGTCTAAAGCGCAGGCTGCGTCCGTCTTTGTACCTGCGATGGTTTACTTCGCCAACAAGCCAAAGTGCTCATTTATATATTTCTTGGCAATATTTAGCCTGTGCCAAACTGCACACAAAATGCTTACTGTGATCAGCATACACACTACGACGCACCCGAACTCGCACCATACGGGCTACTTGCCTGTACTCGCCGACTCCGGCCCGCAGTATAGAGTGGAAAAGAAAAGCATGAGCATTTGTATGGGATAATGCTCAAAAACGCGAGGAGAGGTGCGATCAAGCCAGGAAATTTATGCCAAGACCAGCTCAGAGAGCAGTGGTATTTTTTACGATAATCTGTGCTTTGACCAGAAAATTAGTGTGGCATGTCTAGGCTGGTGGGTAGCTAAAATGCTCCAGCAATGCCAAGAAATCTGCCAATATAAAAGCCAGGGTTTGCAAATGCCCAAATGTCGTTCCAGCATCATCATCAACTATTCAAGACATCTCTACGGCTTATTCTCTGCCTTCACCAAGCACGCTTTTAAAATATCAGCAAGGTTATCTACCATAGGCGCTTTCCACCCCGGTTTCGGACCTCACATGTACCGCCATCACTGCCGCGGCTCACTCAAGGGCAAGATCATCTTCTTTGGCGTCACGCTCTGGCTCACAAGCACCGTCATTGCAGGCGTGCGCCGGGCGTCAGGCTGGACACACAACGCGCACAGCCTCACCCAGTCGTCTGCCGAGCCCGACGAGCGGCGCAAGCAGTGGCGGCGCATGATGGACGAGCGCCTTGCCGCGTCGCGCCAATTCGCCGAGGCCCGGTTCCAGCAGCTCGAACAGCACTACGGCACTATGGTGGCTGACGAGCAGACCCGCCAGCAGTGGAAGCAATGGCTGTCCATGGAGAAGGAAAAGCTCATCAACGAGTGGACTAGGAACAGTCTGTGGTTCGAGCGCAACATGGACCGCTTCCACAATCCTGACGCATACCAGAACGGCTGCCACCGGCCTGGCGGCTTCATGAGGTGGTATCTAGGGCGTTGGCGAGCGCACATTTGACTGGTTCACCAGGAAGCTGGCTAGGGTCGAGGAGCTTCCACTGGGAGAACCCGCAGACCCCGTACCAGGTGCTGGGCCAGACACCGGCTGCTCCCACTGGCTGCGACTCCCTCGCCTTTTGACAATGCCGGTACTGCAGGCGTTTCAGCTCCGCCACCGCCGCCACCGCCGCCACAGGCTGGCCCGGCTGGTCCTCACGGCCACTTCCACCCGCAGTCCCCACCCCTACCACAGTTCCCGAACGCCTTCCCTGGCCAGTTCGGCCAGTTCCCGAGCCCACCTCCATTCATTGCTTCGGCTCCCCCAGCCTCTGCTGGCGTAGCAGCACCTACTGACCCAGCCAGCACCAGCACCGATGCCAAGACTGCTTAGGTTTTTCACTCACAGCTTGCTCTACAGCCAGAGCAAACACTATTTTTCTTATCGTGTCTCAATTGCTTAAACTAAACCCGGTTCTACTTCTGAGCTCTCCGCCGATCCACCCCACGGTACATGCGCTCGTAGTTGATAAACTCGAGGATGCGCGGCGGCAGGTCCTGGACGCCCTCGGTGCTGTCCCGAATCGCTAGGCGGGCATCGGTTGAACTGACATGTTCGACCCGCTTTGGCAGCTTCAGCTCGACAATATGCGGCGCGTACTTTTCCATACAGGGTTGCGCAAAGAATTCCTCGACATCGCTGTCTGGGAACCCAATGCGGCGCGAGAACGCAATGTGGCCGCCCAGCGCAAAGAATCGGTCGATGTCGGCGGGGAAGTCGCTGTAGTACTTGGGGTCAAAGAACCGGATCAGGGTATCCCACCCCATGGTGAAGTAGCTGAGCACCTCGACCTCCACACCAGTCGCCTGCTGCCACTGCCGCGCAACCAGCTCGCGCACTGCCTGGCACTTGTCGACGAACCGCGCGCAGTTGACCATGCCTATGGCAATGTTGTCCAAATTCGATCGGTCGAATTGCGTCTGCGACATCCACACATGCCATGTGTCTGCCGACTTGTCGCACGCTACTGTCGTCGCCAGCATGTCTACCATGCGCAGACGCTGCGCCAGCGATGGGCCCGTCAGCTCCTTGTCGGCGTTCGCAGGTGCCCAGAAGCAGAAGGTACGAGTCAAGCCCCAGTATCTGCGACTCGTGTGTATCGCACCGCGTCAGCCGCTGCGTTCCCATGCACTCCAGGTATGCCCCGTGGCAGTAGTGCGGGGGATTGAACGAGCTGTCCAGCACCCCTATTCTGACCTGCGTCTTTTGCGCATTTGCGTCCGCTCCCTTGGGTGGAAGCGGCCAGCTGTCTGTGAATTTCCGAGCAATCGTCACTGCCGGCCGCTGCTGTCCGTCGCGGGCCTGCGTCGTGAGAAAGTTGTCGACAAAGCTCTCATATACCGGTGTGTCGCACTGCATTTCTACTCTGCCAGGATAAGAAAATGATAAAAATGCCTGTGAAGAGAGCGAAAAAGAGGCACGGTATCGGCTGAGCTTGAAAAGTGGCTGCGTTGCCCCCACTCCCGTCTAGGCTTTGGCTCAGCCCTCTTGGTCAAAGTTTTGCTTGAGCAACCGCAGTCGGGTCCACCTTGTGCCTTAAATAAACCTGCCTAATTTGGGCTGGCAGATCGGAAATTAGACTGGCAGCTGACACCGGGTGAAGGCAATAGTGTAGGGCCACATAGCTGGCGCCCAGCGAGAGGACATTGGCAGGCACAGCATTTGATATACTAATTGAGCATCCAAGCACCAGGGCCATTGAACAGCGCAGATCAATCTCTACGCTGATTGTATAATATCATTGTTATATCATGGTGAAGACAAAAAAACATTGAAAAACTACCTATAAAACCGCTCGAGAGGCCGTGCTCATCGCTGGACTTGCTATCTCGAAATAAACAAGCAGGTGCGGCGGGCGGGAAATGTAAGATGATTGGTCTACTTGTACAATGAGGGTAGGAGCATACATGTTATGTCCAAACCGAATCATTGAACGGCGTAGGTCAGTCTCTACATTGGTTCGTCTAGGGGCTGCTTCCTTGAAAATGAGCTGCACCAGATTGACTAACAGCTGACGGCTCAAGCGATAATGCTCGTCAAAGATTTCAGAAGAGGACCAGTTCCCCTGAATGATGATGCTGGAGAGTGGTGTGCCGCCCTTCATGGCAGCATTGGACCTAATGTGGCGGCTGGACATATTCTTGCTGCTAGCTCAGATCTTGGCATATTCGGGTGAGATCTCGGAGAGAAAATGGACGAGCTTTCCAATACGGTCGGTAGACTATGCCTTGGTGATATCCTACGGGTTGTGGATGGACTTGGATGTGCAGGATCCATGGGGTAAAGCTCCATGGTGGAACCACCAGAACAGGAAAAGATCTGTTCTAGGAGTTGCTCACCTGGAGAAGCGTCATAGCACCTAATTAGATGGCGCCTAGCGCTGGACGATGGCAGCCCCATTGCTCCTTGTTCTACGGAGATTGATCTACACCGTTAAATGATTCGGCTGCGACATACTATGTACTTTCCTGCCTTCATTGTACAAGTAGACCGATCTCTACATTGGCTCGTCTGGGGGCTGCTTGTCTATTTCGAGACAGGGAGCCTAGTGATAAACGTGCCTTCCCAAGTGGTTTACAGTGTATTTTCATTATGTTCTTTTTATATACCATGATGTAACAGTGATATGATGCATCAGCGTAGATATTGATCTGCGCCGTTCAATCCTCTGCGCAAAACGCCTTGCCTGACATTCTCAATTTTATCTTTGGCCGCATCAACTATGGTGAAAGGTTAAAAAAGTAAGAGGGAAAAGATAGGTCACAAAAGGAAGGCCTACAGCGCTAAACCGCTTTTTCAATTGCACTAGTCTGCCGCTCATGGAAAACTGCTGCGTTAACATACTTATATCAACCCCTTAAATTGCTTATCGTGCCTGCGTCGGATGAATCAAGGTATTATCCTGAAACGGGTTACCCAGATAGTTCTATGGCAGTCGTTGCTGGACACAGCCAGCTTGTCCATCCAGCACACTTCTTCCTATTGCCCGACTATATTGTTGACAGTACCTCCATCATTCTAATGAAAGCTGACCCTCATTCCACGGAAATTTTCCTGAATGTGACAGGGTTTGTGCTGAATTTCTACATAAGCGGTGTTATTATCTAAGGCAACCATGCAGAAAAGTTGGGCTATTTATTGAGAGTATCCGCCAGTTTATTCTAACTCACTGGATAGCTCGTTCATTATTTGTACAGGTGTTAACCTTCAGAGAGTCCAGTAGTTATGAGCTTTATGGAATGGATATGACTGGAAATTTGCTGAGGAGAAAAAGGGAGGATAGGGCCGTTCCGGCCCACAATGTTTATACAGGTGGGGATTTGGATCTGCACATGGTGGCGAAGGGCATGGGGTTGCCCGAATGTCAACAAGGACCATATCCTCTTAAGAATAAGGCAATATTTTCAAAACATGTCTCATTGGCCAGATTGTTAATAGTATAAGGTGGGCCAACGAAGTGGCAAGGAATGCGTAAGACTGGAGACAGCTAGAATTTTGACTGCAAAAGTGCGCAAGCTTCGTCTTTTAAGTATGCTATGCCATTCAATATTGAGATTAGAGATAGCACTACCAGTCAGTATGGACCCAGTCAGTGATGCAGTTGTTAAGGATAAAGATCTTAAAACTGCTGACAATCAGACCAAAAATATCAATAGTCAGGACTCTTGCTCCCTAGTGGCAATATCAGCTGGCAGCTACCTGTGACCTAATCCATATATGTCTATCGCTATTAGAAGCTTATCAGGATACCTACGCACTAAAATTACCATACAGGTATAAGAAACGCCTTCAAATAGCGTCAAAAGCCACATTTAAACACTACACAGCACATCTCAGCATCGGACACAGCCAAACACATAAAATCAGCGAGCAACCAGGTTTGATTAACGAGCGCTCTCCAGTGGAAGAAATCATCGAAAACATGCCATTCCTGCCAGTAGATCATTTGAGCGGAACTGACAACCGCAGCTGACGACAATCCTCAAGGTATCCAATACCAGGGACAAGCAAGGGCTTTCTCCTCTCTTCTCATCCACTTTTCAAATATTTCTCCCTATATTTCCACGACATGAATATTTTTCTGTCTGCTGCTAAGCTTGTGCAGCTAGCTGTGCTTGCGTTTGCCGGATGGCTGCTTCTGCAGTCGCTGTTCCTGAGCGTGCAAACGTTCATGGTTTTCTACTTTCCAACCACGAATGTTCCCTATCTTCATCCTGTGCCGCCTGCCAACGAGACTGCCGAGCCTATCTCGCTCGCATGGAAGGAACCATTTGAATACGAGGCCAAGGTATATGTCAACAACAAGTCGTGCGACTCTGACTCACTCGAGACGTTCTTCCAGAATGCCACCGAAGTCTGGCACATCGAGCCGCAGAGCCTGGCGAATCGGTACCCAGTCTTCGAGAAGCGTCTGAGCCTGAATCTGACAGATACGGGTCATAAATCCATGTGTGTTTTCATTCAGAAGGCTGGCCAGTTCACACCTCATCCGAATATCAGCGACCCCCACCTGCTTGTTGGCGAGCGTTGGCTCACGTCTACGATCGGGGAGACCACGTGCTACAGTGATGACCAGAAGGGAAAAGGTATCAAGGCTCACTGCGTTTCGAAATCAACATTCCAAGTGGATACCCAGGCCAAGTGGAAGATCCATCTCGAGGACAACGTGTATAGGTCCGACTCCCTGCCCAATATTCATTGCAACAAGTGCACCATCGCCCACGGACAAGCAGTCAAATCCGATAGCACGACTGATAGCATGACTGATAGCACTAGCGCCAAGGATGTGTACCTCCCTCTGCTCTATCTGGACCAATGACGCCAAGATGGAATGGAAGAGGTTCCCACTTGCTGATGGCAACAGCACAAGCGAGGAGCCTGAAGCCCTCAGTGCAACTGTCGATATCGACATGAGGATCCGTGGCGTACGCACTAGCATTGAGCAGGCTTCTAAACGCATCGAACGCAGAGTGGACGACAGGGTTCACAAGTTGTTGAAATTGAATGAGGGTAAGGGTTTGGCACTAGGCCTAAACCTTGGGTCATCGACGGCCCGTTCGACAGTATCAACCGCGATTTACCTTGCGCTCTACCCAGCACTGCTCTCTCTGTGGCTCATCCAGCAGCTCTACATTGCCAGGCTTTATTTGGCGTCAGCCTGTTCAAATGGCGGAAAAGCCAGCTCGATTTTTGGGATGTATTTATTCCAAGAGTTTTTCCACGTGCCCCTGGTTAGTGGCATTGGGCTAGCGGTTCCGCATGCAGGATTGTACTGGGTACTCATTACGGTTTGCGCGGTCTGGAGGTTCATCAAGTTACTCGTTGTAATTATGCCTCAGCGATGGGTGGCGGGTGTCATACGGTTTTTCAGTGGCTCTCGAGCGACTAACCCCAGTGACAAGGAAAAGGGCGATAACCCGCTGCAAAATAAGCAGGGGAGCGAGGACGACGACCTGGAGAGCGCCTATTCCGAGATATGCTCACAGACTTTTAAGCTATTGCTTATGGCTATTGCGGCATCTCTTGTCGTGGAGTATGCCTACCAAGCGTATATCTCCGGCGGCGTTGAGATTCAGGATCTGCTGAAGGCTGATGGAAGTCAGATTAGCGCACTTCTTTCGGGCCATGGGCCACTTCTGCTACCGCATGGTGTTCTGGGTCTATGCCGCCTACTTCATTCCATCTATTATTTTGGTGTTCAAACGCAAGTCGACTACGTACGTGCTGATTGCGTACCATCTCCTTCGAGCGATCGAGTTTACAGTCATCGGATCGCTTTGCCTCTACGCAGTTCCCCAGGTGGTAGAATCCAGTTGTGTGGAGGTATATAATGTCGTGAACGGCGTCTGCAGCATTGTCTTGCTTATCCAGTGGGTCTACTACAATAAATTGTGAGCGCTGATGCTGGCTCGCACGCGCTTGTTGACCATCTACTTCACATTGGCTTTTGGAGCCAGTGGTGTCCCACATGGGCTAATCAATTATCCAGATCAAATCAACTCGCTTTTCTTGACGCGTTCTGTCTTCATGACAACCCAGGCGTGTCTCCTGCTCGGAGGGAAACAGCAGCACGCAAATTCCAACCTCTTGCTGGTTGAACTCGCTCTTTTTATTTTTCTCACACTTATTTCTGACCACATCAAATCCAAATAAAATGAGCAACGATCGGTTTTTGAGGTTCAACGATATTTACTTGGCGACAGAGCCGTACGTGAAGGCGGTGGGGCAAATGCGAGTAAATGCGTCGGGAATAGGGTGGAAGGCAGCAGAGGGCGAGGCGGAGAACCTCAAGGGCCTTTCGATTCCGGGGCTGACACTGCCGGTGGGCATGCTGGCGCTGCAGCGGGACGACCTGCGTCGCATCCAGTGGCAGCGGGTGGCGCGCGGGTACGGGCTGCGGATCCACACGAAAAGCGGCACAGTGCACAAGCTCGATGGGTTCCGCGAGGACGACCAAGAGTCGCTGCGCGACGTGGTGCGGAAGATGTTCCACGGGGTGCCGTTTGAGGTGCGTGAGATCAGCATAAAGGGGTGGAACTGGGGCAAGGCGGATTTCGAGGGCACCAATATGACGTTCCGTGTCGACAACCGGCCAATGTTCGATCTGCCGATGGGGTATGTGTCGAACACCAACCTGGCCAACAAGAACGAGGTCAGCGTCGAGATGCAGCCGCCCAGGGCCAAGGGCGTCAAGCGCAAGGGGGCGCCCGACGAGTTGGTCGAGATCCGGTTCTATGTGCCGGGGACGACAGACGGCCAGCGGGGCAAACAAGGCCTCGGATGACGAGTCGGTCGACGGAGACAAGGATGGAGACAAGGACGGCGAGAAGGAGGACGAGGAGGTTAGCGCGGCGTCGGTGCTGCATGATACGATCAAGGAGCGTGCGGATCTGGGACAGGTCAGCGGCGACAGCATTGTGCAGTTCCCCGAGATCCTGTGCCTTGACACCGCGCGGGCGGTACAGCGTGGACATGTTCCCGCACTTCCTGCGTCTCCGCGGCAAGACCTACGACTACAAGATCCCGTACGAGAACGTGCAGCGGCTGTTCCTTGTCTCGAAGCCCGATGAGCTGCACATGATGTTCATTGTGGGGCTGAATCCGCCGATCCGCCAGGGCCAGACGCGGTACCCGTACCTGGTGCTGCAGTTTGTGCGCGACGAGGAAATGACGGTCGAGCTGAATCTGGAGGCCGAGGGGCTGGCGGCAAAATACGAGGGCAGATTGCGCACACACTACGACGAGCCGCTGTACCGCATCGTGGCCAATGTGTTCAAGGGCCTGGCGGACAAGCGGCTGATCGAGGGCGGCAGTTTCCGCGCCTACCACGGCTCGCAGGGCGTCAAGGCGTCGCTCAAGGCCAACGAGGGCACCTTGTATCCGCTCGACAAGGGCTTCTTGTTCGCGCCCAAGCCGCCGCTGTACATCCCGCACTCGGACATTGCCAGCATTGTGTTTTCGCGCGTCGAGGCCTCGAGCTCCAACAAAATGCGCACGTTCGACCTGAAAATTCAACATGCACGGGGCGCAGGACCACCAGTTTGCCAGCATCAACCGCGAGGAGCACGCCAGCCTTGAGGAGTACATGGCTGAGCACGGCATCAAGATGCTGAGCGAGCTGAACGAGACCACGTCGGTGTCGTACAAGGGCATGGATGATGACTCGGATAACGACGGCGCGGCGTTCCAGGGCGCTGCTGGTGCCGGGGATGGCGGCGATGACGATGAGTCGAGTGTGGATGAGGACTTTGTCGCCGAGAGCGAGAGCGATGTGCCTGAGGAATACGACGAAAACTATGAGACGCCTGAGGAGGAGGAGTGAGGGCTTGTTGGCGATCCTTCCACGGGTCTGGGCTATCGCCCGATTCTCCCTGTCTTCACGTCACCGAATCAATAAACTATTGGGACACTGACTCAAGATAGAAAGGGCTGGGCTAGTGGTCCCCTGCCCCGGGACCGTTTAGGGCAGGTAGCGCACATGCATAGGCTATTTGGTGCGGTACCAGCTGCAAGAGACGCGGGGGGCAATTAATTTCTCCGAGATAGCAGTCTTGTTTGTTTCTGACCCGGGAAAGGATCCACACACAGCCCGGGGTTAGCAGGCAGTGGAGCTTCTCTGGTTAATGGGAAGATACAAGCAGGGTGGGAAGCGAAATCCACTTAGTCCCACGGCTCAGCAGCCATCATGCATGGCTTGGACGCTATTTGCCAGCACTGTAAAGGGGCACGATTGTGTGGGAAATACCTGGCCAGCCGCCCCTGGTCCATCAGCGCCGAGTATAAGTAGCAGCGCCCGCCGCCCCGTCCTTGCGCTGCTTTCCTCCATTCATTTTTCTCTCGCAATAAATATTGAAAGTCATGCTTCGTCTCACCAACATCAACAAGGCCCGTGCGGCGGGCACTCTGCTCAGGCGGTCGATGAGCAGCAACGTGGCGACCACGAAGCTGTTCATCAACGGCGAGTTCGTTGAGTCGCAGACCAACGAAGTGGATAGATGTGCACAACCCGGCGACGCAGGAGGTGGTGACGCGGGTGCCCAAGGCGACGGCTGCGGAGCTGAACGAGGCGGCGGCCAGCGCGCAGTCGGCGTTCAAGGAGTGGAGGCGCACCAGCGTCCTGACGCGGCAGCGCAAGATGCTGGATCTGCAGCATGCGGTCCGGCACAACATGGACAAGCTGGCAGGCCAGCATAGTGACCGAGCAAGGCAAGGTGTTCAGCGATGCGCAGGGCGATGTTCTGCGCGGGCTGCAGGTGGTGGAGAACATGACAGGCATCACCGACCACCTGCTGGGCACCAAGCTGGAGGTGGCCAAGGACATGGATACGTATACGGTGCGCGAGCCGTTGGGTGTGGTGGCTGGCATCTGCCCATTCAACTTTCCGGCAATGATTCCGCTGTGGATGTTCCCGGTGGCCATAGGCGACCGGCAACACGGTTCTGCTGAAGCCCTCGGAGCGCGACCCCGGGGCGGCCATGATCCTGGCCAAGCTGTGCGAGGAGGTGGGCATCCCCAAGGGCGTGCTGAACATCGTGCATGGCGCCCACGACACAGTGAACTTTTTGACGTCCGGACGAGCGCATCAAGGCAGTGTCGTTTGTGGGCGGCGACAAGGCCGGCCGGTACATCTACGAGCGGTGCTCGCAGCACGGCAAGCGGTGCCAGGCGAACCTGGGCGCCAAGAACCACGCGATTATCATGCCGGACGCCAACAAGGAGCATGCGCTGAATGCCATCTCGGGCGCAGCCTTTGGAGCCGCCGGCCAGCGGTGCATGGCGCTCAGCGTCGCTGTGTTCGTCGGCGAGACTGCCGAGTGGATTCCTGAGATTGCCGAGCGCGCGCGCCAGCTCAGTGTCAACGGCGGGTTCGAGAAGGGCGCCGATATCGGCCCGATGATCACCCCGGCCGCCCAGCAGCGCGCCGAGGGTCTGATCCAGTCGGCAGTCGACGATGGAGCGTCGGTGGTGCTGGATGGCCGCGGCGTCAAGGTCGCTGGCTACCCGAAGGGCAACTTTTTGGGCCCGACCATCATCGACAACACCAAGACGTCGATGGCGTCGTATCAGGAGGAGATCTTTGGCCCGGTGCTGTCGTGCATCCGCGTGGACACGATGGACGAGGCGCTGGAGATTGTCAACAAGAACCGGTACGGCAACGGCGCGTCCATCTTCACGCGGTCGGGCGCCAGCGCAGCGCAAGTTCCAGTCGGAGGTCGAGGCCGGCCAGATCGGCATCAACGTGCCCATCCCTGTGCCCCTGCCCATGTTCTCGTTCACTGGCAACAAGGCGTCGTTCCTGGGCGACTCCAACTTTTACGGAAAGTCGGGCGTCAACTTCTACACCCAGTACAAGACCGTCACCAGCCTCTGGCGCAAGGAGGATGCCGATGACCGTCGCTCGGCCGTCCACATGCCTACCCTCAACTAACAAAAAATATCAGCAAATTTTCATATGACCATAAACATATTTCTGTGTCTGGCATATTCATACACAAACGCTACGTAGCCGTGAGTATTGCCGGTAATTATCCCCAAACGCCCCTTTTTTTTTTTTGCCTTTTTGACCATGAAGATACACTGCATTGCGATCATCAACCGCCATGGCAACCCAATCTACCTGCGCAACTTTGACAACTACCAGGAGGACGTCAAATACCACTATCTCGCCCACACCTCCTGCGACGTGATCGAGGAGCGCCTGACCACCAAGGCCTCCGACCTCTACCTGGGACTCCTGCAGACCGTCGGCGACATGGTCGTGTACGGATACGCCATGAACACGGGAAACAAGATCATCCTGGTCATGTCGGTGCCAGAGTCGCTGGTAAGGGGTGCTGAGATCCGCGACATATTCCAGCAAATACATGCTGCATATATTGCCGTCATCTGCAATCCGTTCAACGAGCAGCGGATAGAGGACAGGATTGAGAGCAAGAAATTCGACAAGGCCGTGGCTGAGCTTGGCCGGATTCACGCAAAGTAAACGCATAATATTTGATACTGCAATCAGCTATTCTTGAACTTTTACACGCCATACCTGGCACCCCGCTTCTTTTCTTCTCATTCTGTTTTCGTTTTCTCAAATACCATGCCGGAATACACACAGCAGGACATTGCCTTCATGCGCATGGCTATCGCCGAGGCCCGCAACTGCACCAGCGTCGAGTCCGCATACAATGTCGGCGCGGTGATCACCGACGGAACCCAGGTCCTGAGCACCGGCTACTCTCGCCAGTTCCCGGGCAACACGCACGCCGAGCAATGTGCGCTGATGGCCCTGGCCGACAAAAACATCAGCACTGCGAATACCACCATGTACACGACCATGGAGCCGTGCTCAACGCGCCTGTCAGGCAACGTGCCGTGCGTCAAGCGTGTTTTGAACGCAAAGATCGCGAGGGTTTTTGTGGGCGTGGCCGAGCCGCCAAACTTTGTCCACTGCACTGGCATCGAGGAGCTGCGCAACCACGGCGTCCAGGTCATTGTTATTTCTGAGCTGGAGGACGAGTGCAAGGCGCTGAACTGCCATTTGGCCAAGTAAGACGGAGGTTTTTGGGGATTAACAAAATATACTGGCTATTATACAGGGGATGTGGGAATCTGCGAATGCGTGCGCTGGTGCCGCATGCTGCTTAAAGTCATCCAGATCTTGCCAGCGCCCCGCTGGACTGCCGCCAGCGCGCGAGCTGGGAATGGCCGGTCCACACGGGCTGCCGGTGGTGCTGACGACGCCGACGAGTGCCGGAATGCCTGGTGCGACACCTCCACCATCGGAATCATCTGCTCGTGCTCGCGCCTGCGCCAGCACACATACCATGGAATCCTATGCTTCTGCACATACGCATTGTAGTCAGTGGTGGTCACGCCCAGCATGCACAGCCGGACATGCAGCCCCAGCAGCATCGATACAGCAGCAAGCGCCGCGGCAGCGGCTACAAGATAGAATGCCAGCAAGCATTGCGCCAGTACCACCATCGCTTCGGTTTCGCTGCCAAATGCCCTGTGGACAGTGGTTAGGAATGCTGCATTGTTCCAGCCAGCCATATGCACCAGGCACGCCGCATGCACTAGCACTCCGGCCAGGGCCACAACGGCTGATACCAGTGTGGCGAAGAACCACCGGTAATTCGCTGCTCCCACACAGGTGTTCAGCCACTGGCAGTGGTGGTCGTGCCAGCCACGCACTTGTTGCAGCGCTTGCAGTGCCGCGTCGTCACAGACGCCGATACCTGGCACACGCGGCACACGCTGGACATCGGGTCGATCGCCGGCACCCCCCATGTCTGCACATAGTACATGTCGCGCGGCATCCCGCTGGCCCGCACCTCGGCCGCCTCAGTGTCTACCAGCGACGCAATGACGCTCAGCACCAATGCTGTCGGAATTGCGATAATCGTTAGCAGGCTTATCCCCCACGCCGCCAGCCGAAGCGGTCCCGCGGTGTCGCTGGCCCGGATCAGCGGGTAAACCAGCCTGAAGAACCCGAATGTCAGTGCCAGCGACGCTACCCACTGCACCACAAACAGCATGTCCCATGGCAGCATGAATCCATGCCGCCTTGCCCATACGTTGGTCGCGCCCCTGGGCACTGCCGACGACCGAGGCAGTGCTGCCATTTGCTCCCAGACCGCCAATGGGTCGTCTTCCATGACCGAGTCAGCTAACGTGGATCGGCCTCTTTGGCCATGCCGCATTGCAAATCCCTCGTTAGGCTGGTGTGGCCGCTGTCTGAGCATTGCATCCACGTATTCGTCGTCGGGCTCAGGCCAATCTGGTTTCCAGCCCGATGAGCCCAGCGTGGTCCCAGTGGATTCTCGCTGGTGGTCCAGGTCGATGGTGTCGGCGGTGAAGGATACTGGGGAGGCCGGTGTCAGCGTGCCCTCAAACGAGGCTGCTGGCATGCTGTCTTCCCGTTTGTCTGGTAATGGCGTTGCCACTGTGTCCTCGCTGTTGGACCATGTCCAGGATCCAGAACCAGTGCCATCTTCAGGGTCCAGCAGTCCAAGCAGTCGGGCTGCCTTGGGCTTGAGCGGTTTGCCGTCGAATTCCACTAGTTCTGCCATGAGCCTAAAATGGTAAAAAAAGACCTTTTTTTTTTTTTTTCTCAAGGCACTGAAAAAATCAGTGGCAAAAGTGCACACGAACAAGTCCAATTACTGAGCTGCGTGTGTGCGGAGAAAGCAAAATAAGCGCAGTAAGAAAACTGAGAAAACTGTGGTGTAACGGTTTAACAAAAGGGTATAAAATAAGGCGAGCTGGGTGTAGAGGCGAAGAGGAGAAAGTTAGTCGCGAGTGCGTCAGTGAGCAGTGCCATTGTTTGTTTTGCGGCCCCTCTCCACTGTTGAGCGCCACCTGCTTGAAGCAGACGGGTGGAACACAAAAGCGAGCGTTTAAATTACACCTTGCAAATCTTTTGCTGCTCACCCTGGCACGGTCCTAAAGACGGTCCCGAAGAGGCGCTCTTTCTGTTGCTGTTCAATTTGGAACTCCGCAGGCTCAACAGGAATTCGCCGTTGAGAACGAAAAAGGGCGTTTGGAGTCAGGTCTTAAAGCTGCCGTTGCGATCGCTTTGTAATGCACTACGTGGGGGATGTTGCAAATGAAGCATCCACAAGGGCCGGGCAATTTGATGTGGCCAGCTGTGTTCACGGCCGCACTCACCCCCCTCACACCACCTCAATGACAAAGGTAATGCCCAAATTGCATCGGATTTGGCCATGCAATTGGATGATTTGCGGCGGCTGGTAAGAGCGAGTTGCTGCCCGTAGATCTTGTAAAGCAGGTCAGACAATCTGGCACAAGCGTAATTTCAGCAGGACCATTGACGCCAAATAGTGGCTTTGTTAGACGAACAATATATTCGCAATACACTACGTCTGTGCTGCCTTATCCTTGGCTGCCGATTCTTTCCAAATGTCAGACAGCGCGGGATTGAGCGTGAACACCAAAAAGTTCAGGAACCCGCTGGTCGTCGCCATCAGCGTACCGTAAATGTACAGCCCTTTCGACGGCTCGGGCGCGATGTTCATGGCCACGACGCCCAGTTGCGTGATAATCGGCACCAATGGATAGCATGCCAGGCGCTGGATAGATTTCAGGAACCGCTTCTTGTCAACAAACGAGCGCACGGCCTGCACACGCTGCTTGCCGGCCTGCGGGCTGCTGCATACAGGCAAAAGGTAGCCGACGTTTTCCGACCGCTGCACCCTGCGGCCCTTGGTCTCAATGAACGTCATGTTACTGGCTGCGGAGTGGGGCGGCTCAGCAGGCAAATTGAGTGAGGCCAGGTCAGAGGTGCTTTCGCCGATGTTTAGCGTGCCCATTGACCGGGTGGTACGCAGGGTGCTAGTCTCAGCGATGGTTTCCATGTCTTCCCGTCCGGCTTGGGTTATCGTGCCCCAGTCCCACTTTTCGGGCGGGCGCGGAGCCAGTGTCACTTCGACAGAGTTGCGCCACATGGACAGGACACGCAGACCAAGACACAGCGTAATGCCTGTGCAGTACACAATGGTAACGACAAGCCATGCGTAGTTGCACGCCCACAGGAGTAGCCTCCGCTTCCATGTCGGCGCCGGCCACGCAAACGAGTGCATGCTGGACTCCCAATACATCCCCTTGGTCTGGCCCACGACAATAGCCGGTAGCACGGTTGCTAAAGCCACGCATATCGGAACATAGAATTTCTCGAGGCGCATGTACACACGAACACGCACCTGGGTCAGTGTACTCAGATGCAGCTGCAAGGAAATAGCAAATGTGAGGAACACAAACAGCAGAGTGCTGAACATGGTCAGCCAGAGGATGAACCGTAGTCCGTGTGCGGATAGCTTCGTCATTATGCTGTTCTGCAGCATAACTATTTGCAGAATCGAGTTTATCATATCTGCTAGCGCCACATATCCAGATACCTGCAACGAGAACCGCTTCAGGTACTTGCGGTAGGAAACGATAAAGTAGCCCATGAATATCAACACGACTATAGATGAAAGCAAGGATACGATGGCAAGCGATTGCAAGAGTACAACCCAGCTCTCTGAAACGACGAATCCCCACTTGTCTTCGAAAGTGTGGTCCTGCTGGGCAAGCTGGCCCATCATGCTGGCAAAGCTATCGCCGATGCTTTGCATGTCGCTTGACGAGGAAAATGAAGAGAACATGATTCAGGATATGCGGTATTATACAGGTGGGATTACACTCGCTGGTGTGCTATAATATAAAAATAAAGGGGACGTTGCCATTAGTGGTGAGAAATATACAGTGAGGAGAATTGCCGGTTCTTCCGTCTACTCGGTCAGTGGTATTTAAGCATCGCATGCTGCACGGCCATGCCAGCCTTCTGCTATGAAAGCTTGGATTCTCAGCTACACGGTTGACATGCAAACAGGAAGCAATGTCAGGACATGCCAAGCGGGCTGCGCAGGGACAGGTGGTCAACCATGAGCTACACGGTCTCTTTCAAAACTCGCAGCTCAGACTTTCAATATTGAGTGCCATGGTTCACCATGAAGATCGGCTTCCCCGACTCACCACTGTAAAATACACTCCAGCCGTGCTTTCTCCGCCACGGTGTGGCAAAGCGAATCCTCTTTCAAAGCACCCTTTGTATATTCCTCATACTTGTTTGTCCACTAGGCAGTGCTGTCGAGCTTCACAGCTATCTGTGTGGCTACGTCAGGCCCATGGTATGTGGCAAACAGGAAGATCCTTCCACTCAGACAGCCTTTCTGCTCTCCCTCCAGACTCATTCCAACAAGCAACTCAGGTCATTTCAAGCGCCTGTAATAATTGAAAGGTGAGGAGGGTATCTTCCTTGCACATGCTTTGCACTAGTGAGGGTGCTGCCAATACATGCTACCGGTCCCCAAAGGACCAGAAGATCTATAAACGTTGGTGTGTTGCTACGTTTTGGTCGCAGTAGAAAATCTGTGCCTAGGGAGGTTAAACCCCCTTCGTTCGATGGCGTAGAGGCCATTTGGGTCCGATATCTGAGCGCACTTGTTTCCGGAAATGCAGTATATAAAAAGCGGACCAATTTGTCCTGCATCGGTCCAGTGTAGAAACTGTCACCATCAGGTTCCTTTCTCAGCCTGCACACCATACACCAGCCCTACCGCTCTCTCATCAACTTCACTTTACGTCAGTCGTCCAGCCGCACCATTCAAGCTCATGCTTTGTGTCTCACCACGCACACATCCAGTGGCATTCCCAGCCTGCCTTTCCACAAAGCCTTTCTCTGAACAAAACCATGAATTTCGAACTTGCCACCCTCGTTGGTGCAGCACTGCTTTTAGTGCATACCGTTGCGGCTGCTACCCCTTTGAGACCCAATCTGCTCGAAATTGGTGATTTGCTCTCTGACAGCAGAAACACCAATGCGCTTGCCTCTGCTGTGGGCCGCTTTAACGGTCGCTCCTCCACAAACTGCGTGTGGAATGGGTGTACGGCTAAGCTTCTCGACCTGAACCTCATCAACAAGATATATGGACAATACGTACATGGTGTCATACAACAAATGGGGTGTATTGAAAACACAAGAGGCAAGAAAAAGCAATATGGAATGTAGTGTGATGGAGCGGTTGAAAGAAAGGAAACATATATAACAGGGAATGATGGAGGAAAGCGTGTTTGTTGGCAATCTACATACTTTCTGCCGATAACACTGAGTCATCAGCAGGGTCTGGCTGGTCAGCGGCCGGATTCCACAGAGGCGTAATCATTCCTGTCTGGCTGTTCATAATAGGTGGGGTGGAGGACAGGTATGTAGGGTTGGACATGGTTCGCATGGAAATGGCCGAAGGGGCGCTAGAAGGGAAGGTAACTCCTAGTCCCTGAACTGCATTAGGGTTGGCACTGTCTGCGAATCCGCTCGCAATAGCAGAATTCGACATTGGACCAGCACCAAATCCAAGTGAAGCCATTGGCACTGTATCGTATGTACCGCTGCCCAGTTGCGATGCCGTGGGCGAAAAGAAGGGTCCGTAATTGAGCTGCATAGGGGCCAAGTTGTTGCTGAGACCAAGGGTCAGCAGGCTATCGGTTACGTGCGCAAGCGATGACTGGCTGGGAACGATAGGCGGCGAAGTAGCTGATGAGCTCATTTGCTTGGAGCGCTGTTGTACATGGGCCTGGATTGCTGTAGACAGTGCATCAGAAGTGAGCAACGACGATGCGGAGACACCAGAGACCAGCAGTGGGGTATTTGGCGACTTGGTCGAGCACTGTGCGCTGTGGCTCGACACGTGCGCTAATTCTATGGGTAAAGTGAGAGTCGCTGGGCCAGTGGAAAGTTCGCTGCAGTAAGGGATGGCTGATGGGCCCTCAGGAGCTGCGCTGGCGATTTTCATGTTGATCGTCTCGCAAACATGGTCGATTTGCTCCCGCACAAAGTAGAGAACTAAGCTTGAGAGAATGGAGGGTTTGGAAAGGCGTTAGTTGGCATGGTGGATTGCATAGCTGAGGAGTGTGGGCACAGTGGACAAAAGAAAAGCGGCATTCAATAAGATGCAATAGCCAGCTTCATTGGAGCATGTCGCTATATATGTTCAGCCATCAATAGCATAATAACGCAATAATGACAATAAGCAAATTGGCCGCCAGAGCAGCAGCCAACGGCATGCTGCAATTGAAATGACTGCTGGCGGTGATTATGAGACATCATCCGACAGGCTGGATGCAAACTTTCTTTGCAGATAGCATGGCCGTTTTTTTTGACTGGGATGCGATGCAGCTCCTTATGAAAAAAGCCGGGCTCTGACCAACAAATTTATCTTGCAGATGAAAGAAGGAATTTTGGAGGGGGCAAGGGGCTGGCTATGAGCATTGAATAAGGGCGCAGAATGAAGGCTGTGGTTTCGTGATGACGTACCTCTAAGACTCAATTCGTCGACAACATCCTCAAGGATTTGGAGCGACCCAATAGCATCCTTGGCCTCGGGTGTGTTGAACTCTGGTGCTGTCCGCTCAATATCAGGTGTGCTCATGTCATCGCTTGACATCGTCAGTGCTGACGGTGATATTGTCCCATCGTTGGACGGCGAAGTATTGGGGGATGCTGGGTTCAGCCGCCAAATCTTGATTTCGGCCTCTTTAGTAGCCCTAACAGGAGCTTTCGCTTCGGCCTTGGCCTTTGCGGCCTTCTCACGCTTCTCCTTGCGGGCGGCAGCCGAGGCCTTCGAGACCTTGACACGGGTGATGCCGCTGATCAGATGAGGATGGTCGCGCAGAAAGTCCGGATGGAAGAAGCGACAGTAGCCTTTATATTTCTTGTCGCGCCGGCTGTCGGCAATGCGGCGGAAGCGGTAGAGGTGGAATTGACGTGTGAAGGACTGGTACTTTCGGGTCCCAAAGTGGTGCGGCAGGACTTCGCGTGCGACCGACTCTGGATGCTCGACGATAATTTGAGTCCCATCTTCATTCCAGTGAAGACACCAGTAGTTGTGGTGCTCGAGGATGCTACAAAAAATTGCACAGGGTGGGTTTAGGACATGTGCCGATGGCAGACAATGCAGGTGACGGCAAACGGGTGTAGGATGACCACCTTTGTATTGTGTGCAGCAGCTGTCTTTGTACAGGTTTCTAAGAGAAACTGAACGACATGCAACCTGCATGCATCACCATGGCAAAAATTTATGTACAAGGAAGAGCAAAATGCTGCTGCCTTCCTCAGGCCAAAGGGGCAGCCCGCTCCCAGGTCCTTTCTGTAATTTCCGTAATTGTATCCGTATTATGAGAAAGGAATAGAAGTGTGAACAGCATCGAAATGTAGCTCTTTTGACGCTCAGCAAAGAGAAACGAAAGAGAGGGGACAATATGAACACAAGGTTTGCCAGGGCGTTCCTAATTCTATTTTTGCCGCTTGGCACACATTGTGCGATGGTGACATGTATGGAAACTCCGCAAATGGCGCCCCCAGAACTACGCACACTGATAGCGGTGGGCGACCATCGGGGGGACCAGTAAGCAATGGACAAGTCAGGAGCACGCAGGCACATTCCTCCTGCATGCGGCAATTCCTGGTGCTTGCTGCGATATCCGAATTGCGTGTGAAGGCAAAAATGGGGAGGCAGCAATGGTGAGAGACACAGTGAGATCATTTGAGGTGCATGGTGGCGAGGATAAGTGAGGAAGAGCCCAGTGGCACATGGACTAAGCACGGACAGGCCAGTGCAGAGAGAGAGATAGCAGGATAAAGGCAGACTTACTTGTAGAGAATGGAAATGAAATTCTCGGGCCGTGGAAGTGGGTATTGCCTATAGGGTCTGTGGGACTTTTTTGTGGTCACTGCGGACGTAGTGCTGTGCATCATGGCGATGACGATGATAGGGTTACAAATAAGCAAATGGGCCTTCCTCGATGTGAGGGAAAATATCTCAAAGGGGTATTGGGAAGTACTGAATGCGCGAGTAAATGATCACAAAAATGACTGGCTGCGTAAAAAAGGCTATAAAAAGCTTAGTGAAAGAGAGAAAGTGCGAATTGCAGGGCTGATACCAAGTGAGGATAAAGCGGAGGAGACCCCAAGGCTGTAGACGCCAGCTTATAAGGAGCCCGCTGGAAACCGGGTCGTGCCGCAAAAAGGGACCTACGTGGGCTGGTCGCCAGCGGTCGCTGCGAGCAAAAAAAGGTTGGGCGTGGTTGATGTAAGAGAAATTTCTTTTGCTGTGATAGTGGCGAAAATTGCAGATCGGCGGGCAGGCCCACAGGGTGATGCACCCTCCCCTTCGGCAATGCGCCTCCCTTTCAGGCCAGATAATGCAGGAGAAAAAGATGATGTGCAATTTAACGCCCGCCAGAATGCATGCACAGGAGGTAGGGGTTTAGCCTAGCACAGGTGGCAATGGACAAAAATAGAACTGCGACCAGCACGTATGCAGTCAGCAGGACTAGTCGTTTGTGAGTGCATATACTGACCAATGGATACCGATGCGACCGCTTAGGTTAAGCACCTGATATAGGAGGCAGGGCTATCAAAACAAAAATACCGAATCCTGGAGGAAATTCATGGGCGGGCGAGCAGGTTGTCAGCCGGAAGGCAACCCACACCATGCCGATGGTATTGTAAGCACTGGTGCGAGGTAGCGCTGTTCCCAAATACCGAGCAAATCCGTCGTCTCTTTCTCTGCAGACTCTCACTATTATAAAGCACGTCGAGCTTTTTACATGCCGCCTCTTTGCACTCATTCTTTATGCAGAGAGTTGCGAACAAAGCTTTGTCTGTTTTGCGTTCCAACCTGGCATTCATCACAGCGAGAAAAGATCAATGATATGCCTCATGGGAGCGGCGAAAGGGCAGGTAGAAAGATGAGTGCGAACACCCCGGGACAGCACATTGCATGTGGATTGTAATCGGAAAGCAAGCACTTTGTTCTTGGTGAGTAGCTGATTTTCTCGGCGGGTTTTTTGCGCCAAGATAATCTACCGGCGACTTATGAAGGATTGACGGGTAAGTTGAGCTGACAACATTGATTTGTGGGACGAGGAGGTCCTTCACAGGAATCACTCGCCATTTCTGCTGCTGGCTACCACTGGAGCACAGTCAAGGAATGAGCCCATGCTGCACTGGTATAGCAGCTACTTGTGTCCATATGTCCAAGAGGAAGGAGGGAGGGGAGTGAAATGGGGCTCTGATAGCCAATAAACAAAATGAGACTACCAGCCGAGCAAACAGTGATTGCCCACGAGAGAAGGGCGCTTGACACACAGTCCTGTAGGATACAAGTCTCTCGTGCAAGTGAAATGTGGATCCTGGGTCCCAAGTCCGCGTATTGTGCACCTGCAAAAGGCAAGGAGGGGTGCTAACCAACCCAACAAATAGGCAGAACGAAATGAATTCGGCAGAGAGGGGGGCCTGAGTAGATGCAGCTGCCTGGACTCAATAAACCTACTCATGGCCTGTCTGAGATCCTTGTGGTGGGACTTGCGCCATGGGCAGAGTTAACTCCCTTAAAAGCAACAATACAGCGCACAAATATCTCATCTTAGGCTACCAAGTGCATTGGGCAGTTATTGTGACAGTTGAGAAGTGCTCGTTCCCATGCAAAAAAATTCTGTTCTCGAGGATTTCAAAGCACAGCTCTTAGGAAGGCAACTGACGAAGCAAAGATCCTTTTGGCCAATGCACAGCGCTGTCGTGGAGTCAGCTCTCACAGTGGGCCATCGTAGCGATCCCTACAGCACGAAAAGCGAGGGATTTCCCGTGGTGCGTATTTGTTTTTCCGCGCCTTCATGGGCCAAAATAGAACGCAGGCATTTGCTGAGGGTCCAGCCCAGCCCAGCGATTTCATATAGAGAACAGGCAGCATTAGGCACCTATAAGAATAGCCCACTCTGAAGAAAGTTTGCACCGGCACATGTGTTGTACATATACCGATTCACAAGATCCCATGTGCATCGCACCTGGGTTGGCATCTGAAGCGCAATGCAGTTGCACCGGGATGTACCACTTTCCTTAGTATCACCATCGATAGTATTAACAACTAAATATCCTTGCGCCTGTGCGAAAGCAAGAGCTGATGGGTGAGACGAAAAATTGTGTTTGGTCTTTCCCTAGGCTACCTCTCTCCTGCTCCAGGTGTGAAAAAGGGAAACTAAGGGTGCACATAGTGTGCGAATTGCAGACGTGGGACGTACAGGGCGATAAATAACGTCGTATTGGCTACCGAGCTCAGTACAAATCGCCATGTCCCCAAAAACCGAGAAAGCATGCGTGCTGTGCCGAATCCCGGTTTGGAGCTTGGATATCGCGGCTAATATAAAAATCCTCGACACGTAGGACTGTAGTAAGGTTGGTCTAAACTGGATCTATCAGAAATGCCACAGTACTGAGAATTTTCCAAGGGACCTTGTCGGGCAACTTTGGAGCTTCACACTCCTGAAAGCACGCGAACGCGCCCTTTGCACAGTTTCCGGTTTGCACTATTTGTAGACCAAAGGAGCATGTGGCAAAGTGCAGCGCAAGTTTGGAGAGCGAGGGAAGGTTGGGGATTAATCCTGGATTGATATCAGGAGGTGCGTGCAATTGCCGACTATAGGCATAAAGGGTGGCAAGCCATATCCGGGCAAGGATGGACACATCTGCATGGGCAGCTCATAAAGACCTGCGACGAGCATTGTGCCGTGATTCCACTGGGTAATCGGATGCCAGAACAAAAAGGGGTGGGGGTTGGCTACAAATATACTCTGAAACACGACTGGCGGATTTCTAACAGATAGTCTACATGTATGATGTGCAGAGAGACATTGAATACGGTGAAGGAGAGAGGTGCAGCATACTAAAAGCGCACATTTTCCGCGTTGCTTTCAAACAAAAGTACAAAAACCACGGTATTGCGAGCATTCGCATATTTGGATATGCAATTTAAAAGAACATTCATTACAGCCTTGCCTTGTGCTGGATGCGAAGCAGACGCAAGCGAGCGTGGTCTGGCTCTCCAATGAAGATGTCTGGCCGGAGATCCTCGTCCTTGGTTCCGGGTGTGGTCGCGTACTTGCCCATGTCAGTGACACCGGCCTCGCGCAGGACAATCTCGTCAATGCACAGGTTGCCGGTGAACGACACTGGCTTCTTCAGGATCTCCAGTGCGGCGTCTGCCATGATCTCGGGCGTGCGCAGGTCGGGCTGGCCCTTGGCTTCGTCGATCATGTTCAACGCCGCAGTCCCAATGGTTGTGTATGGCCACAGGCCATTGACCGCGATGCCGTATTTGGCGAACTCGGCCGAGTGGCCCAGCACATACAGGGACATGTTGTACTTGGCGACCGTGTATGCCGGGTTCTTCTCGAACCACTTCTGGCTCAGGTCCAGTGGCGGGCTCATCGTCAGCACACGCGGGTTCTTCGACTTGATCAGATACGGTAGCGCCAGCTTGGTCACCAGCCAGGTGCCGCGCCCGTTGATGTTGTGCATCAGGTCGTAGCGCTTCGCCTCGGTCTCCAGCGTGCTCTTCAGATAGATCGCTGAGGCATTGTTGATCACCACGTCCAGGTGGCCAAAGGTCTCAACCGTCTTCGCTAGCGCCGCCTTGACCTGCTGCTCGTCGCGGATATCGCACTGCACCGGCAGTGCCTTGCCGCCGGCGGCCTCGATAGCCTTGGCAGCGGTGTAGATGGTGCCCGGAAGCGTCGAGTGCGGGTCGGCAGTTTTGGCAGCAATGGCGATGCTGGCGCCCTCCTTGGCGAGACGGATAGCAATAGCCTCGCCGATTCCGCGCGAGCCGCCAGTGATGAAAACAACGGTGTCTTTGAGGCTCATAGTACAAAAACGGGGAGCTGAGTAGTGCAAGTTAGAAAAAATATCGGAGGCTGTGTTTTTCTTTTGCTGGCGGAGCTGGGTCTCGGTCGCGATGGGTTTTATATGGGCCTCGTGGGGGCGCTCTAACCTCCGCGATGTCGGATGTAAAGCGATCGAGTCATCTCCGGCCCGTGCATGGTTCTTGATGCAGCATCGGTATTCAGCACCCACGTCTCTCTGCCACTTTTCCTCTATAAACTCACAGCCAATCTCTGGCAACAGATCGCAGCTTCTCAGTCGGAGGCGGATAAGACACAAGTCCGTGATCGCAAGAGCCGATCGAGAGTTTGCACGTGATAGGACATAGAAGCACAATGCACTAAGGTTGCTTTGCAGAGGAATCGGCTGGATGCCAGCAACTACGCACGTGCAAGAAAGCATGAGCAAACATTTATTCGTTGACAACGCGGTACTCCAGGTGCTGCAAGTGCCGGACGCTGGGCGGCGCATCGTGCTTGTCCTCGATGGTCTCCTGGATGCATTTCTGCATCACATGCACATAGTCGCGTTGGGTGCGGAGCCTGATAATCCCAGGTGTGCGCGCCACCAGCCACGAAGTCTTGGTCAATGTGCGCTCAGCACGACCTGGCGATAGGTCGTAGATGTAGATGGTGAGCTGCTCGAGCGACTTGCTGATGACGTCGTGCTTGACGATTGCGTGCTTGGTGGAGCGGCTGGCAACCAGGTCCTTCGCCTTGTTGCTGGCAGTGTAGACCATCAGGGTGAGGAAGCGCAGTTTCGGCATGGCCATGAGCACGCTTGGCATGTCGGAGAACTTGAAGCGCAGGTCGAGGGTCAGGCTTTGCAGCTGCGGCAGCGAGCCGTGGTGGGGCAGCGATATGTGCATTGCAGACTCAACTACAATCCGCAGCTCCTTCAGAGACCTGTGGTGCTTCAGCATGTCCTTGGCCAGCCAGGCTTCGAGCTTGTCATGGTAGTTGTCGTTGAGCAGCGGCGGCACATCGATACTGCAAGTGATCAGAGGCTGGAAGTTGGCCCAGTTGATGCTGAAGATCCGGTTCGGGCAGCGCAGGAGCCTGAGGTGCTTGATTTGCGAGCGCGGGAAGTTCTCCAGAAACTGCGCAATGTCGTACGGATACGCGATGATAGCCAGAAATTCAAGCTTGGGGAACAGCGGGTAGATGCCCTTGGCTACCTCGTTGTCAGGCCCGGGGCTGGCAAACCGCTTCGTCGCCTTCTTTGCCTCCTTTGTGCTCGCGCCGCTCAGCATCCGCAGGTGGGCATTGGTGAATTTGAGCTTCAGGATACGCAGCGAACAAAAGTCGACGGGCTCGGAGTCGTTGCCGGAGCCCGCGAATGGCCCCCAGATATCGGTAGGCGCAACTGGCCCGATCTCCAGCGAGATCAGTGAGCTGGCAATGGCCCTCGGCATGCGTAATGCTGACTTGCTGTTTGCGCTGTACAGCGTCAGATGGGTCAGGTTTTGGGCGAACATCTGGATGCCCAGCGCGATGGGCAGGCGAGACAGCAAAATCACGTCGCGGAGGGTGTCTTTTTTCGCCGTAACCAGGTCATCGATCGGATACAACCCGTAGCTATCCTTGTTGTTGATCAAGGCGCGGATCCGCTCCAGCGCCGGCAGACTATTGATCAAACAGCTATTGATTACAGTGATAGTTTCGTCCTGCACATCGACCTCCTTCTCCGTCAGCAGCCTTCTGTCGCTGAGCGGGTGGTGGAAAAACAGAGTCGTGATACTGGGCCACTCGTACTGCGCAAACTCTGTGATCTCGAGCTCGATCAGAAAGTCCTCGGGGTGTGTGTGCCGGTTGGAAAACAGAACCAGGTACTTTGTCTGCGGCGCACGGCCGCTGAATAATGTCAGCTCAATGTTGCTTTTGATCATGATCGAGCGGCCCGATGACTTGGAGAGCTTTGAGGGGCTGGGTGATGATGAGCCGTCGCCGACCACTACTACGGCAGCCTCGTAGAATATCGGCAAGCCGCGAAAGCGCCAGCTGCGGCAGGTGTGCATGACCGGCAGAAGGTCAAGTTGGCCGATGGGGATGCCGGCGTAGGTGTGCAAGTCGTTGTCGCGCACGCCCTGCCAGTACAGGTACTCGCAAATGCGGTCCACGACACGGTACGGAAGCAGAGAAAAATCCGGTACCATTTATTGTTAGGAATAGAGTAGAGGAGTTGGACAAGGGATGAAGGGGGCGAGGGCAGGGCGAGTAGCAGGCGCGCTGTTCCTTTCTTTCGAGGCTCGTATGTTTCAGAGCGGGACCATGGCGACCAGTGAAGAAACAGGCTCTAGAATCCAGGTGGAATAATGCAGCATTGAGCCTGCAAAAAATAGGCTCAGATGGCCATATGGTCCAGGATGCGGGGACAGATGCGGAAAAAAAGCACGAAAAAGCATGGAAAGCATATGCCAAGCCTTGACAAAAAAGACTGCAACTTTCCTGTACTTGTTTCATTTTTCTATAATTTAATACCATGGTTTTGCTCCGGCGATGGGCCCAATTCAGCGCTCTGCTGGCATTACTCCACAGCACACACGGTCTGGCTGCACGCAAGTTCCGGTTCAAGCTTGACCAGCTGTATGAGGTCAGAGTTGGGCTTGACAGCGTGCGCGGGACACCAGCAGCGTTTGGCGATTTCAACAATGACGGGCACACCGACCTGTTTGTGATTAGCAGCGACCAGAAGACAGTCGAGACATGGGTGTGGGACAACAGCAACAAGGAGTTCAGCCATCTGGCAGCGGCCGACATCACCACAGCACACACCATCACCAATGTGGTGCCGGGCGACTTTGACATGGACGGCCGCCTGGACCTGCTGGTGCAGGGGCAGCAGACGTCAAACGGCGAGACCTTTATGAGTGTGTATTTGGGCGATGGCGCCAAGTTCAACGACGCCGTGGATCTGCCAAGCGCGACCGAGGCACTGCCATTTGCATTCGACTATAACGGTGACGGCCGCGTGGACTTCCTGGGACGGTCGTGGGACCAGCGCACAAATGCAACGGGCCCGCAAACATGGGTGTGGCAGAACACGCAGAAGCCCGGCACGGAAATGTATGATTTGACGGCCTTTGTGCCTGGCGATGGCACGCAGGAGATGTGCCAGCCAGCAAGCCCGCACTCGAGCGCGTTCGTGGACCTGGACGGCGACTGCTTGGCGGATCTGTTTATTGTATGTGCTGGCAACGAGGAGTACCAGATCTGGACCAACTCGGCCGCAGGCTTCGTGTACTCGCAGACCGGCAAGCTGCCAACCAACGCCGGGCCCGTGAGCTTTGCCGATATCAACGCCGACGGCAGCCTCGACTTGGTGATCCCAATTCCGGGCAAAAGCCAGATCTACGTGCTGTTCAATACGCAGCGCCCGCTGTGCGTGGGTGAGCGCAAGAGTGGCGAGTGCCGCAAGTACCACGGCATCTGCGAGGCCGACCCGCAGTTCTCGTTTTCGCTCAGCGACGCCAAGGTCATCGATATCGACAAGCTTTGGCCCGGTGAAGTGCTGCTGAAAGACATGGAGAAATTTGATGGCCAGGCGCCGCCGGCGGTGAAGATCGCCGACTTCAACCTGGACGGGTTCCCGGACATGGCGGTGGTGACGTCGAGCAGCAAGAAATCAACGCACGTGCGTATGCTCAAGTCGATCAAATGCACCGACTGCACAGCGCCGCGCGACGAGCGCTCGTTTGTGGTAGTCACGGCTGGCGTGCAGGTGCTGGAGGGGCTGGGGAGGCCACAGGACATTGCGTTTTTCGACATTGACGAGAGCGGCACCGTGGACATGCTGGTGGCTCTGGTGGATGCGAGCGGCAGCAAGCGCATTACCGCCATATACAACAACTTCTTCACCGACGCCTTCTTCATCAAGGCTGTGGTGTGTCCGGCTGACCAGCACACGCGCTCGCATGCAGGCATTCTGCCGGGGGCGTCATTCAAGTATTTGCTGGTGAGCGATTCAGGCAAAAAGCACGTCGCGCAGTCGCCGCAGGTGCCGCAGACGGCGTACCGGGCGCTGTCGACGCCGTACTCGATGATTGGTCTGGGCCGCACCAACAACTACATCGAGGACTTTTCTGTCGGCTCGACCGCGCAGCTGGGCACCAGGGCTAGGTCGTTCGAGGGCCTGATCCCGAACTCGCAGGTTGTGGTGTTTCCCTACAACACCACCAGCGACTGGCGCCTGGAGCTGTACATGAACCGCTCCGAGTCAACCCCGTATATTCTGGCCACGCTCCTGTCGTCGATGGCTCTGCTGGGCATCGCCGTCTTTGCCCTCAACACCATGGAGCGCCGTGCCGACCAGCGCGAAAAGCAGCGCGCTCTGCACTCGATCAACTTTGACGCGTTGTGAGACCAAGAGATGGTATTTTTTTTTCGAAACGTCGGCTAGAGAGAGGGTAGAAAAAAGGCTGAGGTTACAAATACTGGGAGATAAAGTGCGAAATGGTTTACTCCTTTGTGCGGTATTGGAGCCCCGATGGCTGCGACACGCGGCGCTCAAACGACGGACGGCCAGGCGGGTGCTCGCCGAGGCCCAGCGGGTGGTGGTGCTCGGCCGGCGGCGACAGTCCGGAAGGGCTCAGCAGCGGGTTGGGCTGCGACGTGTTGATGGCCGGGATCGTCACTGTGGCGGACGGCGACATCCCCATGGGCGGCGGACCCGTCATCGTCGGGTGGTGCGGGATCGACTCGGGCGATGGGTGCTTCTCGCCCACCGTCTGCTCTGTCTTGCCAGCCTTGGACAGCGCGTAGTCTCCGCTGTCAAAGTATTTGCGCTCCTACATTAAACCCCCTCTTTTTCTTTTGAGCAGTACGCCATATAGCCTCCACCACACATCTGCTTTAGGTCTATCTTCCCGGCCTTACCTTTACACGCTGCGTGAGCACGTTCTTGTTCGTCGGCAGCCGTCCATACTTGCGGAGCTGGGCCTTCTCCTCGTCCGTCAGCTTCTAACAGAGCCCAGAATACATTAGTACAACGTCAGCACCCGCTTTACCCATCACTTGTCCAATGTCAATTGTCTGTCTACTTACGCTGAAATCGATTTTCTGCGCCTTCGCCGGAAGCATTATGAACAGTAGCTTTAATGTCTGAATCGATAGAGTCGAAAGAAAGGAAAGTAGGAGTTGCAGAGAGGACGTGCTGGAAAATTTAGAGAAAGGAAGTGGTGGAATTATTTTAAACTGCCTGCTGCCCAAGCGTGAGGCAGGGGGATCAGGGCTCACCTGCTCTTTTTCCGAGAATCGCACGTGACCCAACTTGATCCGAGCGCTGCCCGTTTCTTGATCATTCAGTAAACAGTGTAGAAACCGACTTGGCGCAGCGACTTGCTGGTCGCTGCCGTTCTCTCCTCTGCACTCTTCAGTTCTTTACTGTACCATACACCGCTCCGACGAGGACTCTGCCCGAAACACCATCTGCATCAGCCCAGCCTCGGTCAGGATGGTCCAGCAAACAGCAGCGCCGGCCGACTCACTTTCAGAGCTGATACATGTCTTGCAGCCGTCGTCCTTGGACGCCCTCTGCTCGCTGTACGCTAGCAGCCCCGACGCGCGCGGCTACCTGCGTCTCCTGCCGCCCGCATACCTGACAGCAGCGTCATTTATTTCGCAAACCAGTTTGACTCGGGACCCCAGGAGTGCCTCCGGCCGGCTCATTTTCCAGCATGCGCTTCCCACAGCTCTCGCAGAGACAATGGCCATAGAACCTTTGCATGCAGATGTCCTGAGGGAAATTGTGCTGGCCAGGTGGCTACCTGATACGGAAATATCCGCCCTCAGCAATGCTGTCGTGCAGAAGCTGAAAAGTCTAGTGCACGGCAATCCCGCGGCCATAGACAGCGTAAGTATCAAAAACCGCGAAGCCGGCCTAGGTAGTTTAGGGTGTCTGTACTCACTCAGTTCATGGTCACTTTTGTATAGTGCACTCGCCTGCTGCTGGCCACCAGCTCAGCCCAGCCAAAGGGGATTAGTGATCTGGTCGATGCCATTGTTGCTCGGACGCTCGAGTCCACCGAGGCTACTCACGAGAGAACTGTGCCGCTGCTCTGCCTGCTGGCTGAGCTGCTTGGAAAATACCCTGACGATTCTCTGGCCGCAATGACCGCGAATCCCGCTCTGCGCCGCTTCAACCGCCATATCATCAAACTGCTGAGTGCCCCGTCGCCCTCGGTCACTGCACCTGCGCTTCATATCCTGACACAGATACTGCTGCATTCGTATGGCACAACACCCTCGCCACTGACGATTATCGCAGAGAGCCTTGGTCCCAAGCTGTTTGACGACTCGCACATTGACCGCACGCTGGTTCTGGTGGCAGACCTGTGCCTAAACTGCAAGGGTGCTGAGAACTCGCTTACTGTCGATGAGGATCTGCGGGTTCTTGGTGCTATTGCAGGCTTGGTGAGGGTGGTTGTTGTGAGCAATGCCGCTGAGCGGTTCTTCCAGTCGGCTAGACTGGCTGGGGCGCTCGAGCACGTGGCACTGCTGGCTAGACTCGACCGCCGCTACATGTTCCCGCTGCTACACATAGTAAACCCGATTCTCGCTGCTCCTGCTGGCGCTGGCTCGCCACTAGTCAACGGTCTGACGATGCCGCAGCCACCTAGCGATGACGAGCCAAAGAGTACCACCACAGTCGCTGTGGTCGCCGATATATTTGACATCATTCTGTCGGGCATTGAGGACGCTGCATACACGGTGCCGCAATCGTCTAGCATGGCAGCGTTGGAGGGCGTTCCATGGCCGCGTGTAGCTGGTGACGAACGCGGTTGTGGGTGGTTTGTCAACTGTGACCAAGAGTCACGCTCTTTGGTGGCTGGGTTTATCGTTGCTGTGCTAAGCAACCACCAGCTGAAGGAGTTTGAGCTGTGGTCCAAGGATCTGGTACAGGTCGCAAGCCAGGCAGTTGGTATGTTGCTGCCGCTGGCTGCTTCAGGCGAGCCACTCGACCCATTCGCCATTCAACGCTCGCCTAGTACCAACGGTTCAGAGAAATTGTTGGCAGAGTTCGCCGATACGCCATCCCGGGTTGACAAGGCCAGCGTCAGGTACCAGTACTCGATTCTGGTTTATTATTGGGCCATTCAGCCTGTCATTGACATGGTTGACCAGGTAGCCAAGGGAAACCTGGTGTTTGCCGATGCCTGGATGAGCTGGCTGGCTGCATCGGGTGTCCAGCTGTGGGCGCGGAGTGCTCAAGGGTCAAGCTCGGCGATGTTTCGGGATATCCAGGAGATATTTATGCGTGCACGGTCGACCACTACCGACTCGATACCTGCACATGTAGCCACTCCTTCCACATCACCACATCCGTCAAAGTCACCCACACCCAGCGGCACTGCACCCATCCGTGCCGATGCTGCAATCGACATTACTGAGATGCGCGCCGCTAACGGTCCTCAGGAGGCTGAGGATATGGAAGTGTGCGAGCCAGAGGACAATGGAGACAGCGATTCGCTTTTGCGCATGGTTTTGCTGCGACAGTGGGCGCGGGCAACCGAGTGTGAGCTGGCGCTGAGTACTCTTCAAAGCGCACAGCTCGCGCATGCCCAGCTGTTACCATTGCACCGCACGATCCGGCATCTGCAGAGCCAAGTGATGCCCACTCAAGGTGGAGCGAGTGTTCTGTCGCAAAGCATTTCTATGCTGAACCAGATGCAGCAAGGCCACGCAACGCAAATAGCCAGTACCAAACTGGCATTCGAGCAGCAGCTACACCAGGTGAGCGAGGATCTGCAGGATGCCGAAGAAGAAGTTACCGAGCTGCGCTACGACCTGGATTTAAAGCACCAGGAGAACCAGCGACTTTTCCATGAGCTCAACGCCAAACAGCAAAGCATCGACGAGCTGGTCAACGACCAGCAGGCGCTGCAGCGCAGGCTGGCTGAAATGCAAAGCTCCTTTGCCAAATCACAGGCGGACTGCAACGAGTGGAAGCAGGAGTGTATCAAGACTCGCGAGACTCTCGATAGCAGCGAGCGGGTCGGCATTGAGACCCGCCAGCAGATTTTGCAAATGACCGAGGCGCAACAGGAGATGCAGCGCATGTTTGACGGGAAGCAGCAGGCATGGGAAGACAGGACGCAGGGTATGACTGAGAATATCGGCAAGTTGGAGACTACCCTCGATGAGTCCATACGCAGAGTACGTGAGTTGGAGGCAGCCATAGAGAAAGAGCGCGCTGAGAACGCGGAGCTTTTGAGGAAGACAGAGGTGATGGATCAGAAACTTGTAGAGTATGCACGGGTCTCTGAGAACTTCCAGAATGTGACAAGACTCCCTCACTAGCAAGTGACATAAAACGAATGCTAAGCCGTTTACAAACCACATATCTTCTCAACTTCACACACAAATCCATATTAGTACATTTACATTGGCTGTCCATGGATCTACCCAATCTTGCCGATGGCCATATAATGAGGCGCATCATCCGCATCATCTACCCCACCTTAGTGACAGAAGGGTGTCATGGGATGGGGAGTGCTGGGAGCTAGCAGCCCCGGTCACTGTATGCAAGAAATGGTACTCGTGGGTCCGACCCGCACTCTACGACGTGCTCCTGCTGGAATTTCACCCAGGTGGTGATTTCGATGTTGTCGGCCATGGCTCCGGCAGGTTGATATCCCACAAAAATACTATTGGTTGCAACGGCGCGATGCAGAGTACAAAGCGTATAGTTGTCGAGAACAGTGGCCTGGCTCCGTTGACACCCCTACTTACAGCTATGAATGGGATCTGGCTGAAGCAGGATGTATGGACTGGAGTCTGTGAGCGTAGGTTTGTTGAATCGATAGATAGTATCTTGGGTTGGGCAGCGGGCACTGATTTTCCTTTGGAATTTGTCCAGTATATTGGCAGGTGTCTGGCCTGTCTGATCATGAAGACCACCCACCACTGGTTGGCGGCTCTTCTACAGTAGATGCAGCTACCCACCTTCTAGTCTCCCGCATTGAACAATTACCAGCTTGGCCATGCCTGCAGGGGCTGTTGGTGCTGTCAATTCGCTCCCTGAGTTCTCTGCGACCCAGCTCCAATCTCATCATGTACGCGATATCATAGCGAGCGGCTTGTGGATCGAGTTTACCTCACAGGGTCCCACTAGCTGTGTTGCTAGATCTGACAGTTTCCAGAAGCTGAAATTAATGGTCTCTAGATGGTTTTACCGGAGGCCTGTCTGTGCATGACAAAAATCCTGGTCTGGTGTCTCCACAGCTGAGCTAGCTCCAGGCTTTCCAGTTGTGCGGAGTATATACCGATTTCTATGATCTTTTCAAGTATTCGCCGCTGGTTTATGGCGCCATCTATGACTCTCGCGCAGCTGCTCCTGAATATCTGAGACCAGTGCCGCTTGTGTTAATCTATCAATATATGTATATAGACATAAGCCCATCCTGAACACTGGGAATGATGACTTCAAACAGCATGGTATGCAAATCACAATGCTCAGGTAGAAAGCATGACTTTCGCAATATACACCGCATCCTTTTTGGTAAATCTAAATGATGTTCATCATCTCTATATGTATCCCTGAGCAGCAAAATGTTAGAGGATTATGTGCTTTGTAGTTTAGTGAAGAGGGGACTGAAACGCTTGAAGAGAGATATATTTAGAAGGTATGAAAGAGTGTGCAAAAGTACTAAGCAGAAAAATAGTAGAAAGAGAAGCAAGAGAAGCAAGAGTCCTATCCAGGGCCGGATGGTGTGGCTAATATGGAGGAAAAATAGAGAATAATGAGTAAAACTAGCTAATTCTGAATATCAGGTACTGTGAAAGAGTACATCACAGTAAATACCAAGCATGCTGCATGGATGGCACTTTGAATCGTGCTTAGAGCAAATCACGTCCTTGGGGAAACATGAAATAGAAATGGATTAAACTAAAAAAGGCTTCTTCTTTTACAGCTTGGACTGCTTAGCAATAGTAACCGGCACCGAGAACTCAGCGGCAGCATTGCTGATGGCGACAACATCGCGCTCGACCACACGGACCTGGAACAGCACCTTCTTCGGGTCCTTATCCGCCCAGACGCTAGTCTCGAGGGTCTCGCCAGGAATAACCGGAGCGGAGAACCTGGCCTTGACGTTCTTCAGCTTTGACGCGTCGACGCCAGCCAATTCGACGACATGGCGCGCGGCATGGCCAAAGGTGCACAGGCCGTGGAGAATCGGGGTCTTGAAGCCGCCGAGCTTGGACATCTCGGCGTCAATATGCAAGGGGTTGTAGTCGCCCGACAGACGGTAAATGGCAGCCTGCTCCTCGGAGGTCTTCTGCGACAGCTGGGCGTCGGGGGCGCGTGCCTGGCTTGGTGTTGGCGGCCAAGGCGGCCTGGGGCCGCTCAGGACCCTTGACGGGCTCGAAGCCGGGCTTCTTGGAGAAGCCGCCGATGCCGCGGATGAACGAGGTGGACTCGGAGATGGCCAGGACGTTGTTGCGCTTGTCCTTCATGGTCAGGCGTGCGGTGCAGGTCAGGCCCTTGCCCTTGTCCTGGATATCGACCAGCTGCGACGTGCACACAAGACGGCCCTCGGTGGGCAGGGGGTTGAAAACCTCAATGTACTGCTCGCCGTGCAGAAGCATCATCGGGTTGAACTCAGGCAAAAACTCGGTGATGTCCAGGCGGGTGAAGAAGGCCGGGATCACAGCGTAGGTCGGGAAGGTCTGGAAGTTGTCGGCATGCTCGTACACCAGCGGCAGGTCGGTGCGCTTGGCGCCGATGCCCAGGGCGTACAGAATCACGTCGCGCTTGGTGTAGTCAAAGTTCTCGGGCTTGCCAATAGCGGAATAGGCAGCCTCGAGATCAACTGAGCCCTCCTCCTCGGTGTTGGAGGCATTCTCCAGTAGTTCGGCGGAGCTCTGGCGGGTGTTGGCCACATGGTGGGCCTTGCCGTCGTCAAAGTTGACAATCTTCTTCCACTTGCCTGGCAATAGCCTCAGGGGTGATCGGCTTGGTCAGCGGGAAGCCGACACCACCGGAGCGCTGGCGGCGGATCTCAGAAATCCAGCACGAGCCAACCTGGAACAATTTGCCGGTAGCCTCGGTGTCCTTGTGCGCCAGGAAGCCGACCAGGGGAGCGACGTATTCGGGCTTGAAGCATCTCGACGACCTCGGCGGGCATGATGGTGGCGGTCATAGCAGTGCCGGCGTTGGGAGCGACGGCGTTGGCGCGGATGCCGTACTTGGCGCCCTCAATGGCCAGAGTGTTGGTGAAGCCCTGGATGCCAGCCTTGGCCGCAGAGTAGTTGGTCTGGCCGAAGTTGCCGAAGATGCCCACCGATGAGTTGGTGTTGATGATGGAGCCGGACTTTTGCTTGACCATGTATGGCCATGCGGCCTTGGTGACCTTGTAGGTGCCGCGCAGATGCACGCGGTACACCAGGTCCCAGTCCTGCGGGGTTGCGTTGACGAACGCCTTGTCGCGCAGAATGCCGGCGTTGTTGACCAGAATGTCGATCCGCCCGAAACGCCTCAATGGCCGTGGCCACCACCTTGTCGCCATCCTCCACCGAGTCGTAGTTGGCGACAGCCTCGCCGCCAGCGCTCTTGATGTCGGCCACGACCAGATCGGCCGCACGGACCTTGTTGCCGTTCTGCTCGACGAAGCCCAGATCGTTGACCACGACCTTGGCGCCAAAATGGGCGAACATTTTGGCGTACGCGCGGCCCAGACCATTGCCAGCGCCGGTGACCACGGCGACCTGGCCGTCGTAGCGCAGCTCATCGCCCTTGGCGTTGGCAGCCAGGCCCTTGGCGATCTCCAGCTTGCCCAGCCAGTCGTTGTCCTTCATGGAGCTCGGGTAGTAGACCGGCGAGTTGTCGAAATCGTCGATCTCCTGGAACCGCTGCTTGACGGCCGCCGGGGTGAACGACTGGTCAGCCTTGAACACCACGCCCTCGGTGGCCTGCCAGCGGTGCGCGGTGATCTTACCGGCGCCAATCTCATACAGACCGCCTGACTGCTTGGTAGTCTCGTGGGTCAGGAAGCCGACCAAAGGCGCAATAAACTCGGGCTTCAGCGCCTCCAAGATCTCCTGCGGCATCACCGTCGCAGTCATGCGCGAGGCCGCCAGCGGGGCAATGGTATTGCTGGTGATATTGTACTTGTGGCCCTCGTATGCCAGCGAATTGCTGAACCCAACAAGTGCCTGCTTGGCCGCCGAGTAGTTGGCCTGGCCAAAGTTGCCGTAGATGCCGGCCGCCGACGAGGTCATGATCAGACGGCCAAACTTTTGCTTGCGCAGAATCGGCCACGCAGCCTTGGTGATCGCATACGAGCCGTGCAGGTGGACGTTGAAGACGTCGTCCCAGTCCTTGTCCGTCATGGCCTTGAAGGACCTGTCGCGCAGAATGCCCGCGTTGCAGATGATCACGTCGATGCGGCCGAATGCCGACATAGCCGTCTCGACGATCTTGTGGCCGTCAAGGACGTTGTTGTAGTCAGCCACTGCTGTGCCACCTGCCTGCTTGATCTCCTCCACCACAAGGTCTGCTGCCGACGCCGAGTTGCCCTCGCCCTTGAGTCCGGCTCCCAGGTCGTTGACCACGACCTTGGCGCCGCGCGCTGCAAAGAACAGCGAGTAGGCCTTGCCGAGGCCGCCGCCGGCACCGGTGACGACGACAACGCGGTTATCAAAACGAAGCTCAGGCATGTTTGTGTGATAAAGTTACAAAAAAGAATAGGGGAAAAAGTTAGTGTTTAGCGTGGGAGGAGGCAGTTGAAGAAGAAAGCGGCGAGCAGGGAGGCTGGCCCGCTTGCTTTTATACTGCCCAGGGGAGAAAAGAATAAAATTGGCAGCCTCGCTTTCAACACCGACCCTCTTGCTTGAGCACGAGGCAGCGGCGCTTCAAGCCCGTGCAGACCCGGAGCATTCATGTGCCGATGGTGCCGCATTAGGAGCAGTCACGTGTAGCGGCCGCCCATCCACTGCCGAATTATTCACAAGACCGTGCATGGCCCAAATCTGCTCAGTGCGGAGAATTAGCGTGTCTCCGGAGCACTGTACTGGGCCAGCCGGGGATTCTCTGCGCGCTATGCTCCGATAATGGTCGCCATCTCCGCAAGCAGTCCCGTCTCAGCACTGCGCCTTATCTCCTCCAGAGGTGGTCTAAGATGCCAGCTTCCCAGCCGAGTAAAGTTGCGCTTGGGCCTTCCTCCGAGCGTCCGTGAGGTTCGCTTTTTTCTGACAGAGTGAGCAAGGAAACGAATAGCACAGGGAAAAGAAAAGTCACAGATCATCCGCCTGTGCAACTATTTCGCAGGCCTGGCCATTGACATGTGCTCTACGCCATATTTCAACATTCAGATTGTCCTCAGGAAGACATGCGTCAGACAGGTAGGATTATATCTTCTGTTGACTTTTTATTTCGGCTGGCAGAAATTGGGCTGTGCTGTGGCTCACACGAGAGTCCCGAGAGGCCTCTTCTACCCTACTTGTGTGAGCCTTGGCGCCCGCCAACGACGGCACCGCGCGCCTGGGCCGGATGACGCTGACACGGCCGTCATCGCACACCATGGCGGCCATGGGCAGATACGGATGCATGGCGACAGCATCGACGACGTACGTGATCGCGGAACCCAGCCAGGCTCTTCATATACACATCGGACGACGCAAATGCGCCCTGCGTCGTGACAACGCCAATGTTGGAGCCGCGCTGGTTCCACAGCTTGACCGTGGCATCGGACGCAGTCAGCGTGACTGGCGCCGCATCGTGCACCAGCATGTGATGCGAGCTGGCGGTTCGGGTGCGTCGCGCGCAGCGTAAACACCGACTCGCGGTGTCGCAGGTCCCAGTACGACACGTCGCCGTTCTCGCCCGCCGACACCACATGCATCTGATCGGCACGCAGAGTCACTGATCGCACTGCATGCGGCGCGTGCTCGCGCCAGTTGGCTACGCTGCCTTGCCGCGCCGGTGCTCGCCGGTCCATCACACGCACGACACCGTCGGCATTGCCCACTGCGAACAGGTTGCCCAGCCCGTGGTCGTGACTGAGGACACGTGACGCCGCCCACCGGCGAAATCTGCACCTCCTCGATGCACAGCTCCGTGGCCACGTCCCACACCCGCACCTCGCGCGTCGCTCCGCCAGCCAGCAGCACCGCTGCGCGCTGGCTCCACGCAGTGACCAGTCCGCTGCCCGGCCGCTTCCCCTGCCCGGCCTCCAGCGGCAGCTCAATTGACGCCCATGGCACCGCACGGAAAGCCGTCAGCAGCCGCGGCCGCGGGAACTCGGGCGCCGGTCCGCCGCTCGCCGGTGGGACAAAGTCCGGCGCATGCGACGAGAACACACGCACCGTTCCATCGTCGGTGCCCACCACCAGCCGCGCCTGCGCCAGCGGGTTGATCAGGTGCAGGCTGCGCATGTCGCCTCCCACAGCGTACCGGCCCACCAGCGCACTCTGCTCCCAGTCGTACACCGACACGTCCCCGTTGCGGCTCGCCACCACCACATGCGGCTCGACTGGGTGCATCAGCGCTGCCGACGCGGAGCCGCACGAACCGCCGCCCACCGCCGCTACGTCCGTCCACTTGGCGTACGCGGCATTGTTGGCCATCAGTCGCGCGTCAGCCTCCATGCGCGAGATCCTCCGCGACTTCTCCACCGACTCCACCAGCGCCTGGCTGCCCTGCACCCGCCCCGCAACGGTCGCAAACAGCGAGATGTCAAACTCGGTGAAATGTGCGCCCGCCCAGTCCACCAGCGTCGACTCGCATATGCTGCTGACGCAGCTCCTGCCGCCCCCACTCGAGCCACGCCCGCTCGATTCCTACCATGCGTCGAGCCGCCTCCACGCGCTCACCATCCGTCAGTCCTGCGAACCGGTCACGCACTACTCCTGCTGCCTCGCCCGGTGGGCTGCCCAGCGCCCCATGCATTGTGTACCGGTGCCGGCATTGCCCGCCCCGCCCACGCGCTGACTGCCGTGGGCTGCCGACTGCCGCCGCCTCCGCTGCTGCATCTGGTGCATCTGCTGTGTCTGCGGCTCGCGTCGGGGCGGCTTGCCCAGCAAAGCATCCCCACGCTGCTGTTGCCCGTGAGGAACCCCAACCCCGGCGCCTGCCCACCTGCCACACGCGCCAGCTCCGCCTGGTGCAGCGCCCGGTCGATCACTGTCCTCGTTCTCCAGGAACTGCTGCGAGTGCACATAGCACTGCATCAGTGTATCGCACACCTGCTGGGCCGCCAGCGCCACGTCCGGGTGGGCATCGGCGCTCAACCCCAGCAGCGCCTTGTACAGCTTGACCAGCAGATCCATCGAGATCGCCTCGCCGTCGCCTGCGCTGCCCCCCGCCGCCCGCCGGTCCAGCACCCGCACCTCCTCGCCCATTACACGCCCCACCGCCGCTACCGCCTGTGGCATGTACGACGCAAACACCGCGCTGCCCACCACGTTGACCACCTCCCGCCGCACCATCGGGCTGCCGTCCCCCGCCGCATGCAGCAGCGCCTGCGTACGTCTGCCGCTCCACCTTGCGGATGATCGTCAGCACCCCTGGATCATCGCCCAGATGCGCCAGATCGCTCAGCAGCGTGTTCATCGCATACAGCGCCGACGCCCGCACCAGCGGCGACCGGTGGCATGCCATCTGGATCAGCAGGTCCTGTGCGTCCTTCGAGTCCACGTTCTCGTCCTCCACGCTGGCTGCCAGCAGCTCCTCAAACGATGGTACGCTGCCATGAGCCGAGTCGCTGCCCTCCACCCCGTTGCCCATTGCTGCCCGTCCGCTGCTCCTGTGCCTGCGCCTGCTGCTGCCGCGTTGCTGCAATCACGCACAGCCGGTACGTCATCGCCATCCACTTGGCATCTGAATGACTTTTCCACAGCTCCGCCAGGCTCAGCAAAATCCACGCCCGCAGCTGCGCCCGCTCCTCGGTGCCGTTGTCCGGCTGCTGCAGATAAACGAGATAAAAGTCCAGCAGCCGCTTCGTGGAAGCACGCCTTTTGCGACTCCTCGTGATCGCGGCACAGGATCGTCAGCGTAAAAGCGCTCGCTGCCGACACTGTATCGCACAGCCGCACCTTGTCGCTGACCGGCGCACACTGCATCTGGATGTTGTTGGCCAGATACGACACAAAGTACGTGAACGAGTTGTTCTTGAGCAGCTCCGGGTGCAGTGCGTGGTCCACCGCCGACAGCCGCGCCCACACCAGAATCAGAATCTCGCGGATCTCTGTCGTTGTCGACGCCAGCAGCTTTGAGATGTACGGGAAAATCCCTACCGCCATCGACAGGTTCACCGCCCACGGTCCCAGGTTCATAAACCGGTACAGCAGGATCAGCGACCGCAGCCGGTACTGCTGGCTTAGCAGCACCTGCAGCACCGCCGGCAGCTCGTCCGGCGCCTCCAGCCCCGGCGGCGGCTGCATCGTCAGCGACTTGGGAATGCTGTCTGGATCCTGGTCCCCCAGGAACTGCGACACCACCGTCGCCGCGTGCTGCAACCACACCTCAAACGCATGCAGCTGGTTGCTGAAATACGACGACGAGATGTATCCTGTGCCCTCGCTGCCATCATACAGATGGCCCTCCTCGTCGTCATCGTCATCGTTGTCACTCGAGCTCTCGCTGCTCGACCCCTCGTCGCCACTGTCGATCGTGCCACCAGTGCCAATTCGGCTGCCATGCCGCCATGTCATCGACCGGAACCCCCCGGCAATATCAAGCTTGGGCTGCTGCAGCGTCGGCATCGCTGCCGCTGCCGCCACCCGCGGTCCGGCCCTCCCATGGTGCTGGCCCTGCACGCCGCGTCTGCTGGCTGCTGCTGCTGCCGCCGCCCGTGCATTGCGCGCTTCACGCTCCTTAGCCTTCTGCTGCAGCTTCTCTTCACGCCGCTTCCGCCGCTTCTCCTCCTTGATCAGCCGCGGCAGCTGCTGCAGACACATGTCAATCTCCAGGTCAAGGCTCGCCCACAGCGGGTGCTTGTGCGTCGGCGGCAGCTCCGGACTGCAATACGGATGCACCCCGTAGTACCGCATAATATGGTCCGCTAGAATGTAGTTGCGGAACAGGGTTGATAGCATCATGTCCTGCCGGAACAGCCGGCTGAAAAGCTCCCGCGGCACCGTCGTCCATGCGATCGTGTCTGTGATCGATGTCAGAATCCAGTTCAGCTCCCCCAGCGGCGTCCGCCGGTCCTGCACTGACCCCGGCAGCTGCTCGCACATCTCCACCGTGATGTTTTTCGCTTGCGGGTTGCATGTGACCCAGAACCGCATCGCCACACGCACCGGCGTCGTCAGGCACGATGTGAACAGGTCTGCTGGTAGCACTGGGTTCGTCGGCAGCAGCTCACTGCTCCGTGTCGCTGCAAAGTGGATGTCGTCGCGGTATATCTGCGGCAGCAAGGCCAAACTGATCAGCGCCGGGTTGACTGGTGCCGCCTGTTGCTGCGGGTGCTGCCCCGCCTGTCGCCCACCCGGTCCCAGCTGCGACGCAATCGCCGCTGCAACCGCTGTTGTCTGTGCTGCCAGCTCTTCCGCTGACATCCGCCCCTCGGGCAGCACGAACCCGACATCCTGCGCCATGCGCCGGATCCGCTTAATCTCGCCCTCGCGCACCCTAGCACCCTTCTGGAACGCTGCCACCACGCTCATCGCATGCGAGCAGTCCCAGATATACGCCCCTGGCGTCCCCACCCATGCCATCAGATCCGCCGCTGACACCGGAATGTACTGCGTGAACTGCCGGTTGAACACCCAGATGTCGCCGCTGCCCGTCGGTCGCGGCACCCCGTGTCCGTTGTAGTAAAACATGATTCGCCCGTCCTTGGACCCGCGCCGGAACTGCACACAGTACTTTTTCAGGTCCTCGATGGCACAGTCCGGCAGCGCCTTGTACCGCGCGTGCCGCTGGATCGTTTCAAACTGCCGCTGCAGGTTTTCCATGATCTGCTTCATTGGTGTCCGCTCGCGTGCTGGATTCCGCTGCCCTGCGGTCCCGCTTGCTATCTGCAGCGCCATCTCTTCGCTCGTTGGCGCCTGCACTGGTGCGTTCGGGTCCACCCACGCCTCCAGCACCGAGCTCTTTGCCGGCTTCACCAGGTCTGGCGGGTCCGTGCCAAGATTCAGACACGTCACCAGCAGCGCGCTGACTGTCCGCAACCGCTCCTGCGGCCGCCAGTTGCCCAGTTGCATGTTGCCCAGCGCCAACGAGCGCGGGTGCGTGTGAAAGTCCTTGCGCGACTCCATCACCGCCTGGTTGACTCCGTGTGCCGGGTCCACCCGAGTCGTGATTTCAACCCGCGCCCCTGTTGCCGTTGTTGTTGCCAGATCGCCGTTGTGGGTGATTTCCATTGTGGCAATTCCCTCTTCGACATCTGCCGTTTGAGCCCTGCTCCCTGCGCCCACTGCAACGCCGTTCATTGTAGCTGTTTGTAGAATGAAATATAAAGTGTGTGTAATGTGTAATGTGTAATGTATGTGTGCGGGAGAGTATACGCTAGCGAATAGTGGAGACAGAGGAAAAAGAAAAAGAGGGTACTCGGGCGCATATAGCACAGGCGCTGCCCTTCAAAAATTTTTCTGGCGTCCCCCACTCCACAGAAGAATAAACGGCCGCATCAGGCTCTTCCAAGCAGCAAAGTATGAAACACTCACCAATAGCCGCAGCCGCCATTTCCACTCCCTGCTGACGTTTCCAACTCAACCCCTATTCGCAAGTGCTGCTTTTCACTCCATTTCGACACCCCTGTTGTAATTTTCTGTTCCTGAGTACCGTGACCATGTCAGACGACGACTTCATGTACGACGAAGACGACAACTATGAGTTTGAGTACGACGAAGACGAGGGCGATGACCAGGACGTCGGCGTCGAGAACAAGTACTACAACGCCAAAGCCATGCGCGACGAATTCGAGGTTGCCCTGCAAGAGTTCCAGGCTGTGATTTCCGAGGAAGACCCGGCCGGCGACTGGGGGTTCCGCGCAACCAAGCAAATAATCAAGCTCTATCTGGCGCGCAAGGACTACGCAAATGTCCTTGAGTACTACAGCCGCATGCTGGACTTTGTGCGCAAGTCGATTGTGACGCGCAACTACGCCGAGAAGAGCATCAACAATATGCTCGAGCGCGTGTCGACGGGCACGGACCCCGGAGTTCACGATGCAGTTTTACCAGAGGACGCTGGGCGTGCTGAAGGAGGCCAAGAACGACCGGCTGTGGCTGCGCACCAGCCTGCGCCTGGCAAAGCTCCTGCTGGACCAGAAGAACTACAAGGCGCTGCGCGAACAGCTGGGGGCGCTGCGTAGCGAGTGCGTGGATGCGGCCGGCGCAATAATCCTGGAGCGCGGCACCCAGCTGCTGGAAATCAACGCAATGTACCTGAGCATGTACGCGGATCTGGACGAACCAAAGAAGCTGAAGGACATCTACACCGAATGTGTGGGCATCAAATCTGCCATCTCCCATCCGCGCGTGCTAGGCCTGATTCGCGAGTGCGGCGGCAAGATGTTCATGAGCGAGCAGAACTGGGAAGGTGCAAGGTCGGACTTTTTCGAGTCCTTCAAGAACTACGACGAGGCAGGCAGCCCGCAGCGCATCCAAGTGCTCAAGTATCTGGTGCTGGCATCTATGCTGTCCGAGAGCGAGATCAACCCGTTTGCGTCGCCTGAGACCAAGTCGTACCGCGACGACCCGTCCATCTCGGCCATGACCAACCTGGTCACCGCCTATGAGCAGCAGGATCTGGAAACCTTTGAGCGCATCTTGCGCCAGAACCCACGCGATATTGAAAACGACACCTTCATCAAAAACTACATTGGCGACCTGCGCCGCACCGTGCGCATGCAGGCCCTGCAGACCGCCGTTGCGCCCTATACCCGCGTGCGCATTGACCGCCTGGCTAGGCGCCTGAACATCGACATGCCAGGTGGTCGAGGAAGCTGCTGATTGCTCTGATTCTCGACAAGCGCCTGATGGCAAAGATTGACCAGGAGAACGCAATATTGATTCTGGAGCAGCAGTCAGCCGATTCGTCGCAGTACTGAGTCGCTCAACAAGTGGGCCACAAACATCGAGTCGCTCCTACAGTCCTCGATCTCCATTCTGAGTTGAACATGGTGACGAAATATATCTGTAACAACCCCTCGCCATTTCTTTGAACAGCGAAAGGTTGTGTCTGGAGTAGGCATTCCGTATACTTGGACCAGTGTTCACCCTCCCACCCACACAGCGTCATTTATACGACCCAAATGTAGCATTAAAGACAGCTATGTTCATCCTCAGCCTCTCATTTTACCATCTCGACAATTCTGGGCTTTGACGCCCTTTCCTTTTCACTTTGCCCGCCCTACACACCGCTTCACACATGCATTTACACTTGTATATGTTGTCATCTATCCCCCACGATGTAAAATACTTTAAATTAACAATCAAGATATAAGCTTCATGGTCGCAATTTCATAGACCATTTTTTCGCGCAAAAATCCGCAGCGCTTCTGGGAAAAAACTAAATGCGCATCCCGCGACACATACTCGGCGAATGCCGACGTAAACACGCCGCAGTCGTATCCGTTGCCCTGCGTCGGGATATCAGTGGCACACACCGTAGCCCACCCGGTCTCGTCAAATCGGTTTTTTGAGCTTATCCTCAGATTCCTGACGCAAGTAATTCAGCAGCACATCCCGACGCCTGTAATCGCCGCTCAGCATCGAGTCGTAGTAGGTAATGCACTTGCTGCGGAAGTCAATCACCATGCACACCCAGTGGCGGTTGTCGATATTTACCGGCACAACCACCATGTCCTTTTCAAACAGATTAATGCGCCGTGTCCACCGCCTCACGCGGGCATATCCACTGCCGTCCAGCATATTGAAGAAAAATGAGCTGAACGCATGTACCTTGGGTAGCTTTGGATTACTTCCAGACCGCTTGTTAATCAGCAGCATGTAGAAATTGATGACCTTCGTCGTTCAGCCATTCTCCGCTGTCCAGCGTGCTTATGTCGTGGGCCGTCATGGGCTGCTGGTCCATCTCGATACTAAAATACGGGCCCCGCGCCTCTTTGATTACATTGGGAAGCATCCTTGGGTAGCGTAAAGATCCCCTCCAGCCGCCTCTCCTCCAGTTTCCTGTCCAGCTCAGTGGCCTCTGCCAGTGATTCATCGTAGGCCGGTGTCTTCGCCTCCTCTTTTGGCTGCTCCAGGCCCAGGCCTCTTTTGATATCCAGCGTCAGCTTTGGTAAGCCACGATATCTCGCTCGGGTATGGTGCAGTTCGCTGCCTCTCCCTACTTGCGCTTGCCTCTCGCCTGCGCGCTCTTCTCTGACCCGCTGCTTGGTAGGCTGATTATCGATGGCACCTGTGACACTGGAGCTCTTCCGCGATTGCGAATCAGACTTCTCTGCTGACCATGGGCAGCTCCACTGGCGACCACTGCAAGCTGAACGATCCCTGCGACGAAGGCGTAATCCAGCCGCCGCTATCAAACCCAGGCGTGCCCGTGTACTCCTTTATCAGCGCCCTGTTTTTCACGCGCATCGTCCGTGGCATCATCTTGCTTCCCACCAGCGGCCTGCGTTTCCTAATGCCCGTGGTGTCGTTTGCAACTCCAGTAGCCGGTGTCGCGGTCCCCCATTGTTGGTGCGGCTAGCTGTGTGGAACGGCCACTGCGAGGACTGTGCCGGTGACTTGGTATATGCCTGGGGCCGCTCGAACAGCGGACTCAGCCAGTTTTGCACAAACATTAGTGGTGCCCTCACTAGTGAGAAGGCAGACGGCATCTGCAGTTCGCCAGGGTGTTCACTGCCACTCCGGCCGTCCTTGCGCACAGAGGTGGTTGGGAAATCGCCGGGCATTCCAGCCCTCAGACTCTGCCGTGTGCGAAGTCTTCCTCCTTTTGGCGGTCATGCGTCTACAAAATAATCTGTGTGCAATGAAACACAAATGAAGAGTAAGTAGCAGCCGAGAAGGGGCTGTTGAAAGCAAGGCTGGTATGCTGAAAGGACGCTTGAGAGTTTAAAGCGCTGATGATGAAGCTAATTGCGGATTTGATCTGCAAATCGATACTTCGATGTCCATCTGAATTAATTTTTTTCACGGCCAGCATTTGAGACCGCGCCGGCGCACTGGGCTCCTCTTTCTCCTCTCTATTCCCGCTCGACTATACCCTTACGCTTCTTTGTTTCATCATGGAGTCCCAGCTTGACGAGGTGCGTTGCAAGAGACACACCACAGACCGATCGCAGGCAGATACCCCTGAATGCTGACTAATACAGGCCCTTTTTTATTCTGTAGCTCATTCAGTTCCTGACGAACCCGCGGCCCGATGTGCGCCAGGTGGCATCGACCTACATTGTCGGATTCACACACCCGACCTCGGACTACTTTGATCTGGTAGTGGCTCGTGCGGACAAGCTCGTGCGGCCGCTGCTAGTGATGTGCCACGACAACCCGGTTGTCGCGCACGACGCGATCCGGTCTCTGGTGAACATGACGACGAAGCCCTCGGTGTGCGGCTACTTTGACGATGAGGACTCGCTGTCGATGATTGTCCGTTTGATCACGAACCCATCGATGGTGATCGCTGACCTGTGCTGCATGCTGCTGTCTAACCTGACAAAGGTGGACCGGATCTGCCGCCGCCTCAGCACCCTGATGGTTGGCGAGACCCCCGGACTCTGCAGCTCGCCAATGGCTATGGACCAGCTGACGGACGTGTTTGTCAAGGGCATGGACCACAAGTTCAACAAGGACGCAAACTTTGGGTTCCTGGCCAGCGTGTTCTCCGACATGACCACGTACCCGTTCGGCCGCAAGTACTTTTTGGAGCGCACGTCGTACGACGGCAAGCTGCCAATCACCAAGATCATGGTGTTCAACGAGTATCCCGACGTTATTCGCCGTGGTGGCGTTGACTCGACCATGAAGAACGTGTGCTTTGAGAAGGACAAGCACAAGGAGATCCTGGATCCCAACGAGACCAACATGTTACCGTACATTCTGCTGCCGCTGTGTGGCCCCGAGGAGATTGATATGGACGACATGGAAAAGTTCCCCGATGAGCTGCAGCTGCTTGATGATGACAAGAAGCGCGAGCCCGACTCCAAGCTGCGTGCAACACTGCTTGAGGCCATCAATCTGCTCTGCACCACCCACTTTGGCCGCCAGACGCTGCGCGACAAGAACGCATACATTGTCCTTCGTGAGATGCACAAGGTCGAGACGGACGATGCTTGCATCGATCTCAACGACAGGGCTGTTCAGCTGCTGATGCGCGATGAGAGCAAGGAGACTATGGACGACAACCAGCAGTCAAACGCCATGGAGGATGACACGATCGAGGAGATCTAGGGCACATGTGGCTTTCCATTCGTGTATAAAAACTATTGAAGAATACGACATTTCCGACACACAGGATCTAGTAGCGAATAGGCGGCTGATCGCCGTTCTTTTCCAGGTCGTCAAACAGGCTCTCGCGCTTGGCAAGGATGCGGTCGCTGAAGTGGTGGTTCGTGTCTCTGTGCAGGGCCTCATCAGCGCGCACAGCCAGGACCACATCGCGCAGCCTGGCATCGGGCCTCAGGTTCCAGTACGCAATGGCGATCTCGGGTGCCTGCACGTTCTCGATCCGGCCCGCATCAATTTCGTTGATAAAGTGCGTGTACGAGGTGACGGCCTCCTCCTCCAGATATCCCACGACGCGGTGCGCAGTGCGGGGCTGACCATGTAGAGCAGAGAGAAGGCCGCAAAGAAGCCGGTCTGGACCGTGGCAATCAAGGCGCGCTCCCAGAGCACAGGCTTGCCGACCTCCATCCATGTCATCAGGTGCATGCGCTCGTTCTCGGCTTCATGCAGCAGGATGGCCAATCCACCCACCGTCGTGCCGCATGCCCTGCAGCGACTTGATGTGGCGAATCAAGGCACCAACCATGCCAGGCACAGCAGCGACGACCTCGAGCATGACCGAGCGGTGCAGGTACTTGTTGCGGAAGAAGATGTCGGTGGGCTTGCGTGCGCTCTTGACTACCCAGTGCGCAGCTCGGTCGGCCAGGTTTTCCGGTTTGCGGTGCTTCATGATGCCGACATCCAGGTGCTCCAGATCGCTGGTCGACCACTGCTGGCTCATGGTCTCGGCGCGGATGGGCTGCGGCTGCATGGGAATGCGCAGCTCGCGCGGCATATTGCTGACGAGGTCGTCTGACGGTGAAGGAGGAGGAGCTGGCTGGTTGGCCTGCTGGTCGCGCTTGATGATATTGGCAATAGGCCTCCTGGGCACGTAGTGTGGTCTTTATTCCAAATGATCGGTGCGAGATGTGCACTGGCGTAAAGCGACGGGTGCTGCGGCTGAATGTAGCAAGGTGCATTTCTGTACAATAGCGATGGGCGAGAGGGTGCTGCTGCTGAATGATGACCTTTTGCAACTGGACCGAGGCAAGAGGTTGAAGTCGATATTTATACACAAACTTCTCTCGTATCGGATGTTCTCGGATAATACTCCCACCTATTTTCACCCTACGCAAGAGGCTGAATATACTGCTCGTCTGGCTCTGTATTTCCGGGCGTTGGAAATTTCCTAGCTCGGGGAAAAAGGGCCACCTGACGACTCACATGTGGTTTACTTATCGCCGCAGTCTGCAGCCTGCCCGTACGGACCGGTGCGTGCGACGGAGAATTCCGGGGCAGTGCCATAGGAGAATACACATGCTGGGCAGGAAAAACGCATTTTTGACCCAGCGACCAAACCAAGCTTCATGTGCATATTCAGCGGAGAAGCGGTCTGATTCGCCTGGAAATGTGCGAGCGCTGGAAGATAATGCACACCCACATGCAAAACCAGTCACATCAGTAAATGTTGATTTTCTTTGTATTGCACTTCTACATTAAGATAAGCAAATATGTCGATAGCGAGATGTCTAGAATCTGGACTTGAACTGTGTCACGCACTGGTTCAGCATGGTGTAGCTATCACGTAGCTTGCCGGTCTGCACCAGTGGGTCGCTCTTAATCGACGCCACATGCTGCTGGAGGGCAGCACCGGCTGCGGCATACTGCTTCTTGTCCATCTTCGCCTTGATGTCTGTCAGGCCTGCAGTCGCGCTGTATTGCGACAACTCGGAGATCATGGTGCTGGTTTCGTGCGTGTCCGGATGGTAAATTCCTCCGAACTGGGTGAGAGCAGACTTGACCTTGTCGTCAAGTGCGAGCACAGAGGCGGCGAGAACCAAGAAAGAGGTAGTGGCAGCAGAAAGCTTCATTTCCAGCAAGGTGTTTATTGGCGCTAATGAAACTTGAAATGGGTGTAGTTGGTAGTGACTGGTGGGCCAAGAATAAGGTATGGGGGAATAAGAGGCTATATATGTGCTCAGGCAGTCTGACTATGTATACTGATATCCATTTCCAATAGTGGCCACCGACGCCAGCATTTGCGTATATGCCATTTATCAAGTAGGCTACGGCATATGTATCGGTTGACTTGTCAATGAACAGCATGGCATCGGGCGAGTCTAGCCATAGCTGTATGCCAGCCACCACGCAGTGTCTTCGAGACTGTTGCAAGGCGTGTTTCTGGAAAGTACTACACTCCTCAGGGACCAGCTACGTCATTGGCTAGCCCGCCATGCGGCTAAAAGGGCGGCGCAGGTCACGCTCACTGCTCTTGCCTCCATACCTTTTCTTCTCCGGTTCAGAAAACACTATTAGTATACCCCTTTTTCCACACAGCAATGGAGGTTGGACAGCAACACTTTGCTTTTCCTTTTAGCTTCAAACGCAAAATGCATGCAGACGAACAGCAGGGTGCCGCGCTGCAAACGCAAAGGCAGTTGGGCTGGACACGATCAGTGATCGGCTGCGGACACTTGATCTCATGGAACGCTACCACGGAGGCACCAAGCGGCTCGACAGCGAGGACGATGATGACTGCGCGATGGAGGACGCAGCGCCAGCGAAGCGGCCAAGAGCGGGCCAGAGTATTGACGCTGGGGGAGAAGCGGAACAAGTGGATGATTCGAGTTTGCCAAAGTACACTGTGATCAAGATCCCGCTGAGCGTGAGGGCAAAAGCGTTTCTGGGTAATGACAGTGACCAGCCGGAGACCGACAGGACAAAAGGAAGCGAATCGCAAGCACTGGTTCTGTACAAGCCGCCGGCTGTCAGACCACGGACCCCTCCGTCTGCACCTCGGCTACAGGATGACGGCGCCGCTATGGACATCGACTAGCGCGACCCCAAATGCAGATATAGAATCCTGGACAGTGTCCTAAAAGCATGTTAATAGAGATTTGTAAAGTGATATTGTGAAGTTCGGATATGGACTATAGAAAAGAAACTGCTTTGGGAGGTTTAGCGACGGTCGTTGGAGCCAACGCCACGCTTGCCTGTGAACAGATGCTTGGGCATCTTGGAGGCAATCGCGCGGTCGGCCTCACCAGCACGGGCCATGACGTTCATCTTGCGAGTAGACTTGGCCTTCATCTTATCGGCAACGGCCTTCTGGCGCACATCCCTGAGACCCATGGTCGAGCGGTCGCGCTGGGTGGACACGGCACGGGCAGCAAGGCTCGACGAGCGAGCCAACTGGACGGCCGGGTCGCGAGACTCGGACCGGCCGCGTTTCCGGCCAACGGCCTGGGCACGCTCCTCGGCGACGCTCGGGTCAAGACCGAGGGCCTGCAGGTGCTCGACAAAGTCGTCGGTGCCGGCAATCGTGGCCTTCTGCTTGGTGGTGAGCTGGGCCTTGTTGGCCTTGTTCATGCGGTTCTCGACCGCAATGACCTTCTTCCGCTCGCGGATGCGGCGGGCAATGTCCTTGATGCGGGCCTCCTCCTCGTCCTCCTCCTCCGACAGCGAGTCGTACAGGCCCTCGGCAGCCAGCTTCTCCTCCTCGCGCTCGAGCTCGGCCAGCTTCTCCTCGATATCCGGGGTCGACGAAATCGGCAACGTTCTTGCCGTCCATGATCTCGGGGATGACGTCGTACATCCACTCGTCGTTGCTGAGCTTGTAGTGCTTCTTAAGGTCGACATTGAAGACGCCAGCACCTCCACCCTCGGCCTCCAGGTCGCGCTCGAGACGCGGCCGGTCGGGGTCCTCGGGGTTGTACTTGCGGCGCTTCTGCACGGCATCGGGGATGAAGGCCGGGCGCTCAACTGTGTCGCGGCGGCCAGGCTGGGCGACATTCAGCTTGTTGAGCACGCTCGAGACCTTGTGGCCCTTGAGCTTCATGTCGACGCGCTGCTGCAGCAGCTTGTCGCACGCCAGGTCGCGGGTCTCGATGACACCCTGGTCGAGGTACGAGCTGAGCTGTGTGATCTCGATGCCCTCCTCCCGGACCGCCTCGACGAGCTGGCGCTCCTCGGGCTTGATGTCGTCAAGCGTGCAGGTGTCGATCTTGGAGACAACCAGCAGCGTGGGTTTGTTGGCGAACAGCGGCTTGATCGAGTGGAACAGGCTCATCTGCTCGGCGACCGAGTAGCCGCACTGCTCCGACAGGTCAATGAAGAACATCACGCTGGCGCGCAGATGCGCCAAAGCAGTAATCGACTGCATCTCAATCGTGTTGCGCTCCTCAAGCGGGTGGTCGAGGAATTCCCGGCGTGTCAATGACCTGCCAGCGCAGGTACTTGTAGTCCATATGGCCCACAAACAGCGACTTGGTGGTGAATGCATACGGCTGCACGTCCACGTCGGCCCGCGTCACCTTGTTCATGAACGACGACTTGCCCACGTTCGGGTAGCCGCACACGATCAGTGTGCGCGTGTTCGGGTCGATCGTCGGCAGACGGGCCAGATGCTGGCGCACCTGCTCCAGATAGCTCAGCGAGTCCTTCTGGCGCTTCATGATCGTCGCCATGCGGCCCATGGCGGCGCGCTTCAGCTGCTTGCAGCGGTACAGCGAGTCGCCAAACTTGAGCAGGCGCACGTAGTCCTTGCCCACTGCGTCAATGAGATGCTTGGCCGTGTTTATCTGGCCCAGCGCAAGCTTGTAGTGATCCTTGTCGTACAGTACGTTCATCAGATCGGCATAGAACGGGTGCACGTTGTCGAGGACCGGGAACTCCTCCAGAATCTGCCGCAGCTTCTCGTCAAACGACTCCTGTGTGAACTTGACCTTGCGCATGTAAAAGTTACGGATACGGCTGATCTTGTAGCCCGGGTGGATCACCGTCGGCGTCTTGCGCTGCGTCTTTGACAGCACAATGTCCAGGAAGTCGCTGGCCTCAGGCACCGGCGCTATCCGCTTGAAGTTGTAGATTGAGGCCATGGCTAATAATCGAAATAATATATAAGGGGCTTTGTGTTGAACCGACCGGGGATAAAGCGAAGCAAAGGCAGGGGCAAGAGAGAAGAAGAGAGCAGATGCTGCCGCTTGGCCAGCACTAAATAATGCGGCAGTCCATCTATTTGTCTAAAATTTTTCCTTGCGACTTTTTTTTTTTTGGGTCCATCCGCAGATGTGATTTGATAGATCAGCATCAGAATCAGCGCTTGATACGGTTGGCGATCAAGAGCTGCCCCTCATTTCGGCTGAGCGGGGGCTGGTCACGCTGCGCCGATTTCGCACGGCGTTACCACCTCTGCGCCTTGTTTGTCCGGACCGAGTCCCCTCGCTGCTTCGCTATCCTTCGCATTTAGACTAATTCCACACAAAGATGAGTTTCTTCGTCGGCCTGACAGCAGCACTCCTGGGCAACGTCGTCATTGGAACCGGCCAATGCCTGCAGAAATACGCCTTGAACAAATTGCAGCGCGAGTGGGAGACGCGGCGTGTAGAGCACAGCGTCGGCACATCGGATTGGTTACGAAGCCGGATATTCGAGCAGCCTCGATATTCGCTCGCGCAGTAACTCGCTAACCGGCCCCTCCTTCAGCCAGCGTGCTGTAACCGCTGCGCAGCCCTTCCGAAAATGGGCCACGCCCGCGCTACACTGAGAAGCTGTGGATAGTGGGCCTGCTGATGAACTATGCGGGCGAGCTGTTTGGCAATTCCGTTGCGCTGTCGTATCTGTCGGCGTCGGTGGTTGCGCCACTGGGAATCATCGCAGTTATTGTCAATATGGTGCTTGCTGAGCGGTTCCTAGGCGAGCGCATCACGCCTAACCAGCGGTACGGATTCATGGTCATCATGGCCGGAGTTGGATGCATTTTGCTTGGTTGCGCCAAGGAAGGCTGCAGCCGACGACGCTGTGCAGTTTATTGAGGTGGTATCGACATCGGGGATTCTTGGGCTGTTTGGTCTCTTCTACATTGTGCAGGCAGCGCTGATTACACTGATTCGCTCGGGCCGGCAGTCGCTGTTCCTGTATGTGCTGGTGGCCTCGCTGTTTGGCTCTATGAACGTCATGGTGTCCAAGATCCTGACCATGTTTATGCGCCTGCGCTTATCGTACTCGTCGATCCCGAACCCCGCCGACATTGTGTTTTACGGGGCAGTGGAGGCTGCCAAGGTGCGCCCGGCGCTGCTGTTCCTGACTGGGCCCCAGGTACTTGCTGCCATTGTCATGGTGGCATCGATTATCGGCCAGGAGTCGTTCCGCCAGCAGGCTCTGGGCAAGTATCCCGGTCATGGAGTTCCAGCCTGTGTTCTTTGCCACGTTCAACGTTGTTGCCACGCTGTCAGGTCTGCTGCTGTTCAAGGAGCTCGACGGCTGGATGCATGGACTGGTCTTTTTCTCGGCTTTCTTTGTCGGTATTGGCTTTATCCTCTACGGCTCAAAGTTCTTGCAAAAGGCAAGGTCGGTCAGTCTGCCCTCGCACATCCGCCTGCACAAGGAAAACCTAAAGTCTCTCTAAGCCAGCATACTAGAAATACTCTGCTCGCGATGCGAGCTCGGCTGCTAGTCAGCATATATATACACCACATTCCCAATAGCTTTCAAAGTATAAAAAAATTAGCTGTATTGCATATCTTACTTGACCTCTGTCACAAATGGCTCGTCATCCACATCTGTGGTTGATACTTGGTCCTCCTTGGGGTCTTGCCCATTCTCGCAATTCAGCCCCAGCGTCTTTGACGTAGGGTCGACATCGCGGATGTCGCCAGAGGGAATCGACATGCGAAGTGCTCGCCACTGCAGCAGATCCACCACCCCCCGCTCCTTGAGCGTCAGGAAACTCATAGTCTTGGTCGCTTCTGCAGAACCTCGTCAGCTTGCCCAGCGTGTCCTTCAGCGTCACGCTCTGCGCCTCGTTACCGATGCCCTCCAGCGACTCGACATCAGTTGCCCACACCTCCTCCAGCCCGGCCGAGCCCATAGGTACACCCGAAGCCCCGATACTGTACGTCACGCACCTCAAAGAACGACTGCGCTGCCGACTGCATCTCGTCGACCAGCTCCGGCATCGGCACCCCCTCGAATGGCTTACACGACCCGGCCTTCCACCTGGCCCAGTCGGCCTCGTGCATCAGCATAAACACTGCGGCTCTGCGGAACGTGCCGCGGTCGCGGGGCATCGTCAATAGCTGGTTTCCGGCGCGCTCGCTCAAATCCCGCAACGTCTGCTCTTCGGCATCGGTAATCTCCATATTCACCACTACGAGCTTATTCACTGCGGCTTCCTTCAGCCTCTCAAAGTTCTCGCCTGCCATTCGATAGCGCGTACTTTGTGAAGATTAGCAGCTGCACCAGAATCTGGCACTTGAATTGCGGGTCACCTGAACTGTAGCCAGAGGAGCCGCGGCGAAGTCAGATACTTTAGCGGAGCCGTGTCGTGCATGGCTGCCGTGGCTGTCGCCTGTGGCTGATTCTTGTGCTCGACCTTGCGGAACTCCTCAAGCGCTAACTTGGCTGCTTTGACAAAGCTGTCAAATGACTCGGGCCGGTTCTTAAACACTGACTGCGGATTCGCAAAGCACTCTTGCAATGACCAGAACGACCGATACAGCTTCTCTTCCCGGCCCCCTTCGTCGAGCCCTGCTGTGTCGATTGCTGGGATATTTGAGGTGTCGAAATCACCGCGCACATTGACACCCGAGCGCTCGGACAGCGGGAAGCTGTTGGCAATGAAAATCTGCACGCTGCCAGCAAACTCGCCCATTGTTGCGTGCGGAATGCGTCGCAGCAAGCTATTGCAGATTTTGAGCATCGCCACGCCCTTTCCGGTGGTCTCCGCCATCACCTTGCGCACCAGCGCTGTCCGCGTTTCCAGGAACCCAAACAGCTCCTGGGCAACTTCGATGGACACCGAGTCCATGGTCTCGATCTGTGAGCGAAAAGACAAATGCTGGCTCGAGTGTACTGTCGCTGCAGAGAAGGATGGCAGTGTCGAGCAGTGCCTTAATTTCACTCAGAGCCGCCTGTGCTTCCGGGTGTTTTCGCCAGCTGCTCAGTGATGTCAGATGCCAGAGTGTGAAATGCGTACTCGAAATCGCGCTTGACTGTTTCGCCTTTCGGACTCAGGGCTTCGCGGATAGCCTTGGCTGCAGGCTCAATAGCGTCTACACTCGGCTCATCTGACTCAGCCACGCTGCGTTCCAGAGCCAGGCGCGCAGCCTGCTGGATCAACTCTTGGTAATGCTGTACTTGGTTCATGGGTGTGATGCGGGAAGCGGGGATATACTAGTTGACCAGACTCAGCTAATCTTGCGTTTATTTTGGAATACAATCAAGTACTTTGAAGGTGGACCCGTGCCATTTTGGGACTCGACTGCCGGCTGTCAAGAATCGAGGTTTCCGTTTTCCCCTCCCCATGACCAGGGCGCTGCATGGCAGCATTCACTGGGTCGCTCGCCCCTTGAGCGGCTGCAGAATCCAGATGCTTGGTCATACGGAGTTCCTGTTCTGCGACCACTGCGGCATGGAGAGAGTCCCTGGAGGTATCAAATAGACATACAGCCCGCTCTTTCGCCTCTTTCTAGCTCTCTTCGTCCTAGCGTGCTTTTTACCTTTCTACGTTATTGAGCAACCGAAGGATGAATACACCCATTTATTTTCCACTCTTGCTATTTCAGCTACCCACGTTGGCATCCTACTTGATGCTGGATTGCTTGCTGCAGTGGTACTCTGGGTTCCCCGCAAGGGCCTAGTTCAGCCAAGCATCCGCTTCCAAATCACCAGCGGTGTAATTTCTCTTCTCAGCGCGCTGGCAATAGTGGCTTTCAGTCAACATAGGCCATATAGGCTCAACACTGTCCCTCCTGGCTGCTGTCACACTGTGTGGACAGACGATGAGATATGGCACTGCATCCTCCTACCTTGCACTCCTGCACCTTGCACGCTTATTCCGCTTGGCGTTTTCTCCTGTGTCACATGTGGTTCCAGGCCTGTACATCGCAATGTCTGCATATGCCCTGCTTGCTTGGATGCTACTTGCTCCATCGGACCAGCGTCTAGTTGCTCGACATGTCCGAGGTGTGCTCTGTCTAGACACATATTCCTTTGCCCAGATGTGCAGTAAGCGTGTTCCCACCTTTGATGATATCGATGATCCCACAGTTAGCCAGAAACTGGCTGATTCTATTGCAGAGATTCAGTTCGACCCCAGCAAAAGGTATTTTGTTATCCGCGGCCTGCTCTCTGCGACATGGAGACATACAGTTGTCATGACCGGGCTAGACACACTTGTTGGCATGGCGCCGCACTACCAAAGCATTGTCCTGGCCAAGATCCTAGAGGCTATTGACCACAAGGAAGTAACAAATCATTCGGAGATACTGAGACTCTGGGCTCTATGGTCACTTCTATCTCTGTATTCCATTGGCAAGAGCTATCTATCCCGTTTGGAGAGTTACCACAAGGACATGATAACAGCAGCCATGCGTACCAAGTTGCTGCGCATTTTTACAGCTCGCCACGACTGTCCAAGGATGCAAGAGGTATTCGATAGGGCCTTCTGGTACAAAATGCACGCGACCACTACCGGCATCCCGATGCTTCTCTATATCCTCAGTAAGACCCTGGCAAACTCGATCAACATTTGGGTCCTGTCCACCAAAATTGGATGGCGCGCTGTTATTCCGATTGCTGTGACGGCGTCATATTCCATCTCATCGCATTGGATAACGGCTAAAACGAACGAGTTCAACAAACAGAATAAGATCAAGCGGCAGCCACGGTTTTACACGAACTTTGGCACCATGGCAGCCAACATGAGGACAATCAAGTTTTATGGCTGGGAGCGTGCGTTCTACAACGTCCGCGCAGATGATTATAACGGCAATATTGCAGTACCAACTGCGCTGCGCCTACTGGGCTTTACCATCGGACTAATTGGCGGGTCGATTTCACAGGTGGCAGCGGCGCTGACAGTGATTTCGTACTTGCAGTCATCAAACACGCTCTCGTACCCAGATATCCTGCTTGTCATTTCGTCCACAGCTGCGTTGTCAGAACTCGTTTTGTCTGTTGCTGGAACACCAGAGGTGCTTCAGCGAATGCGCAAGAACGAGGAAGATATTGCGAGACTGATCGTTGAGCCTGTGCAAACATTTCTGGATCATGGACCTCTGAGCGCTACCAAGGCCATTGAAATGAGCAACTGCGAGTTCCAGTGGGGCGAAGGCAAATTCTCGCTGAAGCCAATCACCCTAAATATTGCTGCTGGCGAGTTGATAGTCATCATGGGCAGTGTTGGCTCAGGCAAGTCATCGCTGGTGTCGGCACTATGTGGCTCTATGCAGCTGACAGGTGGTGATGGCTGTATTTATGGCCGTATCGGGTATGTCGGCCAGAAGCCCTGGATCATGAATGCCACGTTTCGCGAGAATGTGGTTTTTGGGCGCGAGTACGACGAGGCATTCTATCAGGAGGTGCTTGTGGCATGTGCGCTGATCGAGGATGTCAAAGGGTTCCCAGCAGGGGACATGTCTGAGATTGGCCACAAAGGCATCAACCTGTCGGGCGGACAAAAGACACGGCTGGCGCTGGCCCGTGCAATCTACTCGCGTGCAGATGTGTATATTATGGACGACATTCTCGCTGCTGTTGATGCATATGTAGAGCGACACATTGTTGACAACGTGCTGACTGGACACGGGATAATTAGCAGCAAGACACGGATCCTGGTAACCCACTCTGAGCATATTGCTCCACTAGCCAGCAAGTTTATCACAATGACTGATGGATGTGTGGAAGTCGCAAGCCAGGTCCCTATTACAGTCTCTGCCAGTTCACCCCAGTCACCCATCCAACCTAATGGCGGCAGCAGCAACAATAGTAGCGAGGGCGGGCAGGGGATGTTTACCGCCAACCCAGAAGAGAACATGCAGGCCTTTGAGTGGCCATATATCTGGAGGTACCTGGCGATGAGTGGGTACAGCGGTGTTGGCATCTCTCTCCTGATTCAGGTTCTCAGTACCTATGCGATATTCTATGTCGAGAACTTGCGCATGGATCTGCTGTCGGACAAGAACCACGATACTATGATGCGATCACTGCAGCAGTACCTGGTTGCCGACGCCCTTGTTGACGTGTTCCGTCTGCAGATCCACCAACTTGAAATCTGGATTAGAAGACGGATCTGGTCACAGCGCGTCAATGAAACTACTCGTGTGGCAATACTTGGCGTTCTGCTCCATATGCCACTGTCACTGTTTGAGAGCCTCCCTCGACATCTTACCCACAGTTTGTTTCGCATGGACCGAAATGTTCTTGGATTGCTGTTGCCACAACTCCTATGCGCTAAGGCTGAGACAGTTTTCAATGCTGGCTATGTGATAGCGTCTGTCATTCGCCGACTGCCAGTGATTTTCCTTTTCGCACTACCGACAATCTGGATTACATACTTAGTCAGGCGTCTGTGTACGGCGGCGCGCGACAATCTATGGAAGATGCTCAAGTCAAGCACGCGCTATAACCCCTATGGTCTGACAGCAGAGGTTTGCATTGGCAGCGACATGATGCGACTGAATGGTGTGCTAGAGCCGTATCTCAACAGATGCACCTCACTGTTCGTCGATGGATGGCTACTGGATATCAAATGGCGGCTTCCTGATACATTTGAGGCTGTGGTGCGAGATCTGAGTATTGCCGGCATGAACTCTGTTGTGCTGCTGTTCAATATCTGGCGGAGGCTTGATCCAAATAGCACACTAACACCGGGCGAAGTTGAAATGATGATGCGGCTTTCAGAGCAGTTCCTACACCGCCTGCGCCAGATGCTTGGCATAGCAACCAACCTAGACAATCACTTGCCGAGCCTAGCCCGCTATTACACATACCAGGAGCTACCGCGCGAAGAGCTTGGCAGAAGCACGGGTGCCTCGTTGCCAGAGATTTGGCCATCGGAGGGGACAATTGAGTTCCAGGACTACAGCATGCGCTACCGCAAGGACCTAGACTTGGTGCTTAACCAAGTTACATTTGCGGTGAGACGGCAGGAAAAGATTGGTATTGTCGGGCGCACTGGTGCTGGCAAATCGTCGTTGACCCATGCTCTGATGCGCATGGTCACGCCAGCGAGCGGCTCTGTATATATTGATGGTGTCGATATTTCGAGTATTAATCTTAGCGCCTTGCGCTCATCAATCAGCATCATCCCACAGGACCCAGCTCTGTTCAACGGCACTATCCGCGAAAATATGGACCCACTCCACGAGTTCACAGATAGGCGAGATTTGGGCTGCCATCCGCCGTGGCAAAATAGAGGACTATAGTCAACACACCGACCGAGCTGTACCGCACTGACGACCAAAACAGCGGCCCATGGGTTGAGGGCACAGGTCTGGACAAATGGGTGGAGGATGGCGGCAAGAACTTCAGCATCGGACAGCGCCAGCTTGTTAGTCTGTGTCGCGCACTGTTGTGGAAGCGCAAAATTCTGGTTCTCGATGAAGCAACAGCGAATGTTGACACAAAGGACCGACCAGATCATGCAGCGTGTTATCCGCGAGGAGTTCAGGGACTGCACGATCCTGACCATTGCACACCGACTCAGAACTGTCATGGACAGCGACCGGATCCTGGTCATGGATCAGGGCAGAGTCGCTGAATTCGACACTCCGGCCAGCCTGCTAGCCCGAGACTCGCTGTTCAAGAGCCTGGTCGAGAGCATGGAACTGAACGAGAAGCGCTGATAAGCGCACGCGATGATGGGCATGCTGTATCAGGGCTTTCCGCCATCTCTTTGCCGTGGAGTTCACATGGTCGCATGTGGTCGGATCTTCAAGCTAACCCGCGGGTAGCAATCGTCATTAGTGTGCAAAAATCCTATTTTTACTTTTTTCTTGGCCTAGCGCGAGCCATCCTATTGGCCCACCAGTGGCGGCCCATTGAGCCCACCCAGACTGCGAGGGAGCGAGCGCCACCAGCAATCAATGGGCTTGTCCCCTTCTCTCTTTCTCTTTGTCTAGCTTTTTTATTCCTCTTATTGTATTCGCAGCTCAGAACCTCCCCTCTTTTCATCTACTTAACGGTCCTTTTTACTTTCGTTTACGAAACACGGCGAGCTTGCTTTTATTTTCCCTTTTCCTTCCGTACCTTTTTATTTTCGCATCTTTTTTGTTCACGCTATCGTTCTCTTTGTTTTCCAACTCTGGCAGCAGACACGCCTGGACGCATATACACACATAATCCACAGCCATAATAATGTCGACGGGGTCATCAAGCACCGTTGACGCTATCATCAAGGGCATTTTCTCGGGCAGCCTCACAGATGCCAAATACCAGTATCTGTCGATTATCGGTCTGCTGTACCAGGTAGGCATTAACATTGCTATTGGCGCTGGCGCCTTTCTAGTATTTGTGGTGCTCCGACCGACTAATGCCCGGGTATACGCGCGCCGCTACAAGCACATGAAGGGCAGGTAAGTCGCCGAGAGTGCCTGTGGGGAGGGCTGGGTGCTTTTCTTTCCAGGCTCACGGGGCATCCTGGGTGGTGCAGCGGGATGAACTGTGAAAATATGGAATGGATGGGGATCGTGGGGACAGATGAGCACAGTGTGAGCAGGGCGAGCACAGAGCGAGCAAAGAGCCTGCATCTACTGTGAACGAAAACGAAAATAAAGTCCGAAATGTCCACCCATCCGGGTTACTAAAAATACTTGCTTTTTTCCCCTTCCGCTTTCCGAGTAGCCGACGCCCGCCTAAAATCGGAAAGGGGTACTTTGCGTGGGCGCCTGTGCTGTGGCGGGCTGACGAGCAGTATATTTTCGACAACATTGGGCTGGACTCGGTGATGTTCTTGCGGTTCTTCAAGCTCGGGATCATTCTGATGGGCATATTCATGGATTATCGGCACCTGCGTCATCCTGCCGCTCAACTTTGTCAACGGCAACAACGAGTTTGTGACAGGCGATCTGGGAAAGTTCCTGCTTACCTGGATCACGTTCTACCACATCACCGACTTGAAGATATTCTGGCTGCATCTTGCAGCCGCGTACGTGTTCACCAGTGATTGTGCTTTACTTTATTTGGCGCGAGCTGCGTGCCTTTATCGTTTTGCGCCAGAGGCACTTTGCGTCGGACACGTACCAGCGCCTGACTGCAGTCGCGCACATCTGATGGTTACGCGTGTTCCCGACGACCAGCAGAGCGACGAGGCCCTGAACTCATTCATAGCCAACCGCTGCACGTCCGTGCTGCCCACCCAGGCATCCATTGCGCGCAAGCTGGGCCAGCTCCCGACACTGATTAATGAGCACGAGCAGCTGGTGCGGAAGCTGGAGAAGGTGCTGTACAAATACCTGGCAACGGGCAACATCGGCCAGGCGCAGCGGCCGCAGGTCAAGGTCGATGGCGCAATGGTAGATGCGAATCGAGCACTACACGGTGGCCATTGAGGAGATTGAAAACACAGTCAACCAGGTGCGCCGCGAGAACCACACGTTCAAGCCCACCACGGTTGGGTTTGTGTCGTATGTCAGCCCGCTTGCTGCCCACGATGCAATGCGCGGGCTGAAGAATGTGTCTCCGGCAGTTGTAAATCTGGCGCCGCACCCAAAGGACGTCATCTGGACCAACGCCCAGATGCCAAAGTCTGTCCGCATCGCGCGTGTGTGGAGCGCTCGTGCCATCTCGGTGCTGTTTTGCTTTGTCGCCTTCTGGCCGGTAGCAGCACTGACGTTTATCGGCGATGTCACCAATATCCAGGCGCTGTGGCCTAGCACTGCCGAGTTCTTTCGCCGGAATGATTTCATCTCAACCATCTGGCAGACGACATTCTCGCCGCTCATCCTGACGCTGTACTATATTGCCGTGCCGCACGTGTTCCGTGCCATCAGCCGCTACCAGGGCATCCCAACCAAGACCGCGGTCGAGCGCGCAGTGGTCAAAAAGATGTACGTGTTCTACATCCTCTCCAACCTCATCGTGCTCACGCTGGTCGGGTTTGTGGTGCGCGTGGTGTTCGCCAAGCAGAACTTCAAGGACAGCATCACCACGCTGCCGGCACAGTTTATATCGGCGACTCAACAACAAGAACCAGTTCTGGACTGCCTACGTGTCGCAGAGGGGAATGAACGCAATGATCGAGTTTGCGCAGCCCATCTCGCTGATCATGATTTTCATCAAGCGCTACACCCGTGACCTGACGCCGCGCGAGCTGCGCGACCTGACGCAGCCACCCGATCTCGACTACGCGCCTATCTACTCACTGTATCTGTGGATCTACACCTATCAGCATGTTCTACTCGGTGTACGCCCCGATCACGTTCCCGTTCGCATTCCTGGTCTTTGTGCTGGCCTATTGGGTGTACAAGTATGCTGTGATGTACGTGTATCAGACAAAGTTTGAGACGGGAGGCGACATGTGGCAGTCAGTCGTCAACCGCATGGTTGTGTCGCTGGTTCATCTTCCAGGTCTATCTGATAGGCTGTATCAAGGTCCGGCATCAGCGAGTTCACCGACCGTCCTATCGAAATGGCTCGCGCACAGTACATCGTATATGCACTTATTCCGCTGCCCGTGCTGACATGCATCACTGGCTACATGATGATGAAGAAAACCAACCCGCAGGTCCAGTACATGCAGCACACCCCCGAGACCGAGAGGCTTCAACATGCAGCGGAGTATGGCCGAGGATGCCAAGGAGTCGCTAGGGAGACCGCTTCCTCCACCCGATGTTCTCGCAGCAGCTGACCACACCCGTTGTCGACCGCCGCGTGCGCCATCTGCTGTCCAAGGTATACCGCGGCCGCACATCGCTCTTTGTCGACCCCAACGGCCCTCCACCCACGCAGGACAGCATCGAGACCAAGTTCAGCGGCGGCACGCTCACCAGCAACCCGTCGTTCATCTCGGGCGGCAATACACTCGAGGCACAGAGCATGATGGACGCGCGCGACCGCCGCGACTTTGACGGCGCGTCGACGGCGATGGGAATGTATTCGAGTGGACCGGGATCCCGTCGGTATTCGATGGACAGCAATACGACGAATAGGCGAGATGGTGGAGCTGCTGAGCATGGGCAACCAAGGGCACAATGCTGCCTTGAGCCCGTCCGACAGCCGCGCCAACCTGCTTGGCAACGCACAGCCGATTTCGCTGTCCCGGTCGCCATCGCCACCGTCGGCCAATGGATCGAGTCTGTCGTTCGGTAACCTCGATGACCTGGATAAGCCGCACGATATGAATCGCGACACCTTCGATCCGATTGATCTCTACGGTGGCGGTGATTCCAGCACCAACGAGAAGGGTCATATCGGTATGCTCCAGCAGCAGCAGCCGCCTATGCCTTACGCCAACATGGCTCCTCCTCGCTACGGCCAGCCTGGCCCAAGACCGAACATGATGTGGCCTGGTCCTCCTGGCGGTCCCAACACGCGCCCAGGCCCGCCTGGTCCGAGACCAAACATGATGCAGCCTGGGCCTCACGGCCCTCCTGGTGCACGGCCCATGGATGCGCCCAAGACCACAGATCCGTCCCAACTACGGCCCGCCCCAAAACAACCACAGCCCGCCGCCCAACAGCTTCAACCAGCGCCCGCCTCGCCCGCAAGTCCGGCCTGGGCCAATGATGCGGCCCCCGCCTCAGCAGCAGTTCCAGCATACACAGCAGCAGTTCCAGCACACACAGCAGCCACAGCCAGGCCCTCCCCCGCCGTCGCAGAACCGCAACGTTCCTCGGTGGGACTAGAAAAAATACCACTTTTGTAGACTGACATTGCAATAGACTTGCACGTGACTGAATGTTGCTAGGAGTGATGAGCATGGTGCCAAGAGCGCTTGCGGACCTACTTCATTTCCGCATTCAATTCGTTATTTAATTCCAGCACCTTCTGCTCTGCCACCTGGAAAATGAACATGCGGTCTGGTCGTTTTGGAGGATATGCACAGCCGGCATCCGGGAGACATGCAGAGGAGCCAGACGAAATCCCGCTGCGGCGACTAAGCTCGGCGTCTGGACGCGACTCGCTGTCAGACTCAATCGGCACGCCGCTCATGGCGACGCAGGACGATATGCACAATGACATGGTAGCACTTAACCTTGGGCAACCGCCAGTATCGAGCAACCGAAACACAAAGGACAATGTCGCGAACAGAGCCCCTGAACCCGCTCGACAACTCGTACAAGACAAAATTCGCCGCCAATGTCGTCAGCAACAACAAGTACAACTTTGTGACGTTCCTGCCGCTGGTGTTGTTCGAGCAGTTCAAATTCTTTTTCAACCTGTACTTTCTGCTGGTCGCCCTGTCGCAGTTTGTGCCGCAGCTGCGGATCGGCTACCTTGTCACGTACGTAGGCCCGCTGGTGTTTGTCTTGGCGGTTACTATGGCCAAGGAGTGGCACGACGACCATGCGCGCAAGAAGCGCGACAAGGAGGCCAATTCACAAAAGTATGCGCGCCTGTCTTCCGACGGCCGCGAGGTGATTCCCAGTGCGAAGATCCGGGTCGGCGACCTGATCATCATTGACAAAGGACCAGCGCGTGCCTGCAGACATGGTGCTGCTGCGGACCACCGAGGCGTCCGGTGCTTGCTTTATTAGAACCGATCAACTGGACGGTGAGACCGACTGGAAGCTAAGGATTGCCGCTGCTCCGACGCAGAAGCTAGCCGACGACATGGACATTTTTAGCCTGCACGGAGCTGTGTATGCGGGTGCACCGCACAAGGACATTTACGATTTCGTGGGGAACCTGACTATCGAGCGCGGTCTTCCAGGCTCGTCCGGACCGGTCACAACGCCGCTGGGCGCTGAAAACTACGCTATGGGCCAACACTACTCTGGCCTCGGGCACTGCGATCGGCTACGTAATCTATACGGGCAAGGACACGCGCGCAGCGATGAACACGGGCCAGGCCAAGACCAAGGTTGGAATTCTTGATACAGAGGTCAACCGGCTGTCGAAAGATCCTGTTCTTAGTCACGCTAATCCTGTCTCTGGCTATGGTCGCCCTGGACGGATTCAAAGCGGTTTGGTACGTGACACTGTTCCGATTCCTGATTCTGTTCTCGTCCATCATCCCGATCAGCTTGCGTGTCAACCTCGACATGGGCAAGACATTCTACTCGATGGGCATTGAGCGCGACAAGGAGATCCCCGACACTGTTGTCCGTAACAGTATGATCCCCGAGGAGCTTGGGCGGATTGAGTACTGTCTGACCGACAAGACCGGTACCTTGACTCGCAACGAGATGGAGCTGAAGCGGATCCACATGGGTATCATGGCATACACACTCGAGACATCTGATGAGGTGACCCGCCATGTTCGCAACAACCTGAAGGACAAAGTCTTGGAGTCGGGACTCGGCAGGCCAAGCAGCGGATGTGGCAGAAACCAAGCCCGCGGCATTGGCAGTCGGCCACGGAAAGGCACGCCGAGATATGCCACAGCGCGTTTTTGACATGGTTGAGAGTCTAGCGCTCTGCCACAACGTCACGCCGACCGCCGACTATGCCCATGACGATGCATCGGTTGCTGTCAGTAAGCCCATGTCGTACCAGGCGTCTGTCTCCAGACGAAGTGGCCATTGTCAAGTGGACCGAGCACGTGGGCGTGGTTCTGGCCGAGCGCACATTGACCAGCATCACATTGCGGCTAGGACGCCCTGATTCCAGCCTCACAGAGCGGCTACGGCATAGCGCCTACGCTGGCATACGATATCCTGCAAGTGTTCCCGTTCACCAGCGAATCGAAGCGCATGGGGATTGTTGTCCAGAGCCAGCACTCTGGCGAAATCTACTTCATCCAGAAAGGCGCCGACACTGTCAATGTCCCGGATCGTGCAGTATAATGACTGGCTCGATGAGGAGTGTGGAAACATGGCCCGCGATGGCCTGCGCACGCTGGTTGTTGGCCGTAAGCGCCTGTCAAAGGAGGCGTACAACCGGTTTGAGCGCGCATACCAGCAGGCAAAGGTGACTGTTCTGGGCCGTGCTGAGGCCATGCAGCAGGTTGTTGCTGACTATCTCGAGAGCGACCTGGAGCTCCTGGGTCTCACTGGCGTTGAGGATCGGCTGCAGGACAATGTGCCAACCACTCTGGAGCTGCTGGGTAATGCAGGCATCAAGGTGTGGATGCTGACAGGCGACAAGGTCGAAACGGCCACCTGCGTTGCAATTTCAGCCAAGCTAGTTAAGCGCGACCAGCTCATCCACGTTATCTCTGGGCTAAAATCGGCGCACCAGGTAAACGACGCGCTCGAGACCGTTGCGCACAGTAGGCGACTGCTGCCTGATTATTGACGGAGACTCGCTGCATGTGGCGCTGGATTTCTTCCGTGATGAGTTCATCGAGATTGCTGTCAAGCTGTCCGCTGTCGTCTGCTGTCGCTGCTCGCCCACACAAAAGGCCGACATCGTCCGGCTTATCCGTCGCTTCACAAAGAAGCGGGTACTGGCCGTCGGTGACGGAGGCAATGATGTCAGCATGATCCAGGCCGCAGATGTCGGCGTGGGCCTGGTTGGCAAGGAGGGCAAGCAGGCATCGCTGGCTGCTGACTTTTCAGGTTATGCAATTCTATTACCTAGGTCGGCTGCTGCTGTGGCATGGCCGCAACAGCTACAAGCGATCAGCCAAACTGGCCCAGTTCGTTATCCATCGCGGCCTGATCATCTCCATCATGCAGGCTGTATTTTCTGCGCTGTTCTACTTTGCGCCGATCGCGCTTGTTCCAGGGAATGCTGCTTGTAGGGTACACCACGGTGTATACGATGGCGACCCGTGTTTTCGCTGGTGCTCGATCGCGATGTGAGCGAGGACATTGCCATGCTATACCCAGAGCTCTACGCCGACCTGACCTAAAGGGCGCTCGCTGTCGTACAAGACTTTCTTTACATGGCTGCTGATCAGCATCTACCAGGGCGGCGCGCTTATGATGATAGCCGTGTGGCTTGTTTGACACAGAATTTGTGCATGTCGTGTCAATTGCCTTCACCGGACTGGATCCTGAACGAGCTGCTCATGGTCGCCCTTGAGATTCGCACATGGCACCGGCTGATGATCTGGTCTATTCTAGGCTCGCTTGTCATCTACATTGCGTCAATCTGGGTGCTGCCTGCATATTTTGACGCTTCATTCATTTTGTCTGGTGCATTTATCTGGAAGACGCTGGTGATTACTGCTGTGTCGTCAGTACCATTGTATATCATTAAGCTCATCAGTCGCATATATGCTCCACCATCGTATGCTAAGCTCACGTAAATAAATCATACTGTGCTTTTGGGAACCGTGTATATGACAGTATCCATCTTGAATGCAGAAACATAATAGAGCAGTCATGCATATAAAATGGTGGCTCATGTAGATATTGCCAAGTGGTGCTAGTGTATTTTCTACAAAGCATCGACACAGGAGCGCTAGATTAAATAGCGAAGACATATGTACCTATATTACCACATGCCGACTCCAGCCAGTCCAGTTTCTTATCCGATTTCCCCTGGTTTGCTATCCGCAAGCACAATACAGCGCAGATATCAGGCAACCACAAGCTCATTCGCCGTCGTTGGTTATTATTTTTCGCCATATCTTCTACCAACCCCTTGCTGACGCAGTCATCTACTCTACTTGGCTCACAGGCACGACGTAGACATGATACAGAAATGGCCACACCACCTGGTGTTACAACACTCCACTTCCTGGAAGCTCTGTCAAGCAAGACTGCATCTTGCCGAATTGCTATGGCTTGTGAAGGTTTTTTGCGCTTATTGTGATGGATATATTGTCCTATTGTTCTTGAGCATTATCCCTTGGCCTCCTACCACTACACGGCTGACTGATACCAACAGCGGTTATTGTCTTGCCAATGCCCCTGCAATAAGTGCGAGGGCAATTGAATGGACCTTTCGAGAGCTCTCCATGGTAACTTTGAACAGAGTTGGAGTGGACTACTTGCGCACTTTTCCCCTGTTTTTTCTTTGGGATGCCACCATTCTAGCTATTCGCGATAATACAGTGATAGATGTAGACTATGAAACCCCCAGGTATCGAAAAGCTTGTCAGCGCACAAGATTAGACACAACAGTAAGCGAGGGTCGGTTTATCTGCCCAATATATCCACTATACCTATCATACCAAAAACTATCATTGTAGTAGCAGTGCTTGCGGGTTGGGAATGGCTGGTTCCCAAGGTATACAATACTGGGCTGGCAGTGGCTGTGAGTGGATTGTCACTTGAATACTTGATGCTGAAACTAGTGGAGTGGGTGGCTTTATGGAGGAAGGGCTTGAGTTTAATACTGTTGACATTCGGGTCCGGAGTCCCCTGCGCCACCATAGACAAGACCGAAACGCATACGTACAAAGGCCCAGACAGACGACCAGCCTTCCTTCTGCCTGACATACGTGTCGCTTCATGGCTGAAAGGTGTTATCCAATCTAGTGGTAGCATAAATGTATCCATATAACCTTCAACCAACAATAGTCATTTGAAAGTTACAAGCTATCTAGGAGGCGTGTGTATATGCGAAAAGTCCTCAGTGTTGGGGACCATGGCGCCTAATTCTACCTGATGGTTAGTCTACTGACAAGAGTTTGTAGCATAGAAACGCTGTTTGGCTTGCCGCAGACACTTGGTACAAAACAGCTTGCCCAATATATGCCACTACTTCAACACAATCTAGCAGAAAATACACAGTACATCTGAGGCACACAGGTCGCAGCTGAGCTTGGTCAAAACACCCTAGTCAAAAAGCAGCCAAGCGATGGCATTTCCCAAAGGACTTGTATATAATCTGCATTTAGGTTGGAGATGCTTCTCTTCCTTTCAGCACAAGTCATATCTCCATAACAGTTTGCAACAATTTCAAATAGCATCTCTTTGACTTCTGAGGAATCTAATTATCTACAGCCTGTGCTACTCAAGCACTCCAACTTTTCTGTCGAGGTACCTATTGGTACTGAGCTTTTGTCCAAGCGCAACCAGGCTGGATTCTCACCTTCACTGATGAGCCATTTGCCATTACCAGCAAAGTAGAGCTTACCAGCCTTCTTCATTCATTATTTTATGATGCCAGATGCCTTTCTTCTATCAGCGCTCATCGTAGCCCACAAAAAAAACAAGCAAAAGGAAGCTGTGCGTGCCTAAAAAGATCTTGGTCAAGCTGTCTGGGAGGAAGGTACTAGGTAGCATGTTCTCCTAGTGATAAACTATAAAGGTTCTGATAAAACCGAATGTAAGCGTTCACAAAACTATATTGGAAAACCAGGAGGAATCGATGCTGCGCTTGTGACATCGTTTGTGTTTAGGCCAGGTTGGTGCAGAGCTGCTTGTTCTGCACCCAGACTATGTGCATGCAGTGCTGCCCAAGGATGTGCTGGATAAATATCGTCTTAAGGTTAAGGAGTGTGAACAGAAATCTAATCGCTATTGGCAAGAGTGTGCTTGGAAATCACACATTTGTCCTAATTCAAGGAAGCCCCGCCGTTTGCACCTGACCAAGAGTCACGGGTGTATATGGACCTGGCTGCTCGGACAAAGTACGACCGGTCTCCAAAAGGTAACGCTTTTAAGACTGCCATTTTTATATTTTTATTCGCATTAAACATCTTTGCTATATGATCCTTATCCTCATCCGCATCGTCCGAATCGCTGCCATATGTCCTTAGCATATCCGAAAACACTAATGGTGGCCTCTTTAGTATCTGCCTTTGGCTTGACACATGTGACGTCCAGACCAGTCAGCGACCTGGTCATTGTGGCTCTGTCTTGTATTATACCGCGCTTCACTATATTCTTCATCTGCTTCTTTTTGTCCTGCTGCTGCCGCGGGATCTTCGACGGATCAAAGTCTGGCAGGAATATATTTGTTGAGGATCTTGTGCTCAGACATGGCAGTGAAAATGTAGACTATTGAATATTGACTGCACTTTGGTGACGTACGCTATGTGTGGGGAGCAAACAATATATAGTGATAGCTGAGGAATGTGGAATGAAGGGACTGTCAAGGAAATTGGGAGGAGGAAACGGAATATCTGTGGGCTGCTGGAAAGCAAAGTGCTGTGGGCGGGAGATGTGTTGTTCATACAGGACATGGGGCAGTCGATGCACATGGCATAGCAGTCAGCAGAGGACTGGAGCAAACTTGCCAAAGAGGGAATGTGTGCCTGCTGGTGGAAATTCATGTGGTTGGTACCACAGCATCCACTACCTCAAGTGGTGAAATGGAATAGAAACTGAAATTTAGGTAAAAAAATAAAAGGATTGAAAAATCACTCAGTCGCACCTTTGACCTCGTCGTCATCCTTGTGCTTGTTGATCTGCTTCTGACGAGCTCGCATCAGGCGCTCACGCACATTGCGAGAGAGCTTCAATGACGCCTTTGATGATGACGATTGGTGTCCGTGTGCAGTGGCGCTGTCTCCACCACCAGAGGAGCTCTTTGCTGGCATGGAAGCACCGCCTCCAACCTGCTGCGCCTTGGCCAGTGACGGTGAGGAGACAGGCGATGCCTTTACCATCAGCATCGGGTCAGATGAGGATGCTGCTGTAGCCGAGCTACTGACAGGCATCGTCTCAGCTCTCTGGCTAGCGAGGCGGTGGCTATAAAACTCCACATTAGGGTCTGCTGGCTCCGTTGACACCTCGCCTGTGTCGTTGAACATGGTAGTGGACTGGATCGCACGCAGTGCATTGGCATCGCCTGCTGCAGCGGCCGCCATGGCAGCCGCGATATCGGCAGTCGTCTTAAGCTGTGAGTAATTGGTAGCAGCAGCAGCCGACACTGCCTCGCCCGACGCGCTTTGTGCTGGTGTTCGCGGGACTGAACGGCGAACGGGCACGGTTGACCGATGCTGGCGGTGCTGAGCCGCTGCTGAATGAGCCAGTAGCTGTCTGAGCCGTCAGGATGCTTGGCCGCACAGGTGTTGCTACCGACCAGCCGCCATCGGACCGCGACTTGGAGTTGTCGATGGTGGGAGTTCCTCCTTGGGTAGTACCGTAGCTGAAGCTGCTGTGCGCTGGCGCGCCCGGCGGATCGAAGCTGAGCATCGTCGGGTCAATGATACTGTGCCGGGGCAGATCAAGGTACGTGGCCTGAGCTTCAAAACCTTGGCCGCCCATGTTGTAGTCCATCGAGTAGATGCCATCACGGTATGTCGACTGACCATCCATAAAGTCCATCGGGAGCATCCCGGCACGCAAACCACCGCTGCCGCCCATCTTGTTCTTTTGCGACTCACGGTGCGATTTCTCGTAGGCAGCGACCACACGGGCTTGTGGTGAGCTCGAGCTGCGGGTCTGCTTTTGTTTGCCAGACTGCGCCAGCTTGCGGTCGCGGCGGCTCTTGGCTGACTGCGACATGATCGAGTACGAGTTGTAGATCGACCGGTTGTTCAGCTGCTTCATCGAGAAAGTTGCTAGTGTTGTGCTTTTCAAAGTCACGATCAGGTCAGCACCATCTCGGAAGGCTTGAAAGCAGACTTCTTCGGCTGCCTCAGCGATGCCAAGGCTGTTTCAGAGCCGCCGTCGTCATTGCTGCCATCCCCCTCGTTGTCGCTGTTCTCTGCAGAGTCAGTGATATCGCCTGAGCGTTTGCCGTCGGACAACTGCTGCTCCACCCCAGACATCGCATCACCCTTGCGCGTAATGTGCTCGCCATACTCGCGCTTGTACTTCATGACTTGCTTGCGCAGAGCACGGGCCTGCCTTGCGCTGCTGCGACGTCTTTTGCTCACGATCGCCCTTGCGAAATCATGGTAGGCGGTGCATCGCGGTAGCCGACTACTTGCCCCTGGGCTCTTCTTGGCACGCTTTCCAAAGGCAGTGCCCAGGAACGATCGCCGGTACCTCTCCGTATCATCGTCACAGTCATCGCCGTCGTCGTCATCGTCGTCGTCGTCGTCATTGTACCCATCATCGTCGTAGATACCATATGGCACATCGTCCCGACCAAAGTAGTCGCGGGGATGCATCGGCTCCATCTCATCGTCGCTGTCGCTGTCATCGTCATCAGAGTTGGACTGGGAATCAGTCGAGTCGTTTATCGTGTCAACGATGGGCACAATATCGCCGTACTCGTCATACATCCGCGGTTGGAAGCGTGTGATAGTCGTCAGCAGCGTCTCAAACCGCAGGGGCTTGGTGATGTACTCGTCCATCCCAGACGACAGGCAGCGGTCGCGATCTCCCAGCATAGCATGTGCTGTCAGCGCAATAATCGGCGTGCGGAAATCAACGCCCTCACTCTCCTCCCACTTGCGGATCCGCTTGGTGGCCTCAAATCCGTGGACTACTGGCATCTGGATGTCCATCAGGATGATGTCGAACGGCATCGGCACACAGGCAAACTTGGACTTGGGATCGCGCACACCGGCTGGCTTGGTCTCCTCGGGGCTTTCCTCGGTCGTGTTGTTGTACGGATTGTCCTCGTCGGCCTCCTTGTCCTCCGCGTTCGGAATATCGATAGAGTCGAGCACGAGTGGCAGGTCATCAGGAGCCTTGACAGCTGGCGGGTACATGCTGTCAGCAAATACCGTGCCTTCAACGGCCTTGGGCTTGTCGGACTCGCTGCCTTCCTGCGGCTGCCCACCTGCTTCAGCGCTCTGGGACTGGACAGAGGCACCCTCGTTGGCGTCACCGCCATCTCCGGACTCGTCAACTTCAGTGATGCGACTGAGCCCTGGCTCGGCATCGCCGATGAAATCGATGCGCTCATCCGTTGGCGTCGGCTCGTCAGGATCCATGGCAAACGGCGACTTGGACTTGGCACGACTATGCGATGGCCCGCTCCTGTCGTTCTCCGACCCAGGGTTGGATGCGTCCTTCCTGATATTCTTGCCGTATATGTCCATATTGCGCTTCCACGTATCCATGACAGCCTCTACTGCCAATTGCCCATTGGACACGACCTCGACTTTGTGGTTGCACTTTTGCAGGATGCGTAGCGCAAGCTTCTGGTTGACCACATTGTCCTCAGCCAGAAGAATGCGCAGGGGGCGCTTGCGGTACTTGGACAGATCAGGAATAAGCGAGTGTGTCTCGAGGGCTGGCAGCATCGCGCTGGCAAGCTTGCTGTAGTCAAACGGAATGTCAATGTACGAGTTGATGCCGAGCTCAATGATGCGGTTGACGTTGATGCAGCTGTTGCGCGGGTCGGCAAAGTAGACAATGGGCATGAAGTTCAGGTTGGTCAGCCCAGTGGACCGCAACTCATCGGCGGTCTGCATTGTATCGACAATGAATGTGTCAAACATGGGACGGTGCTGTGCTCCGCGCCAAATCAGGCGCTCGGCCTGCTCTGCTGTGTCGACAGTCGCTGTGCTCAGATGGAACGAGTGGAGCATCTCACGCAGCTTAACCACCATTTCCTTGGCCTCCGGGTTGTTGCGGCAGTCGTAGATAACCAGCACATGGCGGTTACGGTAGGGCAGAATGCGACGCTCGAAGAACTCAAAGTTAGGCACAGGTGCCTCAAGCTTGCAGGTGAAGATAAAGTTGGATCCGAGCCCATATTCGCTCTCGACGCGGATGTCACCTCCAAGGAGACGGCAGAGGCTACGCGAGATGCTGAGACCCAGACCCGTTCCGCCGTATCTACGAGTGGTTGAACCGTCAGCCTGCGTGAATGTCTCAAACACGACATCAATCTTGTCCTTGGGGATGCCAATGCCCGTGTCCTTGACTGAGATCTCGAGCGTGAGCTCGTTGCCCTGGCGCTGCAGGCAACGGCAATTAATCGAGATTTCGCCCTCATTGGTAAATTTGACCGCGTTGCCAACCAGATTAGTCAGCACCTGGCGCAGTCGATGCGGGTCGCCGACAACGTTGTCGGGGATATCAGGATCGCACATAAAGAAGACGTTGAGGCCCTTCTGCACCGACTTGATCGACAGAGTCTTCAGCACACTCAGCATGGCGTTGCGCAGCGCAAATGGAATCTGCTCCATGCTCATGCGACCAGCCTCAATCTTGGACAAGTCAAGCAGGTCATTGAGGATTGACAGCAGCGAGTTCGACAGACTCGACACAATCATCAGCGAATCACGCTGTGTGTGCGTCAGGTTGGTCTCCAAGGTCATCGAAGTCATTCCAATGATACCGTTCATAGGCGTGCGCACCTCATGCGACATGTTAGCCAGGAACTCGCTCTTGGCACGGTTGGCTACCTCGGCTGCCTGGCGGGCCTGCATGTTACGCACGATACTCACACGCAGCGATGTCACCATGCGGTTGATCTGTGACTTGAGCGCGTCCATCTCGCCAGATGCGTCAACGGTGATCATCGAGTTAAAGTCACCGCCAGTGGCGGCCGCTGTGATCTGCGCAAACGCACGTACCTGGTTGGTGAGGTTGAGAGCCATGGTGTTGACCTTGGATGTGACCTCCAGCCATGCACCCTCGACGTCGTGGACAAGGGCCTGCACGCCGAGCTTGCCCTCAGTGCCGACCTCGCGGGCGACCTTATTGACCTCAGCGGCGAAGACAGCCAGGCGCTTGACCATGCTGTTAATTGTGTCTTTCAGCTCGCCCATTTCGCCGCTAAGAGGAACAGTGACAAACTTGGTCAGATCACCGGCCGAAATCGCCTTGGTCACCATTGCAATGTCGCGCACCTGGTTTGTCAGGTTATCAGCCATCCGGTTAACGTTGTTGGTGAGCGACTTCCAGGTCCCATCGACGTTGGGAACATTTGCCTGGCCACCGAGCTGACCATCGGTGCCGACCTCCTTTGCGACACGGGACACTTCCTTGGCGAAGATGCTGAGCTGGTCTACCATGGTGTTGATGGTCGTCTTCAGCTCTGCCATCTCACCCAAAGCATCGACATTGATCTTCTGCGTCAAATCGCCGAGCGCAACGGCCTTTGTGACCTCGCTAATAGAGCGCACCTGGTTTGTCAGGTTGTCTGCCATCTTGTTGACGTTTTCGGTCAGATCCTTCCAGGTACCATCGACGTTGGGAACATTTGCCTGGCCACCGAGCTGACCATCGGTGCCGACCTCCTTGGCGACACGGGACACTTCCTTGGCGAAGATGCTGAGCTGGTCTACCATGGTGTTGATGGTCGTCTTCAGCTCTGCCATCTCGCCGTTCAGTGGAATCTCAACTTTGCGCGTCAGATCACCTGCCGAAATCGCCTTGGTGACATTGGCAATATCGCGCACCTGGTTGGTCAAGTTGTCTGCCATCTTGTTGACATTGTCAGTGAGCGACTTCCAGGTGCCGTCAACGCCTTCAACGTTGGCCTGACCGCCCAGCTGGCCATCAGTTCCTACCTCCTTGGCTACACGCGACACCTCAGCAGCGAACGTGCTCAGCTGGTCCACCATCGTGTTGATGGTCGTCTTCAGCTCTGCCATCTCACCGTTAAGATCCGACGACACCTTCTGGCGCAAATCACCAGCAGCAACCGCCTTGGTGACATTGGCGATGTCACGCACCTGGTTCGTCAGATTGTCCGCCATCTTGTTGACATTATCTGTCAGATCCTTCCAGGTACCGTCGACATTCGGGACATTGGCCTGTCCACCGAGCTGCCCATCAGTTCCGACCTCCTTGGCCACACGCGACACTTCGGCGGCGAACGTGCTCAGCTGGTCCACCATGGTGTTGATGGTCGACTTGAGCTCGCCCATCTCGCCATTGAGTGGCACCTCGACTTTAAGGTTCAAGTTGCCTGCTGAAATGGCCTTGGTTACTGTGGCGATATCACGCACCTGGTTGGTCAGATTGGTGGCCATCTTGTTGACATTGTCAGTCAGATCCTTCCAAGTGCCATCGACGCCGTCGACATTGGCCTGTCCGCCCAGCTGACCATCGGTGCCAACCTCCTTGGCCACACGCGACACCTCAGCAGCGAAAGTGCTCAGCTGGTCCACCATGGTGTTGATGGTCTGCTTGAGCTCGGCCATTTCTCCATTCAACGGAATTTCGACCTTACGTGTCAGATCGCCTGCTGAAATGGCCTTGGTGACATTGGCGATATCACGGACTTGGTTGGTCAGGTTGTCAGCCATGGTGTTCACGTTGTCGGTTAGCCCCTTCCAAGTGCCATCGACATTCGGGACATTGGCTTGCCCGCCGAGCTTGCCATCGGTACCAACCTCCTTGGCCACACGCGACACCTCATCAGCAAACGTACTGAGCTGGTCCACCATGGTATTAATGGTCTGCTTGAGCTCACCCATCTCGCCGTTCAGCGGTACCTCGACCTTGCGCGTCAGGTCGCCTGCTGAAATAGCCTTGGTGACATTGGCAATATCGCGCACCTGGTTGGTCAAGTTGTCTGCCATCTTGTTGACATTGTCAGTGAGCGACTTCCAGGTACCATCGACGTTGGGAACATTTGCCTGGCCACCAAGCTGCCCATCAGTACCAACCTCCTTAGCGACACGCGACACCTCAGCAGCGAACGTGCTCAGCTGGTCCACCATCGTGTTGATGGTCGTCTTCAGCTCTGCCATCTCACCCAAAGCATCGACATTGATCTTCTGCGTCAAATCGCCGAGCGCAACAGCCTTTGTGACCTCGCTAATAGAGCGAACCTGGTTGGTCAGGTTGTCTGCCATCTTGTTGACGTTGTCAGTGAGCGACTTCCAGGTGCCATCAACACCCTCGACGTTGGCTTGTCCGCCCAGCTGTCCATCAGTACCGACCTCCTTGGCGACACGCGACACCTCAGCCGCGAACGTGCTCAGCTGGTCAACCATGGTGTTGATAGTGTCTTTCAACTCTGCCATCTCGCCGTTCAGCGGCACCTCGACCTTGAGATTAAGGTTGCCGGCTGAGATTGCCTTGGTGACATTGGCGATGTCCCGCACCTGGTTGGTCAGATTGGTGGCCATCTTGTTGACATTGTCTGTCAGATCCTTCCAGGTACCGTCGACATTTGGGACATTGGCTTGTCCGCCTAGCTGCCCATCAGTTCCGACCTCCTTGGCCACACGCGACACTTCGGCGGCGAACGTGTTGAGCTGGTCCACCATCGTGTTGATGGTGCCCTTCAAGTCACCCATCTCGCCGTTCAGCGGCATCTCGACCTTGAGATTAAGGTTGCCAGCTGAAATTGCCTTGGTGACATTGGCGATGTCTCGGACCTGATTCGTCAAGTTGTCCGCCATCTTGTTGACGTTGTCCGTCAAGTCCTTCCAAGTGCCATCAACATTCGGGACGTTGGCCTGTCCGCCGAGCTTGCCATCGGTACCGACCTCCTTGGCCACACGCGACACCTCATCAGCAAACGTACTGAGCTGGTCCACCATGGTATTGATGGTTGTCTTCAACTCTGCCATCTCACCGTTAAGATCCGACGACACCTTCTGGCGCAGATCGCCTGCTGAAATGGCCTTGGTGACATTGGCAATGTCACGCACCTGGTTCGTCAGATTGTCCGCCATCTTGTTGACATTATCTGTCAGTCCCTTCCAGGTGCCATCGACATTCGGGACATTGGCCTGCCCGCCAAGCTTGCCATCAGTACCAACCTCCTTGGCCACACGCGACACCTCATCAGCAAACGTACTGAGCTGGTCCACCATGGTGTTGATGGTCTGCTTGAGCTCGCCCATCTCACCATTCAGCGGAACCTGAACCTTGCGTGTCAAGTCACCCGCAGAAATCGCCTTGGTGACATCTGCAATGTCGCGCACCTGGTTGGTCAGATTGGTGGCCATCTTGTTGACATTGTCTGTCAGATCCTTCCAGGTACCGTCGACATTTGGGACGTTGGCTTGTCCGCCCAGCTGACCATCAGTTCCGACCTCCTTGGCCACACGCGACACTTCGGCGGCAAACGTGTTGAGCTGGTCCACCATCGTGTTGATGGTGCCCTTCAAGTCACCCATCTCGCCGTTCAGCGGCACCTCGACCTTGAGATTGAGGTTACCAGCTGAGATTGCCTTGGTGACATTGGCGATATCACGGACTTGGTTGGTCAGATTGGTGGCCATGTTGTTGACGTTGTCAGTCAGGTCCTTCCAAGTGCCATCGACATTCGGGACGTTGGCCTGTCCGCCAAGTTGACCATCGGTTCCGACCTCCTTGGCAACTCGGGATACTTCGGCTGCAAATGTGTTGAGTTGGTCCACCATGGTGTTGATCGTGTTTTTGAGTTCGCCCATCTCGCCATTGAGCGGCACCTCGACCTTACGCGTCAGGTCGCCTGCTGAAATAGCCTTGGTGACATTGGCGATGTCTCGGACTTGGTTGGTCAATTTGTCTGCCATCTTGTTGACATTAAATGTCAGATCCTTCCAGGTACCATCAACATTGGGAACGATCGCCTGGCCACCAAGCTGCCCATCAGTTCCGACCTCCTTAGCGACACGCGACACCTCATCAGCAAATACATTCAGCTGGTCCACCATCTCGTTGATAGTTGTCTTCAGATCGCCCATCTCTCCGAGCGCATCGACATTGATCTTCTGCGTCAAATCGCCGAGCGCAACAGCCTTTGTGACCTCGCTGATAGAGCGCACCTGGTTGGTCAGGTTGTCTGCCATCTTGTTGACGTTGTCAGTAAGCGACTTCCAGGTGCCATCAACACCCTCGACGTTGGCCTGTCCGCCGAGTTTGCCGTCAGTTCCAACCTCCTTGGCCACACGCGACACTTCGGCGGCAAACGTGTTGAGCTGGTCCACCATCGTGTTGATGGTGCCCTTCAAGTCACCCATCTCGCCGTTCAGCGGCACCTCGACCTTGAGATTGAGGTTGCCGGCTGAGATTGCCTTGGTGACATTGGCAATGTCACGGACCTGGTTCGTCAAGTTGTCCGCCATCTTATTGACATTATCTGTCAGTCCCTTCCAGGTGCCGTCGACGTTCGGGACATTGGCCTGCCCGCCGAGCTTGCCATCGGTACCGACCTCCTTGGCGACACGCGATACCTCGTCAGCAAACGTACTGAGCTGGTCCACCATGGTATTGATCGTGTCTTTCAGCTCTGCCATCTCGCCGTTCAGCGGAATCTCAACCTTGCGCGTCAGATCACCAGCAGAGATAGCTTTGGTGACATTGGCGATGTCGCGCACCTGGTTTGTCAAATTGTTAGCCATGGTGTTGACATTGTCTGTCAGTCCCTTCCATGTGCCACCCACGTTTGGTACGTTGGCTTGACCGCCAAGCTTGCCGTCTGTGCCGACCTCCTTGGCCACACGCGACACCTCATCAGCAAACGTGTTCAACCGGTCCACCATGTCGTTGATTGTGGTCTTCAGGTCGCCCATCTCTCCGAGCGCATCGACCTTGATCTTCTGTGTCAGATCGCCAAGCGCAACAGCCTTAGTGACGTTGCTGATTGTCCGCACCTGGCTGGTCAGGTTGTCGGCCATGGTGTTGACATTATCGGTGAGCTCCTTCCAGGTACCGTCGACATTCGGGACGTTGGCTTGGCCGCCCAGCTGACCGTCGGTACCGACTTCCTTGGCCACACGCGACACCTCCCCAGCAAAGATACGCAGCTGGGACACCATCCCGTTCATTGTCGTCTTCAATGTGCCCATCTCGCCACGCGCATCCACAGCAATGACCTTGGTTAGATCGCCGCGCGCAACAGCGGTGGTCACATTTCCGATAGACCGAACCTGGAACGTGAGGTTATTGGCCATGGTATTGACGTTGTCCGTGACCTTCTTCCACACGCCGTCGACGTTAGGAACAAATGCCTGGCCACCAAGCTTGCCATTGATGCCGACCTCTAGTGCGACTCGTGAGACCTCATCGGCAAAGATATTGAGCTGGTCAACCATTTCGTTTATAGTGGTCTTAAGGTCCAGCATTTCACCCTCGACGTCAACTTCAATTTTCTGCGTCAAATCGCCGTGTGCGACAGCCTTGGTGACTTCGCTGATGGATCGGACCTGGGTCGTCAGGTTGCTGGCCATGGTGTTCACGTTGTTGGTCAGATCCTTCCATGTGCCATCAACACCATCAACATTGGCCTGGCCGCCAAGCTTGCCTTCAGTACCCACTTCCTTAGCAACTCGTGTAACCTCATCCGCAAACGTGTTGAGCTGGTCCACCATCGTGTTGATGGTATCCTTGAGCTCGCCCATCTCGCCATTGAGTGGCACCTCGACCTTCATGTTCAGGTTACCCGCTGAAATCGCCTTGGTGACGTTGGCAATGTCGCGCACCTGGTTGGTCAGGTTGTCTGCCATCTTGTTGACGTTGTCAGTGAGCGACTTCCAGGTCCCATCAACGCCCTCAACGTTGGCCTGTCCGCCGAGCTGCCCATCAGTTCCAACCTCCTTGGCGACACGCGACACCTCAGCCGCGAAAGTGCTCAGCTGGTCCACCATCGTGTTGATGGTCAACTTGAGCTCACCCATCTCGCCGTTCAGCGGCACCTGGACCTTGCGCGTCAGGTCACCAGCAGAGATAGCCTTAGTGACCGTTGCGATGTCACGGACTTGGTTGGTCAGGTTGTATGCCATCTTGTTGACGTTATCGGTCAAGTCCTTCCAGTTGCCGCTAATGTTCTTCAAGTGAGCCTGACCACCAAGTTGGCCGTCGGTGCCGACCTGGAGTGCAACACTCGACAGCTCTGATACAATCCCGCGGAGCTTGTCGACCATCTCGTTGATAGTATTTGTGAGCTCGCCCATTTCGCCGTTGACAACAATGTCGATCTTTTTGCTCAAGTCACCTTCAGCAATCGCGGTGGTAACCTTGCTAATCGAGCGTACTTGGTTGGTCAGGTTGTCAGCCATGGTATTCACGTTGTCAGTAAGGTCCTTCCAGGTACCGTCGACACTTGGGACGTTGGCTTGTCCGCCTAGCTGACCATCGGTACCGACCTCCTTGGCAACTCGGGATACCTCGAAGGCGAATGTGTTGAGCTGGTCCACCATGGTGTTGATGGTCTGCTTGAGCTCACCCATCTCGCCATTGAGCGGCACCTCGACCTTACGCGTCAGGTCGCCTGCTGAAATAGCCTTGGTGACATTGGCGATATCACGGACTTGGTTGGTCAGGTTGTCTGCCATCTTGTTGACGTTGTCAGTGAGCGACTTCCAGGTCCCATCAACGCCCTCAACGTTGGCCTGTCCGCCGAGCTGCCCATCGGTACCAACCTCCTTGGCCACACGCGACACCTCAGCCGCGAACGTGCTCAGCTGGTCCACCATGGTGTTGATGGTCGACTTGAGCTCACCCATCTCGCCATTTAGCGGCACCTCGACCTTGAGATTCAAGTTGCCTGCTGAAATGGCTGTAGTGACCATTGCAATGTCACGGACTTGGTTGGTCAGGTTGTCGGCCATGGTATTCACGTTGTCAGTAAGGTCCTTCCAGGTACCGTCGACATTTGGGACATTGGCTTGTCCGCCTAGCTGACCATCGGTACCGACCTCCTTAGCAACTCGGGATACCTCGAAGGCGAATGTGTTGAGCTGGTCCACCATCGTGTTGATGGTCTGCTTGAGCTCACCCATCTCACCATTCAGCGGCACCTCGACCTTGCGCGTCAGGTCGCCTGCTGAAATAGCCTTGGTGACATTGGCGATATCACGGACTTGGTTGGTCAGGTTGTCTGCCATCTTGTTGACGTTGTCTGTGAGCGACTTCCAGGTCCCATCAACGCCCTCAACGTTGGCCTGTCCGCCGAGCTGCCCATCAGTTCCAACCTCCTTGGCGACACGCGACACCTCAGCCGCGAAAGTGCTCAGCTGGTCAACCATGGTGTTGATGGTCGACTTGAGCTCACCCATCTCGCCATTTAGCGGCACCTGGACCTTGCGCGTCAGGTCACCAGCAGAGATAGCTTTGGTGACATTGGCGATGTCTCGGACCTGGTTCGTCAAGTTGTCACCCATCCGGTTGACGTTGTTAGTCAGCGACTTCCAAGTTCCATCAACACCCTCAACATTGGCTTGACCGCCAAGCTTGCCGTCTGTGCCGACCTCCTTGGCCACACGCGACACCTCATCAGCAAACGTGTTCAACCGGTCCACCATGTCGTTGATTGTGGTCTTCAGGTCGCCCATCTCTCCGAGCGCATCGACCTTGATCTTCTGTGTCAGATCGCCAAGCGCAACAGCCTTAGTGACGTTGCTGATTGTCCGCACCTGGTTGGTCAGGTTGTCAGCCATGGTATTCACGTTGTCAGTAAGGTCCTTCCAGGTACCGTCGACATTTGGGACATTGGCTTGTCCGCCCAGCTGACCATCAGTTCCGACCTCTTTGGCCACACGCGACACTTCGGCGGCGAACGTGTTGAGCTGGTCCACCATCGTGTTGATGGTGCCCTTCAAGTCACCCATCTCGCCGTTCAGCGGCACCTCGACCTTGAGATTGAGGTTACCAGCTGAGATTGCCTTGGTGACATTGGCGATATCACGGACTTGGTTGGTCAGGTTGGTGGCCATGTTGTTGACGTTGTCAGTCAAAACCTTCCACGTACCATCAACACCTTCGACATTGGCCTGCCCGCCAAGCTTGCCATCGGTTCCGACCTCCTTGGCGACACGCGATACTTCGTCCGCGAACGTGTTGAGCTGATCAACCATGGTGTTGATAGTGATCTTGAGCTCACCCATCTCACCGTTCAGCGGCACCTCAACCTTGCGCGTCAAATCGCCGGCCGAGATCGCTTTTGTCACCGTCGCAATGTCGCGTACCTGGTTCGTCAGATTAGTCGCCATGTTGTTGACATTGTCGGTCAAGTCCTTCCATGTACCCTCGACATCAGGCACTGTCGCCTGTGCGCCCAGCTTGCCGTCAGTCCCGACCTCTTTGGCGACACGCGACACCTCGCTGGAGAACGTTTTCAGCCGAGCAACCATGTCGTTGATAGTGGTCTTCAGGTCGCCCATCTCACCCTTTAGCGGGACAGTGACCTCCTTGGACAGATCGCCCTCAGCGACGGCCTTGGTGACCTCGGCGATGTTGCGCACCTGATTGGTAATATTGTCGGCCATGTTGTTGACATTGTCTGTGAGCGTTTTCCAGACACCATCAACCCCGCTCATGTCGGCGTGTGCTCCCAATTGGCCCTCGGTACCGACCTCGTGCGCGACCTTGGCAAGCTCCGCGGCAAACTGGCTGACCTGGTTGACCATGGCGTTGATAGTGGTCTTGAGCTCGCCCATCTCACCATTCAAAGTCACTGTGATGCGCTTGGACATTTCGCCTGCTGCAACTGCCTTGGTGACCTCAGCGATGTTGCGCACCTGAATCGTCAGGTTGTCAGCCATCTTGTTCACATTGTCGGTCAGGTCCTTCCAAGTGCCGTCGACATTGGGCACATATGCCTGGCCGCCGAGTTTGCCATCCGTGCCGACCTCCTTGGCAACACGAGATACCTCTGACGCGAACGTCTTCAGCTGCCCAACCATAGTGTTGATGGTGTCCTTCAATTCGCCCATCTCGCCGTTCAGCGGAATTTCAACCTTGCGCGTCAAATCTCCGGCTGAGATCGCCTTCGTAACTGTGGCAATGTCTCGAACCTGGTTGGTCAAGTTGGTGGCCATGTTGTTGACGTTGTCCGTCAAAACCTTCCAGGTGCCGTCAACACCCTCGACGTTTGCTTGGCCGCCGAGCTGTCCATCAGTGCCGACCTCCTTGGCGACACGCGAGACCTCCTTGGCAAAGGTATTGAGCTGATCCACCATGGTGTTGATAGTGATCTTGAGCTCATCCATCTCGCCGTTCAGCGGCACCTGCACCTTGCGCGTCAGATCGCCAGCTGAAATAGCCTTGGTCACCGTCGCAATGTCCCGAACCTGGTTAGTCAAGTTGTCGGCCATCTTGTTGACGTTTTCTGTCAAGTACTTCCACGTGCCCTCCACATCAGGCACTGATGCCTGGGCGCCCAGCTTGCCGTCAGTTCCAACCTCCTTGGCGACACGCGACACCTCGCTGGAGAACGTCTTTAGTCGGGCAACCATGTCGTTGATAGTAGTTTTCAAAAACTCCATCTCACCCTTGCACGGGATGTCGACCTGCTTGCCCAGATCGCCCTTGGCAACGGCCCGGGTGACCTCAGCAATGTTACGCACTTGTCTTGTGATATTATACGCCATCTTGTTGACGTTGTGCGTCAGGTCCATCCACACGCCTTGCACGCCGACGACACGCGCCTGTGCACCCAAACGGCCCTCCAGACCAACCTCGATGGCGACCGTGGTGACCTCGTCGGCAAAGTGGCTGAGCTGGTCCACCATCTGGTTGATTGTGTCCTTGAGCTCGCCCATCTCGCCATTCAGTGGAACCATGACCTTGCGCGATAGCTCGCCGGCGGCAACAGCCTTGGTAACGTCAGCAATGTCTCGGACCTGGTTGGTCAGATTGTCCGCCATCTTGTTGACATTGTCAGTCAGGTCCTTCCAAGTGCCGCCAACACCCTCAACATTGGCCTGCCCGCCAAGCTTACCGTCGGTACCGACCTCCTTGGCCACGCGCGAGACCTCAAACGCAAAAGTGTTGAGCTGGTCCACCATGGTGTTGATAGTGATCTTGAGCTCATCCATCTCGCCGTTCAGCGGCACCTGCACCTTGCGCGTCAGATCGCCAGCTGAAATGGCCTTGGTCACATTCGCAATGTCACGAACTTGGTTGGTCAGGTTGTCCGCCATTGTGTTCACGTTGTCAGTCAGAACCTTCCAGGTACCATCGACATCGGGGACATTTGCCTGGCCACCGAGCTGCCCATCAGTACCGACCTCCTTGGCCACACGCGAGACCTCAAATGCAAAAGTGTTGAGCCTGTCCACCATTTCGTTAATAGTCGTCTTCAGCTCTGCCATTTCACCGTTAAGCGGCACCTCGACCTTGCGTGTCAGGTCACCGCGGGCCACGGCCTGGGTGACTCTCGTAATATCGCGTACCTGCTGTGTCAGGTTATCCGCCATACGGTTAACGTTGTCCGTTAGATCCTTCCAGGTGCCGTCGAGTTCAAACCAGTTTGCCTGTCCCCCCAGCATGCCGTCAATGCCAACCTGGACAGCCACGCGGGTCAGCTCCACCGCCATATGGTCAAGTCTGGTAACCATCGTGTTGATTGTATCCTTGAGCTCAAGCATTTCGCCGCGTGCCTCGACCTGCACCGTGCGCGTCAGGTCACCGGCTGCCACGGCCTTGCAGACATTCGAGATATCGCGCACCTGGTTGGTCAGATTGCTGGCCATGCTGTTGACATTATCCGTAAGCAGCTTCCAGACACCGTTGACGTCGGGGACCTCGGCAGTGACGCCCAGCGTGCCTTCGGTGCCGACGGCATGCGAGACGCGGGTGACCTCAAACGAGAAGGCACTGAGCTGGTCCACCATGCTGTTGATCGTGTCCTTGAGCTCAGCCATTTCACCGTTGACGTCAATCGAGACCTTCTCGGACAAGTCGCCGTTGGCCACAGAGTTGCAGACGTGCGCAATGTTGCGCACCTGCTCCGTGTGGATCCGTGTCATCGTGTTGACCTCGTTCATAAGCTCAAGCCAAGTCCCGTTCAGTCCATCAATGCTGCCCTGGGTGCCGAGAATGCCACGAATGCCGTCGTTGCGTGCCACGCCGACGATTTCATGGGTGACAAAGGACAGCAGCGAAGCCATGCGGTTGACACGGTTCGCCAGCTTCTGGGTATGCGTAACTGGGTGGCTAATCATCGGAGTTCCTGTCAGCTGGCTGGAGGATGCCGATACGTGACCAGCAGCGCCTGTGGGCTTGGTCAGTGGCCACTCCTTCTCGCCAGCACCGTCAATGTTGTGGCAGCGCGTGCACCTGACCCGGGCATTGAAGTCGCCGTGCAGCACAGCATCGGCAACGCGCTCGCACGCCTGGATGCACTCGAGACACACAAGCTCGCCGGTGCCTGCCACCGTCGCATACCCATTCAGCGAGGCGCTGACCATCGGGCTGTTGGGCAGACTACCAGAGGTACGTGCTGGCATGCCGGTGGCAGCCGGCAGGAACGTTGCCCACCAGCTGTTGTAGTTGCTCTCGGTGGTCGACCCGCCAATGGACTCGTCTGGCTGCAGCTCGGCGCCAGTGGACACGGGGAACGTCCCGTTTGATGCATACTGATCGATAACGGGGTCAGGTGCAGCCCCCAGCGATTTGAGTTTGGCCTGAGCTGACTTGAACGCTAGCGACTGCTGTTGAAGGTGCAGTGCCATCTGCGACAAGTGATTTTCGTACGTGGCCTTGGTTTGCTGCCACGCCTCCTCGCGCTGCACCATTCGGCGCAGGCTCTGCATCACACTGGTATCGGAAAATGCCTCGGTTGCTGAACTCACACTATGGCGGCTCGGGGATGTCTTGGGCAGACGGATGCTGAACCATGCCGGGGAGCTGCTAGCGTCCCGGAAGCTGGCAAATTCGCCCGAGCTGCTGATATCGCCGGTGTCGTATCCAGACTGCTGGCGGGCAGCCTGCTCGATGGCCACACCCCGGCTATGGCTCACGGCAATATCCTCATCGTTCGAGGTGGTCAGATAGCTGTCGACCACCTCGAGAGACGCGGCAAAGTCGCCGTCATCAAGCCTAGCGAGAGTCTCGCCTATATCGTTTTTCATAGACATGATTAGCATACAACGACCCCAAAGGCTCTTCTCTACCGTGCCAGGACCCGAACTCCCCAGAGACCAGGAATACTCACCAATAGCCTGAATTGCAGCGCTCATTGTTCCTCTTTTTCTTCTTCTCTGACCGGGTTTCTGTTGCTTCTGCTGCTGTTGCTTCAGTAAGTAGACTGCCAACGGGCTGTACAATATAATAAGGATATGGTGGTTCAAATTTGGAATGCTGGAAAAACTGCCCTGAGGGGGTGAGAGTGGAGAGCTTTGCATATTTCACCGAGTACAACCGCGGGATGCCGCAGGTCAAAGTTTAAAAATGACGACACTGGCATTGTCCCCGAGTCGTGACTCGAGTCACGGCCAGCTCGCCACGGCTTGAGAAAGAGAAAAGCGCTACGTTCTGTCAATGCTCGAGATAGTCGGATTTTCTGCCGTCGACATCCCATCCAGCCTTCCTCAGCACGCCCATGATAAAGTCTGTCTTGTCGGCATTGTATGCCAGGATGGAATTCTCTGTTATCGCCGTACTTGGCTGCGACCTGCTTCTTGAGCTTGGCGTATTCGTCCAGCACATCCGGATGGTCCCTCAGATACTGGAGGAACAGCTTCTTTCTCGTATATTCACCATTGCCCTTCTGCACCATGTGCACGTGGTACAGAGGACGTTTAAAGTACTCGCGGCCCACGATACCGTACAGACCTTTGTATCTATACCCAAGCTGCTGCATAGCTGGAATGCACTGGGCGAGCTGGGAGAAGTCAGCGACGACAACTTGGATATCAATGATGGGTTTGGCAGCAAGGCCCGGGATGCTGGTGGAGCCAACGTGTTCGACGTCGAGGATGTAGGGGCCGATTGCATCGCGAATGCGGTGGGCTTCGTCAGCAAACTGCTCCTGCCCACTTTGGGTCGTATTCAACAACCACCAATGGGTCGCCCTCGTAGTCTTTTGTCATGATGCTAAACAAAAAGTAGAAAGCAGAGGCAAGATTGATTCCAGGACCGCAGCGGCACACTTTCATGTTTGATTGACCTGCCTGTGGGAATCCGATTGTGATATTTTCGTCGGCAATGTATTCAAGAGCAGTAGATGATTTTTATACGGCATGGGAATGACCTCATGCCGGCTCTAGATTCTAGTATCCAACATGCCTACTTTTGGACATACTATAAACACATGGTTACAGATAAGAGCCCATCGTATTGCCTGGGCTATCCTGTATTTAAAAAGAGCCCGCTATCATAACATACCTAGCACCACACACCGTTGGCTTATCGATTTTATACCCAGCATTAGCCTACATTTAGTGGAAGCGGGATATATACTAGACAGGCAGGGGCTGGGTAAGCCATTATAGTGGTGCTGGTGGTAGCAATGCGCATATTTATAATAAATGCCAATTGCACTATAACAATGTTGACCAACAACACGTTCCAAAACTGGATCGGGCTCGTCAGGCCCGGTGAATGGCCTTCCTTTATCCCATGTGTCAAACCGTGCTAGCTAGAAGCTGAGCTCACATCGCGAGCAGAGTAATTCTAGTATATCCATACCTTGGCTTTTAGACAGTGGCGCCAACCAGAAAGTGACCAAATCCTCAATAACATCGATTGCAAGACATGTGGAAAATGACTCCAATGTTTTTTAGTTTTAGGAAAGAGAAAATATGAAATTTTTTGAGCGAGATAAGCTTAATCCTTTGTTCTTCTTCTCCTTCTTCTCCTTCTTCTCCTTCTTGGCCTCCTTCTTAGCCTTCTTCTCGGCCTTCTTGGCCTCCTTCTCGGCCTTCTTCTTGGCCTTCTCGTCGGCCGACACGTCCTCGTTGTCCGACACCTCGTCCTCCGACTCCTCAGCCTTGCGCTTGTGAGCAGGGGCCTCGGCCACCACAGGCTTGGCATCGGGCTTGGACTCAGCGGCCTCGTCGGCAGGGGCATTGTAGTCCGTGTAGCTCTTGGTCCACGACGCCGGGGTGTTCTCGTTGCGGTTGCCGTGCTTATCGAGCTTGCCGTCCTTAATCAGCTGCTTCTTCTTCTGGGCAACGGGTCCCAATCCCCACTTGCGCGGGTACGTGTCGCGCTCCATAATAACGCGCTTGATCTTGGCCACAACGCCGTGGTCGCAGGTAGCCAGGACCTGCAGTGGTCATCTGGGCAATGCCAATGGCGATGGCCTCGCCCTTGGTGGTCATCAGAACGACCTCGTCGTTGACCTCGATACCGTCCTCGAAACGCAGCAGTCCGGGGATCATCATCTTGGCGCCGTAGCAGATCGCGTTGACTGCCGAGTCCTTGACCACAATGCGCTTGTAGCCGGTCAGAAGCCACTCGAGCGGACGCACCACGCGGCGCAGGTAGCTCTCGTCCTTGGTGTTATCGTACACCCACTGCGCGTCCATCACATCGTGCATGGTCACCATGTTGTCGTTCTCCGTCAGCGCGCCCGAGCGCACACGGACGCAGCTCCTGCATGTGCCCGCCCACGCCCAGCAAAAGTCCCAGGTGCACACACAAGGTACGCATGTACGTACCGGCCTCGCAGCTCGCCCACACTACCGCCAGGTGGCGGTCGTTGTCGAACTCGAGCAGCTTCGAGTCATAGATGGTGCGCACGCGCAGCTGCCGCTTGACCGCAGAGATCAGAGGCGGGCGCTGGAACAGCGCGACCGGTCAGTGTCTCGACCGACCGCGCCATTGCCGACTCGTTCTCCAGGGCATCGTGAAGACGCACCACGCACACGTACTCCTTTTCCGGCTCCCTGCTGGCTCTTCACCAGACGGGTCGCGCGGTCAATGCACACAATCAGGCAGCCAGTGACCTTCGGGTCCAGCGTGCCCGAGTGACCGGTCTTCTCCACGCGCAGGATCCGGCGGATCCACGCCACCACCTCGTGCGACGACGGGTTCGACGGCTTGTCCAGGTTGATCACACCGTACTTGATGTAGGTCTCGAGATCGCGCTTCAGCGGCGAGGTGCTGACCGGGATCGGTGTGTAGTGGCCGGTGCGCACGTGCAGCTTCTCGTAGTTCTTCAGCAGGTACGGCCACTCGGACGTGTCGATGGGCGCCGCCTTGGGCTCGGGTTTGATCGAGTAGTCAGCCATTCTTTAAGCTATTTTGTAAATATAAATTCAGAACAAGTAACGAAAAATTGCGTAATGAGGAGGCGTGAAAACGAGAAGGCAAGTGCAAGCGGACAAGTGGGCGAGTACTGAAGCGAGCGAAAAAAGTTTTTGTGAAAAAATTACAGGCTGGGCTGAGCGAGGGCTGCTGATTTGCTGAGCAGCTGATCGATCAACGCGGATCTCAGAATTGGACCAGTGGGGCGAGCTGGGCAGCATCGAAATAGCACAGCAGAACCGAGTGCGCAGACACCGTAGTGTCAGCAGGCTCCTGCCATGTCGCAATGACGTCGGCTGAGCTGCCAAAGCTGACCGCGGGTTCAGCCTGGTCGACAGGAGCCGCTGCATCATTGTAGTCAATGGCAGACACCAGCATCGAGTGGCAATGCTGGGCGAATGGAGATCGGGCCTGAGGCATTCAGTTCGTTCTGGGAATCCATATCCCCAGCAACCGCAATCTCCATCTCAGGCCTTGGAGCATTGGTCGAACCAGCACCGCATCCTCGTTGACAACATCAATGGTGGTGGCCGAAACGGGGCATTCGCACAGTGCAGCCGACAGAGTGGCAAACGGCTCCATGTCCCGGTTGGGCGCCATGCCAGCCAGCGACAACATTTTCGACATGGCAAAGTAGGACGGCAGGTCGTCCGCATGCCTTGTGCGGGCAACATCCCAGGCTGTTGCAGAATGCCTGCATGCCGGACATACAGCTCGGGCATGCTGAATTCGTGCTCCGACCGAGTCGCCTTTGGCCAGAGCGTTCGGCCTGTGCTCCAGGATGCTCTGCAGAGTCAGCGGTGGCTCAAAGGGCGAGCGTACGAAATCCGAAGGGTAAAACGACAACGAGTGCGCCAGGACCATGGAAAGCATGACATCCGAGTACTCGGACTCGAGCTGGGTCCGGAACTCTGCCAGGACATGTTTGGCCAGCATCTGCATGTCATCGGTGCTGCTCGGGTGCGTGCCCTTCGCCAAGACCTCCAAGGACTTTTCCATTCTCGCAAACAGCACTGCCAGATCCGACATGGACAGGTTCCGTTCACTGGCAATGGAGCCTGCACGATCCAATACGGCGAAAATCTGTACCAGTGCCAAAAACATCGGCGCCATATTGCGGTCCAAAAGGTTGTCAAAGTACGCAGCGGACTCGGGACTGACAATGGTCTTTAGCTGCAACAGGAACTCGTAGTCCACAGACACCATCTGCTGGAACATATGCAGGTGCGACGTGGCGATGGACGGGTCGGGCAGGGTGATCGGCTGGTGCTTGCGGGAGATCCAGCGCTTGTGCGCGTCATGGCTGTGGATCACCGCCTTTGCCACCTCAATCAGCGACGTGACGTGCATGGCGAACTGCCCGGCGGGATCCAAAAGCATTGATGCCAGGGAGTCGATGAAATGCGAGGCGCTGGGGATATGGCATGCACACAGGAATGCACGGGCTGCCGCCTGTCTGATCTCCGACAGCCACGGCGGGCCAGCGCTGATGATTGAGAATAAAACCGGCTTGGTCTCCGCACCAACTCCATGGATGCCGTGCTCGAGCTCAGCCAGCATGGCAATGAACTCGCTGCGCAGCAACACTGGTGATGTCGCTGTTCTCAGCCCAGCCTAGAAAATGCCTTTGCTGCTGGACCGACACAGATATGCCAATATACCGGCCCGAGGAGCTCGCGCCCAGCAATACGGAGTAGCGCTCAGCGTTCGCCAGCCTCTGGTAGAGCGTCTTCCGGCCCTTTGTCCGCCACCAAACCAACCCTACTCATGTATGCATCGGGGGTAGTGTAGAATGGCGTGGTCAGGCTGCCATCGCGCTGCGCCTGGAACATGGCCCGGCAGAATGCCCGGAACTCGCTGCTCTCGACCATCTCCGTAGGCATGGCAAACTTGGTCTTGAAATGAATCAGCGCATCCTCCACATCGCTTCAAAGATACCTTTTGCCTTAGCTGTCCGTTTTCGAACACCGACCGGCGCATGGCCACGGGCGCATGCGATATCGGCGTGTCGTCTTCGCCGGTCTCCAATGTATAGAGGTAAGCGCGGATCGACTGCATGTCGCTTGGGTGGAACAGCCCCGTCTCCAGAAGACGGTTCATGCGCGCCCGGTACACGCGGATGTAGCGCTCGCGGCTGGTCGCCAGGTGGTGGTCCAGACGGGCCTGCATGCGGCGGGCGCGGTAGATGAGGCCGCGGGATTCGATCCCGTCCAAAACGCATCGCACGCGCTGCCGGTGCAGGTCCGGGTCGAGGTACTCGTTATGCGTGTCCACCGTAAGCAGACTGAGCGATCGGTTCTCGGCCGCCGGGCTATCGCTGGGGTCGGCAGGTGCATACATGAGGACCAGCGGGGCAGGGCGAACACGCCCGCCATTCTTCTTCGAGTTCATTTGCGCCAGGCGAAGGATTGAATTTGGATAAAATAGCGAGTGGAGCGAGCAAAGGGACACAAAACGGGGTCGTCGGCAAGTGGCAGTTCGGGCTGATAGAAAAAAAACCCCACGCCTTATCCGACTTTCACTATCGGTCCACACATCCCAACAAGTCCCTTGCCCGATCACTGAGCTTGTCACCTGTTGTCCCTAGAGCTCCTACACATTTATTGTCTTTTTCTTCCAACTAGCAATGGTGCATTACGTTACAATCGCCACCTGCGCGCTGAACCAGTGGGCGCTAGACTTCCAGGGCAACTACGAGCGCATCCGCCAGAGCATTCTGCAAGCGAAAGGGTCGGACGCCAAGCTGCGGATCGGGCCGGAGCTCGAAATCCCTGGGTACGGCTGCTACGACCACTTCCTGGAAGGCGACACGATCCTGCACTCATGGGAGGTGCTGGGGAAGCTCCTCTCGGACCGCACCCTCGACGACATTCTAATCGACACGGGCATGCCGGTAATGCACCGCAACCAGCGATACAACTGCCGGGTGGTGATCCTGAACGGCAAGATTGTTTTGATCCGGCCCAAGCTCTACCTGGCCAACGACGGCAACTACCGCGAACTGCGGTGGTTCACAGCGTGGGCTGGTCGGGCATCAATTGAAGACTATGTGCTGCCGCGGTTCATCTCGTCGATTACGGGGCAGAAGACGGTGCCTATAGGCGATGCCCTAGTGAGCACGGATGATTCGTGCATTGGCATTGAGCTGTGTGAGGAGCTGTTTACGCCGGAGAGCCCGCATATTGCGATGAGCTTGGATGGCGCTGAGATCATCATCAATAGCTCGGGCAGCCACCACGAGCTGCGCAAGCTGCATCGGCGTGTCGAGCTGATCCGGGAGGCGACGATGAAGTGCGGCGGGATATACCTGTATGCGAACCAGAAGGGGTGCGATGGCGACCGGCTGTATTACGACGGCTCGGCTATGGTGCTTGCCAATGGCGAGGTCCTGGCCATGGGCCGCCAGTTCGCCATCTCCGACGTCGAGGTCACGGTGGCCACGGCGGATCTGGGCGCCGTGCGGTCCTTCCGCGGCGCCATTTCGAGCCGCTCATTGCAGGCCGCCCGGTCCATTGTGTACCCACGCGTCCATGCCGACATCGCGCTGTCGCCAGAAAAGGACATGTTCGATGGCCGCGTCAAGCCCACAAAACCGATTTCAGTCAGGTACCATTTGCCTGAGGAGGAGATCAACCTGGGCCCGGCGTGCTGGCTGTGGGACTATCTAAGGCGGTCCAGCCAGGGCGGGTTCTTTTTGCCCCTGAGCGGCGGCATCGATAGCTGCTCGACCTGCGGTCATTGTGCATTCGATGTGCCGCCAGGTGGTTGACGCGTGCCAGGCCGGCGACCAGCAGGTAATCGAGGATGTGCGCAAATGCGTGGGTATGGGCCCAGAGTACCTGCCCAAGGACGCGCAGGAGCTGGCCAGCCATCTCTTCTACACGTGCTACATGGGCACAGGCAACTCATCCAGCGAGACCCGCACACGCGCCAAACAGCTGGCATCAGCCGTAGGCAGCTACCACGTGGACCTGAACATGGACTCCTGTGGTCTCGGCCATCGTGATGCTGTTCACCCTGGTGACCGGTCTGACGCCCAAGTACGCGGTCCACGGCGGCTCCAATGCTGAGAACCTGGCTTTGCAGAATATCCAGGCGCGCCTGCGCATGCTCTTGGCGTACCTGTTCGCCGCGCTGTTGCCATGGGCGCGCGGCCGCCAGAAGTCCCTGCTGGTTCTGGGCTCAGCCAATGTCGACGAGTCCTCTGCGCGGATACTTTACCAAATACGACTGCTCGTCGGCCGACCTGAACCCGATCGGGTCGATTAGCAAGCGCGATCTGCGAAAGTACATTGCCTATGCACGCGAACACTTGCAGCTGCCTGTGCTTGACGAGTTCCTGGAGGCCACGCCGACCTGCCGAGCTGGTGCCGTTCTCCGAGTCGTACGTGCAGAGCGACGAGGTCGAGATGGGCATGAGCTACGACGACCTCAGCGTGTACGGCCGGCTGCGCAAAATCGCCAAGTGTGGGCCGTACTCGATGTTCACGCAGCTTCTGCATATCTGGGATGGCCTGACGCCCCGCCAGGTGGCCGACAAGGTCAAGCGCTTCTTCTTCTACTACTCGATCAACCGCCACAAGATGACGACCATCACGCCAGCCTACCATGCCGAGACCTACTCGCCCGACGACAACCGCTTTGACATGCGCCAGTTCCTGTACAATGCCCGGTGGGACTGGCAGTTCCGCTGCATCGACCAGGTTGTTGAAAAGTGCGAGAACGCGGAGCATGTCCAAGGAGGAGTAACTAATTAAAGCCTAGTTTTTATTATGAAGCTGAAGTGTCATTCTCAAAAGTGCATGCCCTGGCCATATGCCAGCTGGTCAAGCCAGTTGTACAGCCGGTTCAGCAGGCCCGAGTGCATGAACCCGGTCGCGGCCGTGCCTGTCTCAAACGGCATCGCCACAACCTCGTCATCGCCAGCCCGCCAGATATGCGCTCCTTCATGGCCATAGCCCTCGACCGGCATCGGATCCGCAGGGAACACTGTGGCCTTCCTGCCTGCAAACAGACCCTTGACGGACCTTACCGGCTTCCACAGCCCGCGCTCATACAAGAACACCTCGAGCTTGTGTCTGGGCAGCGGGTTATACGGCAGCGCGTGCGGGTACAGCGGGTTAAAGTCCTGCTCAAACTCCTTGAACTGCGCAACCTCTAGTGCATATCTGCGGTAGATGTCGTCCCAGAACAAGTACCACGCCGACTTTAGCGGGTCGTTGGACTTCGGACGGCACCAGATTGCGCAGCCGCTCATACAAAAGCTGGATGTCATTGCGGTGCTCATCCATAATGTCCCTGACGTACTTGTTCTCCTCGTCAGCCGAGAGCTTGCGCTGCAGCTGCGCTAGCGTCGGGATATACGACAGCCGGCCGTGCGAGCTCTTGCCCCAATCGTCAGACGCGGCCATTTGCGGCGTGGCTGGATTGACCGGCGTCTCGTCGGGCGACGGATGCACCACGTGCAGGGACTCGGGGCCAGGCGAAAACACGTCAATCAAAAACGACGGCGTCATGCCCGTGCGCTTGCGCTTGATCTCGGCGCGGTGCCGCGACTGCAGCATGTGTGCGCGCCCCATCACTCTGTCGATATGGTCATTGATGACATGCCGGTTCTCGGCAATCAGTGCCTGAAGCTGTGGCGAGCTGTACCACGGGTCGATGCCCAAAAGGCTGGCTGCGTCGGAGCTGCTCATCGACGGACTCGACCGATGCATGGTGCCTGCGCGGCCAGTCTTCCAGAACGACATGCGGAATGGGCTGTTATGGATGGAAAAGTCATTGACCAGGTTCTCGTCGTCGACGGTGATCTGGTCGGTCAGCTTCAATGTGCAAATGAAGCCCGTGTTGACGTTCACCACGTTGCTCCACTCGCGCTCCTGCTGGATCTCGAGCATGCCGCGGTACAGGATCCGCCGCTTGCCGCGGTACTTTTGCAGGTACTGCTGGTGCTCCTCTTCGGTACCCTGCAGGTAGTAGCGCGAATGCCCACCGTGCTCGCCGCCATGCTCAATAAACGTCAACGTGACGTAGTGGCCCGACAGCGACCGCAGCTGCTGCCGCGCCAGCCGCCGCCGGTTGATCTCCTCGTTGTAGTTCTGGGTGATATACAGATCCAGATCGCGCTCGTCGGCTATCGGCACAATACGGCCCGGCAGGTCATCGTACAGCATGCAGACCATGAACGGGAAATGCACAACAAACACCCGCCCAAACCACGACTTGACGTCCCCCTGGTCGATGCCAAACTTTAGCGCCACCGACGCCTGGTTCTCGTTCGCCTCAAACGGATTAAAGTACATGTCATCGCCGATGAAATGCGCCAGAATCTGCAATGTCTTCTTGAACCGCTCGCTGTTATGCCGCTCGGCCGCCACCGCCTTGCAGTACGCTGTCCGCCCAATATACTCGTACATGCGCAGATTCTCCAGGTGTCGCTCGGCCGCAAACCCCATGTAATTGACCATATATGGCGGATGCGCGCTGGCCGTCGTGAATGCCACGCGGTGGTAAGGCAAGAGCCGGAAGTCGCGCGATGCCAGCAGTATCGCCGACCACGTGTCCTGCCACACCCGCTCAATCAGCAGCTTGCGCAGCCGCGGGTCATATGCTGTCGTCGCTGTCAGAATGCCCGGCGACAAGGTCAGCGGCGCCGAGGGGCCACGGATCGTCGCCTTGACCTTTGGCAGGGAGCTTGATCCCAGCCACAGCAGCAGCGCCAGCACACACAGGTTTGATCAGCGACAGCGTCACCGCCACGCCCATGTGGCTGGTCGACAGTGGATCGCGCATCAGGAACAGCGGGAACCCAAAGATCGCCACAACCACAATGCCTATGCGCATGAACAGCGCCGACAGATTCGCCGTCGGATCAAAGAATGGCCTGTGCGAGTGGTGCGACCGCAGCATCATCAGTGCGACCAACAGCAGCATCGCCGACCGCCCAGCATCCAAAGAATGGCGCGAGTGCCCGCGGAACCAGCAGTTATCCTTGCTCAGGATAACCGCAACCAGCACCGCCGTCAGCTTCCAGTGCATTTCGCGCGCATGCTGGTGCGCGTGGTACGGATAGTGCGCTTCGTAGATAAACCGGTAATCCGACGTATCCGTATCCAGCCGCCGCCGGTACTGCACTGTCGCCAGGTGCCGCTTGCGGTTTTTGCTGCTGAGCTTCCCTAGCCGCGCCTTATACGCTTCGTCCTGCGACATGCCCGAGTAGTCCTCCTCCTGGCCATGGCCATTCCACTGGTTCTGCACCCAGTTGAAGCACTGCCGGCAAAAAGTTTTCTCCCTCACTGCCTTCAAACATTTGCCCGTTGAACATCTGGTATGCCTGCGCCCAGCTGCTGGATCTGCATCGGGTCGATGTCGAACATATCGCCCACATGCTGCATCAATGGGTTGGTGTTATCGCGCGCCTGCACGTCGCTGGCGACTGAGCGCGACATATCCTCAGTGTCCCAATGCACGCGACGCGCAGTCGCCCCACCATCTGGACTTCCTGCCGGCTGCGGACCGGCGACGTCCTCGAACGCAACATTGGATTTGCCGTTATCCCAGCCAATGACGTTTGGCATGTGCTTATGCGCCAGCTTCTTGATCTGCCACGGCAAGTACAGTCCGTAGCCGATAAACACCACAATGCCTACGGGCAGCAAAATGTATGCTGCGCTGAACGCCCCATTGCGCATGGTAGTTGTGTAGCAAAACTTTGACGGGTCGCGGTGCCCGGCCGTAGGCGCCGGGAACGACGGCTTGTCGGTGGTCCGGAACGGATTGGCGACCGCCCAGAAGCCCTGGTCCCACACAATCGCCTCCAGGCTCAGCTTCAGCACCGGAATATAGAGCGTCGACAGTACCAGATACAGGATGTGCATGCGCTTCCACTTGGGCATACTGCCAAACGGATTCAAAATGCTGGCGCCGGTCGTTGTCTCATTTTCAAAGCCGATATCCTCGCCATCCTCCTTCTCCCCCTTGCCCGCAGCCGTGCGCTCCACGACCGATCCAAACACCCACATGCCCAGGCACATCAGTCCGATCGCGCAGAAGACCACAAAAAACCCAATGCTCGTGCCTGTGGTTGTGCTCAAGTCTGCCCACTTCCAGACCCAGCGCCTTCGGGATCCCCGATACGATCATCCACGGCCACCGCGCACCGATACTCGACTCTACCGGCGCCTTGGTGTACCCCGCCGCGCCAACTATCAGCCCGATCAGCTGCAGGAAATCTCGGATAATCTCGAAATGCGTCCGGCCACCGCGCAATCGTGCTGCGTGTTGGTGGCGCCCCGAGCCGCTTCCCGTGCTCCTCCCACTTTCTCTTGTGCTTGACTACCTGCGATGCCCGCAATGGGTACGGCGAGCTGAATTTCAGCGACTCCGTAAACGTCCATTCTGAGCCAGATTTGAACGGCGAAGTGTCCCCGAACACTGAGGACTTGCCCGGCGGCACCAGCTGCGACGCCAGCGAGCCGATAAACACCCGTGGCTCGCCGATCCGGTGCATGATTTGGTCCGCCATGCGCGCTGGCAAATGGCTGAATGGCGGGAACATAGGCGGCAGCTTGCCAGCATTCGGGTCGCCAGTAGTCTGCTTGCTAGACTGCCCGATGCCACCCAACATACGCTTAAACAGACCCGGCGCCTGCTGCTTATCTACCGGCGGACCCTCGTGGTGGACAGCAGCGTCACTGGGGGCACGGCCAGGCTGGGATGTTGACCGATCCTCCTCTTCCTCATCATCGCCATCGCCGCTGCGAGTGAATCCCTGCGCAGTCGGACTCTTGCTGCCGTCATACACCAGGCTGTTATTCCGCGACCGCCCGCGCGGCGTGCCATCGTCGGCCTGGCCGCCACGCCCAAACCGGCCCAAGAACCCACTGAGGCCGCGTGCATTGCTGCCAATTGCACGGATACCGCTGCCCTCATGCCCGTCAATACTGCGTGCTGCCTCCTAGATCGCCTAGGATTCGGCAGCGACTCATTATTGGCATTCTGGGCAGTGCCCAGGCTGCGTGTCCGCCGCGTCCTCTCCACATTGACGGCATGTCTGGCTGCATTATTGTGAGCTTTGACCTTATCGGCAATTGCCAATGCCTCAGTGTCGTCCCAGACCTCGGGCGCGCGGCGGAACTTGCGTACCTTCGAGAACGGCCGCAGCACAACGTTCTCCAGCCGCTGGTCAATATCCTTGTACCGCAGCCCTGGCGCCGCGAACTTGAACTCCTCTGGGTCCCCGCGGCGTATGGGTCGGGGTGCACTGCCGGCCTCTTCCTCGGCTTCCACCAGCGGATAATCGGCTGCATACCGGCCCACCAGCGGCGCGATTTCCCGCTTTACCAGCGACCTTGCGCCAAAGATAAGCGCAGGCAGCGCAAAGCTGTCCATAATATCCACTATTTTCTCCATGATCCCTGTGTCTCCCGGCGGGCTTACGTCGGCCACCGGGGAGCCAGGACCACCAGACATGTATGATCCGGAGCCTGACATGTACGAGTTGGTGCTCGGGTCAGGGCCGTGGGGGCGGCTGCTGCTGGGTTTCCTCCTGCTTCGTCCTTGTTCTTTTTGCTCGCCAAACAGCTTGCCGACGCCCGGAATTGCGCTCACCACTGACATGAATTTGGATGGGTTCTCGCCAGCCTCACCACCGGGTGCTATTGTGCTAGTCGGCACAGGGATGGGATGGACTGGCGCTGTACTGCGAGCCTTGCTGAAAAGAAGGCATGGCGTTTGGCATCTGCTCGTTCATGTTTTGCGGAAACTGCGCTTCGGGCGGCAGCTGGCCGAACGACGGGTCATACGAGCCGTAGCCAACCGTCTGTGCCATGGATTGCTGCTGCTGCTGCTGCGGCAGTTGCTGCACGAGTGCTGCTGCGAGGTCGGCAAGCCGCTCTCCGGCGCAAATGTGTCGATCAGTTGGCTCGATTCGGTGATGCTTCCATGGCCATTCTGAGCCGCAGCAAATGCAACAGACGGCTGCTCGTGGACTACATCGACGTTGACCGGTGGCACGTTTCCGTCGCCCTTGGATCCAGCCACAGACTGCGCCAGCTTGGTTGCAAGCCCGCCTGCTGCTGCTGCTGCCACGCCCTGGACTGCAGCAGAAGAAACTGGGTTCATAGACGTGGGTCGCTGGGGGCGACCGTGTTGCTGCTGATGCTGCTGCCCTTGTTGGCCGTACTGGCCTTGCTGGAACTGCTGCAGCTCAATTTCGTACTGTTCCTGAGAAGGGATGTGTGACGCTGTGTGCCCGGGGGCACTGGGATAGATGGGATCGTACGGGTTCGCCGGAAGCGGTGGTTTGCGCCAGCCAGCAGTCAGCCGCTTGAAGAATGACGGGCGCTTGGCCCTATCCAGAATCTCAGGACTGCACTGGCTGCTGGGCTAGGGACGGGATTGGTTGCTGGAGTGGCTGCTGAGCCAGGAACTGCGGAGATGGCTCAATCTGCACCGGGTTGACTTGGATCGACGGCACCATAGGAATCTGCATCGGCTGTTTCTCTGGATACTGGCTCCTGCACCACAGGGGAATGCCCCACCAGAGGCTGTCTCGCCGGCTCCTGCGGCCTCTGCTGCATTTCAGGTCGTGAGACCTGCTGCATTTCAGGTCGTGAGACCTGCTGCATCTCAGGCTTCGACTGCTGGGCCTGCCGCATAGGCGGCACAGGCGGCGCCGTCACATTTGGCTGCTGCACCTCGCCACCACCGCTGCCGCTGCTACTGGTAAACACCGGCGATGGGTTGCCGGTTGGCTGGACAACAACAGGCGACTTGAACACCTTTGGCACAGAATGCTGGTCCAATGACTGAGTCTTCTTTGACGGTGGGGATTTCTTTGGCGGCGGCGGCGTCGGCAGAGGCTTTCCAGGCAGAGACTTACTGGGCGGCGTCTGGTCCTGCTTGCCTTCTGTCGGATCAAAGAAGAAGCTAGTAGGCAGGCGACTGCGCAGAATTCTGGGCCTGCCAGTTTCGGTCGGCGCGTCGATCTCGTCGAAGCTGACATCGTCAATACTTGCGCTTTGTGCAGCCGGTGAGTGCATGTGGTTGCTGTCGTTGCCGACAATATCGTCCAGGCGGTTCAGCAGGCCGCTCTGCTCCACCCCTTCCATCTCATGCATGCTCATAACGCCGATTGAGGCGCGCCGCCGTGGGCCCACAAACGGATTGCTCGGGTGAAGCCCTACCACTGGCGACAGGCTGACTGAAACATCACCGATCGGACTGCCGATACGTACCGACGGTGATGCTGGCATTGCACTATCAATTGCAGCCGCAGCCACAACAGGCAGCTGACACTGGCTCGGCTATTCCTGGGCGCCGACGGGCGCCGCGAAATGCATTGCGAAACCGGTCGGCCATGGTGAGCTTGCGACGGAAATTCTCGCGCGGCGACATGGTTGCAGTGATCTTGGCATCCTCCATGTTTGGTTGATGCGCTGAACGAATGGCGGCGGCTGGGCTTGGCTGGCAGCTGGTCGGCCACGGTCGGGTCAACCTGCGCCAGGACTACTGCCTCGGCCTCGGCCAGCTCCTGCTGCTGCTCGGCCGTCAGTGGATGTTTGGCATCAAGCCGGTTCGGCCAGTGCAGGCCAACCAAGTCCGGCCGCTGGTTGTGCAGTGGCGGGACTGGCGCCAGGATCGACTCGCGCAGGTTGCGCCACCAGCCACCTGCTCTTGGTGGCTGCACTGCAGCCTCAGCAGTGGGCTGCTTTTGGCTGCGCTTGCGGCGAAGGGAGCCGGCGATCCGCTGCAGCAGACCCGGGTGGCTCTGCTGGTAGTAGTCAGGCAGTGGAGGTGCCTCGTCGCCGGCATAGGGGTTCAGCGGGCTCGAGCCATGCCGGCCCATTTTCTGCGACGCAGGGCGTGGCCGGATCGACGTTTGCATCGGCGACGCCTGGACCGGCTCGGTCCGCCGCCTGCTGCTCAATGAGCCGCTGGGTTCTTCGGGAACTACTGAGAGCAGGCGAGCCCTGGCTGCTGGTAGACTGACTGGGCGACTGGCCGGGCAGATTGCAGCGGATCACGGTTTCTCCGCACCTTGGGCGTGCGCCCAGGCTTCTTTGCCACCTGAGTAGTTCCACTAGGGGGTCTGTGCGCCCTCCAGGAACGCCAGAGCCTGCGATACCATCTCCTCGCGTACCTGCGGGTCAACCGGTGGCGTCCCCATCGACATTGCCGAATCGCGTCGCCCCTTGTCGTAGCGCTTCACAGGTGTCTCTGACGGCAAGCCGCCCGAGGTCTTTGGCTGCATGGCATTCCGCAGGGCTCGCAACAACAACTGGCCTGACTTCCAGATTGCTTAATTGAACTGTGCTGGCTGCCAGCTCGGCACGCTCCCTCAGCTTCTTCTCCCATGCAGCGGCTGAGGGCCGGCTGCTGGATGAATCCGATGCTGTGGCGAGTGGGGGGCGGCTGTTTGGCCGCTGCCGCGCCCAATCGCGGCGGTCTGCGGCAGTCGTTGCTGCTGGCAGGTTGGCGGCAGGGCTCTCCAGCACCTTGGCAGTCGATACGTGGGCAGGGATGGGTGAGGAAGACTTGTCGCTGGATGCCCTAGATCCAGGTGTGCTGCGGATCTCCGGCGATGCCACCTTGACCTGCTGCAGCCCTGCCAGCAGCTCATTGCTGGCGGTACGCGGATCTGTCACCAGTGACTGTTTCTTGTGGCCACCAATGCTGACCGGTGATGCGACGGCGCTGCGTACGCTCTCAAGAATATGTTGCTGGATATCCACAGACTTTCCGCGCTCGTGCTTTTCTGGACCGCTGACGGTGGAATTAATCGTATACAGGCTTGGCACGCCGCTAGGCACAGTGATTGCCGGGAGCCTCGACAGCAGTGGCGTGTCGAAAGTGCTCTTGTCGCTGCCAAAGAGCGATGGCGGAACGTTGCTTGACAGTGCAGTGCCTACCGACTGCCGCGACTCGCGCGATGTCGTCGTATTCGATCGAGCGGCTGCCGGTTGCTTCTGCCTATCGGACGATGCACCAACACGTCGCGGCACCGGCGTCAACGGCACTAGACGTGGTGGTGAGTCTGCGGCTGACAATGGCGAGCTATTGTCTGTGGAGCCGGCCGACAGCCCGGCGTAATCGCCGAAAATGCCCGTCTCCCGCTTCCGCCGCCCACCATCCGACGAGGACTCCGAGTTGGCGGTTTTGCCAGCCTTGCCGACCGATTCAATTTCGCCCACGAAATGCTGCGGCGAGCCCTGGCTGCCCGCAGCCATGGGCGGCAATGCAGTCGTACCGGTGATTGCTGATCGTCTGTCTGCCGGCGCGCCTTGGGGTTGGGCGACTCGGAGCGCTGCCATTCCTCGATGATCTCACGGATCTCCGATACCTTGGCTGACCCAGGTGCCACTACCGGTTTATCTGGCGACCTGGTGGTCTCGCGCAATATCGACTCCCAGCGCTCTAGAACTGGTGTCTTCGGCACCCGTCCCGACTGCGATGAGCCGGAGCGCGCTGGCAAATCGTCACCGGGCTTTGGCCGCTGGCGCTGCTCGATCTCATCGCGCATGCTACTGACACGCGACCCGGTGCTGTCACTTCGCCGGTGATGCCCTCTGCGGCCATTTCGAGTTCCCATCCGACGACGACGACGACGACGACGACTCGGTGATCACCTGCGATATTCACCTGGCCAGCCGAGTCGTTGGCCACAGATGACGCGCGCTGGCGGCTCTGGTGGCTGATGTGCGACCGGATGCTAGGCTGGTACGGCGAGCCCGTGCGCGTATCGGACATGGAGCTCTGCAGCTTGTGGATGCCCAAGAACGCCAGCTCGTGCGTGGCGTTTGACTCAGCATACGATGGTGAGTAGCCAGATGTCCAGTGTATATTGCGGGCTGTACGGCGACCCTGCAGCTGTCTGGTCGCGCCGCCGCCGAATGCGTGTCCTGGTCACGCTTTCTGAGTCGCCCGGCCGTGGCGGCTCGTAGAAGTACTGCGTGTCGTCGTCACGGCCCATAAACGGATCCGTGAACTGCATGTTGCTGGAGGGCGGTGGTGGTGGAATCAGCGGTACGTCGAGCTCGTCTGACGCATTGCCGGCCAGCAGCGGCTGTCTGTCCTCGCTTGCGGACTGGGTGCGCGAGCGCCGCCGGATGACCGTCTCTGGAAACGGTGTGCCCGGCCGCACCCTGGCTCTCACCGAAGGACCGCGACCGGGTATGGTCCCTGCCCCCTGCACGCTCAGCCCGGGATGCATCCGACGCCATGGTTGTTGCCCGGCGCCGCCGCGTGGGGGACACCGGCGAGCCCTCCGTCATCCGTGTTGGCGTTGGCGACCGCGCCAGCAGTGTCGGCGTCCGCACCATCCGCTCGGGCGGCGGTACCTGCACGTCATAGCTGGGTCGGCCAGACCGCGAGCGCCGGCCGCTGATCAGCCCCTGCTCCTCCTCCTCATTCGCATTGCCCGGCTGCAATGTCTCGTCTGGCGTATCACTATCGGACTCGTCGTTCACAAACGGTATGGCCGGCTTGATTGCCAGGTTTGTGACACCGCTGCGACGTGCTACAGCCTGCGACCAACTGCCCTCTTCGTCCAGTTCCTGGATCGGCTCGAACCGCTGCGGCGTCCCCGCGGTGCTGTTCATTGGCGGGCTGGTAAGACTAAATGGCCGCCCAAATAGCCCCGAGTCCCGGTCCTTTCCCGGCGATGGCGTCGACGGCTGCGACCACCCTTTTGCCCCAGACCCCTCAGAGCGCGTGACTCTGAGCTGCGCTACCAGCGAGTCCTCCACTGGCTCGCCCTGTGCCGGAACCTGGGTTACGCGGAACCAGCCGCGACGCCAGCTGCATGTCCTCGAGCGTTATTGTGCGTGGCGATGTACCGGACTCGCCCGAAATCAGGCTGATGGCTGGCGACTCGCCTACAATGTCGGTACGCGGTGTGTAGCCAAGCAGCTGTGCGAACTGGTTGTGGTACGCATTCAGGATCTTCTTCTTTTTGCGCTCCGACAGCTCCTTGCCCGTTGGTTTACCTTGCTGCTTCGACGACTCCCGCGGAATACTGCGCACCTCACTGCCACTTGGCCAAGTCCGCTCTACTTGACCCGCCCGCACTAACACTCTCTCGCCGCCTGCCTGGCGACTCGATTTCTTCTCTCGCCCGCTGCAGGCTCGGCTGCGACATATAAACGAGCTTTGGCAAGGACTCACCACTCGACGGCAGTCCATCCGAGGTCGGCGGCGTCGGCGACGGGAACTCCAGGTGCTGCGACGACCCCGTGCTTTCTGACAGTCTGCCCACCGTCCATCGGCGACTCTGGTGGATTCCGTGTATTGTCCAAACATTGCCATTATTTGCGCCCGCTGCTGCTCCGCACCTGCTGACGGCTGTCCGGGCCGGGGCACCTGGTGTCGGCAATGGCTTGCTACTGCGCGGCCCCGCATCGCTCTTCTGCCGCCGCCGCCGTCTGTGCTGCTCTGCCGAGGCCGGCCGCTGCGGCCCAATGTCGCTCTGCCGTCCTGTGCGTATGCGCGTACTCGGTTCTGGACCCCTCCTCTGCTGTGTGTGGTGGCGACATTATTATCTAGTAGTATATAATATTGTGAAAAGTAAAAAAAGGACGTGTGAGTGAGAAAAAAGAGGGTATGTTTGTAGTAGGACTTTGACGCTATGAAGCTGGTCGAAATACGCGGAACTGAGAACAATGACCCTTACCGCTTCCCTGTTTTGGAATAGGTGGTATGCGTATTAGAGGGCGTAAAACAATGCTCCTAAATAAGAAAAGAATGTATAGCAACAAGACGGAAGAAAAAAAAAGAAGTGGATGAAGAGCGACGTTTGGCTGTCGCGAATACTGGAAAGCGTCAGACGCGGGCGTCAAAGACACCCAAACTAGCAAGACGCGCTCACCTAAGCACTATACTCGCGGACCTGCCGATCGGCATGTATATAAGTGCCCGACAAATCCAGGAACTTCAAGAAACGGGTCTGATCAGGCATGTGCGGAATCTGTTGATTTGATTTGCTGGTCATATATATGCTGGCAGTCAGGAATCGTTAGTAAACCCTATGCCAGTAACGCTGGCCCAAGCAAAGCAGGAATGAGCTTCCAATACCAGGCCTGAGAGGAATTATCTATTTTGGACGTGTGTTCATATCAGTATGCCGTTTTTACATGTACAATCCAACTTTTTTTGCTGCCAAGCAGCAGCCCGCACACTTGCTTACTGATTCCACTTATGACAACACGTATCCTTGGCTGATGATAGCTTCACATGCTACGGAGTAGCATATATTCAACGCTCGTTTGTAAAGATACCTTCAGTCACTTATTATCATCAAAATCTTGCAGGTTCTTTAAAATGCCCGTCTCGTACTTCACCCGCTCTGCCAAATGATCCATATCCTTCGAAAGACTTTTGTCAGTAAACAGATTGAAGCAACTGCCTGTTACTATAGCATCTGCTGTTGCACGGCTGGTGATGACAAGCATGACATCGCTATGCAATTGTCACAACGGCTAACAACAAGAACGACTCTCACGCTGAGCCAATGGATACTGTTAACTTAATGAGTGGTTATAGAATATATGGAAAATAACTTCTCAAATGACTGAGGGAAGAAGGAAGGCTGATCGTCTGTCTGGCTTTGTACGTATGCGTTTCGGCTTTGTCTATGGTGGCGCAGGGGACTCCGGACCCGAATGTCGACAGATACAACAAATGAAGGTGCCTGTGATCATAAAGATCACAGGTTGTTGCCCTTTTTCGTTGCTATGCTCAGATACTGTACAGTAATGAAATTTTCATAAAGGATAGTTCGCAGCGCTCGTAGTTTCCTCTCTCTTTTTTCTTTCCCCCTTTTTGTTTTATATTTACATATTTAAAACTATACATAACAAAATACCAACGGCCCTGCACGCCATATTTATTGACACAACACCACAGCCTTCATGAAGAAAATAATATGCTGGAGCTCATCGGCAAGACAATTTATGAATTTGTACCCGGACGGGAAGTTAACAAGTATTTCCAGCCGCAAAGCGTTTTGAGGTATCCATATGCCTACTTTTGACGTGTCCCAATTTCATCCATGCTTTTGCCATAGCGCCAAGCTATTGATAGGGAAGTCCCGAAACTCATCCTCAGACATCCAGCCATCGCTATTGACTACCAAAGGTCCCTAGCCAGCAGACAAGATAACAAAGTGATTCCTAGTTGTCCAGAGCCCATGCATTCGGTTGCTGACACCCCTGAGATTGTTGAGGCTCATGAAGGGAAGCCTGCCAGTACGTACCCTGCAACTATCACCGATTTGTATATTCGGGGTTCACCACATTGTCAAAGTCAAGGAGAAGACCGCACACCTTGCCATTCTGACGGACAGCAAGTGTGCTGTTGGTTGAGATATCCTGGTGCAGCAGCTTGCAGCCATTTACCAGCGCCGTATGGCATTTTATTGCGTCGTATAGCACGCAGATCAACTTGACTTCGCTTTTTGGACTCCACAGGAGTTTACCGACAGGCTTCTGGCACAATCAGCGGTGTAGACAACAAGGGAAGCATCGACTCATTCTTATCAATATACATCTGATCGCAATTCGTCCGTGGGTGCGCTCAAGATCTTGTCTCTGCTGTCGATTGTAGACCTCTCGCCAATATGGATCATGCCATCACCACACACAGCAGAATATACATAGGAGAATTCCAAGCTCTTGCCACCGAATGTGTCGCGAGTATGCTCCAGATGCTTCGCCTCATTTCGATCATTGGACTTGCAGTCGCCAGTAGCTGATAGCTCCTACACGTCCTTAATAACAGGTGCATCAGGTGTAATGAATATCAGTTGGTACTGTGGTCGCCATCTCGATAGTTGGGAATGCAACGAAGCAGCGCATATGTCTGCCAAGGACGCTGCTAGTACTCACAATAACTGCATTCGAATATAGGCGCATGGTTTCCTGGCTCGTACGATCGTAGCAATCAAATTCTCAGTAGCCTGACTCGGCAATGCAGCGCATGGGTGTGTCGTAGCCTGCCTGGTCTCTTTTCCATAGCAACCAGTATACTAGCAGTTCGAGAAACGAACGCCCGGCCATTTGACATTGATAGGTGAATCACAGGTGACACCAGAACGAAGTCAGGTAAGAAGTGAATACCCCAGACCCTGCTGCCACACCTAGCCAGCCCTATGCAAACAAGCAGCCTTCCTGGTATGCAAATATGTCCCAGGTGTAGTCGATATCACGCACCAGCGCATCCCAGGCTAGTGAAGAGTGGGCTTTGGATTCTCTGGCGGCGACTATCTCAGCGAAGTTCTGGATGCCGAGGCTGCCTATATCACTGTCGGTGTCAACGATTCCTAATGCGCCATCAATGTGTAGTCCTGTATCCGCCTCATCTGGCGAAAATTCATGGCTGTCGCTCGTGACTACCAGGTGTGCCCTCAAGCCAGCAGAGTCGCATTGATCATCAGTGAAATAGGCTAGTTGTTTCTGGACTTGGCAGCAATTTTAGTATACTCACCAAACATTGGCTCCATGTTATGCTCTGGCCATTTGTCATCAAGATTCTACGTGGCTTACTCGTGAGCATTTTTGCCTCTAGAATTGCTGTCAGTGATAGCAGCCTCGATCGCATCGGTAGCATCATCACTACTTGCTGCGGCAATATCCAGTGTCTTCCCATTGCACAGTTTCGCGATATTAACCAAGTCCGGAATATCAAGGTGAAATTCATAGATTTAGACACTGTCCCAGAACTGGGATGGGCATTTCCCTTGTTTGGGTCTAGGCTCAGAGATATCAGTGCATACTGGCTGTGTGGGTCCTTGATTGATCTGGCCATCCTTTTGCTGGGAATATCCATGAAATATCCTGCTGGCTAGCGCCGTCGGTTTTGCACTTCACTACACGTTTAGTCATTGAAGAGTTTGGGTGCAATGCAGGAAATATGTGCAATGGGAAATGCAGACAACAGAGCAGAGGGGCTCCAGCTGCTGCGCACTTTCAAGGTGGCAAACAGCATTTGTAGCTGCAAGTCAGAAGCGCACTGAGCTCTTAATCAGTGGCTTGATTTATTACCATATCAGAAAATGTAATCACAAGGGTGGGCGCCTTTGGTTATTAGCTTCCGCTGCTCAAACTGTGGATCGGTTCTAGCTCTTCTCTGCTTCCATTCTGAAAAATTTTCTCTGTTGCCAAAGGTACGTTTTTGCATATTTCCGCTGCTCGATTTGTCCTGTGGTGGTGTACGTGATGGTACTATGTAATTTGCGTCTGACATGCGATTGTGCTGGACCCTCGCCGGGGTCCGTGACGGCCATTCGAACATATGAGGCCACTTTTCTTGCTGATCCACACTCCATTCAACCGCTGAATTCCGGAAACAAATTGGTACTGTTTTATTAACCGAGCTAGTTTCTTTTTAGTTCTCCGATCCAGGCGATGTGTCGCGAGGCCAATTAGCGAAATGGCGAATTGAAATGGTACGTTTCCTTCTGGCAAAAATCGATTACTTTTGCCTAGATGATTACAAACGTTTTCTGCACTTTCTACCTGAATTACATGTGGACTGTAAAACTACCAAGATCTATGATATGTCAAACATTCATCATCTACTCTATGACGCCCGGATGCACTGTTCCTAACGCCAAACCTTGTTTTGTAGGTATGTATCAGGCTGACTAGATGTCTTTAAATGTATAGCTTTATGTAATAAACCAGCTTCTCAGATCTTGTCGGCCTTGAATTGCAGGGTCGGGTTCAGAATCAGGTGCTGCGATGGGATGATGCGCATCTCGAATCCACGCACCATGTCCGACGGACGCGTGCCACGCGCCAGGTTCTCGCCCACTGGTACGCCCGTCGATTCCTTGGAAATCCCTGGTTGCGGCCATGATGCCGACCTGTGTCGACGTAGCCAGCTCGCAGGCATGCTCCAGCGGTGTCTCGGCGCCGTCGCTGCGCAGCTTGGCTAGACGGGCCGTGGTCAGTGCGGCGAAGAAATCGCCAGAGCCTGTGAAATACCCGTCAAGGCGCGGGAACGAGATGCGGAATGTATTTTTAGCACCTGTCTTTTCGTCAATCTCCGACCCTACCAGGTGCAGCCGCTTGCCGACCGGCTTCTCCGCGTCCTCGAGCACCGACGACGTGATAACGACGTTGGGGATTCCGTACGAGTGCAGCACGTCACAGGCCTTCTTGGCGTCTTCCAGCGTGCTAATCGTGACGCCCGTCAAGAGCTCTGCTTCAAACTGGTTCGGCGTCACCAGCTTAGCCATTGGGCACAGCACGTCGCGGTACAGCGCAATGAGCTCCTTGGGCACATACAGGGCGCCCTCGTCGCCCATGACTGGGTCAAGCACAAAGAACAGGTCGGGGTTCTTTGCCAGCAGCTCGTTTGCAATGGACTCGACCGCACGGATGTTCTCGCTGTTGCCCATGTAGCCAGTCAGCAGGTGCGTGTACGTGTCGAGCCCGTTCTCCTTGATGCCCGCAAACAGGTCAAGGATGTGCGAGGCCGGGAAGCGGTCGCCGTGGAACGTGTTGTAGCCCGTGTGGTTGCTGAACTGCACAGTGTTGATAACGTCGACTTCGAGGCCCAGGAGCTGCAGCGGGAAAGTGGCCGCACGGTTGCCTACGTAGCCAGCAACGACGTGGGATTGGATCGATAGAACCTTGCTTGACATGACAAGTGGATGGAAGAGAAAGAGAAACTGGTTTCCCAGACACTACGGAGGGGACAGTACGAAGTCATAGGTCCCGTGGCTGTTTGCGCGTGACGCGCAGATATGGGCTCGCCAGAGTTGTTCGCTGAAGTTGGATTGATGGTCAAACAGAAGTCGTTAATGATTACGATGATATAGCCCAAAAAGTAAAAAAAACATAAGAGAAGGTAGAAAAAGAAGAAAATGTTTCGTTCGGGGCCGTGTGGCGCTGCTGGAGTGTCGTAGGAATGCAGGCGGCGAGCAGAGGCAGCAAACAGTTAATATTAGGAAACATACAAGATATGGTGAACAAACACACAGAACCAGGGATGTTACAGCTGAACGTCAAAATATTCCCAGTTGGCTACCTCAGGACACCAGCCAACAGCAAAACCGACTGACACCTTTTACAACTCACAAGGAAACACCCGATTTGGACGTGACGGGGACGAGGAAGGGGGTTGTCACTTAGCGGCGGCGGGCAAAGGGAGCAGCACCAGTGCACTTCTTGCAGGGCTTGCACTTGCCAGCGGCAATCGAGCCCTTAGGAACACGCTTGCACTTGCCGTTACCCTTGGTCGAGGGGGCAACCGGCTTAGGAGCAGGCTGGGCAGGCTGGCGGGCGGGCTGGGCAGGCTGAGCAGGGGGGCTAGCCTTGTGGGCAACCAGGCGACGGCTTAGTAGCAACAGGCGACGGCTGAGCAGGCTGAGCCGGCTGAGCCGGCTGAGCGGGCGGGTTAGCCTTGTGGGCAACCGGGGGGGTAACAGGAGTGGCAACACCGTTATCACACGCCGGCAGCTTGAACTGCTTGGCATCAGCAGGGTCCATCGGGGCAGCGTAGTCGACGGTGTAGTAACCTCCAGGGTTTTGCACACCACCGCCGCACAGAGTCACGGCCTCGTTGAGAATGTTGGCGCGGTGTCCGGGCGACTTCATCCAGGCATCGGTCACATCCTGGACGTTGTCGTAGCCGCTGGCGACGTTCTCCGCGGCGACCTTGTACGTGAATGCCTTCACGAAAAGATCCAGACGGCTGGTCAGCTGGTAGGTCGCTGGCGTGTTACCGTTGTGCGAAATGGCGCCCTTGGCAGCCATGTCTTTGCACTGGCCCGCAGCCATCCGGTCCATGTCAGGAACCCACAGGAGCGCCGGGAGCTTCTTAATGGCACGCTCCCTGTTGGTAGCGCAGCAGAGCTCCTCACCAACGGAGGCGGTCAACACCTGGGCAGCGAAAGCAGAAACAGCGACAACAGCAGTGGCAAGCTTCATTGTTCGAATTTGGATAGCGGGGGAGGCGGGGGAGGTTATAAAAAGGTTAGAGGTGGGGAAGGGGTGTGGATAGCAAAGAAATTCGGTGAAGGCTCAGCCCTGGCACCAGCAAATAGTTAAGGGGAAGGATGAAAAATGAAACGCGAAAGAACGTGAGGGGAGGAAAGGAGATGTCAAGGGGATTAGACGGAGCAGGAGGGGGGGGTTTAAAAGAGCAAACCGGCATTGCATGATGCCTGAGACCACGGGCGGACATATATGCCCATGGTGATGCGGGCTGGGCCGATGCAAAGCGTTTGTTGTTGTTTTTCATAGCTTGACATCCATGCTGTTGCTCTGGCGATTGGGAATCGTTTTGGATTCCCTTTTTGAAAAGGGGGAGCCTGTGGCCAGGCAAAGAGCGCGCTGCTACCAGCCCGCGTTGCAGCTGGAACGCTATATGGCGCTGACTGGATGTGGGCAAAAAAGGTGGGGGTGAACGCGAGTGGGCGCAAAACGAGGGATGTGCAAGATGCTGAAGGATCTACATCACAGAATAGAAAACAAGTGGGTGTAAGAGCTGGAATTTCTTAGGTAGAGGGCTGATCCCCGCGGCTGACCGGAGCAGCCCGTGGTTCTGCCATTCGTCCGATTCTACAGAAGCAGCGATGCTCGTGTTTGTTGACAGCGGGCTGACAGAATATTAAACGGTCTGGCGGTCCGGAGCTTGTGCCTCCAGGTTCGCATTGATAAATACATCATTGAGCCATTTTGCGGTGTGGCATCGCACAAACCCCTCTCGGACTTGAGCCAAAGTGACTGTCGCGTACCGGGACCATGCATCGCGATGCACCAATACCGGTTTATTGTCTGGGCGAGGCTCTTTCTATTGGTATCTATTATTGGAAAGAGAAATAGCAGGCTGAATATTCTGCATGGAGCTATTTCTGGGTACGACTAGGGCACTATGCTATTTAAGCAAGGCTCACACCGAGCGCTGGAGGGGACGGATATCGTGAAGATGGCGGTTGCAGAGAAAAGGCGCAATATAGAGCCGAGCCGCCATGTGCGACTCGCCGTTCTTGGAATAAGAGTTGCCGATCGCATTATCGCCAAAGCGTTGCAGAGCCAGGATCCGCGTCCTAGTCGGGGCTCTATTACATCACTGCGGGATGCCTCAGCCGTTTTGGCACCAATAAGCCTGCAACCGTCCATCCCACACCTCCCCCAAAATATGCCTGCTGTGAGCTGTAGTTTTTTTTTTTTTTTTTTTAATTGTGGAGCAGGACAACTTGACACATCTCATTCCCGTACATACGCTGCAGTTGCACTGTGAGAATCGAGACGCATGTCCTTTGCTGTGCCTGCAGCAGAGCTGTATTATCTCACAGTGGACCACCATCACGGCCGCGTGCAAGCTGCACAGTCCAAAACTGCCCGGATCGCCCGGCCCCCATGTAGGCGTACTCCGGGCTTAAAATCCCACTGAGGGTGCTGCTGCCTGGTGCGCACAGCTGCGAGATGGCCTCAGTCACACCATGGGTGCCAGCGAGCACCATTTCGCCGAGTGCGCCATAGTCAAACCCGTGTCGGTCCACGCGCTGCGCAAGCGACCCACTGGGATCGTAGCTGGTCATGTTTCCGGCCCGGTTCATCGAATAGCTGTGCGCCTGAGATGTAGCAACCAGCGCAGGATGAAGAGCAAGCGGGTGTAATCCAGAGCTGTTGCGATGGGCATTCAGCTTGTCTGCGAGGTCGTTGAGGTCGTCTTTTGACAGACCTAGTATTCCAGAGTATCCAATTGCCGCATACGGAGTCGACGAGTTTGCCGGTGCCACAATGTCTTGGGGAACACCCAATGACTGCAAAAATGGCACAACCGTAGCATTGGTGCCCATACAGGGAGCAGCGAGTCGCCCTGTGTCGGGACTATTGGGATCTTTATAAACTGGCGCATCTGCGTACTC